TCTGGTCTAAAGACTCTGTCAATAAGATTTTATCAGAAGACCTTGTAACATCATTAATCCATTAAGAAAAGAAAAAGAAATCATTTCTCTCGCTCTTGTCTTCTATAGAACCAAAAATAAAAGTGTCGATTACAGAAGAATACAGTTGAAGTTTTTTTTGGACAGGCATATAAACTGCAAACGTAAATTCGTCTGAACATCGTTTGTCTCTCTGAATCTTTGACTGGAGGGGGTGAGGGGGGGAAATTCCCCATCTCCCTTCGGTAGATGTGAGGTTTCCTGCATGAGTGACCCAGCTCCTTTACATACATAGACAGACAGGAAACATGAGAAAAAACACCAGAGCTAGAATTTGAAGCCATGTTTTGACATTTCATAAATGTAAAGACATCAACCTGATGATCTTATATGCAGAGTCTTACTTACAGGTATGAAAGAAGAAAGATTTGGGGACTCATTAAACTCTGATCATTTTTAAAGTTTTCTCAGTGGTCTTTAAATTGCAATTATGAAGTTTTAAGCCAAAATCAAGTTACCTGTCATTTTCAAAAGCTTTCTTTCTGCAGAGCTCCAGCAGCTCATTAGCAATTCGCCGCTGAGTCGTGGGTGGAGACAGCGCTGCTCTGCACACTCCTAACATTGCTGGTGTCGTAGAAGTAACAGGTAACATTGGAGCTATTCAGCTCTCAGACACTAATGTCTTTGGAGACATGAGGAAAGCTGTCTTACAAGGATTGCAATCTGCTGACACACATGCTTGTTCTGCAACCGTCCTCTCTACTTCTCCAAGTCTGGCCTGAAAGTGGGGCTACGGGGGCGGAGCTTGGATTTGTGATGTAGGAAATCTCACTGTATCTGACCCTGCCGTTTGGATCTGCCAGAGATTCACAGTGATTTGAATGAAGAAATACTCAGAAATTTCTCTACCATGTAACCAGCATAGTCAGAGTATGATCGGACAATGCATGTGCGCCTGCGCCACGCTCCCGTAACCCAGGGACAACTTCAGAGAAGAAGTGGCGCAATCATTTAAAGACCATTCGACTAAGAAGCAACTGCAACATGGCTGAAGCATGAAAGATCGTCCACTTTTGGAACGACGAGGAGAGTGGCGTTATGCCTTCCGTCCTGACAGAAATGGACATTTTGAAAGTTAAAATAGGAGTTATGTGGTCGTGCTTTTTCTTGCTAGAGAGGAGTCGAGCAGCAGCGTTTTGAATGAGCTGATGGCGATTGATGGATGACTTGACCAAGCCTGCATATAAGGAGTTGCAGTCGTCTTTACATGAAGTTATAAAGGCATGAATAGTTTTCTCTAGATCAGCCTTTAAGAAAGAAGTCAAGTTGCAATCAACACCTTCATTTCTACTCTTACATCAGACCCCCTCACTCTGTAAACTGCATTCATTTACCGCCACTCCCTAATATAATAGCAAACTGATGTGGCTAATCACAAGCTCACATATAAATACACACACCCTCACAAACAGCTGCAGAGTGTGCTGTTTCCTGTATACAGTTCTCACTGTGTCCACATTACTCTTCCATCTGCACAGGCATTTCCTGTCCGACCTTGAAATCAGCCCCCCGCCCACCACCACTATATCTTTACACACAAACATACTCTTCCACCCATTTCCCCACATTCTTTGCTCATGTTGAAGACGAGACATCCTTTTTGCATAACATTCAAAAATACTTTCACACCAGCTCACGTTCACACACTACACAATCATCTGCTCTCTCTGCGTTTATGTTAAACCGCTACAAAACAAAAAACAAACACCAGATATATATATAAATGCTTAACTATCACTTATGAAAATCGAAACACCTAAGGGGTAAAATCATGGCGTTGTTTGCATGTTTGCAGAAGCTAGTTTACAGCGTGAAATCCAACTTTATGAGCGCCCAGAGTTCATCTAATCCGCCACTTTCACACCAGGGAGCAGTGATGTCATCAATCAGTAACCCAGCACTCGAACAGCGGCCGGCCTTCCCCAAACCGGCCACATGTGTTTTTATTCAGAAGGAAAGTTATAGCAGAAAAGGTTAGGTCACGGATAGTTTACAATAATATTATTCATGTAAAAGGAAAGTGGAAAGGATCCCTGTATGTGACTTCACTCTATTTACACAAGCATGCCCTGAATACATCGATACCCTCTGCCAGTAAAACTCCGCACGCACGCACACACTCGCTGAGAACACACCGCACATTAATAGCATGAACTGGATTTCATAAGGTGATGGAAAGGAACCAAGCCAAAGTCAGACAATTAGAAAAGATTTAAAATAACAACTGAGAGCCTGAGGGGTAGTGTTAAAGCAGAGGAGACATAATGAGAGTCAGAGTTATGGTTCCAGCTCACAGGAGAAACAGAGACACTGTTGTAGTGTTCAAATGGTCAATGCCAAATGGTAACAGCTCTTGGACTGGATTTCTGCTCGTATTTAATGCTGACTTGAGGAGGAAAATATTAATTAACATTCGGCTCATTAGGTTTGTGGATTAGGTTTTTTTATAGGTAGATTCTATTAGCCATGTGTTAAAACCAGCAGCAAGAGAGATTGATAGATGAAATCGATAACTGCAGCGTTTTGGCACGACAGACTGTATTTGTGTGATTAGATTGTGGGGACACAAGACTCTTTACATATTTTCTCCTCAAAGAAATAAAGAGTACAGTCTAAACCTGCTCCTGTGTGTGTGTGTTGAAATACAATTTGATATGAAATGGTGCCATTTAAACAAAGACAGACAGATTGAACGACTGCCATCCATCTATTAGGGGTGGGAGAAAAAATCAATACAGCGCAGTATCACGATATTTTGTGTGGTGATATATCGTATCGTCTCATTAACCAAGTATCAATTTTTCAAATAATTGTTAATATGTCCAGTGAGGGATGCAGAGGTGACATTATAGAGCAGGAGAAAGTTAGTACAACAAATATATGTAAGGTTTGCAAGATGTGCTACATGAAAATAAATTCAGCATGAATAAGACAAGCAGTTGAAGAAATTATATAAATCACGATATATTGTATCGCAATACTCACTGTATTGCAAAATGTTACAAATCGCAATAATATCATATCGTGGCCCAAGTATCATGATAATATCATATCGCGGCCCAAGTATCGTGATAATATCGTATCGTGGCTTCCCTTGCCCGCCTGCAGCTTGTGCAGAACTCTGCTGCACGTCTCCTGACACAGACCCGCAGGCGTGAGCACATCACCCCCATCCTGGCGTCCTTACACTGGCTCCCTGTTCAGTACAGAATTCATTTTAAGCTTTTAGTATTTGTTTTTAAGGGCCTGAACAACCTTGCTCCACCCTATATTTCGGAGATGCTCCAGCCTCATTGCCCACCCCGACCCCTAAGATCAGCTGATCAGCTTTTACTGACGGTCCCCAGTACTAGGCTGAAGCTCAGAGGGGACAGAGCGTTTGCTGCTGCTGCCCCTAAGCTCTGGAATGAGTTGCCCTTGAAAATTAGACAGGCCTCCTCATTTCCTGTTTTTAAATCCCTTTTAAAAACGCACTTTTACTCATTGGCTTTTAGTACATTGTAGTGTTAATTTGTTTTTTTATCATCTTAGCACTTGCCGTGAGCCTCCTTATTTATACACTTATTTATTCTTTTGCGTTATTGTATTTCTGCTTGCGTTATCTTGTTTTTTGATTGTTTTATTTGTTTTTATGTCACTGTACAGCACTTTGGCTACCCTTGTGGTTATTTTAAATGTGCTATATAAATAAAGTTGATTGATTGATTGATTGATTGATAATATCGTATCGTGGTCCAAGTATCATGATAATATCATATCGTGGCCAAAGTATTGTGATAACAACGTATCATGATTCCCACCTCTACTTTCTATTTATCTATCCATCATGAGAACTCCCAACAGGGTAAACCCTAAAACCTTGGAGTAAATGTCTTTGGACTCCCCCAGTTGTCTGAAGGTTTAATCCATATTTAGTTCACAGGAGGCGCCAAATGTCATACTTGCTTTTAATTAAGTTTAAGAAGACTTTTGGCAAATTTTAACTTAATTTTATTCTAGCACTGTGTTTTATTTTTATGTATTTTAGTATTCATTTTATTTATTGTAATTGTTTGCACTTTGATCATCCCTGGTGCTTTTAATCTGTACATCACTTTGGTTAACCCCGGTTGTTTTAAATGTGCTCTATAAATAAAGTTTGAGTTGAGTTGATTGAGACTGATCTCTGATTAATTTTATTTCTTCTGAACAAACCCTTTTCAAGCTCTGATCCCACAGATTCAGTCTTATCAGATGTGTTAAAGTAATACCGTGACCTTTCAAGTGACAAAAACCAGTGTGTGTGTATTTTAGTCATAGTTTCTGTGTTCAAAAATGGACACATCATTACACACACACAGGATACAGCAACATACTTCCCATGGGAGAAAAGAAAACAGAGAGAGATGTGGTCATGACTCTAAACATTCACATGGCTGTCATCCCTGTTGGAATAAACAGTTAACATGCTGTACAACAAACATCGCTGCTGTTTCAGCTTTTTTAACTCTCAGTGATTTAACATTGTTTGCATCTCTCACACTGTAAGTGTTTAAGAAAATAAAGAACCTCCATGGTGAATATGTTCATCAAAACTTCATACTGTTTTCTCCCTGAAAGGATCGCTTTTTTTGAGTAAGGTCGTAAAATGTTCTTTTTAATGGTAAATACAACTATCAGTGAGTGCTGCGATCTGGTTGGGAAGAGCCCACATGGAGTGTAACGTTACATGATGCACTGCTGCAGACAGGGTCATGAGAATCACATACTTGAGCCACTTCAAAAAGTCATCTATGTCAGAACTTGTTAATCAGCCCTATAATTTCTACACATGCAGCAGAGTATCTGGTCAGCAGAACAGACCACACGTATAACAAACTATATTACTGGGGAAACTATGAAATGCCATCCTTAGTGGATGAACCAAAGAGCCGAGAGGAAACCTTTACAGATGAACTTGGCATTAGGGATGTAGCAGTATAAAAATTCGACCTCACGGTTATCATGATCAAAGAAGGCATGTTTTTCGATATTATCACAGTATTTTAAAAATGTATGCAGAGGCATTTATTACGACATTTTTCATGCTTTTAACTAGCGCTAAACAAGGCCTTATTTTCATCGTTCCATCATATCGAGACAGGATTCCTGTCTTCAACTAAGCGCTGCCCTATTCCTACAAAACCCAAAATATGCCCATACTTCAGACTCTGTCCTCTTAGAGGCCTGATGGATGTCTTGTCTCTTCCTTCTGCCGTGATTCCATTTCAAACTTAAAGGGATATTCCGGCGTAAATTTAATTTAGGGTTAAACACACCATAACACAGAGTTAGACATCCCCTCGAGAGATGAATGTTGCAGACTGCTTGCTTTTCTGGTTATACCAACTTTAGTAGCAACCGCACGATAGCAATACACAGCAGTCTGAGGAGCCATAAACAAACCTCAACCAAAACGCCACTCTATAACCACAAATAATGCTCAGAACAGCACCTTACTTCATCAACAGGACATATAGGGTCCCAGCCATAGTACTAGTCACCAAACATCATTTAGCTTTGCCTAATTTCTTTAGTAAAGAGACTAAACAAAACTCACCTACTCTCCTCCAGCAGCCGCTTGTTTGTAGCGAGACCTCAGGCCAGTCCATTAAGGACTGCTGCGGGGTGACGCAGCTCAAGGAAGAACATTTATGATCATTACTTTATCATTTCCTTTAAGTAATAATCATCGTAATAATCATTTTCACTGCAGACCCGGTAGTTCTTCTGCCTTAGCGTCTCAGTCTGATTGCATTTCCATAAAGAAATGATCATAAATGTTCTTCATTGAGCTGCGAAACTCCACTGTAGTCTGTAATGAACTGGCCCTAGGTCTCGCTACAAATAAGCAGCTGCTGCACGCGCCAAGTATTAGCATTAGCGAGTTATTGTCGGCTGTCACACAGCTGATTCATTGCACACACACACCGGTTTTTGAAATGAAAACGGTTATCGTTCTCACGATTTACCATTACACAGGTTACCATCACATTCCTACTTGGCATCGAGTCTTGTGTCTTTTTCCCACCAGATTCAAACACCTCACTTTTCTTTTCACTTGCTCCTTTTTCCATCCGTCTGCCCTGCCAGTAACTTTGCTGCTCTTCCTCTTTTTCTCTCACTGTCCTAAGCAACAAGCCTGACTGTTCAATAACTCCTTAAAGAAAAGGAAGAACGAAGGGGGAAAAAAAAGAAAAGGACTCCTTGGCTCTTCAGGTGTTTGTCTTCAGCCCGTCTCCTTTCATCAGTCATGCCAGGAAAGGAAACAAAAATAGAACAATCGATCGTCAGACACTTCCTTAAGAGCTAAAGGGCTTAACCTTCAGTAATGGCTTTTTAACTGGTTATGAAAGGGCCTGAATTTAACACTGATGCCTCTTTATGACCTACAAAATAAAAACAGACCATCAGTGTGAGGACTGGCTGAATCTACTGAGGAAATGCAACGCCATTAGACACGTTTTGTATTAGCAACAGCACAGTCAGGCTACGTTTCTGTTGGTGCTGATTTTGGTTCGATTATATGGCTTCCAGTGCAGTTTATTTCTCTAAAGAGCCAACACATGCCTAATTGGGCGACTTCGTAGTATTATAGTATTTATTTTAAGCACTGATCAGCAGGTAACCACACCTGACCCATGCAGAGAAGGTCACAAGACATACTCTCTGAAGTCACGGCGTTGATTTCATTTGACTGCCACATGTTCGCACATCAAAACTGTGGCTAATCCGGGGGAAAGTCTGCTGTGTTCTCAGAGCTACCCTCACTAAAGAGACAGCTGCACACACAGTCTCATTCTGTGGAAAACAGTAAACTCGCTCGCTCCTTTCTGGCTCTACAGCGCTGAAACTGCAGAACTTAAGCGGCTGATAAACCAAAGGGTGAACGGCTCCATCCATTATACACTCTTTGGTCATGTGTGTCATTCACACAGGTGTTGAGTTAGTTTCCCCTTTCCAATTAAAGTGTTATTAACATCTGGTCATTAAAAACAGCTGCTTCTGAGGTCTGCTGCACAGTATGAGTAAAAGTGTGTTACTCATGTGGGAGAGAAACGAGTTGACAGCTCACTCGTGAGGATGCGGCGGTAAATCAACAGTTGGTAGTCAGCTCAAAACTTTTGAGCATCCCTCTGTTCATGGTTCACACACACAGTGGAAGTCCCCTTTCCCACCCGAACCTCAGCCCCCCTGCTGTACTCTGTGTTAATGGAGCGGACCTGCCTGTGCTGCATGGCGAACACATCAGCTCACTTGAATTTCCCATGGCTGATCATCATCTACGGTCACGGAAGCCTTCCACCCCCATCATCTCGCCCACTCCTCATTCCAGCCTAACAAAGAGGAAAAACAAATCAAACAATTCACAGTTTCCCATTATTCTCCATGTCTGTCAGCATATGGTTCCAATCAGCACTCAGAGTGTGTGTTTGTGTGTGCATGTGTGTGTGACACCATGTGAATGTTTTTATTTTCCATACATTTTCTCCTCAGATACAAAGCTCTTTGTGCGCACTCTTTCTCCATCTTTTTGGCTCCCCCTTCCTCTCACGCCCTCTCATCTTCCATCTCTCTCTCTCTTTTTCGTACCCATGTGTTTGACTCTCAGGTTTAAACTCTCTCTCTTTCCCTCTCTCTCTCTCTCTCTCTCTATTTTAGTCTTGCTTTTCTTGGCTGTGAGTCAGACCTCAGGCAGACCTAGAGGTCTTTTTCCCAAGCGATCTCCAGGGTGGACCCCAGGGAACAGAGCAAAAACACACACGCACACACACACACTGACGCTGTCTTCACATGCTCTGTCCATTTCCTCCTCTCTTTCTGCTCCTATCCCATATCGTCCTCTGTCTGCACCTCCGTGTTGACTCACACAATATTGTTGCATTACTTGATAACTGTGTTGCAGTCAGAGTTTATTGGAAAACAGAGAACACGCTGTTCAAAATCAAGCTTGTTAAACACGAAGCGCCTCGAGGAAGCTGTCTTGGGCAGCTCTTGTGCACAATCTTTACTAATGATCTTCCCTCTGTATTAAAAAAGTCTCTGTGTATGCTGATGACTCAACCGTATATTCAGTCGACTCTAGAATCATGGATTTAAAGCTCCTGTAGGGAGTTTTTCCATGTTTATAAATCATTATGACATTTGTAGTGATGCCTTATCATAATATCTTAAAGCAAACAAGACCATCCCGGTCAAGACTAAGGGTTTTTATACGATCGTTTTTAATGCCTGAAGCTAGTGCAAGGGGGTAGGTGTCAACCTTAAAGGGATATTCCGGCGTAAATTTAAGTTATGGTCCAACACACTGTAACACGAGTTAGACACCCCCTCCAGAGATGAATGTTGCCAACTGTTTGCTTCTCTAGTTACACTAATTTCAGTAACGACCGCACGATAGCAAAACACAGCAGTCTACGTCTCCACGTGCAAACCTCAACCAAAACGCCACTCTATAGCCACAAATAATGCTCAGAACAGCACCTAACTTCATCAACAGTACATATAGGGTCCCAGCCATAGCATTAGCCATCAAACATCTTTTTAACTTTGACTAATTTCTTTAGCAAAGAGACTAAACACAACTTACCTACTCTCCTCCAGCAGCCACTTGTTTGAGGGGGAGCCCTGACGAGTCAAATAATCATCAGAATCGTCATGAAGTAATGATCATAAATGTTCTTCCTTGAGCTGCGAAACTCCGCTGCACTCGGTGATCGACTCATCTGGTAGTCTGATACCAATATCTAGGCTTTAGTGTTGGTCAATACAGATACAGATCCAATACCAGTGTTTTATTAATAGCCAGAATTCTGCACTATGAGGATGACACCGAATGTAATGCAGACATAAAATCTGACTTTTTTTTAAATAAACATGTCTAATTTTGTTTACCTCTATGGTTATCCCAGGAAGCATCAGCTCAGCACATATTACAAGTGTTGGTAGAGTAGTTAAAGCATACAATTGATACCTCCAAACTGATCAAATTTAGTAGTTAGCTCTCTCGATGCTAGGTTGGCCCTCAGTTTTAAAAATGCGCTTGTTTAACCTCCACACCGTTGATGTAAATACACTGAGTGGGCAGAAGTCTGGAGAAAGAAATGGACCATAATCACAGTCCAGTTACCGGTTTCTCTGTCATGTGGGTTGAGATCAAAAGTATCATGTTGACAACAGATTGTTTTTTCTCATTGATGGTTTCCTTCCTGTCATTCAGTTGTTTACCTATAAATACATCAGGTCAAATAAACCCTCAGATACACCCTGTTACTGAGATGAGACACGGTGTTGTTTGACTCTAAAACCAAATCATCCCGACACCCCAATTTATGATTATTCTCATTTACAAATCAGACCAAATAACATGAGACGGTTTACTGCTTTTTAAAAAAACTTAAATAACCTCACCTGTAAGAAAACTTTGGTCATTTAAATTTACTCTTAATATTATTATTGTGTTTTTGGCATTTAAAAATTTTCAACAATGGCCTCTTATTTATGACAGATGCAGTCAGAACCTGTGTATTTTCTGTTTTCCTTGAGTTTTGTTTTCTTAATATGTATCACTAAATGTTTTTAAATGTCATATTTATTGGTCAACATTTGTATTTTTATTGTTAATGTGAATTTTTATGTATAATACAATAATGCCAACAAGTGCACACATTTATACTAAACCTGTTTTGGTTGTTTTAAGGACTTTGAAAACCTCTGTTTTTAAAAAATACTATACAAATAGAGTTATTATTATTACTACTACTACTACTATTATTAATATTATTAAGGATTTTGAGTTGATTCTAGTTTCTGGATTAGAAATAAAAAACAAAGATTTTAATGATCATACCACATGATTTTTCACCACAGTTATTGAAAAGTCTAGTTTACTTTGAGAAGAAGATTTTTAAGTATCATCAAATTGGCTTTAAGTTTCCATCATGCTGTGCAACTCATTCAAGATTTATAACTCGGACTGAAGTTATCAAACTAACATGGGAAAGTTGTCGTATTTGCATCCCCTAAAAAGTGAAGAAATTCTCTATAGATTTAGTTCAGTGAATCTTTGATGCTGAAACAGCAGGTTAAACATTATTGAAGGGCTCAGGACATTTTCTAAATATTATTTCTTTATATATTTTCTTTTGATGGGGGGAGGGTGGAGGGATGGGTGTTACAGTGGCTTCATAACTTCAAACTCAAAGTCTGTTATTGTTGGTAGATGACACAGACGTGATGTCGCTGAGGGAGGGGAACAGCGGGACAACAGTGCCCTCTAGTGGCGTGGTGGGGTTCATTCAGATGTTGCACACTGTGGCCTCTGACAGCAAAAATGGTTTCTCATCCACCTCACACTTTCCTCCTTTCTTTCATTCTCCTTTTCCTTTTTTTTCTCTTTCCTTTTCATCTTCTCCACTCCCTTTTTCTCTTTTACTTATCTCCTCCTTCCCTCTTTTTTCTGCTTTTGCTTGCCTGTCTTTCTTCCCTCTCCTCTTTTCCTTTCTTCCCTCTCTCTTCACCATCCCCTCCTTGTTCTTCTCTTTCCTCACATGCCTGTTGTCTTGGGTTTCCTATTTCATGCCGTCTTTTTCGTCTCTCCTCCTCCTCCTCCTCCTCTTTCAGGTCCTTCCTCATCCTCTTCCTTTTCTTCCGTTTTCACTTTGGTCTTCTCTTTTTCTATCATTCAGTTTAGCTCCTCCAGAATTTGATTCAGTTTCCTTTTCCAAAGACTAACCCTTAAAAAACATAAATCTGACAAATGACACAAATCTCAACAATCCTCACATGAGGCTCATCATTTCTCTGAATCAGGAGTTTGATCGGCTCCTGTATCTGTTGGCCTCATCAATCCCAAGCAGAAGGTCTCCACGTTCTGTCTGTGAAGCTCCTTCACCTCCTTCAAACGCTCCTCTTTTGCTGCTCATTTTGATCCTTCAGAGTTTTTTGTTTTGTTTTTGATTTGTCACTGTGTCTCATTCTGGAGGAACATCATCTCCATCACCTCCATCCTGGGCACCTTCACCAGAGCAGTAACTCCTCTGCTGACACGTTCATCCTTCTCCTGGGTGTTTTGGCTCAGCTGCACCTCCTCCTGCCAAATGATCCGCCTGCTCTGAAGTCTGTGATGGTTTTGTGAGAAATGCTTCATTTCATTACATGGTGCTTCACTGTTTACTCGGCGTGACTGAGACCAGCACAGCGGGGAACATGGTGAAGTGGGTCGAACTGAAACTTGTTGACTTATTGTGTATTTCACAAACTGGTTTATTTACCGTTGACGCGGACCACTCTCCTCCGTGCGTCCCTGAGCTGCCTGCTTCAGATCCGTCACTCTGCTGTGCTGTGAGGTAGTTAGTGGACAAAGTTTGTCATGAGGTCGCTGCGCCATCTACTGGATAAGTCGGGGAACTTTTCATATGGAGGAACATTTTCAAAGGGAAACTGAATCTTAATCTCTGCATTTTATTCATTTTATTACCGATTAGTCTCAAACGGGCTAAAACTGGCCGATTTAAAGCCCTAGTGTAGAGGTCTGTTTTGATTGGTTACCCATGACCTCCACATAACCTAGAGTCCATTACTCCAGAATAAGTTTATTATCATTAAAAAAAACTTCATATCTGTTTCCCTGGCAACCATTATTAAGGTTTAGGCAAAACAAAAACCATTACACCACAACCTTTAATATGTTATTTGTTTAGATAACTCCATGATGTGAGCAAAGTCGACCTGTCTATTTTAATGGATATTTGATGCTATTTTCTATCATTTCTCTAATCCTCAAGATAGTTAACAGAAAATCTGCAGTTTTTGTGTGAACTTTTAAAGTCTGGTGGCTGAGCAGTTATCATATGCAACAGCAAGATTACTGCAATAAAAAGTCAGAATTTAAGAAAATCAAAACTGTTTTCTAAAAGCCCTGAATCTGACGGCGGCTGATCTATATTTAGCTTCTCTACACTGAATACATGAATGAACTCTCAGTATCAGAGGAAAATATAAGTGCACACTGGTGCTTCATCATTACTTCAATCAGTCTTGTCACACTTCAAATAAAGAGAAGAGTCATTTCTTCTTGTTGGGGATTGGTTCAATAATATCGGGCAGCTTCAGCACAATCCTGTTGAAAAACTGATCCTGGGTCTGATCACACAGTCGACTGAAATCATGAAAATAGAGTGAGAAATATCACAGTTTTATTCTCTACTTTACAAAACTGCTCAGTCAGTCCGTACCACAGTTTACCTCTGAGCAGGACTCTCCTGATTGGCTGTCATTCGGACCAAAGGCGAGCATCACTGCGTTTAGGTTTCCTCGTCATCACTACCTGCCAGACTGCTGTCTGTAGAGTCAGCGTCCTGATCTTGTAATGTCTGTGGTTCTGTCTCTGGTTGTTTTTGTTGTTCAGGCGCTGTGGTGCTGGACGGCTCTGTGGGTTCTACAGTGGTGGTGGTGGTGGTGGTGCTGCCCTCTGTTGGCTTGGTGGTGTCATTCTGCTGGCCTTGTTTGCCTTCCTCCAGGAAAGAAGACCAACCTTTCAGTCGCTCCTCCCGCTCTCGTGAAGTCTCCTCCACCTGAAAGAAAACGATGGCTCAGCTATGATTTTATCCAAAACTGAAGCCTCTCTGTACGATCAAGTTTTGAGCTTATGCAATCTGATCTCAGGTCAAAGTTTTCTCTGATCCAGGACCAGACTGGACATAAAGAATCATGGACCTAAATCAGTACAGGTCCTCTGCTGGGTCAAGTCCTATGACTGCACTCATATTAATGAGAGCAGTCTCTTTTTTACCTCCTCCTCTCCCTCCCTCCTGTGTGAACTTTCCCCATCTGTAAATGCAATTTCGTTGTGCACAGTTGCAATGACAATAAAGACCATACCATAAATGTGGTTAAATGTGGTTTTACCTGATAGTCCGTCTGTCCGTCCCACAGCTGAGCTGACAGCTGACGCCCTCCAAACCAGCGACCGTTGAATGACAGGATGCACGCGTCTGCTTGCTCTGGTTCCTTAAATGCAATTGACGCCACACCGTCTGGGTGTCTCTGCAACACGAAGACAAGCAGGTACCAGCTCTGTGTTGACGCCCCCTGACAAACAATACACTGCAGCTCTGATCAGGATACTCACGTCAAACAGGATCACCTTCTTAACCTCTCCAAACTTCTCACATTCAGTTCGCAGGTCCTCTCTATACTCATTCAACACCAGCGGATCTTCCTAAAATAAACATAAACCAACAAATACAAAAAGAACTGACATGAATACAGTCTCAGGACTGTTTACAGACGAGTTTCTAAGTCTTGACTTTTGTCTCTCTGCACCTCAAAGTCACTGGGATGGAACATGTTTCTGATGATGACCACTTTTTCATGCCTTTTCCTCTGATCTCCTTGTTTCTCCGGCCTCCAGTCCAACTGTCTAAACAAACAAAAACAGACAGAATTCGAATGAGTTCAGAACGAAATTCACAATTACTCCTCATTAACGTCAGCGTCAGCAGCAGAATGAGACGTCAGAAAGGGAAGTTTACTTTTGTTGCTGCTGCAGCTTCTTCCTGTAATCTTTGTTTTTCTTCTTCTTCTTGCTGGCGTCGTACTGGCCTTTCAGCTCGAACCGTGCCGCTTCCACATGCAGTCTGTAACCCCGGACTTCTGACTCATCGAGCAGACGCGCAGCCAACGCCACTGACTCCTTCTGCAAGAGACCAGAACACACACACGCTGGAGTTTCATACAACAACAAACTCAAACTTTCACCTGTGATTCTTTCGTTTTAGTCTTAAAACAGATTTGAAAAGAAACTCCATAAACAGAGTAACATTGGGTGTTGATAAGCTTGGTTACTATCAGTTACCAGAAGTAAATTAGGACAGTTTATGGCAGATGACAGCCTCTGGAAATACAGATATGTTGAAGATGAGGAGTTGTCAGTGTGTCTGAATATGTTCGTATGATAGCAAATTTTCTTTCCCTTGTTTTTATTTTAGTGTCTTTTCTCTGCGTTTAAGAGCTGGGCACATGACGCTTTTTCACGACTTAAAATCCACGGGGAAAAAATTCGTCTCATCTCTCACCCTCAGCTTTGACTCACTGTAAACTTTAAACACTATCATGGAAAGAGCTCTGCTTTACAATGTCTGTTTGATAAGTTCACCATGCTTTCACCCAGGGGATGTGATTGGCCTCTGGACAAAAAAAAAGCAGCAATCTGTCAAATAAATTGTGGATCTGAGTGACATTAAACTGGTCACAGCTAATTACATCGTCACACAGAAACAAGGAACTAACCAGAACTAAATCAACACTGAACTGTAAATCCACTGTGAAGTCGATGCACAAAACCAGTCATAAACATAAACAGCTATCACTGCTGAGCTCAGTTAGTTTCAAAACAGGCAAAGTTCATCACAAACTTCAGCAAACTTAGACTCTCTCTTTTGTACTAGTTTGTTACCCTCTAATAAGATAAAACAAGGGTAACCGATCAGATCTTCAAGTCAGAGAATCTAGAGGAGTCACATCCCTGTTTCACAATAAGATCAACATTTTAAGAATAACTTAAGGCAAAACTCTCGATTTACCGGTCGATCTACGTGCCGACCCTCATCTATGGTCATGACCTTTGGGTAATGACCGAAAGAGTAAGATCACAGATACAAGCGGCCGAAATGGGTTTCCTTTGCAGGGTGGCCGGGCTCAGCCTTAGAAGACTTTCTGATGTCTTTCAGGCCCTCAAGTATCTCGATGAACGCACAAACCTTGAGGTAGCAGCAGAGGCCGTCTCCCTTTAGGTTCCCTTCTTTGTCCTTATAAAGTTTCACTTTGTACTCTTCAGTGATTGGGTCCCGCATCACGATGCCGCACTTAGACATCACCTCAACAAATTCATCGGAGCTAATATCAGGTGGCAGGCCTGAGAGAGGAAACAAGAAATGAGAGAGAGTGAAAACAAGAAATGGGACAGCTGTCTTCTTCACATCAGGAACAAATATGTATTTTTGCTACCAACCTGAGACGTAGACGTTTGTGTTTTTATGGTCATCGATATCGAACCATCCTTCATAGACAGAAAAAAGAAAAGAAATATTTACCTAGAAGTGCCTTTTACAAGATATACATCTGGCTCTGAGTTGTGAACAAACAACCATGAATGTAAGCTGAAGTATTGAAAGTAACTGCACAGGTTTTCCTCATATCTTTGGTTTGTGACGCTGCTCTACCTGGCTCTGCTTTCCTCTTCTCCCCTTTCTGTTTGGGTTCTTTAGCTGAAGCCTCAGTCTGGTCTGGATTCAGGTTCTTGGTGGTGTCATTTGGTTTCTCCTTTTCTGAAGGCTTGCTGACTTGCTCGGGTGCTGCAGGGTCAGTGCTACTCACAGCAGCGTTGTTTGGATCTGGATTCCCTTCTGAAGTAAAGCCATAGTTTGCCTGGTACGCTGCGATGAAGTCCTCTGTTATCTAGAGAAACGAAGCAAACCTATTGAAGAGGCTCTGGTCGAAGTTACTCTTCTTGTGTCAGCTTTCACTTTCCAATTATTATATCCACATGCAAGAAAACCTGTCAGTGACTTCAGGCAAAATACGGTGAAGGAGAAGAATATCTGAATCGGGAATTGGAAGATTTCTCGATCCTTATGTGATGTAAAAAAAAAACTCTCCTACCTTAGGGAACCAGGCCTTCTTTTCGTGGTCCCAGTCATACACAGTCCCATCCTCCGGGTCGGTGTAGGTGTAGGGATCAGAGCCGTCTGCAGGTCTTTGACCGTAAAGTTCCTGCAAACGCAGCTGCTCCATAAACTCTTTGTTGGCATCGGGACCACCACTCATCTGCAACAACAACAACAAAGTGACATGTGGATTTGTCCAAGTCAGTTGCTTTTTCAGCCTGTCAAAGACAGATGTGTTGGACCTCAATCTAACTAGTGTTCTACACCAATATCTGGAGAGTGCTATGAGGCCGCTGCATTTATGAAAAAAAAACACCTAACCCTAAAAAAAAGTCTAACTAAAGGTTTCTCAACTGTTGTTTATAGTGTAAGATGTCCTTTATAACAAACTAAAAGTTTACCAAAGTTTGACCGCTAGAAAGGTGTCATTTTTAAGATGGCGTCCATGATGGGTAGGAAGACACTCCAGGTGAATAGGGTAACATTTTTAACAAACAGATATCACCATGAAACTTCACAAGCTTATAACTTACATGAAGGCAAATATTTTTTGTATTACAAGTTTTGTCAAATGTTTTGTTTGAATATTTAAATTAGGTAATATCTAATTAAATATGCACTAATTTACATACATTTCCAAAACTGAAAACTGAACAATAGATGAAGCCCCTTTTAAGATTCTTGTTTTATTTTGTAGACATATTGAAGTAAAAAGAGGGGGGAGGAGGGGACTTTGGATATCTTTTTTTATCACTCTGTAAATGCGAAAATACTCAACTTTTAGTTTGTTATCAAGAACATATCATACTATGAAAAAAAAACAGCTGAGAAACATTTTGTTGGATTTTTTTTAGGGTAAAGTCATATTTGTACCTGACTCTATAGAATGGACCTGAACGACATGATCAGCTCCATATTATTGCACTGACTGCTGCTGGTGTATAGTGTGTAACCATAACTAAATGGTATTAATGACACTGTCACCGCCCCTCTAACAGATGAAAATCAAACCCTCCAGATGTTTTAGTTTATCACAACATGACCACAAAGACCTGGCAGCTTCATTCAGAGTCAACATGATAAACCTGTCATTTACATAAACACACAGTATTTAACATGACTGTAAACTATCGGTTAATATCCCAATACTCTATTGATACATATTCTCTAAAAGCTGAAAGTCTGTGTTGATTTGAAGTGTCTGTTAAAACGTGTTTATGTTAGCATACAAAGCTAACCAGAGTTAGCCTTACCTTGTACGACAGTGCAAGTAAACGAGAAAGGTCACTGAAAAAATCCCTCCCGTCAATGAAACGGCAACGCAACTGGCTTTAGTTTAGCGTTTTTACCGATCTGTTTTTTGTTTCTATAGTGTTTTGATTATAAATTCGGTTTGCCGCTGCACGCTCGCGCTAATCCTTGGCAGTGCGCGACCGCAATCAAACGAAGTACTTCCGGTGTCAGGTCTTGCGCGCGACTGCAGAGAGGCGCTTGGTTTTAATTAGAGCGTCTCCCGTTTATCCGCCGGTATGGTTTTGATAGTATAGCACTTTATGGTTGGACTATAGATATATACATAAACGCTAGATGGCTCACGCACGCTGTTAGCCAATGGAGACCGACGTCTGCGCATGGCGGCCATTTTGCTACGGTCTAATAGTCTGTCATACAAGAAATTAAAATCTCGATTGTGGTCTCAGCCCTGACCACATGTGCAAAAGTTATGAAATAACTATACTGTAATTCTTCTTTCTCCAAGAAAATCTGCCATTTCTATACGTCCAAACATCCTGACTCATAGCCACGTTATTAAGGTCTGTAGTAAAAAAAAAAAAAAAAAACATTTGTAAATCTGTCAAGATTTCAACGAGTTGAGAGTATTTTCGATCATGCAGATTACTCAACTTCCGTCAGCTACCATAGAGCATACCAGAATGGTATACTGTCCAAAAACATTGATTTCCCTTTGTCAGCAGAAACTATTTTGTTTGGTGTTTTTAATGAGGATAGGAACTTGGATTTTGTTCTGAATGCTTTGTTGCTTTTGGGGAAGTTCTTCATTCGATATGCGTGTCGATATTTAATGGCAACACCATGCCTACCTCACTGGAAGAACGAGCTGCAACTCTTTTGTAAATCCTTAAAACTTGCTACAGACAAGAAAGCCCTACGCCTATTTTCTTTACTAGAAATGTTCGAATTGATATAGAATGGCCTCCAACATCGAAATTGTGTTGTTGTTTTTTTCTCTTTTGATGTTATTCATGCTCAATCTAAGGCAAATATTCTATAATTTTCTTTTATGATAAACAAGGGCCTTGATTGTTTGTTTATAATTAAAAAAAATAAAAAACAATTGTATACTGGAGTAAGATGGCCGCCGGTGACGCCACCTCGAGTCATCTAGCCTTTCATATAGATATCTATGGGTTAGACTGTATCCACCCGAAGTTGGGGTTAACAAATCGAACCAACCCCGCGTTTTAGGGAAACAAGCGACTGATGCTCAGCTAGCTAGCCTCAAAGTATCTTCCAGGTAAGTGACTTCTTCATCATTGAGCTCGGGTGGGCATGGCGGAGGGGAGCGGGAACGTGAACATGGGTCCGGCCAACCTTCCTCCGGGAGACCCGCAGCTTATCGGAATGATTGTGGAGCATCTGAAGAACCGAGGGCTGTTCGACGAGTTCCGTCGGGACTGTTTGGCCGATGTTGACACAAAGGTAATGAGTCTTTTATCGGTCACATATCCTACATTTACTTCAGTAAGTTTCTCAGCTGCTTATATCAAGCTGCAGTGAACAAAGTGCCTGGTGCATTTGGACCCAGCTGATCTCGTTTCTCACTGTTGGTACCAGCCTGCCTACCAGAACCTGCGGCAGAAAGTTGACAACTTTGTCACATCCCAGCTGAGCACACAGGACTGGAACCCGTCCATCAACAAGAACCAGATGAGGAATGGACTGAGACAAAGCGTGGTCCAGTGAGTGTTGACTAACCCTACCTGCTGTTGCTGATGACACTACGTTGCATGCCTCAGGTGGAACTGTTGTTTCTGTGAACAAAATATTGCAAGAGTAGGTCATATTAGTATCTAATTGTGTCAGTGAAAATAGACTTAAACTGAATGTTACCAAAACAAAGAGTATAATGATTGGCTCAAGATATATGTTAAGATCTGAGCCTAAACTCCATCTAAATATACAGGGAAATAGTATCAAACAGGTCAGTGAGGCCAAATTATTGGGTGTGTTAATTGATGAAACACTTTCTTGGTCAACGCATATTGATAGAGTTGTATCTAAAAAGAGTAAAACCATTTCAATGATAAGGAGGGCTGCTCATCTTTTGTCAGGCTCAGCATTTAAATTGATATTGCAATCTTTTGTGCTATCCTGTCTTGACTATCGCTCAATTATATGGTCTAGCGCCTCAAAACAAGACAAACACAAACTACAAATCACACAGAATACAGCAGCATGACTAGCTCTCCGCTGCTCAGGGAGGAGTAGTGTAGAGGGGATGCATGGAACACTGTCTTGGATGACAGTCGAACAAAGAGTTGCTTGTTTAACATTTATAATGTGGGAAAACCTTTTAATTTGGTGTTGCAGCTTCAGGCTACTAACGATAGACATGGCTATGTAACATTTTTCACCTTTATTACTCAGTTATTCACCTTTGGTGTTGATGAATGAAATATTTTTTAGGTCTGGTATGCTTGAATCCGGTGTGGACAGGATCATCACTCAAGTTGTGGACCCCAAGATGAACCACACTTTCAGGCCACACATAGAGACTGCTATTCACGACTTCCTATCAGGGGAAAAGAGGGAGGAAAATACAGCGAGCTCCAACTCGGCACCGTCTGAACAGACAGAAACACAGGAGGCCCTGCCTTCTTCTGGCCCCAAAACCCCCTGAGGTCTGTCATATATAGTTATTCTTTCAGACAGTTTTGAACAGAGCAATATGCGTCTGAGAGAAAGATGTCGAAATATGAACTAATAATACTGTTTTTATCCTGCTGCAGGTACACACGCTGATGATTGCTGAACCACATTTCTCTCTAAGGATGCAGCACCACAGACTGAAAACATTGAAGGAGGAATGATAGTTTTTCTGCTCTCCTCCTTAACAGACTGTATCCAGGAGAAATGTCCTGCTTGTGTAGTTTCATGGCCGTCTGTGCTGAATGAGGCTGCTGTAGACGCTGGACGATGATGCATACTGTTGCCGCACCACAGAGCTTTGTGAAAATGAGAACAAACCCAGGATTATGTTTCGATATTTTGCTTTCTTAAGAACTTTTTATTTGAGATATCTCACCAATAGTGTTTTGCAATGCTTTGTATTGTGTAACACTGATGTATCACAGAGGATGTTTGAGTCTAGATACTTTCTTTGCCATCTAACATAATGCCCTACTCAGAAACACTGATTCAGAATAATTGAGGATTTCCAGTCAGGTGGGTTTCATGAAGAAGATCCTACAGACTCCTTCTGAGTTTGCAGGTTTCTTATCAATTTAGGGTTAGGTTTTGATTTTGAGCAAACATAGCTGACATCCTTTTGTTTTCTGCCTCCTTTTTTAATCGTACCGTTTGTACTCTCTGTGCCTTTATTCAAAATGCTCTGAGATTTATGAAGTACTAGCATAGGGTGGTGGTCACATAATCAGTTAGTTGCCTCAGTGTGAAGGTAGGAACTTTCTTAGCTCCTCCTGCACTGAAAACTGTCAGAATACCTCAATGATAACTTAGCACCACCAGGTGGGGTATTTGTTCTCAGTTAGCTAAAAGTCCACCTCAGAGTGTACCCAGGTTTAACAACCATATACTAAGATACAAACAATACTGTGACCAGAAAAAAGGTAAAAACCAAGTCGTTTATCACCAAAACTCATCCACTAAGATTTGTTCAGCATTTCCTCACAGGGTTGAAATCAAGTCTCATTCCTATCAGAGCCTTCACCGCTCCAGGCTGGGATCTCTTTCAGTTGTGATTTGTGCGCGTGTGTGTGTACGTGTGTTCACAGCTTGCGTAATTTTATTGATTTAAGTTCTTGTTTTTGGCAGGAGAATGATCCTCACGTTAACACAAATGTGTGTCGGTGCATCTGTGGATCAGTTTCTGGGTGAGTGTGTGTAGTGTGAAGTCATAGGTTTGCACAAGTTGTTTTGATGATTGAGAGTATGTTTGGAAATGTTCTCAATAAAGCTTTTTTCCCCTTTTATCCATGTAAATACCTTTTCTACTTATTTCCTGTTTTTCTATTCAAACATACTTGAATTTGTTTAAAATGTTACTGCACCATGAATTTTTATTTACACTCATTCAGTGATATAGCAAGGTGCAGTGTACTTAAAGCCTTTTCAAGTGTCTATTCCTCGCCTGTTCTTCTTCATATCAAGTCATGCGAATAGGACATTGAATATGACATTGTTAATTTAAGTTGAAGCAGATCGCAGAACATGCAACAAAATCTATATTTGACCAAAAAAAGCATTTTTTCACAGAGTCCCGATGACTCTGACCACTTAACTTCCCTTTTAGATGTTTAGCCTAAGTTATCAGAGTCCCCACTGTCCTTACGAATTGACGTGGAGAGCAAATTTAGAGATTTTGTGATTTTTAGAGATTTAGAGACCCACCCCCGAGAGATGAATGTTGCCGACCGCTTGCTTCACTAGTTATACCAACTTAAGTAATGACCGCATGATAGCAATACACAGCGGTCTGAGGAGCCATAAACAAACCTCAACCAAACCTCCACTCTATAGCCACAAATAATGCTCAGAACAGCACCTAACTTCATCAACAGTACATATAGGGTCCCAGCCATAGTACTAGCCACCAAACATCTTTTTAACTTTGACTAATTTCTTTAGCAAAGAGACTAAACACATCTAACCAACTCTCTTCCAGCAGCCGCTTGTTTGTAGCGAGACCTCAGGCCAGTCCATTACGGACTACAGCGGGATGACGCAGCTCAAGGAAGAACATTTATGAACATTACTTTATCATTTCAATGAAGTAATAATCACCATATTAATCATTTTGCATTGCAGATGCCTTCGTTCTTCTGGCTTAGCGTCTCGGTCTGATTGTATTTCCATGAAGAAATGGTCATAAATGTTCTACCTTGAGCTGCGAAACTCCGCTGCACTCGGTGATCAACTTGTCAGGGCTCCCCCCCACAAACAAGCGGTTGCTGGAAGAGAGTGGGTGAATTGTTTTAAGTCTCTTTGCTAAAGAAATTAGTCAATGTTAAAAAGATGTTTGGTGGTTAGTACTATGGCTGGGACCCTATATGTACTGTTGATGAAATTAGGTGCTGTTCTGAGCATTATTTGTGGATATAGAGTGGTGTTTTGGTTGAGGTTTGTTTATGGCTCCTCAGACCGCTGTGTATTGCTATCGTGCGGTCGTTATCGTGCGGTCGTTACTAAAGTTGGTATAATTAGAGAAGCAAGCGGTCATCTCTGGAGGGGGTGTCTAACTCAGTGTTGCGGTGTGTTTGACCCTAAAATAATTTTACGCCGGAATATCCCTTTAACGTGTTGTCCTGGACATACACAGACATAAGTAGAAAAACCTTGAAATAATAGATCCAAAGATTACGGTAATACTTCCTCCTCATATCGGAATATAGATACTTGTCAATGTGATCCATATGGGTGCACACACACACACACACACACACATACACACACGCACACACAGAGGCAGATCTGTTTACTACAAAGTCATGTGAGAGACAGAGTACAAAAGGGCCCTGCGTGTTTACTGTTTGCATATTGGTGTCTACGTGCAGCAGTGTGCTGTTTCAGGCATGTGAGTGTGTGCATGCTGGGTGTCGGGGTTAGGGGTCATTGTGTGGGTGGTCACCAGGGGGTTATGTCGGGGAAGCTGCAGGATTTTTTGGAGCAGGATGAGATGGAGAACAAGCAAGGGGAGGTCAGAGGGGGAAACATCCTCTAACAAAAGTCCAAACATTTGCCCCTGTGAGAGTGTGTCATCCCCAACCGGGCCCCTGTAGGGACAGACACTTAAATATACCCTTGACCCCCCACTACAACACAAACACCACACACATACATACACAAACTCATCTCAGCCCGGTCTTTGAAGGCCTCTTGGATGCAGGGTGGATCCATCTGAGAAGCACTATGAGGTATTTGTATGGCTGACGTCATGGTGTCAACATGATTATGGCCCACCTCTTTATGGATGTTGAGGTCAAAGATCATGGTTGTTATGAGACAAAATATTCAACCACAACAACAACAACACTGCAAGATCTGAACACGCTGATTACCTCAAAAAGAAGAAGAAGAAGACGAAAACAGCCTGAACTCCCCCTGGAAACAAAAACATGTTCAAGGTTGTCTCGACAAAGAGACAGATGGTGTTTTCTCGTCTTGTTATTTCAAGAGGGGATGACGAGACTCTTAGAGGTTTGGACGGTTAAATTAATTAAAATACTGACAATTTTAGGGCATGAAACTTGATTTTTTGCTGCTTTATTGATACTTGAGACACAATTCCTACTTTTAGTTGTTTTCTAATTACACAGAGCTACAATATAAAGCATAAAAACAAGCAGTTAGATTAAGATTTATTTTTTCTTTTTTGTATGTTTTTAATGCAGGATACTGTATTCCACTGTATACATGTACACCATGTAGACTTCCTAAGGTGTATTATTATTTTTATTTTTTGGTGTAAGTCTGGCTTGTTTGTATGTTTTTGCTGGACTGCAGACTCATATTTGTGTTAAGAATGCGTGTTCTTGTTTGTAAAGTTAAAGTATAAGAAAAAAAGATGTGACAGACTATGAAAAAGGAGGAAAAAGACACAATATATTTCAGTGGGTTTTTTTTTAACTAATAAGTGTATATGTTTTTCTCCGTATGTGTCTGACCAAAAGATTAATTAAAAAAAAAAAAGAAATTTGCCATTGAGTGGATTATCTACCAGTAACTTGATTAAACTATCTTGTCCATAAATAATAAACATTCTGTATTTAAAGCTAAGTTCACACAGACTGTCCTCTCTTTCAAGGTGGGCTCTTCTGATATTAAACTCACTGCCACTTCAAGTCTGCAAAGAAAGCAGCTGCATGAAATACACTCATGCAAACAACACACACACACACACACACACGCACACGAGTGCGGGTGGGGGGGTTAATAGGGTGTGGAGTCTTGGTTGAACTTAACGTACCCCTGCAGACTACAGGAACAGGAAGACCTTATAAGATCATTTTAACTTTATGAACTGTTGAAATTTTTTTCACTAACCCTGACTCTGTCCTCTGATCCATTTACCGCTGTTAAAGGATTCATCAATTCGCTCTCATTCATTATTGAATACACTGAAATTCTGCCGCTAATTCTCTCATCAATGATAAACGTTTGGCTCCAATTTGTTGCGCGTTCACGTCCCTGTACTCTGATTGGTCTAGGCAACACTCTGGGTGTTGTGAACGCGCAGCTCCGGCAGCTCGTGCCTATTTCAGCCTTAGTGTCTCAGTGTACCTGTGAAAACCTGTGAAAACCTGGACAAGTGTGAACTCCTCTGTCTCTGAGAGCCGCTGCTGCTGTTACTGATGAACTAACCTGTCAAATATCACACTTCGTCTGAACTGAACATGTCGGCGAGTTTGTCTGCGGTCTTTTTTCTGCTGCTGGTGAGTCAACAGGTGTTGAGCATGGATCCACATGATGTCCACGAGAAGCAGGTTGGCCAAGGCAAGAGACGCCTCTCTCTGCAGAGCACAGGTGAAGCACTTTCATTTTAATATACTTTTTTAATTTGTGTGTATAAATCTGCTATTACTGCGTTTGTAATCCAAAGATGTTGGATGTTGACAAAGTCAGAATTTTTTGGCCCCAAAGTTATCAAAAATTCACATTATAGGACCAAGTAATCAACAGTTTTAGTGTAAAATGAGCCAACGTTATTATTATTATTGTTATTATTATTATTATTATTATTATTATTATTACAGACACAGTGTAGACATATCATTTGATGTTTCTATGTCCCTCTTGTGATTTCTGTAATTATAAATATTCATTTTATTCTGTTATAATATATTAAATTAAATGTTGCCCCATCAAAGACAGTACATGTCTGTCCCGGACTGTCAATTTTTTTTGTGTAGGATGGTAGGGAAAGATCCCGCCCTCCTTCGCCTCTGATTGGCTAGAGGTGCTGGGCTCCGATTGGTTATTCCTTATGGCTGTGAAATGTCGTAGTCTGTCGGGTTAGGGTTAGGGTTAGGATAAGGGTTAAAAAATATATATTGCGTCCCGTGCCTGGAAGTGATGGCCTTCAGCCTACATAACCTTCCGATATCCGCTTGTGTGCCTTTAGCAAACGAGTCGGCACTTTGAGCCAACTCCTGAACTTGTGAGAGCAAACAGCGGAATGACGACAGTTTTTTTTATCTCTCTAAAAACAGGTGTTTGCAGGACCAGACACTTACATAGAAGGTTAAAAAACAAATAATAATCTCACTCTGGGGATATTCCTGCTCAACACAGAACGGATGTTACTGGTTGCACCTGTTGCCAGCACCAAAAGTAATATTTTCATATCAGCAAATGAGTTTAAAATTTCAATAAAGAGCCATTTCAAAGCCAGAATAGCTCGCTCTTATGAGTCTGATGAGTTGAGCAAAATGATCCAGCTCACTTAAAAAAGACGAAAGTCCCTCCAGTAGTGGGCGGCTGTAATTCAATGCGTGGCTCGATCCTCTCCAAGCACATTCCCCCTCCGCTGGAATCTCTAGTTTTCTGTATCACTCTGCCTCAGGTGGTCTAAACACCTCCATCTAACTTCACATGAGGGCTGTTGACTCTGAATTTCAACTTTCAAAGGACTCTTATAAACTACAAATAAATCCACAAAACAAAGTACTAGGTTTATGTGTAAAAAGTAGCAGTACAGTTCCAGACAAGTTATTGTACAGGTAGTTTTGATTAAGGCCAGGCCATGTCTTTGTCCTGTGTTGGTACTCAGTATAGGCCTAAAGCTGCACTCCTGTCTCTGAAATATTGTTGAATCTAGTTTGAATGCGATCCAAGATGTTGTGTTCATTTATTACTGTAAAATGACCTAACAGAAGTTATTATTTCTCCCTTCCTCACCCCTCTATCTCTCCTTCTTCTTCTTCTTTCTCAGCTGATATTCAGAGCTGCCTGGTGAGTTCGGGGGATGTCGGCTGCGGGACTTTTCAGTGTTTCAACAACAACTCCTGCGAAATTCAAGGGTTGCACCACATCTGCCTCACTTTGCTGCACAACGCCGGGCGCTACAACTCGCAGGTGGGGACGGCGGGACTGTTTGACCTTAAGTCACCCTCATTAACGCACTTTTTCAGAAGTAGGCTAACGCGTTTCCCATGAGGTCCCGTTTGCTCTAACTTACACGGTCTGAAATCACATCGGTGAGAGCCATCTTAGACCAGGCATATTTGTAGTATGTGTTTTTATTTCATCTAATCCCTTCAGTCATTACAGCCATTTGTGAAGAATGTTTCTCGTATAAGGATCACCGTATAGTTATGCATGGTAGCACTGGTTACAGAACAAACCGAGAGGGGAAGTGAAATCAGAGAGGGAACATCCTGTCTTCTCTACTAGAATAGAAGTGCATGCAGCTCCGGGGTGACTTCTGTATGAACAGGAACATTGGATGATGTTCAGCCTGGATCCCTGACTGTAGATAATTATAATACAGCTCCACAGTAACAAACGGTGTATTATTTAAATGTTTGTGTCATGGACAAGAGTGGAACATTTCTGAAGTTGTAGTGGGTCTCTTCACGACACAGTCGCATGCAAATTTGATGCAAAAGTACACTGATCAAAGGAGTATTTTTGGATCTCTTGAGGTTCAAAATCAAACCTGACAAAAATCAGTGCTTTTAACTTCACCAAAAACTCGAATGGAGATGCTCTAGGTTGTCATTTTTCAGTTGAGGCAGTATGTTATTGTTTAGTTATATGTTAGTGATGCTGGATGATGGCTGTAAGTGGCCTACTCTTTCACCCAATTACTTTTTTTGTTCCTCTACCTTTCAAATGCAAAATATATAGAGTTGTTACTACAGACTTATATTCCGGCATAAATTTAAGTTATGGTCAAACTCACTGTAACACCGAGTTAGACACCCCCTTAAGAGATGAATGTTGCTGACCGCTTGCTTCTCTAGTTATACCAACTTTAGTAACGACCGCACAATAGCAATACACAGCGGTCTACATCTCCACACACAAACCTCAACCAAAACGCCACAAATAATGCTCAGAACAGCACCTAACTTCATCAACAGTACATATAGGGTCCCAGCCATAGTACTAGCCACCAAACATCTTTTTAACTTTCCCTGATTTCTTTAGCAAAGAGACTAAAGACAACTCAACCACTCTCTTCCAGCATCCGCTTGTTTGTGGGGGAGCCCTAACGAGTCGATCACCGGGTCCAGCGGAAAATTTATGATTATTACTTCATGCAAATGCAATCAGATCGAGACGCCAAGGCAGAAGAACTACCACGTCTACAGTGCGCATACAAGATACCCAAGAACTCTGGTTGCATTTTCATGAAGTAATAATCATAAATGTTCTTCCTTGAGCTGCGAAACTCCGCTGCACTCTGTGATCGACCGCTCTGTCTTGCTATCATGCGGTTGTTGCTTTCGTTGGTATAACTTGAGAAGCAAGCAGTCGGCAACATTCATCTCTCGAGGAGGCGTCTAACTCGGTGTTACGGTGTGTTTGACCATAACTTAAATTTACACCAGAATATCCCTTTAACTTCACTGCTGTGGGATTTGGAGAAATCCAAAGATTGGCATCCCGTTCAGGTGCAGCTTCTGAAATGTGATAAGCCACTGGTGATTCCCACCCTTAACGTTCACTAAAAGGAGGTGTCCCACTGATCCCCACTGTCCCTCCTCTCCCACCAGGGCAAGTCTTTCGTGAAGGAGGCGTTGCGGTGCATGGCGCTGGGACTTCGGCAGCGCTTCAGCTGCGTGAGCCGCCGGTGCTCAGCAGTGAAGGAAATGGTGTTTTCACTGCAGAGAGAGTGCTACTCCAAACACCAGCTCTGCCTCGCTGTGCAGGACCACATGGACACCATGGGAAGCCTGGTCCAGTTCAACTTGATGTTTCCCCCGGGGTGAGAGAAACTCACACAGTAATCAAAAATCAGCGGAGGTGGATAACTGTAGTTCCTGTATTAAACTATTTAAGATGAATGACTCAGGACAATCCTGTGAAAATAGGGAAAAATTATATCCTGAAGAAAATGACACACTTAAAGGTTTTTAAAATTATTATACTGTTTATTTGTTAAAAGCTGGAAAGACAAGTCATTAAACCAGTAGATCCCATCTTTTCCCATGTCCCACCAGACCATACGTGGAGCTGATAAACTTCCTGTTGGACTGTGGAGACGAGGTCAGATCGTGGGTCAGTCTACGGATGCGCAGCCAGTGCGAGCAAAACTGGGGGACGCTGTGCAGCAGCTTTGGCAGTTCCTGCTCTGTCAGCCAATCAGACACTCCACAGCACACCACGACCAGCCCACTACCGACCACTGTGCCCCGGCCCTTCACTCTACAGCAGCCGACAGCGGAGGCGCAACATGAAGACAACAGCCAAGTCGACAACACGACACAATCTGGTCCGCCTGTGTCAAATAATGCTGGTGCATCGTAAACAGACAGGAAGGTCCCGTTCGGGCGCAGAAAGGCGAATCAGAACAGAGGGATTAGATGTAGTGGGTTTTCTGGCGAAAGCAATAACTCATAACTTATTTAACCAATATGATATTTACGCTTAACTAATATTTGTCTTTGTGTTTGACTTGTAAAAGGATTAAAACCGTTTATCTACCTCACTTCCACATGACAGTAAGTCTCTGTGACGAGATATTTCAGCACTGGGTATGGACGACGGGGAATTTCAAGTGCAGCTCAGTCAGAAGTCTACTATTTAAGTGTTTTTGTATTTATAGAGTTCAATGTATTTTAATATTCCTCTTCAAGAATCACATTTCATATATACACCTTGGATTTCAGGTAATGTTTTGTAAGTTTTTCTGTAAACGTGTTTTCACTGAAAGTCAATAAAGTACAAAGAGTTTACTGGACAAAGAAAAGCGTGTGGATGGAGTCTCAACATCTTCATGGTGGTGTTTTATGTTGAGTATCCTGCCATCTACTGGTGCATCAGTGGAAATGTAGCCAAGCACTCCCTTAATATGTTAAAAATATTCCGTTTTATTCAAAAGCGGACATTTATTCATACATTCATAAAAGGTATTTAACATCCACAATGTGTCTGACTTCACATCACAGAGTTATTTCACAGAATCAGAGACTGAGCTACCCTCCGGATCAGCTGTTTGGATTTAAGACCAGAGATGATTCCTCCACAACTGTAACATTGAAAAGCCATCTTCACCCGACCAGCATACACACTTTATGAACCGCACATACACGTATAAACACACAGGTTGTATTTTGACAATACTGTAAACAAAAAGAGGGTCACTGCACACCACGGCATTAACCCCGGTTCGTTATAAATGCCAGTTGATGTGTTAAAGTGCCTTTTTTGGAACTACTTTACAGTAACATGAATGCCTTGAAAATGTATAAGAGTGTAGAGTTTGCATACCTCTCTAATTTTTGAATTTCATCATTTTTGGACATCACAGTCACTCTATAGTTCTTAAGACGTAAGCTTCAAACAGTCCACAAGAGCCGCAGACTGGCTTTTGTCCCCCGCCTCACCTGTAGGTGCTCAACAACTTTTGCCTCTCCACCAGGTGATGAACATCGTATGACATGGCTCAAAAAGGTGAAGTGTTTTTTCTTCAGCTGATTTTGCAAATCAAAACCTACATGTTGCATATCAATCAAGTTAAAATAAACAGAGGTGCCAAAAGAGATGAAATATTTTCTCATTTCTCATTTCTGTTGAAGTAGTAAGACTAAAAAAAAGTTCTTCTAAAGATCAGGGTGTGAAGCAGCTGACTAAATGAACGGAAAGAGGCGTTTCTTAAGGATGTAGAGGACAGTGGCGAGGAAGAGAGCCAGAGCGAGGAAGATGAGTAGCTTATCTGTCAGCTCACGCCTGTTGTACTTGAGGATGAGTTTCCGCCCCAGGTGGATGGTTCCTGTCATATTTTTAAACTCCTCGTTGGTTTCCAGCACAGTCCTGGAGGAGGTGGCTTTGGCGAGGAAGATGAGAAGAAAGAGACGTCGTTAGGTTACAGAGATGTGAAACGGAAATGAAAGCTATTTCAAAATAGGCCTGCACGATACATCGTTTGAGCATCGTCATCGCGATGTACGTGTGCGCGATAGTCAACACTGCAGAGCCTGTGATGTTGGAGGCGGATGAGCTCATCTAATTTCAAGGGTAGCTGACTGAGATACACTGCATGTGATTCTGCATCTGCTGTGCAGCACATGTACTCAGTTGCCAATCAGACTATTCTGCCAGCCGTCAATCAAAATCAGAGAGGAGGAAACCACGCCCCTGCACATTGAGTGAGTCGCTGGCGCTGCTGGTGTTGTGCCGAGAAACACGTATTCGCTGAGAATTACTTTGGGAACATTCCTCATCACTGTTTAGCCCAACAAATAAGAACTGTATGGATTTTAAATCGTACATTTCCATGGACCACTCTACTATAAGTGGTGCGCGTTTTGTGAGGTGCATGCCATTCTCGGAGGACGTGCGTTTCTCGGCACAACACCGCTAATAACAACAACAATTGTAAAATGAGAAACGAAAATGAAGACTTGTTGCCAAAAAGAAAAGGAAAGTCAGTTATCTAGAATTATTTCGGTTAAAAGAAGGATGATGTCAACCAAAACACGTGTTCTGTGTTCATCTGTTGCCACAATAACGTCCCAGAACAATAAAAGCTAAAAATATCTCTGAGACAGACAGAGGCCACTATACTAACATTCACGAAAAAGAGGTGAGATTAGTGCAGGTTAACTGTCCACAAGATTTCAGCAGTGCAACATAACATTAAGTGTTTTTTAATATCACAATATTTAACGCAGGGTTTAAAAAAAAAACGCAATGTTAGTTTTTTCCAATATCGTGCAGCCTTATTTCAAAACAACATAAATAAACACGAGAGTTTTCTTTTACCCAGAGTGCCGATTGTGTCCTCGCTCTGCTTCACCTGCTCAGACATCATCCTGCTGATGGACATCAGACTCTCTGTGATGTTGCTACTGGTCTCCACAAGACTTTCTTTGGTGGCTTTTCTGAGAAGTAAAACTAAGAATGAAAATGCAGTCATGCACTTAACAGAGCAGCAGTAATATTAGGTTTAAGTTTTTTGTTTGTTGGATTGAACCGAAGAAATCAACGCTTCTTCTTAGATATTTATGGTTAAACGTTATGAAAGCAGAGGAAATTCAGAACTACACGTTGTGTTATTTATGATTTATCTATTTTTATGGTCAATCAATTCATCTAAAGGTGAGGTTATCTGCAGCAGTGTTAAACATATCTAACTCTTTACAAATCAAGCAAAGACTCAAAGGCAGTCGATTCTAAAAGAAACATGTTAGCCAGTGACTGAAGCAAATATTTTTTCCTGTTCCTTTAGTCCTTACCCAACTGAAAAGCCAAGCTTCTTAAACCCAACTCTGAATTAGAGACAAAGACACACTTCAAAAAAATGAAGAATTATTTTTGCCGCCTCTGACTCGGTAAAACCAACTCACCTCTGTCTGATGTTCGAGATTTCTCGTCCATGGAGCAGCTCGTCCTTCTCCATGTTATCTATCGAAAGTTTACAGGCCAGGTTTGCTTTCCTCCAAGCTGTCTGATTACTGGAATCCACAAAAAAAGAATTAAAATCAAACTGGAGAAACAACAAGAATTGAAGCTTCTGTTCGTCTGTTAGTTGTTTATCAGGTTTATTGTGTCTGGATCTGTGTTAATGTGCATGGTATTCAGCTTCTTCAATCCTAATTGAATACCTGTTAATGTATCTTATCAGCTTCAGCCTTGGACGGAAGCAGAAAAATTAAAAAATACACAAATGACAGGCCTCTGTTTTTTTTCTGTTTGAATACTGAATTTTGACAAATATTTAACTCACTGTAGAAGACTGAACGCTGGCTGATTCATGAGGGAAAAGGTGTAAATAAAGATGACTGCTGTTAAAGTGTCTGCATGTGTTTGTCCACGTACCTTAACATCTGTCTTCGTTGGCTCTCTGTCTCTGCTTGAATAGCCAGTCTGTCCGTCTCTCTGTCCTGTTCTCTGGCCATTTGCTCCAGATCCTGTCGGCATCAAATTAGATCAAACTAAACTGTCTGGAACAGTAGCAGACGAATCTCAAATCTGATAGAGTTTGTTAAATGTATGTGTGTATGTGTGTGTATGTATGTGTGTGTGTGTGTGTGTGTGTGTGTGTGTGTGGTGGCTGACCTGGATTCTTAGTCTGAGTTTGCTGAACTTCTCTTTCACCTGGGAGTTGAGCTCAGTGAGGGCTGAATGAGGTCCAGGACAATCCCTGATGTCCTGTAGGTGGAGCACAAACACAAATGTGGTACAGAGTTTAATGTACTTAAGACTGGTTATCTTTCAGCAAATTCTGCCTTTCAGGTCTGTCAAAAGTCAATATTAAAAACCATCATTTAGAACCTTTTTAAAACACAGACTGACTGAACAAATTCTCATTAAACTTCATCTAAAAGGATATTCTGGCATAAAATTAAGTTATGGTCATACACCTTAACACCGAGTTAGACACCCCCTTGAGAGATGGATGTTGCCGACGGCTTACTTCTCTAGTTATACCAACTTTAGTGACGACCGCACGATAGCAATACACAGTGGTCTGAGAAGCCATAGACAAACCTCAACCAAAACGCCACACTATAGCCACAAATAATGCTCAGAACAGCACCTAACATCAACAGTGCATATAGGGTCATCGCCATAGTACTAGCCACCAAACATATTTTTAACTTTACCTGATTTCTTTAGCAAAGAGACTAACCACAACTCACCCACTCTCTTCCAGCAGCCCCTTGTTTGTAGCGCGTGGCTCTCTGTATTGCTATCCTGCAGTCATTACTAAAGTTTGTATAACTAGAGAAGCAAGCAGTCGGCAACATTCATCTCTCAACGGGGGTGTCTATGGATAATTTTCCTAATGTCTTATTCTTCAAACTTAAGTTACAGAAAGCTTTATGGCCTTTTAGATGAAGGTAAATAAACATCATTTCTATATGAATAAGATGACCTTTTTTAAGGTAATCTGGGACTCAGCGGAGGAAACTTGTTTGTTTGTTTGTTTGTTTGTTTGTTTGTTTGTTTGTTTACAAAGAAAAGTTTATCCTCACTTCGGTCGAAAACCTCTGAGATGCTGCTTTGGTTGGTAAGTTAAAAGTTTCTTTTACTTTATGTCTAGCTCTTTCAGACCTCTAGTATTAACAGTGTTTAATGTATTTAATGTTCTTTAGGGGTTAAATCTATTAAAGGTCTTTAAAAGTTACCTAATCTTAGTTTTGATACTTGAGTAACTTTAAGAGTCTCTTTAACGGACATTTCAGAATAACAAACCCGGAGTAGAAGATCTCAGAGAAACAGTTCATATTTGAGATTGTTTACCTGGATTAGAGCTTTAATTTCGAGGTCATATTTGATGATTTCTTGTCCACAAATCCGGACATGAACATCCGCCGAAGACGCCATGTTTGTTTTTGATACGGCAACTTGGAGGCCCAAAAGACACCGCGACTTCTTCTTCTTTGGTTTTGGCAGACCAGAGGCGTGTTGCTGCCCTCTGCTGTTTCCATGCGATATCTGTTAGATCTTCGATATCTTGTTTTTTATTTTTTATTTATTAGTGTTTTATTTTTGCCTTTCACTGTACTCACTTTGAGATCTGTTTTCTCAGATGTAAAGTACAATATAAATAAAAATTATTGTTATTATTATTTTATTTTATTTTTTGTTATATCTTCTTTATGTTGTTCCAAAAAACACCACAACGTCTGAGACAAAGCATTTTTCAGACAACACCCAGACAGAGGTCTGTCTGATAACTGAGAGATAAAGTCCTTCTGCAAGAACAAGATAAGAGCAAGGAACAAAAAAACCCAAAAAATTTAATTATGTGACAAATTTAACTAACAATTCAAGTTCGTAAATAAAGTTTTTTATTAGAACCATCGTTCTTTAGAAAATGTAAACCAGAAAGAGGGAAAATCGTTTATTTATAATGAAAACTAAATAAATAAAAATAATTATAATAATGATAATACATTTTATGATAATAATAATAATAATATAATAATAACAGTTGTATTAACGTGTTACATTCTGTATAAATATAAATATAATAATAATAATAATAATAATTATTATTATTATTATTATTATTATTATTATCATTAATAAATTTAAAGGACATTTTGATTTTTTAAGTGATATAAACATTTCAGCTCCAAAAAAATGTAAATTTTCTGGCCATAATTTTTGGTTTCTGGCATTAAAGGGCTACACTGTCCTATCATTTAGAAGGAAAATATGACCAAAATATAATTTTAAAAAAGCCTAACCATGGACCTAACCCTCTCAATATTTCTGAGCTGATTTCTCCCCATGAGCCAGGATGTCGTCTCTGGTAGTGGTCTGCTGGTCCTGTCTGAAAACTAAAGGTGACAGAGAACTCAGACTCTGAAACTGCTTATTAGGAATCATACCTGCAGGGTAAATCTCATTATTTTTCCTTCTTCATAAATCTATAATTGAACAGCCGTGGGCACATGTTTAAATTTATACAGCTTTTGCTTTTTGTTGCTTATTGACATCAAAATTCATTGAAAACGACATGAATACTAAACACTGCATACATCAGTGTGTACACTTACATCCTCTGCTCGACAGGGTCAGCTTTACAAACCGTGAGACAAACAGGAGTCGTGTTGGGGTGCTAATGGTTTTATTGTTTCATATTAAAATCAATAAACATAATCAGACTACTGTGGTTACAAGCAGAGCTGTGGTACCAACTCCCGGCTGATACGACAGAGAAAAGAATGATTTTAAAAAATAAAAAAAAAGAAAGAAAAAAAAAATTGAGAGAGAGAAAGAGGCACGAAAACACAACAGAGATTCAGGGCAGGTGTCCGCAGGATGTCGAGCAGCCAGAGACAGAAACTGTCAGAAGCTCTGAAACAGAATGAGTCCTTACAGTACAAACCGAGAAAAAAAAAGAAAAAGAAAAACTCTTAAAGATTTCCTTGCTTGTGCATAAAGCCACCCACTGTGCCTTCGAAGAAAATAAAAATACAAAGAAAAGTGAATTGAACCAAAAGCAAAAACCCAGCACGACATTTATTACACAACATAAATATAACAACTGTCAAGATATTGTATTTGAACAGGCATATATGTGAACTACAAATATAGACGTCATTGCTAAAGAGAGGATCAAGTTAGTTTCAGCAGGATACTTTACGCAGGTTTTGCTTCTTTATGAAATCAGAATCACCAAGAGATCTATTGTAGAGCGCTTAGCAATGGAGAACAGCCTTCCTACTGAGACTGGGGAGTGGACCACACACAGGACTAACTACAGAGAGATCCCATGCTGTTGATCTAATCAAATAAGTAACCATACAAGGCCAGAAGCATCCGAACAATGACATGTTTAGCTGTGAAGCTCAGGATGGCAGATACCTCACACATGTTTGGACTTGTATGGATTTCCTTAAAGAGTAAAAAAAAAAAATAAAGATCATCCTTTATTGTTATCATTATTATTATCAAGGTTAAAAAACAAAAAGAAACAGAAACGATGCTTTAGGATTCAGTTTTTTCTCTTTTTGTTAAACTTCTCTCGCTCCATGCATTTTGGCAAGTCTGGAGGGAGGTCAATCATCGCGGTGTTGGATTATGAGTGTGTCGATATGAAAAGGGAGGGGGGTTGTTTTTATTATGTAGGCTGAGCTGTTGTCTTTTTCTTTAGTATTATTATTATTATTATTGAGATCAGTCTGCAAAAGAGGAAATGAACTTCTTCTTCCTCATCATCGTTCACTGTAGGGGAGGGTGAGGGGTCTCTGCCCACCAGCCTTTATTAAGTGACCCCTGGCTAATCTCAGGAGCTCCCTGACGAGACAACTGCAAACTAAGCCCTTCTGATCGGAAAAGAAAAACAAAAACACAGCACCCAGAAGGGAGGAAGGAGGAGGAGGAAAGGGCATCTCCAGTGCAGTCGGTGGAGAAGTTTTCACAGAAAACTGATCCATTTTTTCCAACATCACGCTCCAAACCTGAACTCCAAAACTACAGAGTGCCTGACTCTCAGGGGAACAAAAACAAGACCTGTGTCAAGATGAGTTTGTCTTTCCCACTAGTATTTTCCTTCTCCACGACCATATTCAGAGCGGGATGCTTGAACATCTCTGCAAAGTTACTCTGCTGTATTTCAGGTTGTAGGCCTCGTAAATTTAGACTCTCAGAGCGAGATTTGAGCTCATCTGAAGTCAGCTAGGAATTGAAAAGCAAGGGCATTTTGGAAATACTACGACCTTCAAGTTTTTAAAAATCTGTTGGCTCGCACAATAAGAAGCAGTGACACAATTACAATCGTCAGAATACTTATCCAATTGTTCGTTGAAAGGGCAACTGGACCTGCTTGAGGTTCTTGAAGACGTTTCGCCTCTTTAACAACCTCAAACAAGTCCAGCTGATTGGATTACCATGAGATAGATGAGTGAGAACCAACACAGACATCAGAATATCAAGACTTACAACCTGTCATACAACAGGAAAACCCCCGCAAATGTTTCAGCCTCCTGACTGTGAGCACGGCATCAGAGGGAAATGAAGAAAATCAAACTGTCCTTCTGACCACGTGAAAACCTCCAATGAAATAAAACATTTAAAGAGCTTTACAGAGAATCAACGATCGATCAAAGTCACCATGAAACTGCAGATCTCAAAGTTAACGCCCTTTACCTCATTTAAATTCATGTTTTTTTTAACTAACTGCGTCCTGTGAAGTATTTTAATAATATATCAGAAGTTTCTAAGATGGACACATTTTAGGTCAATCACAACACTTCTAAATCCTTAGTCAGATCCAAAATTTCCCACTTTTCAAGATCGTAGTCCACGCATGACAAGAGCTTTAGATGAGTGAAGCTGAGCTGTTTCCCTCTGTCTGTAGTTTTTGTGCTAATCTAAGCGAGGCTGAGGTTACTGTTTATATGAAGTGCAAATAAGTGACCCTGCGGCCGCAGCTCGCAACAGGTGCTTCGACAATGGGATGCTAATCAGCGCCTCCAAGTCCGAGGCCCTGGACTTAGTCAGAAAAAGGTACATTGCCCTCTCCGGGTCGGAGGGGAGGTCCTGCCTCCAGTGGACAGGTTAAAGTATCTCGGGATCTTGTTTACAAGTGAGGGTAGGATGGAGTGGGAGATGGACAGGCGGATCAAAGCGGCGGAGACTCTCGATTTACCGGTCGATCTACGTGCCGAACATCACCTATGGTCATGAACTTTCAAAAGAACGAGATCGTGGATACAAGCGACCGAAATGGGTTTCCTGCGCAGGGTGGTCAGGCTTAGCCTTAGAGACAGGGTAAGGAGCTCGGACACTCGGTAGGCACTCAGAGTAAAACTGCTGCTCCTCCACGTCAAGAGGAGTCAGCTGAGGTGGCTCGGGCATCTGGTTAGTTCTGGATGCCTCCCGTTAGAGGTGTTCCAGATATGTCCCACCGGGAGGAGACCTCGTGACCGACCCAGGACCAGGTGGAGGGATTATATCTCTCGCCTGGCCTGGGAGCGCCTGGGAATCCCCCCGGAGGAGCTGGTGGAAGTGGCTGGGGTGAGGGCTGTAGGGGCTTCCCTTTTGAAGCTGCTGCCCCCGCGACCCGGACCCGGATGAAGCGGAAGAAAACGAGACGGTGAATAAGTGAATAATCATCTTCTTTTAAGTCACTATTGGATGGGTTTTCATTGTTTTTGCACTAAACCAAATATAACCCCGTACTCTATCGATGAATTTAGTTAAAACGGAGCTGCACAGAAAAAAGGACTTGAGCACAAACCAGTCTGACAGTAACTACATGTCAACATCGCAACCAGGGGGGAGAAAAATTTATATTCTGTGGGATTAATTTCTAAAGTTTGTCCACAGTTCCATAGGGATTACTGGAGGAGGCGGGATTTATGACCTATACTGCAGCCCGTCACCAGAGGGTGCTGTTCTCACGGAGGAGGCAGACGGCGTCCATTCTATATACAGTCTATGATGGTGATGCATCCGATATGTTCTCTATTGTTGGTCAAATCGTTGTAATCCGTGTGAATTCGAGGGAATCGTGTCGTGAGAATCTTGTTTCATTTTGACTTTGATTCGTGTCGGAGTCTCGTGTAAACTCTCGGACTCCTGGTGAAACCTGCACCAGAGGAAAAACTACAGAGTCTAGTTTTAACAAATTACCTCTTGACACTTTAATTTGTAGGACAAAACACAAATATAAAATAAATGCTATCGTAAGTGGGATCAGGAGAAAATTATATATATATATATGTAATTTATAAGAATTCCAAACAAGCAACATTTGACAGAGTCAAAGCATAAATATCAAACCATAATACTTAAAATAAAGTTTTAACATACAAGCTGGACAGCGGCCTTAAAAAGATACAACATTCATGAACTTTCTGGGTTCAGACAACAAGAGGCGTCCTCTGTGTGTGTCCAACAAAAAGAACGAAACAGAACGAGGAAATCTCCACCAGACACTCCCACCTGTCTGAATGATCCTGCAGAGGAAGACTAGTCTACATTCATTAGCAAAGCAGCAGAGTTATACCTCGCCGTGTCAGCATACAGCAGTGCAGAAGTCAGAAAAAACACAAGACTGACCCGAGTCATCAACAGAAGGAATAATATGGCTAATACAGCTTGTGAACAAAGCCATGTTAGCACCCAGCCACAGACAGATTAGCACCACAGTTTACCTCCACGCTCAGTTTGTCGCTTCATTCGCAACCTGCGACTCAGTGCCAACACTGACTTCAAGGAGGGTCTGGCACTTCATAATAGCAAAGTTAAGAAATGGATAATATGTTTTTTTGTTTGTTTTTGTGATTTTTTTTTAATCTTTCTCTAAAAAGTCTCAAGAGGCTCCATGTTGAAACCAAAGAAGTAGAAGAAGAAGAAGAAGAAGAAGAAGAAGGATGCATCTTAATTTTCAAGGTAAAAAGCAGGCCCCAAGTCTCCCTCTGCCTCAGACACAGTGGAAGTTTGCTCTTCTCTTCACGGACACACCAGCGGTGATAGCAGCAATAGCAGCCAATACAGAAAACACAAGAACGTGGCATAGTGGGCAGAGAAAGAGCTAAAAATATAGAACCGGGTTTCCCAAAACATTGATTTACTGCAGTTCACAATTGATGCTCTTCTTCATTGATGGGGAGCTCTTCACTATGCATATTACAATTAGACAGCTCGTCTCTGCTATAAAGGCTGACTAGTTTACAAAAAGTCTTGGTTTGGGGAAAATAAGGTTTTCATTTGATTTGTACTTGAGGTGCAGGTTTTTTTTGGGAAACCCAGCCCCTCGTTTCTGTCGGGAAACCCCCTCCAGACTGACAGAAGGTGCAGATTTGTGTTCTCGTATCATTAATTAAGGCACCTGGTTTGAGCAGGCATCATATTCAAAGTATTGTTTTTTTTTCCTGGTTAATATAAAAACCAAGTGGAAGGTGAGTAACACTGTTGGTCTTTCGACGAATAAAAACAAGGGTTGTGGTGTAATCATACTGTATTTGTGTTGTGGATATGCTAAACCAAAACCTTGAGTCTTTTTGTGCTCATTCATTAGCAGCAAGAATGAAATCATTCAACTGAGAGGACGGTGAGTTAACTTTTAACGACGCCGAGTCATTTGCGAATGTGCAAAGATCACTTGTTTCTCTCAGTGTTATGCAGGGAATCAGCATTCAGTGTTCTCACTGTATATTTTATCACAGAGTACATTTCTGACGACGTGTCGCTCAGACACGGGGAACAATGCAGAGGGTAGAAAGCACGCGGCCTCGGAGGATGAGGCGCTCTGACAAGCAACGGGGAAACTTTCATGGATTCAAACAAGACAGGAAACATTTGAACGGCCCGATAAGAGGCTGAAAACCAGACTCTCAGTTCTGATATCACTGCCATCAAGAGAGAGAGAGAGAGGTCACGACTGTTTTTGTTTGACCAAATGTATGAGGATGATGTTTGTTTTCATTTCTCTCACAGATCTGTGATTTTCAAGTAAGCTCATCAAACTTTTCTCATGAAGTCTGTGTTTTTACTTCAAAAATGAACTGATCTGTTACAGCTGCTACAAGCTCATTTTTATTCATTTGTAATTTTGATTATTTCTTCGTCACATAAACAAGGCAGGAAAGGTCAAAGTTTCCACCCTTTTAAGCTCTGATTTTGGTCTCCTCCACCTTCTGAGAAAGGCATCCGTTATGTTGGTTACTAAATGCACCAAAATGTTCACCGGACTTAAGCTAGTTAGTTTTCTAATACATAAATATGCATGCTTGTGCACCTGACATGGCTCTACGGAGGAAGATTAGGGCCACTGAAAAAAAAGAAAAAAAGACGATATAATTTTTTAAAAATAACTTTTCTGAGGAGAAAAGTCATAATTAATGAATCAATCTCAGAAATCCAATTCATTCTCAGAATTCCAACTTTAATCTAAAAATTCCGACTTAAATCTCAAAATTCCGACTTTAATCTCAGAATTCTGACTTTTTTCTAATAATCCCAACTTCAGTCTCAGAACTTTGATTTAAATCTCAAAATTCCGACTTTTAAACTCGGAATTCTGTGGGGTTTTTTTCTCAAAATTCTGACTTTAATCCCACAATTCTAATTTATTTCTCATAATTCTGACTTTAACCTTTTGACTTTAATCTCAGAATTCTGACTTTAAACTAAGAGTTCTGACAAATTTCAGAAATCCGACCTTTTTTTCTTAGAATTCTGACTTTAATCTCAGAATTATGACTTTAATCTCATAATTCTCACTTTTATCTCAGAATACTAACTCTAATCTAATAATTCCGACTTCAATCTCAGAATTATGACTTAAATCCCAGAATAACAAATAAAAAAAAAATTCCGACTGGAGCTTTCTTTTTTTTTTTTTTCAGTGGCCCGCTCTTCTGTATAGATCTTGAGTTGCATACACTAATATATATTATACGGTGCCAGTGAGCAAATTTAATTGATTGCAGTTATTCTTAATTTTTTTCTTTAACAAACGGTGAATAAATATCAGCTTTGAGGGGTTTTTTTTGGAAAGTCTTTCAAGTTTTCCTGCTTTGTAAATCATTTTTAAATTTATTTTCATTTGTAAAATAATTAAAAAGATGATTTTCTCTTCGGCTTCAGGCAGTAATATCAAATCAAGGAGTTTGGCTTTTTACAAGGAAACACAAAATGCTAAACAACAATGTTTACAACAGTTCAGTAACACAGAAATCACCAATCGGTTGTTGTTGATGTTGTTGTTGTTGTTGAGAGAAAGATAAAGAGTTGATCTTCTTCTCATTGGTCCAACAGGGACAGTTCAGGTCTGATCACATAATCAATGTTACCCTCGGCACTCGGGTTATTTCTGATGCAATAAAAAGTAACAAGCACCATGTGACAAATCCCAGAAATCAGAATCGGATTCTTTCACGACTGGATCAATTTTGTTTTTTGTTTTGACAAAGTGATAATTTGTGTATCGATGTGATATAAGTCTGTTGGCCTTTTTCAGTTCCTGTAAAGAGCATTGCACTATATTGATTGACATTTATCATAACAGACACACACACACACACACGCACTCACACGCACATAAAATATTTGTACAGAGTAAAGAATGGCAACAATAACTGGAATACATAAATATATTGTCTTTTGATTTAATATGTCATCACGTATGTCAGATAGAAGAACGATATTACCCTGATTTGCTGAAGAAGAGCTTTATGGATCCACTTAGCTTTTATTGGACAAGAGTAGCACAAAGTTACACACTCTATTAGCTTAATAGTTGACTGTATAGGATTTATGTCATCAGAAATAAAAAGTAGAAGGAATAGTTTTTTTTTTTTTACTGGCGTGGATTTTTCACTCACTCCTCGACTGTTAAAATGCCACAGAGTCTCCTGGTTTGAATGTAAAGTTGCACAGCTTTGCGCCTATCATGTTAAATGTAAAAACCTGTGAGAACTCTCTCTTAGAACCAGCCTTGTGATCGACAACAAAACACACACTTCTTCTCTTAAGCTGCACCACAGTCGGTCAACCAGCGGCCCTTTAACCACTGTCGACCCCCCATCAGACCCGGGTGGAAATCTTAGCTGAAAAAAAAAACTGCTTCAAAGTTTTTTTTGGACAAACTGAGCAGGAGTCTTTCCAACTTTGAAGCACCTTTTCAGATAGATTTCACCGCGTCTGCTGCTCTTCAGTCAAGGTTGTTTTGAGCCAATCAGGCTGAATGGTTTTTGTTGTTATTGTTGTTGTTGTTGTTGTTGTTGTTGTTGACCATATACGGGGCAGAGGAGCGTCACAAACCTCCCTCGAGATCTGATACGTCGTCTGCCGAGTTATTATCTTTGTTTGTGTGTAATGAAAAGTTATTAAAGAAGGCAATAAGTGTCCGGATTGAGTCTCCATTTGTAATTGGCTTGCCATACAGTACAGTGATATAGTAACTTCCCCCTAAGGCGGCCCAGAACAGCATCTTTCAAACAGGCTCTGTTTCCCGGCCGCCCCGGGCTAAACCCCTCCTCATTAAGTCACAAGTAGAAATCAGTTTATAAATGATAACAATATAGCTCTCTGGAGAAATGTGTCTACACTGTACATCACCCTGAAGAGGAAGCCAAAGCAGAATCAGTTTTTCCATAGGAAACCTCTACTGAAGGCAAATGAATCATGACGCCAAGGGGGTCAGCATCAGGATCAACGTAGGGGCCCTGGAATCAAAACCCTCTATTTTTTTAAGACCACAAACACACTATCCCCTGACCAGGAAATAGACCTATCCCGCCCGCCGAGACACCGGATTCCCTAAAAGCCTCGTAATGATATGCTCTCATTCTTCCGTATCTCATATCATCACACGGCTCCAACAGTTCCTTGCTTGTTAATAGACCTAACCGAGTCAGGTAATAGACCTATCAGAGCAAGTAGTCGTCAAGTACACTTGCAGCATTCACACCAGGCCTTTTAGCAGCAAATGGAAGAAAAAAATGCTTTTCTTTTTGTTTGATTTTTTTTTTCCTTTTTTGGACAAAGTGCTTTTGTTTTCAAACATACAAGATAGAGTATTCTATACATATATCTAACATTGAGAAGGTACATATTAACTTATATAGAGTATATTTACAAAATGAATCACACCTAAGAAAATAGCTATGGACGGTGGGGGAGAGCAAGTCATTAGGCTACAACTAGACTAAAATAAGAATCATGGATAATCATCATTCTAGTTTCAGAAAAAGCACCATTTCTCCCTTTTTAGACGGAACAGAAACAGTAAAAATATATATATATATATGTATATGTCTGTGTGTGTGTATATATATATAGCCTGGCTGTTATTCGATCACGTGATACAGACAGACCGCAGCTCTGCATCCTCATCATCAGACATCAGAGTTCATTCAGTGAAGGAGGACTTTCTCAAACTAACCTGAATTCAGCCTCGTCATCATCAAACTCAAACTCTTTCTGGATTTTCTCGCTAACCTGGAAAAATCGCGGTTGAATTTTAAAATCCCTGGGACGAGCAGCGTTTTCTCTGAGGGCGCGGCGGGGAAGGCAAGCATAAACACGCATCATGCATTTTCGTTTTTTAAAGACGGGTCGGTTTGTGGCCTGGACGTTGTAACTCTAAAATGTCTCGAGGTTATCCCGCTTTATCAGGAGGGATGTAAAGCTGAGGACCAGAGGCGAGACCGAGCAGGATAAAAAAATCAGCCGCGTCACCTCAGAGGCGGCTGCGTCATTCCCAGGGAGGAGAAAATTCCACCGACTCCACGGTTAGGGAGTAAATCTGTGTGAAAATCAAAAAGTGGAAAAACACAGTGCTGAATCCAGGTCGACCTGGGACGAAATTCTAATGGCTTTGGCTTACACCTGTAATAACACAGCTTCCTCTTCTGCCCTCACATCTCCACACCTTTTGGACACGTCCCTGTCCTCACAAAAGACATCGTATCCTCGTTTTGTTAAAAAGGGCGTTTAGACTAGACCAGACCGGAGCGTCACTGTATCGTGGTTTTAAAGAAATCCAGTCCAGATTATCTACATGTCACTCAGCCAGGGGGTCCGACTACAAGACAGCTCTGCGAGACCTTTCTCATATTTCCCCCCACTTCTACTTCTCTCCACAAAGAGAAACTCTGACCGACAAAACCCAAGAGGAAAGCTAGCAGGCAGCTAAAGTACAAAAATATAACAAGACTTTTTTTTTTTTTTGGTTTTTGTGTTTTTGTTTTTTTTCCTCTAACGTTCTGGATGCAAGGGTAGGTAGGCTTTTAGAAATGTGTCATGCTTAAAAATGAATCAATTGTCATGAAAAGTGGCATTTCACCATCGATAGACATATATCATTAATGTTTCTATATACAGTACTTTTTAAAACACAATTCAGTTAATATTTTCCTTGTCTCTACATACAGAAAAATCAAACAAGTGACACAACAAAACGTTTTGGTTATTGTTGGTGACATGTCGACAAACGAGAAGTAAAAGAAAAAATAATAATAATAATGTAACATAGCTTATCTACCAGCGCTCTCGCTTTTCTGTCCTAAAAAAAAGCGCCATGAACACAAAATTAGCATGTGGAGGGAGGCATCAGTTCAGGAATGAAGTGCTCGCTAAAAGAAAAAATAAAAATATACCGGAGACGCCCAAAGACGGGATCGACCTCTAAAAATTTTCAAAAATAAATGACTGAATGTTCCTTTTCTGCACAGAATTGGACCCAAGCTAATTTTCACAGTTCGATGAAGTTCCCTGACCCTCCCACATTTCTTACATTCAATACGGCGTCAGGTAAGCTGTGCAAAACCTTACTTTAACTGGCTGTTTCGCCATTTCGTTGCATGTGTCTTTGGTACAAAAAACAATCAAAATATAGTGTGCAAATATTTGTTTTTTTTTTTGTAACTCTTAACGAAAATATCTGTCAACCCCCCCCGTTTTCCCTGATCCCTAAAGACAGAGTACCAAAAACCAAGAAGTTGTCTATTGCAGAGCCCTCCTATATACACAGACTCTGTGGCATCACGCAACAAGAGCTTCCACTTCTTCTTCGTTTATGTACATTCAGAAAATCTTCAGACGACTGAAATACACAACTAACCCCACAGGTGTGTGTGTCTGTCTCTCTCTCTCTCTCTCTCTCTCTCTCTCTCTCTCTCTCCCTCTCTCTCTCTCTCCGAACAAACATTCACTAACAATCATCTCTCACTCAGTGTAAAGTAGTCCTCTCTCCTTGGCTGGACCTCAGGGAGCTCTGACCAATCACCTGCTCTCATTCAGTCCCTCTAACAAACACACACACACACTCGCGCACACACACACGCACGCACGCATACATACACAAGGCACAATGAATAGAACTCTGATCAAACACTATAGTATGAACACACCAAACTCTTCGCCTGGTCGTCTCGGCTGTACAAAAAGGAAAGCCAGCTCCGTTTTCGTTTTATGTACAGTTTTCCTAGAGGAGATGCATCACTGTTTGTCATCTTCTTCAACCATCAGCTCCCTCGCTATCACTGACGAAAAAAGACTTTTCGCCCCGGTCCAGTTCAAAACCAGCACAAGGCCCATTTAAAAAAAAAGCACCGAACCACATGCACAACTATCTGCCGTCGATTTGGAGAACTTTTTTCAGAATAAAAACAAAACAAAAAAAAAGCATCAAGCCTCGTTATGCATGCTCCAAACCTTCAACGCAGCAGGATTGTGACTCTTATTGTGGAAAGTCGACGTTTCTGTTTCGACTTTCAGCTTTTTTTTTCTGTTTTGAGCTTCGATTCTACAAAAGCAGGGGATGGCGTGAACATATTAAGGCCTTCAATACAAAATACATCCAGCCACCCCGTGACCCCTTGAAGCATGCTGCTCCTTTTCCCTCTCTGTGTAACACCAAAGCTCTTCTTTACCTAAGCGTGTCAATCTGACATCCTGATGTTTCCTCTTCTAGGAAATGAGAACTGGAACTTCTGATGGCGTCTGACGTTCCACAGTCCATCCTCTGTCATCGTCGCACCCTCAAACAAAAGTTCTCCAGTGGTTATTACACCCATGTGACTGTTTTTTTCGTCTCAGAACCCACCGTACACACAATGCTTTGCTTAACACATCTAAGAGACTCCAGTGGATCTGGAGCGTGCCGTCATCTACACACCTAACCATCCTTTTTTTTTCTCTAAAAAAAGGCGCTTTTTACCCAACAGACGCTCGCAATGGGTTGGGAGAAGGTGACGCACTGACTCTGCGCACGGCGGCGGCGGCGTGCAGAGACAGAAAGCTAGGGTGTCTGCCATACAGAGACGCATGGCTATAACAAGCACACATAGATACACACACAGGGAGTGGTATGTGTGTTTGTGTGGCTAACAATGTGTATGTACTCTGGGTTAGAGGGGCATGCAGAGGGGAGCATAGTTACAACGGGGACAGCACGGTGATAACATTTAGTCCACTTCTCTCAGTGGACCGCCGCTGTCTAGATTTTAGAGGTGGGGACTCGCAGGCCCACCAGTCCGCCGGTGGGGTCGCCGCGTCCTGTGTTCTCCAAGATCTTGTTGACGAAGTCCGAAGTCTGCCCGGCGACAGGTGACGCCACTGCACATAAGAGACACAAAGACACCGTGAGAGACGAGTCGAGTCCGAGGATGATTCACAAAGCGTCTGTCGTCGCTCGCGTCTTACCGAGAGTCTCCTGGATGAGATGCTCCAGAGTGTCCGTCATGTTGGTCGGACGGGGTGAAGAGTCTTCCACTCGAGCAACGATCTCCTCCTTGATGGTGTTGATCACGAAGAGCAGCCGATCTAAATGAAGGAACGAAAAGCATCCAGCGTGAAACGACGAGAATCTCAGAGACATAAAAATCAGTGAGTAACTTTGACAAAATTATCAGAACAACAACAAAAACAAAAAGGTTGGTATAACCAGTTTGATTGGTATTTAGCTATTTTCATTCATTTTAACTCATTCTGTTTTCTGTTTTCCACCAGAGGGCGCTACAACAAGAACTCGCCAGTGAGAAGTGCGCCATCAAGTGAGCCAATTAGCCAAGTTGTGGAGTGTTTTTCCTCTATCAGGAGAGTAGGAAAATGCCGTTATTAGCCAAGAGCTAACGGTCTCGGTGCATCGGATCTCGTAGGAGCGGTGCTACCGTCTCTGGATCCAGTGAAGATCCCGGTACCGGATCTTCTCATCAGCAGACATTCAAAGAATTTTCCGGTGTGTTGTTGTGCCGCCAATGCCGGTACTGGTAAACGAGCCACAGTCCTAGCGGGGAAGACGCGAGCAGTCCGTGTGGTTTACGTCGTGGCGACAGAGCCAATACAACTCCCAGACGTCACAAAATGACCTATCACAATCGGATCTCGAGGAGGGAGGACCTTGATGCCACCGGTTAAGTAGTTTGAAGTGAAATGAAATAGACGATCAGAGCTTACTTGAAAGTCTCTCCTTCGTAAAAATGTGTTTTTCCAGATCGATAGAGATGATACGACCACACTGCATTGATCGATAACTAAACACAGGAGTGGGTTAGAGACTAACTTTGTTTTTCTGGTGAAAAAAGAGAATCACCTCTTTCTTTTCAGATATTGGGCTTAATTCTAGTCTAAGCACAAGATATTCTGTTGGTAATGAAAGATACGTAAATTTCTATTGCAGTCAATGGTGGCACTGGATGAGTTAAAAAGCTTGAAGAAAGCCAAAACTACATGTCATCATCAATAAATAAGAAACAAATCGATTTGAATCATATTTCTAACAGAGAACAGGGTTCAGGTTTAGTGTTGTAAGCATCGTACCGTACTCCGTGCTGAGTCCCCACAGCTTCACCTTGTTCGCTTCATACTGAGCCTTCTTCTTTAAACGACAGGCTCTGAAAAAAACAACAACACCAGCAGAGGTGAGGTCGATGATCACATGATGACATCTGCTTTTATCCAACCAGGCTGTGACTTGAGTATGAGCGTCACGTCGGTGCGTGGTTTACCTGGAGGCCAGCTTGTTCTTCTCCTTGCGAGACCGGGGTCGAGCCGTCAGAGGCAGCTCGCTGACGGGAGTCAGGTCGCTGATCACCTTGTTCAGTTTGCGGAGCTCAGTGCCGATCTGTAGCAGCTTGCGTGGATTTGGAGTCAGGTCTTCAACGTCAGTGCGGCGGGACTTCTTCAGCAGGTACTTTCCTAAAATGATAACCATGAAAAGAGGCGGTCAGCCATAACGGTCACATTCAAAGATTCAGCTCAGAGACAAAAAAAAAAAATGTTTTTTTCTGCCTCATTCAGAGAGATGGCCATCTTGGTTCCTCTCCCCTGGGCCTTTTTTCTCCTCAAAAAGAGGCATGAGGAGCAGTAACCTGCAGTATATCTACAGAATATAGTATACTGTAGATATCTACAGTTTATATATATATTTTTTTATAACTTCATAAAAAAAATTTAAAATCGTCCGATTAATCGGTAGTCGAATTTTTCCCCCCCTAATAATCGGTATCACCATATTGGTCGGGCCCTAGCTTTGACCCAGTGATTTATATCTGATTGAGTTATTTGGAGTCTGAAAAGGCTGTTTGTTTTTTTTGTTTTTTAGATTTAAAAAAAACCGCAATGAGTCATCCTCAAAATCGTTTTCAAACAACAGAATCACATAAAGTCGACATGAGAGAAACAGAAATGCTGTTTTCTATGAACTGTTTATGTGAGAGATGAGACGTGCTCCGTTTATCTATTTATTTGATGATTTCATCGTGATCATTTAAACCACTGAATCCCCGCTGAATTCACGCTGTGCACAGCTGCTGCTGCGGAAAATCCAGATCATCACAGTCCTACTGACAGACTCGGTCCATGCCTGACGGTCTCATGTGGATCAACAATGAGCACAAACGCTGCGATGGAGGAGTGAAACGTATATCTGTGTAATTTCTCAGAAATAAAACTCTCCTCTTTGAAGATCGTCTTAAAGCGTTCGATGATCCCTCAGTGTTTGAGCACGACTCACCGCTTACATAACCAGACTTTGCTCCGGTGTACAGTTTATTAATGTTTGTGTGAATGTATACCATGGAGAGGCCCGTTCTTCTGGTACAGGTTGCTAGGCAGCGTGTGTCTGTCCCATTCAGATGGCTTGAGCATACGTTCCTGTTTGGAGGGGGTGAGCTGCTCGCTGTACTCCCAGAAGTAGCGGCGCTTGCCTCTCTTCCGGCTGGAAACCCCGGCTGTCAGACCTTTAATGTCCTCCATCAGCTCCATGTCGCAACCTGGCGAGGGGAGGGGGGGTAACAGAGAGAAAACGCAGAGTTAGAGACCATCAGGTGACTTGTCTCACATGTGAAGCAGAAGTATGAAGGGATGGGAATTGATAAGATCTTATCAATATCGATGCCATTATCAATTCTGCTTATTGATTCAATTCTTTAATGATTCCCTTATCAATTCCCTTATCAATGCCTTTCTTTGGTAGACTATAGATTTTCACTGTTAACTCTAAATTTTATTGAGTCTCTGATAACAGAAACAGATTTATGCCACCTTCAGTGAGAGTCTGAAAATAATCGACTAAAAATGCTATTTGTACAGCGTTTCTGCCATGAATTGTGCTTATGTTAACATATGTTAGGGTGACCATATTCTGAATCCCCAAAAAGAGGACAATTTTACATGGGGGCGGACCTGTGTGCGAAATTTGAGGGTTTTTTTGGTCGGGTCGGGTGTTTTTCCCAAAGACAGCGCATGCGTGCGTCACGTCAAGGGGCAGAGCTGCAGAGAGAACTGATGCTCTGCACTGTTTTATAATGAATACACATTCCGGACATTTGAATAATTTTATAAACTCCCCCCAAAAGAGGACATTTCCGGGTAAAAGAGGACGTTTGGTCACCCTAACAAACGTACCTTCCATGCCCTGCTGAGACAGAGCAGCAGCGGCTGACGACCGGGCGGAGAGCATCGATTACATGTGACTCCTTATATTCGATGCCGTGCCCCGTTGACAAATGTTTAAACGTGTTGCTGGTGTTTCCACCTTTGCGTGTTATCATCGCTCGACTATTAGGAGAATTTTCTTTAGCCAATCCCATCAGCCTTTAGAGCGGTGGAGCCATGTAACTCAGATACCATGGATACGTTGGCGTTAGATTCCTGTAGCTGGGGGACAACCATCCTCAACAAAAACCTTGTACGCATTTTTGACATCACTCAGGTTCCCAAAATATGTTATGCTGTAGTATTCCCCTATATGGGCTCTCCATATGTTCAACTAAGGCTCCTTAAAACATGTTGTCCTTTGTTCTAACCCTACATGCACTCTTCTTTAGATCAACTAAATTCCAGCAGAATGTTTGGAAATGTGGACAACTAAATCTACCTGAACGGTCTCGAACCAGTCTTTGTTACACTTGTGGCATGATGAAGCTGTAACCCTGATCTGCAACCAGTAAAGCTTGTCAAACTGACCATTCACGTGGACCTTCCATTCTTTCTGGGCTACGCATCCTTACGTCGACAAACGTCTCGCTGTTGTCGTCTTTCTAAATAACATTAAGCCACACTTAAGCTCATTTCTGCCTACTTTTCAACCATCCGCCATGTTTTTTCTCTTTCTCGGTTCCGTTTTTCAAAGCACCCGGAAGAAAGGAATCGTTGAGGGAATCATTATGATAAAATGTAAATGATGTCGATGGGTTGAACCATTTGGAACGATTCCCACCCCTAGAATATGAAGGCGACACTTTCGTACCTGGCTCAGAGAAGGCGTCGCTCATATCGTCATCTTTGTCTGCTTCGTAGTCTTCGTCCTCCTCTTCGTCCTCTTCCTCCTCGTTCTCAGAGAGCTCGTGCTCACTGCCAAAACCCTCGTCATGGTCTTCATCATCCAGCTCCAGTCCATCGCCGTCCTCCTCCTCCTCCTCTGCCTCCTCTTCCTCTTCCTCATCCTCCTCTTCCTCCTCTAACTGGGAGTGAGCTCTTCCAGCTAGTCTGCTGCGGGTCAGGAACAGAGAGTAGTTGTGTTCTTCCTCTTTGCTCTTTTCGGTGCCCTCGACCACCAAAACCCCGCCGCTAGCTCCTGCCACGCTTTCGCCGCTGCTGACGAGCCCGGAGGTGACGCTGTCCAGCGCCTGGCTCGCCTCCACCAGCTGAGGCACGGAGGCAGACCAGCCAACGGGCATCTCTCTCTTCACGGCCCCCTCGGCGGCCCTCCTCTCAAAGCTGGTCAGGCTGCCGGAGCTCCCGGCCGCCGCAGCAGGAGGACCCCCCATGGTGGCACTTGCTGAAGTGGAGGCCTTTTCGTCCTGGGGCTGGGGAAGGGGAGGAGGTTCTGACCTCTCAAAGTCCGTCTGGGAGAGCTTGTCAGGCTGAGTTTTGAGCACAGTGCTGACGCGGACTTTAGCTTTCCGCACAAAGTCAAAGCCGGGAGAATTCGGGGCGGCCATCTTGGTTCCTCTCCCCTGGGCCTTGGTTTGAGCTTGGCTGTGGTCCTGGGTGAGACTGAGGAAGGTCTGAGTTTTGGCCATAGTCTCTGTGCTGGAGGGGACGGGTCTGGTGGCCTTCTGAGGGCTCTCGGGGAAGTCGAGGAGAAGGCTGCGGGAAGGACGGGAAGAGGACGTGGTGTTCTGGGAGGGCCGCGCAGAGCTGGGGCCTGATCCTTGGCTGGGGACCAGGGGTCTCTTACTGTGACACGGAAACTGGGACGGCTGAGGCTGGAGGCCCGGAAGGGTGAGGTCAGCAGGGGGGTAGAGCGCCTCACACACAGACTGCGAATCCTCGCTGTTGAGCTGGGCTAGCGTCGGGGTTCGACCAATCACCTCCTCGTCCTGGTAGGGGCTGGAGAAGTCATCCAGTCCGAGGAAGTCCACTTCTTTGGTGCCCCAGATGTCACAGCTGGCCAGCCGTGTGTATCTGCAGAGAACAGACACATGAGGGTCACTCAGTCAAGATTATTTATCTTTTTTTCCCTGTAAATTTGCATCTTAAACATTTGATTTTATCTCCTGTAACATCTGCACGGACAAACCTGTAAAACTGCTTCATTTTTCTACAAACCAACAAATCAAAGAGGCGCACAGGGAGCTCAGAGCTCAGAGGCGGTCTGAGGAAGACATCTGGTAGCTCCGGTTTCAAGACATGCACACACACACACACACACCTGCACAGACGCTGCTCTAATCTTTTTAGGGGGTTTGGTAAAAACCACAACAACAAGGAGCAAAGGTGCATCAGAAAACAAACTGCGTCCTTAATTTTTCAACTTAGGAGCTCATGTGCTCATTGTGGAAAAAGTTCAAGCCCTGCCATAAACCATCTGAGCTCTGGACGGTTCTGAACCGTCTGGGTTGTGAATGAATGACTCAATTCCTTCACTTCAACTCTGCAACAATCAGGAGTATCCAGCTCAGACTTCACAGCCTTTGGACTTTAAAAAAAACTGCTGTCTGCCTTTATCTGAGACTCGACTTCAGAGGAGGGGAAACACAAACTGTTGAAGCAGCAAAGCATCAGGATTGGCCGCAGGACAGAGGGAGCATCACCTGAGACCTCGGGAGACTGCGGCAGCAGGAGGCTTTGTTGTTTACCGACCCCCTTTAAACCCCTCCCTGTCTTAGAGCAGAATCTGGACCTGCCTTAAATCGTCCACTGTCAGACCGGGCTGTCCTGGCTTGAGGTTGTTTTCTGTCACTGATGGTAAACTCAGCTACTGTGAAAACCTTTAGGCAACAGTCCAATCCTGTAACATTCACTGACTGTCGTCTTCTTTTCTATTTGCCGTCTTCCTAAAGCAGAAATCAGATACAACCTTAGAGCACGACTCCGCTCTCTGCAGTGTCTCAGGTCACTGCTAAGGACTCGGCTTTTACTCATAAAGGTACCTGGCCCAAAAAACTGAAGACCCCTTCCTTAAAAAACCCTCCTGAGTTGATCTGATCCATGATCCAGTCCACTTTATCTATACATCGCATTTTAAAACATGTAAGTTCACCAACGTGCTGCACAGTAAAATCAAAAAGAACAAACACTGCAGAAGTAAAAACCTCAGACATTAAAGCAGGTCAAAGAAGATTTAAAATGTAATAAAAACACAAAAACTTAAAAGAAAGAGACGCGATAAAAAACACAGGGATTAGGACCATAAAAGAAGTAAAAGGACAGAGATCACACAACTCCTTCAACTCATCATACATTTTACATTTTAATAACCTTTATATTACACTCAAGATGTCAGAATCAGATCAGATTTTCTCTTGTATATGAAAATGTAAATATATTCTTTGAGTCATTTCCATAATTTTGCAAATCGTAAACTATTTGCGGATTGATTGAGGATAAACGTTTCCGTTTACAGCAGCCATACTCTGAGCTGGCCACGGATGACTTCCATACCGCAAGTATACAAAAATATGCAGCACGAATAAGAACATAGTGTCTGTGTTTCTCGAGTGTGGGGCTGTAATGAACCCTGAAATTTTCGACCAAAATCGACTAATCAGGGGGCAGCACTGGGGTTCCGACTCTGACAGCAAAACCTTCTGCAGCGGGGGACGACGCAGCTCGACGGGGTGAAAATATACTGATACCAGCATAAGAAGGAAATTAAAAACAAAAGGCAAGTTGAAACGCTTAAAATTAAAATAAATATCCAGCAAACCACCGGGCGCGATAATTTTTTTGTTGGACGGTAGGGGAAAGTCCCGCCTCCTTTGCCTCTGATTGGCTAGAAAAGCTGGAAACGTCAACAAATGCTCGAGCCAAAAGCGGGCTGTCAGCTCTGCACATCGCAGACGATGACGTGGACACTCTGAGACAGGCTGTTACCTGTGAAACGAGGGTGCTCTGAAAACACCCCCATTAGCACTTGGTACGTTCCTCCTGATGAAATTAACCATAGACTGTAAACTGAGATAAATGTAAAATGACTGTAATTAAAGAAAAAATCAGGTCGACTCAACAAGTATCGACCAGTCGACTAGGACTTTACAGCCCTACTCGAGTGTAGAGACATTATTGGTCTTGTGAAGAAGAAAAACTGTCCAAGTTGTTTTGCTAAGAAAACCCGTTCAGTGGAGAGAGAGCAGAGAGAGTATGTGCCCTGAATCATAAAGGATATCTCCAGTATTGGCTATGTTTAGCTTACACCAACAAATCACATGGAGGACCAAAACAAAACACACATACTGGTCCATCTCTAAACAGTTTCTGTCTGTGGCTCTCGGCCAAACGCTGAGTCATTCCCGATGAAACAGACCTTATTTTCAAAGAACAGGGTCACAAACGGAGATTTTATTGTTTATAAAAGGTTGTTCTGTCTCCGGGCAACAGAGATGAAACCCCACTGTACTTGTAATACATGTTTAGTTGTTATTCAATATAGTATGTCCTTTAGAAACGCTTCACTGCAGCAAGGCTGTGGACATGATACCAACCCAGAACGAACTAAAGTACCGACTGTGGAGGCACAAATGCAGTGGATCAGTTTTGCTTGCTTTGTTGTCGGTTGTTTACGAACCAAAAATTGAAGCGCTGTGGCCCAAAAGGCTAGAACAAATCATCTCCTGACTTCATGATCAGTATGAACAGTCGGTGGGATTATTCAGTCGATTTTTCCTACATTTAAGAGAAAAATGTGAATTATGCAGGAACACGACAGGCTTCACAAGCAAAGAGGTCCCATCCTGCCAGGCACTTCTTTCTCTTTTGACATCATAAACCGTCTCACAAATCATCCCATAACTACATAACTTCTTTTAAAAATGTGATCATAACTAAACTTAATCAGCACATGAGTCAATGGTGGCGTACCTGGTGAGGTCCTCCCAGTAGGAGTCCCACTGCTCGAACGCTGAGTTGCTGTAGGCTTCTCTCTCACTCTCGCCCAGACCCATCAGCTGATCCACACAGCCCTCCACCTCCTTCCCTCCATCTCCGATCCCAACCACGCTGTCCCCACAAGGGCTCTGCCGGTGGGTCATATCTCTGTCCTGCAGAAAACAAACAAATGATGATGAGTCAAGCAGCTGGAGGCATAATTTTTACTGTCCTAATTGGATTAAACTTTAACAATCACAGACTGAGGGGATCTGACAACATGGTGAGTCTGTGGCAGGCTCAGGTCTGTATCAGCGCACGTCTAACAGGAGCTAAAAGATCTTTTTTTCTGATTCTTTTAAAGGTGGGGTTGGCAGAAGCATCTTTTTGTGGTGTATATACAAAAAAGCTTTTAATATCAGTCAATAGATATTAGTTATTGATGACATTTGGGAATATAACGATACCGCTGTGTTTTGTTATGTCTGTGTAGTCAACTTTTTAACATTTCTAAGCGGTCCATTCATTCTGACTGTAAACACAGCTATTCTCCACCTCCCCGACCTGATTGGTTGTGAGGCAGACGCTGCTCCCCCGTGTCGTTCATTAGCCCAAACAAAGTTAGCGTGCTACAATATCAAACAGAAGAAACCAACCAGAAAGTACGGAAAATTGTCTAAATCCTCCTTTGGCCACAACTGACAACACAAGTAAGAAAAGGAAGTAAATACTGGAGACTCTGGCGGAATAACAGGCGCTTAAAAAGGAGGTAGACCAGACAAGCGCTACGAAGCAGGGTCGACATCAGCATAAACAAATGGGGACGCTTTAGGGTCTTCCGGACCCTGTAACCTTTCTGCTGGACAGGTAAACCGCTTCAACAAAGTAAGCCAAGTGTCTGTAACAGAAGTGTTTTTTTGTCAAACGGACCTGCTGTAGCGTGTTGTAGCGCCGCTAAACTGTTGACCTCGGGTCCTGGACTATGTCACTTTATCCTAGTTGTAGAAGTCCTGCAAACATTGTGTTTGCTGGTAGTCTGTTGGCATCTACAGTAGCACCAATGCTTTTTACTTTCACCTTGACTGGACGCCATTTGTAATTATCTGAAGTCTTTATCTGCATTATATCTGAATTTAATTGGAACGATACGAGTGAGCAGGAGCGTCTGTTTGTGGGCTGAGGGGAAAACTGGTTGAGAGGGGTAGAGTTTATATTCAAGATTTCTCTCCTCAGATCCTGCCGACCCCACCTTTAATGTTGATGAGTAAACTGAAGCCACACTTCTGTATCTCACTGTTTTTTTCGACTGTGAAAGAAACTGAGAGTCACTGCGGTTTAGTCTTAAGCAGACAGTTCACTGATTTTGACACCTGCAGCTGACACTGTGATGATGACAGGTGAGCTGCTGGGCTAAAGCTGTTTCATATCCTGTCATCTTTGAGATCTGAACACAGATAAACCTTTCTTCGTGGTTTTTAATCATGTTCTTCTACGACAACAGGAGGGCAGGATTCAAAGAAACTTGAAATCATCCTGGTTCTTGGTAATGTTGGTTTGAGTTTTCTCTGTTGAGTGTCTGTTCAGATCAGTGACAGCACAGCATGAGCAGCTGTGACTGATCTGAAGTAAGGCTCGTAAAGTCTGCAGCCTGTCTGTCGTGTGTGTCTTCCTTTACGCAGGTGTGGGCGACAGCAAAAGTTACACAAAAAGCTTTTAACTATGCCGATGATTTCAGAGTCTTTGTGAATGATTTTGAGTGTTTTTGGGACCTTTTTGCACATCTGTGTGTGTCTGTGTTTGTGTGCGCAGCCTACTCACCAGTTCATACATGAAATCTGGGTCAGAGCTGGTGGCGAGCAGCTCAGTGCTGGTCAGGGCCTGGTCAGCAAAGGAGTAGTTCTGAAACGCGTCCCCAAAGGGAGGCTCCATCCCACTGACGCTAGGCTGCAACAAAACAACAGCAAACACTGACGTTAATGACGGTCAACGTCGTCATCTCCAACCTTGAAACCTTTAGTCTGTTTTTAATCCTTATCATCTGTTCGGCTTTTCTTGAGTTGAGAACCACGTCCACAACTTTTAGGCTGTTTTAACAACGTTTATATTAATTAAACAGCCCAGAAATAAATTAAATCCTTAACATAAAATATTATTCTCACTCATCAAAAAACATGGAGGATAACATCAGAATATGTTATTATGAGATATTAAATGTTTACACACTAAACCTCAGTCAGTTCAGTCAGCTCCCATAAACCCTCACATCTCTGATACTGTCTCTTATTTGTCTCCATTATTTTTTTAGATTTTCAGATTTTGGTTTATATTCCCATAATCTGAAGCATTCAACATTTTCTATTAACCTCAAAATCTTTTATTATCAAATCTTTCAATTCCTCAGAAATCAGCTAGGGCTGCACGATTTTAGCCAAAAATAAAATACTAATTTTTTTCTTTAAAACTCCAATTTCGATTTAGATTTTTTTTTTTTCAGTGACAACTTCACCAAACTTCACTTTAAAAATAAAGTTTTTCTATCGTCTCTTAAAACGAAAGCAGTGATAATGATGTATTGCCTATGCCAAGCCATTGAGTGGCGCTGTAACGCTGCACAGGAAATGCACAAAAGACAGAAGAAGAGTACAGAGGATGTGTATAAAGGTTGTTTTGGCAGGACACACGCAGGCGCCATAAAAGAGTTACTCTGTGTGTCAAATGATCGTTTCCAGAGATGCAGATAGACATCCACACAGAGATGAAATGGTCGTCGTTTACGGATTTAAGCACTCTCTGACACGTTTTCAAAAAGTACCGTTTACAGTCACCCGTGTGGATGAAACGCTGATATGACAAAATCTCTGGCGCTTACTCCTGAATTCGTTACCGTGGTGACGCGTTGATACCGCCGTCACACAGACTTTTCAGCTGGGAGTGGTTTGCTCTTCATCTGAAACTGAGAAGTCGTACCAATTCCACACGACTGACTCGCTCTTGTCCTATTTAACCACGAAATTATCGCCTTCTTTTGCAAATGCCATGTTTGTTTACACTGGTGTGTGTTTAGGAACTGGGAAGTGCTCTTTCAGGAAGGAGGGAGCCTACAGTGGCCTGCAGCGGGAGAGGAAAATCGATTTGAGGATTTTAAGTTTTTTAACATCGTCATAATCAAATAATCCGATTACGATTTAAAATCGATTAATCGTGCAGCCCTACAATCAACCTGAACTTTATTTGAAGGTTTCAAAGTTTAACAACATCATGAGTTTTTTTGATTTTATACGTTTTAAAAGCTTTTAATATTCTAGGTGGTTCCAGGTGACCCGTGCAGATGGACACCTGTCCTCTGTTGTCCGTCTCACCTGAGGCATTGCCAGGCACAGCTTAGCGCTCCAGCGTGGGGAACCTCTGGGCCTCCTGTCCGGTCCCAGTGGTGAGAGGTCTTCTGACGAGCACAGTAACCTGCTGCCAAATGAGACGATCGCAGTTTGCTGGTGGATGCTGAATGAGGAAGGGGAGAGGGGGGAGGGGTCAGTCACTGGGCTCAACCTGGTGTGCTCCGGTCTGCTGTGGTCAGGTCTGGTTCTCCAGTCTCCAGGTTTCGGGTCTGTGGTTGAAGCACAGAGAAAGAACTGTTAGAGGATATCAGCGGGATGAAAAGCCTGAATTTAGAGTTTATTCTAAAACAGTGACAAATTCAAAGGTTCTTTGTTTTGATACTTTATGTACGTCTCCAAACTTCTCCTTCTTTCCAACCCCAGAGCGCTCAGAGATCAGCTGCTCAGCCGCCCCAAACCTCAGGAATAATTTGCTTTTTACAATTTTTCTTTAGCTATTTTTGAATCTAGATGAAAGACACAACCTGTTCCCTCAGGTTCTTCATTAGCTGCATTTAAATATGAGGATTAAAAAAGCATCATGTAAATATTTTGATTCGAAGATTCTGATCCAATTCGGCTCAATCTGAAAGAAACTGTATTCCAAACGAGAGGGTTGGTTTATGACGATAAACCTAACCTGACTCGATCTTCACTCTTTATTTACTGAAGTCAGGATTATTTCATTTTATAAACAGTGAATTCAGATTTTCAGATCCCTCTCATTTTTAATCGGATCAAGAAAATTTGCACATGTAACACTGTCTCTCAGATTCCTCTATTTCACATTTTCATTTATTCATCATCTTTCTTCGTTTGCTTCTACTTTATTATGCTGCCCTCCTCTTTAATATTGACCTACTGTGAAGCACTTTGGTCAATACTGTTTCTTATAAAGGTGCTTAATAAAGTAAACTGATCTGATCTGATAAAAAGTAGGAATAACAGAGAGGACACTGGCTGAATCAACAACTTCATAAGAAAAGTTTATCTGGCCTCATTCATCCATTAAAGCTCCGATCATTCCAGAGAAAAGTCGAGTACAAACACTGACACGTCATCTGAGGAGACGTCCTCTAAAGTCAGTAATCAAACTTGGAAACTAGGAGAAACACAAACACTGTTGTGCAGGTCATTCCTGTATAGGGCTGGGCGATATGTCCTCAAATCATTATTACAATATATATAATTAGTTCACCTCAATAACGATAAATCGACGATAACTACTCCACAGGCTGCTCACCCCCTCCCACATAAACTTTGTCTACTTCAGCCGCTCCAACTTTTGAACTGTCCTCCATCTCCTCACCTGTCTTTCCTCGACGTAGGACAGTGTCTTAAAATGACATGAGACCATAGCCTACCTTCACACATTCAAAACCAACTTTTATCTTTTTATTTTTTTGACACCGATTATGCCGATATGGACAACACGACCCTGGTTATTGTCGTAAATTTCAGTATCGGTAAATTTTCGGTTTATCTCCCAGCCCTACTTCTGTAGACGTGTCGTTGTCGCTCAGTATTAGCTAACTATGCGAACGACATCAACACTTTAAATATTGAAAATAAATATGATCATAGTTGGACTTTAATGGCTGAAAAACTCTCCAAACTTGTATCAGTCAACTTAAATGTGTCGTCATCCCCACCGCCAACTTCTGAGGTTAATTGAAGAGACCACAACCATCTGTGTTCCTGTTTAATGATTCGCAGAAAAAAGTGTTTCTCTTTAAAAAAGAAAAGAAAAAAAACTAACCTGGCTGATAACAATAATTAGAGATACCATGTTCCCAGGAGGGGAAATCACTTTTGTCACACACACAGCAGAAATTTGCATAAGCTAGATCTTGCACAGAGATGTCAGAGTAAAGGCGGCTGCACACGATACAGTGACCCTTCTTGGTCAGGGGCCTCAGCGTTTCCTCCAGGGCCCTCTTAGCAGAGGCCAGACAGGAAGTAACCCTGACTTCAGTCCAGGACTTGAGCCAGCCTTCCTCTGGTTTCCAAGTGTAGTCACCGCAGACTACGCTACAACCACTCTCCACAAAATGACACAGTGAGAAAGGCTGAGTGAGACGACATCATAAAACTGTGGTCAAGAGAGCAAAACGTGAAGCTTTCCTGAGCTGAGGGGAGCCGCAGATTCAAGGAGTAATGACAGTGAACACCACAGCAGACAGTTATTTTCATTGTTGATTATTGATCAGTTGTTTGGTTCATAATTTACAGCTCCCCTGTGTGCCGTTTAACAAACTTTTCCTCTGTTTAAAATTTGACAAAGATCAAAAACAAGCAGGCCTGTTGTTGTCTCAAACTGAGGTCTGTGTCTTTAATGTACGACAGGAAGAGAAACTCCGTCACTGTGCTTCTAAAAATGTTGAACCGTTGCCTCCGGGCCTCGCTCTGTTTACTAATAACTGCTGGATGTGAGGCTCTGCCTTCTGTCTCCATCTCTGGAGCTGGACCTAAAGTCAACACAGAAGTGGGCCATGTTAGTCTATCATAATCTCATCTTTCCTCTTCAGTTCCTCCTGTTCCCGTTTGTTTTCACAGATTATTGACCCAAATATGCTCAGATCTCCAGGAAGCTGCATCCTGAAGAAATGCTAACAAGACATCTTTGGGCTTGACTGAAGGTTTTTGGGAACACAAGGCTACTGTTGATGAAGTTGGGTATTGTTCTGAGCATTATTTGTGGCTATAGTGTAGATTTTTGGTTGAGGTTTGCGCATGGAGACATAGACCGCTGTATATTGCTATTGTACGGTCATTATTAAAGTTGGTATAACTAGAGAAGCCGGAATATCCCTTTAAGGACCTGCATATTTGATTGTTGAAGAGTTTAAAGACCCACTCCAATAAAAATCATGTTTTTCTTGTTGTCTACATGTTCATATGGCATTTTTCTGATGCTACAGGACAAATCATGAGAAAAATAAGTACGAAATTAAAATCTCTGTGAACCTCTGGCAGACCCAAACAGCAGGCTCAGACACAGTGAGATTTCCTATGTCACAACTACAAGCTCCGCCCCCAGAGCCCAACTCTGCAGGCCAGACTATTCTAATTCTCGTAAAAAAGCTAATTATGATTTTAACTTTCATCATGTCCCCAAAGACATTAGTGTCCAAGAGCGGAATAGTTGCTCTGTTAACTGCCACTTCAACTACACCGGCAATTTTACTGCCTCCACACACCAAGCGTGAGTAAAATCATTCACGTGAATGAATTACATGTTAAGTCAATGCAGAGACGCGATTAGACGCTCCTACTACTCTAGCGGCGCAAATGACCCGAATTGGGCGAGAGCTGAAAAAGTCTCAATTTGAGTGGATATTTGCATCGCGATAACTAATGAGCACAAAGGTTGCCAGGTGACATATGAAAATGGACGGTTGTTTACTGGTATCTTAAATGGAGGACAAACTGATCGTGTCGGTGTGTGGGTGCCCTGAATTCTATGATACCTTTTCTTTCAGTTACCGAAACTGGAATAAAAAGGAGCTCAAACGGAGGTAAGTGAGTGAGGAGGTCGGATTATCTGGTGAATTGTAAAAAACCTTTGTCTATCACTTGATCCCACTGGTTGAATCGGCAGGGATTACCGTTGAAATTAAGCGAATAAAGCAAGTAAATACTATCCATGTGTTTAGATTTGCGCAAATTAAGCGAGTAGGTAATTTTACTTGCACTTGGTGTGAGCGCCCTATTAGGCTACAAGCTAGTGAGAAAAGGAGTGTGCAGAGGATGAGCTACTGGAGCTCTGCAGAAGAAAAACCCCTAAAAATGACACAGGAAACGTGATTTTGGCTAGAAACTTGATTTAAAGACCACTGAGAACACTTTAAGTAGAGAAAAAAAAAACAATCTGAGTGGGACTTTTATCAAGCCTCTGAGAATTTTCTTACATCTTCAATCATCGATCTGGCTGGATGTTTAAGCAGTTTGGCCTTTTCTAAAAGCAAAAATCTGTCCTTCACAATAACTGAGTGTGTGTGCGCCAGAGAAAAGAGTTAGGGCCTCAAAGTTACACTCTGTCTTTCTGCTCATAAATCAAATAATATCTCCAAATATCAAAAAACTGCAGAGTAATACTTTGAATTTCAGAGGATACACTCTGTGATCCTGAAGCAAACTCTGTCGTCCTCTCTGTACAATCAAACTCTCCCTGAGTATAAGAAAACCACTTAAAACTGTAGAAAATACTCTCTTTGTAAACTCTATAAACTGAGAGGAAACAGAAGCAACAATGAAATCCTTATTTGTTCTGTAAACTCCTTTTATTTCAGTCAAGTGTGCATTAGGCCTCTCTCGGCACTTTGTGTTTACCTGACCCTCAAGCAAACAGACCTTTTCTAAGCATGTTCTCGAGAAGCGATCAGACAGCTGGCATAACAGCTCCACAATGAAACCGTCCGCTTTTACGAACAGCATCAGCTCTACGGAGGTACTGAGAGGAGAAACAAGAGCTGCATAATCATGTAGAGAGAGGAATAAGCTGATGACCTACAAAGGTATAATGCAGGATCTGAGATTGGAGATCAGAGCATATTCACACTTTTACACATTTTACCTCATCCCTGCCTCCACCTCCATCCTCTCTCTCATCCCAGGACAGTTTACGTTCCCTCTTCAGTCATGATTTAGTTCAGTAAAACTATCTTTCCTGTATTGTTTTTTTTAACTTAAGTTTTAATCATGGCTACCAGAAACGAGGGCTGTGTGTGCGTAAACTTATAAGCATCTATCCCAGGACAAAGAGTAGAAAGAAAGAAAGACTCGGGCAGTGCACTTCATCATGAGCCAATTAATCACCCGCCCTTTTCATTTCGCCGGTTCAAGACGCAATGAAACAGAGATGTGCTGGTGGGACCGAGCCGTCCCTCCACTGTGCCGGCATCAGAGGAAGTAACTGAGGCGTAACGAGGGAGATGGGATTACTGTGAGCTCGCAGAGCAGGCGAGGAAGAACAGCACTGTGTGTGTGTGTGTGTGTGTGTGTGTGTGTGTATATATGTGTGTGTAGTAAACTAGTCGTTGTGCGTTTGGCTCTAAGGCTACCACAACAGAGTAACACAATGAGAAACCACATGTTGGGTTAGGATGAGTATCATCAGGATTTTATCCCTAGTGGTGACATAATAATAGGTTATGAAATAATATAATTAATATTGATCTGTTAAATAATAACCATAGACTGTTTATGGATGGACTAGGGCTGGGCGATATGGTCTCAAATCAATATCACGATATATCGAGCAGTTCACCTCAATGACGATAAATGGACGATAACTACTCCACAAACTGCTCACTCCCTCCAACGTTAACTTCGTCTACTTCAGCCGCTACAACTTTTGAACCGTCCTCCATCTCCTCATCGGTCTTTCCTCGACGTAGGACAGCGTCTTAAAGGGACATGAGACCAAAGCCTACCAACACACATCCAAACCAACTTTTATTTATTTATTTATTTGACACCGAGTATACCGATATGGGCAAAATGACGTCAATTATTTTCATAAATTTCAATATTGGTAAATTTTTGGTTTATCGCCCAGCCCTACTTCTTTAGAATTGTTATCACTCAGTATCAACTAACTATGTGGACAACATCCACACTTTAATATTAAAATTAATATGATCATAGTTGGACTTCAATGGCTGAAAAACTCTACAAACTTGTATCTGTTAACTCAAATGTGGCGTCATCACTAACTTCTGAGGTTAATTGAACGGACGACAATGATCTGTGTTCCTGTTTGATGATTTGCATAAATAAAGAAAATTTTATTTTTCCTTTTTTTGACACCGAATATACCAATATGGGCATAATGACGTTGGTTATTGTTGTAAACTTCGACATTGGTAAACTTTTGGTTTATCGCTCAGCCCTAATATGGACAACTTGTCTTCGCCTTCCGCCAGTATGCGGACTTGAAGCCGAAGAACTCTTGGTATTTCCGGGATTTTACTCCACCTCCTGAAACCTACATTGTGCAGTAGCATTGTACACATTCGGCAGTAGAGTCACTTTGATGACGCTCGGCTTAAACAGCGTATCCCCCCGGGTGAGCTACGCAATCTTCGTACGCTTATAGGCTGTATCAAGTGTCAATTGTGGGACAACATGAACCCCTTAATAACTTTAAAAATGGAGCTGTACAGAAAAAAGAGGACTTGAGCACAAACCAGTCTGCATTTAATTTCTAAAATTTGTCCACAGCTCCATAGGGATTGCTGGAGGAGGCGGGATTTATGAACTATACTGCAGCTCATCACCAGAGGGTGCTGTTCTCGGGGTGGCTTCACCCAGCGAGGAGGCAGACGGTGTCGATTCTATATACAGTCTGTGGACAAATGCATTTTCTGCGTTCAAAAGTGTGATAAATTAAACTGTTATTGCAGTTTTACAGTGAGAGGAAAGGTCCGGTTGCATGATCAAAGGAGGGGTGTGTGACGGTGCATGAACAGGTAAATATTTGTCTTCTATTAGACGACTTAATGCTCTTTATTGTGTTTGTTGTAAAACATCATCGAGCAGCTGCCTTATCGTCAGAGAGCACTAACTTCACCAAACTGCCTCCTAGTTTTATGGTTTACTGAGCTTTTGATGGTTTCTGTGCTCATCGCTCTGAAACTAAAATGAAGTCGAACCCTCTGCTCGCCTCCCTCTCTCCCTCCTGACGACGACACATGGACTGATTCTCGGCCCCTCTGAGCTTTTGCATTGCAAATAAAAGAGAATCTGCATGGAGACATGATCCTTGCAGCAAACAGCTGACAAACAATCGCAAACCAGCCCCACCCTCCGAGGCCAGAGCACAACATCACTTCCTCTCACCGCGCGCTGACTGACTAACATGAACTTCTCACCCTTGAGCTCTGTCCTCCTGCGTTTACACTTTGCATAGAGACAGGAAGTGGCAGCGAACACACAAGCTGCAACAGCGGCCGTAATAGCAACACTTCTGAAACACCAAAGCACAAGCAAAAGTACAAAAGATTCTGCACATGAACACCCGAACAAATTTACTCTACGAAAAAAAAAACGTTATTTTTAGAGGTTCAGCCACCGACTGGGACAGAGTGGTGATCATTATCAGTCTGGATTTGTGCTTCCTCCCGAGGTAGCTGTGTCTGGTTTCAGCTTTAACAGAAGCAGAATTAGTGAGCATATGGCCTGAACACAACACGACCACCAGTATTAATCCAGACTTTATGTTTTCAGAAGGAAAAAAAGACGCCTGAGCTCACATCGAGAGATCTCAGAAAGATGCAGAAACCTCACTCTCTGAGTTCAAAGCTGCACAGAAGCAGATTTTCATATAATCCAACAATCTCAGTAGCCGGTCGTAATGTAGAGCCGGATATTTATGACTGAGACTGACAGACTAGAGACTGATTTATTCTTGTGCATCATATCCAAGCAGAGTCCATATGTAGACCTAGCTGAAGTTAAAGGTGGGGTAGGCAGAAATCCGTTAAAGAAGCATCTTTTTTTGTGGTGTATTTACAAGAAAGCTTTTAATATCAGTCGATAGCTATTAGTTATTGATGACATTTGGGAATTTAACGGTATCGCTTTGTTCTGTTATATCTGTGTAGTCAACATTTTAAAGTTTTGTGCGGCCCGCTCTTTCTGACTGTAAACAAAGACATTCCCCCGACCTGATTGGTTGTGAGGCAGACGCTGTTCCCCCGTGTCGTTCACGAGTCCAAACAAAGTTAGCGTGCTACAATATCAGACAGTAAAGACCAACCAGAAAGTTCAGAAAATTGTCTGAATCCTCCTTTGACCACGACTGCCAACACAAGCAAGAAAACAAAGTAAATACCGGAGACTCTGGCAGAATAACGGGCGCTTAAAATGAGGTAGACCGGACAAGAGCTAAGTAGCCGGGTCGACATAAACGATGGAGGACGCTTGGGGATCTTCGTGACCCTGTAACCTTTCTGCTGGACAGGTAAACCACTTTAACAAAGTAAGCCAAGTGTCTGTAACAGAAGTGTTTCTTGTCAAACGGACCTGCTGTAGCGTGTTGTAGCGCCGCTAAACTGTTGACCTCGGGTCCTGGACTATGTCACTTTATCCTAGTTGTAGAAGTCCTGCAAACGTTGTGTTTGCTGGTAGTCTGTTGGCATCTACAGTAGCACCAATGCTTTTTACTTTCACCTTGACTGGGCCCCATTTGTAATTAAACTGGCACTTCCTCAGATCCTGCCTACCCCACCTTTAAGTAATTGAAAAACTCATCAGTGGTTCTCTTGTAAATCTGTGAATCAACAGGCAGAAAGGAAACACTTCACATCCAGCCTCAGCTAAAGAGTGCTTCAGACACTGAGGTTTCTTCATCTTTAAGTGCTTTATTTTGTACTCTCATGGTTTTTAATTATCCAGTCTAGTCATTGTGAGGAGGAGAAGACCCCCAAGAGAAAAATCAGAGATAAAGTTAGCAGCCTATCGACTCGCTGCACCTCCTGACACCCTTTGTCTGCGTGTCTCAGTCGGGGTTTCATTTAACTTTCTGCAGCAATGACAAACAGAAAACCCTGATGAAGACAGAGCAGCGCTTTACGTCTCTAAAGTGCATCAGGGGCAGACAGTCTTAGTTGAGTCTGGAATTTTTGGTGCTGACTCTTTTCCCATCCAGACCAGGTAACAAAACACTCCCTTCACTCTCAGTAACACGATTTACTTCTATAACGCTGTTACTGTGAGCTGCATCTCTCCCTACTGCTGCAGCTCCAAGTTGGATTTATGTTAAACGTCGTCAATGTTCCTCAAAACAACTTACACAGGTCACAGAGCGAGCTCTCGACAAACTCATGCTCAGTTTCCTGTGTTGATGTCGACTGTTTACCATGAACTCTGGTTACATATTAAAAACACGGTATTAAAGCTGTTGATGGTAAAGTTAATGTTTTCGTCAAGTGGGGAAAAAAACATGCAGATATCCAAATAAAGTGATTTCTAGCTGATTATTAGAGATAACACTAAAGCGATCTACCTCTACGAATAAAGCGATTTCAAGGTGGATTTGTTGTTGCACTGCTAGTCCTCGGAAACTTGATTCCTCCTGTACCATACTTGTTTAAACTTTTATAAACAGGTATAGAAAAAAAACTATTTTCAATAACCCACCGCTGCATGTTTCCTCCACTTCCTGTTGATTCAGATCTGGACAGAAAGCTGCGTTAAGCGGTGACTGCACTCAGCTCAGCTCAGCTCAGAGCTCCACTATCATGCAAACAGCTCACATTCTCTGCCTCACAACATTGGCGCAGATCCAAGTAGGCCACACAGCAGTGTCTTATTTGGTATGAGGTACCTACTGATAGCAGTCGGTCCCTGATTCTCACACAGATAACATGCAGGAGATGCTGAGCTGTCTATGTTGACTGAGGGAATCTCATGAAAAAAGCAAAAATTAGAGTTTGGTTTTCCACCTGCAGCTGGTCGAGACTCGGTGAGCGACACTGACTGTACAAAACTACGAGATAAAAAGGCCTCGTAGTGACGACTGTCATCCTGATCACTGTAAAACAGGCCTGCACAATCTAAGACAAATACACGATGTGCCACAATCTGCTGTTTTACACAAAACCTGTGTTTGTTTCATGGCCCTCCTGAATCCAACACAAATACAGAAGCTGGTTTTTCAGTTTCGACACTGGCAGCAATCAGGAGCTGAAAGCGAGCAGGAGCTTCATCTGTCTGCATCATAACAGGGTGAAAGCGTGACCATTAAGCCCCGGGCTCTGTCTGACAGGAAAAATGTCCACATGCTGATTGAGAGAGCATCGCTTATATTATTTTTGTTTATTGCAACAAATTCGCTTTCAGGCTGAATCTACTCGCACAAATCCACATTGGTCTGACCAAAATACAAACTGAAACAGTTTGTGATGCCTTCAAAGTTATTTCTCAAGTATCAAACAGCTCTGCCTGAAAGACACGGCAAACTGTAGAGATGACTGAAGTGTTCGTTACTAAGAGTGTTAGAAGAACCAGCTCACTCCTTCACAAGGATGGAGTCTTTTCTCAGGGTCACTGGGCTGCTCTTCTACCAGAAAATCTACTTTTAGGACAAAACACACATTGCCGCACAGTGGAAAATGAGATTACATTTAAATATGCTTTCAAAAATCAAGATTTAACAGATTGGGTTTAATTAATAATGATCTATGTTGGAAGTGAGGGGCAGAAAGTGGCAGATTTATTCATGCATGGTGGGAAAACGTTATAGACTATACGAGAAAATCATTAAATTACAAACTTCCCAGATTACCAAGATTATATCCCCTTGGAGACAGAACTATGGTGCTCCTGTTGAATAAATACAGTGTTAGAATATTAAAACTGGCCTAATAACATGTGTACGGACTATTCTGAGGGGTTGGAAGGAACCCCGAGCTCCCACACTGAGTATGTGAAACACAGATGATGGGGACTGTAGCATGTGAGAAGATGTTAGGGAGATTAAATTGAGAAAATGATATGATAAAAGAAAAATGGGATAGTTTTGGTAAACAGATGTGTAAACTGTCTTGCCTTGCCAACTTACCTGCCTGTCTTATTTTGATTTTCTTCTGTGTATTTATTTATACTATTGTTACTATTTTTGACCTCCATTATAGGGGTGGGTATTGCCAAGGACCTCACGATACGATACGCATCACGATACTTGAGTCACGATACGATATGATATTGCGATATCCAAATGTTTGCGATATATTGCGATATATTGCGATATTCTACATAGTTCACTGAAAAATGTAAAAGGCATTATGCATCTTAAAATCCCAGTTGTATGTACATCAGATGATAGTGATAATTCATGGGACAAACAGTCAAAACAATGTAATTCAAATTATCGATGCCATTTTATTGTAAGTGCAAGTTACAACATATTTGCGTGAACAACACACTGTCTGAAACACATTGAAAAGTGCAGTGTGCATTATTCTTAGTCTCCCTGAGCACAATTATGACACAAACTGCAGTGTGGGTCAGTGTCCACATACTGAAACTGAATTGAAACCTCAGTGGATTATGTTTCTTCTGAATTTAGAGTAAATACTCAAAATAAAATGCAGTGTCTCACACACACTGAAATTGAAAATGCAAAATAAAGTGCAGCTTCTTGCCTTTGACCTTAAATGACAAAATTTAATTCACAGTTGTCTCCCTGGACAAGAACTGTGTCACTGTTTGAACACTTCACTGAATGTATGTAAAAAATAAAATATGCAATGTTGCTGCCAGTGTGGCTCTCGTACATGGCTCTCGTCTGCAACACATGTGTTACCAGCTCCCATTCGGCATTAATGTGGTGCGCCGTTATTGTAATGTAGGACTCGGTGGCTCGTGATGTCCAACCGTCACAGGACAGTGCGACTCTCGGAGCAGAGCTAAGAACTGTTTTTATTGTCTCCTTCACCTCGTCATACATTTTTGGCACAGCTACGTTAGCCATGTACTTACGCTGCGGCATCACATAGCGCGGCTCCAAAGTATGAAGCATCCACCGAAAGCCGACGTTTTCCACAACGTTGTATGGGCGCAAATCTTTACAAAGAAAATGCACCATCGCCTCTGTGATCCCCCGGGCTCGGGTTGAAGTAGATGGGAGGACTTTGGCGATGTCCAGTGTAGTTTGCTTTGGACCGGAAGGTTTCGGTGGCTCCGGCTGAGCTAATATGTCGGGGTGGTGTCTTGCTAAATGAGTTCTCAAGTTTGTTGTGTTACCCGAATATCTAATGGGAGCGACACAGAGTTTGCAAAGCGCGTACTCTTTGTCCAGCTCATTGTGTGTTTCTCCTTTCCTTTGGAATCCAAAGTATCTCCAAACATCTGCCTTAAAGTTCGAGGGCGTTTCTAGTTTAACGTTACCAGCCATGCTTGATTGTTTTTTTCCCGGCTCCTCTTCCTCACTGCAACCGGCGGGGGAAAAAAGAGAAGAAGAAGTGAGGTAGCGGTACAGCGACACCTAGCGGAGCGGAGGTGCGGAAGTCGTACTGGATTTGTTAACCCGTCTGAAACCTGATTTATTATTTGAACAAAAAATCGATATTAATATTTTGAATATCGATATTGAATCGGAAGTCAAAGTATCGCGATATATCGCCATATCGATATTTTTGCCCACCCCTACTCCATTACATCTGTTTTGTTTGATGTTTGTTTGTCTGTTGCAACATAAGCTTTCAAAAATATATATAAAAAATAGGGCCCGACCAATTTATCAGCGAGCCAATTAAACCAGCCAATGTTAGCCCGTTTGAGACTAATCGGAAAATATTGGCCAAAACTTGCTAATATTTCAGAAATAAAATGCGGAGAATAAGATTTGGTTTCACTTCGAAAATGTTCCGCCATTTGAAAAGATCCTCCGACTTATCCTGTAGATGGCGCAGTGACCTCATGACAATCTTCATCCACTAACTACTTCACAGCACAGCAGAGTGACGGATATGAAAACGCTTTTCTGGTCCGAGTCCGATACTGTATATTTATATTTTTTATAAATTCATAAAAAATTATAAAATCGGCCGATCAATCAGTAATCCGATTTTTTTCCCCCTAATAATTGGTATCGGCATCTGCCCCAAAAAATCCATATCGGTCGGGCCCTAATAAAAAATTCACCAAGAAAAAAAAAACCAAAAGTATGGAGTCATCTTACTTGCAAAACTGTCCCTGAGAAGTTACCTTTAAGTTGATGTCAGATCGGAAATAGACTTTCTTTCTTTCTCTATTCTTCATTTCAGATGACCAAGTCTTCTGCATCACAAGACTGTAACAACAGAAAGACCTCTGAAAAACAGGTGAATCCCTAACTCAGGGGTAGTCCCTCACAGAGGGTGCAGAAGAAATTTCCCCTGTCAAACAAAGGTATCACTCATAACACTGATGATAACCAAGATCCCAGAGGTGAAGCTTCTTCTGTGCTCTTCCTGTCATGAACAAGCGGATTTAGAGCAAGAATACTGAGACACAAAGTGATTTAAAATCACATAGGTAGGATAAGTGAAAGTTGGTCATAAATTGCCTTGTTTGGAATCTCCCTGGTGCCCCTACCGATATAGTTGCCTTTGTTACTTTATTAGCTCGACGTTTCATTCTGATGAAGTGGGAGTCAACAACACCCCCTTCACATACCCTCTAGTTAAAGGAAATTTTTAATAACCTTAAACTTGAAAAAATTCCATATACATTAAAGAGATCCTCTCGTAAATTCAGAGAGGTGTGGGGTCTCTTCCTTACTTATGCAGAAAAGACTACTCTCCCACTTGTCCCTGAATAGGATCCTGATTTGTCCTGCTGTGGACCTCTGTCTAATTTTCATGCCTGGTAATAAGTGCATTGAGATCTGTATGTTTTCTTTTGTTACTACCCTGCTTTAAGGACTGAAATTGTTATGTATATTAAGGGCCATGATCTGTAATATAACCCGACTGGCCAGCCCGAACCAATATTGTTCATATTATTATCATTATATTTCTAACACTTTACTTGACGTCGAGCTGTATAACGCATTATAAAATATAATGTATAATGTGTTATAATCATGTTATAACACCGTAAAACTATAGTTATAAACACTCATAAATGATCATAATGCTTTATAACAATAATCATAACACATCATAAAGCATTTTATCATGACTTACAAGGTCAGGTATTATAATATGTTATAACTGTTAAGAACTCACTGACAATGCCCACATAGATACTGCATTATACATATATTAATGCTAATAAACTATCATTATAAGCACTCATTAACTATCATAAGGCTTTATAACAATAAGCATAACACATTATAATACCTGACCTTGTAAGTCATGATAAAATGCTTTATGATGTGTTATGATTATTGCTATACAGCATTACGATCATTTGAGTGTTTATAACTATAGTGATACCGTGTTATAACATGATTACAACGCCTGAGTACTAGGACCCAACCTATTTATCGGCGAGACAATTAAATCGGACAATTTTAGCCCGTTTGAGACTAATCGGTAATTGGCCGAAACTCGCTGATTTTCGCCGACATTTTCAGAAATTAAATACGAAGAAAAAGATTCAGTTTCACTTCGAAAATGTTCTGCCATTTGAAAAGATCCCCCGACTTATCCTGTAGATGGCGCAGTGACCTCATGACAGTCTTCATCCACTAACTACCTCACAACACAGCAGAGTGACGGATCTGAAGCAGGCAGCTCAGGGACGCACGGAGGAGAGTGGTCTGCCTCAACGGTAAATAAACTAGATTGTGAAATACACAATAAGTCAACAAGTTTCAGTTAAACCCACTTCACCATGTTCCCTGCTGTGCTGTTCTCGGTCACGCCGAGTTAACGGTGAAGCACCATGTAATATGCAAGCTAAAGTTAGAGTTAGCTACCTGCTATTAGCCTTGTTACACTGTTAGCCGTGCCAGTAACAGAAGAATAAACAACAGTACACATTACGTGATCGAGCTACTTCTCTTACTGAGGCAGCTGCAAAATCGTCCGATTAACCGGTAATCGGATTTTTTACCCCCCTAAAGGTCCTTATACACCGGGGCCGATGCGAATATAGAACGCGAAATTACAAAATATTCGGAGGCGAATTTTGACGAGCCTGACTATACACATCAAGCCCAATGCAATTTTGCATCTTTCCGGGGGGGAAAGACACTTCCCGGGGAAGACTTTTGCCGGGGAAAGTCCTGCCTCCTTCGCCTCTGATTGGCTAGAGAAGCTGGAAACGTCATCACACGCTCAAGCCAAACAGTCAGCACTTATAGCCAATCAGAGGCGATAATATAAGCTCATGAAACCATGGTAACAACCGTTAGCTTAAGTTAGCACAGATGAAAGTTAAAACAAAGACGTTTAGCAAACTGTTAAAGCAACACAAACCATCGTCATATGAGAAATCCAACGCTATGACTCTCCACAAGTTGTCCTTCAGGTCGTTATCTTTGTGATGTTTGTGTTTTTAATCAAAAAGCACTCTGTTCTCTGACACGTAAACAATCAGCCAGTCGGCCATGTTGGATATATCGGTGAATCTGACGTCCCAACAACACACAATCTGATTGGTCCGAGGTGGACACACAGTATGCGACACCGAAAAATAAATGCTGCAATATCGCAGGACAGGAAAACATTGCTGATGTGAACGCATGTACTGACAGGACACAGGTTAGAAAAAAAATATCGACGTCCAAAATAATCACACGACAAAAACGTCCCCGGTATGTAAGGACCTTAATAACCGGTATCGGCATCAGCCCCAAAAAATCTGTATTGGTCGGTTATAGAGATAGGCGTCAAGTAAAGTGTTACCATTATATTTTCTTTCATCTATTTTGTTTGTTTGTTTATTGATGTAAGTTTACAACACTGTCATTTATGAGTACAGTTAACCTTTTGCCTGTTTGTGTTCAAAATCCGATAAACAAAACTGTTAAAAAATAGAAGAAAAATAGAAATATATGCATCAAATTGCATGCATTTATGCTAAATCATATACATTTATGTAATACAAATGTTTTTATTACTCCTTAGTTTTACCAGGAGATAGTTATGGATGGGTAGCTGTAGTCAGACACTGCAGATGAATATGATAAATATGATGCATGCAATTTCCCACAACCAGAGACAGAAGACTCTACAGTGTAGTAAAAACATGAGTATGTGAGAATATCTTCACTGAATATCTCAGATAAGACAATAGAAGTAGCATCCCTGCTTATCTTTGTGATAAATTCACTCGTTTTAAAAGGCTAAACTTGGAGGCATAAGAATTTCTCTCTAACTATCTATCAGGCTTGTAAAAGATGACAAACTACCTAATTTGCACACAAAGGAAGGTATAAATATCACCAATGTATCTACAGAATCTGCACTCACCACAGATCCTCAGCAAAGCAAAACACAACCTCAATCTAACAATAGGGACCAACACCCACGTAATCCACGCTCCCAACTGGTCTGACGGCGAAGACATCCCGCCTACAGGTGGATCTGATTGGCCGGCGCGACTGTCAATCACAAAAGCTGCTTCATAATAAACGGCCCGTTTCAATCTAGGTTGAGGCAGAAGATAAACAAGTTGGAGGCCTACATGCCCGTGGCCTAGATATCCATATTTATAATGTATTTCAGGTAAAACACACTCGTTTCCACATTAAATGAAAGCACCTCACGGTTTCATATCAATCCCCGGCTTTTGCGTGTTTTTCTACGTGTGAGGAAACACCGAGCACAAAATGTACCAAAGTCGTCTGATAAGCAGCAAGTTGCAGCTGTTTGACAGAGTGGAAAATCAAACTCATATATAACCGCGATGAAATTGCCCCACAGGTGTCTCATTGGTGTAAAAACGAGCCTCTTTGGGGGTTTAATTCACCTTACATCACATGGAAATTTCTGGCCATGTCGAGCTTTGTTTTCAGCAGCAGGGGCTGATCTGGGTTTGGGGGGCGTGTACCGCCAGAGCAAAAAAAGTCCACTCCTGACCATTCCACTCACAAACTACGGCCTCCTCCACCTCAAACAGCATCTTTTAATGATTTTAAGACATTTCACGATGTTTAAATGACCATTTAAAAGTAGCTTACAAGCCGATCTTGTTACATAAGTGCAGTTTTAACCGTCATTCCCCCCATTAAGACGTGAAACCAAGCTTCTAATGTGCCTGGAAAACATATTTATATCAAGACACGTCCATAAAAATCAGTAGTTTAAGACAGGTTTTGTGCCTCTCTCCACTATGAAGCTTATATTCCACTTCTTTCTAAACCCGATAAACTGTGCTACACAATAAGAGCCAAGTTAAATGTGTTATTTTCTATTATAAATGCGGACACGACGGGTTTGAGCTTCCCCTCAGTCAGTATGGCCTCCGTAAGTCCGCCCCCTTCCTCATCCCAGCTGAGGCTTCGATACACAACAACAGCCGACCTCCCGTTAGCTTCGAAGCTAATCCTCCAACCACCGCGGCTCAGCAAACTCAGCCGCCGCCGAGCACACTCGCCACAAAAGCGGACAAATGACGGTCGTACTCACTTTTAGGACATCCACGCATACGTCTCGTTCCTTGTCGGACCTCGTGTAGGTTCTCTTATCGCATCTAACAGGGCCCCCTATTCAATGGAGTCCACACGCTGTTACAGCTCTCTCGGGTTTGTTTTGTTTTTCTTCTTCCTGACGGGTTCCTGGAAAGCGCGTGACTGCCCGACCACGTGGTGCGCCGCTGGGCCAATAGGAGGAAAGCAGAGACAAGGGGCTACAACACTTGAGTAACATTTGATAATTCTCATATATTTTCATATATTCTCATATATCTCAATATTTCACGTTTGTACGACGGAGTATCAGGGACACATTAAGAAAAAAATTAAGACTTGGAGATAAAAGTCATTAATTTACAAGAATAAAGACAGTCACTACTTTTAAGTCAAATTAAAAAAACTCACTTTTGGGGCATTCCATGAAATCGGTGTCTTTTCAGCTTAGAAAATTTTAAATTTATACTATATTTAATTGTTATTTTTTAAGTACCTAGGAATCAAAGAATGTTTAAAATGGCAGGAAATCCTATTGTGCCATGATCTCAGCCTGTGTTATTTCATATTTTATAACCGTTTTTCTCCTGGCTGTTTTCACAATCTTGTCAACCCTGACATAGACTTAACAAAATACATTACTTCTAATAAGAAATATGCAATATATGGTGCACATATTAGCAGTACTTTAGTCTCTATTTCCATTGAGATTATTTCATTTTGTGGATTTTTTTCTCCAATTAGATATTTGTCATTCAGATGATCAAATATACCCTAATTTTGCATGGCAATCACATGTCTCAACATATATCAGATATTTTTTAGAAGAGAAATGTTGAAAAATGGCCCAATCTGAAATATTATGTAGTTTAAACTATAACGGTAAGTGTTAAACGCCCATTTGAGTTTTCATTTTTTACATTTTTATCAAATTAATGACAACAGCAGGAATGACGTTATCGTAACAGGGCTGACAAGAGTAGAAGTAAGTGGACACTCAGTAACTGGCTCTGCAGCAGCGTATCAATTGATGACTTAGAAATGTTTTAATTTTAAAAGATTAACCTTCAAAGAGAGTACAACGAGGGTAAACACTATTCTATGTGATATCTGTTACTCTCATGTCGAATCCTGTCACTGTGGAAAGGTAACAGGGTTGACAGTAACAGGGTTAACAGTAACAGGGTTGATGGTAACAGTTGACAGTAACAGGGTTAACAGTAACAGGGTTGATGGTAACAGGGTTGACAGTAAGAAGGTTGACAGTAACAGGGATGACGGTAACAGGGTTGACAGTAACAGGGTTAACAGTAACAGGGTTGATGGTAACAGTTTACAGTAACAGGGTTAACAGTAACAGGGTTGATGGTAACAGTTGACAGTAACAGGGTTAACAGTAACAGGGTTGACAGTAACAGGGTAACAGTAACAGGGTTGATGGTAACAGGGTTGACAGTAACAGGTTTGACAGTAACAGGGTTAACAGTAACAGGGTTGATGGTAACAGGGTTGACAGTAAGAAGGTTGACAGTAACAGGGATGACGGTAACAGGGTTGACAGTAACGGTTAACAGTAACAGGGTTGATGGTAACAGTTTACAGTAACAGGGTTAACAGTAACAGGGTTGACAGTAACAGGGATGACGGTAACAGGGTTGACAGTAACAGGGTTAACAGTAACAGGGTTGATGGTAACAGTTGACAGTAACAGGGTTAACAGTAACAGGGTTGATGGTTACAGGGTTGACAGCAACAGGGTTGACAGTAACAGGGTTGACGCTAACAGGGTTTATGGTAACAGGGTTGACAGTAACAGGGTAACAGTAACAGGGTTGATGGTAACAGGGTTGACAGTAACAGGGTAACAGTAACAGGGTTGATGGTAACAGTTGACAGTAACAGGGTTAACAGTAACAGGGTTGACAGTAACAGGGTTGACAGTAAGAAGGTTGACGGTAACAGGGTTGACAGTAAGAAGGTTGATGGTAACAGTTGACAGTAACAGGTGATTACTTGTAGATATTGATTATATTTTGAGAGATAGAAAATTGTTTTGGTTTATATGTTAAAAAGTGGTAACAGTGTTGACATTGTATGCTTGTCCCTCCTGGTTAAACCTCCAAAAAACATCAAAAATAGCACATCAGAGATAAGAGAAACTTAATCGTCACTGAGCTGTTAGCATCCTGGCTTAGAGATGATGCAACCTCCTGTCAATCATGTCAAGTCATGAAATGCTCCATGGCTCTAACTTCAACACAGTCATCTAAAACAACAGGTTAGAATAAAAGGACTTTCTTCTGACTTTACCCTTGCAAGTGATTCTATTCTCATAAGTAATGATTTTATAACAACTTTATTCTTGTCAGTAATGACTTTAATCTTGAAGTCTTAGATTTTTTTGTTCTTAATGTGGCCCTAATACTCCGTCGTAGATTTGTAATATGAACAAGTATTTAGATGGAAAGAAAATTAAAAACTGTAAGAAACTAAAAATATCCCAAACCCCTTCAGGCTGATCACAATAACACAACATTGTGATCAGCCACTGAAAAAAAAAAGTGGATGAATAAGTTCTTAAGAGAAAGCTATTATAATGACAAATGTAGAATAAAAAAAACTTTGTACTTTACTCAGATTTACTTTGTTAAAGAAAACTGACTTGCCCAGAAGGTTTCCCTTAATGAACCTTTAACAGGACTGTCAGTCTGTAAACACAAGGAAAATTAAGCATATATATAATGACAAGAGTAGCGTAACCAAATCAGGTTTTGTAAAAATAATTCCCACCAATGGAAAACTGTGAACAAGTAAATTAAATTCAACCGTAAGAGGTGCAGGATAGCAGTCTCTATTGAAGTCAGTTCAAAAGAAAGTCCCCTGGGGAGTGTATAAGCAGCTTTGCCAGGCAGCCAACTCCCCTCCTATTTCTCTGGAAAGAGAAACCTAAATTACTGTATATCATGATCAAGTCAGACATCAGAAACACAGGAAAATAAATGGAGGACAAATACAGTTCATTTATGATAAGAGGAAATGTTTATGCTCTGAGTCAAAGCCTTTCATTATCTCAAAGAAGGAGATGTACTGTACACTTTACACGGTACACTGTACTGTTCCTTCAGTTTCACTCTTACTCAGGAAGACATATACACACAAACACTCACACAGCTGCTGCTGCTGCTGCTGCTGCTGGGTCTGGGCCCCTTTTTTGCCTAACCCTAATTCCAGTGAATTTACAACATCCTGAAAGCATCTCAGTGAGTTGGTCAAAGTGAAAGTTATCCAGAGCAGCTTTTGGATCATTTGTGGAAACATCCAAAAAGGATTTCTCAAGAAAAGCTAAAACGAAATTCTACAGCTCAAAGAAAAGCTTTGATTCACGTGTTTTAAAGAATGAACTACAGTATATCTGTATCTAAAAAAAACACTTTTATTCTTTGGCTTTTGACCCAGCATGAGACGGCATTTGTTTTATTGCGTTTTTTTTTTATTTTATTATTTTTGTGTCATGTTTTTATGTTATTATGTACATCACTTTGTGTCCGCTTTGGTTGTATTTAAAGTGCTCTATAAATAAAGTTGAGTTGAATATATCAATGACAAAACCAACTATTATTATTAAACTTACACTGACTTAATGATATGATTTGATACGATACATTTTATAATTTTTTTGACTGTATGATAACTATCAGCACTTAGCAAGCAGCAGGGTTTAAGTGAAAGGAGAATAAAAGACACTCCGTACAGCAGACCGAGTCGTGCGTTTGAACATTTATTCAGCCCGTTTTCCCTTTTGATTCTGTTTTCAGCATTGTGATTGTGTTTGTACAGAGAAGACGGCAGGAAGCACACCAAACCAGGTCACTGAATGTATTTCATGGTATTTAAATAATGTGATTTAAAACTAATAAATCAATAAAAGTTACAGTAAAGCGGACGATTTGTGGGTCAATCTTGGATTGGGTTAACGATCTGGGGACCAGTAAAGATTCTGATGTGGTTTTCTTGACACATGATCAGCTCTTCATGACCACAGCAAAAGAACTGTGATTGGAAATAAATAAATAAAACATCAGACAAATAACTTTGAGTGTGACAAATAACTTTAGTGATCTAATTAGTTAACCCTGTGTGAAAACTTCCATTGAGGACATACTGTCGCCTTAGTATGGAAGAGGATTAGGGCCACTAAAAAAAAAAAGGTCCAATATAATTTTTTATAATTCTTTTATAAGTTTAATCTCAGAATTTTTACTTTTTTCCTCAGAATAATAATGAAATAATTTTTTCAGAATTTTTTTTTTTTTCAGTGGCCCTAATCCTCTTCCGTACTTCAGCCTGCTGAAACATGGGCGCGTATAAAAGCAGAAACTACAGTAAAGATCCTGTTTACATACTTTCAAAGGACACAAGATCCAATAATTACCGAGCAAAATGTTGTTCAGTTTCTTCACATCCATAATTATTTACAGCACTATTAAAAATAGGTAAGTGTACGGAGGAGGATTAGGGCCACTGGGGGAAAAAAAAAAGGTCCAATAAGATTTTTTTAAATGGTTATCCTGAGTTAATAGTCAGAATTAGGCCTTTAAACTCATAATAATAATTTAAAAAATTATATTGGACCTTTTTTTTTTTTTTTTTTAGTGGCCCTAATCTTCTTCCATATCAGTAAAACTTGAATGGCAGGAGTAAATCAACACAGATAAACGGCAGAATAATGTTTTTATTGCATGAACAGTCGGAATAATTAATATTCCAACAGCTGTATTGATTTGTTTTGACTCATATTTCACTTCAGAGAACTTTTAAACATTTATAGAGTCAGACGAGATAAACACAAACCCTCACACGTGTCCTATCGTAAAGTTCTCATGGTACTTTGGCTTGCCGTGTAAATTTTCTACATTCTTTTCTTTTACTTTATTTTATATTTTCCAGAACTTTAGTCTTGAGTTGTTCAAGCTGTAGACTTTTTCACTCATGTTGGCGTTCAGAGTCGAGCAGAGGGGGAAATAACTCTGCTGGAAACGATCCCTACTGAAAGAGTTTTTACGGGAATTTTCAGGAAATTCTCGACCACATCACACTCAATTTATCATGATTTGTTTTTCTGGCATACATAGACAACAGAAGAAGTACAAAAAGGAGGTCGAGAGGTGAATCCATTTCAGCTGGGCAGCCTCTGACTAAGAGGAGAGGGATGAGGCTGAAAGTGAAAATGATTTTGGACCGAGCGAGAACTTTGGATTTGAGAAAGAGAATCTTCACTAAGACGAACAACCTTCATTTTACGCTGGAACATCCTCATTTCTGACACCTTTATGAGTTTTGGAAACAGTTTCATCAGATTGAAGCATCATGCTGTTTTCTCATGACGCCAATCGTTTGTAAACTTTCCATTAAACCACCAGTTTTTTTTTTGTTGCTCTTGCTTCCTCTGGAGTTGACTGCTCTGTCTTCAAAGATGTCTGTGATAAAAATGTTTGATATTAACAAGAGAAAAAGTGGAGAAAAGTATCATCACCGTCTTCATCAGCAGCAGCAGCAGCAACTCTATAGATCTGTCCTCTGCTTGTGTTGGCTCCACTCTGAGAGCTTGTTGGCTGCATTCCCTGAAAAAAAAGAAAAAAATCTTTCCGCTGGATTACGCAACAAAAGCAGCAGGAAGGGGAGATAATGAAACAGTCTGATGAAAGGGGCAACAGAGCGCAGAGCCAGTGGCTACGACAGTGAGTCACTGGAGGATTTTTCTGTAAATTAACTCAAGAGAGCTCGGTGATACAGACGATTTGATAAACAGTCTTTACATGTATAGATATAATGCAGCACTTGGATTGAGTGACAGAGAGCAGAAGTTTTCTTTTTACTTTATTTACAGACTTTCTCACGTCGCTCACAGCACTCGCAACTCAACAAAACAGAATTATAGCTGCTGTGTTTTTTGCGGTTTCCTTATTTCTTGGCAAAGAAAGCTGCCTGCAGCTGAATATTTTGGATGAAATCACAAAAGGAACATTGTCGATCAATCCACAACCAGTACAGCCAAATGATTCATATATCTGTACCGTTTATGGCGTATTAATGAAGTGAAAATGAAGTGAAATCCAATCTGTGCGTGACCACGGTTGCTTCAATCAGCTTTGCACTTGATTTAATTTTGAGACTTGTATGAAAATGAAGATGTAAGTTTATTCATGAGTTTGTTGTCAGTCAGTACAGAATCCTGTTCGAAGTATATTAAAGGTCAAAATGCAGCAGGGAATGACTAAATGTGCACTTCAGTATTTGGAGGTGTGGGTCATCTTCGAGCTAACGTTACCCTGATCCCTGTTTTTCTCCTTCCCAGCTTCAAACCTTCAGGTCATAGTTCGGTTTTGATCCTGTGCATGAGGTCTTTCTGGTCCACCATGTCTGTCTGTCTGTTCCAGCGATGGTAGGCGAGCAGGGCGATGTTCTTCGCAGCGACCGAGCTCATCTCCATCGCGCTGCCGGCCAACTCGATACCGTTGAGGTAGTAGAGACTAGGGTGGAGCTCCACGGCGGGGAGATCCTGGCTGCTGCCGTAACAAGGGTAGGCCTGCCATTCAGTCACCTGCACGGAGTAGTACGACCTGAAACCGTCAAGTAAAAGAAGGATGTATGAATTAGAATCTAAAATGTATTAGAATCAAGTTTAAAGGGATATTCCAGCGTAAATTTAAGGTATAGTCAATCACACTGTAACACAGAGTAAGACACCCCCTCCAGAGATGAATGTTGACGACTATAACTAGAATATTAACTAGAGAAGCAAGCAGTCTGCAACATTTATCTCTCGAGAGGGTGTCTAACTCGGTGTTACAGTTCGTTTGACCCTAACTTAAATTTACGCCGGAATATCCCTTTAATAACTGCTGCTGGATGGTAGATGGGTGAGTAAATATATATGAGGGACATCTGCATCCCAGCTCTAAAAAAGTCCATTTTGGTCTTTCAAATATTCACACAACATTAAAATGAAAACAAAAAAGCGTTGAATCATGCTGAATAGAAACAAACGAGTCAATAAGAATCACTGTCTGACCTGAACAGAGCTTTGAGCTGACTCTTCTCCAGAGGTTGGGATGAAAACACCTTATAGACTCCGGCTTCTTGCGGCTGTTTCCTCCTGAAGCCTGAGGAGATGTTGACGGGACAAACGCTCGCCACGCTGTTAAAAAACAGATCAGGCGTCTCTGTGGTCAAAACGCTCGCGTACGGGAAAAGACGAGGGTCTGGGAAACCGAAGAAGGAGGTGTTGAGGTAACCGTGGACGATGGTTGCTACGGTGCTGTGATAATTCCCTGGTAGCTCTTCGAAAGGCGGGCTGAAACCTTGAAATCGGACTCCAGACGCAACACTGGCTTGAAGCGGTGTCGCCAACACCACAATGTCGTACAGCTCTGACCCCGTACCGGCTGCTGTGGTGTAGTTCAGCTCGTACTGAGGCGTCTCCCCTTCAGAGGAAAGACATGAAATGAATGACAAAAGATAAGAAATGAAAACTACAACTTCAAAATCTTGATTCATTCTTTTTAAGCATAAAAATTTTCGACTATAACGCCCAGTTTTATGTTAAAAGTATATTTTAGATTTAAATACTCTTTAATCTCTATGTTTTGAAACAGTTAAATTCTTTGTCTCACACCTGCCATCCAGCACCAGATGATAAAAAAAATAAAAAATAAATTCATTATGATTAGCTTCACTGGTATGGACTACAGCGGGGTGACGCAGCTCAAGGAAGAACATTTATGATCGTTTCTTTATCATTTCCTTTAAGGAATGATCATTATATTAATCATTTTGCACTGCAGACACGGTAGTTCTTCTGCCTTAGCGTCTCGGTCTGATTTTATTTCCATGATGTAATAATCATAAATGTTCTTCCTTGAGCTGCGAAACTCTGCTGCACTCGGTGATTGACTTGTCATCCCCTGAGGGGGTGTCTAACTCTGAGTTATGGTGTGTTTGACCCTAACTCAATTTTCGTCGGAATATCCCTTTAGAGTTCCATAATCAAAGGTTTTCTCATTTCAATAGTTGTGTTAGCAAAGCAGAGCTACTTTTAAAATATATATCTATAAACAATGACATACAGATCAGGTCTAAGGAGTTTAAGTTCCAGCTGTGAAAGAATGTGACAAACTGCTGAGCCCCAGCACTAATGAGTGAACAGTTCAACAGTGTCAATTCACCATCATCATCATCATGGTCCTATACTGTGGCGTCTGGGTCGAGTACCTGAGGAAAGTGGGGAGATGGAGTTGACTTGTGCCTGCAGCAGGTTGGCGTTGGCCATCTTCAGCAGCCCTGAGCACACCAGCTTGTTGCCTCCTTCCACCGCCCACAGGTTGTTCTGGGCACCAGCTAAAGACACAGCGCCTGTCACACACACACACACACACACATATGCAGACATACAGACACACACACACATTAGCTCACTCCCAGCAGACGGTGCCTTAAACCAATTACCAGCTGCCCACACACTTTCCTGCTCTCAGGCTCACACAGGCTGACTTCCTCTCACCTTTCCTTCCCTCTCTTCTGTTATCATCCTCACTCCTCCCTCCCCTCTCTCACCCTAACCCTACCCTGCTCCCACAGACATGAACACCCACCCCTCAAACTGGTCCTAATTTAAGCCCCACAGTCTACTCGTCTCTCACCCTGATTTTTACGCACTAACCTACGAAGGCCGGGATGCTGACGTTCTGTCCATAGTTGACCCTCATGACGGGCTCGATGACCTCATCGATGAAGCGCTGTGACACGCCCAGCTCCAGCAGCGAATCAGAAAGCGGCCTCCGAGTCATGTTAATGAAGCCGCTTCCCCCGAGAGAGTCCAGCAGTTTCTCCACTGAGCTGAAGGCGTAGCCGTGGGCCTGGTACTTATAGATCCTGGATTACAAATCCACACAGAACAAACACAAAAAAAGGTTCAACAATAATTACATCTGTCAGAAATTAGTCATCATAACACTCAAACATCATACTTTTTTGTACATATAGATATATCATAACTACAAGATTATCTTCTAGTGAAAAAGCAATGGGAGGAAGAGGCTCTCTGTGGAAAGAAGAAAACTGTTAAACAGAAACGAATCACTTCCTGATGGAGAATAAGAAGCTGATGAAATGTAACAATGGAGGGGGAAAGTTCAAATCTGCAGCTGGTTCATGTTTAAGCGGAAATTCAAACGAGACGAGACAAATTCAGAGAAATCAGAGATGCTCTGTGTTCATTTATCACATGTGGGATCATATGAAACAAGACTAACAGATCACTGACAAAGAGTATACATGGGTATTATCTGAGTGACTCAAACATGAAGTGTCACATTATGGGAGCCGCTTTTTTAATATTTAGGAGATTTTCTGAAAAGGCAGAGATCATTAGAAGATGAGAAATACTGAAGCTGAAGTTCAGTAACTGTTTATGAGATACGACGTGGATTCAGGAGTGCTAAAAACTGCAGTTCTCTGAAGTGTCCACTTGACCAGAAACCACATACAGGTGAAGCTTCAAACATGAGAATGTCTCCCAAAAAAGTTTATTTTCACCTTAATTTTATTTAAAAAGTTCATTTTCCCGTATCTTCTAGATTTATCATCAACAGAGTGAAATATTTTAATCTTAAAGACTACGGCTTTTATTGACTTTCCTTTTCCTGCGAGACCTGGCACCCACCCATAACGCCAAAACGACCAGAAACTGGTCTGCTGACTGTGGTGTTACTGCGCTTGATTTGCGATGAGAGATACCAGAGCCAACAATACAGACGAGCTGATGGCTGCTATCAAAGTAACCTGAGCTTCCATGAAACCCTGCAGAACCACAGACTGGTCATCCAGGCTATGAACAGCAATCTCTAAATCTAAAGGTTTGATGCATCACATTTAGTATCCCATGAGACAGCAGCAAACAGTGCATCCATTTTCCTCTCTCACCTCATGAATTTCTCCATAATTTCCTCCACCCACATCTGCAGGCGGATGAAGCTGATGCCATAGCGCCACCACAGACGGAACAGGTCCAGCAGGTACCAGTCCGTCTCCTCCAGAATTACCTCCTTGCCGTTAAACACTGCGGTCTTACCCGCCATGTTGCGGCGATACTTTAAACCTTGAGGGACGTGGAGAGCACCAGGAGGAGCAGACAAACAAAGACACACATGAAGAGATAAAATACTGTGTGGTGTTCCAGAATAAAATATTCAGAGGATATGTTCTTCATCTAGTCCAGAAATAACAGAAATGACTTTAAAATCTGCCTACAGTGCCGACAAAATTTGAGCAGTAATGTGGAGTCAAAAAACTAACCTAGTTGTTTGACAAAGTCCTGCATGTGGAGGTTTAGGGAGTGAATGATAGAGCCCCCGGACTCATAGTCATGGTGGTTGACAGTAACGGTGGCTAGGCGGCCCCCGATCTCTCCCTTCTCGAACACATCCACCTGGACCTCAGGGCCAAAGTGCTGCCGCAGGAAATGGGCCGTGGCGCTGCCTCCTATCCCCGCTCCGACCACAGCTGGAGCAGAGGCAAGAAGGGCGAACAAAAGTGTTGTTCAAAAGTGAGGTGTGTTATAATAACTTTTAATCATGCCACTGATAATTACTGTCAATAATAAAGAGTAAATTATCTTATTTTGCCGCATTTAAGTGTGACAGCATGTTAAACTGTATAACAGGCCAAACGTTGACTCCTGTCTATGATGTTGAATGTTTAAATTAAATTTAAAAATTTTGTGTTTGAGTGTCTCTGCAGGTAGGTGTGTCTCTTTGACGTTTTGTCGTAAAGCGCTACGTTTGAGAGAGCGGACTGAATGGTCGGCTGTTTCGGCTGCACAGGCGCAATGGGCTTCTTGCTCCGACTTTGCAAGAACATGTACTCGACATAATTCGCAGTTCACATTACTCTGTTTCATGTCCGACCTCAAAAAAACAAAATACCTCCACACCACCAATGTTTTCGTGCCAGTGTTGTTGACGATGTCATCATCTGTTGAGTCTTCATCTGTATTTCTGTCGGGGTAGCACTCATTTTCTTTTTTACTCACTGACACTGCTGTCAGCTTCACGTGTTTAAGTGCTATGATTGCGTGTAGCTGCTGCCTGTTACTATGCAGTTGTCTGCGTGAAGTTACTGGAGAAACTCCCCTTTTCATTGGCTGTTGGAATAGTCTACCAAAACATGACGATCGAAAAGGATATTGCAAAGACTGTATATAAAATGGACAGCGTCTGCCTCCTTGCTAGGTGAAGTCACCCCAAGAACAGCACCCTCTGGTGACGGGCTGCAGTATAGGTCATAAATCCCGCCTCCTCCAGCAATCCCTATGGAGCTGTGGACAAACTTTAGAAATTAATTACACAGAATATACATTTTTCTCCCCCCTGGTCGCGATGTTGACATGTTGTTACTGTCAGACTGGTCTGTGCTCAAGTCCTCTTTTTTCTGTGCAGCTCAATTTTTGAAAATCCTAACTGAAAGAACCATGACTTATCTGACTGAATTTAAAGCATCTTATCAGGCTTAACAGAATCCCCTTTTTTAGAGTTTTAACAATAAAGGGGGTACGGAAAATAGTAGTAGTAGTGAGTAATAGTAGAAGAAAATAGTAGTGCAATAATTCCTGTTATCCTATTACTATGTAAACTCTGTACAGATGTAAATATGATGCATGTACATATAAATAAATAATAGATAAAGTTTCTTTATCTTTTAATTTTTCACTTTTTGTATCAACACTATGCTGCTGTACATTTTGAATTTCCCCTTGTGGGACTATTAAAGGAACATCTCATCTCATCTCATCTGAGCACCTCTGCAAGATGAGGTCCACAAGAACCTGAGTGATATTTAACAACATGAAGGAATAGGCGATTAATCTGAGTAATGATGGAGACCTAATTATCACCTGAAGGCCATCATCATGACCGGTTTACAACCATGAGACCGGGCCAACAACAGCCAATAGCCGGCCCGTCTTTGATTCTTAAATCCGGTTCTTTTCTCACCGATTCTGGAAGGCGGAGCTCCGTCGACGTGACCCGGTTCGGTCCGGTCTCCGGCAGCGGCCCGAGCTGACAGAACAACGGCGAGGAGCAGGTGGAGCAGAGAGCCGCCCATGGCTGCACCAGAGCGGAGACAACAGAGGAGGAGAAGAGGAGGAGGAAGAGCTGATCTAACACATTAGTCTGCTGGAGTCATCGATCCTCATCATGATTTGTTCATTAACATCAATATTTCTGATCAGTGTGGATCTATAGTTCCGCCTTTAATCCAGATGGCGCACAACAGACGGATTGACGACGCTCATGATCGTAGAGCTCAATTCACCAATGAACGGCCAACGTCCGGCAACATCACGTGATTCAAGAGACTGGGTTGTTTCGACCAATCAGAGCCGACGGAGAGTCAGCGGCTGACGTATGAGTGAGTGGGTAAAATAAATCCACGCTGTTTGATCAGCCTCGTGTTCACGTCACTTCAGATCACGTATAAAGTAGATTATTACGTATTATTATACCTATAATTAATGTGGTGATTATTACTCCCAGAAAATGATAAAGAAATGATCATAAATGTTCTTCCTTGAGCTGCGTCACCCCACTGTAGTCCGTAATGGACTGGCCTGAGGTCTCGCCCCACAAACAAGCGGCTGCTGGAAGAGAGTAGGTGAGTTGTGTTTAGTCTCTTTGCTAAAGAAATTAGGCAAAGCTAAAAAGATGTTTGGTGGCTAGTACTATGGCTGGGACCCTATATGTCCTGTTGATGAAGTTAGGTGCTGTTCTGAGTATTATTTGTGGCTATAGAGTGGCGTTTTGGTTGAGGTTTGTTTATGGCTCCTCAGACCGCTGTGTATTGCTATCGTGCAATCCTTACTAAAGTTGGTCTAACTAGAGAAGCAAGCGGTCGGAAACATTAATCTCTGGAGGGGGTGTCTAACTCAGTGTTACGGTGTGTTTGACCCTAAATTAATTTTATGCTGGAATATCCCTTTAACTTTAATATTAAATACGATTCAACGCATGTTGTTGAATACTCTGAGTATCTATATTCCATCCTTTTGACGCTTGTTTCTGTTCAACTGGCACTGAAAGCTCAAGAACCCAATGAAATCCAATGATCCAGTTCCCAACTTGGGATGTGGATCACTGGGTCCAAAAGCACTTGAATTCAACATTAGATCAAGTCCAGTTTCCATGAATTGTACCAATAGATACAAATAAAGAAACCTGATTATGAATATAATAAATTGCGCATAGCTTTTCAGAGTAAAGTTACAATTGAAAGAAACATTTCAAAATAATTCAGTAAATCTGTAGGAATGTACAGAGGCCTATGGCATTCACACAAAAAAGCTCTGGTTTTAAGAGTAATTTGTTTTTCTTTTTTGTTTTTCAAAGTAATTTTTTGTTTGTTTTATCTTTTAGACTAATTGAAAAACTAAGAAAAACAGAATAAAAATTTGTCCGGAACACAGAAAGGGGGGGAAAAAATACTAGAACAAAAACAGATGAAAAAAAAAAAGTCAGAAAAACGGAAAGGAGAAAAAGAAATTGCCAAAAAAAGAGAGATGAAAAATGTTTTTTTTTTTTTTTTTTTTACAGAAAACAGAACAAAAATTTGTCCTAAAAACAGAAAGAGGGGAAAAAATATAACAGAAGGAAAAAAGTCAGAAAAACAGAAAGGAGAAAAAAAATAGTCTGAAAAAGAGAGACCAAAAAAAAAAAAAAGTACGAAAAACAAAGAGGGTAAAAAATTTTAGTACAAGAAACAGAAGAACCAAAAAAGTCAGAAAAACATAAAGGAGAAAAAAATTAGCCCATAAAACAGCAACGGAAAAATAAATACATCAAAAAAGTTTCCTCTTTTTTTTTTTATTAGAATACAATACACTTTCGTAGGTTTGTTTCTGAATATGGTTTAAAAAAAATGATTCAACCACTGGTTCAACTGGATCATTTAAGGTTCACTGTATTTCAGCTGTCGATGTAGGAAATGAATCTATGGGACATTAAAATTGAAAAAAGAGAGAGGAAAAAAGTATTACCACAAAAAACAGAAGAAAAAAATTAGTCCGAAAAACAGCAAAGAGAAAAACAAAAAACAAAAACAGTTTCCTTTTTTTGTATATGACTACAATACGCTTCCGTAGGATTGTTTCTGAACATGGTTAAAAAACGTGTTTATTTAATTGGATCATTCGACGTTCATTGTATTTGAGCTGTCGATGTAGGAAATGAATCCATGGGACACTAAAATTGAAAAACAGTGGAAGTTGCTTTTATTTCATTCAACAAAGAAATCGCTGCGACATCTGAGTAAACCACTGAGCAGAAACGAACATTCACACTGAGCCGCTGAAACAATGACTGGCACAGTGGAGCAGTAAGGCTTAAGGACGCCTCAGACACATGCACGCACGCACACACCGTCAATCAATCGCACACTCAGACTCATACTCATTTACATCAGCTATCTTACACCTCTGCGGCTGCTCGCTCTGCAGCCTCGCCGTTATCCCTCTCCCTGTCATGTGGTCAGTCAGAGGTGAGGTGTCAAAGGTCACCTCTAAATCAGGTAGCCTCCGTTCCCTGCTGTTGCGTTTAACACAGGGCTAAGAGGGGACATAACACAGAGACCTTTACTGTTCATCTCTGCGGTACATCTCTAAGCAACAAGACCCCTCAGCAATCAAAACACTGTGAGGCTGGCTGAGAGCCTGGAGGAGGAGGAGGAGGAGGAAGAGGAAGAGGAGGAGGAGGAGGAGGTTCAGGGGAGGTCATGCTCTGGCCGTGGGGAAGGCGGAGGGAAAGAGGAGTAGGGCACTGGTCGAGAAGTCGATGTGATTGGTCACTTGGTGGAGCGCCGGGTGGGTTCAGAGGCAGTGGGTGGAGGTGGTGGGCCACGGCGGTCTAGGTCTTCAATGTAGAACATGATGAGCTTCCTTCGCTCCTCCGGGACACACTCCAGGACGAGGTACCGCTTGTCGTTCTGGAGGATTTTCTCCACGTCTTTCAGATGTTGCTCCGACTCCTGGATCAGCTTCCTCGACCTGGTGGGAAAACATGATGAGGTTGGTGAAACTGTGATGATCTTCTGCAAACAAAACCGCCTTAAAGTCAGAGATTTAGGCTTTTAATTAAGGTGTTAAAACATGCGGATAAGTAGAGGAGTGGCACAAGCTGAGTGTCCCAAAACAACAGGAAGATTATCTCCACTGATAAAGCTATACTGCATTTAGCTCCATCTGGTGTGCAGTAACCCAGATTTTGTTCAGACCTGTATGTGATGAACTTGGTCTCCTTCAGCAGGGTTCTGAAGTCAGCTTTGGCCGTGATGTACTTGTCTTTGATGTAATCTTCAAACTCCCGCTGTCTCTTCTACACACAGAGATGATCCACATCAGACATCCACACAGAAACTCACAAAATCACAGAACTGTAGTTGTTTTTTTTCATCTTACTCTGTCACTGGAGGAGAACTTAATACAGCGAGGGTCCTCTTTGATAACCTTCTTCACCTCCTTCCATGTGGTCGTCAGCGTGATCTACAACACAAGAGTGAACAACCCGTCAGACACACAGACGTCGACTCAAACAGATCCAGCTGATCTGGAATGATGAACACAAATCCAAACTTGTATTTCTCCTTCTCACCATGCTCGTTTCGTCCAGTAGCTGCCTGAAATGTTCTTTCTTCTTCTTGGCCAGCGCCTCCACGTGTTCGTTGAACAGCTTCTCCTTCTCCTCCCTCTCCAGCAGAGACGCCGACTCCCAGCGGTGATCCTTCCGCAGGTTGCGCCGTGTGTCTGACCAGGTTGCATCGGAGGAGCGAACCTGAGGAACGGACAAACGAAACAAACACGTAAACTCGACTCGTACTGCTCATCGTTTCGTTGTGTTGTGTTGTTGATCTCCTGCTTTGGTTAGATGATACAGAGTCCTTCAGAATCCTAAGTATTCAACAAAACTTGACTGTTACTACTTTAACTATTTGTGGTTCTGCTTTCCGCTAATTTCTGGGTCTTCAGTAACTACAGACAGCAATGAGCTTTTCTCTTGAAAACCCTTTAAATGTAATAAACCCCCAGCCTTGTGTGTGTGGGTGTCTCAAAGCTGTGAAGGATCTCACCATATCGGACATGAGAGCTTTGAAATGCTGGATGGCCTCCTCTCTCTTGTGCTGCTCTCTTTCTCGGTCGATCTCTTTGGTCTGTTCCGATCGAGCTTTCTGCACCTCCCGCTCCCTCTCTCTCAGACTGGCCTCGATACGAGCCTGCCGCTCCAGCTCTCGCTCCTTCTCGATGTCTACATTCTGTTGAGGAAAACAGGTCGTCAGCCGCATGTTTCATTTGGCACAGGAATCTTGGAGCTGTCAAGAGAAGTGCTCTGACCTTGGCTTGTTTTTCCATGAACTGTTTAAAAAGTTCTTCTCTCAGTGCCGAGCTCTCCACAGCCTTGTATCTGGGGTCTGTCTCCAGCCTCTCCTTCACTTTACTCCACCTCTGACCTCCCTCTATGTGCTGCTCACTCACGAGATCGAAGAAATCCTGCTTCACCTGAGTGAAAAAGTCAGATCATAATCAGAGACACATTCTTCAAAGCAGGGCAGATGTTCAGTGTCAAGGTGACACCAAGAGAACCAAATATTCGTTCCTGGTTAAAGGGATATTCCAGCGTAAATTTAATTTGGGTCAAACACACCGTAACACTGAGTTAGACACCCCCTCGAAAGATTTATGTTGCCGACCGCTTGCTTCTCTAGTTATACCAACTTTATTAACGACCGCACGATAGCAATACACAGCGGTCTAAGGAGCCATAAACAAACCTCAACCAAAACGCCACTCTATAGCCACAAATAATGCTCAGAACAGCACCTAACTTCATCAACAGTACAAATAGGGTCCCAGCCATAGTATTAGTCACCAAACATCTTTTTAGCTTTGCCTGATTTCACAGAGTGCAGTGGATCATTTCCTTGAAGTGCAGCGGAGTTTCGCAGCTCAAGGAAGAACATTTATGACCATTACTTCATGGAAATACAATCAGACCGAGACGCTAAGACAGAAGAACTACCGCGTCTGCAGTGCAAAATGATTAATATGGTGATTATTACTTCAAGGAAATGATGAAGAAATGATCATAAATGTTCTTCCTTGAGCTGTGAAACTCCGCTGCACTTCAAGGAAATGATCCACTGCACTCTGTGAAATCAGGCAAAGCTAAAAAGATGTTTGATGGCTAGTAGTATGGCTAGGACCCTATATGTACTGTTAATGAAGTTAGGGCTCGACTCGATAGGACTCCCCCCACAAACAAGTGGCTGCTGGAGGAGAGTGGGTGAGTCGTATTTGGTCACTTTGCTGAAGAAATCAGGCAAAGCTAAAAAGATGTTTGATGGCTAGTACTATGGCTGGGACCCTGTATGTACTGTTGATGAAGTTAGTTGCTGTTCCGATCATTATTTGTGGCTATAGAGTGGCGTTTTGGTTGAGGTTTGCGCGTGAAGACGTAGACCACTGTGTATTGCTATCCTGCGGTAAAGTTGGTGTAACTAGAGAAGCAAGTGGTCGGCAACATTCAGCTCTGGAGGGGGTGTCTAACTCGGTGTTACAGTGTGTTTGACCATAACTTTAATTTACACCAGAATATCCCTTTAAAAAGGAGTACAGTGTGTTTAAGTGTCAAAGCCTCTTCTTACCTTCTCTCCTCTGGACTTAGAGTCCTCTTTTTCTCTCTTCCTCATGGCGGTGATGAACTCCACAAAGATGGCCTCCCTGTCCTTCATTTTCTCGATGGTTTTAAATCGCGGGTCTCTGCCGTGCTTCACAGCAAACTCACTAAACGTTGTTCTGTTGGGAAAAAAAGGATGTTTAGATCTTTTCTACGAGGCTGGTGTGAAATTTATCAAACTGTGAATGTTTACATCATCACAAATCTGTAAACACCAAACCTCCCGGATGAATTAAAAAGTTGTGATAATTATGAAGTGAAAAGTTTCTATTACAATATAGAATATTATGGTTCACGCCTATTTTTGTGTTATATCATCCCTTAAAACACAGATCAGAACCTACCAGTAGTCAAACTGGCCTGTCCCTTTACCTAGCTGTGAGCTTCGACTCCTCCATCATCCTCCTGAACTCGTCTTTGGCCTGCATCAGCTTGTTCTTCTTCTCCTTTCTCTCTTCCTCAGCTCGCGTCTTAACATACTGATCAAACACCTTCAAATGGAAACACGTACAAATTCAGGGTTTTACACGCTGCATCACGCTGGGAGGATTTGGGGAATGAGTGAAAGAGAGAGTAGAAGCTGGACCTGTTTTCTCTCTTTTGGGTTGAGCAGAAGGTAACGCGGGTCGAAGACAATCTTATGAAGCTCTTTGTCCCAGGTGGAGAACGCAGACACCTTTGAGTAAGACAGAAAACGCTGGCGTTAGGCAGACAAACAGAGAAGCTGCATTCATGCAACCTGTAGATATAACTCATCGTTTATACTCCAATATCAAAAATAAAACCATTTTCCTGGTCCATCTTGGGCTTGCTGAAGCTGTTTACTGAAGAATTTACTGAATGTTTTAAATGTTGTGTTGGAGCTCCAGCAGAAAGTCAGTGTTACCCCTCTCTCCAGCAGCATTTCTCTAAACTGAGTCATCCGAGCCTCCAGTGGAACAATGGCCCGTTCTCTGGCAGCTCTGAGTTCTGCCTCCATCGCCGCCTCCTTCTCAGAGTCCGGCTCCTTCCCGTCCTCTTTCCTGCGAGGGTGGAAGCACAAGGGTCACCGGAGCAGGACAAAACGAGGCATGAACAACGAAGCAATACAACAAAGTACGATTGATCATGAACTATCGGATCTTTAAAAAAAGGGTTTCTTAAATCTCAGCTGTGCTGCATGACTCACTTTCTCTTCTTGGCTTTGGTTGGCTCTTCATCTGGGGTCTCTTCAGTAGCAATGGTTAGCTCTGGCTCTTCCTTATTGACAACTGCGCACAAACATTAAAAACGGTAATCCACACATGTTTTTAAAACGACAGCAGCATTCATGCACTTATAAATCTCTAAATCTTGTTTTTGTGTTATTTTAAGTTGAAATTAATTCAAATAACCACCAAAATTTCATCCTGTTAACTCATTCAGTGCCGTTGACGGATTTGGACGAAGTTTTCAGTTTTTTTGTTTTCCGCGACTAAGTTTGGGGTCGTTCTGAGCGCAGAAAAGCCGACAAATATGTCACAACCATGGTACAATAACAAAAACAAGAACTCGCCAGTGAAAAGTGCGCCATCAAGTGTGCCCATTAGCCTAGTTGTGGAATTTTTTTTGCTCTACGAGGAGAGTAGGAAAATGCCGAAGTGAATAGCCAAGAGCTAACAGTCTCGGCGCATCAGATCCCGTGGGCACGGTGCTACCGTCTCTGGATCCAGTGGAGATCCCAGTACCGGACCTACCGAACCTGGCACTGAATGAGTTAATGACTTGATTTCACGTTCATATTTGCGCTTGTGTTTTCACCTGTCTTCTTGCTGTCCTCGAGGCCCCTCTTGTGCGGCGGCTCCTGAATATGCTTATCCACATCAGCCCGACCCACCAGCTCCTCCGGTCGGTCCCACATGGACAGCCGTGTCGTCGGGTTGTAAAAGAAGACACGATCGTCACCCGTCCATACCACACACCTGAGGAGGATTCAAGGTCAGGCACGAGAGAAAGAAAAGATGACCTGAGAGTTGTTTCAGTGAAGTGGAGACAGAGACAGGGGGACAGCAGAGATTTTTGTATGCATACCATGGCGTGCCCGGGATCGGGTTGGTGGCTACAGGCCTCGCTTTCTGTGCTGCTTTTTCCTCCTCGGTCATCTCCTCCTCTTTAGGCTCCTTGAAACATAAAGACAGAAAATTGACTCACTCACTCACTCATCAGAGCCGACAGGTTTCAGTGCATGTAAGAGTTAAAAAATTAAAAACAAATAAACAAAAGATTTTAAAAAATAAACAAAAAAAATTAAAATAAAAACAAATAAACAAAAAACATTTAAAAAATAAATAAACAAAACAACTTAAAAAATAAACAAAACAAAAAAAACAAAAAAAAACAAATGGAAAAACGTTAAAATTAAAAATAAACATTTTTTTTTAAATAAACAAAAAAAATTTCAAATAAAAAAAATAAACAAAAAAATTCAAAAAAATAAACAAAAAAATTAAAATTAAAACAAATAAACTTTTTTTTTTTAAATAAACAAAAGAATTAAAATTAAAAAATTTAAAAAAATTGTTAAAATAAAATAAACAAAAAATAAATAAATAAATAAAAATTTGAAAAAATAAAAGAAAATCATAGGCAGAGAGCTTATTATCAACATTTTCTGTCATTTAGGTATGACTCACAAAGAGATACTTTATAGTTCAGCCACATTTGGTATTGTTTTGAGTAGCTGACACTTTATTAGGATCCTTAAAGCACAGTGACTTTGCCGTTGGCGATATTCAGACTTGCAGGAAAGGATTTTGTTTATTAACGAACAGTTAAATTGCACCTGCGCTATATTAAAACGCGTGTGCAAATTAAAAAAAGGCAGGTTAATGTCACCTCCCAGGCTCAGCAATTTTGCAACAGATCAGTAGATAAATTAATGCTACTGATGCTTTGTTGTATCGGTTTACGTTAGTCTTGCTCAAGGTGGGATAAAACTGCACAGTCGATTTTAAATCAGGAATCTTAAAGCTCGACTAAGGGAACACAGGACATTACAAAAAAAAACCTGAATTATCAAATTGGTTTCACCCGCATATGTTGACTGTTATACCTAAAATGCTACAGAGCAGTAAAATTCCCATTTTTCAGATTTCACACAGCTTAATTTTCTACTAAGTAAACCTATTAATTATACACCAAAAGTCTTGTCGCATTTTTAAGGTTCAATTCAACCTTGTAAATTGACTTTTCACTAACCTCCTTCTCATTATTAGCGTTTTCCATTTTGTTCTCTTCATCCTCCATCTCCATCGCCTCGGCTTCCTCCTGGGCCAGACGCTCCTTCAACTTTTCTGCTTCCCTTTCTGTTGGGCGAAAGAGACACAATCGACACCGTAAGACACTGGACTGTAACAAAGTCAGCTTTGTATTACGCTTAAACCTGTCAATGAACATTTGTAAGAGAGGACTGATGTGAATGGATGAGCAGGTGGAAACGTTTCACCAATCTGAGTTTTTAATAAACAGCCCCGGCTTTGTAGATCAAACCTCGAGTACCTTTCTCCACCAGGGCCTGCGGTTTCTCCCAGGTGGACTCCAGTGTTCGATTGTTGTAGTAGTACGTTTTCCCATCAGCTGTTTTGTACTCTGACCACTCGGGCAACTGTAATGAGCCGGCCATGGAGGCAGGAGCTGCAGAGAGAGCCAGCTGTGGGTGGTGCATCATGGACACTAAAGGTGGACCCATGCCAGGAAGCATGCCTGTCATCAGACAAAGAAGAAGAAGGTAGACAATGATTGGCTGAGAATTTTCTCTCGCTATCTGAGCAAAAAAGAAAAAAAAAAAAGTATTAGCAGTGAACTAAACTCTGGAAAGGCATTAGTTTCCACTTTTGAGATGTTATTTTCTGGACTGCCCCCTTGAGATAAAAAAAACACGCAGTATTAGCAAAAACAGAAGTGAGACAGACAGCTTCATCAGAGGAGTAAAACGCTTATTAAGTGCTACTTAAATAGGGGCTTTCCCTGTTAGCATTTCCCTAGAGGTTCATTATTAGATTGAGGGATGAATTACTGTACGCATGATTGAAATACGAGTCAGTGTTTCCCACACATAGACGATACCTGTCCATCAATCAAAAATCCATTATCAACGATTTCCTAGAGGTGGATATATCTAGACATTTAGGTTAGTTACATGGTTGGTGGTTACAGAGATACATGGAAACTGATAATCAAGCACATATGCAGCCTGTTATTTAATCCATATATACACCTAACATGGAGCACTGCAGCCAATTTAAAACACCAGGCTGAGCTCGACACAGACACTTGGAAACTCTGTGTCTTCACATTGTCCTGCTCCAACTCTCCTATCACCTTCCAGTTTATTTCTCCCCCCTTATTTAAAAACCAGCATGTTTCTATGTCAGAAAATATGGAATTCAGATTTTTTAGTAACATGGTTTTCTCCCCTGCAATAAATGTTTTTAAGTTTTTCCTCAAATCTAAACATCCCTCTTCCAGCCGGCATCTCATTACCGCGAGGATACCGTTGTTTTGTGGGAAACACTGCAACCACTTTGGGAGAGAAGTCAAAATAAAAAATCATCTCCATAAAAGCTGTTCACTGATTGACAACAAACACAGGCCACATACACAAACAAATAAAGTCAGTGACCTCACACACAACCATGCCACAAATAAAAGACGATCACATGACCACAAAAACTGAAAAAGGACCGAATCTCAAGCAGGTGAGAGCAGCTGTAACAGGAGGGTCTCTCTTTCTCAATCCGCAAAGAAGAAGTTCGAATGACTGACCTAAGTTCAGAGAGACACAATTCAGATGCTGAGTTTTAAAGTATGTATGCATACCAACTAAAAGCAGATTTTTGCCTTAGGTTACTCGTCTAGGTTTGATGGCGCTTTAATGTCGAGTTTTCTAAATATCCTAAAGGTGTGCAAAGTAAGACTCCTGTGTCTAGAGTACCTTTAATGCTGCTCCCAACCACTTGAGGCTGACCTGAGGAGTGGGTAGAGGAGATAAACTCCAAATACCTGAGAGCTGCAGACCGCCTGGATTTAAACCCCTGATGTAGCTCCACTGTGCTTAGCGAGTTACTGAAGTCTAAAGCATTATGAAGCCAAAATTCAGACATTTTTGTGGTTTCGTTACAGCGAACGAGTTTAAAGGATGCTCTTTGCGTTTAAATTGTGTGTAACTTTTGCTTCACCTTTGGCCCAGATCAAACGCACAAACACACACACTAGTTTTAACAATTCATATTTTGTATACGCTGCAAGTGGACTTCAGCTAATTATCCAATTAACTTCTTTATCAAGTGTTTTAATAGATACTGTCTTAGGGGGTACGCCTCGTGGACTAATCAAGAATATCTTTAATATGATCATATAAAAACATATAAAGTTATCAAGCTGTATTTTCTGTGTCTCTCACTCCTGTTGATCAGGGTGGATATGTTCACAGCAGTCAGGGTCATGCCACGGTTCAGAGGTTTCCATGTATATCAAATGACTCATGTAAACATTCACTACCATGCCATCTACTGGAGGTCTGAAAGGCAAGCGGATGGGTGTTTACCGTTAGCGCTGGGGCCTGCCTTTACACAGGGTGCACCTACTATCTGCATCATTGCTACACCTGCAAGAACAACGGACAAGCAAGCATCTGGTTGAGGACAGCAAGACACTGGACATCAACTAACCATGGTGTGTGAGAGTTTGTGTGTGTGGCCCCACTCAGACATTCACACGCCCAAATTCAGCAGAACTGAGCAGCGCACAGTTATCTTGTTTTCAGACATGATTGAAGTATGTGCAGTGTGCAGAAGGTTTGCAAACCAAGACTTATTTGGAGGCCGTTTCAGACTGTTTTTAATCATCATGTGCACTAGGACTGGGCGATAAAGTGAAAATTTACTGATACTAAAATTTATATCAACAACCGACGACGTCTGAATCAGCGCCTCCACGTCCGAGGCCATGGTCCTTGGTCGGAAAAAAGTAGATTGCCTTCTCCAGGTCGGAGGGGAGGTCCTGCCTCAAGTGGAGGAGTTCAAGTATCTCGGGATCTTGTTCACCAGTGAGGGTAGGATGATCGACAGGCGGATCAGAGCGGCGTCAGCAGTGATGCGGACGCTTAACCGATCAGTCGTGGTGAAGAAAGGGCTGGGCTGTAAGGCGAGACTCTCGATTTACCGATCCTCACCTATGGTCATGAACTTTGGGTAATGACCGAAAAAACAAGATCATGGATACAAGCGACCGGAATGGGTTTCCTTCGCGGGGTGGTCAGGCTCAGCCTCAGATATGGGGTAAGGAGCTCGGACACTCTGGAGGCCCTCAGAGTAGAACCACTGCTCCTCCACGTCGAGAGGAGTCAGCTGAGGTGGCTCGGGCATCTGGTTAGGATGCCTTCTGGATGCCTCCCGTTAGAGGTGTTCCAGATATGTCCCACCGGGGGGAGACCTCGTGGCAGGCCCAGGACCAGGTGGAGGGATTATATCTCTCACCTGGCCTGGGAGCGCCTGGGAATCCCCACAGAGGAGCTGGTGGAAGTGGCTGGGGTGAGGGCCGTCTGGGCCTCCCTCCTGAAGCTGCTGCCCCCGTGACCCGGACCAGGATGAGGCAGAAGAAAACGACGACGACGTCATTTGGCCCATGTCAATTTATTCAGGATCAAAAAAGTTCAAAGTAAGTACAAAAAAATATATTAAAAAGTTGGTTTTGGAGGACGGTTGGAGCGGCGGCTGAAATAGATGAAGTTAATGTGGGAGGGGGTGAGCAGCTTGCGGAGTAGTTATCGTCCATTTATTGTTATCGAGGTGAACTGCTCAATATATCGTGATATTGATTTGAGGCCATATCGCCCAGCCCTAATGTGTACAATAGAAAAGGTGAAGGAGCGCCTGAAAGTGTGAGTGCACTCGTGTTGGATCAGTAAATTCTCAAAGGCCTCCAAACAATTCTCAGTCTGACATTTGTTCTCCGAATCATCTCCCAATTGAACTCTAACTCCATCTAAATCTATTTTGATTGAGTCAAGTAGAAATGAGGGACAGACAGGAAAGAGGAGGAATCACAGAGGACACATGACAGTGGAGAAGAAAAGAGCCTGAAGAAAACACACAAGACTGAAGGGACGTTTCCCTTGGCCTTGGCCTAAACTGAAGCAGCTCCACTCAAAGACTTCAAATGTTAATGTGAGAACTGTGACATTTATCAAACTTTCGAGTAACTACCCTCTAACCCTGATGAATAAAAAAGGAGCCTGACATGGAAGCCAGGATTCAGAGTCAAGAGTGTGCACGATTACTTTTCAGGTTGGCTCATAAACCTGAAATAAACATCACACTTTAGAGCCACACTAACAGGGTGAGGTTTGAAAAAGCTAAATGTCTGATTTCAATTTGATGTTGCTTATTTTAAACAACGCGGGTTATAAAAATATGAGCCAATGCTATCTAGAAAAATCAAAATTCAATTACTTAAGGTAAACCTAAACATTTCACAGTTATGTTTGCTATTTTTTGGTGTAGTTATTCTAATTATAGACCATATTTTCAGAGCTGTTTTCTGATGAAATCACACTTAGGATGGGTAGTTTGAGCAGTACATGTAGAGTAGACCATGCATCCTGTGTTCAGAGACCACAGTCTACAAAGCAGACTGCCAGGACTCTTTACTGCATGTCATTTCCCACTGTACCATATCGCCATAAAAACATAACAATAAAAGATCTGTTACATTTATCTTCGTACCATCAGAGCTGATCAACAAGCTCGTCTAAATGTGAAAAGGAGTAAGTTTCACAAAAGTCTTCATTTAAGACGACAGAGGAGCTTAAAGACAGAGCTTCAGAGTCACAACCTCAATACAATATCGTCTTTTTATATTTAATATCCTGTTTCCTGCTTTCTTACCCCCTTCTTTTTAATTACATTTCTTCTTCTCACCTATTTTTAGTTTTTATTTTGGTCCTCATGGTCTCACTTTTTGTTGTAGGTTCTTGTATTGTCTGGGTTCCTTATGACAAATGATATTGGCCTTCAGTTTAGAGGCCTTGTTTTAAACTGAGCTTTTGATTTTTGTTTTTATTTCCATGTGCTGATGTGTTACGACTGTTTGTCAAAGCACTTTGTAAACCTCTGTTCGTTAAAAAAGCTGTATAAATAAAGTTATTATAAAGTTATTATTATTATATCCATCATTTCTTACCTTACTTTATATTGACAGATTCTAGTTAAGTGTGAAAACCCAGAATCAAACTACGCTTCTCTTAAGCTTAAACTTAAGCTCGGAATTAGCTAAACCAAACCTCGTTTTTAACCTGAAATGTGGCCGGATCGTCTCTCTAAATTTTCAGATTAAATCCTCTTTGGTGTGTTTTATCTTTTCAGTTTGGAAAATTTTAGTAATTGACATTCAAGCTTCCCACCCCGAGTGTGACTTCCAAGGAAAACAGCTGATATGGTCCAATCTAATGTGTCACTTCCTTTGTCTTTCAATTGGGAAATCTGTGCAGTTGTGAGGATACGAATGTTGAATGAACTTAATCTGTAGTTACCTAAAGTTTCATCAGCTCTACAACCTTGAAAAGATGTGGCCTAGTGACAGCAGCTGGTAATTGTCTTCAGGTGTTCTCTTACCTGGCAGAGGGATGTGCATGCCTGGCAGGGGCACCCTGAAAGGTGGCACCATGACAGGGGGGAAGGCAGGTATGGCTGCAGTAGGCTGGGCCACACTGTGAGGCAGAGCTGCAGGTAGCAGAGGCACGGTCTGTACTGCTGTAACGGGTGACGGCACCGTGGAAACGGTGACCACGGTGACAGGAGACACAGCAACGGTTGAGGTCACTGTGGCAATGGAGTTCAGGTCTGCTACAACGGTGGCTTTGAGGGGAAAAAAGAAAGGACAACAATAGTTTTAGTCTCTTTAAGTGCGTGATCATGTGTTTGTAACTTTAACTCAACTGGAGTCAACAGTGTGGTGTTAACCTGCAATGGTCGCAGCAGGAGAAGGGGAAGAGGTGGAGTCCGGACTGGAGGTGAGTGTGCGGGTGGGAGTGGTAGATGGGCCCTGAGTGGAGGAGGCAGCTGTTGCTGTACTCGCTGTAGTGTTGACACTGCTCGAGCTAACAGATGCCGTCACCCCCACACTTGCACCCGGCCCTGTTGCTCCGCCCCCGCCTACCAGTAGAGGGTTTAGCTCAGACTGCTGGATGATCTTCACACCATCAGGTTTGCTCCACGATGACTCTCTGGTCCTGGCGTTATAATAATAAGCCTGTAGAAGCAAACATTAGATCAGTCAGTGGGTTAGTTTTGAACCTGTTTTAAAGTGCAAACAATAGCTGATTTACAACTTCTGGTATACCTTTCCCTCTGGTGTCTTGTTCTCGACCCAAATCTCCTCTGTAGGGTTGAGTGTTGGGGTTCCAGATGTGGGTATTGGGGGCATCCCTGGAGGAAACAGCATCCCTGGAGGAGGCGGCAAGTTCCCCATAGGTGGGGGAAGGAACGGAGGTCTCTGCAGGAAACACAGAACTAGCGTTCACATTTCAGGTGACCTTTTAGGAGTCCTTCACCAAATATTGAACCATCTTGAGAGAACCAAATACGAGCGATGCTTAAGAGATTATGAAAGTGTGCTATTCATGTCCTTCTCCAACTACGCCAGCTATGATGTGTCTTGTTAAGAAATAAATGATGTTTTTCATCACAGACACCACAAAAGCTCGCTTTGTGGACAGTTTGTTTGAGGACCCTGCCTGCCAGATGGTTGCACTTCCACTGATATGGATTCAGAAACAAATTCAGGATTATTTTTCTGAAGGAGACTTCTTAATAAACACTCAAAACCAAACATACCTTTGTTAGTAAGGTTTTTAACGAACACTTTAAATTCCAGTATAAAGGGAACCCCCAGATATTTCAGCCACACAAGTGATGACACATTCCCTGATCATTGAACCAGATATAAGTCGACATCTAAGTTTGATTTAAGGATTTGATTTTGTAGTCAACTTCCATTGTTTTACTCAATTTTCCTTCATTAAAGAACAGCTGATAAAAAAACATGCATCATCTGCGTTCACTGAAATCACTCATTCACATGCTATCAACACCATCCCCACAGATAAAGTGAAGTGAGTTTAGCCCCCAACCTGCAAGAAACAGCACATACTAGATATGAAGATGGAGAACTTGTAACCTGTAAGTGAGGAGGTCCAATAGGTGGTGGCATGCCTCCTGGTGGTGGGATTGGCGGCATGTTGGGGTCAAAAGGTGGACGTGCAAACGGGGGTCGCGGTGGGGGTCCCCTCATCATCCCAAAAGGTGGTGGCGGTGGCCTAAGGAGTGGTGGTGGGCCTCTCAACACTGGGGCTGGAGTGGGAGTGGGAGCCGGTGCAGGTGCGGGTGCAGGTGCAGGTGTAGGCGCAGGTCCGCGAAACCGCACTGCCTGCTGCGCCATTCTATTACATAAGGTGAAAACATAAATTACTAACGGCTTCATCGAGAGATCATTGTATACAACCTCAAAATCCATGCAATCATTGTTCAAGAGATCTACGCTGTTTGGTTCAAAACTATTTTACATTATTACAGGTAAAGCTTCAAAGTAGGGCTGGGCGATAAAACGATAACGATATATCGAAAATTAATTTTCCTCAATATCAATATAAAACATGGTCAATATGCTTTTCAATAGTCATGTTTTGGTAGACTATATGAATAGCCAATGAAAAGGGGAGTTGCTGCTTCACGTTGAACCTATCATGTGCTGAATTAGAACCAAGTAGCAAACAACTGCATAGTAGCAGGCTGCAGCTACACGCAAATATAGCACTTTAACACGTGAAGCTGACAGCACTGTCGGTGAGAAAAAAAAGACAATGAGTGCTACCCCCGACAGAAATGCAGATGAAGACTCAACAGATGATGACATCGTCATCACCTAAAATGTCTGTGGTGGGGAGGTATTTAGTTTTTTTTAGGTCAGACATGAAGCAGAGTAATGTTGAGTACATGTTCTCGTTAAGTCAAGGAATATCTCAAACCTTTTTCACCACCTGAAGCAGTGCCACGCGGCACAGCACACGCAATGCAAAAGGTTACAAACATAGACTGTATATATTATGGACAACTTCCATAAAACCAACATTGCGCAGTAGTCATTCGGTGGGAGAGTCACTGTGATGACACTTGGCTCAAACAGCATATCCCCCTGGTGAGCTACGCAATCCTTGTGCAACCATAGGCTGTATCAAGTGCAAATCATAGAAAACATGAACCCCCTAATAACTTTTAAAAATGGAGCTGTACAGAAAAAAGAGGACTTGAACACAAAGCAGTCTGACAGTAACTACATGTCAACATCACAACCAGGGGTAGAAAAATTTATATTATGTGTAATTAACTTCTAAAGTTTGTCCACAGCTCCATAGGGATTGCAGGAGGAGGCGGGATTTATGACCTATACTGCAGCCCGTCACCAGAGGGTGCTGTTCTCTCGGTGGCTTCACCCAGCGAGGAGGCAGACGGCGTCCATTCTATATACAGTCTATGAATACAAATCCTGAGTGGAGCAAGGAACTCATGGCGCCTGTGCAACTGAAACAGCCGACCATTCAGTCTGCTTTCTCTAGCGCAACCAAAACGTCAAAGAGATACAAAGACCTCACATATGCAGTAACTTATTGAACTGCAAAAGACATGCTACCAATAAACACTGTTAAATGTAATCTTTTATAACATGATATATATCGATATCGACTTATATGAAAAATTTATTGTGATAAACTTTTTCACGTATCGCCCAGCCCTACTTTTTATCAGTGTAATAGTCACAAAGTTGTGAATGAGATCAGGTCTATTGTAATTTTAAGTCACTCTGGAGGTTTCTCTAAGGTGGAGCTTCTGAATGGAGTTTCCTTAAGGTTCATAATACTATACCTAAAACTACTCAAACTTCATACGACGTTGCTATTATGTTAGTGATGCAATTTCCTCTGTTTGATTGGGCAATATTTCGACTCTGCAAATTCATTGACTTCCAATAACCTGCTCATATACATGTTTCTCTTGATGGTAACAGATCTACACAATATTACACACACTCATTATTTGAACTCCTCTTTGCACAATCCAACCAGCTGGTTAAGACACAGCGTGTGTGTGCGTGTGTGTGTGTGTGTGTGTGTGTGTGTGTGTGTGTGCCCATGCCTACTAATGCATGTAGCATAGCTTAGCTAACTAGCAAACAGACGTTAACAATGCAGGAAGCGCAGATCAGAGAAACTTTCAGGGTAAATGGACAGATGTATCTCCATGAAGCCCCGTGGAGGTGAAAACATCAGCCTGTGTCTGATCTAAGTGTCTCTGTTTACCGCGTGCCACAGAAACAGCCACTCGGCAGTCCGGAGCAAAGCTAGCGTGCTAACGTGGCTACATGCAAAGATAAAACCTCCTGATTCAGCTAGAAACAACTCTGCTCTCTTCCTTTAGAGATACAGTCAATGCTTAAAATCAGACGTCGTTAAATCCATATTTGACACCATATATTTAATGTATCTGACCTGTTATCGCTGAACCCGATAGTCTCGGTGTCTGTCTGGTCCGCCATTACAGGAAAATGTAACCACTTTCTTCCTGGAAACGCCCCTAAGCGGTTTCTAGTGTTTCTATTGGTGTAGCTTTGGTGTCAATCATATCGCAGGCAAAGCTGTTCAGGCTCTGATCGGATGAGCGTTTTCTGACGGAGGCGTGGCCAACCATGTATTGGTCCGCTCTGATATTGTTTTTAAGGGATGTCTTTGTTCAACCACTGTGAATGGAGTTATTCATGACGACGAGGCGGACCGCCTCTTTTTAACGTACTTACTTACACATACCCCTTTCTTTTTCTTCTTTTATTAATTTGCCGTGATAGGAATAAAACATTTTGTATCTCAATGGGAATAATCCTGATTAAATAATTGTAAATTAAAAAAAACGAAATCAAAGCTCCTCTGAAAGATGACCAAACCTAAGAATGAGACTTACATCCTGAACGTAAACAAAGAAAAACCTTAAATGATCTTGTGAAAGTGTAAAATTTTCCATACCATCGAGTCAATTTTTAAAGTTTAAGTTTGAATGAATGAATGAATGACTTTGTTATACATAATGGACAAAAAAAAAATCTAAATCAGAAACAATGGTGAAGTAAATTCAATCAATAGCTTCTCATGTTATGTGACTGATTACTCAAAACAAAAAAAGGACAGAACAAAGTATATTTTATTTGACTTTATGGATAAGCATACTGACAGGTTGCATATTTAGCTCAAAAGTGCTTTTTTTGAATGAAACTTGAACTGTAGATTCATCTGGGGTCGTCTGTGTATGCTTCATACTGTATCTCTTAAGGTAGTCCAACCACATCAACATACTCGTCACTTGAACTGTTCATTGTGTCGTTGCTTGAAAGCTGTTGACTGATGGAATTATCAGTCAGTTCCAGGCTATCTGGTGTTGTGGTGGAGTCGAGCATAACTTCATGACTATTATTAGCCTCACAATCATCCTGTTGCTCGGTATCGTAGAGAGGAGCCAGATCGCTCTCTTTCCTCTCTGGGTGATTATAGGAGTGATCTCTCTCTTTCTTCATAGTGCTGTATGTGTTTGGGTATCTGTTGAAAATCCTGCTGTATCGATATAGGTGCACATAGGTCAAATTCTTTGAACTTGTCAAAACAGATATATTTAAGAACTCTGGCATCCTCCCAAGGACACTTTTATAGCTGAAATATTCCACCAACCTTGCAAAATGGATCTTAACACTGGGGCAGAAGTCCATAGGAATGTACTGGTAAGATTGGCAGAAGCAGAAGCCAGCTGAGTGGGGTATTGTGCTGCGCCTAGCATCTCTGTTGGGGTCTTGAAACTCTGAACAAGATGGAATAACTCTCCTGAAGGCAGAGAGGTCGACATCGTGTCCTACTCTCTGCTCTGACGCCAATAATCTTTTTTTACTCTGGGGACAGTACTCATAATCTAAAATGATATGACAAACACAAAACCAAATACCTGAGCAGATATCTGATGCAGTTTAAAGACGGTAACTATCATTGAACGCTCTTTTATCTCGTCATTAGTTGCTGTGTTTGTGTCCATACCAGGGAATCTCTGCTGGTGCATTTGTTTTTGTTTGTTGGCGATTTCAAAGTAAGGCCTCTTCTCTTCCTCACTGAGCTTGGACCACTCATGACCCAGCTCAGCGCTTGTTACTCTGACTCCAGGATTCTGCTCCTTCACGATACACCGACGGATCCTGGACCAAACCATATAGGCATTCATTGGCCGTTTGATGTGTCCGTTCTTGCTTTGGTAGGGCTGTAACTGAAACACAGCTAAGGGAGATGATTAGAACAATAAAACAAAAAATAGACAAGATACAAGGAGGAAATGTGTCCAAGTTCAAGATTTGCCTTCTAGTTTTTTAAACATACACAATGGTGTCCCACAAGGGTCCATTTTGGGTTCCATTTCATTTATTATTTAAACAAATAATTTATGCGACAATGCTACAAATATAATGTTGATTTTTTTTTATGCAGATGATATGATAATATACGTGTTAGTGCACAATTGAGTGTAAAAAGTGTGACAACAAGCCCTGGTCTCCCCTAATGATGAAACAAAATGAATTCAGTTTACAGGATTAGGATAGAAGTAGTTATGGACTATGTTAAAATAATTTAATGTGATTACAGTCAGCAGGCCTAATAGTAGTTAACTCTAGTTTTATGTTATTAATGTTGGTGAGGCTGACAGTTGGTTATTTTCTAACTAAAACTTTTAGGATTTTGATTTTCCACTATATTTGAGTGTTTTTTCTTGATTTACTCCCTTGTTTTCCTGCTTTTCATGTCCCACAAAGGTCACAATAAATTGTGGGAGATGTCTGTACCTTTCTTTGGTGGCTGGATGGTAGAAGAGCTGGTGACCGGGTCAACTTTTCCTCCTCCACCCTCCAGGCTGGCTGATGGATCCGCGGTGAAGTAGGCCGGCTTTAGCTTCACCGCGTCTCCATACTCGGTACACTGGAGGGGGATTTCAACGGCTACACCCGCCTGCTGGGAACCAAAAGGGGGCGTATCTGTACGAACACCGCCCATCTCACCTCCTCCATCGCCCCTGAGCTCCTCGGACATATGCCGGTGGAGTACAGGTTGGTGTAACGAGGTGGAGGAGGAGGATGGTTTTCCGTCTTCGAGTTTGTCATGTGTTGCAGCCGAGGTCGAGCGGTTTTCAAATGTTCTGACTCCATCTCCTACACCGACCGACGGCTGAAACTGGTCCGAGCAGGCGTTATGAGAGAGGTCGGAGGCTGCCATCTGTGGATCCGGACCTCGAAGTCCTCTCCCGGGGCACGACTTTTCAGCGAGGCCGTCCATTTACACGGTTATTTCACGATTATTTCTGGGCTAACTTTGCTGTCAGTTAACAGTAGGGCTCAGAAATATTATATATTTTAAAATGTAACGAATTCAAACGGCTCGTTGCCCCGACAACAGTAACTGATTCACGACGTAGGCCACAAGTCAAAACGACGTTTAACAAGGTCCGAAACATAGACTGGATATTCTATATATGTTCTTTATACAATCTATGGTCTGAACTGATCAGCCGAGAGCCTGTTTGTTAAAATGTGGTTTAATGAAGTGGAAGAGGGAACAAGTCTGCAGCGAAGAAGGTTTTGATGATTTAAAATGTTTAATTTCTTTAATCTAGCTTTGACTTTTGTGTTCAAGTTTTGCTTGTTTGGTCATTTTGTCAGTTTTCACGGTAACCTTGTTTGCGTAACAGTAACTTTGTTTGCGTAAAATTAATTTAGGGTCAAACACACTGGAACACCAAGTTAGACACCCCCTCTAGAGATGAATGTTGTCGACCGCTTGCTTCTCAAGTTATAACAACATTAGTAAGGACCACACGACAGCAAAACACAGCGGTCTGAGGAGCCATAAACAAACCTCAACCAAAACGCCACTCTATAGCCACAAGTAATGCTCAGAACAGCACCTAACTTCATCAACAGGACATATAGGGTCTTAGCCATAGTACTAGCCACCAAACATCAAAGAGACTAACACAACTCACCTACTCTCTTCCAGCAGTCCTTTGCAGACTGCAGCGGAGTTTCGCAGCTCAAGGAAAAACATTTATGATCGTTTCTTCATTGAAATGCAGTCAGACTGAGACGCTAAGGCAGAAGAACTACCGCGTCTGCAGTGCAAAATGATTAATATGGTGATTATTACTTCAAGGAAATGATAAAGAAATGTTCATAAATGTTCTTTCTTGTGCTGCGTCACCCCGCTGTAGTCAGTAATAGACTGGTTCGAGGTCTCGTTACAAACAAGCGGCTGCTGGAAGAGAGAAGTTGAGTTGTGTTTAGTCACGTGGCTAAAGAATTTAGGCAAAACTAAAAAGATGTTTGGTGGCTAGTGTAGTGTCTGGGACCCTATATGTACTGTTGATGAAGTTAGGTGCTGTTCTGAGCATTATTTGTGGCTATAGAGTGGAGTTTTGGTTGAGGTTTGTTTATGGCTTCTCAGACCGCTGTGTATTGCTATCGTACAGTCGTTACGAAAGTTGGTTTAACTAGAGAAGCAAGCGGTCGGCAACATTCATCTCTCAAGGGGTGTCTCACTCCATGTTATGGTGTGTTTGACCCTAAATTAATTAAATAAATAATTTTATGGTATTCAACGTTTAATTGCAGATTAAAATCAGAAAAAAGGGTCTTATTTTGGGATCAGTGGCTGCCACAGTGGTTCTGTCAATATCACAAATAATCTTAATAATGAAGTATAGAAACGAGCCATAAATGTTATAATTTAATGTTAAATGAAGTACAGAAAATATAGCGTGAAATCAAATAAAACAAGCTGTTCCAAAATAAGAAACAAAAACATGATTCCTGTCTACTGAATTATGTTATTAGTAGCTCTCTGCCATATGAACATAACCTTACTAGTAAAATAATAAAATATTTAACTAATAGCTATGGAGTCATCCTTCTGAGAGTAACAAAATAAAGATTTGGTCATTTGGAGTTCAGGGCCTCAGAAAATGACAAGAGGCTCTGCTCAGCTGTGTTTGCACATCAAACAGAGAAAACTATGCCCACACTATGTCACACACACTCGTGTAATCGTCACACACATACACACCCACCCACACACACTTCACTTAAGACCTTCCAAAAACTTTTATAATGGTCTCTGTTTACCATGTAAATCATTAAAAGTCATGAAAAATGATCCAGTTTATCTAATCGTCAAATGTGAATGTTAAAGTGATGTTTGTTAGACAATGAGTAAGAGAACAATATCCTCTTGTAGTTGGTGGCCATCCTTTCCTTTTTTCTACAGCTTATTGGAAAATACTCTTTAAAAAAGATTTTTTCAACCTCCACCAATATCTGCAAGTAGACGCAGAATACACAACATGATACATTTGTGCCTGACAGAAATGTTTGCACCAACAACCCTAACCATCAAGTTTCCTACAATGGCTTTCCTGAACTACACATTTGCAGAGTGGGGGCTTAAAAAGAGTTAATATCTGTGAGGCAATACTGACTGACCTCTCGACTAACTTTCAATCTGTGAGAATGAAAACTGCTGAGTACAAGTGTCACATTTAACAGTGAACCGTCATTATGAAATAAAGGGTACTGCAGTTTGCCCTTTGTTCTGAGAAGTTCAAAGCTTTGCTAAACTTTTCTGTGAAACAACAACACACTGAGTCAGTGTGAGCTTCCAACAAGAAAAGGACCGTCACATATTATCTCGATGGCTCAATAAGTCCTCTCGTCCATTCTGCCCTCTGCTGGAGGATTGGAGTAAGGATTTATATTTTTAAATAGACTTGTGTAATAATCATATAAAAGGTGATATTTCAGGCTGATGATTCATTGAAGAAGCTGTGTCATTTTTTTTTGGTGTCAACCTTACTGGCTGGTTTACCTGTGCATGTGTGGAAAACTACAGCTCTGTTACTTTACGGTAATGAGGGGGAGTATTTTGTAGTCTAGATATTAAACAGGTGACAATCCTTTCCTCACAGGAAAGTAATAAGTTGAAACTGTGGGTTGACATCTTCCCTGCTTCAGGGCTGTCCTCTCTGTGACACCTTTTCACTCATCAAAGAACTGCAGGGTTATCAGTGGGGCATCAGCAGTTGCTCTAGCTTTAAGTCAACAGACCTAGAAAGGGATTGATCACTGGTGCCAGACTGGTGCTGTCAGAGAGAGAAAGTAGAGACAGATTCATGCAAGGTTGTCTTTCAAGTAAGCAGTCCTCCTGTGGTCCTCTCATAATTTCATACACACACACACACACACACACACACACACACACACAAACACAAACACACTACTCTCACACACACACAAACACACACACATAGTTGCACTTTTTCATTTCCCAAAACTGCCAAAGTTAGCAAAGGCATCTTGTTTGGGTGGTACCACGGCTGGGGTGATTGAGTGTGTGAGGCCCATCCCCACTCCTGGCATCCCTATGCCCGCCATACCACCCATCATTACCGGAGAGGCCATGCCCATATTCATGCTCATGTTCATTCCCATCATGCCTTGGTTCACAGGAATTCCACCCATCCCCATTGTCCCTGTGTTCATTGAAGGGGGCATGGTCGCTGCCAAGGAGGCAGGCATGCCAGTTGCCATGGATGCAGGCATACCCATCGTCATGGGATTGCCCGCCATCATGGGATTGGCTGGTGGTCTGATGGGTGTCACGTGGGGTGGGGAGCTGAGGTTCAGTCCACCAAAGTTTTGCGCCAGAAGGTTGACAGGAGGCACTCCTGGACAGACACATACAGGCAGGAAGGAGTCAATACAATCCGTTGTAGTCCAATATATATATTAATAATATAGATATGTAATAATCTAGATTCCAAACTTTTACTGATATCCACCTGACAACTCGGATTGATTCTAATCCCTGCTGCTGTGAGTCAGTGTGAATAAACTAATATAAAGATATGATATGATATCCATTAAGCCAGAAGGAATATTAGCCTTGAATTTGTTGGCATTGTAATATCCATTTTTATCATTAATAACTACACTGAATGTTTATTATTTATAATCATGCATGCATGGCCAGGGCCTAGACAAGAACTAGAAAATATTTTTCTCTTTTTTTTGTCTCACTGCATTTCCGGATTGAAGGCCAGTGGAGCGAGACGCGGTAATATACTCTTCAGTAAGCGCTGTGTTGACTGAGTAGCTGGGTTTTCTCGCTCGTGGACCTGAGTGAGCATTGTGTTCATCCACTAAGATGTATTCTGCATGATTAGCCTTTGTCTTGGCCTTGTCTGCTCCAGTGCATGTTCTCAGCTTTATTATACTTATAAATATCTAGTTGACCAAAACACAAAAATAAATAATAAGCAGTAACATCTACGCTCTTTATTTGCTCCTCTAAAAGCATCATCTTAATCATCTTTCATCATTAAATGCCATTGGAATGCCTTTGAATAAGCCACGCCTCAATTTCATCAAAACAAAATTTCAATAGACTATGACATGAATTTTACTAGCCGGGTTTCTCCTGCAGGTTATCTCATCTATATGTAGTCAATTTTTAAGCACATGGAAACATAGTAATCATCCAAATAAATGACAATATTTCGTGAAGTTTGTTTTTTTTAAATAAGGAATGAAGATAAAAAGTGTTACCTTGTTGCTGGATGATGTTGTTGAGTGTTGGGGGTGTCTTTGTGGGGTTCAGGCCCGCTGATAAGAAGTCTAGGCTGATGTTGACGGAGGGATCGGACCAGGTCGACCCCAACAGTCCCTGACCTCCAACTCCAACCTTCTGTTGAGGCTGCTGGGATGTCATTCCTCCTAAGCTCTGTAATTATTTGCAAATATTTTAGACTTTGACAGAAACACAGAGAATACACTGCAGGTCGTACAGAGAAGAATTGGCAGCTACTCTCTGAGAGCATGTGTGCCGTACCAACCTGCTGAGAGCGAGAAAGCGGCATGGTGGGCATAGCAACAGATGCGCCTGGTGTTGACCCTCCCAGAGAGAAAGTCATGCTCTGAGAGGCACTCAGTGTTGTGTGCTGATTGGTTAGCTGGTGGTTAACTCCTCCCATCAGGTCAAAGAGCTCAGCAGAAGGTGGAACGGGGGCAGGGTTCGAGGTCGGGGCTGGGGGTGACTGGACGCTGCCAAACAGGTCAGTGACCTGCTGGGAAGGACCAGAGCTAGATGACGCTGGTTGATTGGTCGAGAATGCATTCCAGTCTCCGAACTCTCCATTCCCATTGGACGATGCAGCAGCTGTCAGAGAGAAAGATTTTTTTTAGTTGTAATTATGACGGTGACTCAAACCAGCACTGACATTTTCTTACAAAGTAAGAATTATTATTGTCCGATTATTTCGGACGTCAATATTTTTTTTCGAACCCGTATCCTCTCAATACGAGCGTTCACATCAGCGACGTTTTCTAAAGTTTCGCATACTGTGTGTCCACTTCTGACCAATCAGATTGCGTGTTGCTACGTCAGATTCACCAGTATATGGCCGACCGGCTGATTGTTTACGTCTCGGAGAACAGAGTGCTTTTTGATAAAAGACACCAATATTACAAAGATAACGACCTGGAGGACAACTTTTTAAGAGTCATAGCGTCGGATTTCTCATATGACGATGGTTTGTGTGCTTTAACAGTTTGCTAAACGTCTTTGTTTTAACTTTCATCTGTGCTAACGTAAGCTAACGGTTGTTACCATAGTTTTATGTGCTTATCTTATCGCCTCTGATTGGCTATAAGTGCTGACCGTTTCGCTTGAGCGTGTGATGACATTTCCAGCTTTCCTAGCCAATCAGAGGCGAAGAAGGCGGGACTTTCCCCGGGAAAAGTCTTCCTTGGGATGCGTCTTTTCCCCCCGGGAAGCCGCAAAATCACATTGGGCATGATGTGTATAGTCAGGCGTGTCAAAATTTGCCTCCTTATATTTCGTAATTTCGTGTAAGGACCCTAAAACTGGACTTTGGGGTTTCTCTGCTGTCGAATCAAACTCAAAAGTCTATAACTATCTATCCTTATCTCTCATTGGGCTCCACGTGACACAAGGGAATACAAAAATACACAGGAGTAGCCTTAAACCTCACTATGGTTTACTACAGGGTGAGTTGACAGAGGTAAGGACCAGGTTTACCAGTGGAGGTTGGGAGGCTGGCAGATGCAGCAGGAGAGGAGAAATCAGCAAAGCCACCGATGAGGTCTGAGGTGCCCCCTGGATGGAGAACACACACACACATACGCACAAAATTTTATACCATGAGAAAGTAATAGCTGATCATTTTTAAAACCAACTCTTCACATGCGTCATTTTCTCCCTGTCTTCATGTGCCTGAAGTTTTTGTTACCTGTTGCAGCGTTCTGATTGGATGAAGGGTCGATGACTAGCAGGTCAGCTAGACCGCTACTTGAGGACTGTCTGACTGAAGACTGAGGAGGCAGAAACACACAGAGGTGAAACATTCATGATGAACATGTACTTCATCACACACACAGATAAGAAGGACTGTGTGTGTGTGTATGATCACCTTCTCCTCGGGGCTCTTGTCCCCTGTGTAGTGGGCTGCAGCACCCAGGTCTAAGGTCTTGCTGCTCGACGCTCCGCTGCGTTTCCGCGTGGTGGTGGTTGTGGTTTCTGTCGCTTGTGTGATCTGGATGCTCTTTGTTGTGACCGTTTCTTCCTCATCTTTAAATTCAAGCGTCTCCTGCCTTCCATTTCTCGATGCCCTGTCCTCCTCGTTGTCACTATGGCAACAAGACAAGAGGTATATAATGAGATTTCGCTACAGACTCTTTTATTGCTTTGCAGCTGTTGCACATCTGTGTAGGTCTGGTTGAGTGATGACTCCTTCAAAAGCTGTGATTTAAAAAATAACTTGATGTAGCAATAGCTCCTGCAGGCACCACCTGTACATTTCAAATCAAAGAGCAGATGGTGTTTACGTGGACATGGGCAGTGTTTGTGTGAGTGTGTGTTAACCTGATTCTGTCAGGTGAGTCATCCCGCTCCTTCTTCCTGAACTTGTTGAGCGTGTCATCGATGGTGCTGCCTATCTTGTCACTGATCTCTCCCAGCTTCTCACTGAATGGAAACGCTCCTCTGCTCTTGTCCCAGTCTTCATCCCACTTGCTTCGATCCAACTCAGTAGCTGGGAGGAAGCAGACAGAATGTAGAACTCTCATTCATGAAGTTTTCACTGAAATTTCAGCAGTGAAAAAAACACACGCCATGTTGTTAAACTATTACTATGAAAGCAAATAATAAATGTAAGACACAAAAGCAGCAGCAGAGTTTGGGCTACTGCAAATGAAGGGTGTTCATTTAGTTTCAGTTCATCATTCTGACCGTGAAACCTCCCATTAACAGTCCAGTAATAGTAGATAACACAACTCATAACCATTTATAAAAAAAAACAGCATGTCACCTTAGGGCTGGGCGATATGGCCTCAAATCAATATCACGGTGTATTGATCAGTTCACCTCGATAACAATAAATGAACGATAACTACTCCACAAGCTGCTCACCCCCTCCCACATTAACTTCGTCTACTTCAGCCGCTACAACTTTTGAACCGTCCTCCATCTCCTCACCTGTCTTTCCCTCTTTGTTACGGACTTGACATGAGACCATTGCCGACCTACACACATCCAAAACCAACTTTTATGTATTCAGTTATTTTTTTGACAAAAAATATACCGATAGGAGCAAAATGACAACAGTTATTGTCATAAATTTCGGTATCAGAAAATTTTCAGTTTACTCTCGATTAACCACGGTTGTCCAAAGTTTACTTTCGATTAATCAGGATAGTCCAAAGTTTACTTTCGATTAATCTCGATGAATTACAATTGTTGAAAGTTTACTTTCGTTTAATCACGATAGTCCAAGGTTTACTCTCGACGAATCACGATTAATCTCGATAGTCCAAAGTTTACTTTCGATTAATCACTATTAATCACGATTAATCACGGTTGTCCAAAGTTTGCTCTTGAGGATTTATGGGTTGAGTCCAACCGAATAAGTCATTATAAATAACAAACCAATAACCTAAAATTTCACATTTCTTTTTAGTGCGGGCAGTTTGAGTAAATGAAATATATGTAATGATTTTAAAAGTTTGCTCCACATGGTTTCTTTTCTCAAAAGGATTGTTATTTCTTCCAGGTTCAAAGGAGTTGTATATTCACATGAATCCACATCTGATCAAAGCTATAACAGCAGATGACAGGAGGTGACAAACTTACAGTTCTTAATGCTCCCTCCTCCTACTCCTCCTCCTCCTCCTCCTCCCCCCATACTGTCAGAGGACACTCCGATGTATTTGTCTTTGTTTTTCTTGGCTTTCTTCCTTTCTTCTCTCAGTCTGTCATCATCCTGCACAAACTCCACCATCTCCTTCACCTTCTGACGCACGTTGATACCCTGATCCTTCCCGTTCTCATCTGAAGAGCATGAACAGACAGAGCCAGAGGTAAAAAGAAAAACAGTGTCATGTGTTCACAAGTTATCTAAAGCTCACAAAGAAACAAAGACATTTTCAGAGCAATAACCTGAGGCTTATTTTTCATGAAGAGACTTACCGATGAAGTGGTAGTTTTCTAGGGATCGCAGGTCATAAATGTGTTCTCTGGCACTGGTGACAACTCTTTCAGACCCATTCCTGATCAGATAGGCCAGGAGCAGTAAAGCCTTGCAGAGGAAGAAAAGACAAACGAAGTAGTGAAGTAGAGATATGTTCAAATTAAACGTCTGTTTTGCCGAGACTCATTTCCTTTCTCTTGAGCTATGCCGAGGAAATTTCAAAGACATTGTTCACTGGCTTTGACGTATTTTATAATCTCTATAAAGCAGTCTTATGTGAGTATGCAGGCGGTCCGTAGTTGAAATGTGTTGATCTTTGCGGGACTCAAAGAGGATTAAGGAATCAAAACTGCTTCAACACAACAGAGGGTAAAACTTCACCAAACATGAGTCAGGTTAAAATAACATGACTCTCCAAACCATCAATGCACATCACTGTCAGATGGGATTTGCAAAGTTAACAGCCTGTTTTGCTGCTGCATCAGAGGTGTATTAGTACAGGGATGCAGAAATCTTTGTCTTTAAGAAGCAGCGGATCAACCAAACACACCTTGTAGACTCGCCTCCAGTTCTTCTTGTTGTCTTTCAGCATCCTCGTCCACAGCATGTTCATCACCTCTGGAAACTGCTCGTACATAAAGGTAGACCTACGCTCACATACACACAAACACAGTCATAAATATGACCCATAAGGTATCCCTGAGAGAAATCAGGTCAATCAGACAGAGAAAGTTGAGAACACAGCGTATTTCAGTTTTATAGGTAATGTCAAAATACAGGATATTTGCTGCCATAAACTTCACACATACTTGGCTATTTCTCCCATTAGTTGTCCAGAGGGTCCCCAGGGGTCATCATTGGTTGCCTCTCTCACCTTTGACTCGATCTCAGAGTAGTTCATAACCACATTGGTGCTGTTGAAACAAAAACACATTTTCTTCATTAGTTACAAACTGAAGGAAGAGAAACAAGACCCAATGCACACCATCCACTAGGCAGTCAATCAGCAGATTGTTTGTGTCTATATCCTCTGAACTGACTTTGACCCTCTTCTGTAGATCAGACAGACCAAAATACGAGTACACCCATGTGCAGCGACACATTTTCACAGCAAAACATGCATGTGAACTTTCAGAGATCTTTAGCTGAGAGAGTATGATAATCACATAAGCACACTTAAAGCTCAGAATAAACAGGGTAAATATATCGCTTTGTTAAAACTGTGAAAAAAAGAGACTGACAAGGACGATTTCAGCTCACCAGAAAATGAATATGTAATTATCTTTCCTTGGGTCTTGTCCAACATGCAAACAAACAAACATATATGCAAATACACAAGCAGCGTGCACTGCAAGGACATATTTAGCTGTTCCAAAAACAAAGGAAAATATGAATGCATTTTCTATGAAAGCAAGAGAGGCAGGTAGTTTTGGAAAACACTGAGACAAACACAACGACGACTCCCTTTGAGCACCATCAGCTTCCTGTCTGCTTTGTTTTTGTGGGCTCACCTGCTGCTGTTCTCGTTTTCTGGTGTGCTGCATCTGTGCGAGGGCATGGCCTGCTCTAGATACTCTCCTCTGCCTCTCCCACATCCTTAAGCTGCCTGTATTCAAATTTCTATCCCCTTCACTTGATTTTCAATACAGATTTCTCTGAACTTAGATCCTATCATTACCCCTTGATTTCTAACCTGTCTCTCTTTCTCCTCAGATCCTGCCTTCCTCCCTTCAACTTCTCATCATTGTCAGAAAATACGACAGCCGGAGCTCAATGTTAGCATGACTCTCTCTTAATCTGCAGTAAAAGCAAGGCCGTTGTTGCCAGCTCTTTTGAAGCGGATCAATAATAGAGTGTATTCATCATGCCCAGTCAGACACGACCAACAGCTGATGGGAGCTGGTGTCGATTACTCCATCTAAAGCTCTGTCGAGTTTTTTGTCTGGCCTACAAAATTACAAACTGTCTAATCTCGTCACATCGCTTCACTCTTGTCTCTCATATTTCCCTCTTACAATTCTCAGCCATGTGTGTCTTTGTTTGTCCTCGTCTCAGTTATGATGCTTTGATCCAAATGTGGATGCTCAGAGTCAGTTTCCACACTTTGCCCTGTTTTTCACATGAAGTCACAGCTTGTTCTGTTACCTTACAATGACGTTCACATTTTATGTAGTAATATTCATACATTATCAATTTCATCAATCTGCATTCCACCTTTTTCACAAGATTATCAAAACAATGCGAATATAGCAGACACAGAGCTAACAGCCTTAACTTATAATCTCTTGAATTATTCACAAATACCCCAATTAAAAACCGAGATGGATCAACAAGATACGAAAATGGCTGTTAACATCAGCCATCAGTCTGCCCGCAGACGTAGAAGTCTTATAGCAGACTCACAAACAAAAAAGATGATGTATATTTTACCAAAGCAAACTTTCCATACAAAAATCACAACAGAGGAGCAGATTTGTCTGCGCAGGGTAGAGGCATCTGATGATTAGGTACTTTATGTGTAACTAAAACTGGTATCACCCCCTGATATGAGGACAGTTACATGTCAAAAGGGGATACACTGATCTGTTGATACCAAAGTACAAAATCATTTAAATAAATATAAAAATATGACAGCCATGAACACCCCAGTAAATGTAGAGTTAACATATTATACACCTTAGGACCCCTATTCAATATTTTCTTTTTTTTCTTTAAATTAAAAATGTACATGTTGTGCATGTTGTGTACTAAATCATTTAGTAAAATGGCTTACCTTATTATCCTGACCTACTGTACTAACTGAATATACTGAAATTTTTCTTTTTGCCTCAGTTAATCCTCTAAATACTTGCTGGTTTTACTCACTAATTAAGTAAATAGTCTTTGTTTATACACCCCTTTCTCTGGGCGTTGCACTAAAGTACTGAGTGTTGATGGTGTACCAGGTGTGTTATATTGAAGTGTTCCTTTTATTTTGTCCTCTTCATCTGCATGCATTAAGGGAGCAAAACATTAGGAACACTTTTAAAGATAACACCAGCACAATGCCAACATCCTACAACTTCAACAATTCATTTCAAGAGAAATTAGCACCTGTCTGAGCATGTCAACAAACACTGAAAATGCAGTAGCTTCAATGTTAGAGTTGTTGTATGGGGTTGCATTAGAGTGCCAAGATGGTCACACTGTCAAGACTATAAGGTCAGTGTACACTAACATGATTGTTTTCAATCTATCAGAACAACTGGTGCACAGAGACACTTGCATGATTCATTACAAGAAGAAAAAACACCCCGTAGTGGCTCCTAGTGTACGATCTATTTGGCTAACAAGCTCTGTTGTCTGAACTGACCGGACCATGGGGGCACGGGCCTCGTTGCAGCGCAGCTACACCGTGAGACATAGTCGGTGGCTAATTGGTAGGAAATCCACCGCCCACATACAATTATCTCTCCACCGAGATGGCATCATGATTCTCCCGCCTTATTGATCGTGATACAGAGTCAGATGAGGGTTATCAACAGCGGTTATCATCAGGGTGGGACAGGGCGTGATTCTGCAGCAGCAGCAGCAGCAGCAGCAGCACTCACAGGACCAGGACTCGGAGCCAACCGGAGCTTAGCGCCGCTAGCTGAATTAGCTCATTGGGTAGCTTTTCGTTCTGGATACGAATCAACAGAATTTGCTATGTTGATGGGTGAATATTAAACCCGTGTTAACCGTTCCAGGTAACTGTCCCGTGATTGATTTAAAACGCAAATTTTCTATTGGTGTTACTAGGCTGAAGATTGGCAGATAGCCAGCTAACAGGAGCTACCAGCTGAGGGTCTGTCTCCGTCTCCTCTGTCAGCGATAAAAGCTGCTGATGCTGCCCGGCTAAAGCCGCCTAGCTCAGGCTAGCAGGTGTTATGCCGTAGAATGCACCCCTTGCATCCCAGCCACTCATTCGCTTCTTAAAGTGGGAGAAAATGATCTCATATTTATAAAAAAAAAACAAAAAACATTATTGGCTCATGATAACATGTCAAATGGAGCAGCAAACTTTCGTTCTGTTTTAAGTGTCTCAAAAATGCACATATAGAGGTGCATATGGGTTTATAAACTGTACAGTTAGCTTTCAAGGTAGAGAACATTATATTTTCGAATTAGAGGACTATTGTTTTCGGCTTATCTTAATATTCTGAATGAAATTATTAAATTCACACGCTTTTAAAACCATCCAACGGTGAAGAAAACTTGGATTATTTCGCCTTGTTCTGTACTTTCAACCGCGCTCCCATCAGAGGGTGGCATTCTACAGCAGGGGTGCATTCTACGACACAACACCTGTTAGCCCTTAGCCACTTAGCGGGGTTTAGCTGGATGAAATAACGGCTCCACCTGAGCCTCGGTTACTCACGCTTTGTCCACCAGCTCTCTGACTTTCCACATATTCAGCATCTCCGCACGGAACTGCGGGCTCGCCGCCTCGGGTACTGCGTTGCCCCCGTGTCTCTACGCCCCCACCACAAGACAGAGGTGCTATCCGGTTACCGACGACGGTCTCCCCCCCCCGACTCCTCGTTAAGATCCGGTAGTACAGCGGAGCAGTGGTCGCTCGCTGCGGTTAACGGACCGGCCCCAGTTGCTACGGAAACGTCGTTCTCTGCCTACGTCACTGAAACGTCGGAATGTTCCAGTGTACAGCGAGAGAGCGGGCAAAACTCATAGAAGTGTGACGCAGGTACAAAGAAACGAATTTTAAATGATCGACATTTTAATGAAGGCGCGTGATGAAGGGTTTGTGTCATACTTATGTACACTTCAGCACGGCGATGGTTGAATACAGAGAGGTTAACAGATAACAGACGGTCAAAGTCGCGGCGACATCCTAAATAATTGTAAAGACAGTATTTTTATTTTCTAATTTTTAAAATATTCGTGTGATTGCCTGGTTTCCCCCCACAAGATTACATCTGATACGCGTTAAAGTGAAAAAGATTAGTCCAGATACTTTCAATTTTGCAGTTTTTAAGACTTCATCAAGATGAATGGTGAGAGAAATGAAATTTCTAATTTAAAAAATTAAAAAATAGCGATCAAAAATGAATAATGTACAGGGAACAAGTCAATAGTAGGGGAGAGCGGGGTGAGATGAGTCATTTTTCATATTTCAGATCACTACATCAAGTCAATCTTAGGTCGTGTTCACACCTAAAGGTCCGTCTCCTGATTCGAATTCGAGGCAAGACGATACTTTTCTTTTGATTGTTTAACTGGTCCGGTTTGCGTTCACATGGACAAACTCAATCGCTCCAGAAAAAGGAACCGGAAGTCACGTGACCGTGAATATCGTTCGGTTATTGGTCATTAGTTCATGCGATAATACAAACCCTGCTCTGCTGTCTTCGCCTGTCATGGAGCATCGTAGGCTGATTTCGCTTTTGCTACTCATCTGGAGTGCGTATCAAAAGACGCTAGTCGATCGCGCGTATGAACGGCTCGTTAGCCAGCGAGCGTAAACTGCGGCATTAATTAATACATTTGAATTTGAATTTGAACATTTGAATACATTTGATTTGAAAAAATCTGAATTGCACTGTTCACACTTAAATGAAAAAATCAGACATGTGTCACATATGGTTAAAAAATCGAAAATGACCTGCAGTGTGAACATAGCCATAGTTTTGTCTCTAACTAGTGCATCTGCATATATTTCAAGATGTTGTGCATCCCTGCAAACCAACAGAATGAGTGTCAACTGTCTTGGTAATATAGCATGCCAAAAATCTTATTTTATTTTCAGAATTGACATAGAACCATACATCATTTTAAGTAAAATAAGGTAGAAAATGACAAGAAAATGATAAAATATGAGGGGGGAAAAAAAACAAAGAAACAAAAAGAAGGTTAAACAAAGAAAAACCCCAACAACACATCGTGTCATCAACTAAAGAAATATGAGTCCTTGTATGTATTAAAAAAGTAATTATGTAAATAATATTGTATTTATGAGAAACTGAGTCCACAAGTCTGTGTGGAGGACTTTCATGACTCCAAATGCCCCCAAAACTGCAGTGTCCCGTGATGTCTTTTCCATTTTGTCTTCAGTATCTGAACAGTTAACGTGTTCTTGGCTCAAGCTCTAGCCAACCACAGCTTGTATCATTGATGAGTTGGCTCAGTTATTAAGGTCTGCAATCTGGTCAAAAAGAAAGCAGAATAAAGGCATGTGTCTCTGACTGAGTGATGGTCTTCTGTGATAAAACTGTGCTGCTGGGCTGGTTCTCTCGGTGTTTCATTGTCGGAGTGTTTCCTTGGTCTCACTTAAGGTTTGACATCTTTTCACTTTTTTCTATGTATCGGATAGTTTCACTGAAAAATTCTGTGTTTGCTATGAGAATACTTTTTGATTCTTTGCTGAGCATTATCAGTGTAATATATTGTAAAAAATGTTCATAGTACAGACTGTCCATACCTCTATCAAGCCAATATTATCATTCATCCCAACCTAAAAATGTTAATAGTGACCTATAGAGGAGGAGTGATAGTAACTTAATTGGAGGGAGGGAACTTGTCATGTTACTGCTATGAAACCAACCCTAGAACACTATCGCCGGGTGATTTTCACTAGACCAAACATGTTCACGTGATTTTCATTATGTTGTGTTTGTCTGAGTATCATGGGTCTCTGGGTAGCTTCAGCAATCCTTTGACATCTTTGAAGGCATATTTGTTTCCCTGATCCAAAACCTGCTTTTTCCTACAGGCACGTGTTCACAGGGTGATTTTCACCCAGCAATAGTGATTGAGGGTAAAGTAGGTTTGGGTGGATTTGATAGCTGCATGTAGGCGAATAAGGTCAGTAGGATTGGTTCTGGAATTTTGATGCTATCTTTATTTAGCGCAGTGGTTATGAATAACTATCACAAAGTAGTGATCTTAAGGGAATTCATGTGGTGATAAGAAATATTTTAGTCAGCTTTAGTCAGTAGTTCAGGAGGTAGAGCGGTCAGCTAATAACTGAAAGGTTGGCGGTTCGATCTATAAAAAAATTATTTAAAAAATTATATTCTGTGTAATTAATTTCTAAAGTTTGTCCACACCTCTATGAGGATTGCTGGAGGAGGCGGGATTTATGACCTATACTGCAGCCCGTCACTAGAGGGTGCTGTTCTTGGAGTGGATTCACCCAGCGAGGAGGCAGACAGCGTCCATTCTATATACAGTCTGTGGTCAAGAATCATTAAGCTTCTTAAATCTTCCCATACTTCTTTATCCAGGGGTCTCAGCTCTGTCTTCGAGTAAATATATCTGGTGGTTCAGGTTGGGTTGCCATGGTGACCCCCCTGCAGCAAATCAACAATCTCACCTCCGGGAAGAGCTCGGACTTTTCCGCCGCCGCCAGCGAGCTGAGCCCCGCAGGTCGCACCACGGTGGCGGTCGTCCTCGGGTTCATCCTCGTCCTGGGTTTCTCCGGTAACTTCGTGGTCCTGCTGGTGTTCTCGCGCTTCCCTCAGCTTCAGACCCCCACGAGCACGCTGCTCATCAATATCAGCGCGAGCGACATGCTCGTGTGCATCTTCGGGACTCCTCTCAGCTTCGCCGCCAGTGTGCGCGGGAAGTGGCTGACCGGCTCCTACGGGTGCCTGTGGTACGGTTTCTCAAACGCGCTTTTCGGTAAGTTGGCCTTTAGAAAATAAACTGATACTGTAACCTACAATTACATACATAAGCTTGTGAATACAGATTTTTTATATATATATACCCACTTGCGCTAAACGTTGTAGTTTGTAAAAGAAAAAAAAATGGGGCCAATGCAACAAATTGCCAAATTTGACTATTATAATATTTACTAACTTCTTAATTCTATTTCCAATTTAGATATTTTTTGTGCCTGACTTTGATGTTCACTTTCATGTAAAAAAAAAAAAAGAAAATTTTGTCTTTGTTTTGTTATCTGCAAAATCCACTGTGACATCTTACTCCATGTAGTGAGACAACTTACCCGATGGTGGGGCAACATGTCACATGTTCACACTCTCTATTTGATTGCTTATAACTCTGCACTGACACATAATATGAAAATGACATGAATATGAAATATATACCTGAGACTTTGGTCTTTCATCTGGTTCACATTTTGTTCATATATGATGTGTTGATTCCAAGAAATATATGAGTGTAAAAAGTGTGACAACAAGCCCCGGTCTCCCCTATTTGTTACTCAGTTGTGTAAAACATAGCACAGACACACACATGAAGACATTTAGAAACCCTAATGGGCCTGTGTGGGAGCTTTAATTCATTTACTCAGATGAAAATCCACGCTGATATATGACGGGATACATCTATCACTTAATCCTCTTTAATTCTGGCTCTAGCTGAGATTAAAGTTGTCCATCAAATATAAATAACATTTGTTCCATATTCAGCCTTTGTGCTCACTTAAGTCTGCTCAGCAGTTGGTGTATAAATGTCAGGATCACTTTTAGATTTTAAGGGGATTTTCAGTTTTATGGAAAAGTGATAAAATGTTAAAATAGCCAATTACACACAGAAATATTACCACCTTGATTTAAACACACTGAAAGTGGGGTGAAGCTTATTTGTAAAATTTTAAATACATTGTTGTTTGATCTTTAATAATACGTTAGATTTACTGAGCTGATCAGATGGAGAGCTTTCAAATACATGTACTTGAGTCAAAAGTAAAATTCCTTTCTATGTAAGTTTGATCACTAAACAGGCTGATCAATTAAGATAGAAAGTTTGATGACTATTGGTTGTCTTTGCACATTTCTGTCAGGTATCGTGTCTCTGGTGTCTCTCTCTCTGCTGTCTTTGGAGCGGTACTCTGTTCTGCTCTGCAGCAGCATCCAGTCGGACTCCTCTCAGTACCGCAGAGCCAGGCTGGCAGTCGCCGTCTCCTGGCTTTATTCATTGTTCTGGACTGTACCTCCTCTGCTGGGCTGGAGCAGGTCTGTACTTCTCTTGTTGGACCATACAGTGATAAAGGTTGGTGATGCCAAAGACAGGAGAAATTATGGTTAAAGGGATATTCTGGTGTAAAATTAAGTTAGGGTCCAACACACCGTAACACTGAGCTTGCTTCTTTAGTTAAACCAACTTTAGTAACATCCAAACGATAGCAATACAGAGAGCCACACACTCAACCAAAACACCACTCTATAGCCACAAATAATGTTCAGAACAGCACCTAACTTCATCAACAGGACATATAGGGTCCCAGCCATAGTACTAGCCACCAAACGTCTTTTTAACTTTGCCTGATTTCTTTAGCAAAGAGACTAAACACAACTCACCTACTCTCTTCCAGCAGCTGGTTGGTGACTGCAGCGGAGTTTCGCAGCTCAAGGAAGAACATTTATGATCATTACTTTATCGTTTCTTTTAAGTAATAATCACCATATTAATCATTTTGCACTGTAGACGTGGTAGTTCTTCTGCCTCAGCGTCTCAGTCTGATTGCATTTCCATGAAGTAATTATCATAAATGTTCTTCCTTGAGCTGCGAAACTCCAATGTAATCGATGCACTCGCCCAGAGGTCTCCATACAAACAAGTGGCTGCTGGAAGAGAGATGGTGAGTTGTGTGAAACAAGAAATCAGGCAAAGCTAAAAAGATGTTTGATGGCTAGTACTATGGCTGTGACCCTATATGTACTGTTGATGAAGTTAGGTGCTGTTCTGAGCATTATTTGTGGCTATAGAGTGGCGTTTTGATTGAGCACGTGGCTCTCTGAATTGCTATCCTGTGGTCGTTACTAAAGTTGATAAGACTAGAGAAGCAAGCAGTCGGCAACATTCATCCCTCGAAGGGTTGGCTAACTCGGTGTTACGGTGTGTTTGACCCTAAATTAATTTTACACTGGAATATCCCTTTAACTTTCTTTAAGACCCATATATTCAGTTAACTGTATAACTTGTGATATTGAAAAAGCAATGGCATTGAAAAAGAGAAAAGGTTTGTCTTGCATCTTTAGCTGCGGTGGACAAACCTCAAAAGTCTGTGGTCTTGTCTTCAATATTCAATTTTGGTTAGATTTCTTCACAGCTCTGAGAGGTATTGTCCCTACGTGTATAAAGGTGTAAAAGAAATCAAGTCCATTTTAAACTCACAGGTGGAGAGATACAAACTGTCTCATGACACTTAAAAAGAAAAAAAAATCAAAGTGTGTGTTGTCTGTGATGAAGCAGCTATGGACCAGAGGTTCCCAGTATCACCTGCTCGATCCAGTGGCACCAGCGTTCAGCCGTAGCTCGCTCCTACATCAGCGGCTTGTTTGTCTTCTGCCTTCTGCTGCCACTTCTGCTGATGCTCTTCTGCTACGGGAGGATCCTGTTGGCTGCAAGAGCAGTCACAAGACAGGTGAGTGTGCAGAGAGTGCCGTCTGACCTCTGATTAGCTCTTCTCATGTCTAACTGCCATGTGTTTGTAAAGCAGTCTCTGTGTGAATGAAACAAGTTAACATGCTGGGGTCAGAGTTCGGAAGAGACTGTATATTCTCTCTCAAAGGTAAACATCAACTTCTTGTGAAGCAGACATGTGGTATGTGATTGGAAATGTCTTTTAAAAGACACACAAAGTACTTAATAAGTAATATTTTTACCATCTTCAGTCGGAAAACCAGAAACCCTAATCACAAAGATTTTAAAATGTTAACTTTTAAAGCACTATCTGGACTCGCCCCAAAGCATTTAGCTGATCTCCTTAAGCCTAACGAACCCCTTCGAACCCTGATGTCCATTTTAGTCTAAAAAGGGGATTTTTTCACTTCGGTTGGGGCCAAACTCTCTGGAACAAACTGCCTGAGGAGATCAGACGGGCAAGTTCCTCATCCTCTTTTAAAAAAACTGTCGAAAAAAAAAAGTATAAAGTAAAAGTGGTATAGATGTCTCCCTGCTGTATGTTTTGTTGAGTGTTTTATAGTGTTCTTGCAGTTTTCTTTCTTTGTTTCTGTTTTTATGTTGTGAAGCACTTTGTAACTGTGTTTTGAAAAGTGCCACATCCTTAAGTTTCTTGTTATGATTACAATGTTTATTATGATTATATGATGATTGATTATGACTATGACTGTCATGATGCTGATGATTATCATTTTTATCATAAGCAGTAGAAGTAGTAGTATCCCCTAATCCAAATCAGGGCCCCAAATGGAAAGCATCTAAAAAGTGTATTTCTAGATCAACAGGTCTTTTGCAGAGCAGAAGGAAAGCCGTGTGCTCCTGATGGTGGTCTCCATGGTGACAGGATATCTCCTATGTTGGATGCCATACGGTGTCATGGCGATGCTGTCCTCATTTGGACGTCCCGGCATAGTGTTGCCTGCAGCAAGAATAATCCCCTCCCTCCTGGCAAAGACCAGCACTGTCCTCAACCCATTTATCTATGTGCTGCTAAACAACCAGGTAACATCCACAACAGTGTGAATAATTAAGATTTGTCTTATCACAACGGAACACGTCATTTCTTTTACAACACTTTGGTCTTAGCTTCACCACCAACAGCACCTAACTTCATCAACAGGACATATAGGGTCCCAGCTATAGTAGTAGCCACCAAACATCTTTTTAGCTTTGACTAATTTCTTTAGTAAAGTAAGGTGTGGAGCCAGCTGCAGTAGTCTGGTACATTTATGTCCCCAGTTACTCATCAGCGATTTTTTTCTACCTTCAAAGCTCGAGTGAAAAAAATAAGTCAGCTTTTTTTCTGCTTTCATTTCCTGTGCCATCTCTCAGTTCTCCAGGTGTTTCCTGTACATGATCAGGTGCAGCTCTGAAGCTCCGCCCACCCAGGTGCAGCACCACACATTGTCCAGCATCACAGGGGGATGGTCTCACACTCCCAAACCGTCATCAGAGGTACAAAACACTGTGCCTGTTACCTCCAGAGACCAACAGATACAGGAACCCTAGCACCAACGACTCAGTCACCCGATCTCTATCTCCACATAAGGTGAACTATCATGGTGTCAGGCATGTAGTGTGTGACGTGTGTGAGGCCGTGCTTGGAAACAATCTGTGCCATTAAGTGTAAAAAACGAGCCTGTTTCAATATGCAGCAGATGTCTTTAAGCACACAAGGATTTTCTCCCACCTCAGCTACTGTGACACAATCAGCATCTATGACGATGAATATCTACAACAGAGCGTTTAAAGTCCTAGATTGGTAGCCGATAAGGTCACATCACTGCCACATTCCTAAAGAAATTTCACGTTAAGTTTGAATGATTTTATTAAATTTGCCAACCTCATGGAGACTGTAATGTGTAATTTCATAAATCCTCACTTGGACAAACAGAATTATCTGTTCAGGGGGTCAAAATGTGGAACGCTTCACCAGCAGAGCTCAAACTTGATCCAGATTCAGATCATTTTAGACGTGGACTAAAGCAGTTTTTAAAGAGGATTCAGTCTGTGCACTTCCTGTCTAACTCTGTGCTATTGTGTGATTCTGTATTTTGTGTCTTTATAATATTGTGTGCTTATTTTGTGTGAATTTGTTGCCACTGTGTGTATTTTGGGAATTGTCTGTATTTCAAAAGCTTAGCAAGGGACGGAAATGGCAAATTAGCTCGAGTGACAGATGCTGTAGTACATGGCAATGGTTTACTTACTTCATACCTGACCCTACAAATAAACACTAAATAAATATTAAATAAAATATGTATCTTCTGTTCCAGTGTTTATTTTAGTAGACTACCAATAGTAAAAAAAAACAGAACAGAAAAAAAATTTAGTTAAAAAAAACAAAAAAAAGAAGAAAAAAAAGTAGTCAAAAGAACAAAAAAAAATCAACAAAACAAAACGAACAAAAAATTACTCAAAAAAACAGAAAAAATCAGTCCAAAAACAGAGAAGAAAAAAATATATATTTCAAAAACAGAAAAAATAATAGTCCAAAAAACAAATAAAAAAAAAAAAAATAGTCCAAAAAACAGAAAAGAAAAAAAGTCCAAAATCATTTAAAATAAAAAGTAAAAAAAAAACCTCAAAAAAAAGAAAAAAAAATTAGTCCAAGAAACAGAAAAGAGAAAAAAATAGTCTCTCAAAAACAGCTTTTTTTTTGGTGACAGTAATACGCTTCTCTAAAGTCAAGGGTAAAATATTGTGAAAATACTTCAGTTGTCTTTGTGAAGCATTGAAGCAGGTTATTGTGTTCTCTCTTTGCACCACTAGAGGGCGCTGTGGCTTGGCTGCTTTTGTGCATAATGCACACAGCAGCATCATTTATGTGTCGCTGAATGACTCACAAACAAATCACAACACAGAAATGTGACAAGTAGATTCTTTTAATTCTTAGTTGACAATATACGACAATTTTAAATCCTCAGTTCAGAATAAACAACTTTCTGAATGGATGATCGACACCAAAATAATTTATTAAGAAAATAAACATACGTTTTCAAAAATATACACAGTCATTATGCTTCATGTACACTGACTGAGCTCTCAGCGAGTGATAGATTTGTCTGATGACATGTTCACATTTGTGGCAAAATCATGACAACGTACAAATATATTGAAATACTTTCAGATTCAAGGCGAGAGGACACTGCTGTTTAAGAAAAATACTGTCTGTTCACTGTAGCAAATTCCCTGTAACAACTCATCGTCGTGTTTGAGGAGCTGAGATTGAAACCAAAATCCACACGATCAGTTAGTGTTTAACCTGCTCCACCTGCGTACTGATCTGAACACCACACACACAGAAATAGCCGTACAAAACAATTCAAAAATACACATGGAACATTCAAAAACATTCCTGTGAGATGGCGTTACTGCTGAACCGGAAGTCCGTGTTTAAGGTGCATCCATTTGCAGAGATTTGGAGGTGGTTTCTCTTTGCCTAGCTGGGGTGTGGAGTCTCTGCCCCCTTCAAACTCTGAGGGAAAAACAGACCAAAGAGTCAAAGAGAGATGGAAAGGATTCCTGATGTAAACCATGCCTCAGTGTGGCGCTGTGATTCATCCTGGCATCTGCAGCTCACAAGTCTTACTCACTAGTGTTCAAAATTGTAGATTTTAGTTGTATTTTTTCAGAGTAACTTCACCACCACTCATTAGTACAACATGTACATTTTCACTGTAAATCCCCAGGCTCCTACAGATGTATAGATCTCAGATATTACTACAGTATACCAGTGATACAGCAACTCATGAAAAATACATGTTGATAATTTTATTGTCTTCACTCCTGTTTTGTTGGGGTCTTTAGGTCCGTTATTGCTCAGTAGTGTCCAGTGGCTTTAAAGGGATATTCCGACGTAAATTTAAGTTATGGTCAAACACACCGGAACACCGAGTTGGACACCCCCTCGAGGGATAAATGTTGCAGACTGCTGGCTTGTTTGTCATCTTGCTTGCTAGTTTGGAACTCACTGACTCTCTTCCAGCAGCCGCTTGTTTGTGGGGGAGCCCTGACAAGTCGATCATCGAGTGCAGCAGATCATTTCCATGAAGTAATAATCATCATAATAATCATCTTGCACAGCAGACGTGGTAGTTCTTCTGCCTTAGCCTCTCGGTCTGATTGCATTTCCATGTAGTAATAATCATAAATGTTCTTCCTTGAGCTGCGAAACTCCACTGCACTTGACTGATCGATTTGTCAGGGCTCCCCCACAAACAAGCGGCTGCTGGAGGAGAGTGGGTCAGCACTATGGCTGGGACCCTATATGTCCTGTCGATGAAGTTAGGTGCTGTTCAGAGCATTATTTGTGGCAATAGAGTGGCGTTTTGGTTAAGGTTTGTGCGTGGAGACGTAGACCACTGTGTATTGCTATCGTGTGGTCTTTACTAAAGATGGTACAACTTGAGAAGGAAGCTGTCTGCAACATTCTTCTCTCGAGGGGGGTGTCTAACCTGGTGTTACGGTGTGTTTGACCATAACTTAAATTTATGCCAGAATATTCCTTTAAGTGTTAACATTTGGTTATAGGGTAACTTCACCACCACTCATTAGTACTATTTTTACTTGTGTTGCACAAGGGGAAATGAGTCAAGAGCACATCATAAATATACATTTATTTTTAGGTTGTCTTTTGAATACTTGCCCACCATTATAGGGGTTAGTTGATCAGAATCAGTGGGTTTCAGAATCCCTTACAGATACAAAACAATCATCTCTTTGAATGTGTGGCAGAGCAGTGCCTCTGGTAAGGCAGGTTGAGTTTCCTTACTGATCAGCTCGACATCAGTTTGAATAATTCACCTTTTTGGTCATTTATCAGGATTTAACGTGTATCACTCACTAAAACCACCTGATCACATCTGAAGCTCTGCTTTTTTCTTTTGTTTATTTAAAATCTGTGAATAATCCAACTTAAAGTTCGGACTGTTGTGGAGCTTTTTGTCCGGGATTATTTACACGACTTTGAGGTGAAAAAATCTGTTGATTTTTGGTGCAGACTGTCAAGAAAATAAAAACTATGACATGTAAATGTTCTGTACGGACTCAGTTTTTTAACTCACCTGTGAATAGTTGAATGGAGGAAACACAGGCTGGGGTTTCGTGTAGTCAGGAGGGTTGGCGTGGGGGTCGTAGCCCAGACGAGCAAGCATGGGGGCGATTTCAGCCATGTCACTCAACACATCGGAGGGAATGTTTCCGACCCACTTAGAGAGGGCTTCTGTGTTCACCGGCTTCATCACCTGGTCAGTGGAGCGCTCCACCCTGCACACAAACACACACAAGGTATAACACACACATTGTAACACACAGTTAGTGTGAGTTCACAGGAGATTAGGTGAAGAAATGTAGAAGTTTGAAATACTTCATGAAATGTTAATGTTTACTGTCCATGAGTTAAATAAAAAATCTAGATTTTAATTTGTCAAAAAAACACTTTAGATAAAAAGAAAAAAAAACTGAAGACAATGTAAAAGTGGACTGTTTTTCATATCTTCTTTGATAAATTCAATAACCATCACATTAGCGAAGAAATCAGCAACAATGTGAGGGACTTTTCAGCAGGGGGCGCCACCAAAATCAACCCAGACAGACAGACAGACAGACAGACAGTTCCTCACATGAACTTTCATCAAGGCTGAACGAACCTTTTACACACATTATTCCTCGACCACGTGTGATAAAGCGGTCTGTATTCACAAGATACAACCTATGGCACAAAAAACATTTGTGGGCGTAATACAAGGGCACAAGTCCTTCACAAACACACACACACACACACGCGCGCACATACACACGCCAGGTTTGACTACTTGCTGTGTCAAGCAGACAGATTTTCACCAAATCCCCTGAGCTGCCGGCCTGCGCATAAATACTCCAACAACAAAAACAAATTAAACATCTCCTGCTGGATGTCTGTAAGCTTTAACTGACCCTCTGACTGAAAACTACAAAAGTCAAAACACACGACAAACGTCAAATCTGGAAATTTAGGACAAGAAGAAGAAGAAGAAGAAGAAGACACGTTACAAAATAAGTGCTGGACTACATTATTTGATGATAGAGTCCAAGGTGGAGTATTTATGTGACTCTGTGACCCCTCCAGTGTGGACATATGAGATCTGCTACAGATTAAAGCCTGAGGTATTTCAACACTAGAAACTACCCATCTGTGAAAAATGTAATCAAACTGAGGCAAACTTGCTTCACAGTTATAAATTATGGACATATACTGTTAGACTATTATGGACAGCAGTGTTTTGATTTTTCACTAAAATCTTTGGGACTACGATAAGGTCAGAGCCACTTCTGGTTATACCTGGGACGTCAGAGAGCATTGGGAACCTGCAGAATATGCAACATCGCCTTTTGTGCTACAGTCTCTTCTGTGGAAAAAAAACGACTTACTTTTACTTATTAAAGGGATATTCCGGCGTAAAGTTTAGTAAAGGGCAAACACACTGTAACACTGAGTTAGACCCCCCCTCCAGAGATGAATGTTGTCGACTGCTTGCTTGTTTGTGTGGGAGCCCTGACGAGTCAATCACCGAGTGCAGCGGGTTATTTCCATGAAGTAATAATCATAAATGTTCATCCTTGAGCTGCGAAACCCTGCTGTACTTGACTGATCAACTTGTCAGGGCTCCCCCACAAACAAGCGGCTGCTGGAGGAGAGTAGGTGAGTTGTGTTTAGTCTCTTTGTTAAAGAAATTTGTCAAAGTTAAAAAGATGTTTTATGACTAGTACTATGGCTGGGACCCTATATGTACTGATGATGAAGTAAGGTGCTGTTCTGAGCATTATTTGTGGCTATAGAGTGGTGTTTTAGTTGAGGTTTGTTTATGGCTCCTCAGACCGCTGTGTATTGCTATCCTGCGGTCGTAACTAAAGTTGGTATAAGTAGAGTAGCAAGCAGTCGGCAACATTCATCTCTTGAGGGGGGTGTCTAACTCTGTGTTACGGTGTGTTTGACCCTAAATTAATTTTATGCCGGAATGTCCCTTTTATGTTCAAAAACATTGAAGCACTGCTTAAACTAAAGTTGGATGTATTGCTTCACAATAAAAATATCGGAAACAGAGTTTTCCTAAAGATTGATAATTTATGTTTTAAATGACCCTAAATGAGACTGGATATGGATTAAAAATATGAGATTGAGATTTTAAAATTTGATTGTGATAGTAAGGTTTTAATTTAATGGCCTCTGTAAATCGACTGAAACAGTTTGAAACCAAACAAGGTCTTGAGCTGTTTGTGGTCCAGTGCAGCAAACAGCATCGGTTCATTGCACTGGGGTTTATATGCATGTGAAAGTCTGAAACTGTTGCCAAAAACCACAATGAGCAGCTTGTCTCGACAGTAAACACCTGAAAACCTCAACACGTAGAAGAGGTGTGATAACCTGCATGACTCACTTAGACAGAGACACACCACCAGCTTTTCCAATCAGCTCTTCATGATGCAGCACCGACAGGTCCCACTGCAAATCCAGGAAGTGAAGCAACTTCCTCATTTCCTCCTCTGTGTGCAGGACAAGCTGCTCGTAGCGAACGGGCAGACACCGAGCCTCCCCGGCTGCCTGGCACTGACTGTACATGGTCTCCACTGCGCTGCTCCACTTCGTCAGACAGTCCCTGTAGCTGGTCAGGTCGAAGCCAGAGATGGTCACCTGTGGATGGATACAAAGATCATGAGACACCAACAATAACAATAATTATGATGGTGGTAATAATAATAATAAAATACTACTACTACTACTACTGCTACTACTACTACTACTACTACTAATAATAATAATAATAAACTACTGCTTCTACTACTACTAAGACTACAACTTATAGTAATAATGATGGTTATAATACTAATAATAAACTACTACTACTACTATCACTACTATTACTACAACAACTACTACTATTACTTCTGCTAGTACTACTACTACTAGTAATAATAATAATAATAAAATTAATAATAAACTACTACTTCTATTACTACTAATAATGATAATAATAATAATAATAAACTACTATTACTACTATTACTACAAGAACTACCACTACTACTACTAATAATAATAATAAACTACTACTTCTACTACTAATAGTAATAATAATGGTTATAATAATAATAATAATAAACTTTTATAACTACTATCACTACTATTACAACAACAACAACAACAACAACTACTACTACTACTAGTACTACTACTAATAAAATAATAACAATAATAATAATAATAATAATGAAAATAATAATAAACTACTACTACTACTACTACTACCACTAATTATATTAATAATAATAAACTACAACTATTACTGCTACTACTACTACTACTACTACTACTACTAATAATAATAATAATAATCAAAATAAAAGAGCCTAGACAAGACTAAAACCCAAATCAACATGTCCAAATGAGACATTATTGGTAATAAAAATAAAAATAAAATCAATATTTTATTAAAATCGGTGGAAGCTATAAAAGCTTTAATGAGTGTCACATGAGCTGAGACGTCATTAAAAACAAAGACATCATAAGAACCCGTGATACCCAGTCTACACAGGACCAACCACAAAAACCTAAGACCAAGGGGGACTATCAAAAAAAAAAATTAAGAGGTTATAAAACACGAGTAAGAAGAGTTAAAGGTTTTAAAGAAGACAAAATCAGGTTAAAAAAAGTCTATAAAAATGAGTTTTAAGACGTGCTTTAAAAGCAGTGACTGATTCTGCACGCCATGGTTCTCATGGCCTGTCCTTGTAATATGTTTTGTGTCATATGGTATGTGTTGTCTGTACTCGTGTTTTGTGTTAGAATAAGACCTGTGAAAGCAAATTTCCCCCTGGGGACAATAAAGATGATTATTATTATTATTGTCTCCTCACGGAGGTCGTTCCAAAGTCCAGGGGCCCTGATGGAAAAGGACTGGTCACCTTTAGTTACAAGTTTCAACCAGGAGGCCCCCAACCGAGGATCTCAGGGTGCCGGCTAGCTCATAGGGAGTTAAAAGTTCTGTTATGTAGATTGGAGCCAGACCCTCTACCGCCTTAAAAGTAATGAGTAAAATCTTAAAATCAATTCTAAAGATGTAAAGATGCTAAAATCGGGGTTCAGTGATGTGGTCTGTTAAAACCAGTTGATCATGAAAGAGTGTGGTGGCAGAGAGAAACCAGAAACCACAGGGAGGTGTTGTTGTGAAATGGTACCATCACAGACTCGATACGTGGCTGTTTGGACAAACACATGAGTGAGATGATCCACCGTACCTTGCGTGATATCATGGAGTGAACAGTTGCCCGTCCGTCTCGCAGCATGAGAACAAATTTGGCTTTAGGGAAGATTCTGGACAGATATGAGAGAGACTTCAAGGCAAACGGGTCCTTGTTGCAGAGACGAGGAGCCGGCTCCCCGTGCCCTACTATCACCTGAAACAAAAAGAGTTATGACCATGAATGCCTGAACTGTTTGAGACAGACCTGTCCTTTGAAAACAGAGGGTATACTCCTCTTGAGATGCAAAATGTAATTGTGTGAGTAATCTTTAATAGCAGGGACAGGATCCTATCACTCTTATTATAAACAGAAAATGACCTTTTAAACCAGGATAGATGAGAAACAAACATGGAGAGACACTGACACTCATTTAAAAGTGAAATTAAGCGGTTTAAGCACCAGCTGAACATGATGGAAAACAGATTCATTCAGAAGTTTGAGGGTTAGACTGAACAGACAGATATAAAGTCATCATAAAGTTGTCTTGTCAACAGTTTTCCCTGGTTTCAGTTCATCTTGGTACACTGAGACACAAAGAGACAAAGACTGCCCCGGTTTATGTTTCATATGAGGTCATGACACAGTTTTGCAGTTGTTGCCAAGACAACATCTGATTTCGCAAACAGACCTTTAAATACAAGTTTCAAACCGGCATGACGGGTTTTAATTAGGGGTGTCCCGATACAACTTTTTTTTTTTACCTCCGATACAATACCGATATTGATCTGATATTAGCACAAACTTGTGAATGACAAGTTTTTCACTCAGCCAATCGTCTTTTTCTGACTTTAACTTTCTGCAGCTACCGTAGCCTCGCAGAGTTGTTAAATGAGTTAAATGAAGTTTGACTTATCTGATTTCTTTGGCTTAATGCGCTTTATAATCCGGTGCGCTTTATGGTGCGAAAAATACGGTATATAAAGTTTTTTTTAAATTGTGATTGTGTGATTCTCAAACATCAGTCACAAAGCGGCTCACCTCTAACAGGAACGCTCTGACAGCCGAGTCCAACACCTGATCGGTGACGCCGGCCTCATCCAACCGTATCCTCTCCTTCACCGAGCGGCTCCAGGTGGCCCGCATGGCCAGAAGGCGGGGGATCACGCGGGTTTCCTCCCCGCAGCGCACATGGTTGTGGGCGTCCAGCATGACGCGCATCAGCGTCGTGCCGCTCCTGGGGAAGCCCCCGATGAAGATCAGGGGCGTGTCTTCTGGGAAGTGTTCAGTCAGGCCTAAGCTGTGATTGGCTGAGCCCAGATTGAGCTCCATCCACCTGTAACGATGGCTTTTCGGAGGGCACTCGATCCCGCTCATGCCCAAATAGAGCAGAGAGGCTGAGCAGAGAAGCACACAGCCCAGGAGAAGGCTGGATCTGCTGCTCCTCATGGCTGCTTCATAAAATCCACAGTCAACTGAAAAGGATAAAGGTACTTTCTCAATACCAGTTCTAGAATTGGCTCAAAAAACACACACCAGACAAGTCAAGGTGTGATATTCAGGGTCGAGCAAGGAGGGATCCTCGCTCCTTCGCAGCTCCTCAGCCTTGGCGTTGAAGGGCTGAGTCCGGGCTCGCTGCCTTCCACAGCCAGCAGCGTCTCTTCTGCATCATTTCTACCTAAAAAAAGAAAACAAAAATCACACAGAGTTTAAAAAAAGAACGGTACCAAACTCAGCCTGTACAGCCCACAAACTAAAACAGTGTTCTTGAGTTGTAATACAGCAGCAGATCTTGACTCGAGCCTGAATTCACGCCTTTTTTTGGCTCATGAAGTGAAGATACTGTCCATCATCCAAACATTAGCCACCACTCTGCATGGAGAGCTATTTTCAGACCGGCAGGGTGTGATGGTTCCAACTCTGTTACTTTGCCAAGAACACTTAAAACCCTTCCAGTGAGGCTGAATCATATCTAGATTTATTTTACATCTCTCCTCAAAGGAGCCGCCGACTGTCACGCTGTATCACAGCTCACTCTCAGACCGTCGATCTGAAGCCACTAATTACTACTTTCCCGTGTTTTCATTTTCAGAGTCGGTTTCTGCCTCACAACGCCATTTGTTTCAGATCGGACAGGATGAGCCGAAGAGTGGTGCAACTTCCCCATTTCTCTCCTGCAATGTTCACTGTAACTGAGCGAGCCTCTAGTTCCTCTTTTTAACACACTAGTTTCCAAGGAGCTGAGAGAGAAGTTGAACACAGACGAAACTTTTCAAATGATCTGCGCTCGGTTTCTCAAAAACTCTTTAAAGCCAAATTACAAATCTTTAACTCCCAAATGTAACTGCAAAAACGGCTTTTTTTAACATCATGCAAAAGCGAGCCACGCTTCAGTATGTCTGTTCTTCTTTAAGGTGAGCTGGTATTTCTGTCCTGCTGAGGCCAAATGTACAGGGAGGGTAACATCTGGATGCCACGTGGGGGAACACTCCTCTCACAGGGCTGGAGTAGCTGGTTCTGTAAAATTCAGCCTGGCGATCAAAGTGAAAGGGGAAAAACAGCTGGAAATGAGGACATCATGGCCTGGCAGGGTCACTGAGGTGCTGCCTTAAGCCTCGCTAAGTCTGCTGGTATTTCCACAAGCTTTACATGTAATTCTAATGCATTTCCATGCAGAGATTAAGCTACTTGGAGTTTGCAGAGAATTAGGCCAGCGGTTTAAGACAAGCCTCCCTGATTTTTTTTTCTCTCCCTTCAAGAGCTTTTTCCTTTTAAAGGACCAGTTCACCAATTTTGTCTGTGAAATGTCTGAAAATAACAGAAAAATACATCTAAATTTCTCTAAAAGGAAGTTTTAATCACTTTTGTGCAGTCTCAAACCTTCAAATACTAACCCCCATGATGATAAAGAGAAAAACTTGTGTACCGTGTACCGTTTTGGGGTTGATATAAAATATTACAGTCATAAACAGAACCTAGCTTACTCAAACCAAAACTATCTGCTTGTTAGTCTTTGCGAGAGTACAAAAAGGACTGACCTTGAAGAGGATTGGCGTGCACTCTGGTTAGTAACACGTCAAAAACAAATGATCACAACAAGAGTGAAAGAGGTAGTTGAGGTCGCAGTCGCTCAAGTATTTTGGTATTCTTGAATTCTTGATTCTGGGTTGCAGTGACTGGATAAAAATATCTAATCTGAAATGTTGTGTGCTCAGACTGCCAGAGAAAATTAGGTTTTCTTTGATTCCATCTAGGGCTGGGCGATAAAACGATAACGATATATATCAAAGATTAATTTCCCTCAATATTAATATGAAACTTGGTCAATATCCTTTTCAATAGTTGGCATTCTGCCATGTTTTGGTAGACTATACCAATAGCCAATGACAAAGGAGAGTTTCCGCTTTGTGCTAAACCAATCCTGTGCTAAATTAAGGTCCTTAAAAAAGGGGAGCTTTTTTTGTGCGGTTTTTTTCGTGCAATTATTTCGGACGTCAATCAGCGACGTTTTCCCGTCCTGCAATATTGCGGCATTTATTTCCTCGCATCACGGTCGATTTTTTTATAGTTTGGCATACTGTGTGTCCACTTCTGACCAATCAGATTTCGTGTTCTTGCAATGTCAGATTCACCAGTATATCCAACATGGCTGACCAGCTGATTGTTTACGTGTCGGAGAACAGAGTACTTTTTGATAAAAAACACAAACATTACAAAGACAAAGACCTGAAGGACAACTTGTGGAGAGTCATAGCGTCAGATTTCTTATATGATGATGTTTTGTGTGCTTTAACAGTTCAAACAGCGTCAAAATTCGCCTCTGAGTATTTCGCAATTTCGCGTCCTATATTTGCGTCGTTCCCGGTGTGTAGGGACCTTTAGAACCAAGTAGCAAACAACTTTATAGTAGCAGGCAGCAGCTACACGCAACTGTAAAAGTTTTAACACATGAAGCCGACAGCACTGAAGCAGCGCCACGCCGCAGAGCACGCTCAATGCAAAAGGTTACAAACCCCGAGCGGAGCAAGGAGCCCATAGCGCCTGTGCAGCCGAAACAGCCGACCATTCAGTCCGCTTTGCAAAAGGTTACAGGCCAAAGCCGAGCTCATGGCGCCTGTGCAGCGGCTAGTGCAACGCCTTATGTCGAAATGTCAAAGAGACACAAAGACCTCACACATGCAGTTGCTTATTGTATTGCAAAAGACATGCTACCAATAAGCACTGTTGAATTTCATTTTTTATATCGACCGATACAAAAAAATATATCGTGATGAACTTTTTCCCATATCGCTCAGCCCTGATTCTACCTGATCTCGACTTCATGTTTGATGACTTTGATTACTCGTATCCCCAGAGAAAGCACCAAACAAACAGAAATAACCTTGATTTGGACTGTTGGTGTGAGCAGTGGCAGCATGGCATGTTGTCGCCTGTGCTATCATAGTGACCAGTCTGTTTTCTGAAGATAAGAGGATAGGTCAAGCTCTCGTGAAAACAACCAGAAATACTCAAACAGGAATACAGATGCGGGGAAAGTATGTGTAGACTCTGGGCCTCAGTAGGTGACATGTCTGATCAGCATGTTGTTGAAAATCCAGTAGCCTCCTTGTTTTTCACAGCGGGAGGCGACGCCTTTGATTCCTCCAGAAAATTGAGTTTGAGAGGTGCATTTTTACTATTGTTTTTGCACATCTGGACACACTCATATTTCTGTGCAAATTCAAGAGTATTATGGACAAAACGGTAACAGACCAGTGCGGTTGTTTTTCCTAAAAGCCAGATGTTTTTGAACACGTGTTTTAGATCTGTTGATTGTTTTATTTGTGACAGCTTCTCAATGTTCGTGACTCTGCGGGGCTCCTACCCTGAGCAGGTTTGACAGGCGCAGAATATGTTTATCATTGAGCAAAAAGTAATTGAACAAACGTTAACATACAATATTGTGCAACATGCTCTGGAGTTTGGAGAGCTGTCTGACTCTGTGTTTCGGCTGGAGTGAATTTTCTCAGTACCGAGCTAAGGTATGGTAGTCGACATTAAAGTCCTTTATCGTACTCCAGATTGATTTATTAGCGAGGGTCACCTGTCTGACTGTCCTCAGCATCACGTCAGGAACTGCACTGACATGTTCTGTTTTTCTTTTGTAATTCCTGACCATGTCTTCTCGCTTTCTCCTCTCCTTTAAACCACTCTTTTTCATCATTTCATCATGAAATTTCACATGATAACTAATGACTGAAACATGTTGCCCTTGAACTACCATGTTTGCCAACACTATAGGGCTGGGACGATATTTCATCTCGATATTTAGTCTGCATTTTAAACACCAGTGAAACAGCTGAATGATTATGATCGTCTACTGACTATTCCAGGAACCATATTTCCCAAAAAAATACACATCATATGTAAGTCAGTTTTAAAGATTGAGGGTCCTTACACACCGGGACCATTTTTTTCGTGCGATTATTTCAGATGTCAATACTTTTCCAAACCCATATCCTGTCAATACAAGCGTTCACATCAGCAATGTTTTCCCGTCCTGCAATATTGCGGCATTTATTTTTTCGGATCACGGCCGATTTTTTTAAGGCCACTTTTAGATGGAAACGGTCTCCATAGAAAACGGAAAAGTGCCGTTTCGTTTTCAGTTTTTATGCTGTGTTTACAAAAAAATGCAATGTGGTTGAAAACGCTGTAATGTGCATGCCAGGTCGCTAGGTGGCGCGTGTCGTTGTGACCGCGCTCCCATATAGACCAACAACGCATACGTAGAACAACTTCCATTCTACTTCCTAGAAGCACGCAGCGTGAGGCGACGTGAGCCAGGACGTCACAGGTTTGACTGTTTTCAGCGTTGTTGTACTTTAGACGAAAGCGGGACTAGCAGAGCGCTTACAACATTTCCACTCTGGAGGGGGTTTTCACTTTGTTACGTTTTCATCTCCTGAAAACGCAGTTGCCTAAACGAAACTAAATTTTTCCGTTTTCTATGGAGACCGTTTCCGTCTAAAAGTGGCCTAAAGTTTCGCATACTGTGCGTCCACTTCTGACTAATCAGATTTCGTGTTGTTGCGACGTCAGATTCACCGGTATATCCAACATGGCCGACTGGCTGATTGTTTACGTGTCGGAGAACAGAGTACTTTTTGATAAAAAAACACAAATATTACAAAGATAACGACCTGAAGGACAACTTGTGGAGAGTCATAGCGTCGGATTTCTCATATGACGATGTTTTGTGTGCTTTAACAGATTGCTAAACGTTTTTGTTTTAACCTTCATCTGTGCTAACGTAAGCTAACGGTTGTTACTGTAGTTTCATTTGCTTATCTGGTACTGGCCCCGACTCAGTACATGCTATCATGACAGACAGACATCTCAACACTAGATGTCAAATCAGAACTGAAAACAATCAGTTTGGTCCCGCCCTCCTTCGCCTCTGATTGGCTGTAAGTGCTGACTGTTTGGCTTGAGCGTGTGATGACGTTTCCTGCTTTTCTAGCCAATCAGAGGCCAAGGGGAAAAGTCTTCCCCGTGATGCGTCTTTCTTTACCGCCAGAAAGTCACAAAATCGCATCGGGCTTGATATGTATAGTCAGGCCCGTCAAAATTTGCCTCTGTATATTGCGTAATTTCGTGTTCTATATTCGCATCAGCCCCGACCTTAAAACTCACCTGAGAAACCTGTAACATCTTCTCAGACAGGACACGACCCCTGACCATGAAAAGGAAGAAAACTAGTATTCCGATTTTTCGTTGTGCCCTCTGGTGGCAAAGATAATCGCAATATGACAACAAGTCCCGGTCTCCCCTACCTATTTTGTTTGGCCACCTTAAAAATCCCTGTGCTGATCCAGGTACATGATGGTCTATGTCTGTATGAATAGGTTTATTCTACAGTTTTACAGCTGAGGCCCAGCGGCCATGAACATCTGGCCTCGGTTCATGGTGCATGTCTGCAAATATTCACCCGAGGCAAGCAGGCAGGCGGGCGGGCGGTCCACCAGGTGAATGACCTGCTATCAGTCAAACACTCTAGCGGCCACCCACAACCGACAGAAATCTCCTTTTTGTCCTCATCACATAGAAATACAGCCATGTATCTGTGTGGAAGCAGCTGGTCAGACGGTGTTCACTCACCAACGTCCGTGTAACCGCCGAAATCCCGAGGAGGAAAAAAAAAAACATCAACCTTGATCCAAAAACCTGAAACAGCAGCTCCTCTGTCCACGGCCACGTCGGTGTTTTTCTCTCATTCATCGGCGGAGGGAACAGTCGTGTTGTCTACATCGCTGAATTCTTCCATAAACCCGTAATAAGTCGACATTTCTCCGCTGGTTTCCTGATGTAACTTTGAACCGAGTCAAGTCGAGCTGTCTGTCTCTGTGTCGCGAGGCGAGAGAGAGAGAAAAAGAGAGTCGGTGAGGCAGAGAACGCTGAGCGCTGATTGGACGATTCTCCCTATGATTACTGGAGCGCATGTGCTCGGAGGATTCCTATTGGTGGAGGTGTTAAAGGGCAATTCCGCTGCATTGACACAAGAAGAACAAGGAGAGATCTGTTTTTTTTTTCTCACCCGAGGCTTAAATTACTCCACTTACATCGATCTGTATCCTCTCACCAAAGGCCCACGGGGGAAATTTAATCACAGCTCGGGGTTTAGTTGAGGTTACACCGCCTCATTTAATTTCCCACCTTTTCATTAGGACGACACAGCGGGCTGGCTCTGGGTTTTAATGATAGGTTGTGGCCTCAGAACATGTGTAAGCTTGTCATTCTAACATAAAAGAAACATAAATTATCACTGAATTCATGAATAAGTTAGGAGATACTTAAATAATAAATGTTTCAAGTGCTAATGGTCAGGGAAAATGTCGACCAGAGCAAAGGTGCGAAAAATTACCAGAGAAAACAGACCTGACTTTTTTGTTGTTGTTGTTGCTAGAAAATGTATAGGAGAGAGTGGGGTAAGTTGAGCCACTCCCTGTTGATTGGAAATGGTCAAAGAAATTGATCATGTGACCAAATATTTAGGAGATGGGCATCAATTCATGGAGTCTGTGAAGGTTAGAAGCACATGGATAAAGGGGTTAGACATTTATTTCACTGTTGTAAGTGAATTTAGTCTGTCATAAGTTTTATTAGAATTGTGTTCAGACCAGAAAAGATCATTTTAATTTGTTTTATACACTAATTGTGGTATCTATGATGTCAAAAACCAAATATATAAGTATACCATTTTAGCTCAGAGGACTAATAAAGTCATAACAGTAGTACTTGGGTAACTGAGAAAGTAAAGGAGTCTGATGAGAGGATCAGAGTTTACGTTCAGATTGTTGAAATGTTTGACTTTTTGTCTACAAAAATACAGCTGTGAATGTTCTGAATCACTTAAAGACATTCTCATTTTTAAAATGACTTTTTACAAAACAGCTTTTTAGCAGATATATGCAATAATAATAATAAAAAGAATCATTGTACCAGTTGAATAGTGTATAATAGATACAAATACACATGAATGTGAAGAAGTGACTGTTATTGAGGGAGAGAGAAGGTGAGGGAGGGCTGGGGTCGTAGTGGGGATACGGCTCAACTTACCCCCAATTTTTATTTTGCATGCTATATTATCAAGACAGTTCTGTTTACGCTCATTCTGTTGGTTTGCAGGGATGACCAACATCTTGAAATATATGCAGACACTAGTTAGAGACAAAACTATGATTGACTTGATGAAGTGATCCGAAATATGAAAAATGGTTCATCTTACCCCACTCTCCCCTACTATTTAATTGGACCAGCGACAAACCTCCCACTGTAACTCATTGGTACAAAGACATTTTTAGAGTTTTACTGATGGAAAGGCTGAGTGCCAAATTAAAAGGGAATGATGATATCTTTATGGACACATGGCGGCCCCTTATGGATTACTTGCCTGAAGGTCTAAGTGAAACTAAACAGAGGGGAGAGGGTGGTTTAAGGGGTCCCAGACTGAGCTTATTATGAAAATACTTTTTTTATTAATACAAGGACACATATTTCTTTAGTTGATGACACATTGTTGTGTTGTTGTTGGGGTTTTTATTTGTTTACCCTTCTTTTTGTCTTTGTTTCTTTTCCCCTCATGTTTTATCATTTTCTTGTCATTTTCTACCTTATTTAAATCAAAATTAAAGTACGGTAAAAAAAAAAAAAAAAAGTAACCTGAGAGAGGATCCATGTGCTTTTGGGGATCCTTCCTGTCACTGACCTCAGCTGTTTGGGGGTCAAAATTCAGGATCAAAAGATTGATTATAATCTGCATTACTTCATACTTCTAATCCTGTCATAATTCAGATTTATCCTAATCATCCTTGCATAGCCTAGTTTAGACTGCCTTGAACTCTGTGGTCTTTGTGTTACTCACTTAAGCCCCAGTGGATTAAAGGATTTGTGATTCATCTGTGCTCTAAATCACACAAAGTTCCTTATTTGATGATTTGCCAATTAACAACAAAACCGTTATATCAGTTTTTGCGACACAGGAGCGCTTCTTGTTTGTTTTCTCTCTCGCACAAAGTCCTTGTGTCATCTCCTCAATGTCACTTGATTTTGGGCTTTTTCAAAATACCTAGAGGTCGTCTCACAGAATAGCGTATAATCTGACACCTTAGTGCATTAATTCTTTGTGTTGTTTTCCCATGACTTACAGATATTTTAGACAATACAGTTCAATATATTTAAGGTATGTTTTGGATGTGTTCCACTCATGCATGATAAGGGACTACGCAGATATTTCCCCCATGAAATAGTTTCAACTCTGGGGTCCCCCTGGATGTCCTGGTACTGAATCAGTGTCCATTACTTTCCCTTTGCTGTAGTGTCTTCTCTAAGGAGAGTACAGAGTAAGTACAGGAAACTGATGTGATACACTAACAGGAAGTTAAAAACAGAAACGTACACGCGTCTAACCAGCACATCCTTCCTCTGCCATTTCACAACATCCCAGCAGAGAAAAATGAGTCAATCCAAACCCGAAGATTAAAGAGTGTCTGTGTTTATGTATGAAGCTGCAGTTTACATCTTCAATGGTCACAAGTAACAATTATGAGGTTGTTACAAAATGACCCAGGAGGATTATTACATATCTGCTACCAGTATGATGCAGATAAAAGGAGAACTGTAGGTGGGGTGCAACTAGGGCTGGGTGATAAAACGATAACTATATATATATCGATAGTCATGTTTTGGTAGGAGTTGCGTCACGCTGAACAAATCTTGTGCTGAATTAGAACCAAGTAGCAAACAACTGCGTAGTAGCAGGCTGCAGCTACATGCAATCATAGCACTTTAACACGTGAAGCAGTCACGTGGGGTGCCTGGGCTGCATGATCACAGATAACCCCCGTACCCCGTAAAAACTCTTGTTCAGGACTGCTTACTTGTTCTTCCTACTCATTCGGCTACTATAATAACCGTTGTTCTAGTCTTCACGCAACATTTTTGTTCTTATTCATGAAACGCTTAAATCTGGGACATTTTTGGGGACAGCTTTTGTCGGGGACTGTCCTCAGAAATCGGGGACGTCTTGTCACCTTAGTCTAATCAGAACTGAAAACAGTCAGTCTGCTGTTGTGTCAGTCTTCTCGCTTACCCCCGGGAAAGTCGCAAAATTGCATCGCGCTTGATGTGTATAGTCAGGCCCGTCAAAATTTGCCTCAGAATGTTTCGTGATTTCGCGTCGTATATTTGTGTCGTTCTTGGTGTGTAAAGACCTTAAGGCACATTATGAATGAATGTGTCTTTGTTTAGGGAACGTTTGAGATTGACAAGTGTTTTTGTGTGACATTTATCGATATTGACTGATATAAACAAAAAATATTGTGATAAACTTTCTCCCATATCACCCAGCCCTAGGTGCAGCACATGTAAACCAGGTGAAAAAGCCAGCAGTCTGTACTGAGAGCTTTAGTTGTTAACAAAAGTTTCCAAACACGTTTCAGCAGATACTCTTCATTATATTACCCACGGAAAATAGCATGTTGTGGAAAAAAATGACAGAAAAGTAAACATCAATTCCTCTTTTCGAACATGTCTGTTGTTGCAAAGCCGCTCTGATACTGTCGTCTGACTTCATAGAGGTGGAAGTCAAATTGCTCGGCTGACTTGGTTAATCACAGAGCAGCAAAAACCTCTCATTTCACAAACCAAGATGGAAAGTGACTACCAGCGTGCGTGGAGAGCCAAAAATATACGTCACAATAAGTAGACTGTGTATGCATCAGTATTACCCAAGCTGAAACACAAATTACACAAATCAAATGCAAAACATCAGCGGCTCACTGTAGAAAAACCTGCTTTACTGAGAGGCTCATTTGGATCCAAGTGCTTGTTCATTTTCTCCTCCATGAAATAAAGAAGTCATCGAGTCTTTTTAGTCACAACCAGGCAGACATTGTTTATCCCTTCTGTCAGCTTGATGCTTACTTATAATTGGGATGAGAAACCAGTCCAGTTCTTTGTCAATCACAGATAGTACGCCAGTTTTCCACCAAAGTCTGAGTCGTTCTGATCCGTCGCCGTGTCAAGACTGTTCACCAGCGACCTCCATCTCTGCATCTGCGTTTTCTTGCTCAGGGTCACCAGGTAAAGCGTCTGAGACGATCTGGATGAGCTCCTCGATCTGCTCCTCTGATAGCCGCTCTTCACTCTCCTCCACCAGCTGAACACAAACAGACAATAAATTAGCCGAGTGAGGGAGACGGCAGATAAGTGTCTCTACTGATGCAGATCATGTCATATGAGGAAAAGTATCAGACCAGCCACTTACTTAAATATGTAGTTACATGTCAAATGCTGTTTAAAAGATTTAAGAAGTAGCATGTGTCTGCAGACCCATAAGGCTGTAGATTCAGGACTCCATTTCTAGTATCTAATTCCCATTGTTGATGATAGCACCACCTAGTGTTCATTAAGGACGGCATTTTTAATCTCTAATTGCATTTCTACCATTTTCTGTGTCTAATAGTAACCCTAACCCAAACAATACAAGAGGCTCCGTAAAGAGGCTATGTAAAATGTTGATGGAATATTGATATGTGAAATCAATAAAAAAGAAAATTCAAAAATAAATCAAAAGGTCCACCTCTGTGAGGCTTTTGACAGTGATCTTTACCATAAAATTGGATGAAAAGGTTCCAAACCACTTCTATTTTGTAACTGTTTGACATAATCAGACGAAAATGAAACTTTTAATTTGGTCAAGTTGTCCAAAATTTTGATCCAGTGTTTTTCTCAATTATCTTCCCTCTAACCTGATTGAAAATGTCTTAAATTTCAGGTAAAATATCTACAGGAACTGAAGAAATTAATACATGGGGTGCTGAAATTGTCTCACTAGTTACAATTACATCTAAGTATGTAATTGTGGGGCCTCAAAGTTCCTGATACCAAACCACGGCAGAAAAGCTACAATGTGCACCAAAGACCATCTTTCCCAAGTATGGTAGATACTTGAACATACGTTTGTGCTCTAATTTAGTGGAAAATATAACTTCATTACAAGGTTGAAGTTAAAAGTATAAAATGGAATCAAGTGCACCATTGAAAAAAAGTTCAATCAAATATCTCATGTTAATAGTACGGGGATAAAAAAAGACTAAATTCATGATCATTTGCTGTCATGGCAGCCAATCATCCCATCACATAATCTGATGTAAGGGGTTGTGGTTCAGCATTGTTTCCATTTTTGTCACAAGGGTGGTCCTGTGTTTCTTGTACCCCGGGAATAGAAAAAGAAATGTAGATGTCGACAAACGACACACTGGTAGTACTTTTGTTAATAATAATACATTCCTACACCTAACCCTGTTCTATCAGGGACTCAAATACTCACCGACACAGTGCAGAAACAGTGTAAAGAGTGAATTTTTGGGGACGATTAAATGAAACTGATCATTTTATTCTCATATTGACTTTTTAACACCTTTTTAGGTTGTGTGAAACCAACATAAAATATAACCTGGTCTTAGTGTATCACAATAAATGTGTCAAAATAGTAAAAGAAACATGCACTGGTGGTTGATAAAAACTTATATTAATACAGGAAACACTCACAAGTTGAATTTCTACTGCAGTCTGCGGCCGATGGTTCAGGAGCATCAGTTTCTCGGCCCTGATGGGTGAAAAATATCAGATAATATGTTTACAAAGCGATAAATAAATACAACAAATCAGTTTGAGCACAATATAAATATATTTCTGTTCAGATATGAAGGGTAAACTGTTCTGCTCTGTGGGGCTCACTGACTTTGTGAGTTTGTGAGGCATCATTGTGTTGAGGAACTCTTTGACGATCTCTGGACTTTGCCTGCTGCAGGGTGTCTTCGACAGATACTTCAGCGTCTAAAGAGAGTAAAAGCAGAGGAAACTGTGGGTAAGCTCATGCAAAACTCTGAATAAATTCACAGTGTAGGAGCCAAAATATATTTGTTGAAAGTTTTATTTCTATAGGTACGTCACTTCCGGGATCGTCACTGAGGGGTGTGGTTTTGGGATGTTTGGTGGGTTATTTAAATGTGACAGGTGTAGTCAGACGATGGGTTTGGTAAGCACTGATTATTTTCTGTTGACTGTTTTTGACCACTTCATTTATTCATCGTATCACTTTTTCAGTTGAAGGCAAAAGTAATCAGCGTATTTTCTTTCCTTTTTTGAACAATAAATCATTTTTCAACACTCAAACCGGACTGATCATTCAAGCGAGTCACAGATGCAAGCAAACCTAAACCCCAGCGGCCTTTTTTGTTGAAGGAAAGCACTCGCTACACACAGAGCAGGTTCATGCCAGTGCGAAAAAGGAGGAGATGTGTGCTGACCTCATACATGATGGTGTTGAGGTTCTGCTGCCCGATGCTGTGTTTGTTCTTCCCGCTGTCCTTCCTCTGTTCCTTTAGGTCTGTGAGGAGTTTGAACACCTAAAACACAACAATCAATCAATCAATCAATCAATCAATCAATCAATCAGTCTTCATTTTTATAGCACTTTTCATACAAAAATGATGTAGCAAAAAGTGCTTTAAGAAACAAATAAAACCCTTATCTACCCCAACCCAACCCCTGTTAGAATATATTGTAAATTTGGAGACGATTTGACAAAGAAATAAAGAATTAACAGTTGTGCTCATCGCAGTCATGTTCTGATGGATAACAGGAAGAAGGATAAAAGCTCCAGGGAGGCTATAGATCACCCTGTACAGAGGAAAAGAACAGTATCCATAGTATGAAGATTTTAGCTTTGGCTTTTCTTAATAGTTGGTAATTAAGGTGTCATGTACAGAATTAAGATGTTTGTGTGATGTTTTTAAGAAAGTTGTACTCAGACATATGAAAAAGGAAGTGTGCAGAGGGTGCTTTGCGGTTTGAATTTTTTATTAGTAGAAGTCCAGACAGAGATCCTTCAAACCCATTATTTGTTAAACTGCAGTTGTTGAAATTCAGCGAGTTAGTAGATTTCAGAATGTTGCAGATTATGTGTAAAGCTCATAGGAAGTTTTTACCAGTCAACACACAGAGCCGATTTGAAAAAAGACAAAATTGTTATAATTTAAAAGGATTTAAAATATTTAAAAAGCCAAAGATTCAGAACTAAACTGAAAGAGCGCTGTGTTACAGTGAGAGGAATACGTTTGTGGAACAATCTGAACAAAGAAACTAAAGAAACTAAATCAAATTTTATCTTAAAAAAAAAAAAAAAAAAAGAGTCAAATCCAGTATGTTGAGTAAATACAGGGAAATATGTTCATCTAAGTCTTGGTCTGTTTGTTTTGTGGAAAAAATGTGAATTAATGTGGTCTTTTCTGTTCGTTTTTGAAAATAAGATATACTGAACTGTAAAAAGGTGTGTTAGCCTGCAGCTCTTGTTTATTTTTATTGTGTTTAGTTGATTTATATCTTATGAAAGAGGGGCAGACTCTATGAGAGTTTTCTTCTTTCTGCTCCTTTTCATTCACATGTTTGAAATTTGTTTGTATTTTGTTTGTTTGTATTTTTTTTCTTTGTTTGTACGAAATATTTTTAATATTAACTGAATGAAATAAAGTATGGAATGAAATAAAACACTTCAACAAACTTAATGATTTAAAATTTAGTTAAAAGCAAGACTAAAAGGATACGTTTTCAGTTTGGACTAATCTGAAATCTTTCTGAATCTCTGAACTGGACAGTACAAACGTTTTTTTTTATTACAAACCTTTTTTAAAACCAATATAAAATCAATAATAAAACTGCGAAAACAAGCTATACGTATTATCAATAAGACTGATTATTATGATCACACGGAGACGCTTCTTCTAAATTCTCATGTTATGACATTTTATGATCTGATTTATTATAAAATAATGCAAATAATGTTTCGAGCAAAATCAAAAATGCTTTCTGACTCAATACAGAGGTTCTTTTCAATTAAGGACAGTCTGAATAATCTCAGAGGTGTTTGCAAATTTACTGAACAAAAAGGTATGAAAAGGAGATGTGTCTCCATTACTGGAGTAAAATTCTGAAATGATGCCGACATAACTCTAAAAACACGTCATTCTTTGTTGGTTTTTATGAAAATAGTTTGTAAAACTATTTTAGAAACTTATAAGTGCGATTAATTATCTGTTAATGTGGTTTCTTTGCTTTTCTGGAGGTCGTAGCCTAAAAAATGTTGACAATACAGGATAGACTTCTGCTAGACAGTCTGCTTCTGCCTTTTCAGTCAATATTCAACACATGGTTCTTGATTTAGTGATTTAGTGTGAAATTTCAATATTGTGTAGAATATTTGGTGTTGTCATGACTGAATAATCGACTACGACTGCAAACAGATGATAAATAAACAGATAAATCACGGTCTTACCTCATAGTTGCTCAACATAGCAGCTCTTGCGTTTTTCCTGTAAATCAAAAATATCAGAGATGGAAAAAATTCAGTTATTTTGTTTGATTTTATGAGGTTTAGACTAAAATAATGCTGTTATGACAGTTTCTTGTACAAAAATATTAGTAACCCAAGATTAACTTTCAACCGTTAGTTTGTGTAAAATGACTATCGATGAAGGCTGATTATTGAAACTCGAGATTAACACGGAGAAATATTCATAGTTTAATATTATGAGGAAATAAACACACGAGGGTTCAACGAGCAAACTCTGATATTATTATATTCTGAAAAATAATTAAACAAAACAGGGAAAGATTAAAAAAAACCCTTAACTTTAGTCAGACTTAAACTGTGCGCAAACACTTAAATCAGTTTCTTATCCGACACTCCGTGAATTTAGCGAAACACGACAAAGATTAGGCTTTTGTCCTTTAATTAAGATATTTACACAGTTAAATACACAATAAATCATGCTGAGAAGATCTAAATCATAAATATAGAGAATAAAAACAATCTTACACTTCCATATCGCCAGGGCTTTCACAGGGTTCCGCCACAAATGCCTCCGTGTAGAAAATAAAGACCAGCGCCAAGGTTCCGCGTGAAAGTTTTTTTTTTTCTTCCCAACTTTATTTGAATCAACAAAATGTCATAATAATAATAATTTAATAATAATAATAATAATAATAATAATAATAATAATAATAATAATAATAATAATAATAATAATAATAATAATAATAATAATAATTATTATTATTATTATTATTATTATTATTATTATTATTATTATTTTCTGAGGAAATAACTGCTCGCACTCCAAAAAGCACAAGCCCATAACATATCAACAAAGTAAAAATAAAATAAGCGTAATAACAGGGGGTGACATTTTAACAAAAAGTGCTTTAAGCTTGTTGAAAAAATATTATTAAATCTAAAGAGTAAGAGACTTTGAGATTGTCTGATACAGTTCATTCATAGACTGATTTTCCTCTGACAACATCCTTAGGGATGTTATATAGTTCTTAATTTCATTCTTAAAACAGTTTATGGTGGGTGTGCTGTTGTTACATTTATTCTTGTGTATATGATATTTTCCCATATGGAAAATAATGTTCATCATTTTAAGATGTCCAGACCATTCATATAGATCAACACTTGAAATTTGTTAAACAGAGAAGCGTTAATCCCAATATCTAACCATTAATAAACATCTTTCCAAAACATCATTGTGACTGAACATGAGAAGAATAAGTGTTGAATTGTTTCATGTTCTGTCACACAAAAAACACACAGATTAACTTCAAAATTAAATCTTTTCCTTAGAGTTTCAGCAGCAGGATAAATATTGTTTATTAATTTGAACTTTCTTTTACCTTGAGTGAAATTGTCCATTTAAGATAGCTACAATAAGTCTTTGTTAATGTCACTTCATTATCTGTTATCTTTATTTTCGTTGACTTTTTGATGTCATGGAATAGCTTTTCTTTAAACACGCTTTCAAGTGCTTTGTTATTACATTTTCTTTCGCCCAATTTCAATTCACCTATTTTTAAATCATAGACATTAGACACATTTGAAATTGTGAGGATATTTTTAATCGTGTATTTTAAGGGAAGTAGAACTCCATGAAAGTAATTTTGTTGTTTTCTTTGTTTTGTTTTTCTGGCTTCTGGTCAAATACATCGAAATATCTTCTTTGCTGTTTATCCTCTCACTCATTGACCGAAAGGGTCCAGTCCTTTCAACACGAATCAAAATGATTAAACATTTCCTCTGATTTTAACATTCCCCAATACATAAACCTTTAATTCAGAAGTCAAAAAAATTAGGAAAATACTCCAGCAATCGTGTTGTTTGTTATTTGCATTTTATTTGAGCATACAAGCATGCAACGGTCATTATATCCAACAAGTTTGACAAGTTCTGCTGAAGGAAGTCTGATTTTGACAAACAATAAACATTCATCCAAGTTTACACAAATAATAGAGTTTTAAAAATTGACTTGAACACAGACAATTCAGAGTATTTCTGATGTTTTTACAAAAGAATAACAGAACAAGACAAATAAGAGTCAGGTTTTTTTTTTTTTAACAGATCTGTTTTGACTTGTCTGATGATACAAGTGCTTCCATGATGCATATAAAATACAATTTTTTTCTCTTAATCTTGTCTGTTTCGTCAATCAGTCTGGTTCTTTAAAATATACACAAGGAAATAAAAAACCAAACACCATTTATAAAAGCCTTGAAAAAAAACAGCAAATGAAGTCATGTGATTAAAATATACATTTTCTGATTGATCCTGACGCTGATTATGAATCTTTACACGATGAATATGTATCTGGTTTTGGTTTACTCTATGCCCCACTTATCCCTGCAACAAGAGTGTCCTACATATAAAAACAGATTTAACACATACTGTTGCTGACTGCTGCTGCTGTCTATCAACCATCAGTGCACATTCAGTCAGTGTGCATGGGCACAAGTTCCTCTTCCTGAGAGAAGAATCCACAAAACATCTTCAGACTCTCATCTGTGGTCTTTAAGTTGTTGATTGCATTTTTAAATGCCACAAGATTTCTTCCCTCAACTAGTTTCTTTACATTGCTCATCACTTTTTGGTGCTGTGCAAAACCCGCAGCCAGGTATGCTTTCAGCACATCAAACCTTCCTCTTTTCACGACCTGGATGATCAGGTGTTCAAGGATGCTTGACAGAGGATAGCCAAACTCAATGACACTGTTCTGTTCACGCTTTTTGTTTTCATATGCATATCCACCTGAATGCATTGCAACGACATTACAGTGCTCGTCAAAGACAGGAGAGCCAGATGACCCATAATAGAAGCAGGACTCGTATGAGAGAGTCTGACGATTGCTTTGAACAGATTGTGCCACGTCTTGAAAAAAAATGCTGGTAACCAACTGAAAGACCCCATTGTACTCCACAAAAACACCATCTGGATTATTACGGTGATGCTCCTCTACGACCTTGTTGCACTTATCAGTGGGAATAATCAAGCATGGATCAATCTTTTTCACATCAGAACCAGGATGCCCAATAATGCAAATGGCTCCACCCTTGGGAAGGAAACCAAACTGTTGAATCAGAGGACATGGTAACTCTTGATCAGCACAGAGTTTCAACAAAGCCCAGTCATACTTATGACCTGAAGGATCCTGACCGTACTCAAAGCCTGCAACCTCCTCCACTTTTGCTCCTGGATCCACCTGGTCCAGACTCTCAAAGGAGAAATGGACTGTCACAGGCTCACAAAGCTGCCCATCACTCATATTAATACTGTTTTTAATCACGTGGCCATTTGTGAGGACAAACTTGTCAAAGAGGAGGAAGCCAGTTCCATTAGGTCTTCCGTTTATCCTCACCTGGCACACTGAATCACTGAGAACCATCAGTTTCTTCATTGTTCTTACTTCATTGCATGTCTGAGTTTTCTTGCCGAACTCAAGACGGAAGCGATTCTGGATGGGAGAAAGCGTAGGGACTTCAGTTTTCCTCCCTTTGACCAGACTTTTAATCTCAGAACGCAGATGCTTCATCATCTTTCCTGAATCAGGCATTTTTTCTGGCTCTATGACACCACCTTGCTTGGCTTTTTCCCCAGTTTTACCATCATCCCCTGACTCTCCTGTAGTAGACTGCTGTGGAGGAACTTGGTTTTCAACTGACTCAGACTTCTGAGGCTCACTTTGCATCACATATGCATCCTCTTGACTTTCAGGTGGACTGACTGGTGGTGGGGACTCACTGATCTTTTTGATCCTGACAGTTTTACCGTCAAGTTCATCGACTAGATCAAGCATTTCAGTTTTTATGTCAGTACCTTTTTCAACGAGGGCACAGTTCTTGTTGAATATGACACTTAGTAAACGGTTGTCTCTTCTCAGAGCATGCCTCACCTTTTCCCCTTTGTAAGCAAAAACAGTAATTTCCTCAAATTTGTTTGCAATTTCTTGCTTTTTCATGATTCTTCTTACATTTTCACCTCCTCTAGTCAACACATTAAATATCACAGGCTTATCAGACTGACACTTTCTTCTGCGAATTGCAGGAGCACAGTTCTCACTGGAAGGCCTCTCTTTGCCAGCTTTAACGTACTTGACACTTATACATCCTTGATTCTCGATTAAGTAACATGGGAAATGAGGACTGATCGCTTTCCCATCTCTTAAAATGACAAGCTCTTTGTTTTTATTCTTATCTGCAAGCTTTGTGAATTCCGGACTTCTTTTCAGCGAGTCCTCCACAGTTCCTGCCTTGTTGCAGGTCAAGTTGGTGCGTGTCTTGTCACTTCCAATCCACAAAAAGGAGTGGGTCTCATGTGGCTCTTCTTCCTAAAAATATGAAATATTTTCATTCCTCTTGTGTTATTACAGTGCAATACATTTTGTTCCATTACAAATTCATACAAACCATCAGATATACCTGTTTGACTGGTTTCACAGGAGGCTGACAAGAGGCTGCAGACATTTTTGGCTCTGTAGGGGTGAAAGGTTTGCTACACCCTGGTGACTTCTCCAGATGATCACCTGACTGATAGACAAATACAGATTGGTGAAGACATCTCAGAAACATGACTGGAATAAACACAATCTCATTGTGAACTTCTGCAAGAAAATAAAACCATGTGGTAAAAAAAGAAGCCAAATTATTCCTCAAGAAAGAACCTTTCTGTATGAAAATATATTAAAAACCCAAATGTTTAAGTTAACAGACTTGAAACCAAAGTAGCAAGACTTGAGTTTATATTTCACTGAGCAGGTAAAAAAAATTGTACCTTGAGAAATTTGTCCATTGGTCCTTTTCTAACTGGCGTAACCTTTGGTCTCATCGTGAAAAATTTTCAGCTAGTAGAGTAGAGTAGTGTAGATAATGCTGTTGTGTCTCGCTTACTGGAGGAGAGATAAAAGTCGTGTGAAGACTTCAAGAACATATAAAATTAACATTGAGTACGGTTATTAAGTATGAAAACATTAACATTGACAACATGAAAACAACGCCACAATGCAATACCACCCGAAATGAAAGTCAACCAGCACTGCTCCTTATTGGCCAGTCTGCAAACACAGACATTGATGAAAGCTGAGTAATTTTACCCTCATTAATACCATTTTGAGTTGAAATGCTGAAAGTGCAAAATAGTATAACTTTTATCTAGCTTTTAGGATCAACCAATCACAGCTTTTGAAATGATGACTCATCTCCAGCAAAGGGGTCCACACACACCCCCTCACGCAGGAGAAGATGTGGTCAACCCTTCCTTGCTCAGAGCATAGATATCTATAAGAAAGGTTAGATGACTCGAGGTAGAGTCACCTGCCTCCCTACACAGCGGCCATCTTACTCCCGTACACTATTCTGGTACGCTCTATGGTAGCTGACAGGAGGTGAGTAATCTGCATGATCAAAAATACTCTTAACTCGCTGAAATCTTGACAGATGTACAAATGGTTTAGTTTAGAACAGTTTTGTTTAGCCTTATGTGTGTATCAGGGCTGCACAATATATCGTTTGAGCATCGTCAAACGATTAACTAATCATTAACATTACATTACATTAACATTAATCATAACATTACACTGTTGACAGCTGCCTAAAGCAAAATGGCCGCCACGCGCGGAGGTCGGTCTCCATTGGCTAACAGTGTGTGTGAGTCATCTAGCGTTTGTATATATTTCTATAGCTCAGAGTTCTCGGAGAATGTTAAGGAATCACCCCTAAGCTTGACTCCTCGCTATGAATTTTAGGTTACTTTAGGATCAAAGAGGATCTTAAAGAGGATTCTCATAATCTTTAGGAATAAGGGCCCTGATAACTCTGAAAAAATGCACCTTCCCAAATTTCACTTTGTACCACCAATATATCGCCATAACGTTGTTGTGGTAGATGTGATTTTCAGATTATTCAACCTCATCAACTTCTGAAAAAATGCGCCTTCATCAGTCATCAGTGACCCTAACACTTTAAAAAAAAAAACACGGCCGACCCGTGTTTGTTTTTTAATGCGTAAAAGAACCACATAAATTTGTTTTATTCCATTAGGACTTTTGACTTTGGTTCGCTCCTGGTTTGAATAAAAAGCAATAATTAGAGTCAAAACTAAAATCTTAAGTGCACTGTTCAGGCACTACACTGACAGCCAGATCCTCTCCCAATTATGTGAGATTCAGAGAATGCTCATTTTTCCATGTTTTCCCTGCACAAAACAACAACGACGGGCATGTCCAGACATGTCAGATCAATTTAGTATAGACGTCTATAGAAGTCTGAAAGAAGGGGTACACTGGCAAAGACAGGCATAGAGATCCACAACCAAAAATATTATAAGCAATATTTTCATGGATAATGAAGCCGAACATGCGAAGCTACAGATAAGAAACACATTGGATAATAGAGAATTGTTAGTGGAATTTGCTGCTGATTTAAGACACGGGTCAAACCCGACCCGTTAATATAGAGGGTGCATGCATAGTAAAGCTAACACAGAAGGAAGGTTAGTAGTTTAATCGCGAATTTACCAAATCCCTGCAGCGCAGATACTCTAAACTTTGACCGACGACGACGAAAAAGATCTTCTTTCTTTCTCCTCTTTCGTTTAATGGCGGATCACAAACAACGTTCAGAATTAGTTGTTAATCGACGAGAAAGGTCTTCATAGAGTCCAAAGTTAGCGACACTTCTTTTCTGCTTGTGTTTCTTCTTTTAAATGGGCGCCGCTTTAGAAGTCCCGCCCCAAAATGACGTAATGATACACGTGACCACCGTGTGCACTGTTGTTCGCAGGATAGAAGTGGAACCCAAATGGTTTTGGACGTAGACTGTATATACTACTTTTATATACTTTTATATACAGTCTTTGGTTTTGAATCGTCCACTTTCGCGCCCTAACCGGTGTCGCAAATACGTATCGAAACGTCATAGGTAGTCGGTTACGCTACGTTAAAGTGACATTTTAGTACGCTGCTCCTAGTTTTCCATTCAAAACATTAACGCCACGGAGTACAGTCTTCGTCGTTTGGCATTCATTTTTCCAGGTACAGCGTTAAACTCGGTTAGACCCACGGACCATGGCCAACACTGAGGTAGGTTAACGTTGGACACGTGCCTCTGTTCTGCTGCTTCTCCACGTGTTGTTGTTTTAGCAAACAGCTGTCCGCTAACGAACCAGAGAGCTGTCAGTCCGGACCTCTCTCTCCTCCAGTCCAGTCAGCTCTTTTTTTATTACTTCATGATGAGTTAAAACTAACTGTGATCTAATGTTACACACGGTTGTTCCTCTGTCTCTGCTCCTCTTCAGGGCAGTAAACTGTGGGGAGGTCGTTTCGTGGGAGACACTGATCCCATCATGGAGAAGTTTAACGCGTCCATCGCTTATGACCAGAGGATGTGGGATGCTGACATAAGGGGGAGTAAGGCTTATGTGAAAGCTCTGGAGAAGGCGATGCTGGTCACCACGGAGGAGAAGACCCAGATTGAACACGGGCTGGATCAGGTGGATGTGCACACATGGACACAGTCTAACACCCACTTTTACAGTTAAACTTCACAACCCCACAAGTTTATTAGACATGTTCATACACAAATTCATACATAAACTAACATTATAGCAGGTGCAGACAGGCATCATATGTTTGCATAAAATCAACAAGAAAGTGACAAAAAAGCAGTATCTTCTATGCACAAAAATCCACAAAAGAAGTTTACATACACTATATAAAAAGGCACATAACCTTTTTTTCCTCACCATCAAACATTAAATCAGATTACACTTGTATTGTTTTTGGTCAATTATCCAGAATCAATCCAGAATTATTTTTATTTGCTAAATGTCAAAATATGAGAGAGAGAATTTTTTTGTAAACAATTTTTTATTATTTTCTCAAGACTTCTGGTTTCAACTGTACATATACATACATACACATCAGAATCAGAATCAGAATTCTTTTATTGTCATTGTACCAAAAGGCGCAACGAAATTAAAAAATAGCAGCTCTCGCAGACAGTGCAAAGAAAAGGTATCAGTCTTTTTCAAAGTATCAGTTTTGGGTTTAAGATGGGTGAAAGCACCTCTCAGGGCTAGCCTGGTACCATAGTTGTGACTGTCACGAGCAAGCAACAGCTGAGAATACAGATAAGCAGGTTAATGGTATGCATAAAGAACAGAATCAAACTACAAGCTAGTCTTTCACCATATGAGTATTTTGTCATCATTTTACTAACCAGGTCTGTTCAAACCTCAAACTAGGTTTTGTGATTTTAAGATTTCATCTCTCACCCGTGAGCCAGGGAGTACAATACTGCTGCATTGTGTGTGTGTGTGTGTGTGTGTGTAACCGTTTGCCCTGCAGTGTAGATGTATGTAAATGTGCTGCGGTGTTGCATTCCTCTCCCTTTTCTGCTGATTTTTGTGGTGAACAATACTGTAATCATGTGATAGATGTCAGATTTTATTGATATCAATGCCAATAAAGATTCTGCTAATCAATTCAATTCTTGAACGATTCCCTTGTCAATGCCTTTCTTTAATCTCAAAAAAGTAGACTTTAGGTTTTCAATGTTAACTCAAAATTTTACTGAGTCTCTAATAACAGAAAAAGATGTATGCCACCTTCAGTGAGAGTCTAAAAATAATCAAACCACAAACTTTTTGTACAGCATTTACTTGGTCGGTAGTGAGTCAAATTAGGGTGACCATATTCTTAATCCCCAAAAAGAGGACACTACTACACGGGGTGGAGTCACGCGCAAAATTTTGAGGGTTTTTCTGGTCGGGTCGAGTGATTATTTTTACGCACTTCTAACTCAGTTCATACTAAACAGACTCAAAACTTCCGTACAAAACTCGTTGTCGTCTTTCTTAGTAAAATGAAGCCACGCTTTATATCGTTTCTGCCTACTTTTCGTACCGTCTGCCATGTTTTTTTCCTCAAAGTCTCTGTTCTCGTTCACGTAGACTGGCTCTCACAAGACTGTTTTCCAAAGCACCCGTAAGAAAGGAATCGTTACGGGAATCATTAAAATGAAATGTTCAAACGATGTCGATGGATTGAACCATTTGGAACCGGTTCTCAACAAGAACCGGTTCTGGATTCCCATCCCTATGCAAGTAATTTAAAGGAAATTTAAACAAGTTTGATTCTAGTAGTGATGGGTACGGCAGTTCTTCTAGATGAACTGAATCAGTCGAATCAGTTCACTAAAAAGATTCGTTCACCAAATTACCAAATCATGTAGCACTTGGTGGGAGAAGCCTGTGACCCCGACCTCCTGAACTGATACACAGCTGTTTATAAGTCATGATGTTTTAAATGTACTGTCCTATGGTATGATATTTATCAGGTCTGCTCGGTAAAGTGGGCTCAGTGAGTTATTCGTTCACTGAACATTTAGAAGAATTCACACTGAACATGCGTAATTCCCTCCCAAACCGCTGCAATGATAGGATGCTGCAGGTTTTATGCACTACTTGTTACATGCTGTGTCCTATTGTATGAAAGTTGTTGTGGTGGTAATTTAGCAATTTAGCAATTTGTCCTACAAAATGATTCCAGAGAGTGTAGTTTAATAGGTGATTCGTTTACCAAGTGATTCAGGCATCGGTGCATATGGTCCTTCGTTCGCTGGCTGCTCGGCTGGCAATGCTGTTTCTCACTTCAGCACAACTGAACTGAGAAATGAACGAATCATTCGAGGAAGTTCACCTAAAAGATTCGGTTCTTTTGAACGAATCGTTCGCGAACGACACAACACTAGATTCTTGGCAAATCAAAGGGTTTTTGCAAATGATGTTTGTCTCTCTGTGTCTAAATCAATCCTAACAAAACACTTTTTTTTATCGGGTTGGATTTGTTTTTAGATCTTGATTTTATTGTTTCAAAACCCAGATTTCCGAAGAGTGGTCCAAAGGTGTTTTTGTGATCAAACCTGGAGATGAAGACATTCATACCGCCAACGAGCGCAGACTTAAAGTAAGAAGATTTTTTTGAGTTTTCTAATGTATGTTCTCATTATCTCATTTTTTACAATGTGGTACAAAACATACCTTTTTAGTCTTGCTTTTAACTAGATTTAATGTCATTAACTTTGTTTAAGTGTTTTAGCATTTATCTCTTTCTAGTTTTAATGACAGGATCGTCCTTTATTGATCTACTTTAGTGCCACCATTTCTATCTTCTAATGTCAACAACACAGAGGATTTTAGAGAAAAGTCAATAAAGAAGCCCTGTGATAATTTGAATATTCTATAAAGTTTGTCTTTGTGATTGTATGTCTTTACAGGAGCTGATAGGTGCACCTGCAGGGAAGCTGCACACAGGCAGGAGCAGAAATGACCAGGTCTGTTTGTACGAAAATGGAAACTATAATGACTAAAATACCACTTACAATTTCAGATGATCAATTAAAGGGATATCCCGGTGTAAAATTAAGTTAGGGTCAAACACTCCGTAACACCGAGTTAGACACCCCTCGAGAGATGAATGTTGCCGACCGTTTGCTTCTCGAGTTATACCAACTTTAGTAACGACCGCACGATAGCAATACACAGTGGTCTACAGTACATATAGGGTCCCAGCCATAGTACTAGCCACCAAACATATTTTTAACTTTGCCTGATTTCTTTAGCAAAGAGACTAAACACAACTCACCTACTCTCTTCCAGCAGCCGCTTGTTTGTAGCGAGACCTTAGGCCAGTCCATTACGGACTACAGCGGGGTGATGCAGCTCAAGGAAGAACATTTATGATCATTTCTTCATGGAAATACAATCAGACCAAGACGTTAAGGCAGAAGAACTACCGCGTCTGCAATGCAAAATGATTAATATGGTGATTATTACTTTAAGGAAATGATAAAGAAATGTTCATAAATGTTCTGAAGTCTCGCTACAAACAAGCGGCTGCTGGAGGAGAGTAGGTGAGATGTGTTTAGAGTCTTTGCTTAAGAAATCAGGCAAAGTTAAAAAGATGTTTGATGACTAGTACTATGGCTGGGACCCTAAATGTACTGTTGATGAAGTTAGGTGCTGTTCTGAGCATTATTTGTGGCTATAGAGTGGCATTTTGGTTGAGGTTTGTTTATGGCTCCTCATACCGCTGTGTATTGATATCGTTCGGTCGTTGCTGAAGTTTGTTTAACTAGAGAAATAAGCAGTCTGCAACATTCATCTCTCGAAGGAGTGTCTAACACGGTGTTACAGTGTGTTCGACCCTGAAATAATTTTACAACAGAATATCCCTTTAATTAACCATAAAGATACATACGTATCATGAGACAACGCTGCATGTATTTGTCTTCACCAGGTTGTGACTGACATGAGGCTGTGGCTCAGAGATGCCATCTCAACCCTGACAGACAACGCTCTACAGCTGATATCTACCATGGTGGAGCGGGCAGCAGCGTAAGCCGGATACACAGTGGTACACACAAAACACACACAGCTGTCGGTTAGTGTGCTTTTTTAAAGTTGTCCACTGGTGTCTTTCTGGACCTCAGGGAAGTTGAAGTCCTCTTTCCCGGTTATACCCACATGCAGAGAGCTCAACCAATCAGATGGAGCCACTGGATCCTCAGGTGAAAATGAAACCTACAATGTGAATCTCCTAATTTTCCCAAATCAGACAATGTGTTATTCATATCAGAGTTCATCTTTTCCCTCAGTCATGCTGTCGCCCTGAGCAGAGATGTTGACCGGCTTCTGGAGATGAAGAGAAGAGTTAATGTTTTGCCTCTTGGCAGGTAAATCATGAACACACACACAAAGTAACTGACACAGATTTTCACTCACAGACGAGATCAGATAATCGTGATGTTTCTTGTTTTTTTGCTTTTTTTCCAGTGGTGCCATCGCTGGGACACCGTTTGACATCGACAGAGAGCTGCTGAGGAAAGGTTGGTCTACTGCACAAACAGACAGATGTTAAAAAGGGTTTTATATCACTTTAGTAAAGGTTATCATCCGCCTGTGCCTCATTTATGTGTGTAATATAAACTATTAATCTATTTTACTTGTCTGTAGAGCTGAACTTTGATGACATCAGTCTGAACAGCATGGATGCTACAGCTCAGAGGGACTTTGTTGGTATGTACATCTAAAATGGAAGTCAGTGATCAAAAAGGACAGACAATATAAACAGTCGATGTAGAATTAATGAATGCCTCCATACAGAAGATTCACGGTTTGTTGGAAGAAAGAAAATCTGCTAAAATGTGATTTGGCTTTTTGTTTTATGTGTTTTATGTCTCTGCAGTGGAGTTTCTGTTCTGGGCTTCATTGTGTTTGACTCACCTCAGTAAGATGGCGGAGGACCTGCTGCTGTACAGCACCAAAGAGTTCTCCTTCGTCACTCTCTCTGATGCATACAGGTCAGTGTGGGTTTCCTGCACATCTTCTCAAGACTGCAAAACTTCTGATCGAATCATTTTTTTTTGGCTTTGTGTGCATTTTTTTACTTCACTCTGAGATAGAAACTATTTTATAAAATATGTATTCAAATTCAACTTTATTTGTATGGCACTTTTCAGACAAAATATGGAGTTCCAAATGTCTCACAGAGGCTAAAAACAACATTTAAACGGCGATAAAATCCGACCCTCCCACTCACACACCCACCCATGGACCCACAGACACACACTCACCCACACATACACACACACAAGCACACACAGAGTGAGAATTTACGATATATTGTTAAAGAGACATGGCCTGACACCGAGACATTGTGTTAGGAAAGAGCCACCTTTAGGAAACACTGGAGATAAAAGATAAAAACTAGAATTAAAAGATAGATAAATAAATAAAAAATTGTAAAAAGAAAGACTAATACCTGATGGACTAAAACAACAAAATAAAATAAAATTAACCTACCTACCTACCTACCTACCATGTTAAAGAATTTAAAAACCTCTGAAGCGGCAGTTAAGAAAAACACTAAGAACAGAGATAATTAATAAAATTACATTAAAGAAACATTAAGAACTTTTATTAAAATCAACATTTGCAATAAGAGAAACATCAAAAGGCAATCAGTTAAAATAAATATCTATAAAACATACATATAATGTGGTAAATAACTTTTGGAGTCATTCAACAATGTTGTCTTCTCTGAGTTTGTCCAGCAGAGCGTGCCATAGTCACTAATTCTCAACACTATCTGTGGCAGAACATGACAGCTAAGCAGACTGTTTTATACAGTAAAGTTAATTGATAATGAGTGATGATTATAAGTCCTCTTAAATGTGCACATTATTTAAAAAAGCGGCTTTTTTTTTAGCTTTGTGATACAGTATCAAGTCAAAACTAGAAGCACAATCCCTAAAAACCAGGTCGATTTTTCTTCCAGCTCAAGAATGTTCCTTATCAGCCCAAAGAAAGTTCACGTGAATGTGAATTCAGGAATCTACAGTCTGTTCTGAAGAAGTCCCACTACTGCCTTTCTCTGTGTGTGTGTGTGTTTGTGTGTGTTTGTAGCACAGGCAGCAGTTTGATGCCCCAGAAGAAGAACGCCGACAGTCTGGAGCTGATCAGGAGTAAAGCAGGACGCGTCTTCGGCAGTGTAAGAAGTCTTTATCTATTGAGCTGAGGGTGAGATAATTCTATGTCTCAACCTTTTTTTCACCGAATAACAAAAAGAGCAAACTTTAAAAAAAGTATTTAACTATTTTCAAACTGAATTTTTATATTTAAATGCTGATATTTTGATTTAACTGCAGCAAACACTTGACAGCAAAAAACACATTTCCCATAAACTCTCCCTGTTATTTCAAACTTCTACTTTTTTTCTTTCGCTAACATAAAAATGTTTCATTCCTTTACCAGCTGCTATAATCTTGTCTTATCACCAGCGCCCTCATGTGCCATTGAATAATCACCTGTATTTGTGCCACTTCAAACCTGGCAACCCATGTGAAATGTCCAGGATGTAACTGTGAAGAGTTTTAGAGTTTAACCCTTTGTTCACCTCCTAGAAGCAGAGCAGCTCTGCAGAGTTACTCTCTTTTGGCACGTTTTACTCACTGCTCATCTGAGTATTGTGTGAGTCTTTTTACAGTTTCTGGTCAAACTGAAATGTCTTTGCTGATTTTTTTTTTTATATTTTAGTGTGCTGGATTCATGATGACGCTGAAAGGCTTACCCAGCACCTACAACAAAGACCTGCAGGTTTGATCACGCCTCTTTGCTTTCACCTGATGAGGACGTTTCATATATTTCTTGGTGTTTCTTCTTAAATCGATACTTTTGTCATCCTTCTTCAGGAGGATAAGGAGGCCATGTTTGACTGCTATGATACTGTTCATGCTGTGCTGCAGGTGACCACTGGGGTCATGTCAACTCTAAAGGTCAGAGGTTAAATTCACTGTACGCACTAAATCTGATAACTTTGAAATTAAAAATTAGGATTTTAAAGTTTCTCATGGCCGACCTGTCTTTGACAAAAACATGTTAGAGGTTTTGGCTGCCTTGTCAGGCTCCTTTTATCCATGAGAGATTAAGAGAGTTGTAAAAAAGTGCGTTAGTTGTATTTATTTTACTTAAAACCAGAGCAGGCTCAAGATTGTATCTGGAGATTTTACCTAAGAAGCTGGAGGTAAAGAGAATTTAGTATTTCAGCTTTATTTAAGATTAACTAACGATGTATTTACTGTTGTTGTAAACAAGTGTTTTCACTCTTCACATTTCAATAAAGTCGTGCTAAATTTATCCTGTTCCAAAAAGTTACAGCAGCTAAGATTTTGTGTCCCTTAATTTTCTTTTTTTCAGATCAACCAGACTGTGATGGAGGCGGCTCTCAGTCCAGACATGTTGGCTACTGACCTCGCTTACTACCTTGTGAGGAAGGGGGTGAGTTATGTCTACTGTATTTTTTATTTTATCTTGATACGTAAAGCTCCAGTGAAGAATTTTCAACTGGTTACAAAACAGACTGAAATTAATACTGATGCCCCTGTTTGACTTACAACAACTGACTAAAGGCTAAAACAAACAGGATGTGTATTTGGAGCAAATAGGTTCCCATTCTGATCAATGCAGCAAAGCAAACAGGACGCGTATCAGCACCGTCGCAGCATCGTATCAAGAGCAGCACTGCTAAAGATATGCTGCAAGTCTATTTTTGCTGCTCTACGCTTCCGACACGAGTCAATCCACACAGAGTAGATCGTTCTAGACAAGAAGTCAAGCATGAAAACCGCATGTCATCCAGTAAATTTCAAAATAAAATGCCATATGTGGACCTAGACTGTGTATCATTTTGTGTAGATGAGAAATCCTTCCTGGTTCTGGATTTATCAGTAACACAGAACGATTCGATGGTCAATCCCTGATCCACGTGGACCCTGACAGGACTTTGAACTGCTAACTCTGTCTGAAGGTAACAGCACAGCAGAAAGGAACATAGTTTACTTAATTAAACACGAGTAAACCTGCAAAAACTGAAACTTTAAAATCACGTTTTTCACATATAGTAGAGGCTCAACAGTTACTGAATTGTATCCAAATTAGCAGAAAATCGACCACAGAAAGGAAAAACAACCTGTTGTGAGCACGTTGTTTTCTTTATACTGAGCCCAGCTGACCGGGGCTGCACTACACTGCTGCCACGCTCCAAACACACATCCTGTATGTTTTCGGCTTAAGACAAGACCGAAACTGTCAAGGGCAAAAATATGGAGAAATCTGAAAGGCATCTCAGTCTAAAGATTAAAATAGCTGTCAAAATGAAAACTGCAGCCGTGGGCCGGGTAATGGATTTTAAAAGATATTAGCATGAATGATTGACACTATACAAAAAAAAAAAAACTCTGATGATCACATATATTTGTTTGTGTTAATTTGTGTCATTGTATGTTGCAGATGCCATTTAGAGAGGCCCATGGTGTTTCTGGAAAAGCTGTGTTTGCTGCTGAATCTAAAAACATTCCCCTCAACCAACTCACCTCGGAGGACCTAGGCGCTCTGAGGTGACTCTCCTCTTTGTTCTCACACAAACTCAGCAGAAGTACGAGAATTATAGTTTATCCATCAGTTGTATTGTCTTATTATTTTCTCTTCTTCTCTGTCTTTCTCTGTCTGTTCTGTCGTTTCAGCCCTCTCTTTGGGAGTGATGTCTCCTCGGTGTGGGACTACAGGAGCAGCGTGGAGCAGTACAGCGCCCCCGGGGGCACGGCCAAGAATAGCGTTACTGCACAGGTTGAACACCTGAGAAACTGGCTAAAGAGAGAGACACAGTGACCTACCTCACAGATTAGAATCAGGTTTACTGCAAAGTTACAGGTTTACTAACTTAAATCTGAAATGAGAGGTCAGCTTTTTATGAAAACCGTGTTGCCTTCTTTTTAAGAGCATCATGTTCGAGGTTGGTGAGGAATGATTTAAAGGGATATTCCGGCGTAAAATTAATTTAGGGTCAAACGCACCGTAACACCGAGTTAGACACCCCAATGTTGCCGACCGCTTGCTTTTCTAGTTATACCAACTTTAGTAACGACCACACAAACCTCAGCCAAAACGCCACTCTATAGCCACAAATAACGCTCAGAACAGCACCTAACTTCATCAACAGTACATATAGGGTCCCAGTCATAGCACTAGCCACCAAATATCTATTTAACTTTGCCTAATTTCTTTCGCAAGAGACTTAACACAACTCACCTACTCTCTTCCAGCAGCTGCTTGTTTGTAGCAAGACCTCGGGCCAGTCCATTATGGACTACAGTGGAATTTCGCAGCTTAAGAAAGAACAGATATGATCATTTCTTCATGGAAATGCAATCAGACCGAGACGCTAAGGCAGATGAAACACTGTGTCTGCTGTGCAAAATGATTAATATGGTGATTATTACTTAAAGGAAATTATAAAGTAATGATCATGAATGTTCTTCCTTGAGCTGCGTAACCCCACTGTAGTCCGTAATGGACTTGCCAGAGGTCTCGCTACAACCAAGTGGCTGTTGGAAGAGAGTAGGTGAGTTGTGTTTAGTCTCTTTGCTAAAGAAATTAGGCAAAGTGAAAAAGATGTTTGGTGGCTAGTACTATGGCTGGGACCCTATATGTACTGTTGATGAAGTTAGGCGCTGTTCTGAGCATTATGCGGCTATAGAGTGGCGTTTTGGTCAGACCATTGTGTTTTGCTATCCTGCGGTCGTTAGTAAAGTTGGTATAACTAGAGAATCAAGCGGTCAGCAACATTCATCTCTCGAGGGGTGTCTAACTCGGTGTTACAGTGTGTTTGACCTTAACTTAATTTTACGCCGGAATATCCCTTTAACTGGACTTTCAGCTATCATAACTGTTACTAACTCCCTGACTAATGCAAAAAAAAAAAACAATAAACGTTACTGTAACAATATATCACATCCTGGTCCGTTCAGTCTGAAAGTTCACAAAGATCTCCATCACAGTGATATTTTTAGTTTTCCCGCTTGTACAACTGTGAGCCAGCCCAAAGTTTTAACTACAACAGTGAAGCCTGAGAGCTGCTCCAGTTAACTCAACTCCACCACATGTTTTACAATGATCAATTTACTTTTCTTTTAATGAAACTTAGGTGCCAACGAGCTGCACACAATGTAGTCAACCAAAGTTAAACGACATTTTTCAGACAACAGTTTGAAGCAGAGAGTAAGAGTTTGAATGTTTACACAGAAATGATCAAGTTTCATTTGAATATAAATGAAGTGTGGTATTATTCATTAAAAAAAATAAAAGGTTGCAATATATTAGGGTCTCATAAGTTATCCTGAAAGGATTCAAATTACCTGTCATACTGTCCTTTTATTGTTTTATTAGTCTCTGGGGGATGTGGCTCTGGATAGTTTAATTTATGTTGGTTATGTACAAAAATAGCATTTATATACAGTAAAATTATATCCAGTTTTCCCAAGAATAAACAAGCGCACTATTATTTCAGGAACCTCTCGACTATTGATGGTGTTTCTATGTTCAATCGTCTGAGAAACTTTACAAAGAAAAACACAAAAAGTTCATAAATTCACGAGGGAAAACATCAGAAAGAGGGAAAAAATAATCTAAATGTTGTATTCTACACTGTCTCATTAAGAAAATCAGCACAGTTGAAGAAAAAAAGACAAAATAAGTAAATACCTGAAAGAATAAAGGCATGTAAGAAAGTATGAGATATTTTCCCTTCACAAGATTATATTCAAGATTATTTTCTGTAGAAGTCTGACAGTAATTACTACTTCTAATATGCAGCAGAGAAATGAAACTCATGAAAAATTAATGAACTCAACCTAAGTTTTGCAAATCAAATGTGATCATGACAAAGCTAGCAGCTGTGTGAAGCTGTTTGACTGAAATGCTAGAGGCAAAATAATAAGCTCCAAATTAAAGTCTAATCCTGAATATGTCAAGTAGAATTTCGTGTGCTAGCATGATAACATTTCCAAATAAAAACTAAATAGCAAGTTGCTTCAGTTGAGGTTGATGGGAATGATGTTAAGCCTTGTCCACATGTAGCTGGGTATTAGCTAAAACGAATATATTTTTATATGTTTTGCCAAAACGAAACCGCAAGATAACATCATTTAGAAAAGTACTTTTTGAAAACTTAGGCTAAAGTTAAGAATTTGGAAAACTCCCGCCCTCCTTCACCTCTGATTGGCTAGAAGTGCTGGGCTCCGATTGGTTATTCCTTTTGGCTGTGAAACGTCATCATCTGTTGGGTTAGGATTAGGGTCAGGAGATTCAGAGTTTCGATAATGTTCTGTAACGTTCTGTTCGATGTACAGAGCCGACAGCCCGCGCTCGGCTTAAGCGTGACGTTTCACAGCCAATCAAAGGTGAAGGAGGCGGGACCTTCTCCTGCTATCCTACAAAAAAAATTATCGCTAACTGGAGTTTTAAATTCCCAAATGTCATTGTCCAGGATAACTAATAGATAAGTGTCATCTACTAAACGCTCTTGTTTGTGTCAGACAGTGGACAGCACAGATAAATACAGAACATGTATTTTTGTGAGGAGCAAAGGAGAAGGAGAGCTTTGCAGTCGGTTATTCTACACCAAATAACCCGTCCTCCACTTTTCTTGTGTGTTGTTGACTTTATACTCCTAAACGATGCCTAAAAGCAATTCCACCTCTTTGTCGGTCAAATACACGAACTAACTACACCGCGCTATAGTTCATGTTTGGGGAAGTGATGACGAGAAAGGAAGCTTGCTCTGATTAAATAGAAGAGGTCTAACTTTCTGGCAAATACTACCAACTCCTGGCATGAGAAGGGGGTTGGATATTTGTTTATAAAAATAGCCGGCTACGTGTGTACAAGGCCTGAATATTTAGGTTTGGCTCTCACCAAAGAACCTTCAATTTCAATGCTATTTTTATGGCAATTCATCCTGTTAAATTCAAAAATGAAAAGTTAACGTCCTTACCTCTTCTTTTACAGTTATTTACTTTGCACAATAACTTCTCCCTATCATTGCAATCATGATGTTAGCAGATACTAATTTTATATTTAAAGACAGATGACACTTTGTTTAGTGAATCATTATTTACAAAATCAGTATAATATTGTTTCGACATCTGTCAGGTTTTTGTCGACTTAGCCGTGGAGAAAGTTGGACTTCAGAGCTTTCCATTGAAATCATTTGTTGTTACATGTGAGGTCAGTTTATTAGATCAGTTGTCCCAAACACCACAGAGAAAACACAGGCCAGCAGGTGGATCACGCTTGTTAGAGCTGTGCTCGCCTTGGACCGGTACACGACTCTGCCATCCAGAGGCTGTGTGGGTCTGAAGATGTCAGTCATCGGCTGCCCGGTCCAAAACCGACACTGCCGAGTGATCGCATCCAGCTGCAGAGGAGAGGAGGAAGACTAAAGGTGAGTGATTACAGAGTCTGGAGAGTCTTTAAAAGGATAGAAGATGACTGCTGATTAAACATAAAACAATACTTCGCTTTTTAAGTGCATGAAATAAGCCCTCAGGAGTTATTTATCTGATAATGAATTAAACTGATATGAGTGAAGATCAACCTGCTGCTGAAACAGGTATAACTCATGACGAAGATAAGAAAGGCTATTAAAATAAAAACAGTCCATAAAGCTTTAACAAAACAAAATACTCACACTTGATCTTGTTTGCGTTTTATAACATTTTAAATCTCCCCTTTTAGGAAGGAGAGCCTGATTTTATTACCAGTGTGACCAATTCCTCGGCCATCGGTCTCTCACCTGTCGGCTGCTGATGGACAGGGTCTTGTGGAACACCGTCCATGCCACCGCCTGTTCACAGCCTGGCGTTGTCATGGAACCCACGTAACGGTAATAATTGTGGAGCTCTTTCGCTGCCGGGATGATTTCACTGAGTCGAAAGTTTGGGATCACTGTGCTGCTGCCTGAACACAGAGAGAAAGATGGGTAGTTATTTTATCAGCTGGTTTAGTGTTTCTAGAAATGGACCTCTTAAAGTGCATTTCTTCACGGCTGTTGTGAAAAACAAATTTCATCACATAACATTTTATCAATTACTTTCAAGAAAGAATTCTCACACCATTGTTTTGCACACGTCCCAAAGCAGCTATCACTGCATCTAGATGAGGATGATCGTCTGTTGTTTCCTGTGAAGAAGACAGCATCGAAATCAAATCCTAAACTTCATCACTAATCTTGTTTATCTAAAAATTAGAGCATCAACACAAATAGATCTTCTTCCTTTTTAAAAAAATCATACCTCAAACAGGAAAGCAAGCAGAGCGATACCCGCCATGTCATGTTCGGCCTCTGCCAGAGATCCATACGGCTCCTTGATGTGGACTATATGAAGCTAAAAACCAGAACAGAGTGAGAGAGTGATTTAACTCTTTATTCCCCATCTTAAAAATGTAGTGGTCTACTTTGAAGTATGTAAATATTCCAGGTTCTACCAAATCTACATCTACGATTAAAGGGATATTCCGGCGTAAAATTAATTCAGGGTCAAACACTCCGTAACACCGAGCTAGACACCCCCTTGAGAGATGAATGTTGCCGACTGCTTGCTTCTCTAGTTATACCAACTTTAGGAATGACCGCACGATAGCAATACACAGCGGTCTGAGGAGCCATATACAAACCTCAACCAAAACGCCACTCTATAGCCACAAATAATGTTCAGAACAGCACCTAACTTCATCAACAGGACATATAGGGTCCCAGCCATAGTACTAGCCACCAAACATCTTTTTAACTTTGACTAATTTCTTTAGCAAAGGGACTAAACCATAGACTGTGTATAGAATGGGTGAATTGCTGGTTGAATCCACCATGAGAACAGCACCCTCTGTTGACGGGCTGCAGTATAGGTCATAGATCTCACCTCCTCCAGCAATCCCTATGGAGCTGTGGACAAACTCTAGAAATTAATCACACAGAATATAAATGTTTCTCCCCCTTGCTTGTGATGTTGACATGTAGTTACTGTCGGACTGGTTTGTGCTCAAGTCCTCTTTTTTTTGTACAGCTCAATTTTTATAAGTTATTAGGGGGTTCATGTTTTCTATGATTGTGCACTTTGAGATTTGTTTTCAAATGTAAAGTGCGTTACAAATAAAATCTATTATTATTATTATTATTATTGATACAGCCTATGAGCGTTCAGGGATTGCGTCGCTCTCCCGGGGGATACGCTGTTTGAGCCGAGCGTCATCACAGCGACTCACAGCGACTCTCAGCGACTGCGTGGCCAAATGCGCGCATCGCTACTGCGCAGCACTGGTTACAGGAAATGAAGAAACCACAGAAATAATTTCCATGGTTGATCCTGTTCAGTGACTCCTGTTTTCCAATGCAATAAACAGTATCCAGGCTGCTGTGGTGTACCTCCATGGGGAACCGCTCCCCGTCTATGGTGTGCTCTGATCCTGGTCTCCCATTTCCTCCCCAGTGGAAGTGAAACTGGTCGGCTTTGTACAGACCAGGCAGAGCTCCTCCACTCAGTCGCACAGACTGCGGCAGAAGAAAATGAGCTAAAGAGAAAGAAACTGTCTCTTAGGATGGACGCAAAACAAACAGAATAATTCAACATCTGTGAGAATATGTGTGGGGAACATGACACAGCATATCATAGCTCTATTTTACCAGAGTGTCCTTTGTTTTGCACTGTTATGTTGTTTGTGTTGGTGTGACCTATGAAGTCAAAGGGTTGCAAGGCGCTGTTAACGTGAACTTTGTGGGTGACAATGTTAATCGGTGACTGGCGTAATCCTCCACAGCTGGGGAACTGAGCTGCCCAGCGGGTGGGATCTGATCAAGACAAATAAGAGCAGCAACAGTATTATAATTTTATAACAACACACAGTTATGGCTGAACTTGAATGTTAAATAAAGTGTATTTTTCATCTCGAGATAGAGGTAAATTAATCTCCAATAAGGTGAAAAAAAACGTTCTTTTAGCTCGATGACGATCAGGAAATATATGTTTAAATCTGGAGATGACAGCTGGATTTATTTACGGCAAGAAAATCAGTGTTATTATCTCACAAAGAACAAGATAAATCAGTCAGGATCTCTACAAAACAACAATATTTAATTATATTTTGAGAGAATAAGTAGAGATGTATGGGTGCTTGTCTACGGTGTCTTCTGGCCTTGCAGGTCTTTTTTCAAATTTCGACCATTTGACAGAGTAATGTTTTAAAGGGATATTCTGGCGTAAAAATGCAGCGTAACACTGAGTTAGACACCCCCTCGAAAGATGAATGTTGCCGACCGCTTGCTTCTCTAGTTATACCAACTTTAGTAATGACCACACGATATGACGGTAGGGGCCCAGCCACAGTACTAGCCACCAAACATCTTTTTAGTTTTGCCTGATTTCTTTAGCAAAGAGACTTAACACAATTCACCTACTCTCTTCCAGCAGCCGTTTGTTGATAGCAAGACCTTGGGCCAGTCCATTATGGACTACAGCAGGGTGACACAGCTCAAGGAAGAACATTTACGATTATTACTTAATGAAATTGCAGAAGAACTCCCGCGTCTGCAGTGCAAAATGATTAATATGGTGATTATTACTTCAAGGAAATGATAAAGAAATAATCATAAATGTTCTTCCTTGAGCTGTGTCACCCCGCTGTAGTCCGTAATGGACTGGCCCGAGGTCTCGCTACAAACAAGCGACTGCTGGAAGAGAGTAGGTGAGTTGTGTTTATTCTCTTTGCGAAAGAAATTAGGCAAAGCTAAAAAGATGTTTGATAACTAGTACTGTGGCTGGGACCCTATATGTCCTGTTGATGAAGTTAGGTGCTGTTCTGAGCATTATTAGTGGCTATAGAGTCGCGTTTTGGTTGAGGTTTGTTTATGGCTCAGACTGCTGTGTATTGCTATCGTGCAGTTGTTACTCAAGTTGGTATAAGTAGAGAAGCAAGCGGTCGGCAACATTCATCTCTCGACAGGGTGTCTAACTTGGTGTTACGTTGTGTTTGACCCTAAATTAATTGTACGCCGCAATATCCCTTTAACTGAATTGGAAAAATAGATTAAAAATGACCATGCTGGAGCAGACCAGTGTTTTACCAACAGACTCTTTTTCAGAGTTTAACTCTTTTATGGTATTTTCTTTTATTCCTATCGCTCCATGTGGTCTTACCTCTGCATGTGTCATCACAGGAGTACTGGTTCTGGTAACACCACTGGGCTGCAGAGAGTACAGACACAGACACTCTTTATTTTTGGTCAGGACATCTCTCCCCTGTGCCAAACAAAACAACTTTCACAAGTTAATAAATGAATATTTATTCCTCTGGTTTTCACGCTCTATTAGTCAGTGTTTTCCACCAGCTAATGTGTCTGGCTCTGCAGCTGAACTTTGACAGGTCAGAGCGGGCAAAAAACGCTTTCCACTCACATAACACAACGTAATGATTAATGCTCACATCATTAATCCCGCCCTTTAGCTGCACTTTTTGTTGTCTCAAGTTAAATATGAATACTCTGAGTGAACTTATAGGAACCAAACAAGACAAATTTATCAGCAATGACAAAGTAATGATGTATGACAGTCACAAGACCGAGTCAGTCACAATGTGACGAGATGACCTTGATACTCTCGCTCATAAGGACACGTAGTAAAAGATTACACAGGAAAGAACCATTTAACTTAAAGAAACACTGAAAATGTAAAGTTAAAAATACAGAACAAGCTAACTACCACTGTAGCGACAAAGGGTGAATAAATGTGAACATTACTCATTATTTATTATTGTTCTTTGTAAAGCAAATAGCCACAATCAGAAAAACCATCCTTAGTTTTGAGTCCATTACAGGACATATCATGAGAAAACTAAGTGTGAAATTGCATTTCTGAGTATTTCTGCATTCAAATCACAGTGAACCTCTCGCAGACCCAAACGGCAGGTTCAGACACAGTGAGATTTCATACATCACAACTCCAAGCTCCGCCCCCTGAGCCCCACTATGCAGGCCAGATTCGGAGGAGTAGAGAGGACGATTGCGGAACAAGCGTTTGTGTTAGCGGATTGCGATACTCGTAAGAAAGCTAACTATGATATTAACATTCATCATGTCCCCAAAGACATTAGTGTCTGAGAGCTGAATAGCTCTCATGTTACCTGCTTCTTCTACTACACCGACAATGTTAGGCTACACGCTAGCATGAAGAGGAGTGTGCAGAGCAGCGCTGTCTCCGCCCACGACTCACAGGCGAATTGCTAATGAGCTACTGGAGCTCTGCAGAAGAAAAGTCCTTAAAAATGACTCCGATAATGTGATTTTGGCCAAAAAAGTTCATAATCACAATTTACAGACCACTGAGAACACTTTAGGTAGTGAAAAAAAATGATCAGAGTAGGACTTTAAGGTAAAAATAATAAATCGTTAGAAGTTTGATGCATTTGAAAGTGTTTGTTCATGTCTTGTGTGCAAAAAACACCCAAAACTTTGAGTTATTACACCTCAGCATTAGTAAACACATGTGAAACACTTAAGAGTCTTCCATATTGGCTGTCTTGTCATAAAAACTGGTCTGTTTAACCACTGTGGGTTTGTAACATACGAGCTCTGCTGTACTTGCCAATAGATTTTTCCTTGTTTCTTGATGCCAAATGCTAAAAAGCCCAGTCCATTAAACACATATATACAGGCCTGAGGCAAACAGACATATTGATAGACCTGAATATGGTGAAGATGGCAGCCATGATCATAATGCTTTTTAAATCAATGATCGCAGTCGAGTTTTAGTCATCATCAGCCATCAACATCATATAATACAAACCAATGAAAACACTACATTATAACTAATGAACTGATTTTTAATTATAAGTCCTGTTATGATCACATTAATTGGATTCAGAATAGAGTGAATCACTGGCTGGTAAAATTTTTATCCAACACCTGATCTGGCCCGACACCGTGGCATGAAACGCCTCCATCCAACAGGTGCTGATGAAGTCACTTAGTCGTGTATTGTGTTGCTGATGTGAAAGAAACTCCAGTGTTTGACTCCACAGTGGGAATGAAGGGCACTAAAGAGAACCATTTAGCTAATATAAGAACATAGATTAACCCACAATGCCATCCTTTGACGGGGGACAACAGTTCTCACCAACCCAGAACAATGCACAGGTGGAGGTTGGCTCTCCTCCACCTGGCACAGACACCTGTGGGCTAAAACCGAGACGCAAAGGAAAGTCAAACATAAGAGCACAAAGAGTAAAACCACAGAGATTGACTTTCTTTTCTTTTCTCTTTCAGGTGCCCACCGCTTAAAACAATAAAAAGTTTGAATGTTTGACCTCCTGGGTGATCTGAGCCGATTTTCAAAAATGGGATAAGGCTGAATGTGAATGAAATAAGACAATAATTTTCTATGTTTGTGTCTTTTATACTTTGTAATTCTCTAAAGAAGAAACTATTGGATAGTTAAAAGGTTTCACAAATTTGAAAAACAGTCATCTTCTAAACAAGACCGGTGGTTTATCTAGTTGCCTGACATTAGCTTCTTACTTCCACTGATAATATTTTATTTAAAATTGGGAAAATGGTGTTTGTTTGTGATTGTCACTGTCTAAACATAAAAAGTGGAGCATCTCTAACTTGGATTTGTAAAAGTTTCTGACATGATCTGAAACCCAGCAGGAAAAAAACAATCAATCCAAGATAACCAGGGCGATGTAAAATCCCTGCAGTACATCTAAGTTATGCAACCATCTGTACCTGTGGCTGATAGTGCATCTGTTTTCTAACAGCAGATATTAATAATATATCTTAATCTATGATATGTTGGTTAATATAAAATATCTATACTGAATGCTATTTTTACGATGTAATCTAGAGTTTCTGCTCTTTGTTATTGAATTGTATCTTGTCTATTGTATTATATTTGATTTATTGTATTGTATTTTTATTCTTGGGTACTAATTTCGTACCACAGACTGTCAAAGCTGTCAGGTATGACAAATAAAGTTCCTTGAGATAGTTCAGTGATTTGCAAGTATGAGGTTATTTCTTCTATTTTATGATAAAGATACACAGCACCACTATCCAGTTAAAGATTTAGTCAAAAATGTTTACATTCACGTCATCATGTTATCTTGTTTTTCTGGAAATTACTGAATTTGTCAAGTTTTCTTCAGCTCAGAGGAACTTTTTTTAGTCACTACGCCCGGTTATCCCACTTTTGTCTCAGGCCTCTCAGTCTTTCATGAAGTTTTCAGTTAATCTCTTAATCTAATTAGTTTACAGTTAGCTCTGCAATTGGAATGACCTGACACTGAATATTAAAGAGAGCGTGTGGGAAAAGAAGCAAACTGGGCTCATACCTGTGCACTGAGAGAGGAGAGAAAGCAGAGTCAGAGTCAGGAGGTAGACAGAAAAATCCATGATCGGCACAGAGACCAGAGAAAATCCTGATGGAATCGTTTCAGCAGCAGCCCTCACATACTGACTGTGATGCATTTTAGAGGTGGGAGGGAGATCATCATCAGTTTGAGAGGGAGACAAAAAAAGGTCTGAGTGGACCTGGTTATGAACGAGGGAAGATAGACACCTGGTGGCAAAATCTGAAACGCCACCTGAAGACCTCGCTCTGTCTCTCTCTTATCAAACTGAAAGCTTTTCTTAAAATAAATAAATGAAGGATCAAACACATATTTGAGGGCAACATATGTCAAATATTTCACTCATTAAAATCTGTCTACAAGTTTTACTACTTCACAGGAAAGAAAATCATATAAGGCCTTTTTAAGAGAAGTGGCGTCACTTTTGATTTAAAGTATACAAGTAAAATAAACTTCTAAAGGTGTGGTGTAAAGTGATCATGAAGCCCGCTGAACTCTGAGTATAAGAACTTTGTGTTAAATTTTTAAAAAGTGTGTTCATTTTCCTGCTAAATTTCACTCCTCTGTGCCAGGTTTTGACATTTCTGTGTTCCTCAAAGTTGTTTTTTTTTTGGGCCATGGATGAAGACATGGGGCTCTATTTTCGTTCCTCACCGGCGGCATGGTGTAGGCACGGCGTAAGTCAGGTCCGCAAGCACATTTTGGTATTTTGGTAAGCGGCACAGGCCGGCATAAGTATCCCACCAGCTGATTCTGTCGACACCTCCATCTACGACGCCACCACGCCCAGCTTGGCGGACCTCGGTGCGCCTCAGCCCATGAAAATACCGAACTGACAGTGCACCAGACAAAAATACCACTGCGCGGGGTCCACCGCGTCGCCAGTGGGCACGAAAATAGAGCCCATGGTCAACATTTCATACTTACTAGGACCAAATCCAAACTTCAGAAATACCATCAGACTTTGTACACAAAGCGTGTTAATGTTTAGGGTTAAACAAAGACCCAAATGCAGAACAAAAAACTGATTTATTAAAAAGAGAAAATAAAAAGCAACAAGAGAAAAATCCAAAAGGCAAAATTACAGGGCGCAACTGGGACACAGGCGCATACGCACATCCATAAACAATGAACCAACAAAGAGGGGAAGACAGAGACTATATAAACACTGGGAAACGAGCAACAGGTGAAACTCGTAAGTGATTAACGAAGGAGGGAAAACTAGGGAAGTAAAACCAGACTAGAAACACAAGGAATCAACTCCTACAAAATAAAACAGGAAATAAAGACTGGAAACTGACCTAAAGAATAAAACACAGAGAGCAGGAGGGAAACAGGGTCAAAGACTGGACTACAGGGGAACAGGAACACCAGGAGAAAACACACGGAGAATACACTCAAATAACAAAACCAGTGAAAAACCACATCAACAGAACGTATCCTGACATTTAGAGCATACTGCTGTTATAGTTTAACCAAACTGATGATCTGTCCCTAACCAAACTGTCACCATCATATGAGGAATCACCATATACTGTTGTAGAATTTAGATACAAGACTGTTTTTTTTTCCAAGTTAAAGAGAGGATTAAGTCAGCAGCTCTTTCTCACACAGGGTCAGCAGTCTCCTTGTTTGCAGTCCTCTCTAAGCCCTTTGAGTCCTGCGTTAGAAACACTCGTACTGTGTTTAAGTCATGTAATGATTAACTGACATACCGCTGCTTTACTTACAGATGGCTACAGGTCCTGAGTATTCCTGGTGTACCGGATAGAACTGTGATATTATGCAACAGCAGTTCAATAATCACACCACAAACAGATGTATGCTGAAATGTATTTATTAAAATATTAATCCAATATAGAAATACATGTATATTTAAGTGGACTATTGATTACAACAGCTTAAAACAATCAACGCTTCTAGTTTGGTTAAAATAATTAATAATTAATTAACAAGGCTACTTCTTTTAGTTACAGGCATTCGGTGTTAAAGTGACATTGAAAACATCCTTCACATAAATCTGTTTTATCTTCATTTACGGAGGGTAGATTCAGAGACAAACTTCTTCATTTCGGCCTTCAGGCCTTAAAAAGAAAATCTAGAGTGGACTGAAATGTTCAAGTCAGGCGGTTAAGTTTTTGTCTAACATTCGTTGAAATGAAACGGAGAAACAAGATTATCAGTAGTGGCTCCTACACTATAAATAGTGTAATTATGAAAAAACTGCACGTTATGTTTTACTTCATTAACTGTAAGTCTTACTGTCTCCACACACCAAGCACGAGTAAAATCATTTGCGTGAATGAATCTCATGTTAAGTCAATGCAAAGACGCGATTAGACGCTCCTTCTACTCTGGCAGCACGAATGACGTGAATTGGGCGGGAGATGAAAATGTCTCAACTTGAGCGGATATTCGCGTCACGATAATCAATCAGCACGAAGGTTGCCGGGTGACGTATGAAAATGGACGGTTGTTCACTGATATCTAAGATGGAGGACAAACTGATTGCGTCGGTGTGTGGGTGCCCCGAATACCTTTTCTTTCAATTGCCGAAACTGTAATATAAAGGAGCTCGCCTGGACGCAAGTGAGTGAGTGAGGAGGTCGGATTACCTGGTAAATTGTTGTCTATCACTTGATCCTGCCGGTTGAATTGGCAGGGATTACTGTTGACGCGCGAATGAAGCGAGTAAATACTACTCATTCACATGTCTAGATTCGCGCGAATTAAGCGAGTAGATGAGTTTACTCGCGCTTGGTGTGAGCGTCCTATTACAGTGACTTCTTTACATTCTTCTGTTGCTACATTAAAAAAACACACTGTATATAAATGTGTTTTTCAGTCTACCTCATGAGCATTTTTTAATAATAATAATAATAATAAAAACCTGATCTAACGTTAAATGAAAAGTAGCAATACTGCATGAAATATAAGAGCTATGCATGGAAGTAAATAATTACCTTCATGTAAATAAGATGCTTCTGTAGAGGTACAACTTTCTCATGCTTGTTTTTTTTCAATATTGGAACGGATCTTTTAAAATCACAGCTTTCAAGTGCAGATTCTGAGTGAATGTTTCAGAATTCATGGTCCTCTAATCTCTCCCCAGTCATCACTCTGGAAATTCAGAGGCTTGTTGTTGGAAGCAGAAGGATGTCTTTAAAGGAGGTAGTTCTGGAAAAACAAAGATATCATTCAGACTCCCATCAGTGAACATTTCTTCAGCTCAAAATCTTGCTCTTCTGTGACTCACCTGGAGCACAACAGCCGCCACGACAGCCAAGACGGCTAAGACCGCCATTCGTCCTATCCAGCCCAGGTCTACGTTCTTCAGGATGAAGAAGCGGGCCCAGCCCAGTTTCTTGAATGTGTGAGGAGGGTAACGCATGCTGTTCACTCCCTCCATCTTCAGCTGCTTGATGAGACAACCCCGCAGGTGACTCAGCTGGTCAAAGGTGAATTTGCCGTGGTAGCAACCCATACCGCTGTTTCCTGTTCGTGAAAACAAAAGGAGATAGTTGGACTGTGTTGAACACAAACTGACTTTAACTTTGAACCAATTTGTGTGTCAGTAACACTTCTGATATCATCCCTCAAATATCTTAAATTGTTGCTGTCAGAGCGTCACCAGTCAAAAGTCAAAAGACTTTTTTTTTTAAATTTACAGTTTTTGTGTCTTTATTTGTGAGGAGTAAAACCACAGGCTGGACCTGAACCTTCATATTCACAGCTCAGGCTTCGGTGCCCCAATCTGATTTATTATTCCAGTAATTAGGGCTCCCCCTACAGGCCTTTTGAAAGTAAACAGATCTGAATAAACTAAATTAGGGATTTGTACTCACCCACTCCTCCAAAAGGCAGAGAGCTGACAGAGAAGTGCACCAGACAGTCATTGGCCAACAGTCCTCCACTGGAGGTCTCGTCTTTCACTCTCTCTATCAACTTAAGAGGGAGAAGAAGACTCGTGTTACCATAAAGATTTTCATACTTTAAACAGAGAGGTCTGTACTGGTGAACAGTCTGCTGGACTCCTGCTTGTTTTCTGACTCTATCAATCGGTACCTTGTTGTCTGATGAAAAAACGTAGAGGGCCAGAGGTTTCTCTCGATCATTGATGAAGTTTATTGCTTCATCCAGGCTGCTGACCGGTAAGATGGGGAGCAGAGGTCCAAATATCTCCTCCTGCATCACCTTCGCCTCAGGCTTCACGTCACGCAAGACTGTGGGAGCTGAACGACACAAAAACACGCTTTTCATCCAGCTCACCTACTTGATTGACAAACACATCAAAAATTAGTGAGAATCAAAATCTCACCGATGTAGCAATCTGACTCATCATTGTCTCCTCCTTCAGCAACGGTGCTGTCCTCCAGCAATGCCATTAGCCTCTTAAAGTGGCGCTGGTTGATGATGCGTCCATAATCTGAGCAGGTCTTGGGGTTGTCAGTGTAGAATTCCTACCAGGGGACGAATATCAGTGTGTCACAAATACTCTCATAAAGTGAGGAAGAAAAAAAACATCAAAAAATGTCAAGAACAATAGTCTTTACTTCGGAAAATGTTTTGAAAAAGACACCAAGGGTTTTGTACTTTTATGGACTTCTTGACTTCATCAATGACCCGGTCCTGGATGCTGGGATCACACAGGATGTAGTCTGGGGCGATGCAGGTCTGGCCACAGTTGGTGTACTTTCCCCAGGTGATACGCCTATAAGAGTTAGCAGAAGCGTCTCAGGTAAAAGCCGCTACAGCGTATGAGAGCCTGGATGGAAATTCTGCTCTTTCATTTGTCTGACCTGCAGGCGATGCTTATGTCGCAGTTCTTATCGATGTAGCAAGGGCTCTTGCCGCCCAGCTCGAGGATGACGGGTGTCAGGTGTTTGGAGGCCGCCTCCATGATCAGTTTGCCGACTGCGCAGTTGCCAGTGTAGAAGATGTGATCGAACCTCTGGCGCAGCAGCTCCTGCGTTTCCGGCACCCCACCGTTTATCACGGGGTAGAGCTCCTGACACACAAAACAGACAGATGGTCATCGAAATGCAGCGTTTAGTCTCTGACGTAACATTGGGCTCTATTTTTGTGCCTCGCCGGTGGATTGGCGCAGGTGAGGCACAAAAATAGAGTCCGCAAGGCGTATCCAACCACATTTTGGTATTTTGGTGAGCGGCGCAGCCCGGTGTCAGTATCCCCCCTCCCTAACTCCGCTCTTCCCAGCGGCGTAAGTCGTGGAGCGGGAGGAGAGAAGGTGTGAAGTGGCTTTAACACCAGGTTTGAATCGGCGAGCTTTCAGCGCACTTTATATGCTGCCGGCGGGTACGAAAATGTTGACACCTCCCCCTACTGCGCCACCACGCCCAGCTTGGCGGGCCTTGGTGCACCTCAGTCCATGAAAATACCAAACTGGCTGTACGCCGGGCTACGCCAGATGAAAATACCACTGCGCGGGGTCCGCCGCCCTCCGCCACGCCACCGGCGGGCATGAAAATAAAGCCCTTAGTGTTTGTATGTGGCTTACTATATCACTGCAGTGAAATAGAGAATAAAACTATTTGCTGATTAACTGCAAATTCAAAGATCTGATTCAATGTTTATTACTCTCCCTTTTAGGTGTATTTTGTTCAATCATCCTTACTTTGTCAATGTAAAGAGGCAGCAGTTCCTCCATGACCTTTGCAGTGTGAGCGCAGACCTCGGAGGGTTTAATCACAGCAGCGTTACCTGCACAGGGTGGTGAAAAAAAAATGGTATCAGAAGATAGAAAACATGATCCACAGAGTCCAAAAACCTTTAAAAGCACTCTATAAAAATGTGTTTTAAAGGGTTAATTTACTCCCAGTAAGTTTAAACAGAGTAACCAGCATGTCTACAAATTCTAGAAACTGAAAACTGAGACTCTTATAAAATTAAAAACTATCTTAACAAGGTTGAAAACATTTCCTCTGGGTCACAAGACGAGAAATTTGTATGTTACAAAGAGCATCAAATATAACATTTTACAGAAAATCTTTAGTAACAGCTTAGTTACCTACAAAAGCGCCTTTCCAAAGTGTAAATCCTGTATCATTACAACCCTAAAACACACATAAACAGTAGTATTTGGCTGCTTGATGTCTAATACACAATCTAAATAAACTTGAATTCTGGTTTAAGGTTATCATGCAGCAGATTTAAACTGCTGAATCATGTAGAGTTCACTTTTTCTATATGGTGAGGGTGTTGCCAGCTGCCTTTGACATACATCTGATCTTGATTTCTTTGTTTTTATCACACAACTGCACATATTTCAAAAGAAGAACTTGTGGCCAATGACGCTGATACCAGATCTGATAATGTGAGGGCAAAGGATAAAGTCCTTGTTGTGCAAACAGTTACTGCATGGGCTGCAGCCTGACAGGACTCAGTTCATTCAAGAGTTCTCACCATTAACGTTGGAGTCTCATCAGCTTTATCAATAAATAAAGAAATAATCAAAACACAAAGACTTTGTCGACCTGCAGCAGTACTCTTGTGTGTGAAGGTAAACAAAAGGTTTTATGTGAGTACAGAATATCACAACAGACTGTAGAAAAGCTGCTGTGTCATGCTAACAATCCTAAGCAGACTCTCCACACTCAGGTTTGCATGATAAAGTCATCAGGGCTCAGTCAAAACACTGGGACTTGATGCTTGTATCTAAACACAGGGAGACCATTTCAAAGGCTTTTAAAGAAGACATAAATTATTCATGGGCTCACTCATTATCTCAGGACTGGGTTTAACCATGTTCTTTCAGCCATCACTGTCAGGAATAATCCACAGAGTTGACTTACGTACGTTAAAGCGAAAGATTACCTGCTTGTGATGATGAGGTGTGTAATTTTTTTGTCTGATCTTACAATCTCACAGCTCTCTCATGACTGTAGAGTAGAGTTCACAGACTGCCCTTTGGCCCATTTATCAAGAGAGGGTGACATGTGTTGTAATGCCAAGATTAAAGGGAAGCTAAGTTGTCTTGATCACATGACAAAGAACCTCAACGGGATGAAGAAAAAGGACAGACTAACTTTCTCAAAATCTGAGTTTGGGTTGTTTCTGCATGTTTGCTAATCAATCCATGAACACTTACAAACACTTAACTGTGATTTTCTGAGATAACTGAGTAGATCCAGGACACAAATTATGCTTTAGTGTTTCAGACTTCAACAAGAACTATTATTATCATTATTATTATAGATCAAGCTTCATCTAGGGCTCTTTTATTGGCAAGCAAACCGCACATTGCACTTTGTTTCTGTATTTTATCTTTTGCACTCTGTTCATGAAAAAATACTGGTATGACTGACATATGCTTTTCTTTTTACCTTCTAAATCATCTTTAATGCTTTTTAGCTCCTGAACTGTTTCTTATGTAGATGTATTTTATTTTATTTATTTTCTTTTTATGATGTATGGCAGTGTTTTAAATGTCTGTGCCTGCTGCAACCTGATTTGCCCATTTTTGGGACATAATTAAGTTGAAGTGAAGCAAAGTGAACAAGAACTGTCTTAGATTACTGTCCATGTGGAGCCCAATCTCTATTTAAACTTCACCCCAGGGATAAATAACGATAAAAACTGATAGAAATGTGAACGCTGACCTTTTTACATCACACACACACACATAGCATGATTCAGTACCAGCAGCGATGGCTCCAATGAGGGGCTGTATGGTAACAGCCCAGGGGTAGTTCCAAGCCCCAATGATGAGCACCACGCCCAGTGGCTCCGGTTGGATGTAGACTGTATCTGAGACAGTCATCAGGTTCTTCTCCACGGGCCGAGGAGCTGCCCACTCCTTCAGCTTCCTGATGGCTAGGCTGATCTCTCCCTCAAGACCAAGGGTCTCGTACAGCTGGGTACCCACCTCACTCTGTATAATAAAGAATTTGAAAAGTCTGAGCCGACAGACGAAAACGGACTCTATTTACTCATGAGATTTGAGAAGATAATGATTTGAAATGCCTCTCACCTTGTTGAGGTCTTTTTTGACGGCATCTGAAATCTCTTTCTGTCTCTCGGTGAAGAGTTGTTGTAGTTTCTTCAGCTGATAGATCCGGTACTCTAAAGGTTTGGACCTGCCTGTTCGGAAGGCTTTTCTGGCACGAGCCACTGCCTCCTGCTCCCGAGACATACTGAGGGATAAAAAATACTTAGTTTAGCTTTTCCTACTGTAGCTACAGTTAGTCACAATATTTATTTATGTCAAAGGTCACAACTGAAAGACATATATAACATGTGTTTACATACATAACCCAGAAGTGTTCTGCTTGATTACACAAAGAGTACAGCGGTGAGCATACACCACAACAAACAACGTGTATTTAGTTTTGAGGTATTTGGACTACACTCCCATGTCCAGTTTTGTCGTACCTCATAAGTCTGCTTTCTACTCTAACAGTACAAGCTGAAACATTCACTTTTTACCCATATGTATGTATGTATTAAACATTACCAGTATTTTCATACAAAGTAATCATCAAAATCACTGCAAGCTTCCATACATCAGCTGTTGAAATTAAACCATGCAGTGCATCATAACAATGTCTCTGACAAACGGCAAGAAGAGACAGTAACTTTTATTATTGATTGTAATGTCAAGTGTTGTTTTCCCAGTTTTTTCGTCCTCCAAACATAAGACGTCTAAATTTTCCAGAGAACAAAAGCGCCATCATCAACATGTCCAAATTATGAAGTGAAGCTGCAGCCGAGGATAACTTTCATTCCTAATTGATTTTCTGGATAAACATTGATAACACTATCAGTTGTTCGGTCTATAAACATTATAAGGTTGAAAAAGTAGACTAATGAGCACAAATTAACCTAAGGGAACAAGAAGTGATGCTTTTAAACAACTTTAACTATGGATAGCACAAAAACTCTGTCAATTATACTGTTAGACCAAGAAGAGGCTTAATCTTAAAATTAATAATTTGCTGGATTTCTTCGAATAAGTGACATAATTGATACAGAATAATCAATATGTTGAAGTTTATCATTCTATTTATTTTATTAGTAAACTGATCAGCTGTAGACAGGTATTAAAAATATCATTCATCCACATTTCGCTGAATATTTTTGCAAAAAAACTTTGTAAACCTACTGTTCGTCATTTTCAGTTCACTTTGTGCACTATCCTAACTCTCTCCACTGTAGGATATAGGGGAGAGTGGGGTAAGATGAACCATTTTTCATATTTCGGATCACTACATCAAGTCATAGTTTTGTCTCTAACTAGTGTATCTGCTTATTTTTCAAAATGTTGGTCATCCCTGCAAACAAACAGAATAAGTGTAAACATAACTGTCTTGATAATAGAGCATGCCAAAAAAAGTGGTCTTCTATGGTCAACTTACCCTGTGTATGGGGTAAGTTGACCGAGTTGATTGAATATTTGGTCACATGATCAATTTCTTTGACCATTTCTTAGCAACAGGGAATGGCTCAACTTACCCCAGTCTCCCCTATTCTGCTGTACTGCAGCTGACCCTCCCACCATATGTCAGCCTTTTGTCCGTGCACCTCTTTGTTTATATAGAAAACTGTTAAAGAGTTGTAAGAGTGTAACAAGAAACCACTCTGATTATAAAGTCCACTGGGTCAGAGTTGAAGGTGCAGTTATAACAATAAATACACAAACCTTATCCGGTAACGACCTACTTCATAGAGTTCGTGTTACGGGACAGTTAAACTAATCTTTGACTGTATTATTATTGTTATTCAGTATATATCTAATCTGTGAGACCGTTTTAAGGGTATTCACATGTCCATAATGACTATTGTTTGTGTTTGTACAGTTATTCAGCTCGTTTCGCCTCGTCTCTCCGGACGTTCTTACAATAGAGAGTAAAAAACAAACTGCGCAGTTTCTTCTGTGTCTGAAACTCCTACCTGAAATGTTTCTGTTGGGTTTGGTTTGTCGTAGTGACCCCTGGTCCTGATGGCGAGACAGCCCGTGGAAATGAAGGAGCAGAGTAATAGTTGAAGATAAGAGACCGAGAAGAAAGCTCTCCTTCCCCGTTAGGTCACACCCCCACGAGGGGCCGGACCAACGGGACCAACCGCCGCCTCCAGGATGAGCCGTTAGCTACAGCCGTTAGCATAAATGCTGCATGGATACAGAGTGACACTCGAGGCTATTTACCGAGTTTGTCTGGAGTAGTTGCAAATTTTTTACTTTAGTTTCCAAACAACCGTTAAATCGTGGCTATAACTGCATTTAGGCACATCAGTCCAAACTCTTGTTCGTGTTATTATTATAAAAGGCAAACAAAATATCTTAATGACATAAGAAGTTTGAATGGTAGGGGAGACTGGGGTAAGTTGAGACACCCCCTGTTGCTTGGAAATGGTAAAAGAAATCTAGGAGATGGGCATCAGTTCATGGAGTCTGTGAAGGTTAGAGGCACATGGGGTGGACATTTATTTACAAAAAAACATCTCTTCACTCTTGAAAGTGAATTCAGTCTGTCACGAGTTTTATTAGAATTGTATTTAGACCATAGACTGTATATACTCTGGACAACTTGGTTCCGCCTTCTGCCAGTATACAGATTTGAAGCCGAAAAGCTCTCGGTAATTCCGCGATTTTTCTCCATTTCCTGAAATCAACATTGCAAATCCCCCGGGTTAGCTACGCAATCTTCATACGCCTATAGGCTGTAACAAGTGTCAATCACAGAAAAGATGAACCCCCTAATAACTTTTAAAAATGGAGCTGCACAGAAAAGAGGACTTGAGCACAAACTAGTCAAAGTAACTACATGTCAACATCACAAGCAGGGGGGACAAAATGTATATTCTGTGTAATTAATTTCTAAAGTTTGTCAACAGCTCCATAGGGATTGCTGGAGGAGGTGGGATTTATGACCTATACGGCAGCCCGTCACCAGAGGGTGCTGTTCTCGTAGTGGCTTCACCCAGCGAGGCGGCAGACGCTGTCCACTCTATAAACAGTCTATGGTTCAGACCAAAAAAGATCATTTTAAATTTGTTTTATACATCAATTGTGGTATCTATGAGCTACAACATGAGGTCAAAAACCTAGCATAAAAGTCCACCATTTTAGCTTAGAGGACTAAAAAAGTCATAATAGTAGTTCTGGGGTAAATTGAGTCATTGTCTCAACTGAGAAAGTAAAAGTCAACTTACCCCATACACGGGGTAAGTTGACCATAGGAGACCACTTTTTTTTGGCATGCTATATTATCAAGACAGTTTTGTTTACACTCATGCTGTAGGTTTGCAGGGATGAACAAAATCCTGAAATATATGCAGATACACTAGTTAGAGACAAAACTATGATTGCCTTGTTGTAGTGATCTGAAATATGAAAAATGGTTCATCTTACCTCACTCTCCCCTATACATCAACAAATTATCAAAATAAAGCAGTGTAGTTTTTAGTCTGTTGACCTGACGGTTAGCATATGCCACCAACTGGAAGTAGCATTAGGCTACTGAACATCTGAATCAACAATTTTTGGATGATATTTTTTATTTACTGGTGACTCCTCCTCCTGACTGGTGAGCGTGCGCATTGCTTCATTCCCTTCCTTGCTGTTGAACTGTGTGTAGCGTTTCGTTTCCTCCTGAAAGCGCTCTCCTGCTGTTTTGGTTTATTTTCTATCTGTAATTTATCAGTACATCTGTCTGTTTAGAAAGTCTGCAAGTATTTCTGATAGTTTTCACCAAGCACTGTTTTTATCTCCACTCCGGGCGATCTCTCTGACCATTTACTTTATTAGCTCCTAGCTTAGCTTCTCTTAGCTACACTTGCTAACGATGGCTTCCCCCCGGTCGCCTGCTTCTCCTGCTCGCTTCTGCTCAGTGTGTCAGATGTTCAGTTATTCCTCGTCCTCCTTAGACGATAACGATACCTGCTTTAAGTGTAGTTTATTCTTAGCTCTGGAGATGAGGATTACAGAGTTAGAAAAGCGGCTCCGCACCGATGCTAGTGTAGCGATAGCCAGCCAGGACTCGGTAGCCGGTGCGGGTCGGCCTAGCTTAGCCTCCCCCCCGGCGAATCCCGAGCAGCCGGGATGTAGTAGTGGTTGGGTCACTGTGAAAGGGAAGCATAGCAGTAGACCTAAGAAGCCCACGGTAGACCACCACATTCACACTTCAAACAAATTTGCCCCTCTCAGCAACACACCTGCTGAGCCTGACGCTCTTGTGATTGGAGACTCTGTAGTCCGAAATGTGAAATTAGCGAAGTCAGCGGCCATAGTTCAGTGTCTCCCGGGGGCCAGAGCGGGCGACATCGAAGGTAGTTTAAAACTGCTGGCAAAGGCTAAACGTAAATTCCGTAAGATTGTAATACATGTCGGCATAAATGACTCCCGACGCCGCCAGTCGGAAGTCACTAAATTGAACGTGGAATCGGTGTGTGAATATGCCAAGACCATGTCGGACTCCGTAGTTTTCTCTGGTCCCCTGCCCGATCAGACAACTGATGAGATGTGTAGCCGTATCTCATCATTCAACCGCTGGCTGTCGAGGTGGTGTCCGCAAAACGGCGTGAGCTTCATTGATAATTGGAAGTCATTTTGGGGCAAGCCTGGTCTGATTAGTCGGGACGGCATTCATCCCACCCGAGATGGAGCGGCCCGTTTATCCAGAAATCTGGCCGATTTTATTAATCCGAACCACTGACAATTCAAAGCAGAGATCAGGGAGCAGGGCCGCAGTCTTACACGCCCCCTGCGCCTCTTTTAGAGCAGCCTCCCAGCCACTACCACTTATACACAGAGACAAGGGAGCAGAGCCGCAGTGTAAAACGCCCTTCTGTACTCCCTTCAGAGCAGCTTCCAAGCTACAATCAGCTTGACTTAGAAATCAGGGAGCAGAGCCGCAGTGTAAAACGCCCCTCTGTACTCCCTTCAGAGCAGCTTCTAAGCTACTCTCAGCTTGACATAGAAATCAGGGAGCAGAGCCACAGTGTAAAACGTCCCTCTGTACTCCCTTCAGAGCAGCTTCCAAGCTTCTCTCAGCTTGACATAGAAATCAGGGAGCAGAGCCACAGTGTAAAACGTCCCTCTGTACTCCCTTCAGAACAGCTTCCAAGCTACTCTCAGCTTGACATAGAAATCAGGGAGCATAGCCACAGCTCTACACGTTCCTCTGTACTTTTGTTAGAGCAGCCTCCTAGCTACTGTCACTTTAATATAGAGACTGTGTCTGTCCCTTGTACTCGGCTCTCAAATTCTAACCGATCAATTAAAAAAGGAGTAAATAACAAGAACCTTACTAGAATTAAGACTGTTAACATAGCTGAACCAAGTACTAGTAAGATAAAATGTGGCCTACTGAATATAAGGTCTCTAAATTCAAAATCTGTGTTAATAAATGAACTAATCTCTGATCATCGCATTGATTTACTCTCCCTAACCGAAACATGGCTGCGTAAGGATGAATATGTAAGTTTAAATGAATCCACTCCTCCTAGCCACCTAAACTTTCACATTCCTCGAGACTCCGGCCGAGGTGGTGGAGTTGCAGCTATCTACAATTCCAGTCTTAGAATTAACCCAAGACCAAAACTAGATTATAACTCTTTTGAAAGTCTCGTTCTCAGTCTCCCGCACCCAGCCTCAAAGTCCATGAGACCACTGGTATTTGCTATAGTTTACCGCCCTCCGAGCCCATACTCTGAGTTTTTGTCAGAGTTCTCAGAGTTCCTATCCGAATTAGTCCTTCTCGCAGATAAAGTCATCGTCGTCGGTGACTTTAATATTCACATAGATGTGGAAAATGATAGCCTAAGCATTTCTTTTCGGTCCTTGCTAGATTCAATTGGGTTTACACAGTGTGTACATAGACCTACGCACTGCTTTAACCACACTCTCGATCTCGTCCTGGCTTATGGCCTCGAAACTGATGCCCTGTTAGTCAGCTCATTAAATCCTCTATTATCTGATCACTGTCTAGTAACTTTTGAATTTGTGCTCTCAGGTTACTCTCCTCACAACAAAGTCGTGCTAACTAGAAGGTTGTCTGAAAATGCTGTTACTAAGTTCAAGGAGGTCCGTCTGCTCTAAATTCTGTAGTTGAGAAAAACTTTACTGATAGCTCATATTTAAACATCAGTCCCTTGCAACTCGACCAGTTTGTTGATGATACCTCAGGCACACTGCGATCAGTTCTAGACTCAGTTGCCCCTCTTCGACAGAAAACTATTACACGCGAGAGGCTAGCCCCGTGGTATAATGCTGAAACCCGTGAGCTGAAACAGTTATTAAGAAAATGTGAAAGGATTTGGCGCTCCTCCAAAACAGCTGAAGCTCGTTTTCTCTGGCAGGAATGTCTCGATAAATATAAGAAAGCCCTACGACGTGCTCGGACAACCTACTACTCGTCTCTTATTGAGGAAAATAAGAATAACCCCAGATATCTCTTCAGCACTGTAGCCAGGCTGACAGACTGTCCGAGCACCACTGAACCATGTATCCCATTAGCCCTTAGCAGCAATGACTTCCTGAGCTTCTTCAATGATAAAATCTTAAAAATAAGAGGTAAAATTAGTAACCTATTGACTCCACCAAGTGTCTCTCTCTCAGATAACCCTAAAAATGTTGAGGAGCCCCTAAGGCCTCTGGTGCACCTTAGTAATTTTGTACCTATTGACCTTCCTGAGTTAAAATCAGTGGTGCTAGCAGCCAAACCATCGACGTGTCTCTTAGACCCAATTCCATCTAAATTGCTAAAGGAAACTCTTCCTTTGATTAGTACGTCCCTGCTCAAAATGATTAACACGTCTTTATTAACAGGATATGTTCCCCAGTCTTTCAAGACTGCATTGATTAAGCCTCTCCTTAAAAAACCTACTCTAGACTCAAGCTCCCTAGCTAACTATAGACCAATATCCAACCTTCCTTTTATTTCTAAAATCCTAGAGAAAGTTGTTGCGAATCAACTCTGTGATTTTCTCCATAACAATGGTTTATTAGAGGATTTCCAGTCTGGGTTTAGAACCCATCACAGCACAGAGACTGCTCTGCTAAAGGTGTCAAATGACCTACTCATGGCCTCAGACAATGGTTTTCTCTCTGTTCTAGTCCTGTTAGATCTTAGTGCAGCATTTGACACAATTGACCACTCCATCCTGCTTCAGAGACTAGAACAATCTATAGGCATAGCAGGATCAGCTCTCTCCTGGTTTAAATCGTACCTAACAGATCGATCCCAGTTTGTCAATGTAAATAATAAATCCTCTGCACACACCAAAGTGTGCTACGGTGTGCCGCAAGGGTCAGTGCTCGGTCCAATCCTCTTCACCCTGTATATGATTCCGCTGGGTAAAATTATGAGGAAGTATTCGATTAATTTCCACTGTTATGCAGATGACACCCAGCTATACCTATCCATAAAGCCAGAGGAAGCAGGCCAGGTTGCTAGGTTAGAAGCCTGCCTCAAAGATATAAAATCCTGGATGACCAATAACTTTCTAATGCTCAATTCAGACAAAACTGAAGTTCTGGTCCTCGGTCCTAAACACCTTAGAGAGGCGTTCTCTAGTAATTTAGCTACATTTGATGGTATCAGCCTGGCATCCAACCCCACTGTGCGTAATCTAGGAGTTGTATTTGATCAGGATTTATCTTTTAGCTCCCACATTCAACAAATTTCTAGGACAGCCTTTTTCCACCTGCGCAATATCTCAAAAATTAGACGCATATTGTCTCAGAGCGATGCAGAAAAACTAGTCCATGCCTTTGTTACCTCTAGGCTGGATTACTGTAATTCTCTCCTATCAGGCTGCTCTAGTAAGTCATTAAGGACTCTTCAGCTGGTCCAAAATGCAGCAGCTCGGGTATTGACTAGAACTAGTAGAAGGGAGCACATCTCCCCTGTTTTAGCCTCTCTTCACTGGCTCCCTATTAAATATAGAATTGAGTTTAAAATCCTCCTTGTGACATATAAAGCGCTTAATGGCCAGGCGCCATCATATCTCGACGAGCTAGTTATACCGTACTTTCCATCTAGACCGTTACGCTCACAGTCTGCAGGTCTGCTCGTTGTACCAAATGTCTCTAAAAGTAGTGTTGGAGGAAGAGCTTTCAGCTACCAGGCACCTCTCCTCTGGAATCATTTACCGCTCGAGGTTCGGGGGGCAGACACACTCTCAACTTTCAAGAGTAGACTTAAAACGTTCCTCTTTGATAAAGCCTATAGTCAGGGCTGATTTGAACCAGCTCTTAGTTATGCTGCTATAGGCCTAGACTGCCGGGGCTATCTGGCACACTGAGCTAGAATCTGTCTCTATCTCCTCTTTAGATCTTTATGTCCCATATAAGTCACTGACCAGCTTTCTGTCTCTCTGAGTGTCTCTGAGTCTTTTAGCTGCCACTGGACTAATGCTGCAAACGGTCTGCTGCGGAACTGCCTGACCCCAGCTGCATCCATCCTGGGCCCTGAGCTCCTCCATCTCTTTGGCTCTTTGGCTTCTCTGGACCGTTGCTGCAGGCCCTCTTCTCACTACATTCCTCCCCAACCCAGCAGCGGCATGGTGGCTGTCTAGCATGAGTCTGGTCCTGCCCAAGGTTTCTGCCTGTTAAAAGGAAGTTTTTCCTTGCCACTGCTACTCATGTTAGTTGAGATGGGCCAAAACCCATCTTAGGTTGGTTCTTGATCATCAAACAATGAGCGTGGTCTCGACCTGCTCTTGTTCTTTGGAAAGCGTCTTGAGATGACGACTGTTGTGAATTGGCGCTATATAAATAAAAATTTGATTGATTTGATTGATTTATAAAGCTTAAATTAAAATTGTTTTGTACTCATAAATTACAGAATTTTTAAAGCTGGTCCACCTGCAGACTGTACTTGTTTACTGCATTTAGCTAAACCCCAGTAACTGTATTTATTTTTACTTTTTTTGTAGGGTGTATATGGCAACTAAATTTATAGTAGCTTAAGTTTTTGGAGTCCAAATTTGAAAACAAAAGGCCTGTGATGAATTTTTAAAATGAAATACACTGTAGTTGGGAGTTTAACTACTCGGTAGTTATTGGATTTAAAACCTTCACCAGCAACTAACAGCAACTAACCCTCGACTCGAAGGAAAGGAGGAGCATGTACACTTGATCACTTTGCAAGCACATCAGTGGCAGTTTGTCGTCTGTAAGGGTGTGCCACTTATCAGAGCTATGTACAAGTATTTGCACAACAAGGCTCTGCAACATTCATGAGTAAAAGGCATAAAGTTTCACAATTTTGACAGTACTATATACTACTTAATCACATGGCTGCATGGCAATAGTGTGGCCCAGACAAAATGTGTCCTGTAGACTGTTTTGTCCGTGTAACGAGGGATTGTGTAAGTTCAAACAAAAAATATTTGTTGACGTTGAGTTTATAATACATGAGAATTGATGGGTCTTTGTACATAAACACACAGCTCAACATGAGAATAAACATAACACTAAGAGCAAAGATCACATGTCTCTTTTTTGAGAAGATGTCAGTACATGTGGATCTGTGTCAGATATCAGTGAGCTTTGCATCCCCGATCAAACTTTAGTTCAATTTGTATGAAATGCAGACTTATGTAAGGATCAAATGTGTTTTTGTATGAACAGTACTCTGTTATGAACTCACTCTAACAACTTTGAAATGACAAAGTTCAAATTTAATATACAGAAAGGTAAATAAAAACCTTTTAAATAGTTTTGAATTGTACTTTTTGTTATTAGTTCATGTGTTATGTAAGGAACTTTGGATCTGACCACAAATGGACTTGAACTTTTCCTTAGAGAGCATGTCTTGGAGAGCTGGTCTCTTTAAATCTTTGTAAATATAGATTAACCCTTCACCTATGTTAGGGTCTGCACCGACCCGTTTTTGATTTTAAATGCTTCAAGACTTTTTGACTTTGACAGGATCCTCTATTTCAACAAAATAAAAAAAAATAAAAAATTGACTAAATTATAAAATGGTCTTATTAAGAGCATGTTAGGGTCGTTGTTGACCCAGTTAGATCAATATCTAATAATCAGAGCAAAAACTGAAATCATAAGTGCACTGTCAGGCACCACACTGGCAGTCAGATCATCTTCCAATCATGTGAGATTTAGGAAATCCTCATTTTGCCTGTTTTTTCCTGCACAAAAAAAACATGTCCGGCATGTCCAGACATGTGAGATCAGTTCAGTATAGATGTCTGTATGAGGGGTATACTGACAAAGAAAGGCCCAGAGGCCTACTACAAAAACTATTATAAGCAATATTTTCATGGATAATGAAGCCTAACAAGTTAACCTAGAGATGAGAACCAAACCAGTGTAATTTACAGCTGATTTAAGACACGGGTCAAAACCAACCCTCAACATGGTGGGTGCGTAGTAAAGGCTAACACATGAGGAAGGTTAAAGGCCCTAGAGGAAGATGAAGCAGGCTGTTAGTGCTTTGACTAAAAATGTTCTGCTCTGTAACTTCGACTTAGTTGGTTGTTATGTCTGTATATGTCTGTAATTGTTTATGTCTGTGACTCTGTAAATGTACTGCTGCCTGTCTTGGCCAGGACACTCTTGCAAATGAGATTTTTAAACTCAACGAGATTTGAAGTTTCACTCAAAGTCAATTTTAAGACTCATAGACTTGTTTTTGTAGTTGGTTTTGATAGAATACCTCAGTATTCCACCTCAGCTCTTCCTCTGAGCGTTAACATCTATTTATTTGTAACCAAACTGTCTCTAAAGCATGCCTGCTTCCTCTTCATCTTGCTCTACAGAGTTTTCTTTTATCCACGGCCAAGCTGGATTCACACTCAGCCTCTACTTCCCAGATTCATAAAGGCTTTTTACAGTACAGGACACAGGTGAAGAGTAACCCCCTCACGCCGGCCATGCAGCTCATGGACTTGGCCCCAAAAACCTCTTAGGCTGACAGGAAATGTTGATGGATTTGTCTACATCAAACACAGGGCTGAAGAATGGTGTTTGTGTATTGAGGAGGAAGAAGTAAGGACATAGGTGAGGGAGAGGAGGGCACAGCGTCATTCACACCTGAGTGTCGAGCCTGATTTCTCCACACGGAGAGGAGTGTGGAGGGCTTCTTTGTGAGCCCACCTGAGTTGGTGAGGTAAAAATTAAAGCATTCAGGTGAAAAGAGAAGGACAGTTTGTGTATTGTTGCATTTTTTTCCCCGAAAACATCTGGAAAAGTGTCAGCCCTAGGTAGGAAAATGGGGATTTAAGATGAAGTGAATAAGGACTGAAGCAGATGAAAAGCAGAAACTGATTTTGTTTTTGCTGTTTGTAGCCAAACCCTGGTACATGTCTCGCTCTTTAATGCCTGACACCACAAATTATGGCCAGAAAATTCACATTTTTCTGGAGCTGAAATGTTAATTTCACTTACAACTGAAAAACCTAAAAAAACAAAATGTCCTTAAAATTTAACAAACACATTCATTTATCTCATTTGAGAAATTAGATGTTTTTGGAAACTAATAAACTACAAGAGGACATTTTTATCGTTTATCAGACTGTATTCTGGTGTTTTTTTTTAGTAATTTGTTGATCATATTGATTTGATAGATGTATATAAAAGTATGTTTCAAATATGATACAAAGGCATTAAAGGGCTAGTCTTATTATGTTGTTATGTTGTAAACTCAGTTCAGACAGAGCAATATTATTAATCCATAAAGTGTTCTCAGAATTATGGGATAATTATCTCATTTATTCGCGATATTCAAAGCAGACTTGTTTTTCTTATACATAAGGATTATTATGCATGTATTTACATGTGCTATATATATTGAACGATTGCAGGTTTTGGAATGGTATTCATATTTAAAATCAATATAAGTTGTTATAACTGTACTTGAGATAACATTGATGGCAAAAGAAACAAAAGTTGTACTGAAAATTGTATTAAGCAAGTGAATAGTGAAGGAACATGACAGACATCCCATAATACACAGGCTTTTGTAATGTTGCTAGGTCACTCTGTGACATGATGAGCTGCTGCCACCTTCTGGACGTTTTTAAACTAAAGTAGAATCAGAATCAGAATCAGAAATACTTTAATAATACCCAGGGGGAAATTGCTTTGGTTACAGTACTCCAGTGTAAATACAGTGAAGAGGAGATAAATACTAGATAAAATAATAATAGATAAAATAAGTAAAAATATAGAGATAAATAGATAAAATAGATAAAATAAGTAAAACAAGTAAAAATATAGAGATAAATAGATAAAATAAGTAAAAATATAGAGATAAATAGATAAAATAGATAAAATAAGTAAAACAAGTAAAAATGTAGAGATAAATAGATAAAATAGGTAAAAACATAGAGATAAATAGATACAACTAGTAAAAATATAGAGATAATAGATAAAATAAGTAAAAACATAGAGATAAATAGATACAACTAGAAAAAATATAGAGATAAATAGATAGAATAAGTAAAAAATATAGAGATAAATAGATAAAACAAGTAAAAACAAAGATAAATAAATAAAATAAGTAAAAATATAGAGATAATATACAAGTATTTACACTACAAACACAACAAACAGTGACATCGTATGCATGAACTCTCCCTAAAACAACATCAGATTCACAATCATGTTAATGGAAAAAGGCAAAAGCAGAAATATAAAGCAGAAAGTAAATGGTAATTAATTTTGGGGAAAAAAATATCAAAATTTTCGCCAACTGATTTCAGTCTCAATAGACTTCAGGTAAAACAAGTCTGAGTCGAAAGAAAACATGAAATGTCCTTGTTTTGTTATAAAAGAAGTGTTAAAGGTGTATTTTACTTGGACTGTCAGAACTTGGGGCATGACCCTGGCAGCATGTGACCCTGTTTCGACTGCCCATCTATGATTGGTATCGATACATGACTGTCTTAATGTAAGTCATGTGACAGCCAGCAGTTGTCCGGATTATGATCGTGATGGTCCTGTTGTTAATGGTAGTAAGAGTTACTGTGGAAACACTTAACTGCTACTTTAGGCTCATAATCACAGTGCGTAACTATCCAAAACCATTTTACGCTCCACCACGTGATACGGACTATCAAAAACCCAGAAACCCAGCTGATGTTGATGAACATTTTGATCAGTCTGAAGTAATAAAATGATTGTTTTTGGTCTATCTTGTCTACCTTTCTGCATTTTTAATCCTATATCCTGTGCGCTGAACTCTGGCGTTTTGATGTCTCGATCGGTGGAAACGAAACAGACCAGGAAGCAAAATAAGTGGCCCGATTTGTCACCTCTCATTAAAGCTGACTGCAGCCACACACTCCGGTAACTTCTTCAATACACTTCCACCATCCAAACACACACACTCCGGGTCGCACCAGGAGGCAGAGGAGGATGTCCCACAGACTGACATGTCAGAACAGTGTGATTGCTGCTTTTGTTCGAACAATTGAGTCCAAGTGATTCAGAATAAACCTAATTGGACTGCATGACTTTGGAGTCGAAAAACAAAATCGATCGGGTCTCTATATCCGATCAATTCACCAGCATCTGTTCCATTATACATGTTTTTGCACTTTTGGTGGGTCATGCAGCAGGAGGAACTCCGTCTCGGCTAAATGGCCACATCAACGGGTCATTGGGGATCACACGGACGGCCATTAGCCGGACAGCCCTTGATAGGTGTGGAGAGCATCAAAGGCACGCGTTTGCAAGACTCTCCAATATCCACTAAGATATGCACGATAGGGAGGGGTTTGTATGTGTGATGGTGGTGCTGGGGGGTCATTTTGTGTTTGTCAAGCAAAGTATAAAATCCTCGGGTACCCTCAGAGTTCACTAGAGCCGAGGACTTACTGGAGTCAACACTTCTCTGCTTTTGTTTGGATCAGAAGGATGGCATACGGATTGGATTCTACTGACCTGAACATGTTTTTCTCTTCTGAACAATACTGGAGCACTTCCTACAACCTGGATGAGGGCAACAACGACTATTACGCACGGGTCTCCAACCCAGGTGAGTGTCAGGACAACCCAATACATTATGTTGTTGTAAACTAGAGACATTTTTCTATTCAAATCCAAGGCAAAATGTAACATTTGTTTATTTCTCTCTCTACAGTGCATCAAATCGCTCCCCAGAGGATGCGCCCTGAACCAAACCGTCGCCGAAAGCGCACCGCTTTTACCAAGGGGCAGCTGAGTGAGCTGGAGAGGGCTTTCTCTGTCACACAGTATCCAGACATTAAAACGAAGGAGACACTTGCTTCAATAACTGGGCTACCGGAGTCAAAGATTCAGGTATGACATTCTCTCCACACATTAAAGATAATCATCAAAACGTTCTGTGCGCAATTTGACCGTAAATGATATCCCCATACTAGGCTTCAGGTTAATAATATCTATATTTTTCGACAGGTTTGGTTTCAAAACCGACGTGCACGCCATTTCAAGAGCAAGAAACCCAACAGAGAGGTGTCCAGACCCTTCACAGACCCCTTTCACCCTCCGTGCCCCCAGTTGCTCCCTCCTTTCTCACCTTTTGCCAGCTTACCGTCTCCACCAGGATATCCTGCTCCGAGTTTACCCGAATCCACCAGGCTCTCATCCATCCTGGACCATCAGACCATGTCCATGCCCACTGAGACTCTATCCTCTCCCACAGCCCACCAAGCTACAGACTTCTCAGTTTTTCCCACTCGAGTCCCTCTGGATCAGAACACAGATTTCCCTCCCTTCTGCCACGATGTGTTTACGCACGGTGAACTTTCTTCTTGGGATCTGGCGGCAGACTTGGAGGCTTTCCTCGGAGACGCTCCAGAACCTCAGCCCGAAGGTACCCGCTGTGGTTCTGTTAGTCAGTCCGGAACCACAGAGGACACCCAGACCTCGCTGTACCGACAGAGCTTCTCCGGATCTACCAACGAGTCCGTGGACGACCTGTCCGATCTGTGCTTTCCGGAACATGGCGACTTCAGCTTGACAGATTTGGACATTTCAGCAGCAATGATTGATTATATTCTGAGCTGACCGACAAAAGCAAACAATCAGTGAATGTTAGGGGAAGATTTGGTTATTTATAAGAATGTTTGGTAAATTGTAATATTGTCTCGGAAGGGGAAACTTCTCTTGGTTAAGCGGGGATAAGTTATTAACGCACTGTAAAGTATGGCATTAACATTAAAAAGAAACATCTATTGAGAAATACGCACGAGAGTGTTGTCTTATTTAAAAAGTCTGCTTCCGCATTCGTCACACACCACGTGAAGGATGAATTTAAATCCTGCGAAACACATGAAAGAGGTTGTGACAAATACTACAGTGGAATCTCAATGTGACGTCAGCTGCGATGGCCGAGTGGTTAAGGCGTTGGACTTGAAATCCAATGGGGTCTCCCCGCGCAGGTTCGAACCCTGCTCGCAGCGAGTTGAGATTCGTTTTTCATTGATCATTTAAAACGGAGGAACGTGTCCTAAAACACGAAAAGGGTTCAAACTAGTTTTCATCAGCTGACGCAACCTACTAAATATACACTTCAACACACTGTAAGCGGGAGTGCCCCCTAGAGTTCAGATATGATTACCCCCTCTCTGGTAGAGGGGGCGTGGCTTGCGCTACGGTACCTTGCGCTAATGTTTACACAGAGTGCTAGTGCCATTGCTAGCTGTACCAGTTTGATCCAGAGTCTGACCCAGAAGGAAAAGCTCCCGAAGAAATTCCAACTCTGACAGCAGCAGGACGTTTCTGAAGGGTTAGTTACAAATATTATGTGTCTCCATATTTTTCTTTTTACTTTGTATATGTGTTGGTGCACAGTGTAAGCTAGGTAATATTAGCTCCTGCTAACGGCTACATCTCTGCTGTGTTTACATTACTTGGATCGCTTTTGGTGATTGCGCAATATTGTAAGCGCAGTTTTCTCTTGTGACTGCACAAAATAGTAAAACTTATGGCTCCCACGTTAGTTGGGTCGCGGACAGTGAGTACCGATCCAGGCTTTAGCTTCAGATTCTAAGCGAATTCTGCTTTGTACTGGCCCTCATTGAGAAAGCAGTCCGAAGTGAAGTGGTAGGGACACACATACAACATTTTAGGAGTTGTTGTAGGTACATTTCCATCGAAAATAAAATAGAACCTCAGATGAAGAGGGAGATAAAAACAGACTTCTGTGCTGCTTCATGATGCTCGTACCTTCGCCATTTCAAACCAGCGTTTGCGAGGGAGAAAAAAGTATCTGAGTGGAAATTCTCTTGGGGCAATACAAACATCGTGGGCGGGGTCACCAACCTGGAGGGGAGGAGTTATCACCGTTCATGACGTCATGGAAGACGAGCGTTTCAATCTGCCTGTTTGAGCAGACATTTTCTGAAAGGTGGAACAAGAAAGAGAGGGAGATGATAGAAGTTTCTAGTTTTGGGTGGGTTTGTAAACAGGCTGGGGATGCTTATTATTGTTAGACAACCATTCTAAAGTGAATTTAGCATAATATGGGACCGTTATGTTTCTCCATGTTTTACTGTTTTATTTAGTCAGACATTCTGATTTCAAACAGGTCAGATTTTATAATGTGGCAGTCAGAATCACAGAGCTGAAAGTCCTCACATAAATCAATGTTGAATTAGTGTGTCCTTTAACACATAACCACTGACAAAAACTGTGAGAAATGTGTTGAGGTGTTTGTGTTTGGTACTTTGATAAACTTTGTACATCCGAAAATGGTGTGATTGTGTAAGTAAAGTTGAAGTAGTAATGTGTTGGTCCTCCTCCTGTCTGTTTAAAGGGATCGTAACACCAAGTTAGACACCCCCTCGAGAGATAAACGTTGCCGACCGCTTGCTTCTCTAGTTATACCAACTTTAATAACCACAGGATAGCAATACAGAGAGCCACACACTCAACCAAAACGCCACTATATAGCCACAAATAATGTTCAGAACAGCACCTAACCTCATCAACAGTACATGTAGGATCCTAGCCACAGCACTAACCACCAAACATCTTTTTAACTTTGACTAATTTCTTTAGCAAAGAGACAACTCACCCACTCTCTTCCAGCAGCCACTTGTTTGTACGGGCGAGTCCATCGACTGCAGCGGGGTGACGCAGCTCAAGGAAGAACATTTATGATTATTACTTCATGGAAATGCAATCAGACAGAGACAGGCTCTCTGTATTGCTAGCGTGCGGTCATTACTAAAGTTGGTATAACTAGAGAAGCAAGCAGTCGGCAACATTCATCTCTTGACGGAGGGGACAACTCGGTGTTACAGTGTGTTTGACCATAACTTAGTTTTATAATTTTACGCCGGAATATCCCTTTAAGTCCTGTGCTAGTGTCAGAGGGCTGAACACTGTATAGAATTGATTTAAAAGTTGAAATACAAATGAAAATCTCCCATTCTGAGGGACAAGTTTAAAAAAAGAGCAACTCTGGGAAATGTCAGGGGCAGACAGTCCTGACATTTCCTGGAAATTGTCCGGAGTGCACGAGTCAGAGGGGCTGATAATGTCTTAAGATGTGACAGAGTGGCGGATGGTGGTCTGTTAAAAGTCTTTTATAGTTTGGTGTGACTCAGATTTGTTTGATTTATAGAAATGAGCTGTGTTTGTGATTTCTCTCTAAGATCATAAACCCTCAGACAGTCAAGACTAAGACGCCAAGTCTGCTGATCAGTCTCTCACCTCTCAGTCCTTGTCTTATTTCTGTGATGTGACCACCTGCTCTGTCCGACCTCCAACACAAGAACAAAATGTCCCTGCTCTCTCTCTCCCTCTCTCTCTCTCTCTCTCTCTCTCTCTCTCTCTCTCTCTCTCTCTCTCTCTCTCTGTCTCTGACTCTCTCTCTCTCTTTCTCTGTGTCTCTCCTGGCAGGAGTATAGTGTCAAGCAGTTCAACACATATGGTCTGAGTACTGGCGTGTTGCGTTTTGTTGTGTTTTGTTGTGTTTGTGTGGAGCTGCTGCTTGTTGTTCATGTTGTTTTTTTATCACAGAGAGAACAGCAGCTTCATGCTGTTTAACTGTCTGCAGCATCCCTCCCTCTGCATGGTGACACTCAGAAGCCAAAACGAAGAGAAAACAGCATCTGTTATACTTATTTCACAGATTTTATCTCATAATACTTGTCACCTATCAGTTCCCAGGTTCCCTCGTCTTAATCTAACCCCTCGTTCTGGTCTGTGTGACTCTAAATTGGACTATAAATTCATAATACATGTACTGTCATTGCTGCAGGCCATCTGAAGTGACTTGCTGTTTGATTCATCAGAGGGCGCACTAAGTGTAACCGACCACTAAATGGCACTTTTGATTTCAGTGAATTAAAACACTCTAATTTTGAGTTTGGAATGTACACGTTAAAGTCGTGAAGTTGGTGATGATAGCTGTAATGACTTCTGCAGCCTGTAAGGGGCGCTGCCTGGTGTAAAAATGACAGCCTTGTGTTTGTGTTTCAATTGAAGGAGGCGTTCCCCGTTCAGAGAGTCTACGCTGATTACTGCAGCTCACTCCTCATTCTCTGTAAATCCTCTTTCCATTATCCTCTCGGCTAATTTGATGTTAATGTATTCAGCTGCGGGAGGATTTTCACAGAGAAAACACACTTACACACACACACACTCACTCACTCTAACACAGCTGTTTGTCGTGCTTTGTTTAAGTGTCTTTTATAACCACTTAATCAGTAACAATCACGACAGAAATGAGACTGTCTGCTCTCTTTTTTTCCATTGTTTTCTGGCTCTGAAATGTTCCTTCACAGCTCAGTTATGTTTTAACTTCCAAACCTCTAACTTAGTTCACATGTTTTAATACCTAACTACAGTTTAAGGCTGCAGCAAAAGCCGTGTCTGTGTCCTTTAGATATATATCAGAACAAATACTCCCATGCAGTCAGAATATGCCGAATAATTCCCTCGTTTTGCCTGCTCTCCTTATACTCTCAAATCTCTGAGTTATTTATAATACTTTACAAACTTGGTGCACAGTTCAGATGTATTTTTGGTCTGTAGCTCAGGTTTTTATTTCAGCAATAAGAAGTTCATACCTGCAGTTCTTAAAAAAGACCTTTAATGCTGAGCTGCACTTTAAAACAAACACACAATCTTGGATAATCAATAAATTATAATCTCAGATACACAGATGTTGGTGTGATCCCTCTGAACGGCTTGTTTTGGTCACTTTTTCAGACCTAGCTTGAACCTGACTTTAGGTTGTCCTTTGAGGATGATGCTTCAGGACATGCCCACCTGGAGCTTTCTCAAACTTCCCCTTAACAGGAAATTTTGTTTCCCCTCTCTGCTCTTTGCTGATTCAGTCTGTCTCTGTCTTCAAGGCTTCAGAAAACAGCAAAGATTCAGATGTTTTCATGACAACAGCCACAACGACACACTGTAGGTTATGAAAAAGTCCAAGTCCATGCTACCCTCAAGTTCCACCGCATATGGCTACAAAAAGTCCGTATCCGCTGATTGTAGTTGATCGTAACCATTCAAATTAATGGGTCAATTTCCACGGGCTTCTTTCTGTTCTGCTGCGGATCGCCGGACTCCGCAGCTGATCGCAAGAGTTCTATTTTTTTCGGGACACCAGAGCATGCTGGATAAATTCAGGACCAATTAATCCGTGCTGGAAAGGAAGTCGGTCACAGACACAAAATAAAACATCCGGCTTCTTTTCAAAATAAAACACTCCGTATTTTACACCATGCAAATGGGCGGGGATGAAAAAATGAAAGGTTTTTAGACGTCATTTCACCCCGATGACACCATGGAGATGCTGATTCTAGAAGTCTAGAGGTAGATTTCCTCCTCTGGAGGGACACAATCTACTGCTTATATGGTTATGGGGCTGTCTTTATAGAGACAACTTGTTATTGTGCGATTGCACGTGAATCAGCAGGTTCTTGTGAGTTCTTGCGATTCCCACTGTCCGTAATCCGCCACAAAATTCGCCTCACAAACGGATCCGGTAGGAATTGGCGGATGTTCCGGAATCAGAGCCGTTCTGGATGCAGTGGAATTTCAAGGTTAGGGAGAGGAATCAAAAACTGATTCCAGACCTGAACAGGTTCCAACTAAGTTCCAGCCATCCATATGATTTACCTTTGTGCTGGATGGTTCCCTTCCATGTAGGTCCATGTGCTGGGATAGGCTCCAGCCCACCCCCGCCCCCCAAAAGGGATAAGCGGTATAGAAGATGAATGACTCATGAACCGACATCGGCATCACATCCATTTATAGAACGTTGAAATTCTTGAAAACTTCTACACTCCGAGCTCTTCTCCCTGCTCTCCTCTCTCCTCCTGCTCCTCCTGGAGGATCCACAGGAATTGATGAGAGAGTAAGTCAAGAATTGGATGTATAATCAGGATCAAAAGTTACTGTTGTTCATCTGAACATGGTCCTTTTCAAATCAGGAAAACATGAGAAAAAGAGATTTTATCAGAGACGGTGGAAACAGAGGTTAATTTTGGACAGTTTGGCCTTTTGCTCTCTTCCTGTAAAACATGTCAGAAATGATGTTTGTTTACAATCAAACAGTGATAAAAATCCAGTAACTCAGGCTGCAGCTTCAGGCCGAAGCTTTACGTAACATAAAATCCTGTAAAGCTCTGCGTGTTTTCATCCGTTTACCTCCATTCATTATGGATGATAAGTTTTTAGACTCACAGCGTCTCCACCGGCTCAGAGAGGACACCGTGACTACCGCCATCCCCACTCTCCCTTTGTGTCTCTCACCCACTCTCTCTCTCTCTTCTGGCGGCGTGTAGAGAATTGAAGTGGGAACGAGAGAGGGAAACATTAACAGTGAGAGGAGGGAGGAGAAAGAGAGAGAGAGAGGTAGACAAAGAGGGAGAGACGGGGTAGAGAGAGAGAGAGAGCGAGAGGGAGGGAAGGGAGGCGGTGGGAGCGTGTAAAGGAGGGCGTCTGACAGAGATGAGAGTATTTATAGGTGGAGAGATGAGGAGATAGGACGACACGGAGGAGAGGAAAGGAGAGAGAGAGTGACGAGAAAGAGAGAGAGAGAGGCACAGATACAGAGAGAGAGGGAGGAAAACCAGACACAATAAGAGGAAGACAAAGAGGAGGAGAGGGCGAGTGAGGAACCATGCTGAGGAGGAAGAGAAGTGTTTCGTTTGGAGGCTTCGGCTGGTAAGGGTGTGTGTGCGCGTGTGTGTGTGTGTGGATAAATAAATGGCAGGATGATCTCGTCATTCACACTTTCGGGGTCTCTGAGTTCATTTCTGGTCCGAGCGGCGCCTGAGTGACATCACTGTGACATCACACCCCCCATATTTATGCAAATGAGATGGTTGTTGTTTGTTGATTTTAGGTAGTCAATCAAGAAGGGAAATCAGATTAAAAACACCATTTAGAGTAAAATTAGACTTTTCTTGAATGGGGTTTGGTGAGTAACATTCCCGCTTTATAACAGCTGATCTGCTTCGTTTACAAGAAAACCAGAACAATGTTTGTCACTTCTCAGTCCGGCAGACGTTCGTTTGTGCATGCTCGCTGCAGCCTCTCCCTCTCTCTTGTTGTGCTCAGTCTGTCCCTTGGCTTTTCAGACACACACACAGATACACACTTCTTCCTCTCATAACATAACAGAGGCAACTCAGCAAGTGGCACAGTACTTGTCCAACCTTAATTATCATGTTTTGATGATCATTTGGGGGCCTGCAGTATTTACCCCTCTTCCTGTAACAATAGTGAGTCCTAAGAGACAGTTACGGGGGCGTGGCGCACATGCATTGTCCGATCATACTCCAACTACGCTGGTTACATGGTAGAGAAAATCGAATTCCAATCCCATTATTTGGGTGTCTTAATCCAAGTTCTCCGACTCCAATCAGAGTTCTCAAACTCCGGTTGTAGTCGGACTAAGCTGCACTTCAGTTGTCCGGTCTTAATCGGAGTAAGGCAATAATTTGGTTTTCTCGAATGTCATGTAAACGTACTGACTGTGAGTTTCCTTTTCTCTGAAGTTTAACTCCTTTTTTCTGTAGATAAACAAAAATGTTGACGACCCAATTCCTTCTTTGTACGCCAATTACGCCAATTACTGCCACCCTTTGCCTGCGCTCATTCATCCACTTTTGAGGTGAAATCACCCATTCTTACTGATGAAATGAGTGCAGTGAGTGTCCACAGTTGGATACTCAAAATCTTGACTGATTTGAGTATGTCATCCGGGTACTTTTGCTGACTCAATTTTCGCATACTATCCATACTTATTCCTATTTTGCGTTGAGTATACTCAAAATTTTAAGTATTTAGTGCTGGAAGTATGCGATTTGGGACACACCATAAACCTGTAAAGTTGTTTTTTTTTTTAGCAATTGTTCCAAGATAAAGTATATAAAAGTAAACGGTTGCCATGACAACAGCTCTACTCCACATACTGATGTGTCTGACCTAAATTCAACTGAATTCGGCGTTTATATTTTGGATGATATTTCAGCAGTTTGGTGGTGTAGAGAGCCTGAGACAGGATCAGAGGTCAGAGGTCACAGAGCTGTTGATTATTGATCAGGCGGTCACTGATTCTCACGCAGCCTGTGTTTATATTCAACTCTTTAGCATCAACACTCTCAGATAAATCTGAGGCCACGCGGGCTCTGATTGGCTCAGTTGTTTTTTCATGAGTCAGTGAACATAACACTGCACCTGTCTGACCCCTGACCTCAGGTGAGGGATGCATGAGGCCCCTTCTTCAGAGCTTTGTTTGAATCTCTGCTCAGAGCTGTTGTGTTGTTTCCATCCGTGGTAGAAATGTTGGAGAGTTAAAGAATCAACACGAGAGAAAAAGCAGAAGACTGAGACTGACAGCCGAGCTCTAACTTCATTTAGATCTAGTCTGTGTTTTAGAGATCAGTGACTCCTGACCCTTCAGACGCCAGAGAGAATCATGTGAGTGTGTGTGTGTGCATACTGAGAGAGTGGAAAATCTTGCACTCCCCCCTTTTCAATCATTCACTTTCTCTTGTTTTATCTGTTAGCCTCGTTTCTACCTTACAACATACATGCAACAGTCCTCCCTTATTCCCTTTCCTACCACCTCGTCTCCTGTCCTGATTTACTTCTTGAGGTTGTTACGTCCTATAGATTTAAGGTGAGGTTGGCAGGAATCCGTTAAAGTAGCATCTTTTTCGGTGGTGTATATACAAAATAGCTATTAATCATTGATGACATTTGGGAATATCACGATATCGCTGTGTTTTGTTATGTCTGTGTAGTCAACATTTTACATTTCTTGAGCGATCCGCTCTTTCTGACTGTAAACAAAGCCATTCCCCGCCTCCCCCATCCTGATTGGTTGTGAGGTGGACGCTGCTCCCCCGTGGCGTTCAGGAGAAACAAAGTTAATGTGCTACAATATCGGACAGTAGAAACCAACCAGAAAGTTCGGAAAATTGTCTAACTCCTCCTTTGGCCACGACTGCCAACACAAGCAAGAAAACGTAAAAAGTAAATACAGGAGACTCTGGAGGAATAACGGGCGCTTAAAACGGATGTAGACGGGACATGAGCTAAAAAAGCCAGGTCAACATAAAACGATGGGGGACTTCGGGATCTTACGGACCCTGTAATCTTTCTGTTGGACAGGTAAACAGCTTTAACAAAGTAAGCCAAGTGTCTGTAACAGAAGTGTTTCTTGTCATACGGGACCTGCTGTAGCGTGTTGTAGCGCTGCTAAACTGTTGACCTCGGGTCCTGGACTATGTCACTTTATCCTAGTTGTAGAAGTCCTGCAAACATTGTGTTTGCTGGTAGTCTGTTGGCGTCTATAGTAGCACTAATGCTTTTTACTTTCACCTTGATTGGGCCCCATTTTTAATTATCTGAAGTGTTTATCTGCATTATATCTGAATTTAATTGGAACGATACGAGCGAGCAGGAGCGTCTGTTTGTGGGTGGGGCTTGCTGGAGCAGAGGGGGAGGGGAGAGGAGGAGCTGAGGGGACAACTGGTTGAGATGGATAGAGTTTACATTCAAGATTTCTCTCCAAAATTGGCACCTCCTCAGACCCTGACTACCCCACCTTTAAAACTGAACCCTGCAAAATGGAAACCAGATAGATGCATGATCCAGAATAACCAAAGACTTCTCTTGAGCCCATGTAAGGTGGACCGAGGGGAAGGGGAAAACTGTCCTTTGGTCTAATGGATTAAAATCTGACGTTTTTTTTGGAAATCACGGATTCTGCATCCTCCTCTCTGTAGAGTAGAGGGACCACCTGGCTCCTGAAATCCTCTATCAGGCCAGAATGGGACAACATTTGACTTTCAGACTCCAGAACTTGGTCTTCTGGGTTCACTAAGGTCTACAGAGGATTGGGAAAAGAAGAGCTGATGACCCACGAAAAGATGTTTTGGCTTCCTTCTTCCTTTCCTGACATCCTTCAGTCCCTCATTCATTCAACCAAAACGTCTCCTCAACTCTCAGCGGACCTCAACCTTCTTTTCTTCCTTTCCTTGCTCCCTTTTTCCTTTCATGCCTCCTTATCACCTTGAACACCTCCTTTCCCACCTCCTTCTTTCCTTCTGTTCCTCCTTGTATATCCTCTCTCTTTCCCTCCCTCTATACCTGCTCATTTCCTTCCAGTATGTCCTCTCTTTAATCTGTTTTTCTTACCCCTCGAGGCTGTTTCTCTCCATCTGTACCTCCTCCTCCTCCTCTCCCTTCTCTCTCTCTCTTCTCTCTGTCTCTATTTTCCTCAGTTATGATGAAGAAGCAGATGGTTTGGCGTCACAGTTCATCTTTCCATCCTCTCAGTGTTTACATCAGTCGGCTAATAGAGTTGCAGTATTTAATAATGCAGCAGCAGCTTCAGGGCGGCTGCGCCAACACTTCATATTAAACCTCCACCCCTCCAATAACCTCCACTTTTCTCCTCCTCCTTATCTCATCCCTCCTTCAGCTCACAGTCTAATTCCTCGATCTCTTGTTGAATTAAAGCCGAAAATGTTTTATCAGCACTTAAATGTAAATCACTTTAACTCTGCTGATATTCCTATTAATGTTAATGGAGTTGTTATATATATTTAAACTGATGTTTAATCAGAGACAGTGTTAGTTTCAGTGAATCAGAGGATGTTTTTTTAACGACTTTAATTCTTCGAAAAAGTGTCTGTTATTTCAGCAAACTGAGAAGCAGTAAACAAGACAAACAACAGAAAATGCGTTTTTTAGGCCAGAGTTGAGCTTCTCTGCCTCTTACCATCCCACACTCACTTACAGCGAAACTGAGACTCACAGCCATAGACTGTTTATAGAATGGACGCCGTCTGCCTCCACGCTGGGTGAAGCCTCCGTGAGAACAGCACCCTCTGGTGACGGGCTGCAGTAGAAGTCCTCCAGCAATCCCTATGGAGCTGTGGACAAACTTTATAAATTAATGACACAGAATATAATTTTTTCTCCCCCCTGGTTGTGATGTTGACATGTAGATACTATAAGAATGGTTTGTGGTCAAGTTCTCTTTTTTCTGTACAGCTCTATTTTAAAAGTTATTAGGGGATTCATGTTTTCTATGATTGACACCTGATAAAGCCTATGGGCGTACGAAAATTGCGTACCCCACCTGGGGAATACGCAGCTTGAGCCGAGTGTCATCACAGCAACTCTCCCGCTAAATGTGCACAACGCTACTGCGCAATGTTGGTTTCAGGAAATTGAGAAAAATTGTGGAAATACTGAAAGCTTTTCGGCTTCAAATCAGTATACTGACAGAAGGTGGAACCAAGTTGTCCGTAGTATATACAGTCTATGCTCGCAGCACATAGATAAACGTCAAGTCATTGTAAAGCCGTTGTAAAGGTATTGATAACAGTGAAACTGAGACTTAGCTTGAACAGATAGGCAGTAGATAGTGAGCCATGAATCAAGTCAATTGTGCCAAAAATATGAAGAACCTTTTTTTCCTCTCTGTTTAATCAGAACAGACTTAAACAAACTTTTATCTTGATTCTATATTTTCCATTTTCTGCACAACCATCAAAACAAACAGTGTTTGTCCAGAAGTGTAAACATTAATTAACCAATCAGGAGCCAGTATTGGTGAAGCACCTGTGATGAACACCTGTCCCTGGTTGTGTTCAGGTTAACGAGTTTAGAGCAGGGTTGATTCTACTATCGGCCATCTTGGTTTGGTCATGTGGTTTCTGGGAGAATATCTTCAGTCTCCTCTGGGCAACACACCCAGGAGTGTGTGTGTGTGTGTGTGTGTGTGTGTGTGTGTGTGGTGTGTGTGTGTGTGTGTGTGTGTGTGTGTGTGTGTGTGAGCAGATTTAGCAGTATAAATGTGTTATTTATGACCTGAGGGAGTTGAGTTTTCACAGAGTCATCGTACAGACGGGCTTTTAGCTTCATGGTCGCTCTCTCTCTCTTTCTTCCTCTCTCTCTTTTTCCATCTCCACATCCCTCCTCCTTCTACCTCTCCTTCTCCTCCTTCTTTCTGTTTCTTCTCCTTCTTCTCTTCTTTTCTGTCCTCCACTGTCTATTTCTCTTTTCTCCTCTTTTGTTTTGCCACTGTTTCCTTTCCTTTCTTCTTTCCTCATGTTCTTCCTTTTCTTTACCCACTTTCCTTCTGTCTCATTTTTACTTAATTGCTATATCCTCCATCCTCTCTTTCTGTGCTGTCTACTCCCCTCTATTATATCCTCTCCTCCTCACTTCTCTCGTTCTCTAACCTTGCTCCCTTCTCATTTCTTTTCTCCTCTCTCCTTTTCCTTTCCTTCCTCTCTTCCTCTCTCCCTCATTTCCTTCCTCACTGTCTTTATACCTCTTGCCTTGTCTCCTTTTTTTTCATCCTTTACCCCCCTTTTAACTCAGTATAGAGTCATGCAGTTGTTAGAAAACACACTAGCATACTAACACACACTAACAGGTGTTAGATACTTTTATTGTTTAAGATTTTAACCTTTTATTTTCTTATTTTTTTAACTTTTTTTCAATTAGATTTATTAATTCAAGTCTTGTCTTTGTCTTTATTTGAAAAAAATATATTTAACTTTTAGAAAAGTTTGTATCAGATTTTTAGGTAAGGGTCAGGATATAATGTTAATTATAAAAAAATAATTTTTATTCTTTATTCCATATTTTTAAGATCTATTCTTTTCCTTCATCTTTTTTTAAATTTGGTTTTTAATTATATTTTAGTCAAAAATTATTTGAGGTTTATTTAATTTATTTTTTTCCCTTTTTTTATATTACAAATATTTTATTATTTTATTTTATTTTTTGTAACAAATCTTCATAGTCTGTTTCTTAGGTTTCAAATATTAAAATTTAATGTTTTACTTGAGGTCTTTTTTATTAGGTTTATTTGTTTTTTCTTAATTATTTTAAATCAGATTTGAATATTTTGTTTTATTTCAGATTTTTAACATTTATTTCATTTTTGAAATGTAGATTTTAATTTCTGGTAATTTTGTATTTATGTTAGATTTCTTGATTTTGTATTTTATTTGAGATGATGGGATCTAGCTACTTTTTTTTTCAAATTTCTTGGTTTAAGATTTTTATTCACTTTACTGCAAACACTGTATGTGTATGTGTGTATGATTGTGTGTATGTTTGTGTGTGTGAGTGTGTATGTGTGCGATGTAAATGTGTGATTTACTGCAGCACTTTAATAAAAAGGGTTTTTATTGCAGTGAACCTCTGAGATCACACCCTCCCATGTCTCTCTCTCTTTCTTTCTCTCTCACACACACACACACACACACACACACACACACACACACACACACACACACACACACACACACACACACACACATTCACTATGGTTAATGAGGTGTTCAGGTGTAAATCTCTTCCCGCTCCCCTCACTGTGTTTTAATGTTCTGACGTTATCAGAGATCTTTACTGTGACACATGTTAACTGCATGTCTCTCTCTCTCTCTCTCTCTGTCTCAGGATTGATAAGTCTACAGTCAGCGCTCTCAGAGCTCGGTGAGTAAGAGTTACTCCTCTGATTCAGACATTTTACAAACTGAAAAACAGTCCGTTGTTTTCATGTCTGTTACCACATTTTAAACTGATCAGCCAGATCAGTAGAGTGTCACCTGTAAATCTATGAATCAGGGACTGGGAAAATTCACAATGTTGTAGGGTATTGTACAACCACGAGTGACGTCAACTCAACTTGTGTTCATATTTCCCACTTTGTAAAAATGAGAACAAGTTTTCCAACCACTTTCTAAATTTGACAAAGCACATGAATTTTACAAAAAAAAAACAGACAAATAAAAGATAAATTTCACAGTAAAAGCTGTGAAAACTCTGACAGTCCACCTCCCAGACAGGGCCACCTCTGTCCAAGTACAGCAAACACATTTCACAAATTACTCCACATCTACAAAGGTTGTGTGATCCGGCTCAAGTTGTTGTTGATCCATCTTACCGTGCCAGAGCACGACTGGATCCTCCTTTTTTTCTCAGGTAAACTACCTCAAACAGAAACAGAAATAATTGTCCACATTAATCATTAATAAAAAGGTAACGCCCATTAATAAACCTTGAACAGATAAACAGATCAGGGCGATAAAACTTCAGCAGGCATGAAAATCTCTCACCTTTCGGCGGAATTTGCCGTTTTGAACTCAAAAAGGGTGACCTACGTGAATCGTGTAGATCCGAGGAGAATTTTTTTTAGGGGGGGGGGGTCGGGGTCGGGAGATTTTTATTATTATCATATGATTGACTCAATACGTAAACTGAGCGCTTCAGAAATCGGCCCTTTAAATGACACTTGGACGGTCAGCAAACCCTCCTGGCTCCTTCGCTGACGAGAACCAATCATAGGCCAAACTGCGTTCCATTATTCCAATCATGCGCACACTCTTCACGTGTACTTGGAGTGCTTGGAGAGCCTGTGGTAGCATTGCAAAGCTGCGAGAACGAGAAGCAGGACACCACGCCGGTGTTGTGCCGTAGATTGCACCCCTGCCGTAGAATGCCACCCTGATGGGAGCGCGGTTGAAAGTACACAACAAGGCGAAATAATCCAAGTTTTGAGCCATCTAAAATAGCGAAAGCGGGCGTCTCGCGTTTACTGCTCTGCAAGGCTCTCAAGTCTCACGCATTCAGCGTGTGACACACACATTCCCACCCGTTCACACGCTCACACGCCACACATTGTATTTCTCACGCATTTATGTGAACATGGTGATGTCCACAAAGTTGCACCTCTGTAACAATTGAACAGGTAGAAATCAAGTGAGTTGATCCGAGAGTTCAGAAGCTGCGTGCCACGCGCAAGCCAATCAAATAAAGTATATATACTGAACAGCCAATCAGAAAGCAGCATTGCTGTATCCGGGTAGATTTTGATATCTTGCGGTTTGACTACAGAAGACAGACACTCGCCGAAATAGAGCAGGTTTTTATAAGGACGAGAAAGACCCGATGATTACAGTAAGTCAGTAACCTACACATGCAGAGACCTCAACACCTCATGGCAGATAAACTCATATGATAAACTAAAGCCCTATGCTATTGCTATTAACAGCTGTATTGACGGATTTAGCCTCTGTACAGCCATTTCCAGCCATTCTCCCCTCCACAAAAGCAGCATTTCTCATATATTCTTTTTAAAGTTCTGACAGTGTAACGCTCATGTACCAAAGGATTAAGTATCTCCATGTTTGTGAAACCTATACTAAAGTACAATTCATCTAAATGCTCCTCCGTGCTGATTTTAGCAACTCTCCTCCACAACAGGTAACTTTAGGACTTTAGTCTTATATATTATTGACTTTATTTTCCTAAATAATAACTTTATTGTCTAAGATTTAATACCGTTTAATGTGGCCCTCATACTCCGTTGTATTTAAGAGATTATTATACTATTATAGTAATAATTATCTTCAACCCCCGCTTCTCACCTTTTCAACCCCTGACCCATTTTCATGCCTGTTCAGTGTTGAGCCACTCAAAACTTTTATGCCACAACAGCACCAAAAGTTTAATTTAATACACCAGTAGTCCAGAGATCTGTTGATGTCTGGACGTTAATTTGAGAATAACTAAAAGAGAAATCCTCAAGTGCAACATCAACAGCATCAACTATCATTTAAATACGTCCTTTATAACAGGAAGTCATTAAAAACTTACTGTTAGGTGTTTACATTAGTGCCCGTTGACTAATAAACCCAGCCTGTAGGCGTCCGTCTCTCAAACAAAGACATTTATACAGTCCATCAGAGCCAGCTCATAATTCCTCCTTTATGATGGACATGAGGACACACATGTGACTGATGAACGAGTGTGAGAGAGCCTGAAGGAAGGTGACCTGTCTATCTGTGGAGATTTTCCCTTTCGGCCTTTTTCCTTCTGATTCACAATTTATCATCCGTCCATCAAACGTCTCCCCCGTACATCCTCCATGTCTCTCTCCCTCTCTCTCTCTCTCTCTCTCTCTCTCTCTCTCTCCCTCTCTCTCTCTCTCTCTCTAGACTGTCTCTGTTGTTTGTTTCCCGACATCACTCTTACTTCAGCTCTACCTTTGGTAAAAATTGTCTTTTTTAAAGGTTTTTTGTTTTTTATTGGTGTGTACTAAGTAGAGCTGTTACATCCTTGTCCACATAAATACCAGATCACACTGAGAAAATCAGTTTTTTTAGGTCTCTTTCCTTTTTCACAGGACAGTTTTGGTCCCCAAAACATGTGGCCATATTTCATAATTTGTCATTTTTGATAGACATGGCTTTGTAGCCTGGCAACATTGGGGGAGGCTTCCAGAATGCTGGGTTCTGCAGTTCTGGGTTCAGGGACTACTGTGTAGTGCTGGACGATAATTCGATAACAATATATATCGATCGATAGACGTGTGGTGCGATAGAAAAAAAACAGGTCGATAAAAAGTTCGATAGAAAAACACAGTTTCCCTTTCTTTTTCATCATAGCCTATCATGTAGCTTTTACTACAGTCATTACTTCCTCCTAACCAATCACAAACGCAGACCCAGGTACGCTACGGCACCAAGCCCAGCCCCTCTCAAAGCACAACAGACAGCACGTGTATTAGAAAAAATGATACAGCAAGGAGAAGCGGAGGACATTGTCCCGAAAAAAGGTTTCAGTAGTTCACCAGCATGGCAATGTTTTGGTTTTTAGAAGTCTGACAAAAAGCAAACAGCGGTCGTTTGCAAAATTTGCAGAGAATTAGTAAAAACCAACCCTGCTTCTCGTGCTCAGTTTGCGTATTAAGTCAATCACATGATAATTAAAAATAAATAAATCTCCCGACCCCGGGAGAAATATTTCAGTGTTCAGACACCAGGCTGTGGGCAGTTTCCCACACAGTTAAAACTGGTAGTATGCTATTCCCACCTAAAGCTATTCTGTTTATTTATATATTTGTTTGTTTTGTTTATTTTCATCAAAAGACTATATTTATTATATATTTATTTATCAGATTTTCTGGTCACTTTAGTCTTTATGTTTGTCAGTATTTACTGACGTCACTCAGGCCACTTAAGTTGATTTCTTTTTCTTTTTTAAAAAAACTTTCAGTTGTAGTAAAAAGAAGGTGGTTGAATAAAGGTTTAAATTTGAATTCAGTGCTTGTGTGTTCTTTATTAAAAGTAGGTCATTAAGCAATAGCGTAAAACATCCAGGGCTGCAATTAAAATATATGTTAAAATTTTTTTGATAATCATCGATATCGATCAATATGACTTATTTTTTATCGATATGCTTTTTTTCTATATCGTCCAGGCCTACTACTGTGTTCTGGAAAGATTGATTAAACATGTTGAGATTTGTAGTGCTGGGTTCCAGAGTGAGTGGTTCAACAGTGCTGGGTTAGAAAATAACGCTTTCTACTAAACTGGGTTCTAAAGAGCTAAGCATAGACTGTATATAGAATGGACGCCGTCTGCTTCCTCGCTGGGTGAAGCCACCATGAGAACAGCACCCTCTGGTGATGGGCTGCAGTATAGGTCATAAATCCCGCTTCCTCTAGCAATCCCTATGGAGCTGTGGACAAACTTTAGAAATTTATTACACTGAATATACATTTTTCTCCCCCCTGGTTGTGATGTTGACATGTAGTTACTGTCAGACTGGTTTGTGCTCCATTTTTAAAAGTTATTAGGGGGTTCATGTTTTCATTGATTGACACCTGATACAGCCTATGGGAGTACGAAGATTGCATAGCTCACCTGGGGGATACGCTGTTTGAGCCGAGCGTCATCACAGCGACTCTCGGTGACTCTCCCGCTGAATGGGTACAACGCTACTGCGCATTGTTGCTTTCAGGAAATGGAGAAACATCACAGAAATACTGAGAGCAATTCAGCTTCAAATCCGCTTCTTTGGAAGAGCAGCAGTGTGACACGCAAATATATGGGTACTAGGAAAGCTGCAATACAAAAGTCATCGGCCTTGAAGTGCTGTTTTTTTTTTTATATTGGTTAGTGTTGGGTTTTAGCTGTAGTGCTGGATTTTTAAAGTGCTGAGTACTGGGGTGCTGTTTTTTGGAACTTTGGGAACTTAAATTGGTTCCAGGATGCTTGCTTGGTTCTAGAGTGCAGAGATTTGAGAAACTAGGGTCTTGAATACAAAGTTCTTAGAAACAAGGTTCCATAGTTATGGGTTCTGGAGGGCTGGTTTTTGGAAGGCTGGCTTCTAGAGTCTCGGGTTTTACAAAGGTGGTTTCCAGGTGGTTCTTGAATTCAATCATTGACGCGTCTTTGATGTAAGAACGAATCAGACTGTTTATATTTTAATTATTTTTTAATAGCATTGTTGATATTCGGATGTGGATCTTGTGTACATGAGTAATGTTGTCTTTTTCCACCAGGGGGCGATGTAATTCGTATTTAAAGAGGTCATTTTGTTTATTGTAGGATGCTCTCATTACTGTGATCCAGATTTACAGAAAAAAATCTCCCTCCTTTTCTCCAGTCGTCCTGTTCTCTGTCTGTTTCTGTGTCTCTCCATCCCTCTCTGAGGCGCTATAATCCTGCGGGTCCCTGGTGTTATTAGAGAGAAAGAGAGAGAGAGTGTGTGTGTGAGAGAGAGAGAAAGAGAGAGAGAGAGAGACAGAGAGAGGGAGAGGAATGATGCTGCTGGAGTCGAGTTGATGCTCAGTAACCGACGGCAACGCAACAATGCCGCACGACCACTGGTGAGTCTGGCATCTCCTCTCATCCTCCATCTGTGTGTGTTTTTGATTGCATGTGTGTGTGTATTTGTGTATATTTGATGTGTGTGTGTGTGTGTGTGTGTGTGTGTGTGTGCGTGTGTGTGTGTGTGTGTGTGTGTGTGTACTGGAGCTTCTTCTGATGCGTCTCTGTCCCAGGCTGCGTTCAAGAGTTTATAGACCGACAGCATTATGGAGTGATCATCAGGTTGCATATTTGTGTTTCTTAAGAACTCGCGTTCATAGACAAGTGTTTGTGTGTGTGTGTGTGTGTGTGTGTGTATGTTAAAGCTGTTACTTTGACCTTTAAATCAGCTGATGTGTCCGTTTGAACCTTTGATTTCGCCCAAAGCCGGGGTCTGACAGCATAAATCTGCTCTGATCTGACAGAAACTTTAATCTTAAGCTCTGCAGCGTCGGTTTTGGAGAGAAACTGAAAAAGTAAAAATCAAGATTTTAAGGAGAAACAGGGTAAAAAAAAGAAATATAAATGAGATATGCATACAAAATTCAGATCAAAGTGACATTATGAGTGATTTCAACTGAGCAGATTTACGCCAACTCTGACTGTAAAGAGGTAAAACAGTAGAAATGATATGACTGTGCTGTCATACCGCACAGATAGATAGATAGATAGATAGATAGATAGATAGATAGATAGATAGATAGATAGATAGATAGATAGATAGATATTTGTGCATGACAACACTGATAAATAGTTGCTTTGCTTAAAAGTCACACATTTCCCTGAAGTGCATAAAGCCTGTTGTGTGTGTGTGTGTGTGTGTTTGTGCGTTTAAAGGGCAGATGCTCCGTCTGTCTAGAAACACAAGCCAGCAGCGTCTCCCCTTTCTCTCTCTCTCTCTCCCCCTGCTGCTGTTGTTCTTATTTATGATGTTGTTTTCGGCACTTTGTCTTTTTTATGTCGTTGTTGACGCCACCGACACGTGTGGCGCCCGGTGATGTTAATTAGACTCCAGGAGGGGGGGAAAAAAGGAGGAAAACAAACGCCTGGCTGCAGACAAACGTCTCTGCAGGTGGTAGAGAAACACTGAGTCTGAAATCTCTGCAAACCTGCAGGTTTCTCTACTGAATGTATCTGCAGTCTGGAGCTCGGTGATGAGTGTGTGTGGTACATGCAGCGCCCCCTTGAGGCTGCAGTGTTCATAAATCCACATTTTTCAAGTCTTGGTTTAACACGTCTCACAAGAGGAAGCAGCCGCTTGGTTTCAAAGTGGAGCTGATGTAGGGTCTTATAAAACCAGCAGGCGGCGTCTCAGGAGAAATCTCGATGAAAACGCTCCTCAGTTTATTTACTCCTTTTAATGAGTGTTCGGGTCTCATCTTTGATGCAGCATGTACGGTGGCTGACGATGGCAAACTGTCTGCAGTGGCCCAAAGGATCCTCAACTGCAAAAACAGGAACACAATTGAAACACTCTGCAAACAGAAAACCGAGCTGTAAACATCTAAAACCGCTGCACAAATGAAAAATGCACTGCGAAGAGAAAACTGATAAAAGCAAAAATGTCCTAAGTTCTTTCTTTTCTGTCCATCTCGTGTTGAAGATAGTTCAGGACGTTGCAGATCTCCAGTGGTTGCTGTAAGCATGTTGTTCATTCAGGTAACTCTGGTTCACAGGGGTGCAGTTAGACGGTGGATATCTTTGAAAAGCCAGAGACAGACAGTGTAACTCACTTTAGTTTGAGCTTTTTTAAACACTCACTCATATTTCAGTGTGTTTTGGTGGGAAAAGTCTCCCCGTGGGTCTGTCAGGAACTCTGTCACTTCACATCTGTTGACGCTCAGCTGTTGGGGTGTGTTACAGGAGGACAGAGTCCCTCAGCCTGCCCGTGCTCTAAAATTAAAACTCCTCCAGCCTCTGAGAGATACTGGGGGTGAGTCTCCAGCTCTTTATAAGAGGCTCAATCAGCTTCTGAAGAGCTCCAGGGTTGTTCCCGTGTGAGGACTCAGAGGACTTGGACTCAGACGCTGGACTCATCTCGGGTTTTGTTGTGATTTTTGTCGACAGAGTCACATGGAGCTGCCAAGAGTCAATGAGTTTCCAGTGTGTGTGTGTGTGTGTGTGTGTTTGGGAACAAATCTGTGCTTTGTATTTTGCGGTGTGGCCTTAATGAACCATGAACTCCACTTTTACCTGGGGCGGTCAGGTATGAAGAGGGGAGGATAGGACTTTGCTCTAACAGACTGCTCTTTGAAAATCAAATATTCTGTGTGTATTCTGCAAGTACAAGTTCAACAAATCTTGTCAAAGGTATTTAACCATCTTTGGCTCAGCTAAATTAAAGGTATTTTCCACATGATTCTTTGTTTGTTGATGTGTTTTAGCTTTCTACGTGCTTAAAAAAGTCATTAGCATCACTATATGGCATTAGATAAGACTACTTAGCGAATCGACTCCTTGAGAACTATTTCTGCCTCTGTCCTAAGGCCGCTGTTGATGAAGTCCAGCTGATCAGGTCCAAGCTCAGTGACTCTCAGGTTTTCTACAAAGACACCCTTTAAGCTTCACCTATAAATATCACCTCGGATTTCGCCCTTTGTCGATGAAATGCTGTTTGATATTGACACTTGGCTGAACAGGCCTTAGCTCTTTTACTCCCAGCTTCTCCTGCAAAGATCTCCTCTCAAACAACTTTTTTTTTGACTCTCTCCAAAGCATTGAAAGTTTCTCCTGCACAGAATTTATTCCGATACTGCCTGCCTTGCTTTTCTTCAGTATGCACTTTAAGGTCCTATTTCTTGTACAGAAGAGGAGCTATAGTGCAAAAATCAATCTACAATATGCCAATGGATCACGTCACTCTGACAGCAGCAGCTGATTCAAACAGAAAGTTACTGAATGGCTGCATTTTAGAAAAGTCCGCCTGAAATCTGGGGTAGTATTTTTAAAATCTGACTTCTTTTTGAAATAACAAAGATTGAGATAGAATTTTTTTTTAAAAAGCCTGTGTGCTCAGTGGAGACCAGATTGTTGTGGCCTTTATGTGAAATGTTAGCTGAAGTTTTGGTGCCCTGTTACTGTCACATTTCTTCTCGGGAGGAACTGGAGGGTTAAATTTAAATGTTAATGAACAGCTTTGATGTTCTCTGGGAGCCCCGCGGGTCTCCTGCTCTGAAGAAAATTCATAAATACATTTTTCATGACTTAACATGCTGGAGAATTACCTGGGATGGCTCCACAGGGTCCAGATGAAACTGAAAAACATCCTCATGTTTCTATATTTAATTTATAAGCAGTAAATGTTCCGTAACACAACATAGTGTAGATGTAAAGACACACTCTGTTAGGGTGGATCAGTCAACAGCTGCAACACCTGCTATATAACAATACTCAGCTATGCAAAGTAAGTCAAGCTCTACTCGCCGGATAGAGATATACTGATGCTACAGATAAAGATGTAGAGTAAGGTGTTTATGGTGTTTCTAAGAGTCAGCTTTATTGTTAAACCCCAGGGAAGACCAAGGCCATGTCAAAGAAAACAAGACCACCCAAAATTGTTAGACCCCTAAAACTCAAAGCTAAGTAGATGGGACTGAAATTATTATATCAGTATGATCTAGAAAAATGAGGTCAGAAAGTTTAAGGTCAGACATTTGGAGGTCAGACAGTATGAGGTCAGGTGGTATGAGATGAGTCAGTATGAGGTTTTACAACATGAGGTCAGACAGTATGAGGACAAAAAGTTTGAGGTTAGACAGCATGAGGTCAGACAGCATGAGGTCAGGTGGTATGAAGTTAGACAGCATGAGGTCAGAGAGTTTAAGGTAAGACAACATGAGGTCAGACAGTATGAGGTTTTACAGCATGAGGTCAGACATCATGGAACCAGACAGCATGAGGTTTTATAGTATGTGGTTTTACAGCATGAGGTCAAACAGTATGAGGTTTAACAGCATGAAGTCAGACAATATGAGGTCAGAAATCATGGGACCAGACAGCTTGAGGTCAGGTAGTATGAGGTCAGACAGTATTAGATCAGATGGTATGAGTCAAAAAGCATATAGTCAGATAGTATAAGGTCAGACAGGGCAGCATGAGGTCAGACTGTATGAGGTTAGACAGCATAAGGTCAGGTGGTGTGAGGTAAAAAAAAGTGTAAGTTTAGAAAGCAGGATGTCAGACACGAACGATGGGCAGCACCAGGAGGTCAGGCAACACTAATGTTCCGACAGTGTGAATACCAACAGTTAGGGGTCAGGCAATGTGATATCTGACACTACGAGGTCAGGTGGAATAAGGTCAACAATGGAGGGTCAGTAGGCATGAGAGTGAGGCATTATAGATCAGGCTAAATACATATAGAAAGTGTTGAACCAGGAAGACAAGACAAAGCAAAGCAAGAATTAGGCCAGACATGATGAGGACCTGCAGCATAAGTTGAGACTTTAGTACACCAGGTGGCACAAGGTAGACTGTTAGTGGGTAGTCAGGCATCAAGGGGTCAGATAGCATGAGGACAGATGGTCGGGGTAAGGTGTCATCAGGTCAGGTGGCTTATGGTCCAATGGTTAGAAGAGAGGCAGCATTAGGTCAGTCAGCTTGAGTCCATACCTGGAGAGTCAAGACGCTTTTAGAGGTTTAGATGCTGGGAGGTCAGGCAGAATGACATTGGAAAGATGGAGGTCCAGCAACATGGAGGTCAGACATTGTGAACTTAGACTCAGTATGGTTTGATAGTGTCTGAGGTTGGGCAGTTTGAGGCGTGGTGCTATCTGAGGTCAGACTCTGCAAAGTTGAACAGCGTGAGGTCAGACAGTTTAAGATTTGATAGTTTAAGGTTTGACAGCGTGGGATTTGACAGTGCTCGGGCAGACAGCACAGCTTTGGTCCCCTGGCTGCTCTGATGCTCTCTGCTCCTGTGAGAACTGTCAATTTAATGATCCCAAACACAGTGAAACCGCACAGCAATAGCATCCTGTTACAACCAGCTGTGCTGCTGTCTGCTGTGGATGACAGCGCTGTCAGCGACCAGACAGGAGAGACGGTCTGTCAGTTTGAGAGCTGAATATGAGCAGAACAAACACATATATCTTTTTTTAACAGTGAGAGGTTTTTCATTCAGCTAATCACAAAGAAACGTAAAATCTTGAGTGTCAAATAAAACATGAGACCCATCAGGATGATAAGACTTGGAAAGTGATGTATTTGAGTCAACTTTTGCATAATGGTGTTGGGATGTGAGGAGGTTTCATGGCTGTCAGCAGTCATGGACGACTGTGTCAGCCCTTTTCAGTACAGCAAGTTCCTGTTCATTTGGAGTTCCAACTTGGCAGGGATATTTCGGGTCTCCAGAACTTTTTTAGACTCAGTGATTTACAGGCTGCGTAGTTGTACAAAGGTCCAAGTAGCATCTATGTTGTAGAAACATTGAAGATTAAAAGTTACCAGGGTTTTGCCTTCCATCAAAGGGTGTGGCCGTCTCATGAAGTCAAAGTTAGTGGGCTAAAACCGTCACCCTTAAGTGTCCCGGGCTAAGTGTGTCTAAAATACATCTGTGATTATTCGCCATAAAACAGGAAGTTCAGTTAACTCCTTCACAGAACCTCAGATCTTTTCCTAATTGGATATACAACATCAAGGTCGCCACTCTGTGGAAATTCACGGAACTTACTTATACATGCATAGTCCAGTCTGCTCCAGAGTTCCTCAGCTTGGTGTCAGACCCAGCCTGATCTCATCTGTGTACACACTTTCGTCATCTATGAACTCAATTGTCTGTGAAGATGCCAATGTAGGGCTGGGCGACAAACCGAAAATTTCCCGATATCGAAATTAACAACAATAACCGATGTCAATATATTCGGTGTCAACAAAATAAATAAATAAAAGTTGGTTTTGGATGTGTGTAGGTAGGCTATGGTCTCATGTCCCTTTGAGACGCTGTCCTACGTCGGAGACGTGACTCCACCCCATCCAGTCCGTAACAAAGAGGGAAAGACAGGTGAGGAGATGGAGGACAGTTCAAAAGTTGTAGCGGCTGAAGTCGACAAAGTTAATGTGGGAGGGGGTGAGCAGCTTGTGGAGTAGTAATTGTCCATTTATCGTTATTGAGGTGAACTGATCAATATATCATGATATTGATTTGAGGCCATATCACCCCGCCCTATACCAATGACTCCATGTTCTGTTTTTCCAAGTTGAACTTTTGAAGTACTTTTAAGTATTGTTCTCTGTATTTATGTGGACTTAAATGATTTTAAGGACTCCAAACACTTAGTTGATATCTTGATTTCAAATAAAGTCTTATTTGTGAGTCAGGTTTGCAGCCCGCTGCCTTTGAGAAGAGAGACAAGGTCCACAGGGAACAGCTTCAGTAATGTGGACTAAATGAAAAGACTTTCAGATGGGGCATTTTTAGAGAGAGTGAAACAACATCTCACTAAAACTGCAGTCTCACGGCTTCATTGTGAAGTGCGTTTTGAAGATTTGAGAAACATAAAGCCACAGCATCAATGAATGAATCCAGCAAGGAAGGGAGGAGGATGACGATGGAGCTGCAGGGGGCACATGCTGCGTCGATGAAATTCATGATGGTAAAACAGACTCTTTTCCTGCGCTTGATTTTTTTCCTTTTTGGAGATGAAACGTTCAGTGTCAGGAAATAGTGAGGGAAAAAGAGTGTGACATTTGATAAAAGTGCTCAGGAGGATGAATCTAAAGCAGCCCGAGAATAAAACTTTCCCTAAAAAGTTCAGGAACTTTAGAAAAGTCCTCTTGATGAGGGAACTAAATTTAGTTCATAATTTATTCCTCCAATCTGAGCACTGATTTAGTCCCTGAGTTTATCAAAAGGTTCCTGGTCCCCGGGGAGATTTCTGAAAAGAGCTTTTATCTCTTTTGTTGTTTCTTTTCAGTCTCTAGTTTCAGACTGAACTCGTCCTGAACTTATGTGACAGGCTCCCGAGGCGAGGTGCATTGTGGGAATGGCCCGCAGGAGTACTTGACATCAGTGACTCACGTGAACATGTGTGTATGAAAGTGTGTGCGCCCCGAAGATGATGTGATTGGACGTGACAGCCGTGATAACGAACCGACGTCCACTGAAAGGTGAAACTGCGCGAACATAACTCGATCACACATAAACATCCAGAAACTCACATTTGTGTTAAATCGACGAACTTAAATATCAGTGTGTACATTATTAGTTATGCATTTTTATATGTTTTATTACTACACCTCTGTCGATGCAGGTTCAACCAGCTTCGCTCACACAGTCTCTCACACACATGCACACACACAGCGACCTTTTCTCTCTCAGCAGGTTTCGCGTCTCCTTTTACTCTCAGTTCTGGTTGTCTTGTCGTCGTTTTGTGACCTTTTCCTTCATTCCTGGACTTTAATCGCTCCCCGAGGACCTGAAAGTCTCACAGAGAGGTTTACGCTTATGAATAAAAACATAAAAACAGCCCAGGACTGAAAAGCGCACTGCCTGAGGTTGCTGCAGACTCCTGCAGAGACTGTGTACTCAGAGGGTTTTTGGAAATGTCTCCAAAAGACCAAACAGGACAGCTGATCAAGACGCTTAAGGAGTGACAAAAAAAAAAGACTTTTAAAACTCACATAAGCTTTAGATACACAATGAGATCAATTTATAAGAAAGAAATTCAGTTATCATGTACATATTTTTAACTTTTGTCATTTTTTTTGATAACATTTAATGTTTAATGAATATTAGATATATTAAACTAGGCTGTTATCACGTTTATCTCTAATGAACATTTTGACATGGAGCTCTATGGGGGTTGACTTACTTTTGGAGTTAGCTCCTAGTGGACTCTAAAGGTACTGCAATTTTTGTGGCTTCTTCACTTTTTTAACGCTGGGTGTCGCTGCTTTATTCAAAGAAATAAATAAACCAGATTTCAGTGTAAAAGATATTTATAGATTTAAAACTCAAAGGTGTCCATTCATGTTTTTGAATATTAATGAATTAATGAATTATTCTGGACTCTGATTGGCTGTCAAACCTGGATTAAAAGTGGGTTGAGAGATCAAACCTCCTTTTCCTCAGAGTGAGATACAGACAGCAAAAAATAAAAAGTGTTTTGATGTCTGGGACCTTACTGGGGTTATGTGAAGATGAATCTCAAATATTCTCTGCTGGTAAACATCCTATCATCCTTCTGAACATCCTCCTCCTCTTTTTCTGTCCTTTATGAATCCAAACTAATTTCAGCAATCTGACATTTCCACTGAAAAGAGATAAAAGTGGAACTGCCAGAGGGCCGGCGAGCACGCGGCGAGGCCGATGACCTTGTGTTAATGTGTTTGTGACAGTGTGTGTATAAGAGGGACACAAAGTGAGTGTGTTGCGTAAAAATCTATGAAAGGCGACAAGGCAAACAGACTTGGAGGGCAAATTAAGTCCATTACACAACATATAAATAAAGTGTTTGTGTCATCAAGAAGAGTCCCAAAAATAACGCCCTGGTCTGAAGTTATGATGAGGATGAAACTTAATGATAATAACCTCAAATTCAACCTCTTAAAATCAAGATTTAAATAAAAATCTGCACTTACATGCAAAGAAAACAGAGAGGGCTCTTCAAAGGAGCCAGTCAGACAAATTATTCTGTATCAGTGTTCGCAGGCGATCAGTTATTGTGATGTTTGCTGCAACGCAATGACACCTCAGCGGGACGTTTTAACACCTCCCATCACAAACAGCCAATAATGAAGATGAGACGTCATCGACCTGCTGAGATCAGACCAGGCGTGACTCTCCGCTCAGCGGGAAACGAACATCACGTCTGTGTTTGAAGGATAGGTTTTAATCTGGAGAAAAGAGCAGAGGAGGCCGAAGGAGGTTTCTGATGTTCTGTCTGAGCCTCTAAAGGGATATTCCGGTGTGAAATTAATTTAGGGTCAAACACACTTTAACACAGAGTTAGACACCCCCTTAAGAGATGAATGTTGCCGACTTCTTGCTTCTCTAGTTTTACCAACTTTAGTGTAATGCTCAGAACAGCACCTAACTACATCAACAGTACATATGGGGTCCCTGCCATCGTACTAGCCACCAAACATCCTTTTAACTTTCCCTAATTTCTTTGGCAAAGAATGTTTTTTTTAATTATTCAAAGTCTATAAGGTACCATAATAGAAAATCGTTCTGCTAATCTTCTGTTTTTCACTTAACAGAACAGCTAGCTTAATGAGGTAGCTAACAGAAAAGGTAGCTCTCTTTTAGCCAACAGAGAAAACAGCTCTGGACTCCTGATGTCTCTGCTGGTAGGTGGATCCATGACTGAACCTAACGTGGGTTCAGTCAAAGATCTGGTCAACAAAATCTGACGCTGAGTCATCACACAAGTCATCAGAGTGAGACACACACGAGTCATTGTTAACAGGTCAATATCACAACACATGTCATCGATACCAGACACTTTCTGTTCGCAGACAAGTAATGCTGTAATCTGAGTGGCTGTTGACTGATCCTAAGAAAATTAATGCTCCTTTTTAGCGCCTGCTTATATTAGAGTGTGAGTGTACGGATTTGTTTTTGTGTACTTGTGGGACCAATGCTTGATAGATGATCATTACTGCGGGGACACGTGTGAGTGCCAGTGTTTTTATACATATGTGAGGACCAATCTTTGACCAATAACTTTCTTGACATTTATAAAGAAGAAGTTAATTGATCTTCTTTATTGGTGGTCGACATTTACATGTGGGAACCGCCACCTGAAAGAGGATCATCCTTGTAAGGACCTTTTTACATGTGTCAACTTATGTGCAACACGAGATTGTTGAAATATAATCGTGAAGACTGACCCCGGACCAATGAAAACAATGGACAGAAGAGGTACGTTTCTGCCTATACTTGTGGGGACGAATTTTAGGTGGACTATTATTCTTGTGAGGGCATTTGTTTGTGACGGCGTGTGTGTGTATCTTTATGTAGTTGTGAAGAGCAGCCTTGGACCAATGACCTTTCTTGTTAGGGAATTTGTTATTGTATGTTTGTTTACATATAGTTGTGGGGACTTACCCTTGATGGAAAATGTAGGCTATGTTTGCATATAAAAGTGTGTATGTATTCTTATATAAACATATTTGTGAGGACCAGTTCTTGATGGAGAGGCATTTTTATGAGGACACTTTTGTTTGTGGGGACTTCTATGTGTGTCTCAATGTACTTGTGAGGACCAACAATGGACCTGATCCTTTTTGGGACATTTGTGAAGGTGTGTGTGTGTGTGTGTGTGTGTGTGTGTGTGTGTGTGTGGTGAACGTGAAATCATCTGCAGTTGAATGTGTGGAGGCTGGTGACAGATTGGAGCTCAATCTGTATAGACAGACTCATCATTCCTGTGTGTGGCGGTCCAAAAAATTAGGACACACACACACACACACACATACCCACACACCCATGTACACACACTCATTTTGGAGATCGGAGCTTTTTGTGTGAGGGGCAGACAGAGTTTAATACGAGAAGTTTTGTGACATTTTTAAGGAGTTGTTTCTGAAATTTTATGATAAAAGTGCAAACATACAGAGGCGAAAAGTCTGTGAATAAACTGTTTAATATCTAAAATACCAAAAAACCCACAGGAAATAAATATTGTTCGTAAAATAAAAATGTGCTAATGTGTATCTATAAAGCAGTTGTATGTTTTCCCATGGTTCCCTGAGGTGGTTGATTATTTCTGTCTGTGTGTTTTCAGCAAACAGGAGCTCATGACCATCTCAAATGTCCCCGTCACAGACTGTCCCCCCTCTCCCCCAAGAACCGCACCCCCCACCATGAAGGTAACACATCGTCATGTCCATATGGACCATCAAAACATCCAACGATTCGTGGATGTTATATCAGAGTTTGCCTAAATGCTAAGTAATCACCTTTCTGCTTATTTTTTCCACAGTCAGCTCATTTCTTCGACATGATGGATAAGATGGAGGTAAGAATCAGATTTGGAGTTTCTTTCATATGTCATTTCAGTCTTCTCTGCGCTGACAGCTGTTAAGATAATTATTGTGTGAGTAAATGAATAAATAAATGAACAAATGAGGGATTATTTTGCCCAGTCGGGAAGCTTCCTCACCAGGAGCTGAAATTATTCAATATTCATTTAGCTTTAAGCTGAATTGAATGGAGCTGATGGAAGTGTAACAGTGCCAGTTTATTCCCACTAGAAACACCTGGATTCACATGTTCCTCCATGGAGTCCAAGTTCCTTACCTTGCTATCGTATCTGAACACTGTAGCTAAGCTATCGCAGATTTAGCAACTTGTTTTTAAACTCTAACCTTAAATTTCCACCAATTTTTGAACAGTTTTTCAGTGTTACACACAGTAGATTTCCGTTCTCTGGTTTAGGACATTAATGATAAATCATGTGGGGAATTCGTAAACCAAACCAAATCACCTTTGGTAGATTAATCCAGGTCAATATGACTATTTACATGCAGAGTTAAGTGGTTAAATTCGATCTGGCGATCTAACTGAACTACCGTTTTTGTCCCAGTTTACAAACACCAAACAGTAATTGAATTACTGATAAAAAGTCGAGTCTGAAACTAACTAACAAATCGACAGAAATGGAGTCAGAGCCACAGATAACCTTTACTCTGTGTTCTCTTCCTCACGCTAACACAGCAGGTGCCCGAAGCAGCCGAGATGAAGACGATCCCTCAGAGACAGAAGGCACGTCTGTCCATCTGTCTGTCTGCATTTCCATCCACGCTGTCTTTATATTTTCTCATTTCATTCACAGACAGTAGGACCAGCATGTCTCTGCGTTTGCTTGATGAAAAAACTCAAATCCATTTTACATTCGTCTTCAGTCACAAATAAAGAATAAATCTGAGATCTGACAGGTTTTAAAATGGACTGTAAAGATGGACTGCCATAACATTTGGTCTCTAATGAAAGTTTATGTAGCAGCAGAATTTAGGGTCATCTGGCAATAGTTTAACATTTGCAACCAACTCAGATTCCCTCACAAGTATGTTAGTGATCCAAGAATGACGCTGAAACTGGACCTGAAAGTCCCTGTCTGGAGTCAGCATTGGTTTTTTGTCCATAGACTGTATATACTATGGACAACTTGGTTCCGCCTTCTGCCAGTATACAGATTTGTTTTTGTGAAATTAAATAGGTGGTGTATGTTGTACTGCCCCACGTCTAACTGTGAACACAGTGCTATGGTGTTTGTAAGAGTAAAATACAGTGTAATGCGTTGCTTACAACTGGTATAGCTAACAACCGCTAACAACAACGGCTAATGACAGCTGACAATTGTAAACGGCTAACAGTAGGCATCTATCTTTGTTTTCCGACTTGTTTACTGGAACGCCTTGGGTGTAACGTCATTCCCAGCTCCGACATCCGACTTCTGAAGTAACTGGAACGCAGCAAAAGCCCAGAAAGGTTTAATTTTTATTGTCATTTTAGACGATGTTTTGTTCAGGGCCTTCCCCTCACAGTCACCAATGGGAGGAAATCTTGTTGGGCAATCAGTGAGTTCAACTCACTTGAATCAAACCTCTTCACATGCAGCTACACTTTCTCTGCTGCACATTTGTCACTCACCGTTGACTTTCTGTGTCATTTTAACATTAAACAAATTTGATTTACTCTCGGTCTGAACGCTCCCTCAAAAGACGCTTTCTCCAAACAGAAATATCCATCATTTTAGTCGTCACTGAAAACCTGTTGGTAACATTTAGCAGGTAAGAGGATATATTACCTGTGCCAAACTGCATTTCACCTTGACAGTAAAAACACAGACATCCTTGACTAAGACTCAGGGCAGCAACCTGCGCCTCCATGTTTCCTTGAGCAGTACCATCATTTCACACTTGACTTTCATGCAGATTGCTTCAAACTCAGCTCCAAACCACCTGGGTATCTGCATCAAGAGACCACTACAGGGAGCAAACAACAAGTTATCATCTGCATGATAGTGTCTCATGTTCAGCCAATCTCTTTGGACGAACAACCAATCATCGACTGTGGTTGTTTGAAAACACATTCATGTCCAACTTCATTTCCCATGGGGTTTATACCCAGGTTATCTGTGCCTTTAATATGGCAGTCTTTGTTTCCCATGTGTATTTAAAATGTTCTGTATTCTCTCTCAGGACGACTACATTCCTTATCCAAGGATCGAGGAGGTGAGAACTAACGACATACATTCACAAACAAAACATACAGTTCAAGCTACATCTAACATTTATGATATTAAGTAATTAAATATGTAACACAGGGACCAAAGAAACTAAAAGATATCACTGACAGGAAGGTGGCTGAACATGAGAGAGACTCAAGCTTTCTAACACTGCAAAAATTCATTTTTTCAGAAGTATTTTTTTGTCTTATTTTTGGTTTGAAAAGTGTGTAATTTGGCTTAAAGGGATATTCCAGCGTAAAATTAATTTAGGGTCAAACACACCATAATACCGAGTTAGACACCCCCTCGAGAGATAAATGTTGCCGACCACTTGCTTCTGTACTTTTACCAACTTAAGTAACGACCGCACGATAACAATACACAGCGGTCTGAGGATCCATAAACAAACCTCAAACAAAACGCCACTCTATAGCCACAAATAATGCTCAGAACAGCACATATAGGGTCTTAGCCATAAAGACTAAACACAACTCACCTACTCTCTTCCAGCAGCCGCTTGTTTGTAGCAAGACCTCGACCAGTCCATTACTGACTACAGTGGAGTGACGCAGCTCAAGGAAGAACATTTATGATCATTTCTTTTTCATTTCCTTGAAGTAATAATCACCATGTTTATCATTTTTCACTGCAGACGCGGTAGTTCTTCTGCCTTAGTGTCTCAGTCTGTATTTCCATGAAGAAATGATCATAAATGTTCTTCGTTGAGCTGCGTCACCCCGCTGGAATCTGGAATGGACTGGCCTGAGGTCTTACTACAAACAAGCGGCTGCTTAATCTATTCTTTTAATTTTGGCCACAGTCACCTAACAGACTGAGGATCTAATGCTGAGAAAAGAAAGCCCTGAAATCATGAGACTAATCACCAAATTACCAAAGACACAAATGAAAAAGAAGAAAATGTATAAAAAAAGTACAAAAACCTGCAGTTCTTTCAGTGTCCACTAGAGGCTGGTCCTGAAAGTGGACCAGTCCACATAGAGCTTCATGTTAAGATGTCTTTACCTGTGTTTTCCTGCTGCAGGTGTTAGAGCGGGGCGGTCCGTACCCTCAGGTCATCCTGCCGCAGTTTGGAGGTTACTGGATCGAGGACCCTGAGGCTCCTCCTCCTTCTGCACCTTCTCCCACCTCTCTGGAGGTCAAGGGCGAGGATGGAGAGGAAAAGGAGGAGAAGGGAGTATTAAGAGAAATAGAGGAAGAGGATAGACCCCCGGGGGATTATGGGTACCGACTGGAGGAGATCAGCGAGGCTGCTCGAGCCTACAGGAAGCACTTCTTAGGCAGGGTGAGACTTCTGGCGGCTATGGTGGTGTTTTCTGTGCTCTGATTGGTGGTTTTAACAGAGACGTGGATCAAGCAAATGTACCCAGGCCAATCGGAAAGCAGGACTTTTAATAATGTTTCAAAGTTTTCACATTTTTACTTCTTTTGTGTTGAACAAAATTCGACAGAGCTCAGTCTTTCTGTGGTCTTCCTGTCTCTTAAATAGCGACTTTTCTTTCTTCCTCCATTTGTCTAGGAACATTTGAACTTCTCTTGCTCAGCCAGCAGTCAGGGGAACCTTCTTCTGTCCGTGAGGCACGAAGACGAGAAGGAACATGAGTCGCTCCACGTCATCGTCAGGTATTCCCACACCTCAGTGGAGGAGCATTTCTCTGAGAACGCAGATTTGTCGCCTTCAATGTCATCGCCAACACAATAGAGGTACCAGGAAGTGAAGTAATCCCAGCTACAAATCTCTAGTCCAGTCTTCTTTGTCCTCCCAGGTCTCGAGTGAAGAGCGTCTACCACAGATTGTCTCTGACGGAGCTGCCAGAGATCCCGAGTGTGCCAGAGCTCGCCAAGGTGCTCCAGCTTTAACAGTCTTTACAGCTGCTTAATTGACTTAAAAATCATCAAATATGACTGCAGACAGTTTTCTGGGTCCATCAGCTTCACATTTATGGAAAGTTCTGGTTCCTCATCTCTGTGTTTGCTGCCTGAAAAATTATCAGCAACTTTGTGTAAGAAATGGATAGCTCCCAAACCTGCATTCTCTCCAATGGCCAACTTGGTTGTAAAAATCAGACTAATGGTGCGGAAATGTTCTCTTCAGCTATTTTTGTTCCTCAGTTAACAGTTTCCTCATGAGTTTATGGTCTTAAATTTTAGTTTCAGGTCTTTTTTGATACAACATGATAGTTGTTGGGGGAATTATAGTCTCACTTATAGTCTCTGCAACCAGAAAGCAGTAGAAGATTCTGGGTTGGGCTACCTGTGGCCTTAGGAATCAGCTCTTCCTCAATGTTTAAAGCTTGTGCTAGCCCACATTAGCATCTTTATTAAGGTGTTAATTACAGCACCTCCTTGCTAACCAGCTAGCAATAGCTTGCTTGGTCTGGCTGGATTTCGAAGAGTTTTGATAAACTCTTTATGTCGGGTGACCATATTCTGAATTACCAAAAAGAGGAAACGACTACGCAGGGGCAGAGTCACAGAGTTGCATGCTGTTAATTTTAAGAGTTTTTCAGGTTGGATTGAGTGTCTTTTATGTGTTTCTAACTCAGTAAGTCCACGTGACTCAAAATCGAAACTTACGTACAAAACTACTGACATTTGATGAATTTTATAAACTCCCCCAGACAAAGCTGGACAACCCCCAAAAAAGAGGACATGTCCGGGTAAAAGAGGACATATGGTAACCCTACTTCATGACCAAATTCACCAAAACAGCAGTCCACCAAAATCTAATCTTGAATCAGTCTGTAGTCCCCACAAGACACCATAAACAAGTGTTCATGTTTAACACTAACTGTCATGAAAAAAAAAACCCGTTTATAAGATTTAGAGAAGAAACGGGGATCACAAGCTTCAGCCAATGAATTCAATCAGTCGTCTTAACAAGTACATTTTTGTTCACAGTATATGTATTTGTGTGTGTTTTTTTTCTACAGCTGCTGTGTGACGACACTGCAGGTCTACGTTTCAGTCCTGTCCTCTACCCCAAGGTGACCTTAGAGAGTAACAACAACGTTCATGACCAAAAATGTTCTGACAATGACGACATGACTAATTTCATCAGACCTGTTTTTCTGTTTCTTTTTCTGTTTGTCTGTCTGTCTCCAGGCGTCTCAGCTGATAGTAAACTACGATGAACATGAAGTAAACAACACCTTCAAGTTTGGCGTCATTTTCCAAAGATTCGGACAGGTAAAAACTTCAGACTATAAAAGTAGTTTCTGGGGCAGAGTGTGAAGCCCTTCATCAGTCTTTTTTAACATAGTGAGAGGTCAAAAGGAGTGTTAAAGCGGGTCTTTAGCCTGCTCAGAAATATAAAAGATAGATCTGTTTTGAATGGATTTAGCCTGTTTAGCTTGTTCTAGTGTTATTAGATCTGTGCCTTTCCTGTAAACCATAAGTTTAATGTTTCATTTTACTGAGCTGTGACAATTTTATAATGAAGCTGTTTATATCATCAACTTGCTTTTTCTAAATGAGCCGTCTGTGTCATTTCAATTATGTATTTTTTTTAAATAAATGATATATTTGACATAAATTGTCTAATTTAAATGACAGAAATCATGTCTGGTAATCATTTATTTGATTTTATACTTTGACCCATGTCCCATCTGTTTACATGGAGGAGGTAGACTTAAAAAAAAAACAATCCCCAAGCCAATCAGCAGGGGGAGCTCTGACTGTTTTAGCCTCATTTTTAGGGAGCCGTTGTGCCGTTCATCTTTGTATACAGACTGTGGTTCTGTAACACACTTTTCATGGGTCATTAGAAGGTGGTAGCTCACACACCTGCACAGGTTGTGAATTGATTGGATGTAACAGGATCTCACCTGTGCTCCAGGTGTCTGAGGAGGAGCTGTTCAGGAACAAGGAGGAGACGCCGGCGTTCACAGAGTTCTTGCAGCTTCTGGGAGACACCATTGATCTTCAGGATTTTAAGGGGTGAACAACAACATTTCTACTCTGTCTGGACATTTGAGCTAATTAGATCAAACTGATGAAGTGTGTGGACTCTTAATGAGGTTTTAACGGACAGACCACCAGCAGGGAGCACAGAAAAACCTCCAGACACACTTTCACTGCTGATTGAATTTTTTAAAAGGTCATTAAAGAAGGTCATTTCTGACTCTGCTGTGTCCTCCCTGCAGGTTTCGGGGTGGTCTGGATGTGTCTCACGGTCAGACGGGTTCTCAGTCGGTTTATACAGTCCACCGAGAGCAGGAGATCATGTTCCACGTCTCGACCAAACTGCCCTTCACAGAGGGAGACGCGCAGCAGGTAGGAGACAGCAGAGATGTCTGCTTCAAAGGTTGTTTTTCTGATGATAAAACGCCAAAGTCTCTTATTCAGCTCCAGAGGAAGCGGCACATAGGGAATGACATCGTAGCAGTAGTCTTCCAGGAAGAAGCCACGCCCTTCGTCCCGGACATGATTGCCTCGAACTTCCTGCACGCCTTCATCATCGTGCAGGTGGAGGAGCCGTGTTCGGACTGCACCTGCTACAAGGTAGAGCTTCGGACATACAGGGAACACAGATGTTTTTAGTGTTCAGGAGTCTTTTAGTTTAAATATTTGATTCTTTATTTTAAATCTAATTTCCTCTGATCTCTTTTGATTTTTCCATCTGTAATCCTAGAAAAGTGCTTCTGCCTTTCTATGCCAGTTAAGTTTAAAGGGGTATTCCAGCATAAAATTAATTTAAGGTCAAACGCACCATAACACCGAGTTAGACACCCCCTCGAGAGATGAATGTTGCCGACCGCTTACTTCTCTAGTTACACCAACTTTACTAACGACCACACTACAGCAATACACAGTGGTCTGAGGAGCCATAAACAAACCTCAACCAAAATGCCACTCTATAGCCACAAATAATGCTCAGAACAGCACCTAACTTCATCAACAGTACATACAGGGTCCCAACCATAGTACGAGCCATCAAATATCTTTTTAGTTTTGCCCAATTTCTTTAGCAAAGAGACGAAACACAACTCACCTACTCTCTTCCAGCAGCCGCTTGTTTGTGGGGGAGCCCTGATGAGTCGATCACCGAGTGCAGCAGATCATTTCCTTGACGCAGCTCAAGGAAGAACATTTGATCATTTATTTATCATTTCCTTGAATTAATAATCACCATATTAATCATGTTGCACTGCAGACGCGGTAGTTTTTCTGCCTTGGCCTCTTGGGGGTGTCTAACTCGGTGTTACGGTGTGTTTTCAAATAAGATTTAATAACATGAATGTGGAAATAGTTCAGGCTCTGAATAGTTTGTTTGTCTTGGTTAAGTTAGCAGTTTGTTGCAGATCTGATTTGTTAACCTTAAGTTCTTAAGATTGCTCATCTCTATCTTATATCTTTATTTTGGTGACAGCAGGTTCTGTTCTATTTGACAGGTATCCGTCACAGCACGAGAAGATGTTCCCCCGTTTGGCCCACCTCTCCCGAACCCGGCTGTTTTCAAGAAGGTGAGGCTTAAAAAAGTCTGTAATAAAAATATTCCAGTGAGCTCACATTTAAAGCTGATGTCTTTGTGTTTTTAGGGTCCAGAGTTCAGAGACTTTCTTCTTACTAAACTCATAAACGCAGAGCTTGCCTGCTACAAGAGCGACCGCTTCGCCCGACTGGAGGTAAAAATACTAAAACAGCACAGACTTGTGTTCCTCAAAACTCAGGTTTATAAACACATTGTTTCAACCTTGTTGGATCTTTTCAGCACAAACTCATCCTGCTGGGTTAAAATGCATATTATACCCGCGGGGTCTGGTGGTTTTAAACCAGTTATTAATGCAGGTGTTCCTCAGGGCTCCATGCTGGGTCCCCTGTTGTTTTGAATTTACATGTTTCTCCTAAATCATGGGTGTGTTTTGTGTATGTGTGTGTGTATTTTGGTGTTTTTAGGAGCGTACCCGAGCTGCACTGCTGGACAGTCTTCACGATGAGCTGCAGAGGCGCTCTCAAAGCATGCTGGGATTGACGTTGGGTTTAGAGGAGGAGGGGAGAGCCGAGAACGGACATGCCCACGGAGGTCTGCTAGAGTCTATTAAGGTCTGTGGGTGAAAGTTTAGTTTGGACCTGATTCGGACCAGTTCCTCTGAAGAATTTACTTCGTTCCGTGTTACTTTGTTTTCCATGTTGAGAATTTTGGGGCATTATTATTTCTTTCTTTTTCCATCAGAGGGCGATGCGAGGGCGGAGCGTCTCCATGGAAACAATGTCGCGGGGCGGGGCAGGCCTGCCCACCAGTCTGAGTGGAGGTGGTCTGGCGCATTTTAGTGCTGAGGTGAGAAGTTCTAGGTTCATGTTTGCCATCAGGTGTCATCAGCTCCCCTTCTCTGGTGTTTCTTGATCCTGATTCATAAAAAATGTTATCTCCAAAAAAAGAAAAACTTATGAACAGAAGTGAGAGATTAGTAACCACTGTAATCCTCATGGTGAAATTCCTGTTTTTTGTTGACTCTAAAACCCGATGTATTTTTTCAGTATAATGTGAAATCTCCTGTGAAGAGGCGTTCAGGACTTTTCCCTCGTCTGCTGAGCGTCGACAGTCAAACAGAGAAACACAACCTGAGGAGGTACGTCTCTACTTTAACTCCTTCCTCTGATATTTCTGCTCTCCTGTTAACCTGTACAACAAACAGTCAACTCAGACAGCTTTAAAACGAGTTAACTGTTTCTCTCAGCTTGTAGTTGTTATCTAAGGTTTATTAGGAATGATTATTTAACCCTTTAAGTCTTAGTGAGCAAAGGAGCTTCGATGGCTGCCACACGACACTGGAGGTGAGATCAGAGCAGCCGTCCAATCCCAGCTCTCCAGAGGTGGGACAACGAGACAGGTGACTACTTTTTTTTTTTCCAGCTATTTTTCCCTAAAAGTTAGTCTTTACCATTACTCTTTTTACTTTTTACAGAAGTTCTTAAAAGCTGTAAAAATGTTCATTTCTGCTGTAAAGTTGGAGTTTTTAACATGGGGATCTATGGGGACTGACTCACTGCAAGACACAACCTCTAGTGGCCTCTGGAGGAACTGCAGTTTTGTGACTCTCACATTGGCCTCAATTTAAACTTTCCAAACACTTTTTTTTTAGAGGGAAGGGCTCAGAAATAAATACAAAATACTGCAAAGTTTTACTTGAGGATGGAAAAAGTGTTGCGGGGAAAAAGGTGTAAAAGACAACAGGAGAAAGTAAATGAGCAAAGGAAGGAAAAGATTGAGGTCTTGTCATCTGAAGATGGATTTTTTTATCTGCAGAATTCACACCAAGAAAGAGAGCAGTAAGATTTCCAGGTCAACTTCCAGCAGCTGCAGCTTCAGTATACCTGCAGATGAAACACACCTGGTGAGAAACTGGATTCACATGATAAAACAAATCTACATCTAAAATATTCAATGCATGTAAAGGTCTACATCTACATATTCTATGCATATAAAGATGCATATAAAGGTGATTCTATATAAAAATATACAATCTGTACTTCATGTATTATAATAGAAAGTGTCCTGGTCTCTGTTTATTGTCTGAGTAGTACTAACCAACCAGGTGCCAGCAGGCTCTAGTGTCTATGGAGAGCAAAAGCAGGAGGAACTCAGTCCTCAGATTGAACATCTAAACTGAGACATTTACACTTTAGATTTCCTGACTTCCCTGAATGCATCAGAAATGATGGATCTGAGCTCAACAAACATACCTTTTCAAAGTCGTTTCCTTCTCCTCTTGAGGACAGAGGTCATCAAATGGTAGCTGTTTTGTCTGATGGTAGCTTGCCGTGTTTTAAATCTTACCTCTCTTTCTCTATCTCTGTTTTTCTTTATTGTTAGCTTGCCCAGGCCATGACGGTAGAAGGCCAAAGTTCGAGTCCGCTCCTCATCTGCCGCAGTCCTACAGGTTCAGACCAAACACTCCTGCAGACACACACATGCCCAGAGAAACACGAATGTTTAAGATAACAGAAAGAGTTTTTTGTCCTGGTCTGTGTGCTGGAGGAGAAGCTGCCTCTCATTTTGTTTATGTCTCAATTTCAGAGTTGAAAAATAAAAACTCACCGAGGTCCAACCTCAAGTTTCGCTTTGACAAGCTGAGTCACTCGACCGCAGTAAGTCTGTATTTATATGCTGACTGTTCCTGGATTCAGTTTTCTCAAAGACAAATTTTACTGAACTGAATGAAAATACAAAACTTGGTTTCTCATGTTTGCAGACGGGGCAGTGAACTGTAAGGAGAACAGTGAGAGGTGAGGATGATCTCTTTCTCTCTGATGTTTCAGAAAATATCCTAAAAACTGAGCTGCAGTTTGTTTTAACCACACCTACTCTGAACAAGAGTTTTTTGACTGGTGTCAGATGGAGTTCACAAGAAAAGGTACTTCAAATCAGACCTGATCCAAAAATCTCTGCTGAAGAGTAAAAAAGATGCTGATAGGTGCCGTACACATCTCAGCAAACCAGCAAACTGCTGTAAAAGGAAAACAGCATCTCCATGAAGCTGGTCAGCAGATGAAGCCTGAAGGTCTCAAAGATCTGAAATTTATTTTAGTTTTAATTTGGAGAAAAGGTCTTCATTCTGTCACAAGTCCATTTTCTGAGGTTAAAGGGATATTCTGGCCTAAAATTAATTTAGGGTCAAACACACCGTAAGACTGAGTTAGACACCCCCTCAAGAGATGAATGTTGCCGACCATTTGCTTCTCTAGTTATACTAACTGTAGTAACGACAGCAGGATAGCAATACACAGCGATCTGAGGAGCCATAAACAAACCTCAACCAAAACGCCACTCTATAGCCACAAATAATGCTCAGAACAGCACCTAACTTCATCAACAGTACATATATGGTCCCAGCCATAGTACTAGCCACCAAACATCTTTTTAACTTTGCCTGATTTCTTTAGTAAAGAGACTAAACACAACTCACCTAGCCGCTTGTTTGTAGTAAGACCTCAGGCCAGTCCATTACGGACTTAGTATCTTTGCCAAAGAAATTAGGCAAAGTTAAAAAGATGTTTGGTGTCTAGTACTATGGCTGGGACCCTGTATGTACGAGTTTTTCTTGGAATTCTTGGATCAAAGAACTTTACTTTAGACTCAGAATTCTGAGACTGAAGCTGAAGTTTGAACTGTTTTTTTTGGAACTCTGTTTTTTCTTTTGTAGAAGTTCTGAGGTCAAAGTCAGAATTCAGGCAACTTAGAGGAATTCAGCAACGATCAGATTCACTTCAGTTCTCTTAAATCAACATCAGTTTCCTGAATTCAATGTCATTTTCTTGACCTTCTTGTGGAATTCGGATTTATAAGTTTCAACTCAAAATCCTGGCTCTTTTGGAATTCTTATTGTAACACCAGAACTCTGACTTTAGTCTCAGAGTTCTGACTTCTGTCTCAGAGTTCTGACTTCGGTCTCAGAGTTCTGGTTCTGATCCTATTATACTGAGAAAAACTATTTTTCTCTAATGCGGCCTTTGATCGTCTTCTGTATGAAACAGAGCTTAAACTGGAGTTGGTTTTTGAACTTTCTCTCTGATGTCGTCTGACATGACTTTGACATCAGCTCATACTCTAATCCATCAGTGACTGATGTTGTATTCATGTTATGGCTGTCAGAGAAGTATTCATAAGCCTGAGAGAAGAACCTGCAGATGATCCTCAGGGGTGAAGAGTTCACTGATGGTTCTGTTTCTGGAGTGAACTTCTGTGTGAGTTTGACTCTGACAGTGAAGACTGTAAAAAATGTGAGTCATCAAGACTGTGACTGAGGCTGAAGCTGTTTGTGGTCGACTGAAATGGTTCTGTTCATTTTGTCTTTTCTTTTAACTCTCCAGGAGTCAAACCGAGAGGTCCAAACAGACATCACGAAGACGACGTTTACTTGAAGACACTGATGGACAATCATACACACAAGTCAAACACACAGACACACTCTGAAGGGATAATAAGGGAAACAACACCCAGTTCGTCAAACCATTTATCATTTTTACACAGCGATGTTCAGTCTTCAACTGTCCACCAATCAGGAAATACATCAGATGATGTCACAGCGATGTCATCAAGGTCGTCTCAGAGTTATCTATGAGCAAAGAGTCGCACAGGTGAGGTGGTTTTCACCTGTTCAGCGCTCAGACTTACAAACACTGTGTTCTGTGAGGTTCTGGTTTGGACACAGATGAAGGTGTTCACAGCGTGTGTCTGCTTTAAAAATGAGGTTTTCATGTGTTCATCAGGGACTCAGAGCAGAGCTAACAGGCTAACATTTATCTGAAACATTTATATGCAACAGATCATGGATGCCTGAGATTGAACTTTTGAATTGCTTCTCATCTCACCTGATTAACAGAAGTTTGGTTTAGATTACGTCTTTTACCCCTGAAATATTTGATCGAGTTCATTTTAAAGACGCTCCAAAGACACATGAATCAAAGTGTTCCTGTTTCAGTCCAACTTTAAAAAAACAAACTATAACTATAACGAACAAACTATAACGTCTGACGACGCTCAAACATGCAAAACAGAAAAAATTAACAGTGACAGCTGTGGAAATTTAACATCAGTGGGACCAGCTAATTGGGACCACATTCCACAAGCCTACATTCTTAAATGTTAGGCACTACAATCCGGGTTCTATAATGCTGGGTTCTAAAATGTTTGATTCTGGAATATCAGATTTATCAGAAATACCAGGGTTTCTTGGTTCTGGAATGTTGTGCTCCACAATTCAGGGTCATAAAATGCTAAGTTCTAGAAGGTTGAATTGCTGTGTTCTGGGATGTCAGGGTCCATCATCATGGGTTCCAAAGTGTTGGGTTGTGCTGGGTTCCAGAAAGCTGGAAAGCCCTGTTCTGGAATGTTGGACACCGTAAAGTCTAATGGTGCGTTCCAGTCAACTCGGTAGTCGGATGTCGGAGCTGGGAATGACGTTACATCCGAGTTGACGGCGTTCCAGTAAACAAGTCGGAAAACCAAGATGGACGCCTACTGTTAGCCGTTGTTAGCTGTTGTTTACAATTGATAGCTGTCGTTAGCTGTTGTTAGCCGTTGTCAGCTGATGTTAGTTGTTGTTAGCTATACCAGTTGTTAACAATGCATAACACAGTATTTTACTCTTACAAACACATTAGCACCGTGTTCACAGTTAGACGTTGGGCAGTACAACATAAACCACTTATTTAATTTCACAAAAACAAAACAGAAGTGCTAATAATAAGACATTATGAGAGCGTTCTCTGTTACTCTTTACGTCAATGCGCTGTGATGCCATCTTGGTTTATGATGTTGTCGTATAGTCTGAGTTAGTGAGGATCGTCCGACTTCCGGAGTCAGAAATCGGACTCCAGGGGGGCGTTCCAGATGAATTTCCGACTCGAAGCTTGAAAATCCCGACTTCCGAGTACAACTGGAACGCAGCATAATGCAGTTACAACATAATGGGAATCGTTCTGTCAAAATTTGAAAGCTGAAATATTGCTCATGCGCTTCAAACAGGCAGACAGGGTAACTGGTTCGCTGCACGGTGGGATTCTTTACGGTGGTCACCATCTGCCATGAAAAGAATCTCCATAATAGAGAACTGTGTCACGTCATCCTGTCTGGTTTTCCATTTTACTTTATTTCAAAGTTCAATAAGGATAAAAAGTGATTAAAAAGTCTTTTAAACTAAAAAAAAAAACTAAAATGAGACCCGATGCAATAACCACAGCTCTGTCTGTCTCAGAGTTTGAATCACTGTAGTTCTTCCTGGTCTCCTGCTGTAGACAGGACACTGGCCTCCATACTGTAGATGTCATTTCTTTGTCTTTACGGTGTCTGGACGTTTACACACTTCAGTCACTATTAAAAACTGAAACAATCAAAACAATCAAAGTTTTTACAGAGACTTGTTCAACCAGTGTTGGTCTTTTTCAGTACAGCTGTGAGTCAGACCTGATCAAGTTTTTTAGAAGTATTTCAATCCCTGAAACCGAACAGGTTGGACTCTCAGTGGTGCTGAAGGTGACCAACTATAAACCTGCAAAAACCAGAAGCTTCACTGCCGTTTGATGCAAAAACCAACAGGAACCAGACGTTTACTTTGCACTAAGATGACACACAGCTCTGTGGATGTGAAATATGTACAGTCTGAATACTCCATCTATATAAATGTCTTGATTGCACTGAAAGCACAAAATCAGTTCCTCCTCGTCTCCCTCTGATTTCAGGTGTAAATGTTTGGTCTGTTTTGTGTTCAGATTTTTGCAAAAAAAAAAAGAGTATAATTTATTTTGAAAGGGGTTAAGGGAGGATGTAGCATAATTTCAAAGATGTCGCTGTGTCTGTATTTAATCCTCTGCATCTTAAACAGATTTCTGTGATTCTGAAATGTAAATCTGATGGAATAAAAGTTTCTGCAGAATGAAACCTGTTCCTCCTTACTCTGTTAGTGTGTGTTTTGTAAAGCAGACAACATCCAGGGGGCGCTGTATGCATGGGAAGAGAAGTGAGGACCAATCTGACAGAAGCAATTAAAAATATTCATACCTGACCCATCAGTCAGTGACACATTTGATGACCCAGTTTGACATAAATACAGTACATTAAAGTTGCTAATGGGGTCTGTAGTCAGAGGAACATAAAATATGAGCATAAAGTTGCAATGTTGTGAAAATAATATGTAATGTTATGACCATTAAGCTGTAATTTCACCAAAAAGCTGCTGTGAGAATAACTCAACTCCACTTTATGTGAAAAGTACTTTAAAACAACCACAGCTGAACAAAGTGCTGTACATAAATAGACAAAACAGCGCAGACATAAAAAAACAATTAAAACAATGGATAAAATAAAAGCAGATATTAAAAAGTAAAATATAGTTTCAATGGTTTTAAAAACTAATTTATAAACAATAGAAACAACTAAAAACAAACCATGAAACACTGAAATAGGAGCCGAGTCTCATGCAGGGTTGAAAGCCGATGTGAATAAAGTCCTAATATTACTAAAAAGTAATGTAAGGAGGATAGTCCTGGTGAGAATTAGGTGTTTTTGTTATGAGAACGTTGTCTGAATGTTAACACACTAAAGGGCACAATTACAATGTAGTTGTTTTATTCTGAAATGTCATTTTTTTAAAAAAGTTATCATTTTGTTATGGAAATAATTCTTGAAGTTATGAGATTAAAGTGGTGAAATCATTTTAATTCAAGACACATTTTTCTTTTAATCCTAGAACAATCCTCTCATTTAGAGATAGCTCACTCGTTATCTAGTTAAGGATAACAGAAATTATTTTAATGCATTGCAACTTGATAGTGGTTAAAGCGATATTCCAACTTTAGTAACGACCGCAGGATAGCAATACACAGCGGTCTGAAGAGCCATAAACAAACCTCAACCAAAACGCCACTCAAACATCTTTTTAGTTTTGCCCAATTTCTTTAGCAAAGAGACTAAATACAACTCACCTACTCTCTTCCAGAAGCCGTGATTGTAGCGAGACCTCAGGCCAGTCCATTATGGACTACAGCGGGGTGACGCAGCTCAAGGAAGAACATTTATGATTATTTTCCCGCTAAAACTCGCTCACAGAACCTTTACTGGAGTATTACAGAAGCTCTACATCGCGGTCACTGGGGGGCGCTCTGGTACAGCTTTGGTAGCTTACCGTCCACCACCACCTTAACACCATCGAAGAAGAAGCGGGAGGACGCTGAAACTCTGCCGGGTTAACGAACACAGCGGTAGTGTTAGCCGTTGTTAGCCGTTGTTAGCAGCCATGGCGGCCGCACGCAGCTTACGGGTGTCGGTGAAATCAGACAGCGGCTCCGACCGCTCCGACTCGGATTCGGACTCCGAATCGGACAGGGATACCCGCGAAGCCGAGCCGATGGAGGTGGAGGAGGGAGAGCTGGATGCGGAGGACGTGTCCGTGAATCGGTCCCTGAAGGAGCTTCTGCCGGTAAGTGGCCGGAGGAGGCCTCGTCAGACCGGGGGCTGGAGTCTCCTGTGACCGGCGGAACCGCGGGGAGACCCGGCGTGCGGTCGATGAGACTCGCGGTCCTATTTGGGAGCTGGTTGTTTGCTCCGCGGCTGTTGGTTGTTAACGGTGAATAACGGTTAACCGACTAAATCATTAAATCGAGTGAAATTCTGTCATCTTTGTTTAACAACCCGGAGCCTGTTTGTTTTCCACTCACTTGTTGCTGCAGACTGTAAATGAACTCCACCTGTTTACAACCAAATTAATGCAACCAGAAAAAACTGGAAATACTCCTTTAGTCGACGGTAATATACCGAGGACTGGGACTGTGGGTGAAAGGAGGAAAACACTGTGGAGATAACTAATAAATAATCTGAGTAATTACAAGGAGAGGGGCCTCAAAACAGACCTTACAGTGAGTGAATATGAAAGTTTGAACCTTAAAACAGGCTCTGAAATCCCCTTACAGCTTCTGAAGGAGACCATCTGGATAGAGAAGCTGAAGGGTCCCTCCAAACAAACCCAGCTGTGTTCACAAAAGAGGAATAAACCCTAAAATACAGAGCTGGATTAGGGCTGGGCGAAAAGGGAATAAGGTTATCACAATATTTTTGTTATATCAGTTTATATCGATATGTATTACGATCTAAAACAATTTAATTGTCAATCTTAAACGTTCCAGTGCCAGTGTTGTCAACGATGTTGTGATATGTTGAGTCTTCAGGTTCTTACACACCGGGAACTATGGAAATATACAACGCGAAATTACGAAAGACATGCTACCAATAAGCACTCTTAAATTTCATGTTTTATATCGGGACGTATATCGATATTGACTGACATGAAAAAAATATATAGTGATAAACTTTATCTCATATCGCCCAGCCCTAGTCTCAGCATTCTTCATTCGTTTGTGTTATTTTGACATCCAGAAAGAGTGCTGAGAGATTTTTCTGATTTGCAGGATACAAGCCGGCGGTATGAGAACAAAGCTGGAGCGTTCATCACTGGGATTGATGTCAACTCAAAGGTTGGACACACACACACACACACACACACACACACACACACTCCCTAAAAGAGCAGGACAACACCTGGACATAAGTATATGACATCACAGCTATTAGAGAGCCAATCAGACTGAAGCGTTTATCCACTGCAGTGTGATGTTGAAGCTTCCTTGTGAAGTGGAGTCACATGTACATCTACTAAAAGGGACCATGCATCTATTCTTCACTTGTGTGTGTGTGTTTGTGTCAAATGTGTGTTTGTGCTAAATGTGTGTGTTTAGGAAGCGATTGAAAAGAAGGAGAAGCGAGCGAGGCGATTTCATTTCTGTGCAGAGGAGAGCGTCGCTCAGAGGAACGTCTTTCTGGACAAAGACATGATGAAGAAAGGTGACCCCCTCCGCCCTCCTCCCCCACCTGAACCAGTTCACGTGTGTGTTTACGTTTAAGTGTCGTACCTGAATGTCCTCTCTCCTTCTTCTTCTGTGGTGTTTAGCGATCCCCAAACTGCGCATGGAGGCAATCCATGTGACGGGCGTGGACGAGATGAGCACACAGGACGTGTTCGGATACTTTAAGGAGTATCCTCCAGCTCACATCGAGTGGATCGACGACACATCCTGTAAGACACACACACACACACACACACACACACACACACACACACACACACACACACACACACACTAAACCAGACATCAGATCACTACAGAGCAGCTAAATGTCACCTTCTGTCTGTTTCTCAGGTAATGTGGTGTGGCTTGATGACAACACCTGTATCAGAGCCCTCTTCAACAGCAGCCGGATGCCTGACCCAGAGACGGTTACCACGGCAACAGAGGGTGATGACCAGTCAGGAAAGGAAAGCAAAGGTTTGGGTGTGTTTAGAGAAACATCTGCCAGAGTCAGAGAGGGAAGTAAAGAGCGAGTGTCAAAGTAATTTTTTTTTTATTTTCACCTGTCAGGCCACCGGGGTCAAAGGTCAGACGATGAAGATGACGAAGAGGAGGAGGGCGAGGTGGATGAGGATGAGGAGACGGTGAAGAAAAGCAGCGAGGTGAAGGACGGCGAGGTAGAGGAGGAACAGGACAGGAAGGTGGAGTCTGGACAGGTGACTAATGATTGGTTTAATTATCACCTAAAAAAAATGGATCGATCACATGATCAACTCCAGTCGTCTGATTGGTCACATGATCGGTGTGTTGTCTCTCTCAGGTGGACGACCTGTCGGGGGCAGAAAGACAGTCACTGTTAAGGAACGAGCTGCGACCCGTCACCAGACCGTTTAAAGGAAATAAACTGTTCCTGCGCTTCGCCACACATGGTGATGCTGACACACACACACACACACACACACACACACACACACACACACACACATAATCTAGACCCATGATTAAAGTCGAGTCTTTAATTGTGGGTCTAGATCTAATGTTGCGTTTCGAGTTACCTCAGAAGTCAGATGTCGGAGCTGAAAAAGACGTCACACCCGAGTTCCCAGCATTTCAGTTACCAAGTCGGAAAAAAGCAAAATCGGTGGCCTGAAACAAGATGGCTACATCTACAAAAGTTATTTTAGCACTTGCTAAATATATATTCGGACAAGGCAAGCACTAAAATAACTTTCGTAGACGTAGCCATCTTGGTAACTCGAACGCAACATTAGTCTAAAAACTGTCCTGGTTCTTGTTTGTCATCTGAGTATTGACCAATCAGGAGTTAGCAGGCTTTAGAGTCTGCAGGAAAATCAGTCTGTATGGAGAGCCGAAGCAGGAGGAGCACAGTCCTCCATAAAGACAAATCAGGACCTCTGACTTTGGACTAATCATGATGTTATTTCAGCGAACTGAAGACCTGTTACTGAGGAGAACATCAGTTTCTGCTTCTGAGGGACTATTTACAGAGAAACTGAGACTCTCTGCAGACAGACAGAAAATAAGCCAAAGGGAAGCCTTTGTGTAAAGTACCATTGATGGTGAAACTGAGACTTTCCAGAGGTTGATAAACATCAGTGTGAAGGAGGAGATGTTTTTATTTTACAGCCAAAAAAACTGAGACTTTAACACGATCAGAAGACGAACAGTAAACCAGAGTGAAACTCAGACTCACTACTGAGAACAAAAGAGTCTGTGTCTCCTACCTTTAACAATGAAACTGATGACACAAACATTAACTCTGCTCCTGTTTAGACAAATGAATCAATAAAGTTTTATTCAAATGCGGGTCTCCTCCTCTGGGTCTCCTCCTGTATGTTCAGATGATAAGAAGGAGCTGGGAGCAGCACGGCGCAGCAGATACTACATGAAGTATGGAAACCCCAACTACGGAGGCATGAAGGGGATCCTCAGCAACTCCTGGTGAGACTCGCACACTGTTACCCACACACACATGCACACACACACACACAAACACCTGAACATTTCCTGACGTTTCCTCTGTGCGTTCAGGAAGAGGAGGTACCACAACCGTCGTATCCAGAGAGACGTCATCAAGAGCAAGAAGCCTCTGATCGGAGACAGCATGGGACACACACCACCCTACACACACCGACACTCAGGTAAGCACACACACACACCTACACACATCGGAGGACACACACCAGATTCATCATTTTACATCTAAAATATTCAGAGATGGGACAGAAACATATGAGATGATTTTGTTCAGAAACTTTCACTTTGATTGCTTCGTTCAAAAGTTTAAAAAATTATATGTATATAAATAAATATTCAGATACACGTTTTGATTTGTCTGTCTGTCTCTTCGTTCCTCAGCCGATCTGGTTAATCTGCCAGAGGAGCCAATCAAAGAGGAGGAAGAAGAGGAAGAGGAGGAGCAGGATGAAGACGGAGAGGAGGACATGGACTCAGACGACAGGGTGGTGGAGTACAAAGAGCGAGCGGAGCGCGACAGAGGAGAGAGAGGCGGGTCGCGGCCGCTCGGGGAGGGGCTTTCTAGCCGGGCAGACCGCTCCCCGTCTCCGTGGTCGGAGTCGGACGAGATGGACTACGACCTGGAACTGAAGATGATCTCCACGCCGTCACCGAAGAAGAGCAAGAAGATGACGATGTACGCCGACGAGCTGGAGACGCACCTGAAGAGCATCAGGTCAGAGGAGTTCAGATTGTATTCTGTGCACAACTTCAAAACAAAAGCATGAGGGGGAACCTTTTAAATATTTAATCTTTTACTTTGAAATGCATCCTGTATACTTTTGATACAGAGTTAACACAACCCTCAGCTGATCCAGGTCAGCTGTGGAAACACAAAGAAGATCAGGGTCCAGTGTAGACCCAGACCACAGTCCTGCTGAAGGACTTTCTTTGCCTCTTGGTCCTGAGTTTGATTTTCTGTTTTGTGCCTTTTTGTGTTTTTTAGGAACAGGATCGGGGGGTCTGGATCACAGAGCGCACCCAAATCTCCCTCGCCCACCAAGGTGACAGACGTGCGTCAGCTGCTGGAGGAGAAGAGACAGGGCCTCTCTCACCACAGACAGCCCCCTCCTGTGGCGCCCAGTGGAAAGATAGGTCAGCTGTGAGTCCAGGTATAACGGTCGTCTTATAACTACAATATAACCACTATTATCTTCCCGTCTCTGCAGATGTTCGGCAGCGGTTGGGTAAAAGGCGCTACTCCCCTGACAGACGGCGCTCCCCCTCCCCAGTCTCCAACAGGGATGCGCCCCCCTCCAGAGAGCCAATCAGAGACGTGCACCGCAGGCTGGGCGTGGTCAGCCAAGACAGCAAAGACAGAAAGACAGGTACAGAAGAAACTTCTTTCGTCATTTCCCTTCAATTATCTTAACTCACGAGTGTTTCTGTCATCTCACAAATTATTAAAATATGAAGCAGGATGATACGATAAAGCTGAACTGTCAGCTGATAGGGGTTGATGTTTGGATCAGCTGATGCACTTGTGGACTGAGCTTGAATTTGTGGCCTGCCTGAACTAGCAGTATGCTTAAAGGGATATTCTGGCCTAAAATTAATTCAGGGTCAAACACACCGTAACACCGAGTTAGACACCCCCTCGAGAGATGAATGTTGTTGATCACTTGCTTCTGTAGTTATACCAACTTTAGTAACGACCGCAGGATAGTAATACACAGCGGTCTGAGGAGCCATAAACAAACCTCAACCAAAACGCCACTCTATAGCCACAAATAATGCTCAGAACAGCCCCTAACTTCATCAACAGTACATATAGGGTCCCAGCCACAGTATTAGCCACCAAACATCTTTTTAGCTTTGCCTAATTTCTTTAGCAAAGAGACTAAACACAACTCACCTACTCTCTTCCAGCAGCCGCTTGTTTGTAGTGGGGGGTGTCTAACTCGGTGTTACGGTGTGTTTGACCCTAAATTAATTTTACACCAGAATATCCCTTTTAAGTGCCGATGTATTTGAGGAAGATTGACTAATTTGATGTTTTTGAACTCCGTCATTTCCTGCAGGCGGACTCTGGAGCAGACTGGGATCAGCTGATGACGACAGCAGCTCCGGACGTCAGGACCGCAGAACAACCAGCTGCACATCAGGTCTCTTCTCCCCCTCCTCCTCTTCCTCCTCTTCTTCAGGACGGAAAAGCACCAGCGATAATGCCGGCGGCGGCGGCAGCAGCAGCAGCAGGAGGCTGGGCAACGGAGAGGAGGAGGAGGAAGAGGAGGCTGAGGAAGAGGACGACTCCACGCTGCAGAAGATGTGGGGCGCCATGATCAAACAGAAACAGGAGCGGCAGACGCACAAGCTGAAGAAGAGCCGGCTGGACAACCTGCCGTCGCTGCAGATCGAGATCAGCCGAGACAGCAGCGACGACTCGGACGCCTGAAAGGAGGAAGAGTTTGTTTCCGTTGAACTGAGTCCCTCTGTTCTTAACGTACAAAAATCAAAAAAGAGGTGAAGCTGTGAGAGTGGACTGCAAACCTGAGGTCAGCGTGGGAGTTTCTGGTTCATGTTTTATTTTGTGTATCTGTGGATGAGTCAGTGGAGGGGTCTACCGGGCTCAGACACAGGGCCTATGATGAACTTGCATAACCTTTCTGTCGTCAGTTTAAACATAGATCGTGAATGAAAAAGTGGGCGCAGTGGCGATTTCGGTCGAATACAAAGAGGCTTTATACCAAGTGTCCTCTCTGAAAAATGGACTCAGACTTTCTCAGACCGCTATGATAGTATTCGGTCTGAATCCTGGCCTCTCTCTGCGACTCTCAAAGGGACCATCATTTCCGAATGAACACCACGCTGTGTTGAAGAAGACTGAACTAGAGATTAAGACCAGAAACTCACTAGGGAAACGTAAATGAGGGAAAAAATCAGCAGAGAAGTAGGAGTGTGTTTGAGTCAGATTTGTCGCCTCCTGCTGGAGATGAGAAATAACAGGCTTCAGACACTTTGATACTGGCTTCACCTGAAAACACCCGGGCTGTGTCTACTTCTCATGTGCGGTCTGTGGATGAGATTAAAGATGTCCTTTTGTTTCTGTTCAGTAAGAATCTGTAACCAACTCATAACCTGCAGTCATGTGTTTTTATATGAACTCAAAGAAGGGGGTTTTCTGCTTATTTTCACTCTTTATGTCGACTCAAGCCAGGATGGCAACACCATGTTCGCTGGAGGTGAACACAAATCGCCACCACGAGGTAGAAGGCGACATAAAAATCCTGAAACGTGGACTTTCCCCGTTGTTGGTGCCAGAATAGAAGTAGTGATAGTAATATCTGAAAACTACAGTATACCAGCTGCCACTGCCAAAGACGACTTTGGCTAAAGCGGGATAAGACAGAAGGACTGGAGCGAGGTGATCAGCAGAAACACTTCATATGTTCATGTTTTTGTGTTTGAATGGATGGATGAAACAATGGCTGATCAGGGTCATTAACTGGGGAACAAGTTACTTAGCAACATAAACCGTTTTATGACACAAGCCAATGAGAGTCAGAGATACAAAGGAAACTGTTATTGGTCCTCCTCCTGTGGGATTGTCATGACAACCAACCACAGATGTAAAAGGAGCTACGAACCCATTTAACATTGCAGCTCAGTTAAATCACCCATCCACTGGCTGTTGCCCTGTTTGTTGGTGTAAACTCATCAGAAGAACTCCATATCCAGACAGACCTGCATAAAACAAGACAAAAACCAACAAATGCTGGTGAACGTGTCTCGAGTAGTTTTGCCTCCAGCTAAGCCATGCCCACCAAACATGTCACAGTTCACTATCACTAAAAGGGTCTATTGTCCTTCTGACAGCTTTGTTAATAGTTTGACATGATCTGAAGTTAAAACAATAATGTACTTGCAGCATCTCAGATCTGTGGTTTATATAAAAAAAAAAACAGTTTCAGTCTCAGTGAGGCTTCTTCTCACCAACCGTCTATTCTTAATATTTTGGTTTAGCTGCAGCTGAGAGACCAAAAGCAGCTCCTGAGACCTTTGCTCTCCTTTAAATAAAAAAACAGACAATCAGAATAAGAAACAAAGAGATACAGACGGTAATAAAGAGAACAAGTTGAAGAAATAAGGATCGAACATTATTAGTGTACTTAAGTGACAATCCCAGTTAGTGACAGCAGAGGGTGCTCTCTACCTCTTCTACGGTTCCTTTGTAACTAAAAAAACTGCGTTATCGACGTCTGTGTAGGTTCTCATTCATCCCAGACATGGTTATCCAATTCTTTGTTGAAAGAGTGACTGGACTCGTTTGAAGTTCTTAAAGAAGTTTCACCTAAGGCGAACCTCAAGCAAATCCCTTCCCTTTCAACAAGGAATTTAATGCTAACGTTATATTTTATCTGCGTCACCAGGCGTATGAGAGAAACATCTTTTAGAGAAGAGATTGCATCATAAAACGATTGTTCGTGATGCTTTTATTTTGACACCTGAGTTTAGGTTGCTCTGTTTCCTGCATTGTAAACTTATGCCTTTATTTTGAAGGTATTTGTAGCTCTCTTTGACAGATTATAAGTGGGTAGTAACCTGCTCAACAATTTCTAAACATGCTTATTTTTGGAACAATATTTTTTCTAAGTCAGTTCCTGTACATTAGGAAAGTGTTAGTTGTGTTCTTCCAAAATAAAAGCCCATTTGTAAGTAAGTGTAAGGCAGTAAAAAGGAAAAATGAAATCATCACTGGTTAAAGCTAAATAAAGCGATCTCTTCTCTAAAGCTTGAACACAATCTGGATTATTCACACCCTGAACATTTCCAAATGTTTTATGTGGAGGGCTGTGGCTCAGACATCATCACACGGTTTGTAGAAAAATAAGAAGTGTTTGTTTTTGGGTCATAAAAATAGGAACAGAACGAGTTTAACCAGCTAGTAATTACCTGTTTGCTTCACATGAATCCATCTGTAAATGTCTCCATGTATGAAGTATCTGTGTTGAAGTTCAATGGACAAAAAAACTCTTGTAATTGATCACCAAACTGTCCTGATAGCCAATCAGATTCTCCTCTTTGCCATGACATCATTCCTACAGTAACTCCTACATTCAGTCTGGTCCTACTGAGAGAAACTGACCTGTCCTCTAAGACCTGAACCTTGCTAGTTCTGTCAACTTGTTGCTGGGACCTGAACCAAACTCCATTCCAAAAACAAGAGATTTTAGTTTTGATCAGCCTGGTTCAGTGTGAGCAGAGCAGGAGGCTGTTACAAGATGATGGATAAGAGACTCGAATCAGAGAGATGAAAACGGCTCTGATTCCACCTTCTTTTGTTTCTTTTTCTGTCTCTATGAGAGCGGAAAGAACCGATGAAGACTCATCAGTCTGTGCCCGTAAATATCTGATACAAACAACGTTTTTTCAATCTCAGAAACTCCTGATGTTTGTTTGTTTGTGTTAAGATTTATGTTTTTTAATTTTTTTTCAATGAAACTTCCGAGGCCACAGTGAGTTCATGCTGTGTGATGTTCTCCAACAGGTGACGTCAAAGCAGCTCATGAGTTTAGAGGATTATTAAAATGTGAGCGTATGCTTAATTTTACACGTCTATGATTTCTGACTCTTATCCTGGGAAACGGCTTTTTTTAATGTCAGGACACAGAGGCTGCTGTGATCGGTAGATTAGGATTGATTCTCTCCAGTCCTTTAAAAGCATTATTATATTTTTTCTATCGCTGTGAAATAAAACAAAATACAGTCCTTAAAGTAATTCACAACAAAGTCTGAGAGCCATAAATTTGACATTACAGCAAAAAAAATTACCAAAATAAAGTCAGAACTAACTAACAGGGAATAAAGTTGTTAGTCCTTAAAAGCTAATAATGATAATTAAAATCAATCACGATGTACTCGTTTAGTTTTTCTGGGGTCACATGTTCAACACATGGTAGGATACTCTCACTGTGTAGTATGAGAACTTTTTACTGCATTTTGTGTGTGGTTTCAGATTATGTTACAGTGAAACAGAGTCTCAGTCTGGTGTCTGATTTCTGCTCTAAAAATATCTGAGCAGATAGTTTTGATCTGGACGCTGCAGCTGTGACCCTCATAGAGTTCACTTTACCCTAGGCTCACTAACATGCAACACACACAAAACATAAATTCAAACTGGAATTTTTTTCATGCACATTTTACACTCGGTCTGCTACTGAGGAGAATAAGAGATAAATATACAGATCTTTAAAGTTTGAAAATGTTTTAATTTAAAATCACAAATCTATGAAAAATGCTGGGATTCATATCAAACAGCAGATGTATGTAGACAGAAATCAGGATTAACTTTGAATCCTGACTAAAAACTCTGAATTCTTCTTTTCAGATGTGAGTCAATTTAGCATTTTTCCTACAGGCACGTGTTCACAGGGTGATTTTCACCCGGAAATAGTGATAGAGGGTAAGAGTGAATGTTGAAGAATAAGGTCAGTAGGATTGGTCCTGGAATTTGCATGCTATCTTTATTTAGGGCAGTGGTTATGAATAACTATCACAAAGTAGTGATTTTTAAGGGAATTCATGTGGTGATAAGAAATATTTCAGTCAGCTGGTGATTTTTACTGACTCAAAATCTGCCATATTTTGGTTTTCTCCTCTGCAGCTGTTTTTGCACCAAGGACCACGAGTCTTCACTAGGGAAGGCTCACATGACCCAGGAATGGATGGAAAATGAACTAAGTTTACAGTTTGTATGTGTATATATAAAACAACTCTCTCTCGGCCACCCTGGGCGGTATTGTGTCTCTTCAAGCTCGGGTCCTCTATCAGAGGCCTGGGAACTTGAGGGTCCTGCGCAGTATCCTTGCTGTTCCTAGGACTGCACTCTTCTGGAGTGAGATGTCTTATGTTTCCCCAGGGATCTGTTGGAGCCACTTCTCCAGTGTGGGGGTTACTGCCAGAGTGCCCCAATGACCATAGACACCACTGTTGCCTTCACCTTCCAGACTTTCTCTCGCTCCTCTTTGAGCCCTTGGTACTTCCCTAGTTTCTCGTGTTCCTTATGTCTGATGTTGGTATTGCTTGGGATGGCGATAACTACCACAGCGTCTTTCCTCTGCTGTTTGTCTACGATTACAATGTCCAGTTGGTTGGCCATTACCATTTTGTCGGTCTGTATCTGGGGGTCCCACAGGATCTTGGCTCGGTCATTCTCCATTACCTTGGGAGGTGCTTCCCATTTTGACCTCGGGGTTTCCAGTTCATTTTTTGTTCATGAATGCCTAATTTCAGTTATTTTGTTGCATTTTTATACGGTCCCCTTATGGCACTTTTTTCCCTCCCTTTGGACATTTCACAGTTAAAAATAAAGGAAAACTACTACTTGTCATATCCTGTTTTGATGACAAGTAGTTTTTCTTGGGCATAATATTTCAGGTAAAAATCACCCGGCGATAGTGATGGTCTTACTAATATTAACGACAGTGTTTCTGGGTTCAGGGTTCAAGCCATTTTTATTCCACATCACTTTAAGGACACAACAGTACACCATGTTTGAGCCTCGTGTTGTTCTGTTGTGAAACATAACTGTCCTTATGTAATAATTGGCTAACATCGCATTAATCTAATTGGTTCATTTATATGGCTGTTATTGAAGCGATCCAATCAAAACAGAGGATCCGGTGCAGCGGTCCGACACTAGCCAATAGGAGTGCACGGCATCACATCAGCTATTTCATTTCCCCCTCTCGTGACGTCGGCAGTCTTCAGTTGGATTCGCCATCTTGTCGTCGTTGAAACAAGCGGAGAAGGACGGCGAAATATCGAACAAATCCGACGAGAATTCTCTGTAAACCGAGGCGGAACGTTTAGCTACATGAGTTCATGGACTGCTTGCTGATCAATGGTCATGTTACCGATAATAGTCGTCTAGGTTTCCCCGGCTCGTTGGGCGCAAAGATGGGCGACACAGCGGCGAGGGAGGACGCCTGCCGAGAGTACCAGTCCTCCCTGGAAGACCTGACGTTCAACAGCAAGCCCCACATCAACATGCTCACCATCCTGGCTGAGGAAAACCTCCACTTCGCCAAGGATATCGTCGCAATAATTGAAGCTCAAATAAGCAAGGTTTTTATAAATATAGAATACTTTAATTCCAGCTGCTTCTGTCTATGTATGTGGAAGGCCCAGAACACGATGTCCTGTAAGCTAAGTTAGCTGTTAGCTCAACATGGCGGCCAGCGTTTGTCACAGAGTTACGTTACATTCCAGTGTTGTGGTTAGTGAACGAATACTTTATGTTAAAGTTTGAATTATTGATTTAATATCCAAATATTATAACATATTATCTGATGAGAAAATCTCGCCGCACTAATGTGAAGTTTGCGTTAGTTTTGTGAGCGAACGTATAAATACACGGTAAAATAACGCACATTTTCCTTTAACTCACAGTAGAAAAGAACCGTTTTCCGCAATTTGAATGCGTAGTTATCTTATCCAGAGTATATTTTTTGCAAATGAACTGATTAAGGGATACTTTAGGACAAACAAAGGGGTCTTGGTAACAATGGGGCCGTTTGAGCCTTTTTACCGAAACTGAAAAACAGCATTTAACAACCTTGAAGACCAAAGGCGTCTTTAAAATGGGGAGTTAGCAACGAGTCTTAAAGTTATAATACAAAACAAGAACAGAATTTTAAAGTATGAATCCTTATGAAGACTGTTGGAAAAACATTGAAAAGTTAAGCCTTTTTTACCTTCTGGTTAACTGAGTGTAAACTAGGAATAAAGTATCTAATTGAAATTAACCATTTGTGTCCACAAAAATATGTTGGAATATAGATTAAAATTGATGTACTTTTTGTCTTCCCAAACAAACTAACTCTAGGTATCTTGGCTGCCTTCAGTGAGTCTGTGGCGAGACCTTACCGAAAACTGTCATGCACCCTGAATCCCTCACACATTTCAACTTTAAAACAGAGCCAGAATTAAGTTCAACCTTAAAGGTCCTTACACACCGGAGCCGACATGAATATAGAACGTGAAATTGGGAAATATTCGGAGGCGAGTATTGACGCGCCTGACTATACACCTAGCCTGATGCGATTTTGCACCAATACCATCATATCAATTACTTAGCCTTTATTTATATAACACTATGTACAAATCAAACACAGTTCAGAGTGCTTTACAGTGATTGAAAACATTGCATTGTATCGTCAGAAAATGTGACTTTAACTACGACAAAACAAGTAACATTAAATTTTTAATGTAATTTTAAAAGAAATGAGCTTAAAATAAGGTTAAACTGTAAAATAGCGTCGAATATAGATGGTTAAAAAGAGATACAAAAAGTAAACCCAGCCGTCTCCTGAAAGAGCCAAGAAGAGTTGAATAAAAAGGTTTTTCCAGGGAGGGAAAGTTCAATTTTAGCATTATATGTTTAAGACTGAAACTTTTGTTACCAATAGACAAAGTTGAGAGGTAAGGCGCTTAACATTAAAAAAAGAGCTTTTAATCCCTACTATACGAACTTGGCCGCTTTTAATTGATCGTAATACACCAGTTCAGCCATGCTACACACCCAGACCATTAGAGTTAAACCCTGAGGGTCTTTTCTTTCTATCTGCTCACAAACACTAGACCTTCTCGCTGTGTTTCAGTGGGTTTCACAGGATCCTTTTGTGAATAATCAATGCCAGTATTCCTATTGTTTCACACAGAAAAGAGGGGCCTCTTTAGACCAACTCCTTCTCTCTATTGAAATGCATTTCAGTCAGCAGTTCAGCCCAGTCTCTGCTTAGTGTTTGCACGTTTACCGCACTAAGCTTGATCAGATCGCACAAGAAGTTTCTCTGCTTTAATTAGTGAATCTTGATTTACTGAAATGTCATTGAATGGTTAAAATGTTATAATAAAAATTGTGAAATGTGCTTTTTGTCATTTTTTATTTCCCAGTGTAATTTATTGGTATGGCTCTGGTTTATATTCACAGACACAGCTGAGTCTGACTCGGCCTGTTTGGATTAAACAGACTTATTTCACTTAGGCTGCACTGTCAGCAGAGTTTAATGCAGCGTCCTCTGTACGGTTAACTTGTTTTTTATGGGTCTTTAGTGGTTTTTATTAACAAGTCATGGGTTCAAACCTCTAAGGGGGCAAAACTTCTAAAGGGTGTGAGTGAATCAAACTCACTGGGTGTAACGGCAAAGATCTAAACTCTGGGTAAAGTACAAAGAGTGGTTGGAGGAAGAAACCCTCTTTGGAGGTAAAAGTTCCTGAGGACTGGACTCTCGCCTTTTTCTTTTTTTAACCCTTCACGGACCTGTTTGTCCCCCTCTGACTGAGGGTGGATCATCTTTGCAGATGCTGGAGTGACTAGTTGACATAGTGGACTAGTGGACATTTTTCTGCGCACTTTTTATTTTTTTTATCCTTCGGATCGATCCCAGTTGTGGAGTTTCTTGGAATACTTTTCCTGAAGAGTTTTTGTTAAATTTTTTGATCCAGAATAGAAAAAAACTCCAGACTTTGGACTTCCTTTTTTTTGATGGACCTGTCATTTCTTATACTTCTCTGAACACCGGTGAAGATTTTTTCCTGGTTTTGTTTTCAGTTTTTGGCGCTGCGGGTGGTGAGGGAGAGGGCGTTCAGCCCCTATTGATGCTGATGAGTTGTGCTTTTGTTCTGAAATGTTGGTTTAACCCCTGTTGTGTTCTAAACTTGTCGAGTTCTCTATTGCTCCAGGCCCCACCAGCCGAGAAGCTTCCAGTTTTGTACTTAGTGGATTCCATAGTGAAGAATGTTGGAGGAGAATACCTTGCAGTGTTTGCTAAAAACCTAATCACTTCATTTATATGTGTCTTTGAAAAGGTACAGTTCTCTTTGCTGCTGTTTGACTTTGTTGTTAAAATTGAAGCACTCAAACTGTTTAGAAACCCACTTCACTCCCCTCCTTTGTTGTATTGCTTGCTTTTAAATGTGATCTCCTGCTCTCTGCTCATACTCACTTAATGCCATAACTTACAGCTGCTAATAAAATAAAGGGGGGTAGATCCATACATGTAGAAAATTTTACGCAAATGTTTATTTTTTACCTCTGAAACTGCATTTTTAAGTTAATCTCTGTAGCTGTACTGAAGATAGTTAATGGTTTAATGCTGCTAAAGTGTCTTCAGGTGTCTGGGTAGCTTTGGACCAAGTCCTGTCCTCTGTTTGTAGGTGGATGAAAACACTAGAAAGAGTCTGTTCAAGTTACGCTCCACGTGGGACGACGTGTTTCCTCTAAAGAAACTCTATGCGCTGGACGTGCGGGTCAACTCTGTGGACGTGGCCTGGCCCATCAAGCCGCTGCCACCCACCATCAACGCCAGCATTCACGTCAACCCCAAGTTCTTAAAGCAGGTGTGTATGAGCTGCAACGACACTTCAGGCTGAGAAAGCATCTCCACTGAGGGTGTTAACTTGTTGACTTTCACCAGCTGCAGTTTTCTAACATTCAAAACTGATACAGCGTAAAACTTAAGGAAGACATTTTAGTTTGTCTCTGTAGAGCAGATTATTAAGTTAGTAACCAGGCAAGAAGTTTTTATCTCCTTAAACAGCTGTCTAAAGTTCTGTGTTTTCTAACTTTAAAAGTTTACACACCACAATACAAAGAAGAAGCCATTGAGAGAACTAAACAGCCCACTGAACTCACTGTTTTTACTTCGAAATGCTTCACAAGGAGTGCAGCAAACGTTCTCAAAAAGTTTAGGATTTGCTGCTTGTCTTTTAGGACACAGCCATAAAGTGTATTTTCCTCCCGTCTCAGAAATCACATGCATATGTCTCAAAAATTAAAAAGTTCACTGAAAGAAAGAAATGAGTTAATTTTTTGGTTCCTGCAGACCTCAGAGAAGTCTTGTAACATGACAACAACAGCAATTCCAGCAGACTATTTACATACAGTCAGAAACCACAAACAAAAGAGATGAAAGAAAATGAGGACATGCAAATTTAGGAAAATTTTGCTGCAACATTGAAGATCCAGGGAATAACCAGCACGCAGGGTTAAACATGATGAAGGGGCTGAAGGAATCCCTTTAAAATCTGGATTAAATATGCCACACGAGCGAGATGTGTGGATAAGACATTTCAACAGAGGAAAAATCAGACAAAAATCTTAATCCTGGATGTTTGAAATGTTGTTAGAACATCAATCAGATTCTGTTACCGGACCTTGAGACTAACGCCGCGTTTGAGTAACCTGGGAAGTCAGGTGTCCGAGCTGGGAATGACGTCACACCTGAGTTTCAGTTACCAAGTCAAGGAAAATCAACGAAAGTTATATTGGCACTTGTTAATTTAGTTACTTAAAGTAATTTTAGTAGATGTAGCCATCGTCTTTGGTAACTGAAACACTGGTAACTCGGGTGTGATGTCATTCCCAGCTTGGACATCTCACTTCTGAGGTAACTCGAACACAGCTCAAAATACTGAGTTCTTGAATGCTAGACCCTTCAATGCAGTGTGCTGGAATAGTAGGCTTACTTTCTACTGGAATAGTAGTAGAATAATACATTCAGTGTCCTGGGTGGCTTTAAAGTGTCTTCTAGAGACAGTAGCCTAAAGGAAGTGTCTCAAACTGAGGTTTTATCTTTTGTGTGTCTCCAGTCAGAGGAGGTGTCTTCTCCTCCGCCTGTCTCGCCTACCCAGCAGCCGCCACCCGCTCCTCCGCCTGCAGCAGCGCCCGCTCCTCCTCCTCCTGCGGCCACCCCCGCCGTCAGCCAGTCCAGTGTGACCCAGGAGCAGCTGATCCGACAGCAGCTGCTGGCCAAACAGAAGCAGCTTCTGGAGCTGCAGCAGAAGAAGATCGAGTTGGAGCTGGAGCAGACCAAAGCTCAGCTGGTAGGAAACATGGGGCTGGGTGGAGTTCTGGTGTAGTTTGATGGAGTTTGAATGTAAAACTGACACTCGGCATGCCGTTTCTGGAGTTCGTACAACTCTGTGTTCCTCTGTCTGATTATCAATTCATTCATTTGCTCTTTCTTCAGGCTGGAGGATTCGTGATGCCGGTATCAACCCCGGTCTCAGCTTCACCACCAGTGAACACTGCGCAGAAGCCCACCACTCAACCTGCTCCTGTAGTGCGACCCTGGATCCCCCCTCAGACTCAGCCTGACACCAAACCTCCCACCAGAGACCCCCGTCTGAACCGCATTGGCCCCACTGCTCCTTCCCAGCCCAAAGAACAGCCTGCTGGGAAAAAAACAGACACCAACACAAAAGGGAGTCCGGCTCAGACGCCTGAAAAGAGCCGGCCAGAAAAAAACAGGCCCCTGAAGAAGGACGTAATAGAGGAGAAAACGAAGTCCAAGTCCTTGTCTCCCATAGCCAAAAGTGTCCAGAGCAAAACCAAAACACCAGAAGGTGATGTTCAGAAGTCTGCTGAGGGCACCAAGAAGGATCCTCGTCTGAGGAAACGGCAACAGGACAAGGGTGGAGACGCCAAAGACGACGAGCTGAAGGAGAAGAAGAGATGCACTGACAAGAAGGAGCGAGAGGACACATCCAGAGGGGTGGAGCCTCAGAGGTCAAACAAAGGGAAGATGGTCAATGGCACTGTTGGCAAACACGACCGAGAGGGGTCCAATGAGAAGATTGAATTCAAGGCAGGGGGCAACGCTCGCACACACGCCAGGAAACGAACCCGCTCACGCTCGAGGTCACGCTCTCCCACTGCATCCCCAAAGAGGAAGGACAGGAGGTCCCCTAAGAGTCGAGCCAGGAGCAGCCTGTCCCCATCCCCCTCTCACAAACCAGGGAAACCTCGAAGGGTCCGCGCCGATGAACCAGAGCACGGCAAAACCAGCAGAGAGGACCGTCTCACTCCAAAAAAGAACCAATCAGAGAGCAGGAGGTCAAAGAGGCCGGCAGAGGACCGGCACTCTGAGACCAGAGACTCCCACTCTCCGAGGGGACATGAGGGAGGAGCCAAGGATGCCAAGGAGGCTCCTCATCGCTGGAGGAGTGGCTGGGAGGAGAACAAACAGTAAGTTCATCAAATCAGCGCACATTCATTCAACCTTACAATCCGGGGTTAATTTGGTTTATTATTACAGAAATTAAATATTTGAGTGGATACAGATGAGAGGAATCAGGATGTTTGGTGATCAGGAGGTCATAAAAAGACGAGACCTGTAACACTGTTTTTTTCAGAGTGAATATTCAATAAGAAACTAACTGTCTCTTCCAGTCTGAAGCTGTCGGAGGACTCTCACGCCAAGCCTGGACCTCAGAGACACAAACAGTACCCCACTCCGACTCGACCCACCACTCCCCGAACCCCCAAACATCGCCTCAGCATTGACGCCAACCTGCAGATCCCTGAAGTCTTGAACTCTGCCTCCAAGAAGGACCTACTGAGGAGGGTAAGTCACAGATACACCGCCACAGAAGCTCTTTGATAGTGAGGGGAAGATGGGGAGAGGTTTACCAGAGACTGTGTGAGCTAAGAGTTCAACAGTTCAACAGAACATTATATCATTAATTTGTAGAAATCACTGTACTGAAGGGACAGGGACCAAAACCAAGACTGGATGGTCCTTAAGTTCAGGGTTAAAGGGTCGACCAAAATATAGAATCACCTGAAATATTTGTGTACTGAAGTCAAAGAGAAAAGATTTGACTAAACGGTGTCATCGTACTCTCTCTTCAGGCAAGCAGACGTCTTGAAAGTGGCGAGATCTCCCAGGACGAGTTTCTGAACATGGCCCACCAGCTCAAATCCTTCTTCCAGTACCAGGAGGAGAAGCAGCAGCACTCGGACAACTGGGACCGCTCTGGAAACTTCCCTGTTAAGAAACAGCCGCTGCTGACCACGCCCCCCTCCGCTCAGCCCCGTCCACATGACACTATGGATGCAGCAGAGCTGTCTTATTATGAGCACAAGTCCAAGCTGAGGAAGACGCAAGTCACACACCGACATGTAGGGGAGGAGTGGGAGGGAGGGGAGAGCCCGAAGGAGAGCGATGGAGCCGGGCAAGGGGAGAAGTCAGGAGGCCGCAGCAGCGCTGGACGCCGGGCGCCACCAGAGCGACAGGGTGAGTAAAGAGAACATTCCCTTCAGTAAACTAGTAGACCTCATTTTTGAGATTGTAAAATCAGGTGTGTTCACGAAGACGCGTCTCTGTCTGATACCTCACAGGTGAGAGGCGGAGCAAAGAGCCGGAGGAGCCCCGCCCCCCACCTGGCCCGATGATTGAGGAGTACAACCACGGGAAAGAGTTCCCCACCCTAAAGTCTCTGCCGGGACTGCGATTCAGGAGGAGAGCAGACCCCAGAGAGGCTGGTAAGTACACTGCTGCTGTTTCCATGGCGACGTGTTAAATACCTGTTTAATTACTGAACAGTGGATCCGATAGTCACCTGTTGTCTTTATTCTCAGAGAGGTCAGAGGTCAGGTTTTGGAGCCACAGGTGTCAGGGTAAGATTCTTAAAGGAGATCACAGTTTATGTGTTCAACAGAGTTAATCGCAGTGAGCTGCAGGGCATCATGGGAAATGTAGTGAGATATTAGAGAGAGAAAAGTAGGTTTTTTTAACTGTTTTTTTTTTTTACTTTTTTTTTCTCAAGTCATACACTAAAATGTTGATCACAGTCAGGAACAGGAAGTGAGATTCTTCTTCTTTGGTTTATTTCCTGTTTCTAGCAGAGAGGGAGTGGACCTCGCCGCTGACAGAGAGACAACGCTACGACGAGCAGAAGAGCGGCTATGATGCTCCACGTAGATATGCACCCCCTGCCGACTCCAGAAACCCAGACCCTCGCAGGCCAGAGGGTCCCCCCTCTGGTCAGGTGGTCCACAGGAACTGCCCCAGCCCTGCAGGTCTGGAGGCTCCGGCCCCGAGGTTTGAGCGAGAGCGTCTGTCCCCTCTTCATCAGAGAGACTCAGCTGAGGGGAGCCCGGTCCCTCGCTTCGAGAGTCCAAACAGTGAGCACTCAGATGACGGGCCCCTGGACATCCCCCCACCCCACCCTAACCTCCCTCCTAAATCCATCCTTAAGGTTCCGGGTCGATCTGGGCCCCTGCCGTCACTCCGCCAGCACAGCGACTCACCTGGACACACCCCCCCTCATGATGGAGGACACGCCCCCTCTAGGTATGACACCCCTGCACACATGGGGCCCTCCAGGCAGCACCCTCCAGGCTGGTACGAGGGAGGGGGCACCGGGCGCTACGAGGACTCCTCCAGGTTTGAGGGGCCTCATCATCCAGGCCCTGGTAGGTTTGAGGGAAGTGGGCCCCCCCATCACAATATGTCAGACAGGTTTGACGGCCCCCACATGCCTCACGGCCCGATGAGGGGAGGGGAAGGTATTGGACGGTTTGAGGGTCCACCTCATCCTCAGGGACCTGTAAGATTTGAAGGGCCCGCAAACCAGCAGCCTCCTGCGAGGTTTGAGGGCCAGGGTCCAGGACCAGGTCACTTTGAGGGTCCAATGCCTCGCTTTAACAACATGGCCCCTGGTCCTGGTCCGGGTCCAATGGGCTTCCAGCCGCAAGGGCCCATGCGCTTTGACAGCCCCCAGAACCAGATGGGCCCCATGAGATTTGAAGGTCCTAGTCCAATGCGCTTTGATGGCCCCGCTCAGTCTGGACCCCGGTTTGACCTCCCTAACGTCCCCCAGCAGGGCGGGCCCCCGATTTACGAATGCGCTCCTGGACAGCAAGGACCAATCAGGTTTGGCCCCCAGCAAAACATGCAGCCCGCCATGAGACCCATAGCCCCACCCATATACGACGGCCCCATGGCCCCCCAGCAGAACTTCAACATGGCCCCCCAGAGGTTCCTGGAGCCGATGAACCCTCAGTTTTCCGGGGGACCCTTAGGGTTCCAGACGCAGACTCCAAACATGCAACCTGCCACCAACTTCAACATACAGCCAAACCCCGCCTTCAGCCAGCCTGGCCCCGCCCCCTTCTACAACCCAGCCGCCCCTGCTGTGAGCATGCAGCAGCCGGTGAGTCTCACACACACACACACACAGTCTCTCTCACCCTTCACTAGTTACACTCGCAGCTGTTGAGTGTGCCTCAATTGAAATAGGAGGGCATAATCAAGACTGGTGGGTATGGGGCGGTTTGGGATTGGGCCTCAAAGGGGTCTGAACAGTTTGTGATGTGTTTTTATTTTTGGTCCTTTCAGGTGAACATGATGAACATGAACCAGCCGTACCTGCCTCAGAACCCAGTGCCTTACAACCAACCAGGTGAGACCCTCAATTTATCTCACTGCCCTTAAGTTGGAGTGTTATGTGGAGAAATGCGCTCTTGATGAAAAAGAGTTCTAATGAAAAGGAAATTTTTTTCTTTGCAGCTCCGGTCGTCCCTCCAGAGAATCACTTCGGTCAGGTGGACGTTAACGACCTGCTGACCAAACTCATCTCCAATGGCATCATCAAACCGTCGGTGCCTGACACCACGCCCTCTGCCAGCACTGGTCAGTATGCCAACTGCCATGGTGACCTCATCTCAAACGGTGTTGTAAATTGTTTTTTTAATGATTGTTTATTTTTTCAGGGTCTGCACCTCCAGGTGCTCCTGCTGCTGTGGTGGAGGAGGAGGAAGAGGAGGAGCAAGAGGAGGAGGATGGAGACATCCCAGACCTCACCAGCTTTAGCATCGATGACATGAAACAGTGAGTGCAAAACTGGACAGTTTGGGGTTTCAATGATGGTTACGAATACTTTTGTATACTTCACAGATCCATCAGTTCAGAAATAATCAGTCTGAGTTTTAAACTTTTAAAGCCCAAAGATTTTAAAATCTGTGTGATTGATCTCCAGGCGGTACGAGGGCATCGTGACGCGCCTGTACTCGGGGAATCAGTGCTGTCTGTGCAGCATGAGGTTCACCACCGCTCAGACTGACATGTACGCCGACCATCTGGACTGGCACTTCAGACAGAACCACGCAGGGAAGGTGGCCAGCAAGAAGGTCACACACCGCCGCTGGTACTACAGCCTCACGGTAAGAGAAGCACGCACATACTAAACAATTCAGAAAACAAATAGATATTTAAGTGAATATCAAATAAAAATCATCTAACAGGATAAAAAAATAATTAAAGCAGAAAATATTCAAAAATACTCAAAAAGAAGGAACTTTGTCCATCTGAAATATATTTTCAATTAATAATATTTTTAATTTTTGAGCATTTCTTTGGGTATTTTATGAATATTTGATAAAATAAAATTTATTTTACATATGCAAAGAAAGTGCTGATGTTGAATATTTTTTAGTTCTATCAATTTTACATTTCTTGGAATATTTTTGAATTCTATTGGAGGAAAAAAAACATTAAATATTTTTGAATTTTTAAAGTTTTTATCAAATCATGAAACAATTTTCAGGATTTCATGAATTTGACCGTCTTTGTGTCATCAATATTTTGCGAAGTACTTCAGTGGTTTTTTAAAAAAGTCTTGTTTTTGAAAATATGTGCTATATTTTTTAAAATTTCGGATAAGAAAATTTTGTGTTTGTAAAATATTCTGCGAGGGATTTCCACCTTCTAATAAACTTTTTCTTTTCATTTTAGGGGTCAGTTAAATAAACTATGAAATTCATGAAGGAAATTTTTGGGCAATATTTTGTAAAGATTTTCCTTTTTTTTTTTTAAATGTCATGATTAAGTTCTTTAAGTACCGTATTTTTCACACTATAAAAGCGCACCATCAATGAACGCGTCTATTTGCGTCTATTTTCGTACATAAGGCGCCACGGATTATAAAGCGCATTACATCAAACAGAACAATCAATAACTCTGTGAAGCTACAGTAGCTGCAGTGCTCCGACAAGCCAAAAGGATTTTAAATGAGCCTTATAGTGTGAAAAATACTGTAGTTTTTGTGAGCTTGTTTACTGTCACGACATTAATCAGCTTATTTTGGTTAACCTAACTTCTGGGGTCACTCATGGGAGGATCACTTTACGTCACTTTTGGTCTGAACTATTTAAGAGTCTGCTGTTAGATCCTGGGATCTCGAGGATAATAAAACAGCTTTGTTCGTGTTTCCATCAGGACTGGATCGAGTTTGAGGAGATCGCTGACCTGGAGGAGCGAGCGAAGAGTCAGTTCTTCGAGAAGGAGAACGAGGAGGAGGTTCAGAAGACTCAGGCGGCGGCGAAGGAGAAGGAGTTTCAGAAAGTGAAGGCCGCCAAGGACCAAGTAGGAGAGGTGAGGCTCATATCATCAACAAGGACCAATCAGAGCTTAAACTTGAAACCCCTGATCTTAAACAAATGTAAACATGTCGGCCTGTCTCCTCCAGCTCTGCGAAATCTGTCAGGAGCCGTTTGAGACGTACTGGGTAGAGGAGGAGGAAGACTGGTTCCTGAAGAACGCCCTCAGGGTCGACGACAAGGTGACACAGCATGAAAAACACAACAACAACAACAACAACGTTAGAACAACTGAAAACAAAGGGAACATGCAGGGGAATTTATTTCTGTGCGTGATTCTGTTTGGAGCCGTAACTGTCGATCTTTCCAAGTGATTTTAAAACTGAAAATGATCCAAGGTTCAGTTTATCTGATAAGTACAGATCTCTGCCCCTCTCCCTGCTCTCCTCTCTCCTCCTGATTCAACTCTTGATTCTTATTTTTTCTTTAGTGTTTCTGTTTTTACGTCAAAGTTTTAATGTCCTCCTAACTGTGTCTGATCTGATCCTTCTCCCTCAGAACTTCCACCCGTCCTGCTTCGAGGATTATAAAAACGTGAGTAACAGAAAATTTAATTTCATATTAAAACACAAAAACCTTCAGAGGTCTGACTGTCTGATTTTGACCGGCTGTTTCTTTCTCCTTTCAGTCATCGTACATCGACGTCACACCGTCGCCCAGCAAGCTGCTCACTGAGCACCCACTGACCGCCTTAGTTAAGAAAGAGGAAGAGGAGGAGGAGGAAACGTCTTGTGCTTTTGCCGCTGCCTCTACCTCACAGGAAGTGAAGAGCGAAGAGAGCGCCGAGCTTCCCGAAGTGAAAAAAGAGGCGGAGCTTTTAACAGAAACGCAACCAGAAGAGCCCGCAGAGTAACGCCGCCGCTGCTGCCTCTCATCGTCACTTTTTCTGTTTTTGAAGGAAAACGTGTTTTTATCGTGCCGAGCCGAGTCCTCAGCACCCGAACACTTAAATACATTTTGGTATTTGGATCCTACGCGACCTTTGACCTTTTGTGGTCTCTGTTTCTGTGAATCAAAAATGAAACTGTTTGTAGAAGAGAGAAAAGTTGAGTTTGGATAAAGATGTACATGATTTAATTTATAAATTAAAGTATTTTTTGTATTTTTGCTGATAATCGACTGTTTTCTGTTAAGAGTCTGTAAAAAGATGATCACTGTCGGTTTATCGGTTTGTTCATGACGAGAGTTTCAGGTATTTGCGGCCATGTGGCATTCAAGGTAAGCATCATCTGATTGGATGGCTGAACGCTCCCCTGCTCGTCATCGTCGTTGGAGGATCTGCTGTTTTTTCTTTGGATGACTCAATAAAAAACGTCTGAAACTTGTTTGTGTTTGTGTGAAAAGTGATTGATCTTTAATCAGTTTTATTGTTATTTAGGTTTCAAAACTTCAAAATAAAGGTTCAGTGGAGTTCAACTTCCTGTTTGTGTTGTTTTTATTTCCTGTGACTGGATGGTTTTTATTTACCTGGAGATGTGACGGAGTTCGTAAAAGTTCAATCGATTAGAAAACTTGTGCTGTGTTTTCAGTTAGTCTACGTTCACACTGCAGGTTATGATGCACAATTCGGATTTTTTGTTAAATCCGATCTTTTTGTGTGGTCGTTCACATTACAACAACGAATGCGCACAAAGCACAAATTGCTTTCCGTGCCTGTTTGTGTTGTCGAACAATGGTGACGTTCGTCGCATATTGACGATGTATAGGTTGGATGAACGCGACATGAGCGTTCACACTGCAGTCACATCAGATACATATCCAATTTATATCCACAAAAAAAAGAGGCCTGGGTCAGATTTGAAAAAATCTGAGTGAGTCACATATGGTTAAAAAATCGGAATTGACCTACAGTGTGAACATAGCCTTAGTTTTATGAGTAAAGTCTGTTTTCATTGGAACCAAACAGCTGTTTGTTTTATTTTTAAAAACGTCAGGGAGCTTTTAATGATCACGATTTTGCATTTTTGTACATTTCAAACAATCCAGATTGAAATCAAACGTGTAAACCAGATCATTAAAAATTAAAAAGTCTGAACAGTGAAAATAAAAAAAGAGGATTAAAAAAAACCTCAAATATTAAAGCAGTACTTTATATTCGCAGTACAAATTCTGATGTACTCCATATATGCAGCTGAAAGTCGTACTAAAGTCCTTCACACAAACTGAAAATTCTCAATTTCCTTCATAAACTGAGTGTTTTTGTGCTAAAACAGCTGATACTTTTACTACATAAAAACCTGGATATTTGAGTAGTTTACCAGGAATAATTAAATAAAACTATCATACTGTTACTGCTTGTGTGAACAATATAACTGATGTGGTTGGGAACTTTTTCTGAAAAGATTTTTACCAGTAAAACTGTAAATCTTTTTGATTTTTTTAAAAAACAAACTGTTACACATAATTATCATGTTTGTATTTGTATTATGACTGAAGAAAATGATCAAAAAATACCACTTAACTCAGTATTTTACACAACAATGTGTAGATTAATAAGTGGTATTTTTGTAAAAAATAATGTATTCATGTGCAATCTTTCTGCATCCTGTATCTATTTAAATACTAAAACGTCCTCCTCTGTGATTTCAGAAACAGTTTCCATTAGTTGTAGAGTATTTATTCATCATACAGTGGATACTTTTACTTTAAAAAACACAGTATAACTCCTTTAAGCATAGTATTTTTGTAGCAGCAGCAGTCTGAGTGGAACTACTTTGTGTGGCAGAGGAAGACGCTCTGCCTGTTCTTCACCTCCAGAGGCGATAAACTCCCAGGGCGATGGCGAGGCAGGAAAAGACGGTGGCTGAGGAGAAAGAGCGAGAGAGCATTATTTAACCGCCACATCTGTCTTTAAAGTGTAACTGCTGCAGTGCATGATGGGAGCACTGCAGAGCATGATAGCGGTGATGTACCTGCCAAGTAACGGATCGTCTCCAGTTTGAGGGACTCTAGGATGGTTTTCAGCGAGGCCACCTGCAGGTCCATCTTCTTGTTGATCTCCATGTTATCGTGCTCCAGGTCAGTTTTCTGATGATGTCATCAACAACCACGTTAAAAACAACCAATCACAGCCCAGGATGATAAATGACAGAGTACTGCCACCTTCATAATACTAATACTACATAAAAAACATGGGGTATTACCAGTAACAGTTTACCTCGGCAGTCAGATGTTGGAGCTGAAAATGACGTCACACCCCAGTTACCAGCGTTTCAGTTACCAAGTCGGAAAAAAAGCAAAATTGAAGGCGGAAACAAGATGGCTACATCTATGATCAGATCAAATCATCCCTGTTATATTCGGATAAGACAAGTGCTAAAATAACATTTCTAGACATAACCATCTTGTTTCCGCTTCTGCTTTTTTCCGACTTGGTAACTGAAATGCTGGTAACCCAGGAGTGACGTCATTCCCATTTCCGACATCTGACTTCCGAGGAAACTTGAACACAGCGTAAGTTACCAAGTCAGAAAAAAGCAAAATCGGAGGCGGAAACAAGACGGCTACATCTAAGAAAGTTCTTTTGGCGCTTGTCCTTGTCATATTCAGACAAGCCAAGCACGAAACTAACGTTCATAGATGTAGCCATCTTGATTCCGATTCCGATTTTGCTTTTTCCGACTTGGTAACCGAAACGCTGGTAACTGGGGTGTGACGTCATTTTAAGCCCAGACATCTGACTTCCGATGTAACTCGAACGCAGCATAGGTTACCAAGTCAGAAAAGCAAAATCAGAGGCGGAATCAAGATGGCTTCATCTACGATCAAATCAAATCATCTTTGTTATATTTGGACAAGGCGTGCGCTAAAATAACGTTTGTAGATGTAGCCATCTTGTTTCTGCTTCCGATTTTGCTTTTCTCCAACTTGGTAACTGAAACGCTGGTGACTCCAGTGTGACGTCATTCCCAGCCACGACATCTGACTTCCGAGGTAAGTTGGATCACATAACCGCTGGATAACGACATAATTTTCCCATACTGCAGTAGTACTATGATTTAAGAAGACTAACAGTGATGCTTTAGTGATATATTACCTTATGGTGGAAGTCTGTACTCGCCTCCATCAGTTTCTTCTCCTGTTCGGTAAACTGGCAGAAAACAAAACTCAAACTTAGAAAACCAACATCTCCTTTCCATTCATACTAAAAAAACACCACAAAGGTCAACGTGTGGTCCTGCACCATGTCAGAGATCCTGCTGCTCTCCAGGTTGATGTCCAGTTTGGTTTCAGCTCGAACTTTCACACTTTCCTCCTGAACAAAAACAAAGACACAACAAACTGAGTCTTCATCACAGATTTATCTCTATCCAGAATATTTGGGTTTCAACATTCACGACTGAACTTTTCTAAAAGGTGGAAAAACCTGCTGCTTACCACCACTCTGTTCTGCAGCTGCTCCAGCTCCCTCCTCATTTTCTACAAAAGAAAATAAAAGAAACGATAAAGAAAGACATTTTGACATCCAGGGACAGCGAAACTATTGATCCTGAAATTACTGAACTTTAACACTGATGCATCAATGAAGAAGCAGTTTGGACTCCTTTAGCTTTCAGTTAGCTCGTACAGAATCCCAGAATAAACGTATATATAATAAGTATTGATTATTTTCTTGTACCGAGTTCTCTGAACGCAGGTTTGCGAACTCGCTCTTCTCCAGGATCACCATGTCCTTCCTGATGGAGTCCAGGTGAGCCATGATCTGCTGCACCGCGATTTCCTTTAACGATATAAATGAACACATGACTTTACTCGCTGAAAATGGATTCTGGCTGCTCGTTACACCATGAATTGAGCATCAGTTGCCCCGCTTTGTGCTTTAACTTGGGACTAATTCTCAAAAGCATGTTATGTTGATGTTATTCAGCTCAGTGCAGGTCGCTCTTGTTTCATGTTAAACTGTTAGTATCTCCACTCTCTGCTGCACAAAGCTGCACTGGGCACTCTCATCCTGTCAGAGCTGAAATGTGATATGATGATAAGCTGGAAGGGAGGGGACGCCTTTAACCAGTTTATTGTGACAGTTGTGATTTAAATGTCACTATTAATTAATAACAAGCTTCTCCCTTTGAGCGAGCCACAGTTCTGTTAGTAGTGTCTCTGTATTATGGTTTGCTGAACTCAGAACTTTTCTTATTTCTAGTAAAACTATAAAATTGAATTTCCCTGTGGCGATCAATCAAATTCTTCTTCTTTAATAAGAATAGTTAACAAAGGTGTTGTACCTGGTGGGCTTTTGTCACCATGTCTTTGTATACGATGTCCATGTTTGCTGTCGTCAGGGTCACTAAAGCAGACACAACCAGCTCCGCCTGATGCTTTGTAAAACCTGAAAAGAGAAAAACGCTTTATTAGCCAGAAAAATTAAAATCAGATCTTCGATCATGTGGCATTTATGAATGATGTAAATATCAATAAATGTCGTGTTTGGGTCGTCTTGTCTCCTCACCGCTGCTCTCCAGCTCGGTCACCATGGTGTGGGAATCGAACGTCAGCTTCCTCTGCTCCAGAGGTGTCAGCTCCACCTTCCTGACATCAAAGGTCGCAGTGGGCGCCGTCACATGGAAATCTGTTACACACACAGAAACGCACACTTACATGTTTATTAAACGTATTAACAGCAGAGCAACAATTAAAGTTTCAGAAGAAGCAGTGGGCAACAAAAATCACAAACAGTAGTTTCCTTTTTTAAATAGGGGAGAGTGGGGTAAGATTAGCCATTTTTCATATTTCAGATCACTACATCAAGTCAATCATAGTTTTATGTCTAACTAGTGAATCTGCAACAGGGGGTGGCTCAACTTACCCCACTCTCCTCTACCTGAGTGTGTTTGGAAACACTACTTCATTTTTGTAACACCATGACTTTATTATTAATCAGTAAAGTCAACAAGTTGTTATGCACCGTTTCTTTTTTATTTGCAGCGGGCATCGGTTTCTTTTCTTTTTTTTTTTTGGCACCAGTAATTTAAGTTGTGGCTTCTTTTTTTAATTTGCTTTTTTTTTTTTTTTTTTTTTTAAATTGCAGCAGTGGCGGTTCTCGGCCACCGTAGTGAATAGTCCAGTGAGACAACAAACAAACAAAGTGACAGACAGACAGACAAACAAAAAATCAATCAAACAGACAAAGATTTTCTCTGAGTCTTCATGAACCTCAAACAGTTCCAGTTAACTTCTAAACTAAAAATTGGAAACCATGACCTGAATGAATGAGAACCTACACTTATGTTACCGGTTAGAAGGTTAGATTCAGGCAGAGCAGCTCTGGATCCAGGGTGAACTGTGTGTGTGACAAACTGTTGAACCTGACATTACTGAACTTTAACACTCAACCATCAGACTCACCTCTCCGTGATCCGACCCGCCGCAGCAGGTAACACCGGCGCAGCAGTGCGTTCATACCGGAAGCTGCTGTGGTCGTGAAATCAGTTAAACTTTAAAGACACTCTAAATACCTGAAACGGATTCAAACCTTTCTCCAAAACACCGATAATCACCGTTCAAACCGTAGAAAACACAAACACATCCTCTCACACACGATACAGACACTCCGGAGATAGTCCAACAACAGACGGAGGAGAAACACGGTGAGAACAGACCGTCCTGCTGCTGCGTTCAAAGACCGTAGGAACTTTACATAAACTATTAATGATCATGTGTGACAGACAGAAAACGAGATTCCTACTTCAATTTGACGCTCAGTATAAAATACAAAATAACTTAATAATAATAAGTAAGAAAAAATCAAGGTAGTTGTTTCAACACGCCATGACTTTGTTGTCGTAATCTTCATAGATATATAAAACTAAGGCTAGATGACTCGAGGCGGAGTCACCGGCGTCCTTGCACGGCGGCCATCTTACTCCAGTACACCATTCTGGTACACTCCATGGTGGCTGATGGAAGTTAAGTAATCTGCTTGATCAAAAATACTCTTAACTCGCCGAAATCTTGACAGATTTACAAATAGTTTTGTTTATTACAGACCTTAATAACGTGGCTATGAGTCGGGATGTTTGGACATATTGAAATGACAGATTTTCTTTGAGAAAAATAAAGACTTAAGTTTACCATGATGCATAGTTGTTGTGAGTGAGACCAAGTACACATTACAAAGTTGACCCAGCAATTTTTTCACGGTTGAAGAACTATATGCAATGGAGAAACTAACATATGCTCTACGACTCCAGCAAGAAAAAAAAACACCCGAAAGTGGATCAAATATAAATTTATTCACATAACTTTAAAAAAATGGACAACTTTGATGGAGGCTACATGGACAATTGTCTTTTCTTCTCTGTGAATGACACCATGTTTTGTGTTCGCTTGTTCCTATATTTTTCTTGGAAAGTCTGTATGTCCTGTTTCTATTAGGTTTAAAAATTTCAAAGAAAATTTAAGTTAAAAGTTATGTTATTGTTATATGTAGTTATAGTTATCTCTATAATAGAAATATTACTAGTATAACATACATGGAATGATTAAATGTTTTATATATAAATGATTTAATATAACTGTCTTGTGTGAGTAGGCCTAAAGCTATTGCTCTACCTATCTGTTTCATGTTTATTTATGAAAATCCATGGTTAAAAATATTCTTGAGTATGCAGGAACATAACTAAAACTCTGAGGTTTGTTGCAAACCAAACCGTTTGAAAATCGGTTTTATATTAATCAATCTATGGTTATTTGAATGATACATGTACAGTAGACTGGAATGTTATGAGTGGGACAGAGTCCTGTAGCATGATGGCCGCCATAACACGGACATCGGTCTCCATAGGCTAACAGCTTGCGTGAGTCATCTAGCGTTTATATATCTATCTATGGTCGTCATCTTCTGCAAAACCGATAGCGTCACCGTCATGGCGGCGCCCATGGCTGACAATTGGAGCTGGTTTCCAGCGTTAGCTCTGGGAGTTTCGTTCGTCAAATGTCTCTTCATTAACGCCTAGTGAGTGGAAACATTTCATTTTGACCTGTTTTATTTCTCAGCCCAGTCTCAGGGAAATAGTTTGATTGTTAAGACGGTATTTCACCTGCTGCTGTGGTTCCTGTTAGCATCGAGCTAACTGGGTTAGAGGAGTTGATAGTTTGGGTGAGGGTTAGATGAGTTAAATATGTTTGATTTTAAGTTGTATAACTAAGGTGGGGGTGTTTATGTGTATTAATTTGACGTGTTATCAATCTACCTGTTTGTACAAATATGTAAACGCTCTGTTAGAGGCCGGCTATTAAATAAAACAAATATAGATTTTTTTAGTATTTAAAGTCATACAAAAGTAACTGATAAAAAGCTCCCGTTATAATACAATTTCACTCTATGTTAGAGAAGTGCCTCCAGGATGTCCTTCCTGATGATTTTAGTGATTTAACCTCATTTTTTTTTTATTGAGAGCTCAGTTTTATACCCCATAAAGTGTCTTTACATTTAAGTCATTAAACAGTCAAATCAATTTATTCTGTGAGTTTATTTACATTACACTACTCATCCAGTTCTTTGGCGAAACCTCAAGCAAGTCCAGTTATTGATCTGGATGAATGAGAACCTACACAGAAACATTACGCTTTAATTAATTTGTGTTTTCTTCATATGATAAAGTTCCTGTTGTCAAATGTCTTAAAACTATTCATCAGAACGCAGGATTTATGTTTTAGATTGTCAGACTCTGTTCATTCTCATAAATGAATCTGCATTCAAATCTCATTTTTCTGTGTACTTTTGGTTTTTGTCTTTTTGTAGTCATTCTACCGACTTTGAGGTGCACAGAAACTGGCTGGCCATCACTCACAGTCTTCCAGTGTCCAAGTGGTACCATGAGGTCAGTACGAATACACAAATATACCACAAAATGAACTGTATATAAGTAAATGTTGATATTATAGAGGAACGACCAAACAGGTAAAAAGTTGTGTGATGCCAAAAAAACAAAAACAAAAACAGCGGGAGGAATGTCTCTCACACAAAGGGGGTGAATTTCCAACAGGTTGGTAACGAGATGGAAGACGTTCACCACTCTGTGAGAAACTGCGTGAGCTAACAGTTTCAGAATGATGTTCCTGCGTGTGACAGAATGAGTGGATTTTATCATCTACAGTTACATAATATCATTAAAAGACTCAGAATCTGGAGAAATCTCTGTACGAAAGGGACAAGGACCAGAACCAAGACTGGATGGTCCTGATCTTCAGGCCCTCAGGCAGCACTGCATTAAAAACAGACAGAACTTTAGAGTGGAAATCACTGTATGGGCTCAAACTGAGTTCGTCACTGCATCCACAAATGAGGTGAAAACTGAACCATATGAAGAGGAGACCAGATAGAAACAAGATCCAGAAACACCAGAGACGTCTCTGTGCTTTAACTTGTTTTGAAATCATGGATATCATGTCGTCTGCTCGAGTCATGGACACTCCATCCTCCACTTTTAAAGAAGAGAGGGACCACTCGGCTTGTTCTCAGCTTGATTCTCAACATCTCCATTTCTCCTTTTCTCTGTGTGTTGTGTTTTTTTTGGCTGATCTGGACATTGTGTTGTACTGAAAAAATACATAAATCTAAAAATAAAGTAAACATGAAATAATTTGATAATGTTCTTGTCTGTGTAGAACACCTCAGAGTGGACTCTCGACTACCCCCCGCTGTTCGCCTGGTTCGAGTTCGGTCTGTCTCATGTAGCTCAGCACTTCGACAGAAACATGCTGCAGGTGGAGAACCTGAACTACGCCAGCCCGGCCACCGTCCTCTTTCAGAGACTGTCGGTGGTTTTTACTGACGTGGTTTTTATCTACAGTGTCAGAGAGTGAGTACAGACGGTCTGTTTAAAGCTGAATGAATCACTGAAATGTTCCCAGTTGTGTTGAGCTGTTTTTTTAATCAACTTTGAAGAGGGAAGAAGAGATGGTCAGTAAGCTGATCTCGTAGTTTGTTTTGAAGGCAAGGTGAGGACTCAAATAAGGAAAATTTGTGTCTTTTTTCCTCCTTTTGTTTTAATTTGAGAAAAACAGCACCAAAAACAGAAAAGGAACGATGATTTATTTAATAATCAGTTGATAACTTGTAAGTTTCAGCCAGAAACCAGAAAAACAGACGTCCAGGTAGACAGAGTCCTGTATGTCTTGTTTACAGCTTGATTCTGATTGGCTCTCTGTCCACCTCCAGGTGCTGCAGGTGTGTTCGGGGGCAGAAAGGCTCTGGGGATGTTTTGAACCGGCCGTCCTTCGTCCTCGCAGTCCTGCTGCTCTGGAACTTCGGCCTCCTCATCGTGGATCGTATCCTTCCTCTGCGAAACACAAATCCAGTCAGTATGTTCAGAACTTTAGTTTCTGAATGTTTAAATCTGATCTCTTTTATTATTCTCTGGTTATCATATAATATGAGTAAATAAATCCAACCTTGATCATCCTGAGTTAGAAGATCAACATCCTTCACAGTTGGCTCAGATATTCACTTCCAGTATAACGGTTTCCTGTTTGGTTTCCTGCTGCTGTCTGTAGCGAAACACCTGCAGGTAAATATGAAACTGACAGTTTTTCTTCAGTTTACTCAGCAGAAAAAGACCAATTCTGCTGCAATGTAACTGACTAAGCGTGGAAATCTGAGGGTTTATTATAATATCGATTAATACAATAAAATATATGATGATATATTTTAAAAAAACAGGATGCAAAAAGATACAAGACAACATTACAAAACCTCAAAACCACAGTATATGCTTGACTAGAAACACAATAATCTAGGACTTATCAAGGACTGCAAAGACGACTGAATCTGTGATCCGTATGAGTCGACCTGATAAATGACAGTATCATCTACATAAGAGATAATTGTGACAATTATTGGAAGATCATTGATGACAATGGGGGAAAAAAAGTGGACGTAATACAGAACCAGCAACTGTGTAATTGGACCAACGTTTTCTGTTGCTCAGTCTCAGCACCTACAGGGGGCGCTGCTGTTCTCCATCCTGCTAAACCTGAAGCACATCTATCTGTATGTGGCTCCGGCATACGGCATCTACCTGCTGAGGAGCTACTGCTTCACTCAGGACAACAGCGGTACCACAAACACACCTGACACCTACACACTCTTAAGGCTTATACTGAGGCAGAACATTCATCACAGACATGCCGGACGGGCAAACAGAGGGCGAGTGTGTAGGGCGAGTGTGTAGGGGGCGGTTTGGAATTGGGCCTATATACAGTCTATGGTTTGAACCTCCATATAACAGGTTTTCTCTGTGTTGTGCCTTTCGGCCCTCTAGCGGATAATTGATGCACTGCATGTATCTGTGTTTTTTTCCAGGGAGAAATAATCACACTGCTGAAGTAGAGATTTTATAAATGTGTGTTTTAATTAAAATTCGTTTGGGTTCAAATCTTTTATCGCACCTTAAACATGAGATTTGTGTCCGAGCAGATGGTTCAGTCCGGTGGAGGAGTTTCAGTCTGCTGCGGCTGGTCGCTCTGGGCACCATCGTAGTCACCGTCTGCGCTCTGTCCTTCGGGCCCTTCATCGCTATGGTGAGCAGAGTCTTCCTCCTTTAACAGACAGCTGAGGGTCAAACTGCTCCTGATTGTTTAGTCACTGAAAGTGGATTAATATTTGAAGTTTTGTGTTTATTTCAGGGTCAGCTCCCTCAGGTCCTCTCTCGTCTCTTCCCCTTTAAGAGGGGCCTCTGTCACGCCTACTGGGCCCCCAACATCTGGGCTCTCTACAACATCCTTGACAAGATCCTGGCGATCCTCGGTGAGCCTCCGCCTCCTCGAAAGCATCATCCAATCAGCTGTACAGGATGTTTCATTGAGGTGTGCTTTGTGTTAAATGATTGATTAGGTGTTCGCCTGAAGCTGCTGCAGGAGGCGGAGCTTCCTCGAGCCTCCATGACGGGCGGTTTGGTTCAAGAGTTTCAGCACTCAGTCCTTCCTTCCGTCTCTCCCTCCATCACACTCGTCTGCACCCTGCTGTCTATCCTGGTGAGTCACAACAAGATGAAAAGTGAATGTGACATAAAGTGAGGGAAAGTGAAGTCTCTCCTCACCCTCTTGTCCTCTCTGACTCGTCTCTCTTTAGCCGGCGGTGGCGTCTATCTGGCGGCGCCCTCGTGGTGCTCGGGGTTTCCTGCGCTGCCTGCTGCTCTGCGCTCTGGCTTCCTTCATGTTCGGCTGGCACGTACACGAGAAGGCCATCCTCATCGCCATCCTACCGCTCAGGTCAGAATCATACCCTCTGATACTCGATCTCCCTGTGAAGCTCAGGGTCTCTCCGTCAGTCAGACTCAGGTGGTTTTGTGTCTGTCTGTGTTTCTGCAGCATCCTAGCAGTGGAGAGCAGAGAGGATGCTGGGATATTCCTGGTTCTGAGCACCACAGGTCATTACTCCCTGTTCCCGTTGATCTTCACTCCGGCAGGTAAACTCAAAACAGACTCAGGTTTGATCTGAAAAGAGAGAACGAGGATGTGGATGTCTGAAAAGTCTGAAGCTGAGTTTGAGGTTTTGACTCTCTTCATCCCTGGAATCACAAAGATAACCAAGGTTTCTCATCTGTGCTGCAGAGCTGCCCATCAAAGTGGGTCTGATGTTGATGTTTGTGATCTACTCATTCACCGCTCTGAGGAAACTTCACAGGTGAACACACAACAATTCTACTCCTTCCTGATCAGGTTAAAAATGTGCTGTTATATTTTTCACAGACAGGATCTGATGAAGTTCCAGTTTTTAGGAGAAATCTTGAATGTAAACTCTACCCCTCCCAACCAGTTTTCCCCTCAGCTCCTCCTCTCCCCTCCCTCTCTGCTCCAGCAAGCCCCTCCCACAAACGGACGCTTCTGCTCGCTCGTATCGTTCCAATTAAATTCAGATATAATGCAGATAAATACTTCAGATAATTACAAATGGAGCCCAGTCAAGGTGAAAGTAAAAAGCATTGGTGCTACTGTAGATGCCAACAGACTACCAGCAAACACAATGTTTGCAGGACTTCTACAACTAGGATAAAGTGACATAGTCCAGGACCCGAGGTCAACAGTTTAGCGGCGCTACAACATGCTACAGCAGGTCCGTTTGACAAGAAACACTTCTGTTACAGACACTTGGCTTACTTTGTTAAAGCGGTTTACCTGTCCAGAAGAAAGGTTAGAGGGTCACCAAGATCCCCAAACGTCCCCCATCGTTTATGTTGACCCGGCTTTTTAGCTCTTGTACGGTCTACCTCCTTTTTAAGCGCCCGTTATTCCACCAGAGTCTCAGGTATTTACTTTGTTTTCTTGCTTGTTTTGGCATTCATGGCCAAAGGAGGATTCAGACAATTTTCCGTACTTTCTGGTTGGTTTCTACTGTCTGATATTGTAGCACACTAACTTTGTTTGGGCTCGTGAACGACACGGGGGAGCAGCGTCTGCCTCACAACCAATCAGATTGAAGGAGGCTAAGAATGGCTTTGTTTACAGTCAGAAAGAGCAGGCCGCTTAAAAATGTTAAAATGTTGACCATACAGGCATAAGAGTACAAAGCAATATCGTTATATTACCAAATGTCATCAATAACTAATAACTATTGACTGATATTAAAAGCTTTTTTGTATAAACCACAAAAAAAGATGCTTCTTTAACGGATTCCTTTCCACACCTCCTTTAAGATGCTTCAGTGGAGAAATGATCTCTTTTGATATTAAAGGTTGAATAACATCAGAGTTGAAATTTGAACTCATGTTGGTCAGAAACGTTGTTTAAAAGTTGTAAAATTTTCAGATTTCATAAGGAACTCCATTACCCAGAGTGCTTTGTTTTCCTTATTAACCTGACACTCTCTTCTCTCAGTGGTCCAGGTTCTCTCCTTCACCCTCTGGAGTCGGTCTACCTGCTTGGACTGGTTGTCCTCGGGGTCGCCTGTGAGGTGGTCGTTCCTCTGTCACCATGGCAACAGAAGCTGCCTTTCCTCCCCCTGCTGGCGACATCAGTGTATTGCGCTGTGGGCGTGTGTTACTCTTTCCTGCGTCTGTACATCAGCCTGCTGAGGGAGGAGAAGAAGAAGCCCAAACAGCAGTGACGTGATCGAGATGTCAGAGGTCAGATCACCAAATACACCTGCAGCACACCTGACCGCCAACAAACACGAGACGCTCAGACACTGACTGCTCACTGTGTGGACCAATCAGAACAAAGGGACCATCACATTTTCAAAAAACTCTTCAAAAACTGATTCCTGCTTCAGTTTTGGTTTCTTTTTGGAGTCTTGACCAAATATGGACTGTGACCTCACTTCCTGCGGTCAAAGAGGAACGTTTGGGAGCATATTTCCTTAGAACACCTGTTTTTGAAACATGCCATGGAGGAAAATCTCAGTTATAAACAACCTGAATCCATCCTCACAGACTGAAGAAGTCTCCAAAATAACTATAAAGGTGATGAAAAGTGAAAAAACGGCCTGAATTTAATGCCATCCTGCTGTAGCTATGATGTCTTATATTAGGAGCTTTGTTAGATAAATATAAACCTGGTAACACTTTCCAATAACCATAACTTATAAATGGTAAATAGACCATTTATAAATGGTAAGCAGATAGTTTAATCATCATCTATAAATTACATATAGACCATCAATAAATTATAAATCTTATAATTTTAAAACCCTAACTTTACAATAACCACCTAACTAATGTTTATAGGTGGTTTATAAACCAAATATTAACCATTTACAAAGTGCTTCTGACACACATTTTAATCTAGATGTTTCACAACCAATATTAAAACACTGTATAAACCATAAATAAATAGTCCATTAATAATCAATGAAAATTATTAATCATAATTTCATTGCTTGTTAATGGTAACTATTAACTTACATTAATAAACTATCTATTTGCCATTTATAAATGATGGTTATTGTAAAGTGTTACCATAATCCCTTATTAAGATGACACTTAAAACAGGGGAACTGAGTGTGGAACATTCCTGGAACATGGACATAAACTCCAGTTTGTCTGGATTGAGTAAATATCAAAATCTACTTTATGATAAAGAGTAGAATAAGATGGTTTCTAAATATTTAGAGACAAAATTTACCTGGAAAAAGTGCAAAGACAACAAATCAAACATCAACACTGAAAATGTTTTTGGTTTTCTTTCCTTTTCAGAGCAGACAACATGACAATGTCAGCCGTGGTTTTAAAAAAACAAAGTTGAATATTTACTGATCAGCCCCTCAGTCCACCCTAAATGGGTCTCTGGTGTTTCTGGACCTGTTTCTATCTGGTCTCCTCTCTTCATGGTTCAGTTTTAACCTCATTTGTGGATGCAGTGATGAACCGTGTTGACAGGCCATGGTTAACTGAAGTTGATAATAATAATAATAATAAAGCATCAGATTTCATATAGCCCTTTATCAGAGACCCTCAAAGAACTTTACATTGGATACATGTCCTTAGTAGTCACAGCTGCCCTGGAGCAAACTGACGGAAACATGGCTGCCAATCCACGCCAACAACCTCTCTGACCACCACCAGTCGCACACACTGGGAACAAGGTGGGTTAAGTGTTTCGCCCAAGGACGCAACGGACAGACTCGGGATAGGGGGGAATCGAACTGCCAACCTTCCGGCTATTGGACGACAGCTCTACCTCCTGAGTTACTGCCGTTAGCCCAGGAGGTAGTTGTCTTCTTTATCTTGAATCCACTTATTCTTTCAAGATCTATGAAACTGTTGAACTATTCGCTCACAGAGTCTCTCTCAGAACGGAGAACTTCTTCAAATGAACGGATATTTTCGATTACACAAAAACACTTTTTTTTATTTGTCTTTGCACTCTGGTCAGTGAAACAAAACCTTTAAATAATTAAAAAAACATCAAAATCTCATTTATCGTCATTTTAGCCAACATCCCAACTGAAAACAGTTCCTGTTTTTACAAAAAGAAAAGGTGAAAAACGTTTCTATATATTTGTAAATAAAAGAAACTGGATTTCCTGATGTCACGATGTTAATGTGTTTGACTTCACTTCAAAAATCTGTGTTCAAGACAAAAGATTGTTTAAAAACTTTATTGATAAGGCAACACAAACATGATCAGTTAGAATAAACTGTATTACAGTGTTTTACAGGACACAGTTCACTGTAAAAATCTCTCTATTGCACTATGAGGTGTTAGCTTCAATGCTAACCAGCAGATCAGATCAGACTGTACAACTAGCAGCTTTTAGGAGAAAACGGCCTCTAACCCTCGGGTCTACAGACGAGTTCAAACATTCCCCTCCATCGTCCCGATCTTGTCTCACACATCAGCGTATAAAAGTAAAAATATTGTCAACACTCAGATCATTCAGCAGATTCCTCTGGATTCAAAATGAGAGACCAGACGCACAAATCTAAAGACGGCTAACGCTGTGAGAGAACCTGAAAGGAAGTCAAATATCACAGTTCACAGTTCAGGCGTGCAAACATGTTGCTGCCTGTTTATATCAAGTTAGAGCAGGTAAGTTTACAATCTCATATTTACAGTATCAAAGCAGATGAGCCACAGTTTGAGGGAACTTTCTCTGCTCTGGTGGCTGGCCTGGTTTGGCCTGGGTGAGTCAGTGGCCTACTGCCAGAGGAGCTGAAGGATCAGGTTGTAGGGACTGTTTTAGCTGGGATTAGCCACTCTGCTCCACAGGGAGAGCCTGAAATGGAAGGTGGACTTAAAGTGCCTCCAGTGTATTTTCATAAAAGAGCATTTCCTGTTTGAATTTTTTTGTGTTTGATAGTGAAAGTTTCTCAAACCTGTAAGGATGCAACCCCGCTGAGCTGGTCTCTACAAAAATAAGAGTCTTTGACGCTCAGGTTGTCGCTAAATCTGCTCCATTACGGCTTTGAGAGCATTAGGAGGATCAGGACCAGCTCACTTCAGGGCAAACTCCCAGCATGCTTCGCTGACACAGACATAGACAGTCCCTAAGAGTGTGTTCATAAAAGGTTAAAGCATCAGTTTTTTTAGATTTCAGTCATTGTTTTCAACTTTGTCATTCTCCTGCTGTGAGAGAATTTACATACAATTTAAATACTTAAAACTGCAGTACTTCAAGTGTCCACTAGAGGCTGGCTCCTAAAGCTAGGGCTCCCCATTCACATCCATGTAATATATCAAATTTCACAGCAAGAATTCACAGGCGCTGCAAAGGGTGAAATTTATATTAAAGATATTGAGTTTAAGTGGCTTAGCGTAGTGAGGCAAGCACATTGTTGTGCACCCATTTGATCTCAGAAGACAGAAATATGCAAGTCAGATACATCATCTGGCACGCCCCCTCAAGTCAGAATTCACATTCAGAAACTTGGAGCAGGTTCAGGTACCCCGAGCTCAAAATCCAAGATGGCTGCCCCTTGTGTTAACCTAAAATCAGCTCTACTTTTGTCAGTGTTGATTAGCACCATTGTCTTAGGCTATGTTCACACTGCAGGTCAATTCCGATTTTTTAACCATGTGAGACACATATCTGATTTTTTCATGTAAGTGTGAACAGTGCAATTCTGATTTTTTCAAATCCGACCCAGGCCTCTTTTGTACGTGGATATAAATCAGATATGTATCCGATGTGACTGCAGTGTGGACGCTCAGGTCGCGTTCATCCGACCTATATGTCATCAATATGCAACAAACGTCACCATTGTTCGACAACACAAACAGGCGCGGAAAGCGATGGGGGACGAGGGAACAGAGAACAGCCAGTTGTGCGCATGTGGGTCACTTCATGGACGCATTCCATTCACATTAGATGCCGCATTAGTTATTGTAGTGTGAAAGATCGCACAAAAAGATCGGATTTAACAAAAAATCAGAATTGTGCATCATAACCTGCAGTGTGAACGTAGCCTTAGTTTGTGTGATTTGATCAATCACACTGAACGTACTGTACAAGTTCTACCTGTTGTTACCATCACAGAGTGTGATGTTTTTCATGGTACAGTGACTAATGGGGGAAATTTCCGACTGTGAACAGGAAAGCGATTAACTCAGCTGTGACGTCATTTCAGATCTGACTTCCAAGAGAAATGAAGCACATGATTAAACAGGAGGCTAAAGGCTCACTCTAACCCCTCCTCTTTCCTACTATCGACATTGACCAAAAGTTAGCTGACGACGGCCATCTTAGGGCAAGACTATGTACACAGTTGGTTTTTGAGCTCTGTTGGTCTCTGTGATTAAAAAAAGAGAATTGCTGTTTTACTGTAGAAGCTTTAAAAAGCCTCAAAGGTACAAGAAGATCCTCCCTCAAGAGGATCCCCCAGATCCTCAAAGTTTTTTCTTTGGTTTTTCACCAGTCTGTTGATTGAAGCTCATGAACCTTCAGTTTTATGTAGAGTAAGAACAGACATTTCAGAGAATAACTCAAACCTGAGGCTCCAAAGCTCACATGAATACACAAATCTAACATCCTTCCATTTTTGGACACGTTTCCCCCAAAATTCAAAACACAGATTCAGGGCTGGGTATCTTGTTTTGCTGAATGCCAATTTCTGCAAATCATTGGTTGCATTTAACAGAAATTCCTCCTGTTTAAAGATTCTGAACAGAAGCAGTCCTACATGATTGCAGTAAACTCTGAAAATGACCAGAGTTAAAGAGTCCAAAGAATCAGTTTTAGCTTTCCATGAAACATTTCCATCATTTCAACAATGCTGCCGTCGACAGCAGGGATATCGGACAAGATTGGAAACCTTCAACCACAATTTCCAGATCATTCTTTGGCTGTACCACATTCATCATGGGTTTTAACTTTACATTAAAGCAACAACAAGGAAAACAGACAGTTAAAACATACAGAGAGCTATGAGGTTTGACACCCAGCCCTGGACAGATATGGTCTACTATGAACTGGAATCATCACCAACACCAAAACAAAGTTCTGCGGGAGTATTTTCGGTTGTACGTCACAATCTTTGTGCCAGCTGATGATCGAGATCTCAATGTTGGATTTTGTTGAACTACAGGTTTAGGGTGGCTGCAGGGAAAGAATCATCAAAAATCTTCATCAAAAATTAGTTCATGTTTCATCCTGATTACTGAACAAAAAGGACCAAACTCTCAGAAGCAAAGTTCAGTTTCACTTTTCAAACATCCTTTAGTTCCCCATGTCCTCGCTCTGACCACAGAACATCAGGCGCCTTCAAGACGACTGTCAGGGAAAAGGGGAAGGTCTTGTCTCTTTGTTTGACGGGGAGTTGGGGCTGATTTTAAAAATAATTCCTATTTTGGGGGGACTTAAGGACTGGAGGATTTCTGCTCTCGTCAGTCTTTGCTGTCCCAGTTCACTTTATCCCCGCTCGGCCCTCCACGATGATCACTAACACAGGTGTCAGGTCCATCATTTTCTTCAGCATGTCCATGATGTCTTCATGGTCTTTTGCTCCCTCAATGAATTCCTCCAGGGTCAACTCACCTGGCCAAACAAAAAAGAATTGAGTGGTCAAATTGAGGAAACCTGGGGAACTTTTATCATTTTATTTTTTTAAATCTGGTTTCAATATACAAAACTCAACATAGAGGTCCCAAAATCTGCAGTTTTTCCACTAGATGTTTTCTCCTAAAGTCAATAAATCCCTGTAGAGCTCCATGTTAAAATCTACTTTTATTTAAATGTTATTGGTTTTCTATCAGCGATTTGTTTTATGAATGACATTTTATTGGAATAAGGCTAAAAGTTATGCATCGTAAAAAGCCTTTTGACTCGAGAAGAGTTCAGAACAGTATCATCTGCGTACAAACTTATTCTGCAGATTGTAAACTGTTTCACAAATATTTCAACCAGAACTCAGACGATTCAGAGTCCAGTGTAATTTTAGAGTCCCAGCAATCAAGGACTAATGCTAACGTTAGCATCTTGACAATAGCCGGCTGGTGTTAAGAACTACATCATCAGCATATGTATATAATCTAAAGAATTCAAGCTGGTTTGTGATCATCTCTGATGCCCGCCTGAGTTAAGTGGGACTTTTAGAGTACAAGCAACTTTTTCAAAAACTGATGCTAAGCTAATTTGTCATTAGTATTTAATGGTCATGTACATCTCACCCGTCATTCACTGGTAGGCTTTTGAGAACATAAACAAATTTATCATCTGCATGCATTCATAATCTGCAGATTTTAAACTTGTGATTTTTTTTGAGAAGTTCTGAGATGCTTATCTTAGATTGGTGTGACCTTTAAAGTTTAGGCAACCAACTTTTTAGATAAGATAACATTATCATTAGTATTTTAAGGCTTTTGAGGCGATGATGTTGGAGGGAATGCCTTTTCGTCTTTAATTACTAAATTAGCTAACACAGATGTCCCAATGTGGATAGCTGATTTGAAGGTCTTGTTTTCAAGGTTTCATTTTGTACAGTGGACTTTTAAGGACATTTCAGGCTGTTTATTTAAGCCTCAGCACTTTATTCAGTTTGAGTTAATTTGTTTCTTGTTGCCTTACTTTAAAACTTTTCTATTATGCATTGAGCATTTGCATCACATTTGATCTTGTTCGCTGGCCCTGCTACTGCTGCTTCTTCTTTGTACATGTGAATTCTAACATGTCTACTTCATTAGCAGTAGTATTAACAGTATCGGCCGAGTCTTGCTTTACCTTCCCCTTTTACATCGATCCTCTCAAATATGAGCGAGACGATCTCCTCAGGGTCGATGTCTCTGTTCCGTGTGATGTCCTGGATGGCCTGCAGGAGGAGACAAACACAACCTTAAACAGAGAAACAGGCTGCCAAAGCAAAGAAACCACAGTTTAGTCTGTTTATTTACTCTAAAAGTTGAAGTTCAATTAGGAGAGGATTGTGAAACCAATCATGGAGCAAAGGTTCGAGCCTTATTCTACCTGGTCTCAAAGGCAAATTTCGTCATTTCTTTTGTCACGTTCATTTCAGATCAGATAATCTGTAGTGTTTACATTTCGAAAGAGTTTGCTTTAACTCATCCATCAGATTCAACCACCCTCCAGACTCTGATTGGGTTGTTCTCTCCACAGCAGACTGGAGTCTCCCACACCTCTCAGACTGGTTTCACACCCAGCCTAACTCGACCCACTTCACTGAGCTGCCTGTGAGCCTGAGATTGAGCTCATTCAGCAGATTAGCACTTGTCTACTTTCAGAGTTAATCCAGCACAGCTTTCAGGGAGAGCAGAGCTGCAGCTCCAGTCCTGCTGATTCACTGACACCAGCAGAGTTTCTCCTGTTTAGTTTCATCTTTCGTTCTTTTCGTCCTGATTTACAAAAGGCTTTTTGTCAAAGATTATTAAGATGTCTGTTGAAATATCTGAAAGATATAAAGTCATAATTTTAGGTTCTATTTTTTAAGATTTTGGCTCATGAGAACATGTCCTAAGATCCATCTAAAATGGGTTTAAAATACAGGACTATCTCTTCATTCCTCCCCCAATACTGGGGTTTCCATAGTGATCTAACATGAAGGCTACAGGTCTGTAGCTCTGCTGAGGTGCTTTTGAAGCTTAGGTTGCTTTGATACCGGCCCTCAGCTGATCCATGGTTCTGGGTCAGGTATTCCTCATCTCCCTCTTCACAAATATCTCACAGATTGTTCATGGCTGAGAAGCAAGCCAATCAAACACAGTTATTCAATGGTCAACAAAGCTTTCAGTGGGAGTTTTGGCGTTGTGGGCAGTATTTCCATAAAGCTTCTCAGTAGATGAAGCATGAAGGTCTCTAAAATCTTTGGGTGGACATAAGGCTACGTTGACTGGACTTGATAAATCATAGTAGACCAACAGCAGGTGGTTCAAGGGGGTCTTGAAAGCACGAACACTCATAGTCCATTTCCTGGACCCGTCTGTGCGTAGAGGCTCTTGATGCTCTGTCTCCAGACTCGGTCCAGTCCAGTCCAGTCCAGAAGCTCCTTCAAGTCCTTTGAAATATCCCGGAAATATTACCATCCCTGTTTCTTGTTCCTCTTTCCTTCCTCACTTTTCCCTTCAGCCAACTTTCCTTGAATCTACTTCATACAGACTCTGTGAAGAGCCAAACTTTACAGCGGGGACCTTTAGGGGCTGACCCCCCTCTGGAGAGTGTCCATTAACGATTTCTGTCAGGTCAGCAGTCTTACTCATGATTGTGGTCTCAATAACAAGACTAAGACACAGTCAGGATGTGACACCTGCCCACAGCACCAAAACAACTACAAGTTGGTTTTCTGACTATTGACTCTTCTCTGGATGACCGTTCAGTCATGAGTCCTTAGACTGTATTGAATCAGACCAAGAGATACACTACTTTAAGTTGGAATAATGCCAGCAACGAGGACCGTAGCGCCTGTATATGTTGTGCACACTTTAACCATTAAGCTAAGTTTGCGCCCCACTTTACCGAGAAGATGGTCTCCAGTTCGTCCTTATCAATCTTTCCATTGCCGTCCTGGTCAAACAGCTTGAAGTACCACTTTAGTTTCTGGTTGATTTCTCCTTTCAGCATCAGACTGACGGCGGCGATGTACTCCACAAAGTCGATGTAACCGTCCTGCAGACAGGAAATGGAAATGTTAAAAACTCAATGTTAGAAAGTCCTAGATTCAATACTGGGTCAGATTCATGAAAAAAACCCTCCCTCTCCCAGTTTGAGTCTGTGGAAAACATATGTAAACCTTCATTTCTGTTTGATTTTATCAGGTAGATCTAGTTCAACCTTTTAGTTAATATGTTCACAGTCTATTGTTGTAAACGAGGCCTTAAAACTCATGTGGAAAATGACTCTGCACAAGAACTCCCAGTTTGCAAATGTAAAGATAACTTTTGTAGCGACACAAGAAACAAATCTGAAACTGAACCGCGAGTTAAAAATACATCTGAGAATTTCAGAGTGAGAATTCAAGCCCAGGAAACTGTGTGTGAAAGACAGAGCTCAGAGTTCCCACATTCAGCATGACACTGATGTATTCAAAGAGATGGAGTTGGTCTTTGTCAAACTGAGAATAAATGTGATTGGATTTTCGCTGCGTTCAAGTACCCTTGTTTCTGTAAATATAAGCACCAACTGGGTCCAAAGTCCCTGGATTTATCTTCTACCTGTTTAAAAGAGCATCCGCAGATCCATGATCAGTGTCGTCCACATAAATCTGTTTGTTTGTCCACCGCTGATTCCAACTGGTTACACAACAAAAGCAGCTAATTCAAGCTGCTCATTGTGTGGCTGCAGAGTTAGCGCCGAGGCTAACTACAGTGGAATCATCTGTCCCAGACTGATGCCAAAGTCTAAATGAAGCTCTAAAGTCTGGACCAGGAGGTTATTCTGCCTCTTTAACCTGATACACAATGAAAACCTCTACACCTGCCATTTTAACTCTGTTTGACTGAGTCTTAGAGTCTCCACCCATCGGCCTCTTGAGGCGTTAAGAAACCTAAAGATGGCAAACACCAATGAAGGTATGATTTTAATGTGTTTATGAACTTTTTTCAGCTCCTGTCTTTAATTTAAGAACATATTGTGTCCACAGTTTTATATCATGCCACCAATTTAATACCTAAAGCATTTGTTTTATCTTCTGAATGATTTAAAACAGTATATTATTACATTTGATGTATCTTATTGTTGGTGTTGTCAATGAGCCTCCCGGTAGCCGAGGCTCAGGCTGATTTTTGCTAAAAATAAAGTCCCACTCTTTATTTTTTTCCACTAAACTCTTGAGTTTTTGAGCATCTTTCAATAACCACAGCTCTTGAGTGCCCCCGTCTTAATCCAACTAAACAGACAAAAAGGTGGAGCCACTTGTCACTCAAATAGGCCACGCCCCCAATCTGCGATCTTTTTAATCTTTAGTTTTATATAAACACAAGAGTACATTATAAACTCATCCCATAGAAATCAGCTAGATGAGTTTATTTCTGCTGGAAAGTTTGCCATGGGGCTACTCATGACTAAGGCTAGCCTCTGGTGGACTTGAGAGGAACTGCAGTTTTTTTAGGGCTTTCATACTGGAGGTTACGACTAAAATTCCTCAAAAATCTAAACTTCACAGATATCATTAGTCTAAAATGAATCCGACCAGGGCTGGATCTTTGGGATTGTTTAGTTTTCCCTTTCAAAATAAAAGCTCATCTTGCCCAGTAGGGTCCCAAAAATTGCAGTTCCTGTCATGTCTACAAGAAGCTGTCCTCAGTTGTTGGGTGGCCTGACTAAGATTATTTGATCAGTTTGTGTATAATTATTTTATTGATCAGCTGATTTCAGAGCTCTCTCTCTCTCTCTTTCTCTCTCTCTCTCTCTCTCTCTCTCTCTGTTATTTAAGCTCCTTTCTTTAATTGATTTGTCATCTGTCCTCAGGCTCCAAACCAATTGTTTTGCAGACGGATTAAAGCAGCAGTTTGATTGACTCCATTGATTGGCTGATTTATTAGAAGTGCTGTTAATTGATAGGTCAGTATTTCTGTGAATTCAGTGCTCTGTGTAAAAAAAAAAAATCTCCACCATCTTAACCTGCCAGGTGATCTTCAGGTGTCCTTCCGCTCTCTCCTTTCTCAGAACATCCTCCCTGAACCTCAGCGCCAAGTCTGAATCCACTTAACTCACCATAAACATACACTACAGGGATCAAACCTGCATGCAAACTGAGTAAGCCAATTAGAGAGAGGCAGAGGGAGAGAGAAAGTGCCGCGGCCGCCATCTTTGTCCTCATTTCAAACCTGCTGCAAAAAGTTAAAATGCTTACAAACCAGTTACAAACCAGAAAACGTCAAGAAAAATTAGAAATTTAGTTTAAAAACTCATGAATTTACTGCTTTTTTTCCAGTAAATTTACATTAATAAACATGTAAATTTATAACTTTAATCTTGTGAACTTACAGCATTTTCCTTCAGACTCTTTATTTGATAATTGTTTTTACTGATTTTCTCAGTTTTCAGTTTATTCTTGTATATTCACAACTTTAATCTCAAGACGTAACAATCTTTTTTTCAAACTTATGACTTAAATTTGTAAATTTATCAGTATTCTTGTGTATGATAACTTAAATCTGAGAAATCTAAAACTTTAGAAATTAACCAGTTTATTTTCGTAAATGAAGAACTCATAACTCAAAATTTGACAACTTTATTTTTTTCTTCATTTTCATATTTTAATCTTGTCAATTCAAACTTTTTTGCAAACTTTGATCTTGCAAATGTAGCATTTAACTGTCATGTATTCTAATTTTTTAAATGTTAATTTATGACTGTAACTAAACAAAATGACCCGATTCTTCTTCTAGATTTACAGCTGTAAATTTAGGAATCTGTCACCCAGTTTTTGTATTTCTTTTTACTTTGTTTTCCGTAGATTTATGACTTTTAACCTAATCTTGTAAATGTAAGACTTTTTTCATGAATTCATGACTTTCAACTTGTTTATTTACCAGTTTATCTTGTTTTTTTTTTTACAGGTTTACAATTTCACTCTATTCTCATGACTGTAAACATATTGTATTTTTTAAATTTACACATTTAATACATTTTAACTTTTTATTTTTTTTCTATTCATTTACAATTTTTTCTCATTTAATCTCAAGTCTTTATATCATGAGGTTTGTCTTGTAATTTAACTTTATTCTCATAATTTTGTGACTTTTTTCATACAACTTTCTTCCTGTAAATTTACAACTTTATTCTTTAAAACTCTGTTTTTTCATTATCTATAGAAGTGACCTTCGTTTTCAGTCATAGAAAACTGGTTTATTGAGTTCATTTGAAAATTTTTAGCAGCTTAAGACTTATGTTGCTAAAATTAATAAACTATTTTAAAAGTACAAAATCTTAATTTCAGAGATCAAAGCACATCATCTTCAAATTAGCAAAAATCTAATTTTTTTCAATTCTGGCACGTTTTTCTGACTTAAGTTTAACTTTTACTGTAATTTGAGAGCAAATCTGTTACAGAAATTGATATAAGTTTACTAATATTTGTGAGTAAATTAATGTTCCACTTAAGTTTGTGATTTTTCATTTTTTTTAAATAAGCTTATGTCTATCTACACTGTAAAGCTGAGCGTCACGTTATCTGAAGTGATGAAAACTATGAGCTGCAAATGAAAGCTGAAAAATAAAAATGACCAATATTCATTTTGTTTGAACAAATTAAAATGAAACCAGCTTATTTAAAAGAAATAACTGACTTAAAAAGTAACGAGTATTTCAGGAGCAGAATTATTAAGGCAACCAAACAAGTTCATCCCCACAGAATATATGAAGAAAAGTGTATAACTTCATCAATTTTCAGTATATTTTGTGTGTAAACTAAAGTGAAATATGAAAATATTTTAATTTTGTCTGGCATTTTCACATCTTCAGTGAATGTTCAGTAAAAGACATCCTACTGACAGTCATCTTAACCATGAGACCCTCGTATATGAGTTTCTTCTGGGACAGTGACTTCATCTAAACTAACATCTGCCTCCGTACATCCAAAAATATTCAGACACAAAGAACGATGGTTGTTCTTATTGAACATCTTGAACCAACAAACATCCAGTCAACATTCTTCTGCTGAAATGAACTCTTGAAAACTAAAATTACTAAACTAAAATTTGACAGAGTGAAATTCTTTTTTAAAAATTACTTGTGGTTTTAAGCGTAAAATGTTTGTTGAAAAAAAGTGTGAATGTAAAAGTTTGACGTCATTTTACTTCAATCTTGAACTTGAAATTCTACTTTGACCAAAAACATCCCCAACACTTGGCCGAACCATCAACAGTCTAAACATTAAAATAAGTTACTTACATTTTTAAAAACTCAATAAACCTTAAAATCCTAATTTAAGACCCTTTTCTCTCAAGTCTGCCACATGACCTGCAGGTGGACTTGATTTCCCATCCTGCACCTGAACCTCCACATGTGTCTCATTCATGATTCTGTGACCTGCTGGAGTTCATCGATTGGCCCAAATATTCACACCTTTACTCCTGTGTACCTTTAGAAAACCAATCAGCTGCCTGCAGACCCTTGAGAGCCCCGACCCTTTTTAATTTTCATGTTCAGACAAAATTTCACAAAAATAATTTACTGTTTTTTGCAGTTTTTATACTGAAGTCATCCAACAATCTTTAAATGACTTTTTAATGTTTGATTTTATATCAGATGATGAAAACTGAGTCAAATACAACAGAACTGTTCAACTGTTTGATGAAATCAAATCAGTGTTTACATGTGAATGAAGATTTCTGAAACATGGCAGCTTTTATCACAGGACAATTTTGAAAATAACTGTACTAAGTAAAAGTACTGCAGTATTAAAATAATGAAAATACAATACAAAAATACTGATAGTTTTTTTTATCAAGTTTGGGCTCAAAGTGTAAAATTAAGAACAAACTACAGAAGGATCCTTCAAACTTTTTACACAAAAACTGTTCTCAAACACGTAGTACTCAGTGACAGTACTTTTACTTGACTTGAGTATCTAAGTATTATTCTTCTGCTGACAGGTGTGCATTGTACTTTTTTCTGCACTGCCTCACAGGAACTCTGAACCTCGACTTGGGCGAAAATACTCCAGAATAAACATCATTTACTCTTTTGTAGAAGTACAGAAATACACCAGGAATTAAAAGTTTCGGAAAAACAAAACTGTTACTACGACAACCTTCAGCCAAAAATACTTTTACTGTGAAACTTTGACTCAGTGACGGATTTTAGAGGAAGTTTCTTTTATGGAAAATCAACTTTTCCTTTTTTTGTACCAAGGCTTGTTTTTCAATAACTCAACAGATACTTTTACTTGAATTCCTAAATTTATACTTCTACATTTAGTCGTGTTATGCACCACTTATGCAAGTGAAACTTTAACATGTTGCTAGCGTATCGTGTTTACGTAAACTCCAGCAAATTTACATAAAAAATAACAATTTCACCAGAAAACCACATTTAAAAATAAGAAATTTCTCGACGAGAGAGGACTGTGCGTGTGTTTGACATGGAAAAGTAAAAAGTATTCTTTTATTAGATCTTGGAGAGTTGAAGTCGTGGAGATTAAGTTTATTTTTAGCTTCTATCGTGATCTATGTTCCTAGGAGCGGAGGGGGACCAGTTTTAGACCATATCTGTGTCTTTTTAGACAAGATTTCTTGATTTGATCTTTTTAACATTATTTTTCAATCAGACTTTCACAGTTAGACTTTTTTTCCACCTTCACTGACCGATAAAAGCCGTCTGATGTTCTATCAAAAAATAATTTAAAGTTTAATTTGTGATTCTGAAGTTTCACCTACAAACAAACTATAACTTCCTCTTCACTCTCTGTTAGATTTGATCTGATTCAGGGTCACTGATGTTTCACACACGTTTTTCCGTTTGCCTGAATTTCACTTTGAGACTCACCCCGTCCATGTCGAAGGTGAAGAAGACCTGATCCACGTAGCTGTTGGCGTTCTCGCTCATCCCCTTCAGGCCCAGGATGGCCTTCAGCTCGAACAGTGTGATCAGGCCCGACGGAGACTCCTTCATGAACTTGTTGTACCAGTGGTGCATGTCCTCCGCCAGGATGTCATCCAGGTTCGAGCCGTGGTTCCCCATTGGTGCGGTCCGACAGGAGCACCGAGGACTCAGAGACAGAAACCTCAAGAGGAGACCAAGAGACTGATCCTCCTCTCAGTGAGGGACAGAAACCGGAGCTAAAAGGATCGAACCTGCAGGCGTGGTAAATTTGTCTCACAAGTAGAAAAGATTCAGAAAAAGTCTAAAAGTGGAAATCCTGGGCCTTTCAGACCGGGCCAGCAGACGTCCAGGCTGTAGTGACTCTGCAGCCAGAAATCAGACCTCAGGAGTCTCTAACCCTCTTAGGTCCTGCAGGAAAAAGCAGCCGGGCCCTAAAATAACTCCCTAATGGGATCAGAGCGTCCTGCCGTAGAGTTTTGCTGGCAGAGGCCGGGCCAAGAGGCTTTAGCGGCCCAGGTGAGGCCAGGGAGCGAGGCTGGTCCTGGAGGTAGGGTGGTTACATAACAGACTCACCTGGTTGTCAAGGTTCAGAGGGAGAGATTCCCTGCTGGGACTCCCATTTCAGCTACACCCCCATCAACGCTGAGAGACCGCGTCAGGTCCTGAGGGCAGGTGAGACCTGAAACCATATCTGTGAGTATTTAGTTCAAAATGATTCATGGGTGCAGAGGAGCTTCTCTTTAGACATCAACAAAAACAGGCTGTCATGACTGAAATTTAACCCTCAGGAGCAAATAATCAAAGTGTGTCACAGAAAGTTCCTGTTCTTGTCCCCAACAGACTCAGAATGCTGTTCTCCGAGTCTGAGTTTACACAACTTTATTTTCCTGAAAATAAAGTCAGAATTACAGGAAAATGCATCATATATAGTTTCAAAAAGTCCAAATCATCAGAAAAGAAGTCATAATAATGAGACTCAAAGTCACAAATATGAAATAATTGTTATAAGTTGGTAAATTGAAATTATGAAATAATTCTAAAGTCTAAATAATGTCAAAGTCAGAATAATACAATAGTTAATATTGTTAGCTAGTGAGTTAAAAATTAGATTTTAAAAATAATTTTGTCTTCTGTCTTAGTATAACCTATATCTCATAATTTTGACCATTTTTAACAGTTAAAACTTTCTTACCTCGTAATTTTGACTCCATCCTAACTTTTTGAAATATTTCTACTTTATTGTGACTTTTAATCTCAAAATTATGAGTAACTTTGACACAGTTTTGCATTTTTATCTCATACGCTCGCATTTTTATCCTCTAATATTGACATCATACCTCATTATAATAACCTTATATTTTATCATTATAGTTATTGACTCTTATTTCCCACTATTAAAAATTTTTCGCTTTTTATCTCATTAAAACAGGAACTTTCGAATCATTATGATTTTTATTCTCTGATTTCAACTCTTATAAAAGATACATAAATTTTACTTCTCTCTCATAATAATTTTTCTAAGTTTTAAATTTTATTGTTTTGTAATCATGACTATTTTACATTTTTGGCTTTTATGGCATAGGTCTGACTTTGAATATTTTTGTTTATAACTTAAAGCTATTAATATTTTTATGTCTTAGTTTGTCATATATTTGCATTTTATCCCATAAATATGATTTTGTTTTTTTAATAATTTTAAATATTATGTCTCATATTTGTGACTTATCTCTTAACAGCTACCCTATCTTGTTAAACTGAATTATTGCAGTAGGAGAAAACGTATTTCTTCTGATTTTGAGGCACTTATACCTTGGGCTGAAACTCCACAGAAAGTAAAATTCACAAATTGCAAATCAATGCAAGCTGATCATAATCCATATCTGCATTTTTTTCCCTTCTTTTTGGACTTGAAACTAGGGGGCTCCATTCGTGATTTTTATGTAGTGGTCTAACTTTAGTTGATGAGGGTTACCCTCTGTGGCCGTGACGGGGAGCTGAATGAAGCCCACGCAGCAATTCAGACTTCTACAGAGCACACCCACAGTGACCTGACCCACAGTGAAGGTTTTTAGTACCAAGTACCAACATCACACTGAGATCTAGTAATAGACTACAGGTTCAAACCCATGTTTGTAACATAGGTTTAGTTTAGTCAGAATATAAAATCAGTTTGAACTCATGAAAAACTGAATGTGTTGAACAGTATCAAAAAACTCAGAGCCTTATACTGCATTGGAGCAGAGCAGTAAATAACAGTATCATCTGTAAATAAATATAAATTCACATCTGGAACATTTATATAATGCTATTACACAAATTGTAAATAACAGTGGTCTCAAGGCGGAGCCCTGAGGCACACCATTTACCACTTCATGGTAATTTTAAAATTGAGTCATAAAATTAAAACAAAATAATTAAATACTCTAATTTAACACTTAAATTTCTAAACTCCTGTATTGTTAAATTATCCAGGGGGGCAAACAGATGGCATGTTCTGGAATAAATGTTTCAGGAGGACAGTCAAAATCTAAAAATATTTCCCCGCTGTGCCTCTGATTCATCCCTCGAAGTACAGCTTAATACTTTCCTGTAATGGACCGAGTTAGCTCAGAGGTGCAGTGTTCGTTTTGTCACTTTAACTCTGCAGACATAAGTCCTCTCTGCCTTTGTGTTTCTGTCTTACTTTTAATCAGAAACTTTTCTTGATGCATGCCGATCACAATCATGTTAAAATTGTTTTACGAGGAGAGGACAAGGTTATCAAACAAGAGAAAACGATTGAATGAATGAATGAATTTTACCATGTACCAGTGTTTTTCTCCACTAAGTGCAGAGCTCTGTTGTGTTTGCAAGAACAATCCCCGACTCCTGCAGTGTTATCTAAAAATAGGACAGAGACGGGATTTATGCCTCTGTGTACCGGTTTTTTAACCAAGATCCCCACATAGATTAACCTTATTAAGGACAGCGCCAATTTATCCACCTGCAAATGAGATCAGGCTTTTATTCTTAGTGTTTGTACTCCTCAGTGTGGGACTGAAGCGCAGAGCTGACATCGATTAATCAACTTATTCAATCGATTTTTATTTAGAAATGTCACCAAGTCAAAACAGCAGTCATTAAAGGCAGTCTGAACCCTGTGGTTATTCACAGAAAGACCTCATTAATCCGCTGAGAGACAGAAACACTACCTTTAACAAGAGTCTGTGGAGGACCAGGACTAACGCACCGTTTTCAACTGTTCATAATATCCAATAAACAGTAAAGACACGGGGCACCATCAGTCTAGCTGTTTGTGTCTGATGTACTGGTGTTTTCTCATCCCAGAGGTTGCTGGTTGCCTCTATATTTTTTTTTTCTTTTTACCTGTTTGGTTTTTTCTCTTTAACAACCTTTTACCTTTTTATTTGTTCCTTAATTTTTTTTTTTTTTACCTGTTTAGTTGTTCCTTTAACAACTTTTTAACTGTGGTTGTTCCTCTTATAAAACTTTTTACCTGTTTGGTTGTTCCTCTTTTACAACTTTTTGCCTGTTTGGTTGTTCCTCTTTTACAACTTTTTGCCTGTTTGGTTTGTCCTCTTCAACAACTTTTTGCCTGTTTGTTTTTTTATTATTAACAACTTTTAACCTGTTTGGTTGTTCCTCTTTTACAATTTGAACAACTTTTTACCTGTTAGGTTGTTCCTCTTTTACAACTTTTAACCTGTTTGGTTGTTACTCTTTTACAATTTGAGCAACTTTTTACCTGTCTGGTTGTTCCTCTTTAACAACTTTTAAACTGTTTGGTTGTTTCTCTTATACAACTTTTTACCTGTTTGGTTGTTCCTCTTTAACAACTTTTTTTTTCTTTCTTATTTCTTTTTTGCTGTAAATGATGTAGTTCTGCGGTTTTCTTTGACAGATGATATCAGATTGTTTGTTTCTGACTTTTACAGTTGACCTTTTCCCGATGAAAGCCTGTTTTGGGCTCAGTGGGTCAGTGTTTTTACCGGCGCCTCTGTCTCTCTGTGGTAATGATCCAGTCAGTTGACTCGTGTAACTTCAGAGGACCTGTAGTACACTTGTACGTTTCCCAAAGTGGCATCCTGTTTTTGTTGATCTGTTTTATTTCGGGCGGCGTTGAGGCTGGATGTGGGAGTATCAGAGGATCAAACAGATTATCCAGAAACAGACTTACACACCGCGGGTGGCTGCCAGGTTTCCTCCTTAAGCATCCTTCTCTTCAAGGTAACACCGTCAGGTGGAACACAGCCAGCAGTGAAAATCCTCCATTCCTGTCCACTTCTACCTTTTTAGTCCACCTTTCAAACGACCTTTTTAATCTCAGCTCTGACCCTTGGCCAGAGAGGAGACCTCAGTTAGCCACTTCAAAGAACAGGGGGTCGGCCATTTTTATTAGTTTTGGTCGAATCAGGTCTAATGTCATTTTGTAATCACGAAAATAAAAAGTTGTCGAAGAATTTTTCAGACGTCTAAAAGTGACAGCGGAGGCTCGTCAACAGGAAGTTACTGTAAGCCTTCGAAAAAGTGTTCGACCTGATGGTATTTACTACACATGATCGAGGTCCACCCCTAAACGCATCTATGAGCCGATCCCTCCACTACAGCCATAGCGCCACTCTGTGGAAATACATGGTACTAACTTGTACACACTATCACCAATCTTAGACACATTTCACAGTTTCAGGGCTCGACAGTGTGACTGTTTCACTTGCATTTGTGACTAAAAATAGATGTGTGTGAATTGTAAAATGTATTTAGGGGCATGTGCACATAAAAAAAATTTGCCAAATGCTTTTTCATGTAAATACGGCAGTGAAGTTAGTTTTAGGTTGGATATCTGATGGACATTCACTGCAGATCTATTGGTGTCTTCTCACTCTCCATAAACAGGAATGACAACAGCAGCACGGTTAAATCTACCCGACATCCTCGCTGTCAACTTGGGTGTTGAATAAGGGACTGTCAATAAAGTACTGGTTGATGTTCTCAAAAAGGCTGTTTTCCCTCAATAGCCTCCGTGTCATTTTTTGTGTTAAATTAAAAGGCAAATTTTGAACCTTACTTTCAATAGCTTCCATGTCATGTGACCAATTGACCTAAAATTGATTTTAAATAATAGTACTTATGTCGACCAATAAGACAAACATTATTCGATCAATTTTCATTGTGCCCTTAAAGTTCTTCGTGTGCTCCATATGTGCTCCTTGTGAAAAAAGTTAGTTTCAAGCCGTTATTTTTATAATGGTCCTAGCCTAAACTACTCTACGTATACATGTTCCTCATAGTAACAGTGACACCTACTGGAGCAAAGTGGTTGTAACTCACAAATATGTTCTTCTGAATAATAATTTACACTTTTATCAATGCCTCATCTGCTGGCAAAAGCAAGCCTTACAGTGTTCCATATGCTCACAGTCTTAGCATTAGCATATCTAAAAGACAAAGAGTTCATTTAAATTGGTGATTTAACTTTTTCCTTTTTGTTGACGTCGACCATAAAGAGACATAAAATTCAAGAGACAGTAAACATAGAGTTGACAAAGACATTTTCGTTTTACTTTCAGAGCTTTAAGGCACAGTGTGACATTTACAGGTAAAAATACGTAAAATTTACGTTTTTTTAGCGTGTTGAGACTTTGCACAGTTTCAGCGGGATTATATAAAAAAAATCGTTTTGTGTAAAATAATGAGGCTTTATAATTTTTATAAAATTTTTCATTTTACCCAGGACTGTGTGAAGGTGGAAAGACAAAAAATTCAAGACAAGCATCAAAAATCACATCATCATCATCATCATCATCAGTCGGAGCTCTAGTATAAAAGTGAAAACATTAAATTCATAAACTTAGAAAAGAAGGAAGTCCAGGCTGCAGTGTAAAAAGGTTTCATTTGAAGGATCAGAAAAAAGGACACATTCAGGTCAGCTCGGCTGTTTTCAGGAGTTTCCTTCTCATGAAGTCACAGCTGGAGCTTCAGATAAAACACTGCAGTGATTCTTTACAAGTTCAGTCTGTTACTCTTCTTCTTCTTCTTCTTCTTCACATTTAAAAAAAAAACACAGCGGTGGAGGCAGCAGCTCCGTGATGGTCTACGGAGTCCAGACAGCAGCAGGGTCTCCCGCACAGCTCTCTAGGGGCTCCACATGGCCGCAGAGCTCAGACTCAGCTGGTTGAACTTTCACATGTTGTTTCCTGATGGAGGATGTAATAATCAATCAAATCAGATAAAACTCCAGATTTCCACATTTATCATTTATTCATATACTGTATATATAGTTATTAGTACGGTACATGTAATCATGCATTTAAAAATTTAATGTATTTAAAGTGATATTCCTGCTTAAAATTAATTTAGGGTCAAACACACCGTAACACCGAGTTAGACAAGGCAACAACTGAAATTCCATGTGACTTTCTCCATGATACTGTCTCTAGGGTACAGATAATGCCACAAATAATGCTCAGAACAGCACCTAACTTCATCAACAGTACATATAAGGTCCCAGCCATAGTGCTAGCCACCAAACATCTTTTTAACTTTGCCTTATTTCTTTAACAAAGAGACTAAACACAACTCACCTACTCTCTTCCAGCAGCCGCTTGTTTGTAGCGAGACCTCACCAAGTCCATTACGGACTACAGCGGGGTGATGCAGCTCAAGGAAGAACATTTATGATCATTTCTTTATCATTTCCTTGAAGTAATAATCACCATAATAATCATTTTGCACTGCAGATGCGGTAGTTCTTCTACCTTAGCGTCTCGGTCTGATTGTATTTCCATGAAGAAATGATCATAAACTCGGTTGTACGGTGTTTGACCCTAAATTAATTTTACGACGGAATATCCCTTTAACTTTTTTCTGTTATTTGATTGGTTATTTATTTATTTATTTATATATGAATTCATTTCCCTCAATTGTCATATAGATTCATGTTTAACTCTGAGTCTTAGTAAAGTCCAGACACGACTTCTAAAACAGGATTCACTCTAATTCAGTATAAATATAAGGACATCAGCTTCACTGACTCAGACTAACTCAGACTGTGTCGATATCAGGCTGTAAACAGGTGTATTTCTGTTGTAAAGTTGGACATTTTTAACATGGGGCTCTATGGGGACTGACTCGCTCAGAGACAGCCTCTAGTGGACTGCAGAGGAACTGCAGTTTCTGAGACTTCTGTTCTGGCTGTGTCGCGTTTTGAGGATTCCAGATTTTTAAAAATGACTTAGAATTTAACTAAATTATGAAATTTGAAACAGAAATAGTTTGTCGTAAAGTGCATGACTTTAGTGTTGAAAGGCGTTTTTATGAATCACCTCGCTCTTTTCTTCTTCTCTGCTGTTTGTGTTTGTTGGTGCTCCAGTTTCTTCAGGTTTTTCTGCAGAGGTTTTCTCATCCTCCTCCTCCTCCTCTTTCTTCTCTCCTCCTGATGAAGACCCATCTCCCCCACCTCCCCCCTGTATCCCGCTCTCCACCTCTTCCTCTTTCTTGTCCTCCTCTTTGGGCTTGGCGTTCATCTCTGACACCTCCTCTTCGTGGGTTTCATTTTCCGTCGAGGTTGTTTCTGTTTCCTTCTCTTTCACCTCGTCTGTTTTCTCTTCTGTCTTTTCCTCTCCTTCCCTCGTTTCCTCGTTTTGTTCACTTGGCGTGCTCGGAGAGGTGTCTCCACCCTCGCTGGTGTTGACAACATCATCTCCGCTGCTGGAATTTCTGTGGCGGCGGGATGGTGGGCGCCGCCGAATGGAGTGGCGAGCTCTGCCCTAGAGGACAGGTGAGGTCAAGCTTTTACTCTGAGAGCTGTGACACATATACCTGCACAAGTGTTGGCGTCAATTAAACTGACCAATCAGAGAGCTGGATCTGACTTGACTCACCTTGTTTATACTTGTTAGGATGGATCCCTCCGCTGCAGAGGGAGGGGCTTCGAAAGAGGCGGGGCCTTCTTCTTCTGTTACAGGTGAGGCGGCGGCAGGGCTGATAGAGGTGGGTGTGGAAGCAGTTGTGGTTGCCGCAGTGACAGGGGCGGAGGTTGGGGATTGTGGCGGGAAGGTGGGAGGCAGTAGTCTGAAGCCGGGGCTCTTTGGAGAGGGAAGCAGTGCCGTGGGGGAGAGAGCGAGGTTGGCCTACAGGGGGAGACGGGGTGATGTCAGAATGATGTCAGAGTGATGTCAGAGTGCACAGTAACAGTAACCATAGATATAGTTAAGAGTATTTTTGATCACGCAGATTACTCAACTTCCTTCAGCTACCATACAGCATACCAGAATGGTATACTGGAGTAAGATGGCCGCCATGTAGGGACGCTGGTTACTCCGCTTTGAGTCATCTAGCCTTTTTTATAGATATCTCTGACAGTAACCACCTGGACTCACCTGCAGCTTCTCTATCAGACCAGAGTTCCTCTTGGCTTTGGCAGGTAGAGGAGAGGTGACACCTGCAGGCTGCTGAGACACAGAAACACACACACACCTGAAAATTAGAGTTCAACGACAACAAACACAAACTTCAGTTCGTCTAAATCCTTTATTTGAATCTAAAAAGTGTAAATCTGATTTCAGCAACACGTCTCTTAAAAGGTCAAAAAGTTTGAGGGTCGGGGGCCTTCACACCAAAACATGGACTCTGATGATTTTTTATTTATGATATGAGAACAATATGATTTGAAAACCTTTAAAAATACATATATATCACCCCTCAGCTGACCTGCTCTGTAACCATCAGTACCAGCTGTTTAAAAAACTTACACCAGCTTTTATAACATGCCCTCTTTAAAACGAGTCTGTTCCTCACCTCCTGGTCCTCTGTGTCGGGTTTTGGGAGTTTTAAGGAGCGTGGAGGTCTTCGTCTGACCGGCTTCTCCTGGTCCACAAACAAACAAACAAACGAAATAAATTGTAAAGGATTAGATTGTGTGCTTGAAAGGTGTTTTCATAACGACGTTTGGTCTACAGTGTAGCTATTGTACACTGTTCTGGGCTGCACTACACCCTTAGTACTGCCCCTGTGTATGGGGGGTCCGCAAGGTGTCTACTTTTCTGGACTGGGCCTGACTGCTAGCGCAGTTAAGAAGGGGTCTAGTTAAAATCAGAGCTACCCAACTTGATCCACTTCATGCCAAAGCTTTTCGAGTCCACTCCAGGTTAAAGCTCCCTCAAGTGGGTTAAGAATGTCTCATTATTTCTCCCCTCGCCGTATGTACTTTGATTATAAGGCGTTCTCTGCACTGCAAGAGTCTCATTGGTCAACAGAGCTGTCAATCATAATGTCATTTTACTCTACAACAAAGATAAAGAAAACGAACTTTCTTCCTGTAGAATAGAAACAGATTTACTTTTTCACACAGACAGAAATGTCTTGTGTCTTTGAGCTCATTTAAGACCAAAAAAAAGAGAAATATTTACCACTGAAACAGTTGTGTTTAGATTCTCATAACTCTCTTCCTGACCTCATTTCCTGTTTTTGTTTTTTCACAAACTGCTGTTGAAGCTCAGCAACATGAGACTGAAGTCAAATATAACCAAGATTTGTTGCATTCAAGGACATTCAGAAAACTCAGATCTCTAAGATACCATCTCATGAACAACTTTGAAAATTCTGTTCATGTCCTCGGACAAAAACCTGAAAAACTCTGTGACTCGTCCGTTTAGAATAAAACCCTTTCAAAGTAAAGGATCACAGGAAGACTGCGCACTAATCACTGATGCTGAGTCTTCTTCATAGATTTTACTGAAGGTCTTTGTGCTCGCATATCTCTGGATAAAGTCGGGATCAGACTCCCTGAAATTTCCTGAAAATATCCAGGAGTATAAAAAGGCTCTAACAGGTCATTTTGAGTCTCTTTGTGGTCTTTTGTCTTTTTAAAGTCTTTTTGTTTCTTGAACCTGAAACTGTTTTGTTGTCTTGTTTGTTTCAGGTGGTTTGGATCCAACAGAGGTGGTCCAGATTATTAACACATCGGATGTTGAACTCACTGTTTCTTGTCCGGCAGGTTCGTGTTGAGGAGCTGAGCCTTTGAATCGACCAGCGAGTTCAGCCACGGAGCGCCGAGATGGAGCCTCCTCCTGAGGGAAGGAAATAAGGAAAGGAAAGAGTGAAGGAAAATGGATGCAGGTAAATCTGAGGACGTGAAACCTACGAGCTGATGTGTGCAAACAAACTCTTAATCAACTTTCTATCAAGAATATTTGTGTTAACTAATGTGAAAAACCTTACCTCACGCTTCCTGAATACTTTTCAAAATAAAAGCCCTTTCTGTTATTTTTTTTTTAGTGTTTAATGAGTGCCCTTGTTTTTACATTGTGCTTTTATTCCAAAAGGGTATCCTGGACGCAGGATTTTTTTTGTAGGATGGCAGGGGAAGGTCCCGCCCTCCTTCGCCTCTGACTGGCTAGAAATGCTGGGCTCTGATTGGTTATTCCTTATGGCTGTGAAACGTCATCATCTGTTGGGTTAGGATTAGGGTTAAGAGATTCAGAATTGCGATAATGTTCTGTAATGTTCTGTTCAATGTACAGAGCCGACAACCTGCGCTCGGCTTGAACATTTGATGACGTTTCACAGCCAATCAGAGGCGAAGGAGGCGGGACCTTCCCCCACCATCCTACGAAAAAAATATCGCACCCTGGACGCGGGCTGTCAGCTCTGTACATCAAACAGGACATTACAGAATATTATCGCACTTCTGAATCCCCTAACACTAACCCTTACCCTGAACCTAACCCTAACCCAACAGACGATGACGTTTCACAGCCATAAGGAATAACCAATTGGAGCCCAGCACTTCCAGCCAATCAGAGGCAAAGGAGGGCGGGACCTTCTCCTACCATCCTACAAAACATTTTTTCACATCCTGGACAGCTATCACATAAATGAAGTAACATTAACGTTAAAACATTTATTGAAACTCATTCTTTTTCCTTTGACCTCTAATGTACCTGGTCGATGAATGAATGAATGAATGAATGGTATTGTAGATGAAGGTTGACAGCCCAACTCAGCATGTACTCAGAAGCCTATGTGCGTAGACTATCAATCAAAACTGTAACTACGCATCTAAACAATGTGGACTCCCTGTGATTGGACCACTCTCTGGTGTGACCGCTGCCTCTTTTACTTTGGCGGGTCTTTCCCCGTGTTTCAGGATGTTTCCCGTCTGTGGTGTGTCATCCATGTGTGACTGTATCAGTGTTGTCATCAGTGGGACAGCTGCTCATTTGAGACTCGGAGACAACATGCCACACGTGTTTTCGACATGTTTAAACCACACGGAGGGATGTTTCAGAGGGGGTTCAAACGTTCCTTTTGGATGTTTAAAACTGACGGGGAGGTGAAGAGTTAACCTGAGTGCGCTGTGTGTTTGTGATCAGTCAGGATGGGAATCAGAACATGCTCACCCTGTTCGGATACAATGTGGTGTGTTGACATTTGTAGCGTTCTACCTGATGATATGAAGTTGACTATCGGCGTCCCCCAGGGCTCTGTGTTGGGTCCTCTATAATTTGATTTTAATATTAACAGTTGCCAACAACAGTGCCGTGAACTTAGTCCTACCCACTTCCAGTTCCCCGTCCAACTACAGACTCAGATAATGACATTCATTCATTAAATCTTTTTTGTCCCAGAGGGTTTGCAACAGAGGTTCAAATAATGTATACACGACATCAAACTACATAAAATCATATATGTTATAGATGCATACATCTATACCACATACTACAGCTTATTTAAAAACCCAACAGCTGATGCGATAGATGAAGTATCTCAAGTATCTGTTCAATTTGGCCCTCCCAACATCAGTAAACCTGCTCCCGAAGTCTAAATTCTGCATACCAAGGATGCTGAGGGTCTCCCCGGATGGCCTTTACGTGAACAACACGACCGAGTTCATTCAGGTCAGCACTGACAATCTTTCTGCAGTTTAGTTTAATGATGTTTCCCAGCCTGTTTTTGTAAACCACGTGGATGTTATCAAACTAACAGATCATAACAAAAGTTAAGATGAGTAAAATATTTCTAAAAGAGATTTGTCAACATTACATCCTCTCAGCTTTTTTGAGAAGAACAGTCTCTGATTGGTCGTCAAAGCTTATCCCAGCTTATCTGTTGATTAATGTAACATAACTAAATGTAATGTAACAAATGTAATGTAACTTGTAACTTGATGTAACTTTGCTGAATATAACCTTATTTAATGTTGCGTGACTTAATGTAACATTACTAAACGTAACGTAACAAATGTAATGTAACTTGTAACCTAATGTAACTTTGCTTGATTTAACCTAACTTATTGTTACGTGACTTATGCTGTGTTCGAGTTACCTTAGAAGTCAGATGTCGGAGCTGAAAATGACATCACACCCGAGTTCCCAGCGTTTCAGTTACCAAGTCGGAAAAAAGCAAAATAGGAGGCCTAAACAAGATGGCTACATCTACGAAACTTATTTTAGCGCTTGCCTTATATTCGGACAAGGCAAGCGCTAAAATAAATTTCGTAGATGTAACCGTAACTAAAACGCTGGGAACTCAGGTGTGATGTCATTTTCAGCTCCGACATCTGACTTCCGAGGTAACTCGAACGCAGCCTAATGTAAGAATCATTTGATGTCAAACATCGTCATATTACTTAATCTAATGTATTTTGGTGTAACATAACATGGCATTCCGTAACATGATGTAACTTTGTTTATTGTTACTTAATGTAACATAACGTGACATGTTTTAGAATGACATAACGAAATGAAACCCTACACGCTTTAGTGTAACATAAAATCACATCACGTGATGGTCGTGATGTGACATTATTGTGTGACTGTCATGTAATATTATGTCATGTCCTGTTACGTCACATGATGTAATGTTACAAACACGTTCTGATGTCGTGTTTGATGGTGCAGTTTGTGGAGCGTCTAACATTGTGTGAACTAGATGATGTCTTTCCTGCTCAGTCATACAGATTTATTCAGTTTATCTGAATCTGACCCTGTTTTTTTTTTTTCTTGTATATGAACAATGACTTCCCTGCTTGCCTGTAATCCTGCTTTAAATGAAGGCGGAGAAACTTCTTCAGGAAAAGAAATTAAAGGAGGGGGCTTATATTAGGAAATTTATGGTAATAAATCAACAACCTCAAATGATTCATAGAAACACAGAAACCACAGAGACACAGAACTGAATATTCCTCTCCATAACTCAGTTATAAAACAGTTTTATCTGTGCAAACAGGAGGATACTTCAAGTCTATTAAAGGATCAGACAACTACACACACATAGACACACACACATACATGCATGCGCACGCACACACAGCTGTTGACGTGGGGCTGATCCCCGTCCATTTCAGCTGAAGGTCTCACATAGCTGACATTCAACAGATAATGAAATTGCAATGCAGGGAGGGCGCACACACACACACACACACACACACACAGAGGGTGGCGTACATTTTTTCTACAGTATCGTCGACCCACATAATGAAGACACTGAGTTAGAAAACAACCGTTTAACCACTTCCTCTGTGTGTAAGTGTGTGTATGAGTGTGTGTATATGTGTGTGTGTCATATCTGTAGTTGTGAAAAAACACGTGAGTGTCGTTTTACCCTGTTTCTACTGAATTTTCAAACTGACTGTACTTCATTTATGACTCAGTGTTAACTGCAGTGTGTCTGCAGGTTTTCTTCACATTATTTTATAACAAATTCTCCTTTCTTTCTTAAATGACTACAGCTCCCATGATGCTTCAGCAATACAACACTCCTGTCTAAGGTGACATTAACACAGATAAAGCCCCTCCCACTTCCAGGTTAGCTCCTGTTCTGCTGTGGTTGATCATGTAAATAAGGTTATTAATAAAGCTTGGGGTAAAGACACTTTCCCTTTTGATTTAAGTTCATGGAGAGAGGAGAGCAGGGAGAGGAGCAGAAGAAGGAGAGAGGAGAGCAAGGAGAGAGGAGCAGGGAGGGAAGAGGAGAGCAGAAGAGGAGAGCAAGGAGAGAAGAGCAGGGAGAGGAGCAGGAGGAAAGAGGAAAGCAGAGGAGGAGAGCAAGGAGAGAAGAGCAGGGAGAGGAGCAGGAGGAGAGGAGAGGAGGAAGAGGAGCAGGAGGAAAGAAGAAAGCAGAAGAGGAGAGCAAGGAGAGAAGAGAGAAGAGCAGGGAGAGGAGCATCAGGAAAGAGGAAAGCAGAAGAGGAGAGCAGGGAGAGGAGGAGGAGAGAGGAGTGCAGGGAGAGGAGCAGGAGGAAAGAGGAAAGCAGAAGAAGAGAGCAGGGAGAGAAGAGAGAAGATCAGGGAGAGGAGCAAGAGGAGTGAGGAGAGCAGGGAGAGGATCAGGTGAAGGCAGGTGTGTGTATTATGTGGTAAATAACCAAAGTCAGAGCTCTTGTCAAAGTAAAGAATCGAAGTGTGGTCCCTTTAAATACTTTTACATATTTTTCTTTTTTTAGTCAGTTTTAGGGGGTCAGTATCTCAGGAGGTGGAGTGGTCTTCCAATAACTGGAAGGTTGGCGGTTCAATTCCCCCCTTTTACCTAGTCTGTCCATTGTGTCCTTGGGTAAGACACTTAACCCACCTTGCTCCCAGTGTGTGTCCTCCACTGGTTTATGATTGTGAGTGTTGTGTGGTGGTGGTCGGAGAGGCCGTAGGTAGTTTACCACCACCAGGGTGTGACTGTGTGAGTGAATGAATGATATATCCAATGAAAAGGGCTCTGAGGGTCTCTGATAAAGCGCTACAAAATCTGATGCATCTTTATTATCATCCATATGGTGTCTAAAGATTAATAAGACTACATAATCAGAGTGTTCACCATCTACTGGTAGAATTAAATCTGTGCTGAGCTTTAAATCAGAGCCGACAGTGTGTTAACATCTGTTATAATTAGGACCTCGTCAGACCAACATGTTAGACTTCCATGAATGTGTCATCAGTGACCTAAAGTAACCCGTAGGTCAGTAAACGCATCGCTCACACAGCAGGTTTCTCTGCAGATCTGCAAGTTGTTTAACTTTGGAAAATCTCCCCAAATGAACTCAGATTAAAGTTTAACTGGGTGATTTTCTGTGTACAAACAGCGAGCTGCTTCATTTACAAACAGTTACAGACCATAAATAAAGCAAGATGGTCAGAGTAATCCTACTGCGTTTACTCATGATATGTCAGGATGTCAGAGACGTCAGTCACCGCAAAATGTCCCCTGATGCAATTTAAATATGTGATGCCTTCAAGTGCTTGTGGAAAGCTCCGTCATTCGGCTTCCAGTACAGCTCATGTGGAGTTTTATAAACTGAAACAAAATGTTCTGATTAATCCGACACTAAATCCTCGCACTCAAAGCCACATTTGTGGTCGCCAGCTATTTATATTCTCATATTTGTCATATTTCTTATTTTCTTTCATGTTTGTGTCCCAGTTGAGTGAAATAAATATTTTATTCTTCAGTAAAGAAAAAAGAAAAACACGCTGCAGGACATCCAAGTGTGAAATATAAGAGGTGAGAGTGTTAATGACCGTGAAATAAAAGAGCTGACGACGTCTCTGCTCTGCAAACACGACCAGCATGTTGATGAAATATGATTCAGAGTTTAACTTCATCATGGAGCCGCTCAACACAAACACACACACACAAACACACGTACACAAACACACGTACACAACCTGCAGGTTATTTTTTGAACACACCAACGCAATTAAACACAAATCTAAAATCTGAAAGTGTGCGTTTTGATGCTGAAATGAAGTCGAAAATATTAAAAGCAGCTTCAACTTCTCTTTTTTTCTGCTCTGTGCTGCTGATCTGATGGAAAACACACACAAAAACACACGCGCCAACACACACACACACACACACACACACACAAAAGTTAAGTCTTTTACCTCCATCCTGCTCGTCGTCTGTCTGCGTCCTCGTTTGTGTCGAGTATGTGTGAGGGAGAGTCGGCCTGCAGGTTAAATATAGAGACAGAGTCACTCCACACACACACACACACACACACACACACACACACACACACACACACACACACACACAGCTCATGTTCTGTCACATGCTCATCATCTCTCTGCAGCTCATTCTGCAGCTTCATGTTGATTCATGAGATCACTTTCACTCCGGCAGAAACAAATCAGAGCGACCAATAAATCAATATTTTAATCATCACTTGTCAGAGAGGCAGAAACTCCAAACACAAACAAAACACTCACATCCTTTCAGACACACAGAAGTTAAGTTTGGACTTCAACCAAGTGTGTTAAAAATCTCTGATACTGATTTTAAAGGTACAGTCCGTTGCATTTACGGTGCATGAAGTCAGAGAAAATGCGTTTATTCATATGCATGTGCAAAAGTGAAAGATTTCTGCTTTAGGTTCTGCAGGAGGAAGCTAACAGTGAACATTCAAACTGTAAAAGTCTGATAGAGACAGTTCAGGAAGGACTCAAACTCACAGTCATTTCCTGTGTCCGTGTCACATGGTTTCACCTCTGGCCCCGCCCCCTTTTACCAGACCAGCAGCAAGTCTGGCTCTGTGTTTCAGAAAGATTTGACCTGCTGCTTTTTTACATCGTCATTTAGAAACTGAGTAATTAAGTGTAAATGAAATGATGAAAGAAAAAAGGTTGAGGATTAAAGTTTGCTCACAAACCTCAAATGTCATGTTTGAATTCACTTTAAAAATGAAATACAATACAATAAAATATGAATTATTTGTCTGGAAACTCTGATAAACTTCTGATAAACCAAGTTATGATCTGATCTGCTCAGTGGTGCTAAGGCAGCCGCTCTGTAAACTTCTTTGATGTTGGTACACAGCAGATCAAGGGTTTTGTTTTCTCTGGTATGACAGTTAAAGGGGTATTACGGTGTAAAATTAATTTAGGGTCAACCACATCCTAACACCGGGTTAGACAACCCCTCGAGAGATGAATGTTGCCAACCGCTTGCTTCTCAAGTTATACCAACTTTAGTAACGACTGCAGATAGCAATCCACAGCGGTCTAAGAAGCCATAAACAAACCTCAACAAGAACGCCACTCTATAGCCACAAATAATGAACAGAACAGCACCTAACTTCATCAACAGTACATATAGGGTCCCAGCCATAGTACTAGCTACCAAACATCTTTTTAACTTTGCCTAATTTCTTTAGCAAAGAAACTAAACACAACTCACCTACTCTCCTCCAGCAGCCGTTTGTTTGTAGCGAGACCTCAGGCCAGTCCATTACGGACTACAGCGAGGTGACGCAGCTCAAGGAAGAACATTTATGATCATTACATCATGGAAATGCAATCAGACCGAGACGCTAAGACAGAAGAACTACCGTGTCTGCAGTGAAAAATGATTAATATGGTGATTATTACTTCAAGGAAATGATAAAGAAACGTAAATCAGTCAAGTGAGAGGAGAGGGTGACATAGTTGAAGTCTGGTTTTATTTAAAGTGCCTCAGGATGTTGAGTCTGTACCCTAGAGACAGTATCATGGAGAACGTCACTTGGAATTTCAGGCGTTGCCTTGGGATGTATACAAGTGTTGTTATGATATGACTGAACTCCGTTAGAACATAATATGGCCGAATTAAAGTAAAAATAAGCGAGTTCATCAGAACAGAAAAATTATCAGATATTAAGTCAAAAGTTTAAGGACTTTCTTGGAGCTTAAACTGAACTCTGAGGTGGTCTGAGGATGGTCTTGTCCATCAGCAGTGAGATGATGAGGGTAATAATGATGGTGGTGGTGTGATAAAAGTAGCAAAGAGGGGCCTGCAGCCTGTCAGTGCTTCCTGGGCTGTGAAGGGAAGTTGAGCCATGCGGGTGGAGAAATTGCATTTTTCATTTCTGCTTTTGTGTTTCTTCACTTCTGAGTTTTCACCAACTTTCTTCTGTTGACACAAGAACTGAGACTCTATCAGAGATAAAGGACTGGTTTCTGGAGGGCAGTATCTTCTTGCAGGCAGCACCAAAACGTTTCTACAAGTTTAAACGGATAAACAAACAAAACAACCGAAACCATCCTCGTCAATCAGGTGTAACTCTTTCAACTTATCGTCGAACCAATCAGAGCTGGCGGTTTTGAGCAGCATGCAGGGGGAAGGGTGAAACAGACAGGAAGAAAAGCTGCTTTATGAGGAGGAAACCTTATAAGGTGAAGGTTTTGTGACTACAGTCAAGTTACACAACTTTATAGCTTCTGCAAGTTTCACCCAAAAAAACACAAAAACACGAGTTTTTCGTCTGGACCAGAAAAAAATCCACTGAAAACCACACGAAGATAAAAACAGGATCCTGGGTTTATCTGAACCCGATCCTTATAACAGACTTGTTAGTGGGGGGTTTGAAGGGGGCCCCACTTTAGGACTCCTTTTCTTGACTCAGGACTTCACTGGTTTAGTTTCTGGACTTGGTCATTGGGACTTGTAGGTCATCTCTGTGGACAGGAATGTATTTTTGTTTGTCTTGACTTGGGGCACAACTTCTCAGTCTTAAAGTGACATGCTAAGCAAAGGGGATGTTGGTGACTGGAAACAGATTTGGAAGAATTATTCTTTTATTTAGAACATGACTAATGATTTACTCTACTTGACTTTGGACTTGGTTTTTAAAGCTGCAGGTCTTGCTTTGGTACGACCTCAGGTCTTGTTAATCTGACTGCAGTTTTGACTGAAATTTTGATCTTTTAGTCTTGACTTGGGAATAGACAGAAGACCCCTATCAGAGACTTGACTGGGCTTGTTTTTAGTCTTGACTCTAGACTTGATTTTCCAATGTTGCAGGTCTTTCTTTGTGAGTAGTTGAAGGTCTTGTTGAGATTTGACTTTAAACTTCCAGGTTTTAGTCTTGACTTGGGATCAGATACAGTTTGTTGGTCTTAAATTCTGACTTGAATTGTTAGTAAAGACCCTCTCCAGGGTTTGACTTGAACTTGTCAATCTTAACCTTGGGCCTAGAAGTGAGTCGATACAGAACATGTCTCTAACATAGAAAGTGACTTGTCAATTAATGGTCTTTATTGGGATCTGAACAGTTTTTGGTATGGCCTTGATGTTTGGGACTTGTCTTGCCAAAGGACTAATCCAAGACTTGCCAGTCTTGATTTTCTTTTAATGTTTCTAGACTAGGCACAAATTATAAGGTCTTAAATTTTGTTTTTAAATCTTCTTTGTAACCTCAGAGGAAACAGGTCTTGTCTTGGGATTGACTTGGGCCTCCACACAGGACCCCATGACTGACCTGTGAACTGTCAGTCCTCATCTGTAGCTTGTCAAAGGATTAATTGTAAGTGACCTTTTGTGGACTTGTTGAGGGACTAGATCAAGGACCCATGACTAGGGACTTGAATCTGGACCTTGAGTGTTGACCTGAAAGCTAAACTTCCAGTTTCTAGTCTTAACTTGTGATTCGACACAGTACTTATTTTGGTGTTTGACTTGCGCTTGTAGCTCTTTATTTTGGTCTTGAACCTGAACGGCACTTTTTTGGTATGGTCTAATTCTAATTGAAGCAATAGTTCCAGACTTCTCATGAGACACAAGGTCTTTAACTCTGACTCAAAATGTTATGGTCTTGTATGGCAATCGACTACTTGTCAAGCTTTACTGTGGGATAGACCTCAGAACTGACATGTGAACTGCTGGGTCTTGTTTTGGACTTCGCAGGAGACTGATTGGTCTTGGCTTTTCACTTGAACTTTTCAGGACTTGCTCAGGGACTAGTTCAAGGACTTGTTGGTGATGACTGGAGACTTGAATAAGTGTTGACTGGAGACTAGACAGAAGACAATTTAATCATGAATCCAGGCTTGATTTGCTGGGATGAAACACCCTGAAGGAGTTCACAGCATTAGGACCCCAGTGATGCTTCTTTTCAGCAGCTCTGTGCTGCCACCTGGTGGTCAAACATCTGCTCCTACCTGACAGAGCACCTGTACAGCTGAGAGGTCAGTGAATGCATCATCTGCACCTAAACGACATGAAGAGGACAGTTTCTGACTGAGCTGCAGGGCTAATTTGAATATTTTGGGTTTTATTTTGGGTTTAATGACAAAAAAAAGTTGTTAAAATAAAATCAAGAAACCTAACAAACTTTTTTAAGTTAAAAAAAAGATTGAAGGGTAAGAAAATGAAATATTGGTATTAAAAAGAAAGAGCAGACATGAATGGAAATCTCATAAACCCTAAAGAAAAAACAGAAAAAAATCACCTTCAATAGTTTATTTATTTCTCTGTTCATATTTATAAATAAAAACACATGTTGGATTTTCATCCTGCTGCAAAATAAGAAAGAAAATAAAGAGGGTGGCATCTTCACATGGTTTCGTTCTGACGCTACAGTTAAAAAAAACCCAACATTGTTATATCAACATCGTGTGACGGGAATTCTGGGTAATGGAGTTCGCACACTGCAGCTCAAACTGACAGCTGCTTTCTATTAATAAACACAATGTGACATTTGTTCAGAGTAAATGAAGTTAAGTGGATTTAAACTTCATGTCCAGCTGAACATGTTTTTTAAGAAAACACACACACACAAACACACACGCACACACACACCAGCTGGTTTATCAGTGTGTGTGAGTGACTTTAAACTGTGCAGATATTTTTTAATAATCATAATAAAATTTTATATTTCCTCTTCAGGAGAGCATCAAACAGTGAGAATATTCAACAGGTGGACCAGAGGAGGATGTTTGTGGCGCAGCGACGTCTTCATGCTGAGCAGATTCATGGAAAAGTCTGATTTTGAGGTCTGACTATGTTTCTGAAGATGATCTGCAGCCTCTCAGTTTCTCTCAGCAGTGATTTTTAGGGGGCGGGGCTTCTATGAGAGTGAGGTGTTGCACTGATTGGCTGCCTGAATGTTGTCTGAGAGCATAAACTCAGGTGTGAGCTCTTAGAACAGAGTCGTACCACCAAATAAAAACTCTTCCTCGCTGAGACCAAGAACCACATTTTATTGTACCAGAGCAGAATAAATGTTTTTTCAGTTTCCTTAACTTGTCTCTAGATCTATATGATGATAAATAATCTTTGTTCTTCACAGATCTTTGTCATAATTTGTATTTATCTGTAAAAAAGACAAACTTATCAGTCTGTTTTTTAAACACCTACTCTATCTACTTTTCTGTCCACAGTCGTACAAACTTCTTCTTTGGTTCTCGTCTCTGCTGTGTCCTAAGTTGTGTCCTCTGTCCAGTGGAGTCCATATCAGACTCTTTAAGAGTTTTAAAGCACAGAGGATCCAAAAGTTTGACAGAAAAATGGATAGAAAGAAAAGAACAGATTCCCCGTGAGTGAGTCAGTGAGACATGAGTCCCCAGCAGGTCTGAGATCAGCTCAGTGACGTCCCTGCTTCTTCTTAAAGATCTTATTAAAAGCATTTCTCCTCCGGCTGGTGGACGACTCACTCTCCTCCCCCTCGTACTCCTCCACAGGACTCTTCCTGGTCGGGATCTGTGGGACCGTCCCTCGACCGCTACCGGATGAGCTGGACGAGTTGGAAGATGCGAAGGTGACAGGGCTGTCGGTGGTGTTGGACGTGATACAGAGGGAGCGAGTGGAGCAGGAGGGGCCGATGACGGCGGCAGAGCTCCCTCGAAGCTCCCCGAGACTGGAGCTCTTCTCTAAGCCTCCTCCTCCTCCTCCTCCTCCTCCTCCTCCTCCAGAGCCCTGACTATGCAGGGGGTGGAGCCTGGAAGAAAAGAGGTAGGGTTTGGAGCTGTAGAGACTTCGGGATTCCTCGTGGGAGAGAGGAAGGGCGGAGTCAGAGTCGGAGCGGTTCAGGATGTCCCTGAGAGTAAAGGAGAAAGGGGGAGTGAGGAGATGGATACTAACGTCGCTATTCTGAATGATTTAAATACACTGTAAAAAAAAGGATGGCACAACAGCTCAGAAAAGTGAGGCCAAAGCATTCAGAGCTCCCCCCACCGACCTGCAACAATAAAGGCCGTACTTTCTAGGCTCTAGCTAATTTATCAGACTACTTTAGGTTAGGGTTGGGCGATATGGAAAAAAAGTTTATCACAATATATTTTTTTCATATCTGTCGATATCGATATATTTCACCATATAAAAAATGCAATTTATCAGTGTTTATTGGTAGCATGTCTTTAGCAATTCAATAAGTTACTGCATCTATGAGGTCTTTGTGTCTCTTTGACGTTTTGTCGTAGGGCATTGCGCTAGGGGAAGCAGATTGACTGGTCGGCTGTTTCGGCTGCACAGGTGCCATGAGCTCCTTGCTCCGCTCTGGGTTTGTAACCTTTTGCGTTGCGCGTGTTCTGCCGCGTGGCGCTGCTTCAAGTGGTGAAAAAGATTTGAGGTATTCCCCGACTTTGCGAGAACATGTACTCGACATAATTTGCACATTACTCTGCTTCATGTCCGACCTCAAAAAAACAAAATACCTCCACACTGTCGACGTTTTCGTGTCAGTGTTGTCGACGATGTCGTCATGATTGGTTCAGCGCAAAGCAGACCCGGAACAACTCCCCTTTTCATTGGCTATTCGTATAGTCTACCAAAATATGACTATCAAAAAGGATATTGACCATGTTTTATATTGATATTGAGTGAAATTAATTTTCAATATACTGTATTTTTTGCACTATAAGGCGCACCTGATTATAAGACGCACCATCAATGAACGCGTCTCTTTTCATACATAACGCGGATTATAAAGCGCATTAAGACAAACAAAACAGTCAGCTAAGTCAAACTTTATTTAACTCTTTCAATAACTCAGCGAGGCTACGGTAGCTGCAGCGCTCGGACAAGCCAAAAGGATTTTAAGTGCGCCTTATAGTGCGAAAAATATGGTATATATCTTAATCATTTTATCGTTTTATCGCCCAGCCCTACTTTGGATCCGACTCTGGGTGACCCAGAAGCTTGTTGGTATTCACCAAATGACAGAAACGTTTGGACTAGGTAACAGCACAGAGTTAGGCACAGATTAAGTCCAGCAGGATTAGCATGAAAAGGAGTTTTTTGTACATTAGATCAAATCTCCGTATATAAATGTTTAGCTCTGAGACAAACTGATTCAGTCCTCCTGTGTTAGTTTGTGAGTATCTGCAGAAAGTCGTCATGCAGAGGAAGATACCCAAAACTGCCTGAGCGACAGCGCTGTCTCTGGCTGGGTGCAGCGCCCCCTGCAGGTGGGAGGCTAGATGTCGCCCCGAAAGAATGGAAGTAAGAAGAGCGGAAAAGCAGAGCGGAGAAGTGGGCGGAGCCTTCAGCGTACGAAGAAGAAGAAGAGTCTGTGGGGGGAGGGCAGAAGGAGAGGACAGGGGGGTGGAGTGGAGAGGTGGGGCCGATGGAGGGGTGGGACAAGGAGGAGGAGAGGGAGGGGGAGGGCACAGGAAGAAACTCCAGCTGGCCAATGGAGCGGCTGCGATTCTGCCGAGGTTGGCCGCTGAGAGGACGGGGTGATGTTAACGGGCCACACTCTTCCTGTTTTGGTAAATCCTGTCCTTCAACCAACCTCTGAGAGCCAAACATGACGGCAGGGTCTCCTATCCTCTGTCGCAGGGGCCCCAGACTCTGAGCTGCAGGAGAGAGATGACAGGGAGGAGTTTAAGTGAGGTGTTTTACTTTGAAAACCAGAAAACAGGAAGTTAAGGTTCAAATATAGACGACTAAGAGATCATTAATGTGCGAGGGGAAGAAACCGAAAAAGACGCTCCTGAGCTGACGAAGCAGATTCTCAGCAGCATCTCCATATTTGTCGTTGTTTTATTCCAGAATATTGTTGATTGTTTTTTGATGATTCATCAGTGGTACGAACCAAGTGGAAGTGGGGGTTTTTGATAAAGGAGGAAGGAACCAACCAGAGTGTTTCCATGGCGACTGGGTTTCTGCAATGCCGCTCAGGGGCCACAGGTCGCTCACTCGCCGGTCCATCTGCCACGCCGCATCTGCAGAGAGCCAATCAGGAGAGAGGTGCCAAGGAGAAAAGAGGAGAGGAGAGAAGAGGAGTTTTATGTGACTATATGAATTGTTTTGAATACAGACACCTTAAATATTTATAGTTCATCAGAGCTGACAGTCCTGGATTCTTTCCAACAGATGTTTGGGGACTTACACTGCAGCGTCCCAGGAGACAGGATGTCCTCATCCATGTCATCCAGGTCGTCAGACAGGAGGAGGTGCTGAGGAGTCGAAGGTCTCAGGCCAAGGAAGGACGGGTCCAGGTTGAGGGCGGCAGCCAGCGCTCCCAGACCGGGGTTGTTGACCAAACAGAAACCTGTCAGGGACTCGATCTGCTGCCAGCGGTGCAGCTTCTCCCGTAGGGCTGCCGTCACCTCTGCCAGGGCCTGTCTGTGATAAAGAAAACCTCCTTCATACATGAACAAAGGTCCTGAAAATTTCCTCAAATTACCCGACAAAACCCTGACGTCACCTGGAATATTTCCTGATGCTCAGTTTAAAATTTGACATAACTGTTCTGATTGAAGGTCTTTGTAGAGTGTTAACATAAATCATAACAGCTGAAGTACATCAGACAGTATGAAGGAGCATGAATCCTGTGCCAACGTCTTCACTAGCTACGTTTACATGGAGCCAAATATTTCGAATCGGATTAGAAGCCCAATCGGAATGAAAATGCTCCATATAAACACCTCATTCGGAATAAACAGGCCCATTCCGAATGGAATTTCATTCCGATTCACAGGGGTAGAATTTTCCTTTTCCCATTCCGATTAAAAGCAAAATCCTGTCATGTAAACGGTGAATCGGAAAGTTGTCAGGCTGGGTTCTGTCTGCGCATGCTCTGTCCTGATGTAAACAAGCAGTGACGTATGACTCACATGGAAACATGATGGCGGCTTCCAAGCAGAGCACGATGCACTGGTCTGCGTCGGAGAGTTTGTTTTTGATACAAACTCTCAAAGAACTAGACATTGTCGCACGCTTAGACGGTAGGAAAACACGAAATGCTGAACTATTTAAAAAAGTTCACGAAAAACTCTGCGAGGCAGGGGTGGCAGGGCTTCTTCTTCACGTCTTCTCCACTGTAGTGCGTCCAGTAAGAGCGCGTTGGTGGCAAGCTGTTGCTTTAATAAAAGTGAAAAAACAATCGCTACTACTCTGCTTAACAGACGAAAGACCTCCATCTTTGATCAATCACGTGATGTTTGAAGGTATCACGTGTCTGTAAATAGCTGTTCCGATTGAATGCCGTGGCACATGTAAGCACCAGATCAGAATAGATCGCTTCCATGTAAACAGTTCGCCTGGGAGCTTCAATCGGAATGATTATAATCTGAATGAGAAAAAAGTCTGCATGTAAACGTGGCTACTGACTGAGCTTCACGGCAGCATGACAGACTGTGAAAGTACCTGACAATGACCACTAGATAGCAGCAGTTAAATGCAAACAATAATATGATCTTCACTCTTCACTTTTCAACAGTTTTTACACTGAAACATTTCAAACAACTGCTTCATCTATTAATTTATTAAACCTAAAAGGCGGCATGGTAGAGTCAGGTTAATTATGGGTTGGAGCCTCTGAATTCTCCCTGAAATTTTCCCTGAAATTTTCCTCAATTTTCCCTGGAACTTTTCCTGAATTTTACTTGGTATTTTCTTTCAATTTTCCCTGGAATTTACCTGAAACTTTTCTGAATTTTGCCTGAAATTTTCCCTATATTTACCTTAATTTACCCTGAAATTTTCCTTAATTTTCATTGAAATTCCTTTTAATTTTCTCGAAAATTTTTCCTGAATTTCCCCTAAAATTTTTCTGAATTTTACTTGGAATTTTTCCTAAATTTTACTGAATGTTACCTGGAATTTTCTTGAAATATCTCTAAATTTTACCTGAAATGTCCCTAAAATTTCTCTGAATTTTCCCTGAATTTTACTTGTAATTTTTCCTGAATTTTACCTGAAACTTTCCCTGTATTTCTCCTGAAATTTTCCTGAATTTTACCCGGAATTTTTCTTAATTTTACTTTTAAGTTTCCTGAAAGCTATCTTGAATTTTCCTGTAATTTCCTTAGACTTTACCTAAAATTTTCCTAAAATTCCATTGAATTTCCCCTTAATAATTTTTCCTGAATTTTACCTTAAATTTTCCCTTTATTTCTCTTGAAATTTACCTTAATTGTTCCTGAATTTCTTTTTAATTTCCCCTGAAATTTTTTATCAATTTAACCTGGAATTTTTCCTCAATTGTACCTGGAATTTTTCTAAAATTTCCCTTGAAAATTTTCAGGTGCATGTCACAAAAAAGCTTAAACAATCCCCTGTTGAAAGTCACTCACTTTGCAGAAAGGATTTTATGGTCGACGTCATCCAGTGAGGAGCTGTGAGCCACGTGAAAGGTCCCAAACAGAGAGCTCCTCTTCTTCTTGATTTTCTCCGCCTGAAACACACCCACTGCCATCATCACCATCTTCATCATTGGTGTGTGAGTGTATGTGTTTTGGGAGTGTGTGTTCTCACCCCCTCGCGGGCCTGCAGCAGCTGCCTCTCTGCGCTCTGCTTCTTGACGTTGTAGTATTGAACCTCCACCTCATGGGTCAGCTGCAGCCACTTCTGTAGAGCCTCTGGTGGAGCCAAACGAGCTCGCGTCTCCAGCTCCCGCTCCGCCTTCTTCAGCGCCATGCGGACCTGCAATTAACACACACACACACACGCACAAAACAGATACATAAACACATGAGCTCACTTTCAGGAGTAAGGACCACCCAGAGAAATTTTTTACATCCACTTCCTTTAGTCAGGTGTGTCTACCTGCTCCAGCTCCTCCTCAGCGTACTTCTGTCGGCTCCTCTCGTTCTCCGTTCCCTCTCTGAGCTCTTTCAGACGCTGAGCTTCCTGTTTGGCTGAGTTGATCTCGCTCCTGAGCTCTTCCTCCACCTTCACCTTCTCCACCTGAACACAGCGCTGCTCCTCCTGAGCTTTCTGCAGCCTGATGGAAATCAACAACAAAACAGCGACAGAAACAACAAAAACGCGTTGATGTATGTATGATGGGCTGTTAAAAGTAGTTTTCTGACAATGCTGGATTTATCTGCATCATGACATTGACATTTGTACCGCTATTACCTGCTTGTATTACCGTGGTACCGTATTGAGTTTCTGCTACAGTAATAATGACACCGTTTTACTATTGGAGTCATTTGTCAGTTTGAGTGCTTGTACTACCAGCAGGAGGCGCTGTTTAGGATTTGTGTGTGTGGGGGTGGTTGGGTGAGGGTTATTGTTTGCGTCAGAGCATGAAGGAATGCGTATGTGTGTGTGTGTGTGTTTGTGTGTAGTCAGTGTGTGTAACAGAATATGTGACCTATCCTCGGTACATCAGCACCTGTTTGATTCTTATCTGCTGTCACTAAATCCTGTCCATCTGCTGACACACACACACACACACACACACACACACACACACACACACACACACACACACACACACACACACACACAGTACCACATTCTGCAGAGAGGGAAGCGACAGACAATGGTTTAGTCATCATTAAAGGAAGTGCTGCTCACTTTTGACAGGTCAAACTTTAGGTAAAAAGTTAAAATTTTATCTCTGCTCTAAAAATTCAGATTTTTCTTTTGGAATTTTGTGAAAAATATCAAAAGGTCAGCATTCTGTTTTAGAAATTCAAGTTTTTTTTTCTCATGATTCTGTCATAGATTTTAAAAATTCTGTGGAAAAATATCAGAATTTTGTTCAATTCAAAATTATCTTTGATTTCAGAATTGTATTTTTTCTCTCTCAAGATTCTGAATTTTATCTCAAAATTGTGACGTTGGGTCAGAATTCTGTTTTTTCCCTCTGAATTCTAGCATTAAATTCAGAACTTACAGAAAAGAAAAGTTAAAAGTCTGAGTGAGAAGTCGTTATTATGAAATAGTCCGAACTCTTTATTCAATCTCAGTGTCCAGTTTTTTTTTAAATCCTGACTCTCATCTCTGGATTTTTATTTTTATTGAGCATTCAGTTTTTTCCTCCAAAATTCTGAATTTGATTTTAAAATCAAAAACACGATTCTGTATGTAATCCCAGAATTCAGACCTCTCTCATGGAGTTTTTAGAAAAGTCAGAATTCTGTCTTCGATTCTAGAACCTCTGAGATCTAGGTCTTTCTTTAGTAGATGTAGCCATCTTGGTAACACTTGGTAACTGTAACGCTGGTAACTTGGGTGTGATGTCATTTTCAACTCCGACTTCTGACTTCCAAGGTAACTTGAACGTAGCACAAATTTTTTAGATAGAAACAGAATTCAGATTTTTTTCTGAGAAAAAAAGTTAGACGAAAAAAATTTAAAATTTAAAAAAATGTATTCAGTGGCCTTCATCCTTGTTGGTAGATATTTGTCAATGTTTAAATTTGTTTTCTGAAGGGAAGCAGTAGAGTTCATTTAGTTTAGGTTTCAGTCTGACCTGGGCCAGACCAGTACCAGAACCAGAACCAGCAGCATTATCAGCTGTAACAGCAGTGCTGACTGCAGTCATGGCAGAGAGAGAGAGAGAGAGAGAGAGAGAGAGAGAGAGAGAGAGAGAGAGAGAGAGAGAGAGTTTCAGGAAATAGAGTGAAAAGAAAAACCGAAGTATGAAACAGCAAGTTTCAACACGACACACTCGCACCCTCACACACACACACACACACACACACACACACACACACACACACACACACACACACACACACACACACACACACCTATATACAGTATGTGATATGTGTGTGAGTGTGTGCCGACTGAACTGCTGGCTGTTCCTGCCCATATAAGGACTTCAGATTGAAAGCTTCTGCGGAGACCGTTTGCCCACACACAAACACACACACACACACACACACACAAACACACACACACAGACAGCAGATGAGTTATTTCCTCTGGTAGTTGTGGCTCAGTTGTGTTTTGAAGGTTAATGACTTTTAATTGTTGGACAAACAGATGGAATCAGGTTGTAATCAGATTGTGAGGTTAGCTAGCAGCAGCTGTTTGTCCTTCAGTTTAAATTTAGCCTCATGCTAACCTCAGTGTTTACTCTGAAATCAAACATGCGGTCGATCACAGAGGAGCTGCCGGGTCATTTCATTCACTTTATTAATCAGTATCAGTGACATAATCGATAGGTTTAAGGAAAATGGAGGACAGTATATAAAGAGGTGACGTTTAACATGAGGCTCTATGAGGACTGACTCACTGCAGGACACAGCCTCTAGTGGACACTGGAGGAACTGCAGTTTTGGGGACTCTTATGTTGTAAATCAATAATTAAAATGCCATGAAATGAAGGTGTAACTGTGTTAGCTCACTTCTCCTGCAGGTCCATCAGACTCTCCTCAGCCTTTTGCAGACCCTCCAGGTCCTTCATCAGTTTCCCCAGATCATCTCTGGACTTTCTGGTCTGAATATAAGCAAACCAGCAGCCGCCCAGCGCCATCAGGACAGACATGCCCAGAACCAGGTCCTTCCATCGGTTCTGTCGGCCTGAAAAAAGACATTTCATGTATCAGAAGAGCGACCACAGGGAACATTTTCAAATTATAACTACATTTTAGAGTTGATTTTAAGATCTTAATGTTTTTAAAGCGCTTCATGGGCTTGCCCCTTTTTATTTGACTGAACTTTTGAAGCCATGTGTCCCCTCTCGGTCCCTCAGATCCGCAGACAAATTGCTCCTTGAAATTCATTTTCTGTCGCTGGGCCCAGACTATGGAACTCCCTCCCCCGTCATGTGAAACAAGCCCCAACTCCAGCTATTCGTAAATCACGTCTCAAAACACACTTTTATTCTTTGGCTTTTGACACAACCTAATCACATATTGTCTGTTTATTGATTACTTTTTAATTGCTTTTATGTGGTCTGCTCTTGTATTTCACTGAACGTTGATTTTGTTTGTTTTTTAATGTCTATATAAAGCTCTTCGGTCAACTTGATTGTTTTTAAATGTGCTCTACGAATAAAATTGTATTTTATTGTGTGACTTTTTATGTTTCATATGCAGGTAGTGCATCAAGGGGGTCTTTTATACATTTTGGATCCATTTTTCCTAATTTAGCCACTGGAAGAGCACCCACAGGGCACTTTTTTAACTCATCTTTTTGACTAAAACAACTTGACGTCCACATAGACATCTTTCCTTTTCATGCTAAATAAGATTCTTTGTTTCCATTTAAAGCCATGCATTATTTTCATATAGTTTCATACATCCATGAAGCCAGCATGTGAAACCTCTGTCGAAAAACACACCCCTGTTAAACACACACACGCACACACTTCCTCTGACCTGGCGGCGGTCCAAACAGGACGATGTCCAGAGCTTTGAGCTGAAGTTTCTGAGCGTGACTCCGGTCTAAGATCTTCAGCACGGACACTGTCAGCGTGGTGTTCTTCACCGCCAGCCTGCAGGAAACAGAAGGAACAGAACACAAGAGAATAACACAAACAGACCGGGTCAGAGACACAGAGGGAGATGGTGCGTTCAGAGAAAATTAGAAATCTGAAACATCTGAGATAATCAGAGAGGAGGACTTTTTAAAGACCAAATAAAGCAAGCACATTATTATATTTCTTTTTTTTGCCATATTTCAGATAAAATTATGTTTTCAATGTCTTAAAATGAAACTGTTACAGTAAAATAAATTTAAAAAATATCAAATGTCCTGTAAATGAAGCTCCATGTATTGGTGAACATAAAGTGCACAGATTTTCTTTCATATCGAGACCCTGATTGAACGAGAAATTCAAATCTTGACTTTCTTCTTATAAATTAACAGATTTATTTTTGTAATCGCAATTTTACTTCTACAACTACAATAGTAATATGTTATAAACTTTTACATGTGCATGTATAATTACCTCGGTAAAGACTTGCCATCCAGCTGGTGTCTCTTGAAGGTCTCTGTGTACTGAGGGAGTTCCACACTGAGGACCAGCCAGTCCTCCACCTGCTGCATGGTCCAGTTATACACTACACACACACACACACACACACACACACACACACACACACACACACACACACACACACACACACACACACACACACACACACAAACAGTCTTCAGTCTAAGCAGACTCATACATGATTACATTCCAGCCGTAGTTTGTCATAGTTTGTTCCTGACGTGTGTTTTGGTCACACTCAAGTCCCAGAGAAACCAAAATAAACAAGATTAAACAAAATTGAACAAAATAAACCGAAATAAACAAAACTAGTGTCCCACGAGGCACCAACGGGCTCGAGCCGTGTCATACCGTCACCTCTGTGGACCGTTTAATATTACAAAATGTCAATGAATCATATCATAATAAGGTCATAGAAAAGTATGATATAAAAAAATCGTTGTTAAGTATGATAAAAAATTTCATAGTATAGTATGATAAAAAAAATGTCAGAGTACAGTGTAATAAAAATGTTATAGTATAGTAAAAAATGTCATAGTATAGTATGTTAAAAAAATCATAGTTTAGTATGATAAAAAATGTCATAGTATAGTATGAGAAAAATGTCATAGTATACTATGATAAAAAAAATCAGTTTAGTATGTTAAAAAATTAAAGTTCAGTATGATAAAAAATGCCATAGTATAGTGTGATAAAAAAACCATAGTATAGTATGATAAAAAATTATTATATACTATGATAAAAGAATGTTGTAGTATAGTATGATAAAAAATGTCATAGTATAGTATGCTAAAGAATCATAGTAAAGTATGATAAAAAATCATATGTAAGTATGAAAAAAATCATAGTATAGTATGATAAAAAAAATGTCATGGTGTAGTATGATAAAAAAAATCATAGTTAGTATGTTAAAAAACGTCAGAGTATAGTATGATAAAAAAATCCATAGTATAGTATGATAAAAAATGTCATAGTATACTATGGTAAAAAAATCATAGTTTTGTATGATTAAAAAAAATTCCTAGTTAAGTTTAATTAAAAATGTTATAGTATAGTATGATAAAAAAAAATCAATGTTTAGTATGTTAAAAAAATCATAGTTAAGTATGATAAAAAATGTCATAGTGTATTATGATAAAAAATTTCATAGTACAGTATGATAAAAAGATGTCATAGTTTAGTATGATAAAAAATCATAGTATAGTGTGATAAAAAATCAAAGTATAGTATGATAAAAAAAACTCATAGTTTAGTATTATAAAAACTCAAAGTATAGTATGATAAAAAAAATGTCAAAGTTTAGTATGATAAAAAAATCATAGTTTAGTATGTTAAAAAAATGTCATAGTATAGTATGTTAAAAAATGAAAAAGTATAGTATGATAAAAAATCATAGTTTAGTATGATAAAAAATGTCATAGTTTAGTATGTTAAAAAATGTCATAGTATAGTATAATAAAGAATCATAGTAAAGTATGATAAAAAATTATTGTTTAGTATGATAAAAAATGTCCAAAAATGTCAATTTATATTAAAAAAATCATAGTTAAGTATGATAAAAAATGTCATAGTATAGTATGTTAAAAAATGTCATAGTAAAGTATGATAAAAAGAATCATAGTATAGTCTTTTAAAAAAATCATAGTTTAGTAAGTTAAAAAATGTCCTAGTGTTGTATGATAAAAAATCATTGTAATGTGTGATAATATATGTCATAGTATAGTATGTTAAAAAAATCATAGTATAGTATGATAAAAAATTCTTAGTTCAGTATGATAAAAAATGTCATTGTATAGTATGATTAATATGTCAGCATGTAATACGGTTAAATAACATTTTGTGTCTGATGAAATATTTTGTTTTGTTAGGTAATACTGTGTTCAGTGAAAGTTGTCTGTGTGCATTTGGCCTTCAGGGGCACCACAGCAGTAAAACATGTGTGATCCCTGCATGGCTCTAATCCTAGAGGAAACTTAAACCATGAGAAATCGGTTTCTCCCCTGTGAACCCATCTCACCCTCAGAGTTCTTCCAGGCTCTCCACATGTCCTCCACGCTGATGTGCAGGTCGGCTTGGTGGAAGCTGCTGTGTTTGGCTTTGGGGTCGTGATACTTCAGGTCCTCCCTGAGAAACTGAGAGAGAGTATAAACTTTAAAAACACGAGCCTGCAGAAACCTTTTTTTCTGAGTAACTGGGAGAAAAATAAACATTTAAGGTTAAAAAAAAGTTCTCTAATTTCTGTGCCAAAGTATTTCTAATATTTACGCCTCTTTGTCTGTCTCACCTCATCTGTCTCAGTCATGTCCACCGTCCCGTCCGCGTCGTCGTCCATCTGTTTGTGGATGCTGCAGATCGCCTCGAAACTCAGCAGAGAGTTCTCGTCCTCGCAGAGTTGCTGGTCTATTTCACACAGATCTAGACACAAAAAACAGATCAATAATTAGGTTTAATGATGACATCTTAAATGTGACAGAGTGAATTGGGGTCATAAAATTGAAGGAATCTCTTAAGCATCTAACTTAGCCTGCTGCGGCAAAATATAGATGGATGGGGGTGAAAGTGTCCCCTTTAAATCATTCCTTTGTGTTGCAACAATGCCGTTTTTGTCAAGACCCTTTAATTGTCACATCTTTTGTCTGTGAACGTTATAAGTTTGGTGGAGTTCAAGGTTCTGACAAACATGCAACGCAGTTTTTTTGAGCAGCGATACTTCCACCACGCAAACTTTCTTTCTCCAGGTGCAGTTTTAACGTCTTACTGCGCAGTACCCTTTATTTCTGGAGTGCAAATTGTCTTCTGTGCAGCGCATACTTTTAAAACACTACAAATTACATTATAAAATGTGCAATTTGGATTTCCCATCAGTACTTTCTGTGCCAAACACATTTCACTAGTCAGAACACTGTTGTACATATTTTCAGTGATCTGAGTTTAGATCTGAACAGAAAAAACAACATCCTGCTTCTTTATTTGTAGATCTGTTGGAGCCGTTTCACTTGGTAGATCATGACTTGCTGCTACTCAAACTAAAAACTGCTGGTCTAAGTTTCAAGACTTAACTGGTTCAGAAACTATTTTGCAGATCTAGCTCAGTGCATCTACACAAAAGGCCACAAATCTGATTTTCGTAAGATCACTGAAGGTGTCCCCCAGGGCTCTAGTTTGGGACCTGTTCTGCTCTCTTTCTTTCACAAATGACTTGGGTAAGGATATTCAAGTAAAATTCACCTCTATGCCTATGATGCCATCATCCACACCCACCCTTCCTCTGTAGTAAAAGTTTCACTCTTTACAAACAGCTCTTCAAAATTTCAGTCTAGTTTCTATCTCAGTGTTCAGATTTAATAACTCTGTAAAGAAACCTGATTTTACAAGCGTCAAACTAGTAAAGTCACATTTCACCGCAGAGCCGGTGCTGAAGGTAAAACCTCTGAGCGTCTCCTCTCTGAGACACTGTCTCTCTGTGACAAACGTAGCCCCCCGTCCATCGAGCCAAAAACAGCAACACTTAGAATAAACATCAATTTTTTCAGGCTGCCATCTTTGTTTGGGTGGAGGGACGGAGACACATCACAGCTCTGCTCCTCTGAACTCCAGAGAGAGAGAGAGAAAGAGAGAGAGGACTTCTTCTACTCCACTTAAAGTCACAATAAAACTTTTCCGAAAGTAATTTAGGGGAGACTGGGGACAGATGCAACCAACTGTCCTCATCTAATCAAAAACAGAGGTGATGACATCATACTGCACATGCTCAGTTTGACCTCTGTGAATGTTTTTCTGAGGGGTCGTATTTTTACTTCTGAATTCTTGTGACGACTTCTTCATAGCGTGATCAACCATCATGTTTCTTCCCCGCACAGTCTTCCCGTTAGCCTCAGTTAGCGGCTAACATCCACAGTCATCCATCAAATCGGTTATCTGAAGCTGTGGTTGTCATGGTAACGCAGCGGATTTAAACACATTGCACAGAGTGCGAACTTGATTCATGCCTACATTTGGTCATTTCAGCCTCCAGAGAGTCTCTGCATGATTGCCCAGTGTGTGTGTGTGTGTGTGTGTGTGTGTGTCTGTGTCTGTGTTCCTAAAAATGAGAGGGTTTTTTTTGCATCATCTGTTCCTGATTTTTCTCTGTCAGGTCAGTTATCTATAATGATTGTTTGAATAAATGTTGACGATTCAAACCTTCAAGTTCATAAAGACACGAACCACCGTAAACCGTTTAAAGACTCAATTTAACAGAAAATACTCCAAAGACTTCACAACCAAACTTCATGTCCCATTCTGGACTTAGTCGTTACTAAAGTTGATATAACTAGAGAAGCAAGCGGTCGGCAACATTCATCTCTAGACGGGGTGTCTAACTCGGTGTTATGGTGTGTTTGACCCTAAATTAATTTTAAGCTGGAATATCCCTTTCATGGAGCCTTCACAGATGACCATGACTCTGGTGATCTCCACACCATCAGGGATGCTGGATTTAACCACCTCCACTGAATTCCCACAACAGTATTGTAGACTTAGATGTCCGGTCTTGTCTGAGGATTCTGTCACTTTTACCCACCATGTTACTTTGCTGACAGGATCTGATATTCATGGAAATACACAGACGTAAAAAGACGTCAGTCAGCTTGCTGTGTGTGTGGGTTCAGAAAGCTGTGGACGAGCCGAGTATTTGAAATGATGGGTGGGGTGGTGGTCTCAGCTGTCTCTGAGTCGCCTGTGGCTTAAAACGCGTCACTCTGCAGCGCTGAAACCCGACGCTGACCTCCAGATTAAAACATTAAACACAGGTATCTGCAGGAGGACCACAGTCTCTGTCCTCCAGATTAAGTTCTCAGTCTGATCAGACACCACAGAGGAAGAGAGCAAGGTACGGGCGGCCCGAGGATTACCGCCGGCAGCTGGGGGGATCAAAATACTGAGATAATAGAATTAAACAAGAGGAAGGACGAGACAAAGTCAAACACGCAACATCAGGCTGCGATTCCCGCCATGCATTTCTTCAACGCTTCTCCTTTAAACACAGGAACATCATGAAGATATCGCTGCACCGAACTGAGGAGGATGAGGTCAGAGGAGATGAGGATGTAGGAGACGGAGGAAGGTCGTGACCCTGTATGCATCAACTGACACCAATCAGAGGTTGTCATGGTGATCAAAGCTTAGCAACAGTGGCGAGGATCCTGATGTTGATGGTTGAATTCTACCACAACAGTGATGAGGACAAACCACGAGCATCCAAAGACTCTGAAGAAGATTTCCTGCGTTTTAATGTCTTGTGTTTGTACGCGAAGGGAAGTTTGAGGTTTCTGTGGCAGGTTTTTAGGAGGATAGTTTTGCAAAGTTGTAATAATATAACTTTAACATAAAGAATAATGATATAATGAGTGCTGTGAACGGCAGCGGTTATTGTGTAATCTGAGCGGCAGAGTTTAAAGGTCGAGGAGTTTGAGGATGAACAGAGTCGACGGAGCGGAGCAGATGTTTGTGAGACAGCGGAGAGAAAACGCAGAAACATGAGCGCTCAAACACCAGAGCGAGGAGAAGCATATCTGCGGGACAATCTGTTTTTATCAACGTGTCCCGGAAACATCCAAGACCAAGGCTACAAATGTCCAAAAACGTCGTTCCTCACCTCTTTAACCCCAAAACACGTCACAGGAATAATGAGAGGCACACAGAGGAGTATCTGGATAAACCAGTTGCTCTTACACTGTACAGATGCGACAGACGCTGTCTCAACACGACTATCGGAGCACAGCCAGCTTCCTGTTTGGACGATTTCATTTAAAGGAGACAATCCAACCATAAAGTCTTAAAGAGGGTTTTAGGAGGTACTGCAGTGACTATGTCTGGGTGCGGGAGTGAGGTGTTTTTGACGCACTTCTAGTTCAATCCAACGTTCAATCCAAGGTTGTTGTTGAATTATTTATTGATTCAATGAAAAACAAACAAAAAAGAAAGATACGTCCATCTATCTACGATGATGAAGTCTGTGACGAGAGTGAAAACAGTGTGCTCTTCCCATTCCCCAGATCACTTCTTCACCTTTGTTCCTTTTGTAGCATTTAGTGCCCCTTGTGTTGACTGTGCGAGTAACAAAACAAAACCCCCCAAAAAATAATATAGATAAAATGGCTCAAACAGGTACCGCTTCTCATCAAACAACCCAGGAGACCAGATTCTGGAGTCTGGACAATCTGGAGGGGAGGATACTGTGTCAATGATCTCCCAAAAGGATGTGAAATTCGTCAGGATATTCCGGCGTAAAATGAAGCTATGGTCAAACACACCATAACACTGAGTTAGACACCCCCTTGAGAGATGAATGTTGCCGACCGCTTGTTTCTCTAGTTATACCAACTTTTTTTGTTGCGAGACCTCAGGGCAAGTCCATTGACTGCTGTGGGGTGCCACAGCTCAAGGAAGAACATTTATGATAATTTTTTTATCATTTCCTTGAAGTAATAATCACCATTTTAATCATTTTGCACTGCAGACGTGGTAGTTCTTCTGCCTTGATTGTATTTCCATGAAGAAATTATCATAAATGTTCTTCCTTTAGCTGCGTCACCCCGCTGTAGTCCGTTATGGACTGGCCTGAGGTCTCGCTACAAACAAGCGACTGGTGGAAGAGAGTAGGTGAGTTGTGTTTAGTCTCTTTGCTAAAGAAATTAGACAAAGTTCAAAGGATCAGAACCTCTCACAGACTGAATGTAGTTTGTCTCCTCAGCAGGTCTCCTCTAGTCTGAACTCTGCTGTTCTTCCTTCGTTGAGTAAATGATTGGTGAGACAATAAACTCATTCAGAACTTCAAATGAGGATCTATGTGAACATTTCTCTGTTTGCATGTTTGTCTCACTTTTAGCAGATTTCCTGATTTGATTAAGTAGCTGAGAGTCCGAGAGAACTCACACATTGACACTCTGCCCTCCTCCTGTTGGCTGTCACATCTGAGGGTTCAAACCTCCTCCACACATATCTGTTTCTGTCACCACATTTCCTGTGACATCACCGACTTTTAACCCCCAGGAAGCTGTGGTTAGCAGCTAACGGCTAACTGCAACGCCGTCTCTGCAGCACACAAACACACTGCAGATTAACTCGTGTTTTCCTGTCTGGATGTGACACTTCAAGTCCAAACCTGGGACAGTTACAGAAGTTTTCAGTAGATGACGTGTTTCTGTCTGATGTCAGAGTTTTAAACTGTCGCGTCTGATGACTATGAGCGAACTGATGAATGAACAGTGACTCATAAATTCACAAAGCTGATATTAGATTAATGATTACAGGGATGGTTATCAGTTATAGGCCTGGTTGGATTCATACAGTCCACCTCAGATCTGTCTAAAGTTTGCAGGTTTTCTCCATTACCCCCAATTTTCTCTGATCCGGAACGGCGGTGATTTTTGCCATCTGCCAATTCCTACCGGATCCATTGGTGAGGTGAATTTCATGGCGGATTACAGACAGCAGAAATCACAAGAACTAACAAGAACCCACGGTTTCACGTGCAATCCCGCGATAACAAGTTGTATCTATAAAGACAGCCACAGAGGCTAACCATGAAAGCAGTAGATTGTAACTTTCCAGAGGAGGAAATCTACTTCTAGACTTCTAGAATCAGCATCTCCTCGTCCATGGTGTCCACGAGGTGAAATGACGTCTGAAACCTTTGACTTGTTCGTCTCCACCCATTTGCATGGTGTGAAATACTATCTGCCTCAAACATAGAGTGTTTTATTTTGAAAAAAAGCCGGATGTTTTATTTTGTGTCTGTGCCTGACTTCCTTTCCAGCACGGATTAATCTGTGCTGAATTTATCCAGCATGCTCCAGCACGTTAACTTTAATGGTTACTATTAGCTACGATCAACGGATACAGCCTTTTCGTAGCTGTTCCGGATGCGGTGGAAATTGGGGGTGAGTCTGAAGTTTGACGTGAGGCTGATGGGATGATTGCTGGTATGTGCGTCCTACCTGAGGCCGTGTCGCTGTTTGAAACCAGGTGATGGTGATGGTGGTCCAGGTGGGCGGGGTCACTTCTATCCGATGAAGTGTGGGCTCTGATGCACAAACTTAGTGCACACACTCCCACCAACCACACACACACACCCTCCATGTCTGAGAAAAGAGGGAGAAAGAAGTTTTCATTAAAGCTTAAAGAGGTCACTTCCTGCTGCCAGTAGGTGGGGCTGTGTTTTTGGAAAAAAATATATATTTAATGATGTTTTCAGGCTAGGAGACCATCATGAGTAAATCCGGCACACACCAAGACCAACATCTTCAAAATATGCTGAACAAAAATGATGCAGATACGTTCAACTCTCTCTGAGATATGAATTAAAGAGGGAAAGCGTGTCATTTTTGCTGCCACTAGGGGGCACTGTGATTAGGTTTAAATCTAACTGAATACTCAGGTTTATGCTGCGATCCAGTCGTACTCGGAAATTGGGATTTCCGAACTCCAAGTCAGAAAATCATCTGTAACGTGTTCGAGTTACCACGGAAATCAGATGTTTGAGCTGAAAATGACGTCACACCTGAGTTCCCAGCGTTTCAGTTCCCAAGTCGGAAAAAGCAAAATCGGAGGCCTGAAACAAGATGGCTACATCTATGAAAGTTTTTTTAGCGCTTGCCTTGTCCGAATATAACAAGGATGATTTGATTTGATCGTAGATGTAGCCATCCAATTTTCCTTTTTTCCGACTTGGTAACTGAAATGCTGGTAACTCAGGAGTGACGTCATTTTCAGCTCCGACATGTGACTTCTGAGGTAACTCAAACGCAGCATGATTACTGCCAGTTCCTTCAAAAAGTGAACTTCCTGTCAACATTTTACCACCATTTCACCTGTTCATAGACTTTGTTTACCACCCTAGTGCACACGCCAAATTCCAAGATATTTTTGGTTTGTTAACGCCACTAAATCAACAGTCTTTGAAAGCCTAGCTTGGTCCCTAAACATCAAATTAACATAAAAAAAAACAACAAATAAATTTAGTTTTTTGTAAAAGTGGGCATCGCCGATTAGCCGTTTTCGAGAACGAAAAAAATGTTTGCCGCTGATGTGGATTGATGTTAAAAAAGCACCTGACATCAACATTTAATAAATAATGACAACCTTTTAATGATGAATTGAGATCTCCTTGAATTTCTCAAACTGAATCTTGGTTCTTGTTGCTTAAATATATTGATTATAAGTCAGGAGTTACATCACCGTTTGTCTTGATTACACAGATATTATGCAATGATTCATTATATTGTTGCTTTTTTTATGAAATCATTTCATCATGAAAATAAAAAAAGAGGACGTAATAAAATATTTGAGGAAGGACCCAAAGATGCGTTCACCGTCCTCTGCTGATCCCACTGCTCTGGAAAAAGCAGTTTCGTGTTTTAATGTCAGAGAAACACCACGATGGGATTTAACCTGCCTAAACATCGACTATCTTCAGTTTTACCTCCATCTAAACTTCAGGGGTTGAATAATCCGCTCTTATAAAGACCCTAAGAGTTCCGATACTTTAATGAGTCGGTTGTCTTTTTTTTTAAATAAAGTTATTCCTACAGTTGGAGCGGGGGTCAGGGGTCACACAGCTGCTCAATTTCACACCAACATCCTGCAAAAACAAGTTTGACTCCCGAAGCAGCAGAAACGAAAAAACGCAGCAGAAAGTTTGTTCCGAGAATCACTCACCTCACCCACAGCCGATCATTTAATCCATCGATCTGAGCTCATCTGGTCAGGCCTGATCGATCCTGGATCTCCTGATCGATACAGAGTGATAATCTGAGGATGTCAAAGTTTGATCTTCAGCTCTCCACCCAAAGCCTCAAACTCCACAAACCTACAGGAGCGCTGAGCCGAGAAACACACACACTACCGAGATCCGCCTGCGGTGCATTCAGGGAGCCAAAGAAAGCTCAGAATTATGATATTTAAGTTAAACCAGTTTCCATAAAATAAGATAAGGAATAAAATAAAATGAGATATGATAAAGGGTTGCGTCTTCATTAATAATAATAATAATAATAATAATAATAATAATAATAATAATTATTATTATTATTATTATTATTATTATTATTATTATTATTATTATTATTATTATAAATAATAAGAATTATTTTATTTTTATTCTTATTATTGTCGTTGTTGTTTTATTATGATTATTATTGTTGTTACGATTATTATGGTTATTATGATTATTATGATTATTATTATATAATTATCATTATTATTACTTTTCTATTATTATTATTATCATTATTAGTATTATTATCATTATTATTATTATTATAAACTGTCCTCCTTTAACACAGAAAATAAAGTTGTTGTTTTCTGAACATCCTAAAAATAAAATAATTTTCTAAAATAATAAAAAAAAAGTTTCTAAAAGTAAATTGTGTACGTGAGTGTCTGTGGTGTGTGTATATTTACATAAATTATGATAATATATATATATATATATATGTGTGTGTGTGTGTGTGTGTGTGTGTGTGTGTGTGTATGTATATATATCATAATATTATATCATAATTTAGTGTAGGAGAAGGGGTGGGACTAGATAAGTTTTGACTTCTTCCCACTCCTTTTTGAACATGGGTAACTTTATCAATTGTTGTTGTATTCTTTCCTTTTTTTATTTATTTTTTTTGTACGTTTAAAATAAGCTTCAATCAATCAATCAAATAAATAAATCAATCTTACTGTCACTGATGCCATCCAGGCAGGACAGCGACTGATCCTCTTTTTCAAACTTTGCTTTGTTAAGCAGGATTTCCTGATTTTCCTAGCCTTTTCGTTCTTTTATATTTACCATTTAATTTAATAATTTTTGTGTTTTCTTCTTTGTGATCCAGTTTGAGGAACTGAATCTGGATAGTCCCTGATCTTAACTGTGGATGAGAAAAGCACCTGGATGTCACAGAAACACACTGAGTTGAACACGAGAGAGCTACCGGTCTCACAAATGAGTGGATTTTAAAGAAACTTCACTTTGTAGAATTCTATTTCTAGATCTGATATCCTAAACACAGCAATTACATGATGTATACAAAAGGACTTCCATTAAATACCAAACCTCCAATATGAGTTACTCCTGACTTATCTAAGATCTATTTTAAGAGAAGAACCCATTTTACATTCAGATTAATACAATCCTAAGAATAACAAGACAAGAAAGAAGCAACATGAAACATTTCACAACAGGTACAAATATTTTATATCTCCATTGTTATCAGAAAGAAAAACTCATGAGACAAAATATTTTGTGAAATGTTTTAGCATTTCACGAGAATTTGCACATGCATTATAAAACCAAAAACCCCAAACTGACTGAAAACAGGAACAGAATGCATGGTCTGGGTTGTGGTCCAGAGTGCTTGGCTCTCGAGTGCTGGGTTCTTGAGCTCTATGAGGTCTTTTAAAGAGACAGAAGCTAAAATGAGGCATTTCTGTTTTAAATTGGTGTGCAATCACCTGAATATAATTTTTTTAAAATTTTTATTCCCTCAGAGTCTTTTAGATCTACATCACATATCTTTAGCTTATGTCCAGTTATGCAGAGGTTGTCCTATTTCCTGAGAGCAGCTGAAGGTAACATACATCTTAAGGACTGGTGTGATGGCGCTCCCGTGTGGCCAAAGTGAGGAGGTGCAGGTCAGAGTTGCGCTAAAAGATACAAATAAAACAGCAACTCAGGTCATACATAAACTAAAAAAATACACAATAAACCTTATTATAACTGACAAAAAAAAACCTTTATATGTGAGTAAAAGACTAAATTGAGACAAAAAAAGGCATGAATAGTAACAAAGACTTAAGAAAAAAATGACACAAAGAGGTTACAGCCAGAAAAAGCCTTAAATAGAAACAAAACAGTTACAAAGAGACAAAACAGCCACTTAGAGACACAAACCATCACAAAGAGACACAAAACAGCAACAAAGAGACACAAAACAACCACGGATACACAAAACATTTACAAAGGGGACAAAACAGTCACGAAGAAAGACAAAACAGTCACAAAGATACACAAAACAGTCACAAAGAGACACAAAACAGTCACAATGAGACAAAAAAACAGTTACAAATGGAGACAAAACAGTCATGAAGAGACAAAATAGTCACGAAGAAAGACAAAACAGTCACAAAGAGACACAAAACAGTCACAAAAGGAGACAAAACAGTCACGAGACAAAAAACAGTTACAAATGGAGACAAAACAGTCACAAAAAGAGACAAAGAGTCACAAAAAGAGTCAAATAGTCACAAAGGCACAAAAAAACACAAAACAGTCACAAAAAGACACAAATAAAACAACAAAGAGACAGGAATCAGTCAAAAAGAGACACAAAACTGTCAAAAAGAAACACAAAAAACAGCCACAAAATAGACACAGCAGTCATAAAAAGACACAAAACAGTCACAAAGTGACACAAAATAGCTACAAAGAGACACAAAACAGTCACAAAGAGAGACACAAAACAGTCGCATAGAAAGTCAAAACAACCACAACGAGACAAAAAAGCCACAAAGAGACACACAAAACAGTCACAAAGAGATACAAAATAGCAACAAAGAGACACAAAACAGCCACAAAGAGAGTCAAAACAATCACAAAGAGACACAAAACAGACACAAAGAGACACACATTAAGTCCAAACTGATTCAGTTATATAAAAAGAGACACCACAGTTGAGTGTGTTTGACTAGTTTAGGAGAACAGTTTTAGAAAAGTTTTATCAATGAATCAGCTGCTCTGTGTTTACTGTAAAAGACCTGTCAATCAGTCAGATGGTGGGCGGGGCTTCATGTTAGTGTATATGCTGTGATCTGATTGGTGCTTTAAAATACTTTAACTAGATGAAACAAAAAGTCTTTCAATGTGTGTCAATTCTGGACTAACACACAGAAATGCCCGGTATTACACACACACACACACACACACACACACACACACACACACACACACACACACACACACACACACACACACACACACTGAGTAAACTTCCTCAAACTTGCTCCACCACTTCCCCTCTCTCTCCTCTCAGACTTCCTCCTCCTCTTTAGCCCCGCCCGCCTGCCCCGCGCTGAGATAGAGATCCGCTGTCCCTCCCGCACACACGCACACACATACTGACCCTGACACACACGCTGAAACTCTAACACACACTCTCTCTCTCACACACACTCACACACCCACGGAGAGCGGGACCGAGCGGAGCAGCGTGTCCGGAGAGGAGGACTGGTGACCGGTGAGTCTCTGAGCTTCATCCCCCCGGAGCTCCATCACCGATCAGCTGTCAGCGTGTGTGTTTGTGTGTGTGTGCGTGCGTCAGTGGGTGTGAGTGTGTCTCCTTTACCCAAACTTTTACTTCGTTATTGATCTCAGATTTTATTCCCGTCAGCTGATCGATCGCTTCTCCAGCGGATCAATAATCTGTATATGTGTGTGAGAGTGTGTGTGTTTATGAGTGTATGTGAAATAATTTGTGTGTGTGTGTGTGTGTGTGTGTTTGTTGACGTTGATGCAGGAAACTGGAGATGGAGAGGGACCACTCCCAGTATGTGTGTGTGTGTGTGTGTGTGTGTGTGTGTGTGTGTCACATACTTTTTCCTCGAACTTTAACAAACTTATGAAGAAATAATGTCCTTTAGAAATGAATAAATCAATAAAAAGGTATTTAATGTTGACTTTACTTACGAACAAACTCATCCAGTGGTCTCTGGTGTTTTATTTTCAGTTTATTACTCTTATATTTTAGTATCAGTCCAGTGATATCGGTGTGTTTGTTCCTTTATTTGGTCCACTGTTGTCTAAAGTTGATATTTGCTGGTTTAGTCGAGGGCTTGGTCAGATATCCTCCAAACTTCAGATCAAAGTTAGGCTCTATGTTTTGGTGTTTTAGTCCAGGTTTTGGCCTTGTACTGTTAAGTGTTTATGTCCATTCTTGTCTGGTTTTATAACTTTGGTTTGGTCCATTATTCTCTGGTGTTTTAGTCATTTTTAAGTCTACTTGTGTTGACTGAGGTTAGACCATTAATTGGCCAATATTTAGCGTTTAGCTGATTATCTGTCTCAGCATTTATTAGACATATTACCGGTAAAACCACTCAAGAGTGCACTCATTCGGCCCTGCAGTTGGTGTGTCTTTTCCTTTCAGTCTGTTTCTACTCTTCTCCTGAGTGACATGACTAAGTGTAAGTTCACAGGTTAACAGTTAACTCCTGTATAATGACAGTAAACGTTCTCAGCTTTGACAAAAAGTTGTTGGTTTTTACTGAAAATAGAGAACTATGAATAATCAGTACTGATAAACTGTCCTGAAAAAAGAAAACAATATTAGTCAACCCCTAACTTTGATAATGGTTCAGTCCGTTATTCTCGAGGGTTAAATCTGTAACTTGGTTCATATTTTTCAGTGTAACGGCCAAAGTTTGGACTGTGATTGTCTGGTGTCGAACTAGGGTGTGGTCCATAACCCCATGTTTAAGTCATGGTTCGGTCCATTATTCTCATGGCTTGGTCCATTATTCTCTGGTGTTTAAGCCATGGTTCGGTCCATAATTCTCTGTTTTTAGACCAAGGTTGGGTTCTTTACCCCCTGATGTTAAAGCCATGGTTCGGTCCATTATTCTCCAGCCATGCTCCGGACCATTATTGACAGGGTTATAGCCCATATTTGGTCTGATATTTTTTGTGCTTTTAGCCATGGTTTGATCTGTTATTCTCAGGTGTTTGAGCCATGGTCTGGTCCATTATTCTTTGTCTGGTCCATTATTCTCTGTGTTTAGACCATGGTTTGGTCTGTTATTCTCTGGTGTCCGCCTATTATCTTCCAGCCATGGTTTGACCCATTATCCCCTGGTGTTAAAACCATAGTTCCGCCCATTATTCTCCAGCCATGGTTTGACCCATTATTCTCTTGGGTTTAAGGCATGGTTCGGCCCATTATTGACACGGTTATAGCCCACATTTTCTGTGCTTTTAGCCATGGTTTGGTCCATTTTCTTCTGGTGGTTTTTCCTTGGTTTTGTTCCAAACATCAGTTCTGTTAAAGACCAAAACATTTTCCAATGACTTAAGTCCTGGTTTTGTTCTGTATCCCTGATATTCAAGACTTTTATGGATCCAATATTCTGTTGGAAGTTAAGCCCATGTTATGACCAATACTCAGAAGTTTAGGCTTGGTTTGGATCAGTACTCACGGGTGCTTTGGCCCTGATCGGAGATCATATTCACTGGCATCTAGACCATGGATTTTTCGAGTATCTGTCCCGGTCCTGTCTACTATCTTTTCAGGTCCCATATATTCTTTATTTAGCTCTAGTCTGAGCCCGTTTAGCTGCTGTTAGCCTTGATTTAGATTTTTTAGTTAAAATGTTTTCTTTTCCAGTTTCTTTGAGAAAAAAAAACCCAGACCAACGCTGCCGTTCTGACAGATGACATCACTGACTGTAGGCAGTTGCACGCGCTCAGATTTGATTCAGAAACATCCTCGTCAGCTCGCACAGTTTCATATTTCCCAGACCAAAACAGGAAGTCAGAGTGTGACATACGTCAGAGATTGCCCACTTGGTACTGATGTGAATCATTCAGCTCTCACAGACTATAGATATGTACACATGACTCAGTTTGTCCCAGTTCTTCAGGTGTTTGAACCCAGTGGGGTCCAGTTTCTCTGTTGGTTTGACCCAAAGTGGTCCAGTTTCTTCACTGGTTTGACTCCAGTGTGGTCCAGTTCCTCTGCTGGATTCAGGTTGTTTGTTGTATTATTCCTTTAACAATGCTTCGTCAAATATTTCCAGTTTTCTAGCCGTGGTTTTGTTCCAAAAGTACCCTGTGGTCTGGTTCATTATTCTTGGTTCTTTCAGTTCCTGTTTTTTCATGATAGATGTCCTGTTCTTGTTTTGTCGTTTTTCAATTTTAATTTCAATATATTTTTTCTCAGTCCTGTTTTTTCCTGATCTTCAGATCAGTTTTGTTTTCACAGTATTTGCACTACAGATAAACCATCAGACCTTTGGGCTAATTTATGGTACTTTAAACAAATCAGTATCAGACATTCAGGCTCATGAGGCCCATCAAAAGTCTGTGACCAGCTGAGGTTAACCTGCTCTTAAATGATCTTTTTTCTGTCAGATTAAAATGAGTTTCTAGATGACCACGTGCCTTCATTTATGATGTCCAATAATAGAACAGATCTATTTTCAACCTAAGGAAAACCTCAACCTTTGTCATTCCCATGTTGACTCATATTTGACATTTTGTTCTATTTCAGTAGTTCAGTGAAATATTCGTCAAACGTTCAGCCGCGGTTTGGCCAAGTATTCTTCAGTGTAGAGGTTCTGGTTTATACGAACATCCTTTAGTTGCCTGTTTTTATTGATTAACCTGATTGTTGAACCGGCTCAGTGTGATATTTTGTGATCTGGTCCTGTATTAGTACACTGGTTTTTGGCATTTAAACTAGATTTTTGTCTGGTACTTTCTGGTGCTCTGAATCTTGGTTAGTCCTTCATTTCATTTAGAGTTGTTCGGTTTGATCCTCTCTGGTGTTTTTTTTGACTGAAAAATCTGCAGGTATCTGATCCCTGATCTGAGGGGACATGATAAGTTGATTATTGGACTGGGTCAGTTATCTTTGGTGTTCTCTCTGGTGGTTCCATACTGATGAGTTTTTTGTAATCCAAGTTTGGACAGCTGTTTCTGTCCTTTTGGTTCAAACTGCTGTGATGTTTTCACTCAGATGTATTTGGTACTTTCATGGTCCAATATTCTCTGATGCTTTGGTCGTGTGAAACTCTTGCTTTCTTGTCCAAAATTCTTGCAGGTTTTAGTCCTGGTAGGTAATTCATTGTATATTAGTCTCTGTTTTTGGCGTTGTTCAGTGCAATATTCTTCATGGACAATTTGGTCCTGTCACAATGAATATTTATCCCAGGTTAGGTTGGACTATGGTGGTAATTTTAGTCCAGATTTGTTGGCTCAAGTGTTTTCTTAAACTCCGCTCTCTTACTTTGAGTTGGTTCCTTTCTTGTCTTGTGTGTCAGACCCACTGTGACCCAGCTGCTTTTAAGCTGCTGTTTTAACAGTGAGTTGGTGTTTGGACTCTTCCAATATTTTAGCTGGGGTTTAGACTTAAATACCAGTTTTTTAAAACTGAATTTCCTGACTTATCGTCAATATTTGATAAAAAAATAAAAATAGCTCAAGAAGTGCATCTCAACACCACAAAAATAGGAACTTTTACACATTAAAAAGGATCAGAGGAACTTTTTTGTATATTTTATCCCCTTAAAACCATCTTGAGAATTTTTATTTTCAATATTTTCACTGAAAGTATTTCGATAAGGGAACTTATTTTCACTTTTTATTCTGTAGAGAAGCAGCTATTTCAGCTATATTTTGCCTTTCTTAATGGAGAAGTCACCACAGAGGATTTGCTCTCCTGCTCACCCTTAAGTATACCACTGCTGGTTTTATAGAATGTTTTTGTTGGTTTAACTTCATCAGATGTTTTAGTTCTTGGTCTGTTCTTGTCCCTAAGTCGAGTCTAGGAGCTGCACTTTGAGTGTTTGGTCCTCACACAGCAGACACCCACCAGCTCAAAGTAAACCCGGGTTTGAGTGGCTCTAGAAGATTTGACTCTCAGTCCGATTTATCGTCAGCCTTCATCTCATTAAAGTGTGTTCACAGTTTTTGTCTGTATGCGAACTCACATGAACTGCTGCTCAGACTGTGTCACTTTTTCTTCACACATGCTGCTGCTGGACCAACAGAGTGGCGGACAAACCCTTCCTGTTTCGGTTTCAACACAGACCAGTTCCTCTTTGGCCGGCACCGTCTGACTGTTGGGGTGAGAGGGGGTTAGGAAAGGCTGTTGTTGACCAGATATCTATTCAGCATTTCCTTATGTTGTAGCTTCGGTTTGGCCCAAAAATCCTTCTGGACATTTAAAAGCATTAGACTTGAGTCTCTTTCTTCGTATTTTTAGCCACAGTTTTTTATCTGTTGGTGTTTCAGTCAGAGTTTAGTAATTTCCCCGTGTAATGGCCCCAGTTTGGCCGTGTGTTGATAAGTGTTCACGTCCTAGTTAGGTAAAGTATTTACTGGTGTGTGGCAAAAGTTTGGCCAATCATTTATGGATCTTTACTTGGGAATTCGGCCCATTTTTAACTGGAATTTAAGCTCAGGCTAAGCCCAGTGTTAAATTATATTAAGCCTAAATTTAGTCCAGTATTTACTGGTGTTAAGAATTAGTCCAGTAGTCACTGGTGTTTAGTTTGGGTTTAGTCCAGTATTTACTAGTGTTTAGCCCAGGTTTAGTCCAATATTCACTGGTGTGTAGTTTAGGTTTAGTCCAGTAGTTACTGGTGTTTAGGTTTAGTCCAGTATTCACTGGTATTTAGTTTAGGTTTAGTCCAATATTCACTGGTGTGTAGTTTAGGTTTAGTCCAGTAGTTACTGGTGTTTAGGTTTAGTCCAGTATTCACTGGTATTTAGTTTAGGTGTAGTCCAATATTCACTAGTGTTTAGCCCAGGTTTAGTCCAGCATTTACTGGTGTTAAGGTTTAGTCCAGTATTTACTGGTGTTTAGTTTAGGTTTAGTCCAGTATTCACTGGCGTTTAGATTGGGTTTAGTCCAGTATTCACTGGCGTTTAGATTGGGTTTAGTCCAATATTCACTGGCTTTTAGTTTAGGTTTAGTCCAGTATTCACTGGTATTTAGTTTAGGTGTAGTCCAATATTCACTAGTGTTTAGCCCAGGTTTAGTCCAGTATTTACTGCTGTTTAGGTTTAGTCCAATATTTACTGGTGTTTAGTTTGGGTTTAGTCCTAGTATTTACTGGTGTTTAGGTTTAGTCCAGTTTTCACTGGTGTTTAGTTAGGTTCAGTATAGTATTCCCTGGCGTTTAGTTTAGGTTTAGTCCAATATTCACTGGTGTTTAGTTTAGGTTTAGTCCAGTATTCACTGGTGTTTAGTTTAGGTTTAGCCCAGTATTTACTGGTGTTTAACCCACGTTTTGTCCAGTGTTCCCTGGTGTTTAGTTTAGGTTTAGTCCAGTATTCACTGGTGTTTAGTTTGGGTTTAGTCCTAGTATTTACTGGTGTTTAGGTTTAGGGTTTAGTCCAATATTCACTTGCGTTTAGTTTAGGTTTAGTCCAGTATTTACTGGCATTTAGTTTAGGTTTAGTCCAGTATTTACTGGCGTTTAGTTTAGGTTTAGTCCAGTATTTACTGGTGTTCAGGTTTAGTCCAGTATTTACTGGCGTTTAGTTTAGGTTTAGTCCAGTATTTACTGGTGTGTAAGCCTTGGTCTTTGACAGTATTTCCTGGTACTTAAAGTTTACGTTGGCTATGTAATTATCTTAGTATTTGGTCCAAGTTTAGTCCCCCTTTATCCTCTGGTGATCAGTCCTCTCTTGAACCCAAGTTTTTGTTTTTATGAAGTCTTAGTTTTATCCATAAATTTAGTGTTTCTTTAAGTTGAGGTCTGGTGCCTTATTTTCCACTGTTTTGGTTCTGATCTGGTCCATTATCAGGGGTTTTAGCCGCATTTTGCCCAGTAATTTTCTAATAAATGATTCTGTCGAGGCTTTAGTTGAATTATATAATGAAAAAAAATGAGCCATAGTTAGATTTTTTTTTACCGTCACAGTCTTCTCATTTGGCGGGGCAGGTGTCTCCTCTCTCAGAGTATTTTTGAAGAGACCACACCGCCTTTAGATTATCCCGGAAACCTCTCCAAACCAATTTTTAGAGTTTTCTTCCCGTCAAAGCGTCAGCTGTGCGGTGACTCGGTTCCTCTGTTGCTAATGAGATTCCTCCTAAAACAGCAAATTTCAGTGAAGATACAGAAAAAGAACACAGCTGACATGACGAAACTAAAGATTCACAAGTTCCTGAAACAGACCACTGACACCAGGACGGGGACCACGGGGAGTCTGACTGATTCAGTATTTCTGACAGATATAAAGATAGATAGAAAGATAGATAGATAGGTAGGTAGGTAGGTAGGTAGGTAGGTAGATAGATAGATAGATAGATAGATAGATAGATAGATAGATAGATAGATAGATAGATAGATAGATAGATAGATAGATAGATAGATAGATAGATAGATAGATAGATAGATAGATAGATAGATAGATAGATAGATAGATAGATAGATAGATAGATAGATTTAGGAGTAAATAGATATAGATATATATACTCATCTATGCTGTCCGTCTCACGGAGCAAGTGGATTTTACAGTCTGTGAGATTTATCGTTCGATATTTACAATAAATTTTGTGACATTGAAAAACACAACAGTATTGACGATGATTACTGAGCTCTGAATATCAGACTTTATCATTTCATACAGAGTCTCAGTCTTGTACTCGGTCGTCGTGGTTTTTCTAACCAGGACAGAAGCTGAAAAACTGGTCTGTTCTGACCTTTTCTTCACCACACCGTTTACATGTTTATTTCATTTTTTCATGTGCACTTCTACATCCTTTTACTACCAGGGATGCTGACTCTGAGCTGATAACATGGGTGGCTTGTCTCCCCTTTAGAGCGGAGAATGAAAAGTCCAAGATTTCCAAAAAGAATCAGATCCTGATTGGTCGAACCACTTCATGATAGAAAAACACCCTGATGGCTCACAGAGAGAAGGGAACTACTGCGGTTATTTTGGATCATATGTCCTCCTGACTGAGCCTCTTTTCTCCCTGTGGTGACTCATGTTCATATTTCCATCCTCTAACTTATATTTAACAGTTTATGCTGATGATTTACGGACACTGAAATAATACCGTGTTTGTTTCTCACCAAGAGGAAGATCGTTTTCACACACTAAATGTGTGTTTGCTGCAGGTCACCGAGCTCCATTCCTCTTCCTCTTCCTCTTTTTTTAACAACCTTCTTTTTCTTTCTTCCCACCGTCACTCTGTTTTACACTCACTGCCCTCTCTGGACACCTGGATCAGAGAGGATCAGTTTCTCAGAGTTCCTGAATGTATTTGGAGTTAAATCTTAGCGCAGATAGAGAACGTTTCTGACTGTCTGTATGAAGGTTCGAGCTTTTGGGTGGCTGCCATCTTTTGGACCAGACCTGACCATATTTGGACAAAAGGGTGGAGCAAACGGTCAGCTATCTAAGATACACAGTCTGTGCCTGTGGCTAAGTCATTAGCAGCTAATGGGATAGCTAACCGTGGTGTTTCCCACAGATGGAGATCGTGTTTCTTGCGGTAGCTGACCTGAGTTCTGTATTTATCGCACTAAAGAAGCTGAGAGGGTTTAAGAGCTTAAGAGTTGATGTGGTTTTCTAAGAGTACTCAGCAGATAACTCACAGAAACAGTCTCATACTCACTACAGCCAAACTATCCATGAAGTGCAAAGAAAGTACGATTATTTGTCCAATATTTAGAATAAATAACCTCCAACAACACAATCACAGGAGAGGTCAAGACCAGAGACCCAATCAGCTGTCAGCTCCCACCTGTCACTCAAAAAGGCCACGCCCCAGAGTACAAAGACTCTGATGATCCTCGTACCATCAGGGATACTGAGAGAGGAGGACCTGTTTGGTTGATCCTCTAAAGTTTTAACATGGCGCTCTATGGGGACTGACTCACTGTAGGAGACAGCCCCTGGTGGACACTTTAGGACCTGCAGTTTTTGGCACTTCCACTGACAGTCAGTACGTTTACATGACACTCAAAAAACCAAATTATTGCCTTACTCCGATTAAGACCGGACAACTGAAGAGCATGAAAACACCTTAGTCTGACTATAATCGAACTCCGATTGGAGTCGTAGAAGTCTGATTAAGACACCGAGGTAATGCGATTGGAATTCGATTTTCTGTACCATGTAATCAGCGTAGTAGGAGTATGATCGGACAATGCGTGTACACGTGCGCCACACCCTCGTAACCCCAGAGAAGAGGTGGTGCTATCATTTAAAGAACTTTCGACTCTGAAGTAACAACATAACATGGCTGAAACACGAAAGAACGTCCACTTTTGGAGTGACGAGGAGAGTGTCGTTATGCTTTCTCTCCTGAAAGAAATGGACATTTTAAAGTATATGGACGGTCGGAAAACAAGGAACGGAGACATCTTTAAAAAAGGTGCGGAAACAGCGCCACTGAAAAGACCCATATCGCCCCCTAGTTTTTGGGAGGACACTTTTACGTCAATAATTCGATTTTCTAAGCTGCATGTAAACGTGGACAAGTAGAGAAGTCTGATTCAGCGAAAAAAAAAAAAGAATTTTGAGCTTAGTCCGATTAAGGTGTGCATGTAACGCACTGACTGATACTGGAGGTTTTTGTCACATGTCACAGCGACCTCTGGTGGTAAAGAGAGGAGCTGCAGCTGAACATTGAGATCCGCTGTCACTCAGAGATGCTTTTAAAGAATCAGAGGAAACACCGTCACTGAGTTTAATGAACAGGGTTACAGTTTATTTCAACAGAAACCACAATGACTTTCTGTCTGCTGAAAACTTCCCTTCCTATAAGTACAGCTGCGTTACAAAAGGACGTCTTACAACACCTTTAACGTTTCTCTTTAGGCCCAAACATGGATCTATCTGTCACTGATAGTGGAGAACAAATACAGAGTTTCCTCCTGTCTCTACTGGATAAAAAGTTTTCAGAGTAAAACCATCGAAATATTGATGTGGTTCACAACTTTCTGCACAACATCAGAGCAAAGAGAGAGAGAGAGAGAAGGAGAAGAACGAGTCGTAGAAAAGTGAGAAGCTGTGAGATCAGAGGTGAAGCTTCCAGCAGGGGTGAGATCAGCCGACCTCCGCCCAGAGAGAGAGAGAGAGAGAGAGAGAGAGAGAGAGAGAGAGAGAGAGAGAGAGGGGAGGGTGGGGTCAACGTCCCCAGAGTCTGGGCTGAGACTCTTTCTGACATCTGGAGGGAGTCGGGTTTGATTGTTCACAGTTGCTGATCATTTTCTGTCTTTGTGTTAAACCCTTTCTTTTCTTTGTTTCTGATTTTCAAGTTTTCTGACACACAAACTCTGTGTGTCTACTACCACAAATACAACCTGCCCAGGCAATGAAAGGCAAAACAGGCAATAAAGTATTATAAAAAAATAACCAATCTCCTCTGAATGATCTGACATGATACAGAGGAGTTTCTGCAGAGAGTGCTTCTGTCTGAAGAAGACGAGGAGCTCCCTGTCAGCAGTCTGCGGGTCAGACCTGATATCGCCTGGTCTGCTCTCTTTCTGTGACAGATATAAACATATAAGCCTTTATTATTATCATGCTAAAGGACTTCACAATCATCGCTATTTGTAGAGACTGTAGACGTGTAACAGAGGTGGAGTGCAACTACCTTTTTAATCTCAGTTTCACTAACCAGACCACAGTGCAGACGACAGCTGAGGTGGACAAGAGGAGGACTTATAACTACTACTATTAAAAAAAACACACACATACATGAGGTAAAGCGCATTTTTTCAAACCTTTAAATGAAATGAAAAGTTTAGAGATGAATAAACTGTCCCGAGTGTCAGATGGAGTTCCAGGTCATCTTATTTCTCCTCGAAAGATGACGATTTCATCAGGTCAGACCAAATTAAAGGAATACTCTACAAACAGAGAAAAGAGTAACAAACAGAAATTAGAGCAGCTACAAACTAGAGATGTCCCAATCGCATATTGATATTGGATGACGACCCAAAATCAATAAAAATAAGGAATATGGGATTATATCAGCCTGCATCTAAAATCTCTGATATCAACACTCCGATAAAAGCAGTCCATTCCAGCACCCGGATCCAGCATGCAGAGCCCACATGATCACAACAACAGTGTGTACTAAGGTACTAACAAAGTACTAAGGAGTAGGAGCAAGGTCGACCTCGTGGCAGTATTTTTCGTTAGAGACCGAAAGTTTGTGCAAATATCGGATCAATATCGGAATCGGCCAATACTGAAGGCTACAATATCGGTAGCCTTTCAGCAGTAAAGAAGTTGTATCGGACACTCCTTAGACAAACACAATCTAAGCTGTTAGCAGCACTGACTGGGCCCTCGCACCTTTGGGCATGATCGAGCGTGATGCACAACATCTTTACACCAGGACATTAGCGAAAACATAAATGTTAAAAAGCTAGCACCATCGTGAAACCTGTGAAGTTCGGAGCAGATCAGATATTTTGTGTTTAAGTTAGTACCATGTATCCTCAAAGGGGGGCGCTATAACTGTAGTTGAAAAATAACACATACAGTAGATGTGTTCAGGGTTGGACCATGAACTCCATGAACTCTGTTTGAAGTAGTTGGATTACCTGACCTTGAAAAGATGGATAAAAATTCAGAGTAAAAAATCCTTTAAGAACGACCAGGAAAATAGGACCAAAGAGCCTCAAACCGGAGGAACGAACATGTAAAAAATAAAAGAATAAAAAAATAAAGCTCACAGTTTATCGAACAATGAGACGATAAGGAAAAATGAGACCGAAAGTGGAACCGAGACTGCGTCTGTCACGTAGATGTAAATAAAGTTTTATGTGGGAGGACCCCTCATTACACACACTGCTCTCATTCAAGTGTGTGTGTGTTTGAATCAGTGTGTGTGTGTGTGTGTGTGTGTGTGTGTGTGTGTGTGTGTGTGTGTAGGATAACATCTCTGTTTTGTTTGGAGACCGTTTCTGCAGAGATCATTTCCATAAACACAAATACTGACAGAGGACTCCCTCCTCCTCCTCTTCCTCCCCCTGCAGGCAGACGATGGGACGTCATGTGTCTCTGAACAAACTGTGTTAACTGAAGGAAACTGAAGCATCTCTGACGACCTCGTTAGGAGGAGGACTCGTTAGCCAATCAGAATCACCGGAGGTAAGCTCAGAGCCGTAGAAAGAGTAAAGACCTGAAAATTTCCCTTAGACTCTGTAGATGTTGGATCTGAGTAGCAGGATATCCTGATCCAGATTTGGACCTTTTTTTTGGTCGATTTTGGGACATTTTTATTGGTCAGGACAGCTGAGGAGGGACGGAGGACGGCAGTTGAACCAGCAACTGCTGCAACCAGAACTAAAGCTGATGTAACACTGTTGTTGTTGTTGTTGTCATCAGCCCAGTCATTTCCATCAGCTGTTGAATCCCGAGTATGATCCCTGTTAGGGTGACCATATTCTGACTTCCCAAAAAGAGGACGCGACTACGCAGGGGTGGAATCTCGCAGTCACACAAAGCTAATTTTGAAAGTTTTTTAGGTCGGATCAAGTGTCTTTTACGCGCCTCTAATGGTGCGTTTGAGTTACCTCAAGTCAGAAGTCCGAGCTGATAATGACATCACACCCGAGTTTCCAGCGTTTCAGTTACCAAGTCGGAAAAAAGCAAAATCGGAGGCGGAAACAAGATGGCTACATGTACGAAAGTTATTGTAGTGCTTGCCTTGTCTGAATATAAGGCAAGCGCTAAAGTAACTTCGTTTTTTTCCGCTTCCGATTTTGCTTTTTTGTGATTTGGTAACTGAATGCTGGTAACTCGGGTGTGACGTCATTCCCATTTCCAAAGTCTGACTTCTGAGGTAACTCGAACGCAGCGTAACTCAGTAAATCCACGTGACACAAAATTGAAACTTACATACACAACCGCGGACATTTGAAGAATTTTATAAACTTCCACCGACAGGCTGGGCAGCCCCCCAAAAAGAGAGGACATGTCCGGGTAAAAGAGGACGTATGGTCACCCTAATCCCTGGAGAGCCCCAGCAACATTTTCAGACATGTTTTTAATTCTATTCCTGTCTCTATTTTGTTGTTATAGTTCAAATTCTTTTACTTTTACTTGATTTTTTGTTTCAATTTTAAGTCAAAACGGCAAACCAGTCAAAGACTCTGGCACCACAGAGTGAGATTTCTGTCAAAAGAAAAAAGGAAGAGGATTTTTAAAACCAGAAACAGCTCAAACATCTCTACAAACACTGAGAAAAACAGGAAGTTAACCTGCCAGGTGCTGCTGTTAACTTCTCTTAATCTGTGTGTTTCAGGTTGCCGCAGGCTCAGAGGTCAGAGGTCATCATGCAGAGTATAAAGTGTGTGGTTGTGGGTGACGGTGCGGTGGGGAAGACCTGCCTCCTCATCTCCTACACCACCGGAGCTTTCCCCAAAGAGTACATCCCCACGGTGTTCGACAACTACAGCAGCCAGGTCTGTTCTGCTCTTGTTGGTCCGGTCTAATGCGACCACACAGTCATCGCTCATGCGGTGTTGTATCTTATCGTAGCTTATGGTGTCACCTGACCACGCCCGTGTGTTTACCTCTGTGTGATGTGTTCAGGTGACGGTGGACAACAGGACCATCAGTCTGAACCTGTGGGACACGGCGGGTCAGGAGGAGTACGACCGGCTGAGGACGCTGTCGTACCCGCAGACCAACGTCTTCATCATCTGTTTCTCTATCTCAAGCCCCGCCTCCTACGAGAACGTCAAACACAAGTGGCACCCAGAGGTCAGAGGTCAAACATTAGTTTGATTGAAGTTTTAATGGTTCTCTTACTAAAGTTATTATCAGGATGTGCATACCTGGTGCAGCCCAGTGCAGAGGAAGAACCGGTCCAGACAGTCTAGACCATAGACTGTATATACTATGGACAACTTGGTTCTGCCTTCCGCCAGTATATGGATTTGAAGCCAAATTGCTGTCAGTATTTCTGTGTTTTTTCAACACTTCCGTAAATCACCACTTGTGCAGTAGCGTTATGCGCATTCGGTGAGAGAGTCGCTGCGATGATGCAATCTTGGTATGCTCATAGGCTGTATCAAGTGTCAATCATAGAAAACATGAACCCCCTAATAACTTTTAAAAATGCACAAACCAGTCCTACAATAACTACATGTCAACATCTCAACTAGGGGGGAAAAAAATTATATTCTGTGTAATAATAAATTTTTCCACAGCTCCATAGGGATTGCTGGAGGAGGTGGGCTTTATGACCCATACTGCAACCCGTCACCAGAGGGTGCTGTTTTCACGGTGGCTTTACCCAGAGGCACATGGCGTCCATTCCATATACAGTCTATGGTCTGGACCGGTATGAAATAGGAAGGAGCTAGGGTTGGACATTAAGTCTCAAGAAATGAGCAGTCGGAATCGGAATCGGAATTGGAATCGTTCAAAATACCCGACCCTAGGAGCAAATGCTGTTGCATTAACAAGGGATCCCTGAGCGTCAGTTATGATTGAAATGAACTCAGACATGTTGGACATGCACTCCTGCATATTCCTTCATGTGTGAAAGTCTTACCTTTCCACATAAACGCTTTTTGACTCGTGCCTGCCTCGTCTCCTCCTCAGGTGTCTCATCACTGTCCCGGCGTTCCCATCCTGCTGGTCGGTACAAAGAGTGACCTCCGGAACGACAGCGACACCCAGAGGAAGCTGAAGGAGCAGAACCAGACGCCCGTCACCCACCACCAGGGCACCGCCCTTGCACGCCAGATCCACGCCATTCGCTACCTCGAGTGCTCTGCCCTCAACCAGGAAGGCATCAAAGACGTGTTCACCGAGGCCGTGAGGGCCTTCCTCAACCCGCAGCCCACCGTCACCAAGAAGCCCTGCGTCCTGCTGTAGGACCATACCAAACCGGATCAAACCAGGTTAAACCGGGGTTGGTCATGTGGCTGCACTGTCTGAGAGACTTTTTGGAAATGTGTAAAAAATTAGATTTTAAATGTTCAGTTAAAGTTTTACGGTTGATGAGATTAAAAAAGGTCTTTTAGGACTTGACAGGAGAAGGAGTATCCTCCACATCTCGAAGCATTTCAGGAGTTCAGTGGACCCGTTAAAGTCTCACTGCCGGGTCGTGTGTGTTTTTCCTGTTCTTTAAACTGAGTACTCGTCCGATACCCCAGAACCAAACATCTCTGGTTCTGGTTCGAGTTTGACCCTCCATCAATGTGTCTGGATGAACTTTCCTGCAGCTTCTAGTCACTTGAGGTTGAACAAGTCTCAGTTTCACTGTAACAAAAAAGTCACACTAAAATCTGTCTTCAGAGCCAAGAAGCCAAAACCAACAGGTCTGACTCTAAAAAGGACGCTGAAATAACTGCGCTGGATGTCAATTGGTAAAAAGTCTAAATTCAGGATTTTTCAGGTCTGTTTAAAAGGCAAAAAAGAAAACAACCCCTAAAATGTAAATTCTTAAATTGAGTTTGGTTTGATCATTTCTAATTTATTTGAATTTGCTTTTGACTTTGTGAAAAACTGCAGCTCTTCATGAATTTGTTTCCCTTTTTAATTGAGAACCTCTGAAGTACAGCAGCGAACAAAAGCCTTCAAATTCGATTTATCAACATAACTCTAACACTGACTGTTTTTAAAAACCTCAGATCGATGTAAGACAGGGAGACGAAATTTGCACCAAAAAAAAAAAATACAAACAAAAAAACAAACTTAAACACAGTTTTAGGTTCAGTTAGACTTTTTCTACCTAAAAATATCACAACATCTGATGTACCTTCAAAATAAAAGCCAATGAATCCCTTTGCAGCAGGGTCCAAAATTAACACCTACAAAATGCAGTTAAATTAACCTGTTAATGAAACTGAGAATGAACTCCAATAAAGTTTACATCCACATTAATTAGTTTGATTTATGGTAAGTTCAGGTCAGATTTGTTGGATCAATAGTTTTCAGCTTACACTCATTAAAAAACAATAAAAAAGATTTAAAAAAAGCTGAAATACTTAAAAAATAATCAGATTTTAAAATGAACAAACAGTAAAATGATGCTGTTACATCAAATTAATCTGAATATAGTTATATTTTGGCTTTCCTGGAAACTCATAGGAAATAAACAGCTCAGAAAACTTAACAAATCTGTTCTTTAAGTAAGAGTTTTATCCTGAGAGATTCACATTTTCTGTTTTTATTGAGACTTCCTGAATGTTGACTCATTTTAGCCCCATAAAAACTAAGTTAGCATCTTCTGTTAGCAGAAATGTGAATGTAGGAAGTCCACCTTTCTAATTTTTTACAAAATTGAATTTACTTTTCAACATAAATGTGATTTTCTTGATGATTTTGTTTTTAATTTACTGTATTTTTATTTAAATATGAAAAATTAAAATGTTTTACAAAGTATGAATGTGCTGTTTTTTTGTTTTTTTTTTATGCCGTGATTAAGAGCGGCTGAATTTTTCTCGTACCTGACTCAAACTGAGAGGTCGCTCTTTAGTCCGACTCTGGCCTGAGCTGTTTCAGGATGTCGTTTTTTTCCTCCCCAGACGCAGGAGTCACTTCCTCTTCCTGTCCACCGTCTCCAACAGACACTCTCTCTCTCTCTCTCTCTCTCTCCTGATTCTTAGTCTTCTCCAAACGAGTGCAGGCTCGCTCACCCCTCACCTTTCACTACTAAAAGAATGTACCCAGCATGCATTTCACATGACTCAGAGGTAATGAGACAAGCTCCCAGCCTCTTATGTTTTATGATGGTGTCTCTGACCCGACTGCCTGTGGTCCAGTTGCACTGTGGGTAATGTAGGCCCATATCTCTTAGAGACAGTGCTAAATATTACAGTATAGTTCAAAAGTAAATATTATGTCACTCTTCAGTCTTTCTATCATCCCTCTGTCATCTCTGACATGTCTTGACATGATTCAAAGCAAAAAAAAAAAAAATTGGGTCGAGATTTAGGTCTTTGTCTCTTTCAGACACCTCAAAGCACTACAGAACACAACACTCTAGAACCCACCATTCTGGAACAAAACATTCCAAAACACAACACTCTAGAACCCACCAATCTGGAACCCACCATTCCAGAACCCACCATTCTGGAACTAAACATTCCAAAACACAACATTCTAGAACCCAACATTCTGGAACGCACCATTCAGGAGCCCAACATTCCAAAACACAACATTCTAGAACCCAACATTCTGGAACGCACCATTCAGGAACCCACCATTCTAGAATCCAACATTCTGGAACCCACCATTCAGGAACCCGACATTCCAAAACACAACATTCTAGAACCCAACATCCTGGAACCCACCATTCTGGAACTAAACATTCCAAAACACATCCTTCTAGAACCCACCATTCCGTAACCCACCATTCTGGAACCCAACATTCTGAAACCCAACATTCCGGAACCCAATGCTCTGAGACATGCCATCCCAGAAGTCTCCTCTTCTGTTGCCATGTTATAAAGCCATTTTTGTCTATTGAAAATGACAAATTTAGGTAAGTCTCTGTGTTTTGGGCCCTAAATCTGACCCAGGAAGTCTGGACACAGACACATCAGCAGCTCTAAGACTCAGAGTAGAACTTTCATGTAGATAGGTGTGTTTTCATGCCAGGGTCACACTACAACATTCAAGTGTGGTTACAGTTTGGTCCAACAGTCGGCTCTAAAAAAATTATTATTTAGGCTTGGTTATAGTGAACGACATTCAGAGAAACGTCTTCAGGTTTGACTTTTCTCTTTGCCTCCAACAATTCACTCCAAACATCAGTGACATTGACCAATAAGAGCACAGAGCGAAAATGACAAACAATGAAAGAGACCCTTTCAAGATCTTTTCCTGTTTTTTTCAGTGCTTTTAAAAAATTAGCCACGCTCACCCATGACACAAAACTGACAGAATGAAAAAAATGTGTAAAATGTTTTTGTTTATTATAATCGAGTGTTTTAACAGCACCAGACATTAAACACACATGTACAATCCTCAGACTGGATCATGATGAGTGTGATTACATCATTGTTAAAAACAAGATGGCAGAATGCTAACACGTTAACCATTAACATGCTAACATTAGAATTTGGGCATGGTAGATATCCACATTATAAGGATGTGAACCACCTGATACGAGCTTGTAAACGGACTCATCCTCACTGTGCTTTGAGTTAAGTGTTTCCGACAAGGCTGATAAAATGACTAGAATGTCCTACAAAGGCCACCGTACAGGATAAACCTTTGGATTACAGAAATATACACTTTCCCCCGGCGCATCCCTCGGGACAATCTTTGACTGTTTGGAGACCATGAGCCTAGAGTGTGCTGTTGTTGTTGTTTACCTCCCTGTGAGCTAAGTCTAATGCTCTCTCACTCCAGGGACTGGAGTTTGTGGACTGAATTTATCTGTCAGGATTAGCGTGCACAGTGCAGCTCTGTGCAGCAGAGAGTGGAAAGGCTTACCATTAGCATCACAGAGCTGGTTTTTATTCACTAGTAAAGTTCATGATCCTGGATTTGATCTTGATTTGAGGATTCACAGTACACCTGTCGGCTGTATGAGTAAACCAAATTTAATCTCCTTTAAAAAAACTATACAACTTTAGAGCAGGACTGAATAAACATGTATTTTTATGTGATCTTTGGACTAAAAAAAGAGTTTAAAAAGTTTTTGTTGTTTACTGAATATTCTCGCTTTTGTCAGTCTGCTGTTTCGGGGTTAGTGGCCTCATTCATCGAAGATCGATCTCTCAGCTCCACAGAGCAGCAGTCAGATGTTTTCTGACCTGAACAAAAGCTCTGCTCATCTGCCTGAGTGTTTGCTGTCAGGATGTCACAGCAAACATGTGAATCCAGTTTAGCTGATGAGTAACCATCACACCATGCTGACAAGAGGAAACGACTTGTGCAGCGCTCACAGCTCACAAGTGACAGAAACCAGCAGAGACGTTCTCAAGAAGGGGGTCAAAAGTACGTGACATACGAGACCCTTTTCTCACTCTGTATCAACACTCGCCTGAAGTCTAACTAGCTTGAAGTCTTAGAAGTACTGACCAATCAGGAATCAGCAGGATTTACAGTCTGTATGGAGAGCAAAAGCAGGAGGAAACTAAAGCAGGTTTTATCAGGTTTATACCTCTAAAGAGTGAAGCTTTTGTGTTACTTACTATTTACAGTCAATTAAAACTTTTCATAGTTGTGTTAATTGGGCAGATTTAAGCTTAATTTACTGCATTTTAACCACAGGAATGACTGCTTCTTTTCCAGGTCATACGTCAAGGTGAGCCAGAGTAGAGCCCTATCAACGCTGAAACTGAAACTCACCGCAAACAGATCTGACAGGTGCTCTTCTGGGGGGGTTGGTGTTTATCTCATAGACACATCTGGAGGCCTGAATTTCACTTCTTTTTTTGGAGTAAATACCTTCAAGCTGCTGATTGGACTGGGCAGGAATTTGTCGAACAGTTGAAGTATAGAGAAGTCGGCTCTTTTTCTCTGATAATTTTTTTCCCTTAAGTTGTGTCTCTGCTCTGATTTGTGGGCTTCTTGAACTTCCTAGTGTGGGGTTCAAAAGTAAGCAGGCTACACTGATGATATACATGACCCTGGTCAAATTAGACTCGGCATAAGAAGGTGGACGAGGGTTGCAGAGGAAGCAGGAAAAGTAGGCAGGCTAAAGCAGGATGTGTAGAAGGTAACTGGCTCAGTTGTTAGCTGATATGGGCTTGTGTCAAGATCAACTGAAGCACAGCAGGCTGAGCTGGACTAAGGCCGGTCTGAACTAGCTCTATGCTCAACATTTCTGGATCGAAATGGCTCAAACTTTCTAAGTGTCTCCACTCAGGAAAAGGTCTAGAGAGGGTCAAAAAGGTCTCTCAGTCGGGGTCCTCTCTGGTTTGTTATAAGACACTTTGATCAACAGTCTGAGCCTGTCTCTGACACATTATTTTTTTTCATAGGATGGTATGGGAAGGTCCCGCCTCCTACACCTCTGATTGGCTAGAAGTGCCGGGCTCCGATTGATTGTTCCTTATGGCTGTGAAACATCACCGTCTATCGGGTTACGGTTAGCAGATTAAGAATTGCGATAATGTTCTGTAATGTTCTGTTCGATGTACAATGCCGACAGCCCGCGCTCGGCTTAAGCGTGTGATGACGTTTCACAACCATAAGGAATAACCATCGGAGGAGGCGGGACCTTCCCCTACCATTCGACGAAAAAAATTCACGTCTCTAACAAAAACGTAGACGTTTCATGGACAGAGAAAGATTATTTTACAGCCTGTTTCACTGCTGCAGGACGAGCTCATTCTCCGCCAACTGTACCACCTTGTTAACAGTCAGAAGCACACAGGTGTGTTTGGAATGATCAGAGTGTCGTCTCACCTGCAGTGAGGATTAAAGGCATCAGTATCAGTTCTAACATTACGGACATGACGCCTTCATGTCTTCACATCCTGTTCGATATAAAAGTCCAGGCGTCCTGTTGGTGCGTTTCTTTTCACCTGTCTTTCAAAAGTCCACAGGTTAGTATCTCTTTCCCTCAGGGGGCGTGGCCACAATGACCTCTTTGCTCCCAAAGTCCCAGAAGGCGGTCATGTGGAAGGCCATGTTGGAGAAGACGACCAGGTACTCACAGAGGGCGAACAGGGTGTAGACTGCAGAGAGGAGAGGACAGACAGAAGTGAACACCTGAGGACACCTGAGGACCATCAGGATCCTGTGAACCATCGATGGGACGCCAACACTCACCTCCAGCCTCGCAGTACTTATTGTGGCGTCTGAAGAAGTAGGCAGCAGCCGCGCAACAGCTGATGTTGAAAAGAAAGAGACGCAGCTTCCAGCGGTATGACGTCACTTCCTGAGGCAGACATGCGCAGTTTGAATACAGTGTTTCCCACAAAATGAGCTCAGACATGAACTACAGATGGTTTTCCAGCTTTTCGCCTGAATGATTGCAGATTTGAGGTTCTGCTCTCCCCCTACGACCTACAAAAATCATCTTGGATCTGTCCTCTAGTCCCAACAGGAAGTCGACCATTCCGAGTCAAATTTCACATCTCCTGATTTACAGAGTGCACATATGGATTGAATTGTCCAATACATCCCTCGCTAACATCCTTCAGGGACCAGCAGCCCCTCCTAAACCCCGTCCCTGTGTCTCACGGTAAGTCTGGATCCAATGACTCACTTTGTGTTGACAGATTTGTGACCCTGCAGCACCCCCTGCAGGTCGACACACACAATGACCTTAAACTTTAACCTATATTTCAGACAGCTCTTTGCTCACCTCTGGGTTCACATAGTGTCTCCTGATCACCTGCCACAGTCTGCAGGTAATGAGCATGTGCAGCAGTGAGCTGCCGATGAACACGATGAAAGCGTTTTTATGAATACCTGCAGAAACACAAAGACGCAGTTTGATCACTTTCTTCTTTTTGAAATACAGCTCTTCATTTTAAAGTCAGTCAAGTTTGAAAACTGAGATGATGAATCAACAGTTATTTGACTCTTTCTGTTCCTGTGAAGTTTGTCGGGTCATTGTGTTATGATTATGTGATTTTTTTATATCTTTAATTATAACGAATAAAAATGTGTGTCATACGTTCCAGAAAAACAACAAATTAGACTTGTGTCAGCTTGTCTCTGGCGGCGGTTGTTACTCACTGTAGGTTTCCGTGGATGACACGTAGGTGAGCAGCAGCAGGCCGGTGTTCTCGGCGAGGCTGCAGAGGAGAGCGAGAACGCTTAGCAGCAGCTCCAGCAGCCTCTCAAAGCGGCCGCGGTAGAAGCGGAAGTAGGCAGCGGCCACCAAGTAGCGCGGCGCCGAGTGCAGGCCGATGCAGCAGCGCCAGATGTAGCGCTCCGGCACCAGGCTGATGGCGGCACTGATGGACGGGAGGTAGTTTGACACCTGGGGAAGAAAAACAGATTTATTTTATTACTCTGTCGTGATGGAAGTTTTTCTTCTTAAATAATCTAACAATCTGAGGTAGCCGAGGTAATCCAGGTAAACTCCTGAAAGAGAAAAACACAAAGTTCAAACTGGACGTATCGATAAAGTTTCCTTTAAAAATTCCCCCAAACAGAAAATAACACTGACTCCAAATGAAGACAGTTCTCAAAAGTCAAACTTAAGAAGTGTTTATTGATGTGTTGGATTACATTTGATCCCACAGCTGATTTTACGTGTGAACGATAATCAGAGTCGATATTTGAAAAGCTAAAATCAACCTCCACACATTGTTTCTTTTCACGTTATCCCACAGTGACTGTCTGCCACCAGAACAAATGCACTTCATGTACATCAACATGATATGAGCTCCATGTCCTCCTGACGGCGGGGCTCATTCATACTCTTCATTTCACTGAGTGCTTATCAAGTTAGAGTTTTCAGACTGCCTTAAGCGGCGCTTCAGGCATTTATTCTGAAAGTGCGTCCTAGACATAATGGCGCCATGGAGATCATGTATGTATATGTAAATGTAAAATTTGTGCATAAATATTTGAAAGCACTACTGTTAGAGTGCAAAGAGGGAAAAGTTCACCGGAGTCAAACTCCTTGTAGGTGTACACATACTTGGCCAATAAAGCTGATTCTGATTCTGACAACACACTGTTCAATGACCAAAATTTAACATGCCAGAAATTCATCAGGTCAAGAGTGGTTCATCAGGCCATGATCATCCTCGTTCCTTCGTGATCACAAATAAAGTGAGATGGAGCATCAAGGTCAGTCCTGAGGCTCAAAAATCAGCTTTAATTCCCACAACGTGGCGTATTTCCAGCCTCGGATTATTATGAGGTAAGGAGCTGGTATGGATGGTATTCTGACCCACTCAAATGCAAAATACCACATTAAATAAGAACTTATTTTTTATAGAAGAACCTCATCTTGTTTTTGCCAAATTTCAGCTGAATAAAGTGTTTTATTACTTACGAAGGCCACATGAGGGAGCAAAATGCTGGAACAATATGTCAGTTTACTGATAATTTACTGACCATGCACCTGTCTAATGTTGTATGTGAATGTATGTGTATGTGAATGTACGTAAAGTCAGTGTGAGTAAAATCCAAACTGCACCTTGGCGTAAGTTCAGTTGTCTGGAACAGTTTTACATACTCGACAGTGTGTGAACGTGGAGTCCTCAGAGTGGTACACCAGCGAGATGAAGAGGCAGGCGATGAGTCCGGTCAGAGGGAGCAGGACCGTCCCCACGGCAAAGCTGGTAAACTGGAGCCGGATGAGGGGCCGGTCCCGGTCCAGGCTGCTGTACGGACCCTGGAGCATCCTGGAAACAGAGAAAGATACTCATTGAGAGCCCAATTATAGGACACATTTGTACTTACTAATACAAAATCTATATAAGACTGGATTTAAGAATAGTTTCTCATCTAAATAAATTTCAAACAATCAGTCTTTATTTATATAGCACTTTTCATACACAACCATGTAGAACAAAGTGCTTTACACTGAAAAGGTATAAAAGAAACAAAGAGTACACAAATCTACCCCAACCCAGGAATAAAACAAACAAAAAATACCCAAATCTACCCAAACCCAAAAATAAAAAAAACAAAGAATACACAAATCTCCCCCAACCCAGGAATATACAAACAATGAATACCCAAATCTACCCCAACCCAGGAATAAAACAAAGAATACCCAAGTCTACCCCAACTCAGGAAGAAAAACAAAGAATACCCAAATCTACCCCAACCCAAGAAAAAAACAAACAAAGAATACCCAAGTCTACCCTAACCCAACCCCTCATTTCCACCCCACGATCTAAACGCAACAGAAACAGTTTTAAATTGCATAAACTTAAAAGGGCTTGACTTAGTGGAAACAGGAATGTGCACACTGAGGAAATGCTATTTTGAAACTCAAGATAAAGAAACACTGGAGGTTTAGGTTAAAATCTAAGAACAAAGTGACATAAAATTAAACTTTAATTAATCAATCAATCAAAGTTTATTTATATAGCACTGTTCATAAATGAAATCGCAGCTCAAAGTGTTTTACATCAGGACAAGAAAAATAAAAGTTATTAAAATAGACGAAAACAGACAATAAATATAAACTTGAATTTATTAATTAAATAAGGTAAAAAGTGATGCTAAAAAATAAATAAATTATAATAGTAATTAAAATAATGAAGCTTTACATAAAAGCCAGGCTAAACAGATGAGTTTTTAGGTTAAAGATTTTTATATTTGTAGCTTGTCTCAGACCCTCTGGAAGTTTGTTTCACCAAAAGCACAATAAAATAAAATTTAAGAAATAATAAATGAAATGAAATAAAAACAACAGTAAAAGATACTAAAACAAGAACACCAAAATAACTCAATAAAAGACGATCCTGTCATTAAAACTAGAAGAGATAAATGCTAAAACACTTAAAGTTAATGATATAAAATAAGTTAAAAGCAAGATTAAAAGGGTACGTTTTGCTTTTAATATCATCAAGATCTGATTTGATTTAACTTTATAGCATCTTTGATTCTTCTCTTTAGTCAGCTTAACTCATTGTGCTTACCTTTACTTGTTTGTCTTTGCTTGTAAAATGTGTAAATAACTAAAACAAACCTGTAAATAAATCTTCTGTTCACCCCTGAAGGACATAATTAACTGTATTTACAAAAGGTTTCAGATTCAGCTGTCAGACTGCTATCATCTTTGACAGTTTTAAAAACAATTATCACTCTTATTTTATGATATTAAAGTTGAATTTGTCTGAATTGAACCTCTTTACCTGAACAGGTGATGCATTCACAGACCTTACAGACGGGTCGTTTCTCCACACACCGCGGGCTAACAGTTAGCTTTGAAAAAGGACCTTGTGTGTCTGGTTTGAGGTGAACACTCACCTTTACAGCAGTCCAGACTGTGAGGATCTGGTGCTCCGGTTCGCGGCCATTTGACCCCCTATTAGCGTTAAACCCAAAGATCCTGATCCTGCTGTGAGCTCAGATTAGCTCCAAAGCTACACTCATCGTTAGCTAACGTTAGCGTCCAACCTCCTTGAGGTCGAGTTTTTGTTTTAAACCTGTCACCCAGTTTCTAGACTTCAGGTTTCAGTTCTATACAGCTGTTTGGGGTCGTTTAATATCAATGACATAGTACATATCTTATATTTTTCACTAAGTTTATTGAATCTCTACCGGACTAGTCGATGGACTTCCACCGGCACAAGGCTAACTGTAGTGATGGTGCGTTCAAATGCTCCAGGACAGCTCCGATTTCCGAGTGATAACGTCGTTCTTACTAACTTTACTATTTTAACTGGTTTGAACTCACAAGACAGAAAGAATTCTTCACATGAAAATCGATCAGTTCATTATTCAGATCATTACTCTTTTCCCTTTTATCTCTTTTACCTCTATCTTATTCGACTTACTGTCTTTTTAGCCTCTGTTTTACTTATAATTTTTTCCTATTTAACCTTTTAGGTCTTTAATTGATTTTGTTTTTTTCCTGCTCATTTTTGTTTGTTTGTTTTATTGCATTTTATCATTACTATTACCATAATTATTATTTTTTTTATGATTTTATTATCATTATTAATATCATCTTTTTATATTTACTATCCTGTTTCCTGCTTTCTACCCCCTTTTTTATTACATTTGTTTTTCTTACCTATTTTATGTTTTTATTTTGGTCCTCATGGTCTCGCATTATGTTGTAGGGTTCTTGCATTGTCCAGGTTCCTTATGACAAATGAAATTGTCCTTCAGTTCAGAGGACTTGTTTTTAACTGAGCTTTTGTTTTTTATTTGTTCTTTTATTTTGACTGTTTGTCAAAGCACTTTGTAAACTTCTGTTTTTAAAGTGCTTTTTAAAAAAAAAGTTATTGTTATAAAATAATTTAAATAAGTCAACACGGACAGCACTAAACTTCTACTACGAGACAAGTCACAAACGAGACAAAACTAACGCAATTTGCTAATAAAAACAAAGGTTTGTATAATGAAGGTAATATATGATTTAGTCAACAGTGGGTTTTGGTATATAACTGTTGCATATGGTCTGTCCGTGATGTGTAGATGCAGAAGGAGGCTTTGTGCCATTGGCGTGCTTGTATAATAGGAATTTATTATAAAGACAATGCCGGTATCAGAACAGCATTGCAGTTGCTGGGAGAGGACTGCCAATGATGTCCATCTCTCCCAAACCTCAGTTTATGATCTTGTTATATAGGGTTAGAGTTTTAGGTCCTTCTACATCCTCAGTTTATCTCTAAGTTATATTTCTTCACCATCTGCTTTACGCCTATCTGACCTGTGACCTGCAAACCCTCAACAGCCAGGATGTTTGGACCAGGTACCATGAAAGAGACACAATGCCCACACTCCACAATTTGGTTATCTCAGGCTATCCGTGGGAACTACCTCAAGGCAGTGCATGTTTTGGTACTGTACTCCAGACATCACATAACAAAGTCTGTTAACAAGCCACACTTCTCTAGTTCTTGTTTCAACCGAAGGGAGTCGTAGCGGGTATCTCTGAATGGGAATATTATAATTCCGATTACTTTAACAGTATGTGAATGCGTCTTGTAGACAACGGCTTCCTGTCTGAACTACCAAAATAAAAGTCTCTGCTAATCCAGAATGAGACTTTGGGACTTTCAAAAAAGAAATACTGTCTGAGGAAATAAAGTTTAAGGTATTTGTACTTACTTTGATGGCTCCACGTCTTTATCAACACAAAAACTGAGTCACGATGAATAAATAAAGACTCTATAGAGGCGTCTAGTCGTCTTGAAATGATTTATCACTGGTGTACAATGACAACAAACTTTACACAACAGTGCTAGCGTTAAATTAGCACCTTTGAAGCACAGTCCGTTTTAAAACCTCATTTACAAAAGTAAACATTCACATTTGTTAAATATTTTCAACCCTTTCCCTAACCCTGGGAAGCATTTTTCAGTTAAATAAACATAAAAAACAAAGACTAGAATAGAAACATAACATATAAGCTTTAACAGTGAAGTCAATCCATATATTTCTGTTAAATATACAGTTAATTGTCTTTCAGTTAAGCTAAAAAAAAAAAACGTTTTTTATAGAATTCATACAGAGAACTATTCACCAAGTGTTGACTGGTTCACACTTTGAGTAGAGTCTATAACACACGGCTGTACTCACTTTCCTCTTAATCCCTCTCTAGAGGTGATAAATAGTCCGGCCACAACCGCTTTACAAAGTTCTCAGCTGATGAAAGGCGATCAAAAGGACTAGTTTTCTTGATTTGGAGGACTCCTTTTTTGCAGAACGTCAGCTTCTCTCTCAGTTGGTTCCTGTCAAATCTCAACACCTGAGAGGAAACAAAGATCAGCAAAGACGATCAGAGGAGCAAGTGAGAGATCCCTGAATCAACCAAGGACTTGGTGTGTTTATTTTGTGACATAACAACTCTCTGAGATACCTCTGCATCCACATACAGGGCAAGAGCAACGTTATCCCAAACATAGAAGGTCTTGAACCTCGTTTCTTTCACTTCCAGCTGCTTTTCATCATACATGCGGACTAATTCATACCTCACAAACACAAAGAGAAAAATATTCACTAAGTGTGCAACTCAAAACTGAAATGATAGACACACAAAAGGAACAATTTAAAGTGCAATGACATAGTGTTTAATCTTGAATCTGATGTTAACAGGTGAGTTTAAAACGTATCCTTCTCTGAGCAGGTTTATTTCTGCTTTAGGACATTTCTACATTAGACCTAATGGGGACAGACTCACAGCAGGTCATGGCTTCTAGTGGACACTGGAGGAACTGCAGAATTTGGGACTTTGACAGCAGCACCAGTTTTCTTTCTGTTCCTGCTGATTCAGGTGTTGTTACCTGTGTGTCTCACACATGGCCTCAGGCCTCCATAGGAAGCAGCCGTCTTTGTAGGTGCAGATGTAGTCTGGGACGTCAGTCAGCAGTGAATGAGTTGAGAAAAGCTCCTGATTGGCTGGACTGTGGACCAGCACTGCATACATCACTTCCTGTTTGTAGAGTTCAGTCCGCAGCACTCGTAAGATGGGCTCAGCACCGGAGCAGAACTGGAGACGATAGGCCAAGTTTCACTGACTAACTCTTTTAATATTTCAACAGTTTCAGAATAAAGTTCCTGAATCATGGACACACCAAAAAACACACCACTGTATTATCATTATAATCAGTACACAGTTTAGATAGGACCCTGAGACTTCTCTAGACCTGACTCCTTTCAAGTTGGTCTGATTCAGGCTTTCATGATGGTGGTGATGTTAAAGGGATATTTCGGCATAAAAGTTCAACTTTGCCAAATTTTTTCTTAGCAGGGGACTAAACACAACTCGCCCACTCTCTTCCAGCAGCCGCTTGTTTGTAGCGAGACCTCAGGCCAGTCCATTACGAACTACAGCGGGGTGTCGCAGCTCAAGGAAGAACATGTATGATTATTTCTTTATCATTTCCTTAAAGTAATAATCACCATATTAATCATTTTGCACTGCAGACACGGTTTTATTTCCACGAAGAAATGATCATAAATGTTCTTCCCGAGCTGCGAAACCCCGCTGTAGTCCGTTATGGACTGGCCCGAAGTCTTGCTACAAACAAGCGGCTGCTGGAAGAGAGTGGGCGAGTTGTGTTCACTCGTTTTGCTAAAGAAATTAGTCAAAGTTAAAAAGATGTTTGGTGGCTAGTACTATGGCTTGGACCCTATATGTCCTGTTGATGAAGTCAGGTGCTGTTCTGAGCATTATTTGTGGCTACAGAGTGGCTTTTTAGTTGAGCGCGGCTCTCTGTATGGCTATCGTGCAGTTGTTACTGAAGTTGGTATAACTAGAAAAGCAAGCGGTCAGCAACATTCATCTCTCAAGGGGGTGTCAAATTCGGTCTTACGGTGTGTTTGACCCAAAATTAATTTTATGCCAGAATATCCCTTTAGTCTCATCTAATATCACTTCTTTTCGTGCTCTCTGATTGGTTAGAGGATTAGATAACTGCTCCTTTGTAACCATCCTTAAACAATCACTCTGTCTCCAAACTCTGTCTTTAAACTTTAACTTGTTTAATCTTGTTCAAAGTGGTCCTGATGGGATTACAGGGAGTACCTGGTCTTTGTAGGCCTTCAGCAGCTCCTCCACAGACAGGGTAAAGCGATATGAGCCCAGTCTGGAGCTTCTCTGAAATGCTGGGGAGGAGGCAAACTTCTCCAGGAAACTCTGCTGGGTCTGAATCTGCTCCTCTGTCCGGTCTGGGTAGGTGGTCTCCAGGAGCCTCCTCTCAGCTGACTGGATCTCTTCTGGACCCACAACCAGATTCCACCACAGCAGGGGGCTGGCCCCAGGGCTCCTGAAGCCCCCATCCTTCTTGATGCCCCATAATCCCCATCTGTTGGTGTCATGTTTCAGACGAGACACCTGGAACTCAGGACGAGGGAAGGCTGGGACATACGTTCTGGAGAGATACTGGTTTCTTAGATCCCGGGCTATGACTTTTAGGTCCTTCAGCTTCAGGTGGCATCCCTCTGCTATGTGCTTTTTATGTCCTCTTTCGTTGATTAGTGTCTCCATGCTCGGATAGAAGAACGTAATTAAGAAAAATAAAGTTTAAAAAAAGTGCTAAGATCAAAACAGGATCTAAAACTTCCCCCTACTGTTAACAGACGTATTCTCTGCTTCCGCAAATGCCTGATAGGGGAGAATAAACCACCACTTCCTGTTATGATGTCATGTTAGTCATGTGATCAAGAGAGAGCGAGACAAAGGACAAAGTCTCAGTCATGGACACATGTCCTGTCCTCTCAAAGTCTCTGTGCTGGAGTGAGTTTGATCACTTCCTTCATTGACTCTGATCTGATTTTTCTTTCAGTCAGGACTTTCAGTGTTTACAGCTTCATCACCAGAGACAACGAAAAAAAACGAGGTCGTCAAACACTTACGATACAGCCATACTCCACTGCAGTTCACGTTTTCCACTTCTTCTGTGAGGTGAGGTGAGGTGAGGGAACAGGTGAGGGAACTTTTTCTGGGTTTGAGTACCTCGCTCCCATCTATCATCTCCTCTGTGATTTGCTCTGTAGTAAAAGCTACTCACTGCAGTATATGTAGTATAAGTGACTCAGTTTGTGCTCATAGTTAATGAGTTCCAGCTGACAAGCTCTGAAAAACAGGTAGTGCTGGTCAAGGGGTGGACTTGTTCACTCACTCCACCATCAGATGGAGCTGAAACACAACATATTATCATCACGTCTCTGATTTATCTCAAACATGTTTTTGCGTAACTGTTCAACTTGGTATCACTGAAGTAAAAATGACATTCTGTTCAACGGTACAATTCCCGTAAGAACCATGACACACAGCTGTAAATACTGGAGATTACCTTATCAATCAAGTATTCACTGATTCTCATGATTAACTTAGAGCACTGCCTAATTACCATTATACCAGTATGGCAACCAGCATGCAGGTTTGAAACATACATGAGGAATTTAAAGAGTTTGTTCTCAAATATCCAGATTCAGACCTTACCTGTTCAACACTAAGTACATATATGAGCTGAAAAACGTGCCCTGAGGATTTAGTTACCCTTTCAATTGATCATTTGTAATGCTTTAAGTTTCATATTTGACTTTTATTTTGAAACGACACATATGCTACTTCCAGTAGCTCATGAATGGCGGACCTGAATTAAAAACAGTACAAAGAGTGGTTAGAAAGGAGAAATGTTTAATTTATTAGCATCTCAATAAAGGTACAAATCTTACATTGATTTAGTTTTTGGTTTCAGAATAAGAGTCTATCTATCAGAAAGCTGCCAGCTAGCTAACTAATCAGCTGCTGATGCTGCTTCCCTGCTGTCTTCCCTTTGATTTAAGGTGGGTAGCAGCTACTGTAAAGAACCACTATTGCTCCCTGTATGTTACAGTAGACAGTAGTTTTTTTTTTTCAGAAAGACAGTTATCATCAATGCTTTAATATTTTCAACACAAGTTATTAAGTTGTTTCGACAAATTCATAATTTGGGGTGGACTATAGGGGTTCCAAAAGAAATGGAGCAAACAGAGAAGGTAAAAGTTTTGAGCCTGATCTAGTCCGCTAAGCATAGAAGTCAAAGAAACCGTCCAATTCACAAAGCACACAAAGGGTTAAATGCAACAAACTGCTGCAGATAAAACAGAGCGCAAAGCTGCAAATGTGCTGTCAGGGCCACATTTGACTATTCTAATGCAATTACTTTCAAATTGGTCCAATTTACAAACAGCTTTATCAATGAACTTCATCATTTGGGTGTTGATGGATTTGAACTCCATCAGAATAAGAGCGTATAGAGAGCAAGAGATGATGCTGATGGTTCGTCGACAGGTTAAGGCGCAAAACAAGAGCAAACTGTGCAGAGCAGCAGAGGGTTAACAGAGTTATGTGTTCAAATATCATTCGGGCAGGATGTTTTGCGAATTGGACCATCAGACAGAATACGAAATGGGAAAATGATTAAATTAAACATGTAAAACTAAATTACTAAACCAGGTTGACAGTTGACAGAATAAACAGTAAAATACAGCATGTTAGCTCAAGGTGGTGCTGCAACAATCAAGTAACTTCTCCAGTTTTATCTGTGCTGCAGTTTCACTGTGCAGGAATGGCTAAAACCAATGCAACCAATCAAAACTCTCAGGCGTTTGGATGCAAATGAGGACCACTGACAATCCTCACAATGTGAAGAGACAGTCGTCAGGTTCTGGATGTGCAGAAAACAAAAGAAGTAATGTGAGTTGGATGACAAACATAACCAGGGCTTGACATCAACTTTCCTGCTCACCAGCCACCGTAGTTTGTGGTTTCCCAAAGTTACACCCCATTAGACAAAGTTTGCTTATTGGCCAAAGAGAACTGCTGGTTTGATAGAGATGTCAATGAAGCCAAACTGGAAAAACCATCACTGGTTTTGACATGGTGGACTGAGAGACTTCCAATCACTAAGTTATAATGCAGGTCATCACCAGCAAACTAACAGGCTTCATGAATGAACTGAAGCAGTACAACTCTGTGCTGGAAGTGCTCATGAGAGCTGCAGCGTCATAGTGCCAACAGTTTATTATTCCAGATGCCTTCTGAAAAGAGTACAATGAAAAGTTTATAGGCCAGTGTTGGTCATGGGAATGACTGTGTTAGCCGTCATAGGTGAGATCTACCTGAATTTGACAGATTGGCTGGTGTTGATGTCAGGCCCTGAAGATAATAAACAAAATCACCTTCTGTTTGCTATTTAAGGGTCAACATGTAGAGGAATCAGGCATGAATGTGATGATACAGAATATTTCACCACTTACACACAGCTGGCGGTAAAGGTCAAGTATTTGTAGGTGTTTGGACACGGGTCTCCTCCCATCTCCTCATTGTCCACATAGATGTAGCACAGTGTCCTATTGTTACACCTGAAAGAGAGAACACGTCATTGGTTTAAACCAAGTGATTCAGCAGCCTGAAGCTCCAAGTTCACCAGGAGACCTTCTCATCCTCATGGAGACTTTGGTCTGAGAAAGATCCCAAGTGGAGATCAACCAAACCCCATAAAGGACCTCCACCACCAAATCAAGGACATCAGGGACAACTACAACTAGGCTGGAAAAGGGCCACTAGAACCACCTGAACCGAATCGTCAACGACGATCGCATTTGCACGTCCTTTTTAGCAAGTACCAAGAATGTCATTAAGAACAGCTGCTCTACTTCCTGCACCAATACCACAGCCCCAAGAACCACGGAATAATATCAAGGTCTACAACCTCAACCAGAGCTGTACTGCCACAGAAACCTCTAGATTATCAACAAAAGTAACCAAGGACCACTTGAATTTGCAGCAACCACCAAAACTCATCAAGAATTGTAATACCAAAGCTAGAACCTCATTGCTAATGACACCTAGGACTAGAACGAACAAAGACTAATGAGAATATCACAAAAAAAACAGTCAAAACCTTATCAAGGTCTACTGCAATGCTCCAAGCACCATCAGTACATCCTTAACAAGAACCTTATGAGGAAAACAAGAACTAGATTAAACAAGGATCATCATAATCCATTAAGGTAACCAAGAATTACCAGGACTGCATTAGGTACTTAAAGGACTGCATCCAGAGTATTCCTACCCCATCATGGACAACAAGGACATAGTACCAACAGAACCAACTCAAGAACCACAGAAATTGAATCAGGAAAACCTGGACTGTAATGAGGACTTAATGACCTCCGTTTAGTGTGCTCAAACTGTCCTTCACAAAAGACTTGTCAATGATTAACAGGCAGATACACAAGGACCATGACAACAGCATTTCTAGGACATCCTTATCAAACATCTCAACAAGGACCAGTAGGGCTTGAACAAATGACCAAAAACCAAAACAATAACCACTGGAACCTCTTCATGAGCCACTTGACTGGATCCAAAACCTTGTGAGCCCCCATCAAGAGCCTAATCAAAGATCCCAAGGACTGAGTGGAATAGGAAACCTTGATGATCAAGAACACCATTAGGGTTTGCCACAATACCCACATGGACAACCAGACACCTGCTCAGAATCACCGCAGCTTTGAAAGTCAGGTCTTCATCAGATCCCTGGACTCTAATGAACAAACGTTTCAGCATTATCACAGATCTCTTGAAATAACCAAAAAGTCTTACATATTGCTCAGGATGGCAGTGACGTCACGCTTGCAGTTGGTGTTTAGTTTTTTCCCATAAATGCTGAAGGTCATACAGGTGTGAATATTCTGACGACCATAGACAGCTGACTCTATCCGGATCCTCTCTCCGTTAGCTAGAACAAAAGAACGAAAATCAGCCATAAAACAGACAGACTAAACACCAAAATAAAACGTGGTGAGCGTGAATGAGACTTACGACACTGAAACTGGCCCAGCCTTCCCTCACAGATCGTACTTTCAAACGTAAAGGGGGTGTTCCCTGTGCTCTGTTGAGAAGGTAGTTTAAAGGAGAGCGGATGCAATGATAGAGCAGGTGGTTTAAAGTAGAACGGGTATACTGATTGAGAAGGTGGTCTAAAGTAGAACGGGAATATTGATTGGGAAAGTTGTCTTAAGTAGTAAGGGAGTAGTGACTGAAATGCTGATCTTCTGCAAGGCAGACACAGTCTAGATCTGAGACTGATTAAGAGATAAAGTTCGAAGTGAATCAGGATCCTGAGTTTGTCCCTGTTTGACAGTTTGACTTTGCTGCTGGTGGGAACTTTTTCTTTGGTGCTGGACGTTGATATTTCTTTGGAAGGGGGCTTTACTTGATTTTCAAATGGACACTTTTGTTTATTGCCACATTGTGTTTTACTGCTAGTGGTAATGGTCGGGGTGTTCCCCAGAAGAGGTTTTTCCTTCTTCAAGACAGGAACTTTTTTTTTTTTGTCCAGAGGACACTTTGGTTTGTTTATGCCGGTGGCTGCCCAGTTCTTATGTAAAGGACATGTTGTCTTTTTCCGAACAGGGACTTTTTGGTTGTTCCTGAGGGGACACTGTGATTTATTCATTGCCCAGTTTTTTCCAATGGAGCACCCTTGATTTTTCGAGGCAGGAACTTTTCGTTTGTTTTTGCTGGGAAATTTTGTTTTTTTCTTCACAGGCACTTTTAGGTTGCTGCTGTATCTACGTTGGTGCTTGATGGAGACAGGGCATTTCTTAAAGTTACCTAGAGGTAACCTTAGGGTTTTACTGTGGACCCACATTTTCTTCTTGCTGAGGGAGCATTTTTTTTCTTTCTTGACAGGAACTTTTTGATTGTGTAGGGGATATGTAGTCTTTTTTCTGACAAGTACTTTTTGGTTGTTCTTGATGGTACACTTTTGTTTGTTGCCAGGAACTGTATTTTGCTTTTTACTGATTGTGACTGTCAGGCTCCTGCTAATGGGACTCTTTAGTTTCTTGACTGGTACTTTTTTTGTTTTCTTGGCAGGTGCTTTATGGTTACTGCTCAAGCGACACTTGGATTTATTCTTACCATGAACTTTGGGTTTGTTGCCATCCTGCCGTTTGTTGCTATAAGTAATTGCCCAATTTTTACCTAAAGCACATTTAGCTTTTTTCTTGACAGGAAGTTTTCGGTCGTTTCTAAGGGAACATTTCTTTTTGTTTCCAAACTCGTATTTTGGTTTGATGCTCAGGAGAACTTTTGGTGTGTTCCTAATGACACGTGGCTGTTTTCTGTTAATGAGACATTTTGTTTTCTTTGCAGGAACTTTTTGGTATTTGATGAAGGGGCTGAAGTGGACTGATACTTTTCTGGTCCTACTCGAAGGAGACTTTGCTCTTTTGCTGATGGTAACAGTGTATTTCCGTTTAAGGGGACACTTTGTTTTCTTTTTGACTGGTACCGTTGGGATGTTTTTGAGGGAATATTTTGCCTCATGTCTGGTGGTACCTGCCCAGGTTTTTCTCACAGGACATGTTGGTCTTGGTTTTGGTTTTTTGCCGATTGGACACTTGTGTTTGCTGTTGTTGACAGATATTCTTCTGGTTTTGTGGAGAGGACACTTTGGTTTTTGATTGGACATGACAGTCTTCTTCTTTTGTAAGGGACATTTTGTTTTCTTTTTGACAGGTTCTACTGGATTCTTTCTGGAGTCATGGTTTGACTTGATCCTGAGAGTCACAGCCCAGTTTTTTCTTTTAGGACAAATTTTTCTCTTCTTAATGGGAACTTTTTGAATTTTCTTATTTCTCTGAGGACACTTTGGTTTGTTACTGGTTGTACTTTTGGGCCTTTTGCTGTTTTTTTGAACCGTTGGTTTGCTGATGACGGGCGGTATTATGTTGTTGAGGACAGAACGTTTTGTTCTGAAGCCAAAGAGAGAGATCTGTCTTCTGATAGGAGGGTGTAGGCTGTTGTTGAAGGAGGCTGATGGTTGCCTGCTGTCCAAAGCTGATGGTTTTATTTCTTCACTGTGAAAGAGATAAGACAATAAAAATTCAGGTGTAGATTAATGACTGGAGGAAAAATACTTCTTTATTGTGTTTCATATTTTTCTCAGTCAAACATCCTTGACTATTGAGACCTTTGTTCAAAAACCGCTTGTTATCCAGTAAGGCTGTTTTTCAGGACTGTCAGGGACAGGCAGCTGACTTTTTGTTAGACAAATGTTTGAGCCGTCTCACTCCAAACCCAAATCTTCCTATTCAGAAAATTATTGACTCAAATGCTCTCAGGGTGATGATAACTCTTCTTCTATGACTCTATCATAGAAGAAAATAGCAGAAGTTGGGGAAGGCAGGACGTGACTGCAGGTGCCAGAAGAAGCTGTTTGGATTGGCCCTGAGCTTTCCGGGCAAATTTTGTGAAGCGGTCCTGGGACAATTGAGAGTGATGTATGTGGGGATGTTTGAGCATGACTGGATTGTGATAATGATACACTATTTGGTCATGTTATGCTGAAAAAATAAGCTTTGTATTAACTACTTTTAAAAATTTATGTGAATGATTTATTGAAAATAATTCTAAAAAAGCAGAGCACCTTTTTCCATTCCTGTAATCAGCTGTTTGATTTCTATCAAGTGAAAAATTATCACAATTACATTTTTAAAATTCCCTTTAAGTTTATTAATAGTCCCTTACAAAGTCTGTTTACAACATGTCCTAGTTGTCTCTGGCAAGGTTTTGAATTCAGATGCATAAAAAAGGATTGGCTGCCTGTCTGGGGAGGTCAGGCATGAACTGATGCAGTTGGATGCAGAAAAACACCCAAAACACAAAAAACTTGGCGAGTGCTCCAGGAGAACAAGAACCAGTATACTTGACATTTCTGACCCCCAACAGGTGAAAGAAACTGTTAAAGTGTTGCAACTGTGGTTTTGTCTCTGAGTGGTGCGGTAAAATATGAGCTACGTTTACTGTGGTCAGCCCTTATTATTCAAACAGGCAGTTTTTCTGGTACCAACTGCACCTGAGGGTCACACCAGGTGTTCAAATGTAAAAACACCACGACTCACCTCGCACTCTCCTTCGATGATAAAGTTGGCAAAGATAATGACTCGCACTGGGATTCACCTTGAACACACACAAACAAGAATTTTACTCAGGCAAACATCAAATCTTAGCATGCTAGCATGACCAGTGGAGTACCCTCAGAATCTGGTGACTTTGAAATAAAGCATAAATAAAGCAATAATGTAAAGACAGTCCTTTTTACAAGCAGAGTCACCTCTATCTACAGATACCAATGGAAGGGGACAAAATGACCATGTTGGCAGTGTTCTGGTTTATGCAGTCCAACACAGTCTGCAGCAGGTACAGACAGTCCAAAACCCTACCAACTCTTCTGGTCAACAACATCAAGAGAGGGATATAAAGTCTACAGGAAGAGGACTACACCAGGTCCTTTAAATCCAAAGTTTGAAAATGCAGGTCAGTAAAGTCTACAGCAAGGCTGCAAAGTCACCAACAGACATTCAAAACAGGCCCGTAACGTTGACACCAGTCAAACAAAGTCAGCAAACTGGTATGCAAAGTCTGTTTCAATTCTGCAATATCTACATCGGACCAGCAGAGTCTACAACAGGCTGCAAAGTCTTCAGGACTTTGTTGATGAAGACCTCTGTTGAAGGCTTGGCAGGTCCACAGCATGTCCACAATTTAAAAATCCTTAAGTTGTCCTGCACAGTCCAAATCAGGTTGGTTCCCTCTACAATAAGTAAGTAAAGTCTCAGGCAACCCTCTCTCGGGTCATTTTCTTCAATACCAAGATTTTTTCCATCCACAGCTTCTTAAAACTGATTAATATAAAAAACTTCCCTTTTAGAAAAAATCTGGACATAAATCAGGATCACAAACACCACTGATGTTCACTTAAAAAACCTATGATCTTTGTTTTTATTTTACAGTCGGAGTCATGTTCCATCTGGTAACATGGTACAATGAATTATACTGTGGCCAGTCATGAAGGGAGCTCTGGATGTTCAGCTTTACTTTGGCGGGGCTGTCATGGTGTCTTTTTCAAGTACTGGGGACTTGTTTACTGTTGGTTTGGGCCAAAACTGAGAAAATCCTCTGAACTGCTTCTCTAAATACACGATGTGTTCACATGTGAATGCAAAAACCAGCAAAACAATGAAATTAGAACTCACTGGTGACTGAAAGCAGGATGAGCACCGCAGCGAGACCTACAAAAGAGAGACAGATCTCCATTAATACACGTCTAAGTGAAAAAATCAACAAAATCTTAACGGTGCTGTTTTACCGATTCAAGACTTTACTGAGCACTTTCTGGCAACCTTAAAGACTACCTCCATCCATCCCTCCCGACTCCTCTTATTAATACTGTCAGATTTTACCAGAGTCATATGGATTGTCACTGACACTGCATTTTTCTACATCTCAATAAAAATAAAAGAAAACTCAAGAAAAAGAAAAGTGTAAATGAACATTTGAGCAGCTGATTCAAATATTTTTAACCTGCACATGCACCAAACACTGAGGTGTTTTAAAACAAATATTTCCTCACCTCCAGGCCGCTGCCTCGCTCTCAGCTTATTTGAATATCCACTCACTGTTTTTGCCCCTAACCACCACACCTGTCTAAAAAGTACCTAGTACAATAACAGACCATCTGCTCCAGTTTTCTGCGAGGTTGAAATCACTGTTTTTATTCGCTACAGTAATCCCGTTAAAGCTCTCTCTCTGCAGGAATCCTCTCTGTTATGTTTGTCAAAGTGTTAGAGGATTCCGTTGAACCAATAGGAGACCCCCGAGGCCTGAAAGGTTTCATGTAAAGACAAATATACTCACAGGACAGCAGGGTCCACTTCAGATGGACCATCTCTGGGCTGTAGTTCAGCTCCTCTTTGTTCGTTCTTTTCCTCTCAAGTCATCGGAGAAATAATCCAAGTTTCCTCCAGCTGCCTCGTCTGCACTTTGGGCTTCAAGTCCCAGCGAATGAAATATGACATGACAAACAAGTGAGGAGCCGGGCTGTTTGAGTAAACCACATGACTGGAGGGGGGAACAGGTTAGTATTTACACCTGGAGTACTATCAGCAGAAATGAGGTCTTTAACAGCAGCTGGAGTCAATGAGAGCACTCAGGTTTAAATAACCTGATCATTTCAATAAATAAATAACTAGTGACACAAAAACTGAACATAAGGTCTTACAGAGTTTGAAGGGATTGAAACGGTCTTCAGAGGACGTCAGACTTCTTGCGTGGAATCGAGACCCTAAAACAGGAAGATTGTTCGCTGTGTCGACGACGATAGCCGAGCATTTATCTGTCATCACAGCGTGTTTGTTATCGACATCGTTACACTGTTTCCCAGAATTCTCACTGACTTCCAAGCCATATAATATACTTGATTTTGATTAGTTAAAGGTAAAGTGACTCTGCTAATGTTTCACCAAAACTTTTACACTTCCTAAAGTGATTTCATAAAACACACTCAAAAAATTCAATGAAAAAGTTTCATTTTTTTAAGCATTTGTAAAATGTTTTGTGTATTTCATTAATTTCTATTCCATGAATTTTCCTTTTTCATTGATGAAGCCATTTGTCATCAACAACACATTAAAAAAATATGATTTGAAATGTTTTTTTTTCTGTATAATAACCCAGAAATAACCCTATTTTTATTTGCTTTTAAATTTAACCAAAAAATGTTGAGTCTGACTTTTTCCCCAATATTTATAGAACATTTTATATATTTTTTTCTTTGCAAAAAGCTGTATCTCATAACTTATTTCATATTATTTAAATTTAATTGTAATTTAGTTAATATTTTTACATTTATAAAAACAATATATAAACATCTTTAGTTCTTTAAATTTAAGTAGAAAGTATGAAATAGTTTTACAAATGCAAAAAAAGACTAAAACGTAACCTAAAATCTTTAATAATTCCTGTGTTTTAAAAATTTTTATGTTTAATTTTTATATATATATTTTTTTCTTTTGACAAAATCCTCATAGGAGTCAGATGATATAAATGCAGAGCAAAATTAGTGATTTCAGGACAACCAGACATCAGACATGACATCAAACCAACCACAGGAGGATCTTGGCTCTTATCTCGTCTGAGCCTGTTCACACTGTGGCAAAAACAAGTTTCCTGAAATGGTTGACATCCAAACATCGTTCTGCTGCTTCTCCACCTATCAGGACTCTTATCTCCATTACCACCTGTTCACCCCACATTACTCCTCCGAGGGGAGATTCAGGAGTCTTCTACAGGTGAGGAGGCCCACAGGAGCCTCCTGTACCTGATTTAACAGCCATATGTAACTGTTGAAAAAGTGGGCGGAGCCTCAGGGAAGTCACTCCTTGGTTTTTGAAGACGCGTCATGAAGCCCAAAGACGAGACTCTCCATATTGGAAATGCTGACTTAAAGGGGCGTAGCTCAGCTGGTTCTTTAACCATGCATCCACTTGTCAGTCAAATTGGCCACGCCCCTTATTTAGGCATGAAAAACCCCCGCTCTCTCCTGAATCTTTTGAGACAGCTTTCCTCTGGTCTGGAGGAGTCCTAAAGGTGAAGAGGTCAGTTTTACAGATTTATTAACAAATGTATGAGCCATCACAGACAGTTATTGAAGCTTTTAGCTGTAAAAAAGAGTTTAAAACACACCGAGTCTAAGAGGAAGAGTGTGTCAAAGTAAGGCCTCGCCCTCAGGCCTCTCCAAACACTGAGGTGAACACACACTCCAGGCTCTGATTGGCTTAAACAAACACAGTGACATTTGACTAACACAGCAGGGAGGAGGGACAGTCATCGGCTGAGATAACGAGGAGGCGAAATCCCTTCAAAAGGTTCACCAAAGTCTTGATGGTTTACAGGAGCTCCAAAAACTGCAGTACCCTCAGTGTCCACTAGAGGCTGTGTCCAGAAGGAAATCTGTCCTTTACCTTCAGTGGACACTGGAGGTCACTGAACTTCTCCTGATGGTTCAAATATGGTCACCTTTGGCTCCAGGGAAGACGAGAGGGAGCTTTCATAATCACTTCATCCTAATTCAGTACCATGTTTAAAACTCTATTATTTTGCATTTTAAAACTGATTTTAAGTCCATTTCAAAGCTGATTTTAAGTCCATTTCATCCTATTTCAGTACCATGTTTAAAACTCTATTATTTTGCATATTAAAACTGATTTTAAGTCCATTTCAACAATATTTTTTTTGGTGTGTTGCTTTCATGCAGCAGTCTCTGGTCCTGAGCAGTAAGGACACTGTGTAAGTGCTTAAAGCTGCAGTTCCCCGAGTGTCCATTAGAGGCTGGGTCCAAAACCATCAGAAACCACATACACACCCATTCTACTGTGCCTGTTTTTACAGCATAGATAAACACGTGTATCGCCTGGTTACAAGAAACAGTTCCAGTCTAAATAGCGGATAGGGGACACTTATTTTAATAACTCCTCGGTTAAAGATATTAATTTAATCTAAGCTTCTGTGTTTGACATAATTAAAGGCACAGCTCACCTGACTGATCACATCACTGTTTTTAAGATAGTAAAGCAGAGTATGGGGCAGATCTGGTGAAGTGTAACAGATGTATTTAGTTGGTGCTTCAGTGTGTAAATAAGATGAACAGATGGACTGATTGACGATGATGCTCAGAAAAATTAAAAACACTCTGACTAAAGACAGGTGGAGAGTTTTTCTGGCTTTATTCCGTCTTTTCCTGGCAGGTTATCTCTAGAGTAAACGCAAACAGCAGCAGCAGCAGCATCCTCTCGCTGAAAACATCCAGACTGAAGCCGAAAACATACAGGATCCGTGTTGAGCGCGTTCCGTCAGTGTCGCGTCTCTGCTCTGCCAAGCAACGCTGCCTATCGGATGGATGTGTATTTGGAGCGTAGCAGCAGGGTAGCTCAGACCCGGTCAGCTGGGCTCAGTACAAAGAAAACAACATGCTCACAACAGGTTGTTTTTCCTTTCTGTGGTCTATTTCCTGCTAATTTGGATATAATTCAGTGACTGTTGAGCATCTACTGTATGTGAAAAACAACCTGATTTTAAAGTTTTGGTTTTTGCAGGTTTACTCGTGTTTAATTAAGTAAACCATGTTCCTTTATGCTGTGCTGTTACCTTCAGACAGAGTTAGCAGTTCAAAGTCCTGTTGTGGTCCACATGGATCAGGGATTGACCATCGGATTGTTTTGTGTTACTGATAAATCCAGAACCAGGAAGTATTTCTCATCTACACCAACTGATAAACAGTCAGGAGTTCGGGTATGGTGTTTTATTTTGAAATTTACCAGATGACGTGCAGTTTTCATGCTTGTCATGCTGTCTATAACGATCTTCTCTGTGTAGATTGACACGTGTTGGAAGCGTAGAGCAGAGAAAATAGACTGTTGATTCTAATAGGCGTTGATTAGAATGGGAACCTACTTGCTGCGTGATATGCAACGCTGACGGGACACACTCAACACGGATCCTGTATGTTTTCCACTTCAGAATCTGCACATAGAACCACAACAGTGATCCAAACACAACGTTGATCAACTCTTCAACTTCAGGAACAAGAATTAGTCTGATTGATTTTAACTGTTATCATTAAGTTTAACTTCAACTCTTCCTAAGTCTAGTCGGGATGCGGACCGGTTCCTAGTCAAGAGTGTAGATGTTCTCCTGGACTGGTCGCCTCATTCGGATCTCATAGATGATGTGAGGAGGCTCTTCGGAGGAGAAACTAAGAAGAAAAGATGGTCAGCTATCACGATTACAGTCCTAAACTCTTTAACAGCTTCGACATCCTTATTCAGACAAATGTGGAGACAAGAGTCAGACTCACCAGTCCGTCTTTAAGGCTCGGTTGTAGATCCCACCTGGAGAGGAGAACCAAACTGAAGTCAGAAACTTTGAACACGTTAAAACCTCGGAAACTTCACTTTGAATTGACGATCATCACAGTCAGAGAGCACCAGACTCTGTTACTGAGATGAGGAGGCGAGACGTACGTTTGAAGGCCAGGAAGAGGAAAACCGCCGCCAAGACGGACAACAGGGCGAGCGAGAGGGAGAGGACGGGGACGTTTATCTGAAGAGAGAGAGAGGGGACAGCAGAGTCCTCCACCTGAGAGACAGAGAGAGAGAGACAGAGAGGAATGTTATCTCCCTCAGGTAGGACTGCATTAAAAAATCTGAGGGTCTGAAAAACGTTTCTAAAATGTTGTTAGAGAAACAACCTCCTGATCTCCCTCAGGTAGGACTGCATTAAAAACAGACAGGACTCTGAAGTGGAAATCACCGCATGGGCTTATCCTGAGGTTAATTTCAACATCTTTTTAAGACTTTTAAAAAAAACTTTCATAAAATGTGAAGACCTCTTCACCACCTAAAGCTGTTGTTTGCTATTCAACAGAAACGAGGTCAGCTGAGGGATAAAACTCAAAAGAATAAACTAAACTAAGGTGCCTTTTTTAGGCAGTACTGCTTGGCGAGGGTTTGTTGTCAGTGCCTGATCAGTCCATGTATGTTTTCACAGCTGTGTACAAGCATAGAAGGGATCATTTCACAGCGCACACACAGGATACTTTACCGCTGACGTTTTATTGAAAAATTCAAAAAGTAAAGATGAACAAAAGCAAAATAAATTACCGCCCAAATATGTTGTGCTCCAACCTGCTTATTGGCACAAGATATAAAACGTGAGTCTTTGTATTACTGGGGGGAGGTGTAATATTCATTTTTAGACATCTCTCTTTCCACTCACTGCTGTAAAGTCTGATGGCACTTTTTGGTATCAAAGCTTAAATACCAGTAAACTTTTATACCGCATAAAATCAGGATTAAGAGTTTTTTATACTTTTTAAGGGCCTTAATTATACCGAGGTTGATTTATCAACCTTTACTACTTTTTAAAACCCCACGGACACCCTGGAATCACTTAAAAAACCATTGACTGTGAACACAGATCATCACTGCATCCACAAATGAGGTTCAAACTGAAGCATGAAAGAGGAGACCAGAGAGATTTCATATGTTGTTTTGTACGATTTAAAATTATTGTAAACCATCAAACTAACATTTTACCCAGAGTTTAAACTCTTTTTGTGGACACAGTCGTGAATTTAACCCCACAAACCAAAAGAAAACCTGATGGGTAATGTGTTTTCATATGAATCACATGAACACGTCTGAATTTACTCACGTTGACGGAGTCCGAGCGCAGCAGGGTGGAGTTTTTTTTCAGCAGGTCGAGGTGAGACGACAGCAGAGATTTCCAATTCACTATAAAAAATAAAAACAGAATGACGGATGAACACCTGGAGTCCTGCAGATCTGACTGAAACCAGAACAAACAAATCCAATTTGGTAACTCTATCACCTGTGGAGGACGACTGCTCTGTGACCTGATTGGTTGTTGTGGTTGTGGTTGTTGTTGTGGTTGTAGGAGAGCTGGTGACTGGAGCTGTGCAGGGAAAAAAAGTCAGGTAAAGACGAGTTCACAGAGTCACAGGTATAGAGATTAGAAAGTCCACATTCACCGTTCATATATGAGTCTGATGGTCAAACTTGGTGAACTCCATATCCAGAGGCGGCCTGGTTTGACCGACTTTTACTCCTGATAACATGATAACCTCCTGATACAACCACTCAGCTCACCTTTGACCACTCTCAGGTTCATGATGGACTTCTTATCATTGAAGATCCCGTCGATGTCCACCCTGCAGCAGTACGGCCCACTGTCTGTCCTCCTCACGTTCACAATGTCCAGGTCCATCTGTCCATCCAGGACGTCCCCGGTCAGCCGGTACCGGTCCTCCACCTACAGCAGTCAGGGGTCAGTGTTAGAGCGGTTCAGGTCTTTAAACAAGTTAAAAATAATCTAAGAGAAAAGAGAGAGAGAGTCTGGAGAGCTGGGAGTCACATAAATCTAAAAAGTCTGAAAACACCGAGCCACTCTTCGAAACAAAAGTTAGAGAGAAATCTGAAATTTGTTTGTTATCTTAATGTTACAAACACAATCTGGTCACATTAAAATGTTGAGATACAACCTCACAAACGGCTCGCTGCAGGGCGTGGAAGATTTTTTAATCGCTGAGTCCGTCTCAGATTTTACCGCTGAGACTGACCTCTCTATTTACAGATTCTGCACCAATGTAGAGTCTGTACCGGCCAATCAGGAGCCAGCAGGCTTTCAAGTCTGCAGGAAAATCAGTCTGTATGGAGAGCAAAAGCAGGAGGAGCACAGTCTTGAATAACCCCCAATTTTCGGCTATGAAAAGGCCGTATCCGCCAATCGTAACCATTCAATTTCCACCGGCTTCTTTCTGTTCCACTGTGGATCGCTGGACTCCTCAGCTGATCGCAAGACTTCTATTTTTTCCGGACGCCGGAGCACGCCGGATAAATTTAACACAGATTAACCCGTGTTGTAAAGGAAGTCGGGCACAGACACAAAATAAAACATCCGGCTTCTTTTCAAAATAAAACAATCCGTGTTTCAGGAGGATCGTATTTCACACCACGCATACGTAGACGAAGAAGTAAGAGGTTTTCAGACGTCATTTCACCCCGATGACACCATGGATGAGGAGATGCTGATTCTAGAAGTCTAGAAGTAGATTTCCTCCTCTGGAAGAACACAATCTACTGCTTTTATGTCTATGCGGCTGTCTTTATAGAGACAACTCGTTATCAGGCCATTGCATTGGTCAATCTGTGGGTTCTTGTGAGTTCTCATGATTACCGCTGTCTGTAGTCTGCCACGATATTTGCCTTACCAATGAATCCGGTAGGAAATCCATATTGGAGCCGTTCCGGATGCGGTGAAAATTGGAGGTAAGGACCTCCAGCTCCCATAGTTGGATTTCTGTCTGCATGGTCGTCTAGATCAAATAACTATACTGATTCTGAGTCACTAAAGACAATCAGAGTTTAGATTTCCTGACTTTCCTGAATGCATCAGAAATGATGGATCTGACTTTCATTCAACAAATAAACTGTCTAACTCAGTAGAAACAGACAGCAGCTCCCTGGAAGACTGTGCGAACTGGAATCTATGTTTTTGTAGGTTTTTGGAGAAAAAGTTTCTCTTCTTTTGATCTGAACACACGGTCCTGCCTTTAGCTGCTAATCAGATGGAAAACAATGACATGCATAAAAAAGCAAGTCTGGATTAGCGATTATTCATGATGAGGTTTGTCAAAAACACATTTTTTCCGTGAACGCCCCTCTGATATTTTCACCGTTTCGACATGAAGCGTCACCATCTTCAGATTATTCTGACCTGACCTTTGAGATGACGCCGTTCTCGTCCGTCTGCACCAGGATGTTACTGCACCAGAAGGTCCCGCAGCCACGACCCCAGCAGACCCGACTGAGACCGAATCGCTTCACAGAGTACTGACAGGACAGAGAGGCCACGCCCCCCTCCATCACCTTGAAGGAGGAGACTGTTGAGAAGTGTACACCTGCAGCACGGACAAATAAAGCCGACAAATTTAACGTCCTGACCCACCAGTAAAAAAAGATGTATGAACATTTAGAGTCGCTAAAAAACGAAATCCTGTCGATAAGCTGGTTTTGTCCTGATCGGAGAACTTTTTGTCTTAAATAACGTTAAATATTTTAAATGTTCAGTATATTATCTTCACAATATTCTTAATTAAGCAATAATTTACAAAAATGTGCTATAACCCGAGGAATAATTAACTGCCAACAACATATTTCTTACAGTGTAAAAATTGGCAGAAATTAATCTGTTTTCACCGCTATGTCAGCGCTCTGGATCTCACCTGTCAGGGCGAAGAGGACGGCGATGACGGTCTGAAACACACGACAGCAGCGAGGCGAGGTGGCGTCCATCCTGTGAGTGTGAGCGTGTGTGTTTGTGTGTGTGTATGTTCACTGTCCAGCGAGAAGACGACTCAGTGATGGGGGGGTGTCTCTGGGGGGGGGCGGGGCCAAACACACAGTGTGTGTCTGTGTCCATTTGTTTGTGTGTGAAACTGCATGATGAAGACTTCATTGATTCTCATGTTGTGAATGTCTGCAGTCTCTGTGAGGCGGACTTAGTGCATGAAACTGCATCACATTAGTCCAGTTACTGGAGTCACAGCACCAGACTACTTCATTTTAAAACCATCCCTCAACATAATTGTGCGATTAAGAATATGTGATGTTAACAACATGGTTGAAAAAAACAGGATTTGATGGAGGTTAAAGGTTCAATACCTCTTTAGATGAACGTTCATGTTTATCGTTATTTCAGTTTTTTTCATTTATTTTCTATGTTTGTTTTTTATTCAGTTATTTATAATTGTAGGAGCCATAATGTTGCTTTGCTTATCAGTTATCCTGTGTTCTGTTACTTTTGTCTGGTTGCCATTGGTTTCGCTGGGTTTGGGTCAAGCCGGTAAGTTATATAAGGGGCGGTCTTACCTGCCCTGGGGTGGAGAGGTGAGCCTAGTTCACTGTAATTTTTGTTGACTGCGCTGTACGTTCTTTGTTTGCAATGATACACGTCACAAAGTGTACACATATTATACTGATGTGCGCGTGTGAATCATTGGCCATTGTAGAAGTGTTTTTTCTGTCATTAAAGCTCAAAAAACTTTGATGAACTTTGGGTGCTTCTTTGGAACAGCAGCAGCGTGTCACACAAATATACACGACCTATCCTCTGCCTCAAGTGACTTTTTTAAAGGTACTAGGAAGGCGCAATAATGATTACTAGGGCTGTAAAGTCCTAGTCGACTTATTGGTTGATACCATGTTGAACAAAATTTTGATTGGTCGACTCGATTTTTTTTTACAGTCTATGGTTAATTTCATCAGGAGGGACGTACCAAGTAATTATGGGGGTGTTTTCAGAGCACCCCCGTTTCACAGGTAACAGCTTGTCTCAGAACACACCTTTCATTTTCAACATTTTGGATTCGTACCTGGTCCTGAGCCGGTTCCGGATCCAGTGGGATTAGTTGATTAGTTGATTTGTGGTTGAAAATTTCAGGGTTTTAGTCGACCAAGAACTTCTTTGGTTGATTACAGCCCTAATGATTACAAACATAATCCAAACTGTTACTTTGAGCCCTGTTCCACTCGTATAAAACTGGATATTCTATGTGAATGTAATACCATGTATTTCCACAAGGGGGCTCAATAATGGTCGTAGAGAACTGATAAAGAGTTAGACGGTTGTACGAACGAGCAATAATAACTGTTTCATAATGAGCTGTTCAAATTTGCACCATTAATTGTTAAACTTATTTTTGTAATACGAGACTTCCTTATGGGTCTCATGCATATACATTAACCCTACTGGAGGTTTAGCGTACATGCTAAAACTAGGGGTGCTGTTTAGCCTGTGTGAAATCAAATTTTTTGCCTGGCTCGATTTTTGTGTAAAGCTGGGTGAGTTTTATAAAAAAAATTACAATCTTTTCGGCAGCATTAACACAAATATATTCTGAAATGATCCTTTAATGTATAAAGCGTCTGACAGCAAGAAAAAAACACTTGCAACCAATCAGATGTTTTTCTATTTCCACAAACTCTGTGATCGCTCTCAACTTTAATCTCTTTAAAAGTTTTAAAATGTGATTCATGACTAACAGGATAAAATGACAGTCAAAACAGGAACAGACCAACGAATAAGAAAGCTGCATGTTTTCACCAATGGAAGGAAATACTGAAGACAAGAGGACTTTGTCTGTGACACACACCCACTCGCACACACACGCACACACTGACCCTAGCTGTGTGGAGACGTCGCAGACGCACAAAGGGCTGGTTATTCGTGTCAAAATTTTCTGTTTTTTCTCTTATATATTTTTGCTTTACTCTCTTATAAACATTGTCTGAAAATCCAGAAATTTCACACATAAACGTCCAAAACCATAACATAGCAGGTGAGGTTTTCAGGAAGACTAAGTAAACTTTATGTTGAGTTTGAAGAAAGACAGGAAATCAAGAACAATACTCTGACCACCTCTAGATGAACAGCTCCAGGTTTCATCAACAGCTGAGACTCAAATCCAGCTCAAACTAGTCTTAGGGGGTTTAAGTGAAGTGGTGAGCACTAAAATCTACAATGATGTCCTGAAAACATCCAAACTTCTCGCTGTTTTCCGAAGCCGTTCATCTTTGAGGAGAGAAAACAGCTGAGACTTTTGTGCTGTTAACCGGGCAGAGGAGGAGTTTTTGAAGCTCAAATCAGCTCACTGAAGTGGATAACATTGGAGGAATACATCATCTCTACAGAGCAGGTCATATGAAACTTTATGACAGTTTCATAATGACTCTACAGCTCCCTCTAAGGGGCTTTCACACCAACAGAGTGAATTTTTGTCCTGGTGTGTATAACTGATTGTCAAACACAGCCTCTTTATTTTGTGTGTTATTTCAATTTTAAAAGATGACAGTCTTTGACGTAGAGTAACTTGTATGAAATGAAAATAAGTGTAGCCTCCCCGTCGGGGAATCGAACCCCGGTCTCCCGCGTGACAGGCGGGGATACTCACCACTATACTAACGAGGACTGCTCTGAGTCCTGACCGTGCAGTACCCATTTTTGACCACTAAACTGAGGCCTACGTGTATGTGGTGCTATAACGATATTAGACACACTTGGTCTGATCAGGACAGCAAATATCTTACATTTGTTCATAACACCAATTCTGTCCCAGACACATTGACAATGACAATAGTTTCTTACCATTTAGGAAATTTCTGTGATCAAAAGGCCACGGAAAAGATGGACATATATGGACAGATATGTGAGGAATACAATGACTAAAATTCCAAGAGTTTAACCAACAGTGGCGATTCAACAACATCAGAGATATGAAAACAGACAAATAGATTTCAGGGGATGAGAGAAAGAATAACAGCAGAAAAGGAAACGAAAATGTAATCACAAAAAGGCCACAAAAACCATGAACCAGCATAAGACAGATAAATGAAAGGACCATACGTGTTTATTTATAAATACAACACATAACATATCACTATGTACACACTTTTACTCACGTTTAGAAATTAAAACAATCAAAAGTCAATAGATACTGTCTGTGATATTGCTTGAACTAAGAGTGAACTAAGTGTTTAAAAATGTTAAAGATGTTTCCGCCCGGTTTCGAACCGGGGACCTTTCGCGTGTGAGGCGAACGTGATAACCACTACACTACGGAAACTTAGCCTGTCCACACTCTGTGACTTTCAAAATAAAAGCCTGTGACTTTAATCATTTACACATTTTGTATACATATGTACACTGTTTTAAGTTAAGCATATTAAGCACCAGAGGTCATGGGACGATGAGAATCAAGTGTCACTCTCTCTTCTGCAAATTAGTTATGATCACGTCTCAATAAATGACATTTCACCATAACTGTACCATTAAATGTCCTGAATTTCTGATTTAAAAATTGCTTAGGATTTGCAGGCTGGTGAAAAATCTTTAAAATTATTCTTCTCTAATATGTAAAATGCTCTAAAACAAAGGTATAGCGCTTTTTTATCGATATATATTTTATTCATTTATTTTGTAGAAGAAGATACTTGTCAGGTAAGACCCAAACAAGTCACAACAAAACTGAAAATGTCATGTCGATGTATATTATTCAATTAAAATACTGAAGACTGTCAAAAAAATTTTTTTTCTTTGGTCCATTAAGGAAGATAAGAAGAATTAAAGTAAAATATTTGGACAGAGGTGTACAAATGTGCATGATTATAACTACTTAAAAACATGTATTTTTATTTTAACAAACTGCAAAAGTTGATTTTCGGCAGAAAAAAATATCGGGAATACAGAGAATTACAAAATATTATAAACTTGATACCGAATATGTATTATTTTTTTATGTTCTTATGACATTTTGGGTCTTTAATGATAATTGTCTCCAGCCAGTTTCGAACCTACGACCCTGGTGACAGGCGAGAACTGTCGACACAGAACACGTGCAGTACCTCCTTTCACCACCTGCAGTGAATGGCGCTATCGACACGTAAATTGAGTTGGAAGGAATCATTTAAAGAAAGTAAGCCTTTTCGACATTTAAGGAGGAAATCGTGTATAACGCACTAAATTCGGCTCAACTTGGGTTTCATTTCCAAATGAATTACTTGTGCATTACAATAAACGAGGTGATGGTTTTAATTTGACTCCATAAACAGACACACAGTCAGACCCAACTTTGAGGCCTGTATGAAACTTAGATGACAATATAAACACGTTGTAAAAACGACATTTTTATGTAGCAGATGTCTTTTTGGAGCATCTTAAGAAAACGGAGGACATTGATAAAGTATGACATTTGATACAACAGTTTATAAAACTACCAGAAATCCGACATCTCTGTAGCTAATTGTGTTAGCTGAATTGTAATTAACGTAAATAAACCTGATGAATTATGAAACAAGAGATAAGAGAACTACTTACATTGTCATGGACGCACGGGAAACATGGATCATGAAGAAAAAGGGAATGTTAAGTGATTAAGATGATTCTGAGAGGATGATGGAGAGGATAACAAACGTGTTCAGACTCCATACCTGCTTCTTCACTCCGAGCAGGAAGGGGTGGGTATGATTGACAGGTGTGTCCGAGGTTAGTGATAGGTGAATAAGGGGGGGTGGGACAATTAGCATAAAATGTAACCATTCTCCTCTATACTAGACCTACAGATATTTATGTCTGCAGCTGAAAATGTAGGAAAAAAATCCCTTTTGCATTTCATTCACGTTGCTTTTGTGGAGTTATGCAGTCTAACCTAAATATTATAAAAGATTATTTTTTACAATAGTTATTTTGTCAAAGATGAGTTAATTTCCCCCATTTTCTTTGATTTATTGACTGATGAAACAAGTGAAACCGTTGCTTTAAGGAAATTGAAGTTAGGGTCAAACACACCGTAACACCAAGTTAGACACCCCCTCCAGAGATGAATGTTGCTGACCGCTTGCTTCTCTAGTTATACCAACTTAAGTAACGACCGCAGGATAGCAATACACAGCAGTCTGAGGAGCCATAAACAAACCTCAACCGAAACGCCACTCTATAGCCACAAATAATGCTCAGAACAGCACCTAACTTCATCAACAGTACATATAGGGTCCCAGCCATAGTACTAGCCACCAAACATCTTTTTAACTTTGCTTGATTTCTTTAGCAAAGAGACTAAACACAACTCACCTACTCTCTTCCATCAGCTGCTTGTTTGTAGCGAGACCTCAGGCCAGTCCATTAGACTACAGCGGGGTGACGCAGCTCAAGGAAGAACATTTATGATGATTTATTCATGGAAATGCAATCAGACCGAGATGCTAAGGCAGAAGAACTACCGTGTCTGCAGTACAAAATTATTAATATGGTGATTATGACTTAAAGGAAATGATAAAGAAATGATCATAAATGTTCTTCCTTGAGCTGCGTCACCCCGCTGTAGTCTGTAATGGACCGGCCTGAGGTCTTGCTACAAACAAGCAGCAGCTAGAAGAGAGTGTGAGTTGTGTTTAGTCTCTTTGCTAAAGAAATTAGACAAATAAAAAGATGTTTGTTGGCTTGGACCCTATATGTACTGTCGATGAAGTTAGGTGCTGTTCTGAGCATTATTTGTGGCTACAGAGTGGTGTTTTGGTTGAGCGCGTGGCTCTCTGTATTGCTATCCTGCGGTTAAGTCTAAGTCTTAGTCTAAGCTTCTACAGGGTGGATAAATGAAAAATGACCCTTTGCAATGGCTCGTCAAAAGTTCAGTCCTCATTTAATGAAACTGATATATTTTACATATATTGACATACATGGATATAAAATTTTACTGTTTTTGAAACAGGTACAATGATTTTTTTAATGTCATTCACAATGTAAATATTGAATGAGTACCTACTTGACCTAATGGTCAGTTATATGGTTTCATTGTAAATACAGTCTGTGGGTGTGGTTTCAGGACAAACTGCTCATAATGAAGCTTTAATGATTAAGCAAAATAGATAAAAAGACACTAAGGCCTCGACTTTGGACCTGCCATGCTCGTTGTGATAACAAACTTTTGAATGTACATTAAACTGCAGTCTGTCACGGCCAGGATCTACTGGATCGTATTTACAAATGTCATGTACTTCTTCATTTGAGGGGTCACCACGAGGGCTTCTCCGTTCTTTGTCTCATCTGTCACGAGCTCCAGGAGACACTCTGCCACCTGAGACACACTGGAATGACAATTACAGACAGATGATTGATGAATTGATGAGTTAATTGATTATTCCCATTGATTATTACTGCAGAAACAACAACTTATTTAGGGGTCACACAAAACAACAAAGAAGTAACAAAGGTCAGCAGTTTTATACTTGGTCTTGATGATGATATTGCTGAACAAGGGAAGTAAGTAAATGGACATCTCTAGGAAAGGACACAAATCACCTTAAGGTCCCAAACTTTTCTACCATTCCTTTGGTTGCATCTGCCAGGTGGGAGAATTGGCCCAGTTTGTCTAAAATGTTGGCGAAGAGTTCAGTTTGGACGAAGCTCGGGCAGACGGCATTGACTCGTATACCGTAGCCGGATGCAGAAGAGGCCGCCTGTTAAGAGACGAAGGAATAATACAGGTCAGCTCAATAACACACTGGCCATTTCCTTCTGATGTTACAATTAGAAGCTCAATACTGTGAAGTAAGAGTCAGTCCATCAATCCAAGAGAAACAGCACATGTATTCCTGACCAGGCGGACAAGTTTTGTTTGAAAACCTTTACTCCATCTCCCTGTTATTGCCTGACCTTTACAGTAAAACCATCCCAGCACAATAAAGTGTTAATGACATGAAAACAGCGTTTGCTATTTCAGTGGAGCAAACCTACACTACAAATTCAGGCACTTCCTAAAGTAAACACAGAACACTGAGACGTGTTGCTGTCTTTCATATCATGTAAACAGAATGCTAACTTACAGCTAATATCTACCTTGCCTGCTGATATACAACAAAGAAATCCCAGAAAAAGAAGATGCATGCTGGGATTTAAGTCCTCTTGTTTCTCTTTTTGGACCTCAATCATTATAGATACTCACCGCCATGGCACGAGTGAAACCGACCACGCCATGCTTCGTAGCTGTATATACAGGGCAGCTTGGTAGAGGACCAAGACCTGCAGGATCCATGAAAAATCAATAAACAGAGTCGTCTTAAAAACATCATTTTTTTTTTATTATGAGAGCTTAATTTGTACATTTCTGATTAATCTTGTAATCCATATAGAAAGAAACAGTATTTTTGGAGTTCCCCCAGGGTCAATTCTCGGCCCACTGTTGTTTTCAACATACCTGCTTCTTCTTCATTCGCTGTTTCGTAATGTTCTTTAAAGAAGTATGGTTTTTACATATTCATGCACATTGTGGTCTTTACCTGCCATGGATGCTGTGTTGACAATGACACCTCCCCGACCTCCATTCAGCTTGTTCATGTGCTCCAGGGCCAGGTAGGTGCTCCTGATAACACCCATCTACAACACAGGACAACTCGGTTTGATTCTGGTGTTGACAGCAGGAACCTTTTCGGCTTCTTATTTAAAGGGATATTCCGGCGTAAAATTGATTTAGGGTCAAACACACTGTAACACTGAGTTAGACATCCCGTTGAGAGATAAATGTTGCCAACTGCTTGCTAATGACTGCATGAAAGCAATACACAACAGTACCAGAAACTAAAACGCCACTCTATAGCCACAAATAATGCTCAGAACAGCACCTAACTTCATCAACAGTACATATAGGGTCCCAGCCATAGTACTAGACACCAAACTTCTTTTTAACTTTGCGTAATTTCTTTCGCAAAGAGACTAAACACAACTCAACTACTCTCTTCCAGCAGCCGCTTGTTTGTAGCGAGACCTCGGGCCAGTCCATTACGGACTTCAGCGGGGTGACGCAGCTCAAGGAAGAACATTTATGATCATTACTTTATAATTTCCTTGAAGTAATAATCACCATATTAATCATTTTGCACTGCAGACTTGTAGTTCTTCTGCCTTAGTGTCTCAGTCTGATTGTATTTCCATGAAGAAATGATCATAAATGTTCTTCCTTGAGCTGCGGCACCCCGCTGTAGTCAATGGACTCGCCTGAGATCTCCGTACAAACAAGCGGCTGCTGGAGGAGAGTGGGTGAGTTGTGTTTAGTCTCTTTACTAAAGAAATTAGTCAAAGTTAAAAGATGTTTGATGACTAGTATTATGGCTGGGACCCTATATGTCCTGTTGATGAAGTTAGGTGCTGTTCTGAGCATTATTTGTGGCTATAGAGTGGTGTTTTGGTTGAGCGTGTGGCTCCTGGGACCGCTGTGTTTGCTATGGTGCAGTCATTACTAAAGATGGTATTACTAGAGAAGCAAGCGGTCGAAAACATACACCTCTAACTCAGTGTTACGGTGTGGTTGACCCTATCTTAATTTTACATCGGAATATCCCTTTAAGACTTGTTAGCAGCAGTTGGCCTTTCTTTGTTTGCCAAGTGTTGTGTAATGTTAAACCAGCTGAATGTAACTTCAAGATGTCAAAATCATCTCTGCTAAAAGACAGCAATGCCTTATTTCAAGCTGTAACTCCTGAAACACTGAAAACTCTTTGTGTTATGTAATTTCCTTTGATGCAGTGGTGCAACTGGAGACAAGTAATCGGTCTAATGTCTACCGGATGCAGTTTGTTTGTCTTTGGGTATTCTTACAAGGTTTATAGAGACGGTTTTCTCCCATGTGTTTTCATTCAAGATGCCAGCGTTGTTGCACAGGATGTCGATTCCACCAAAGACCTCTGAAGTTTTCTTTAAAGCAGCTGGAGAAAAGAAAAACAAAAAAACAGCTTTTAAGTACATGTTGTTGTTGTTTTTTTACACATGCACAACACATTTTTGGAGCTTTAGAGGTACTTCCAAAACACATGTCTAACATCTTACAGGACACAATTTTAACCCCTGAACTCAAACGCATCCTAACATTTTCCTCGAAGCGTTATGACTTCCTTAAAGATGTGGTCAGAAGGGGGCAACTGCACAGGTAGCTGGAAATTGTTTAATTCTCAGGGTCATATCAGAAAAAGCCCTGACCTCCTCTTCTTCGTCTTATTTAGTCGTTTGCCTCAGTTAATGTCCTATCAGGTCAATCAGCACGATTGCTTGTCTACATCTTCCTCCATGCAGCATTCTCGTCCAATTAAGTGTAAAATGAAGAACAAATTTGGGTTTGTCCGTGTATTTGATAAGTATCTACCACATCCTGTCAACTCAGATGAGATGTCACAACTTCGGACTGTTTAAAAGTTGGGTGGCACAGACACTCAACTCAACCAGCATCACTAATGCACAGTCTTTTCCTGGAGGTTCCTCTGTATCGCTGCTGCAGATGTTTTGACCTGCCTTGATCTCTATCTCCGGTTCAGTCTCAGCAGATGACTGTCTAACACGAGTCTGGTTCTGCAATTCTAAAATTTTTTGAGCCCCTACTGATTAGTGAAAAAATCTTGGTAATGACAAAAACCTTTGCAGATTCCACAATTTTGAGAAATTAGGCACAGCCGTAATGTTGTGTCTGGATGACTTTTTCTGTTGTTGTCTCCGAAACGTTGCAAATAAATGATTGATTGCAAGTTGGACAATCCATACTGGCAAAAAAGTACAAAAGACATTAGAGGATATTGGAACATTTAAAACTATCTTGAACTATCTCTCTGAGAACCAGAGAGATTATGAAACGACGAGACCTTGCATAACCTGAAGACCTGACAAAAGTGTTAACTTTAAAGTCCGCAGGGTTTCTGTGTTTTTTATCACGTTATTCTTGACATAAAATTTTGGTTCTTGAATTTCACGCACTGTGGACTATAATGAGTGTAACTGTGTACCACTAAAACAACCTGCAGTACAAAATGTTCCTGCATGTGTGTGTGTGTTTACCTTTAGTTTGTTCCTCAGATTGAATGTCACAGCTCAGGAACAAAGTCTTCTCCTGTCCGTACTGTTTCATGAGAGCCTCACATAAACTCTTCCCAGCGGTTTCGTTCACATCCAGGAGGGCTACCTGCACAGCAACAAGACCATGACATCAAAACCCACTTATGATCTGACTCCAGTTTAATGGTTGTGTTGTCTCTGCCCTCTAACTTTTTTATTTTTATTTCTGTCCATTAATTACTGTGGAAGAAAAATAATAAAAGTTAACAGGTCATTTACAGAATCCATTATTCCATACACATTTAAATCTTAAATGTTTAAGTTGTATTTTTAATAAATCAGTGGAAAGACAGATATTGGGTGTGGGTTTGGATTGATGAACACAGCTGTTCCTGCTAAATATTGATACTGTATTGTAATTAAACAATCGTCAGTTAGTGTTTTGGATGTGTTGTGACTTAATTTTGTGTCCCGAAATTATCCAAAGAGCCACTGAGGTCTTAGATAGCCAGGTGTACAGTTGACGCATCGTCCGTGTCTATTGTTCTCCACGTGTAAATGAAACAGTTAGTCACATTTTCTTTGTTTATTCTTCTTTTGTAAAAGAAACCAAATGCAAAAATAAAGACAAAGCAAATTCCAACAGACAGCAACGACAGGATGATAATGATAGATGATGTAAATGATGGTCAAAAAACTGTTTGCTCCTCTAGCTATCAACACACCTGCCACTAATTTCTTATTCTTATATTTATAGCAAACCAAACTCAGGACCTCACGCCACCAGGGCAAATACAACTGACATAGATAACAAAACACAAACACAAAAGGAAATACAACAAATGGCTCTAACAAGATGTCAAGTGTTGTCAATGAGTGATGGGAAAGATTATTTTTTAGCGTTGAGAAAAGATGGTGATATCAGACGATGCCGATAAGTCATCCGTACTCTTTTGTTCCCTTCAGGCTGCTGAATGTTAATTCTGACTCTTGGCGTGTTCCTATCATTTGTATTTGTTAATAATAATAATAATAACAATAATCCAGCAAATTGTATATAGCACTTTATCAGAAACACTCAAAGCCCTTGACATTGGATACATCGGTCATTCCCTCACACAGTCACACCCTGGTAAACTACCTTAAAAGTCACAGCTGCCCTGGGACAAACTGACGGAAACTTGGCTGCCAATCCACGCTAACAACCTCTCCAACCACCACCAATCGCACACACTGGGAGCAAGGTGGGTTAAGTGTCTTGCCCAAGGACACAATGGACAGACTATAGAGTGGGAATCAAACCACCAACCTTCCACTTTTTGGACAACCACTCTTGATTTAGTTTTATGGTCAAACTCTTGATAACACAAAGGTTTTCACTTAGATGTCTGAATGTTGTTTTCGACTGTGTTGCCTGTTGAATGTTGGCTGAAAGTTGAATTGCCCTCTAGTGGTCGATTAATCTGTTTGAGTTGAAGGATTAATACAATATTTTAATTATTTTAGTTTACAGACTTCCAGATGAGGATGTTCTGACTCAACAGCATTACTAATCCCATCATGACGTGAAGACTTTATTGCAAAACAAAACTTGATGATGATACCCGAGTCATTCTGGATCACCTTATTTTTAAAAATTTAGGTGAATAGAAGAAACAGATTGGCAAAGGTGTGGGGTCCATGTTAATGCAGCAGACGCAGAGATATCCAAACTTTAGATGTCCTGTGGGAGTCTAGCTCCAACACACTGTTATGTAAGTCAGTGTGTTAGACACTCATCTGTTTACCATATGCTGCTGACTTCTTCAGAAAACCACTCCTCCCTTTCTTTTCTATTTTAAGCTGTTTTATAAAGTTATGTGGATTATTTCTTTGATCACATCTCTCTAAGGGTACAGGATGTTAAACTTTTCCTGCCAAGTAAACTGAACTTTATGTATCTTATAATGAAAAAAAAATAACCTACAAATTACAAACACATGTCTTACACAATCTCCTGAATGACGCCTTCAGGCTTTTGTCTCATTCCCCTGACCTGTGAACCGGATTTACAGCAAATTTTGAGGCTTAAATCAAGTTTCTAACCTTTACCCTAGATATACACAGATCTGTTTTTAAGGGAGTGAGGAAAAAATGACAGGAATTTGGAGTAACAGGTTGATTTACTTTGAAAAAATAAAAAATCAAATCACATCCCTTTGAAGATAAATGATCGAAGTATAAGGTGATGCCAATAACACAGGTATCACGTGTATATCATATATAGAATAGTACAAAGGTAAGCTATCACGTGGATTATTGAATCAACTTGACCTTAAACCATAGTGCATATAATAATTAACCACAAATCCACAATAAAACTGCGGTGGCACCTTTGTTATTTTGTAAACACTGGGGTTTAATCCCATAAGGACTTAAAGTTTACCTTTGCTCCGTTTTGCAGGAGAATCTCCGTCATTGCTTTTCCAATCCCCAGAGCAGCTCCGGTCACTACAGCAACTTTACCGTCCAGAGACATGATAGAAGTTCAGTGTGAGGAAGAGGAGGAGAGCAGCTGAGTAAGATCCCAGAATGATACTGAGACAGGAAAGGTCACAGTGTGGAGTTTATGTAGTCACCAGCAGACACCGCCCATCTGGAGACAAACACTGAGCGTGTAAATACACGTTGGCGAAGAGGGTCTATCATTATAGTTCAGTGTCAGGGTTTAGGTTTCATAGCAGGAAGGACAATAAAAAAACGTTTTCTTGTGGTGACACATGGGGATTTTCTTTTTAACTGTGACCGGGTAACCAATCACAAAAGCCAAATCAATTAGTAAAATGCTAAAACCGGATAAAGAGGTTTTCTTCCTACTTCTTTGGAAACGAAGTGACTCATTTTAACCGCGTTTATTAATCCCTGCTCAGACTTCACTTTCAGGCTAACCGTGGATTCTTGTTTCCGTGTAAATTTACCAGTAAGATCGAAATTATTCACGGTAACACGTTGTTCTAAACTCGAAGTTTCCGTTAAACTAACGGGTCTGTTGAGTTGGTTGTCTCTCAATCAGAAGGTCGTGAGTTCGATCCCCGGTCACGCCGTCCACACTGTTGAAGGGGTACTCCGGCGTTAAATTAAGTTAGGGTCAAACACATCGTAACATCGAGTTTGACACCCCATCACGAGATGAATGTTTTCTACTGCTTGCTTCTCTAGTTATACCAACTTTAGTAATGACCGCAGGATAGTAATACAGAGAGCCACGCGCTCAACCAAAACGCCAATCTATAGCCACAAATAATGCTCAGAACAGCACCTAACTTCATCGACAGTACGTTTAGATTCCTAGCCAGTAGCGCTAGCTACCAAACATCTTTTTAACTTTGCCTAGTTTGTTGGTACGGACGGACTAGTCCATCGACTACATCGGGGTGACGCAGCTCAAGGAAGAACATTTATGATAATTTCTTCATAGAAATACAATCAGACCGAGACGCTAAGGCAGAAGAACTACCGCGTCTGCAGTAAAAAAAGATTAATATGATAGTTATTACTTTAAGGAAATGATAAAAAAAATGATCATAAATGTTCTTCCTTAAACTGCGTCACCCCGCTGTAGTCTGTAATGGATTGGCCCGAGGTCTCGCAATCGGCTGCCGGAAGAGAGTGGGTAAGCTGTGTTGAGTCTATTTGTGGCTATAGAGTGGCGTTTTGGTTGAGCATGTGGCTCTCTGTATTGCGATCTGTGGTCGTTACTAAAGTTGGTATAACTAGAGAACCAAGCGGTCTGCAACATTCATTTCTTGAGGGGGTGTCTAACTCGGCGTTACTGTGTTTGACCCAAAAATAATTTTATGCCGGAATATCCCTTTAAGTATATTTGAGCAAGACACTGAACATGAACAAGATAAGTTAAAGCTCGTGTGAAGTTTTTTTGTTCATCTATGAGTTACACAAAAGTCATATTAATGCCTTTTTATGATCCCCAAAAGCAGACAAGTCGAATTGAGTTTGTTTTCACCAAAAACTTTTCCAGTCAAGAAGCTCTCTTTTTTGTCTCGAAGAATAATCTCCTAAATTTTTCACAGTGTGCATCCCAATAAGGGAACTTAAATAGCTTACAGTATTATAAATTAGGGTTTGATTAGAAGCACTGTCAGGATCTTTGTTTCTATTGATTTTGTCGCCCCCTGGTGAAACCGTTTTTAGTCATGCATAGTTTGTATTTCTTCAAAAATAAGCTCACCTTTGCTCTCTTTTTACAAGCAGATGTATCACTCGCTGAAAGGCTTTGTCACGGACTTTGTAAATGGAGCTGTGTCCTATTAGTAGTGCACCACCGAGCACTTGGCCTGACACCTACCCTCTGCCAAAAGTTTAGCACATTCAAGAAAACTTTACAGAAACAGTCACTCCTCTTGTCAACAGTCTGTTTAGCTATTTTAGGTCAAAAGGAGACATCAGTGGTTATTTTACAGATGGGTACATTATACAGCAGCCCCTACAGAGGCTCTAATGTGAAATAACTTACAAGGATATATGAACACAGGAGAAAAAAAAATATGTCTGTCTGATAAACATACACGTTCTTGGATGTGGCCACTAGATGGCTGTAGAGTGCTGTGACTGAACAGCTGATGTTCATATTCACCAGGTTACAATGTTTTTCACTGTCAACACGATCAGCAGGGCTGCAGGGCCCTGTCTCTAGGGTTCAGGGGAGGTTGTTCCTCCTACATCTCTCCTCTGGGCGGCGCTCTGCTCCTGGTGCAGACGGCTCCTCTGATGGTGCTTTCTCAACTGGTTCATCTGTACTCTGCAGGTGTGTGTGTGTGTGGCTTTGGGTGTGACTCTGTATGTGACTGTTGAATGCTGGTTGTGTGGTTGTCGGGGTAGGGTGGTTGGGTGGAAGGATGTGGGATTATGTTTAATAAACTGTAAAGAAGTTTTGATTGAATGATTGATTGATGGATCCCTTCTGCTAATGGCATATGCAAACGTATTAGAAGATGACCCTGTTCTGCGAGTAGGAACTATCAAAACTCCTGTGAGGAACTTTCTGTATGTGTTGATTTGGCACAAATAAACTTCAGCTGCAGCTCTGACTGTCAGCGCACATACAGTTCATTTATAGTCTCACATACTGAATGAGTCTCCAGATAGAGTTGTGAAATCTCTGTGTGTGTTATGTGTGTGTGTGTGTGTGTGTGTATGTTAGAGAACATGGGCTCATGACACCGCCTGCCGTAAGCCTCTTGATATATAGGCATACTTATGGCAAGACCGTGCATGCTGTTCTCACTGCAGACTACTTACAGAAAGACCTTCAGATACCAAAAGTTTTACAATTATTCGTAATCTGTGTTCTTGGAAAACACAAACTTGTGGATTCTTTTATTTAATTTTACTGTATAATGTCACTGTTCGTATATTTGTTTGATTGTGTCTTTTATCTTTTAACATTGTAATGCAAATAAATCCTTTTTCATCACTTTGTCATTAAAATTAAATACTCCAACATCTTCCTTTTGGTTGCTCTTGTCAGTGACAGGAGTGTCAGTATTTATCTCAATGAGTTTCATAAACACTTTAAACTTCACTGAAGCTTTACATAAAGGTAATGAAATCCCTCTTAACTGGAGCTATCCTCTAAAGAGCCAATCAATCAATAAATCAATCAGTAAATGAAAGGAAATTAAAAGACCCAAAAAGTAAAGAAATATTGTGTAAACAGTTTGTGTTTGTTGTGCAGGAATTATATCTACACATCATAATGAGAAATTCAATAAAACTTAAAAGCTCCTCCTCATAAATATCTAAAGATGACAACATCTGCGACTCCACCACTAGGTGGCGTGTTCAGTTGCCTCCCGGCAGCGTGTTGCCTGTGTTAGTGGGTTCATTACATCATACAGGAGATCTTCAGTTACAGAAAGTTCAAACACGCTGAGACAGACACACAGCTGCATTTCTAACAAACTTGTCATTTTCTACATTCACATAAAAGTTAAAATTCTCTTTATTGTACACTTTAAAAAAACCTTTGTCCTCCTTTCTGTTTGTTTGTGTTGTTGTTGTTGCCTGGTGATGGTGTCATTGAGTGACAGGAAATAAACAAGAGCCTGTGAGGATCAAGTTATGAACAAGTTTCTTCTGAATTCATATTTATTTGATTTTATTTACCTGCCGTTCCTTTTTTTCCAAATGATTTCTATGTCAGTCTTTGTAAACACTCCTTGCTACGGAAGAGGATTAGGGCCACTGGAAAAAAAAAAGTTCAATATAATTTTTTTAAATTATCATTCTGAAGTTAAAGTCCGAATTCTGTCTTTAATCTCAGAGTTCAGACTTTTTTTCCTCAGAATAATAAAAAAAAATATCAATTTTTTTTTTCTGGTGACCCTCATCCTCTTCTGTACCTTTCTATGTGTCCTATAAACAACTATTATTACTGTTGATAGAATGGACAGAAAAGGGAAATGCGGCATTAAAGACAATGTCTGAAACTGTAGGAGGCAGAAAACACTGAATATCTGAATCACATACAAATTCACTAAACAAAATAATAGTTTTGAAAAAGAAGTCAGAGTCTATGTAAACTTTTTTTAATGACTCCAAATTTCCATGACACATGGAGGATAAAAATGTTGTTTGTCTTTTTTTTTGTGATTGTAAACAAAGATGATAAAACTCTGAGTTTTAAGAGACATAACTCAAAAATGTTTGAAAGTATGTGTCATTTATATTTTTAAAAAGTACATTTTATTGATAATTTTCATCAACAAAACTTTAAAACAGTTCTGGAATGACGTGGGTCGGTCTGTCCAGGTACGAGTTTAACCACCAATTTGAGGTTTTCTCGAGTTAAATCCAGTTTTTCTACTTTGTGACAAAATCTACATTTACATTCTGTGTTAGATTTCTTATAAGATATGTAAACCAACAATATGGATGCTGATGAAAAAGTCCCTGCACCCTCTCTTTGCTCTCACAATCAGGTCCCGCAGAGGCCCCCCGAGCTGGTCTTGCTTACTGGGCAAATCCAGCGTTCAGAGGCTTTCAGCTGTGATTTGCTGACCAGCTGCTGACTTGTATTTTCATCCCGGTGGCCTGTTGCCATTTCACTGGTGATTACACTGCTAAAGAGCTGCAGAGGGCCAGACAATACCAGAGAGCTTTACATGTCACCAGTGTCATCCAACGCAAAGAAAGGGACGTCGCCATTGAACCAAATATCAGCCTGTTTACAGTGAGGGGCCACAGCCAGGGCGTGTGTGTGTGTGAGAGAGGGTGTGTGTCTACATGTCAATACCTAAAGAGTCTGTGAATACAAAGGCTTTGGTGGAGATTATGTGGTCTAAGGGTGTGTGACGGAAACTGAGACATTAGAGGAGCGTTAGTGGCCTGTCACTCCTCATCGATCTCTGAGAGGGACGCTAAGTTTTAAACCCAAAAACTCGCTGTTTTCATCAGGTTCAAAACAAACTTAAGTGTGATAATGCAGGTGACGACCATAAATTACAAAAAACACAAACGTAGTCTCAGTGGCATCACCCACTGGTTTCTGGAGAGGCAGGGGGAAGCCCAAAGATGGTGGAAATGCTGACTCAAACTGACTTCCAGTGAAGACAGGGCTTGACACTAACTTTTTTCACAAGTAGCACACAAAGAACTTTAGGGGCACAATGAAAATTGATCAAATATTGTTTGTCTTATT